CCAAAAAAAAAAAAAAAAACGAACAGCTCCTCGTCAAGCTTTGGCCTGGTTAGGTTGAATTGGAAGAACTCTTACGTTTTGACAGTCTTCCTGCCCCTGTCCAGGTACATTATAGCCATCCGCCTATCGCAATCCAGGAAGCAGGAAGAAGCGAAGAAGCCCCGAAAGAATAATTGGGCCTAGAAGAGTTCTATGAGGAAGATTTGGAAGATTTTTATCCAGGGCCTAGTGAAAAGGCTCGGGGGGGTTTTTCCTCCGAATAGGAAAATCTTGAAAAAGGTTGTATAGTAGTTCTTCAGATGATGAAGAGCTTCCCAAAGACCCTGATGACTTTTATTTGGGAGTGGATGTTGATGGCAACTTTTGGGGTGGCTTTTTGGGGGGGGGTGACGACTTGGAATCTGATGAAGATGATGAAGGGGATTCTTCGGCTGCTGGACTAGCTATCGAAGAACGAACACAGAGGAATTCACAAAGGGCCGAGAGTTGGAGCTTGCAACATGCTTCGATGGTGCTTCTAAGCTTAGGGCAGGTGGATAGGATTAAGCTCCTAGATCATATGACCCTTAAGACCAAAGTAATCAAACCATACTCGGGTTGTCCCCAGCAGGTCGGAGAGAAAAATTGTGAAGAAGACCTTAGGCTCTTATCTGCCTCAGAAAATCAAAGATCTAGAAAAAATAGGGGGTAATTCATAAACAAAGGCGAGATCAATCTCGATCATGGAAACTATCAATACTTCATACTGACTACATGGATTTTGACTCTAGTATCTTGAATCTCAAAGAGGACCTAGGGGACCCCGCATCATCAAAGGGCCCTGGTGTTTACTTGCATATCGTCTACAAGGTAGAAGAGGATCACTTCTGGCTTTATGTAGGCCAAAGTATTTGTTTGCAAGACCGGACCAAAGCCCACAATGACAACCGTCACAAGTCCACAGCGTTCTGTCTACACTACCACATGTGGAACGTAACATGTCCGAAGGAAGCATATTTCCTGACAGACTTTGAGGCAGATCTATAGGATCTGAAGACCAGATTTACTGAAGTCCAAATCCAACTTTTCTTAAACCTGACGGAAACGTGGCTATCGCTATTATTTCCAACCTTGCCACGAAAGCACCTCGCATATATGCCAGGTCCACTGGTCACGCAAAACGATGCACATATCCCCTGGGCAAGTAGACATCTCAACGTTGCCTTGTCGCTCTACCAGTCATTTAAGGATTTAGGACCCCAGAGGAAAGACATGATTGGGATAAAATGGCTACTGAATTTGGCAGAGAGGTATTTGAGAGTTATCTTCGTTCAGATGATGAGGCAATTTGAAAGTGGGCTAAAAGTATGCGAGAGGGATTTTTAGCTATCTAGATAAAGAAGACTCTTTCTGGGAATTCAAGTGGCGATTGCGTTAAAGTAGCAAAGTCAATACACCCAGGCAAGAACTTTCTTCGAACCGGAAAAGCTGCTAATATGCGAGGTAGTTGATCCCCATTCTGATTATAAATATGCCTCAAATGATCCCGTGAACATTCTCTTTAGTTAGATATGCAGATTATATAGTATTCCCAACACTAGCTAATACAGCGTTCCGAATCCTTTGTTATGGTAGCATGTCCGGGGGCCACTAGTATCTAAACACTAGCATTGGCTAATTCTTTGAAAATGTCACATTAAGAAAACCCAAGTTCGACCGGAAGAACCCAAAGACGTCAGCGTTATTTAAACGGGTACTCTATGAATCTCACTATGAGATATACATGTGCGGTACGGCATGATTCTCAGATCTATAATCTATATATTTAGATCGGAGGTGGGGGGAGAGGGAGAGCGGTGAGAGGGGAATATAAGGCAATCTTACACATAAAATGAGCATTACTAGAAGCCCCATTAAGGGGTCACTATTTGATGGCTTACTGGTTAATATTCCGTCATTGCTTATATATAGTAAGCAGTACTTACTTAGATGTTGACTACTGGTCATACGAGCAATGGGTTGGGTTGAAAAAAGGGTTAATAAGAGAGATATTGTTGAAGTCAATAACGACTGATAGGACCGGTTTTAGAGCACCCTGTATAACTGAAAGAAAAGAGAGCCATGGTACGTTTAATTAAGTTTGGCCGTTAATGACATTGTTGTTTCATAGTTCTACGGTCCCCTGCCAATTCATGGAAACTGAAGCTATCCCTATCTCCTGTTTAACGGCGTGCCATTATTTTGTGTAGGCGGGGACTGCGAGGACTTACAATATCGAGCTTTCTAAATCTTGAAATCGAGGGTGGTTCATTCAAATCTCTACATAATTTCTTATCATTACGAAGTGACTGCCCCATCTAGATCAGTTATTTACACCGGCTGTAAACAAAGAGGGGGACAACCAAAACACCATACATACACATTTAGCGATGAACTTTGCAATATGCTTTTAAGATAAGATAGAGGAAACCGTAGGCTATGTCCTTCCACACTACAGTTCTGAAAAGGCACAGACAGATAAGATAAATTACATAGAGATGTTTCGTTATAACAAGAAGACAACCGTTGAAGTATACGAGGGTCGGTAGTTGATATACTAACAGGCCTAAATAGTCAACTTATGGGATATAAGCCCTAATTATGGGTATACAGCTTTTCATTTCGCCGTCCGGACTGCAAGTTGCAAGTACCACCTCCGGTCTTACCACGATCAGGCCAGACTAAAAATGGCTGACAACCAAAACTTTGCTGCCTCGACACCGGTCGAGAGCATGATCGATCAGGAGCCAAGATTGAGTCCCCCCCAAGAATCCCCATGTCCACAAGGGAAGGTGGGCTGAAATGCTCTACTAACGGCAGTACGTAATGTGCGCGTTTGTCGCGCCCTTCTTTTACCTCCATGATTTCTCCTCGGGTTGATAAAAAATGATTACCTTGGCTCCGTCTCCGCTGCTCTTCGGTTAAGTGAGATGATGGAGTCCGACTATGCCAGGCCTTGTTTCACGAAGTAGGGAGGAAACATGGACCATACATAGCATAGCATTAATTCAATGAGGAAAAAAATGAAAAGCCCAAAAAGATTTGTTGATAACAGTGAGATTCGAACTCACGCCCCGGAGGACTGCCATTGGTAATACCTGAAGACAGCGCCTTAGACCGCTCGGCCATGTTACCTGGTTGATGGAGACTTCCACTTTCTGAATTTTATTGGAAAGTAATATCCTTATCCAAACAAAATTGCCATTCCCCGTATTCTATAATTCTAGGAGGAAAAGCGCTTCCATTTGATAGCGCAATACAATGCTGTTGCCGTGTTTGAGTTCATCGGAGTCTTCTAATTTGGGGGTACTCAGTTCTAATGTAACTACCTGCTTGTCATTCAGCCTTCGTCATATCTTTTTTGTTGCGCTAGCTGTAATTTTGCAGATATGACGACCCTCAAAACTTCTACTTGCTCCTATGCAGCTCCATTGTGCAAAAAAGTAGACATCACTATCTCTAGTTGTTTCTAACGCACTGTGCTTTCCTCTCCCGGACGACAGTTTTCGGACGAAGAAATAATTTTTTTTGGATACAAGCTAAAGTTAACCTCTGCCGGTGTGCTCCTACACCCCAAATTATCGTTTCATCAAGCCCTTGTTCGTGCCATTTCACCTGATAGTTATGACCTCGAAATTCACCGCCACTTTTGCCCAACGAGGAAATAGTTAGTGTGGCGGATATCTTTGGGGGGACGCTTGGGCTGTTTTCAGCCGACTGCCAAAAAAAAGTCTGTCAGCGAGCAAAATTTTCAATGACATGGAAATCGACCTGCTCAGTTACTAGGAAATTAAAGCGTCACTACTACTGAGTGAACTAGATAGAATGACTCGCTTTCAAGACGATTACTAAGTCCCGGTACATAGTAACTAGTTAGTAGTCCTCGTTAATAACATGTAACTTTGACATTGAACTGTATCATGGGTATTCTCTCCGCTAGGTTATGGGGAAGTTTCAAATCAATAGAAACAGCTATCTTTTCCTTCCTGTCAATTGGCACCTGCGTTTACGCTACGGGAAAATTCCACCACGTGGAAGAATTTATATCATCGTATTTTAGGTATTCAAGAGGCTAGATGACTAGAGCTTCTTTATATAGACTTGCTCTGGCGCTCAGCATCTCACGTAGCCAGATTGAAAATTGATCTGGCGAGGGTTTCATGAGGGCTCGGTAGCTTGTAGTTAGCAGGCGCTAGGTCCAGAGCTCAGTGGTTTGAATATCAAGAAGCAGTAGAAAGAAAAAGAACAAGGCTTAGAATGTCCATATCACTGCGAGCAAATCTCTTTACTAGAGGGCGCGCATTTACGAGTTTCCCGCCCGGCGCTAACGTAAAGGCGGTGGCAGAACGGGTAGTCTAACCTAAAGCGATCGGATCCCCTCGCCAAGTTTGCCATCCACGCTTAGCTCCTTCCCTTTTTTTTTTTTCCCTGACTAAGATCCCTCGCCACTCCTTTTCCGCTTTAATCACCTTTCCCCTTCTCCCCTTCAACTGCTTTTGGTGGAAAAAAAAAAAAGACTACCAACTCCCCTCTCAAAACTGTCCTCTGTTTTGACATAATTTTAATTTTCTTTTCATCCCTCTTCTCCTTTCTTTCTTTGTTTCCTAGCATAGAATTTAGACCTCAGGTTCTAGAGAGATTTTCTTATTTGCATTTTCTCTCTGCAGGGTCTTCTGTGTCTTTTTTTTATCCGATCGCCACAACTGCTTCAACCTTTTCTCACAAGAGCAACAATCCTGCCTGAATTGACTGTCGCTCCCTTGCTCAATTTCACTTTCGCCCGCGTTCTCGATCGTTTTTCTTGCTTGTTGTAGTTTCCTCGAGACTATCAGACAAGCCTCGCCACCAAGGAAAGCCACTTGTCATCCAAAAACTTCCTGATTGTATGTCTATCCTATCTCTGAATCTTCTTCTTCAGACTCCTTTTTACTGATAGACAATCTTCTCCAGTCAAAGACTTATCGTCGACAGAGTAATTCAAGATGGCCGACAGCTTGAAGATCCAAAACTTGTCCCTCAACGAGTCCCAGCACGCTCCGTCTGGACCCCCTGCGGCAAATGGACGCTCTGCCTACATTCCGCCACATCTTCGCCAGCGCAACACGAATGCTGGCCCTAGTCCTATGGATGGTGCAGGCCCCGCCGGCCCTGCCCCTGCTGGCGCTTGGGGAAATGCGTAAGTGCTCCTCACGCTTCGATGAGACTGGTGTTAAGTTGGCTAACATTCATTAGACCTAGAGGCGGTGCTCCCCCACGTGGCGGTAACTACAATTATCGTGAGAACAATGCAAATGGTAAATCAGACTGGACCCAGGATGTTCAACGCCCGGAATTCAACCCTAATGCTTACGGAAACCCAGGTCATGGACCTTCAGGAAGTTACAGCGGCGGCGGCGGTCACGCCCGTGGTTCAGGCGATGGACAATGGCGCGATGGCAAACACGTCCCTGGCCCTGCCAATGCCCGTGTCGAACGTGAACTGTTCGGTGTTCCCAACGATCCCTCAAAGCAGCAAACTGGAATCAACTTCGCCAATTACGATGACATTCCTGTCGAGGCCTCTGGCCACAATGTGCCCGAACCTGTCAACGCTTTCACCAACCCGCCGTTGGACGATCACCTCATTTCAAACATTGCATTGGCTCGCTACACGACACCGACCCCCGTCCAGAAATACTCGATTCCTATTGTCATGAATGGCCGTGATCTGATGGCTTGTGCGCAGACAGGTTCTGGAAAAACTGGTGGTTTCCTCTTCCCCATCCTTTCTCAAGCTTTCCAGACTGGGCCTTCCGCTGCCCCTGCCCCAGCAGCTGGTGGTAACTTCTATGGTCGCCAGCGCAAGGCTTACCCAACCTCTTTGATCTTGGCTCCCACTCGTGAGCTGGTTTCGCAAATCTACGACGAGGCCCGCAAATTTGCCTATCGCTCCTGGGTTCGCCCTTGTGTGGTCTACGGTGGTGCTGACATTGGCTCTCAACTTCGTCAAATTGAACGTGGCTGTGACTTGCTAGTTGCAACCCCTGGTCGTCTCGTAGACTTGATCGAGCGTGGCCGTATTTCCCTTGTCAATATCAAGTACTTGGTCCTTGATGAAGCCGATCGCATGTTGGACATGGGTTTCGAGCCTCAGATTCGTCGTATTGTGGAAGGAGAAGACATGCCAGCAGTCCAAAACCGCCAAACTCTTATGTTCTCCGCTACTTTCCCTCGTGATATTCAGATGCTTGCTCGTGACTTCCTCAAAGACTACGTTTTCCTTTCGGTTGGTCGTGTCGGTTCCACCTCCGAAAATATCACTCAACGTATTGAGTACGTCGAGGACCACGACAAGCGTTCTGTGCTCTTGGACATTCTCCACACCCATGGCACCACCGGTCTGACCCTTATTTTCGTCGAGACCAAACGCATGGCTGATTCTCTCTGCGACTTCCTAATCAATCAAAGTTTCCCCGCAACTGCCATTCATGGAGATCGTACCCAGCGTGAGCGTGAGCGGGCTCTAGAGTTCTTCCGCAATGGAAGGTGCCCCATCTTGGTTGCTACTGCTGTCGCAGCTCGTGGTCTTGATATTCCTAATGTTACCCACGTTGTCAATTACGATTTGCCTACTGACATTGACGACTATGTTCACCGTATCGGTCGTACCGGTCGTGCTGGTAACACCGGTATTGCCACTGCATTCTTCAACCGTGGTAACCGTGGTGTTGTTCGCGACCTCATCGATCTCTTGAAGGAGGCTCACCAGGATGTGCCTTCTTTCCTTGAAAACATTGCTCGCGAAGGTAGCGGATATGGTGGTCGTGGCGGTCGTGGCGGCCGTGGTCGTGGTTCCAATGCCACTCGTGATGTTCGTCGCATGGGTGGTGGCATGGGTGGTCCTCCATCTTATGGCGGCAGTGGTGGTTTTGGCGGCAGCACCGGCTACTCTGGCGGCGGAGGTGCTGCCAACTGGGGTGGAAGCGGTGGTGGTAAGTTGCAATATCCCATTTATCAAATACATTCCCAGAATACTTACATGTTTGATATCTCTAGGTAACTACGGCGGTGCAGCTTACGGCGGCGGCGGTGGTGGTTACAGTGGTGGTAGCTATGGCAACCCATCCGGCCCAACCGGCCCATCTTCCTGGTGGTAAATTTTCTGTGGTCTCTAGACGAGGCCTTTCGATCTGCGTTTTCCTCTATTTTCTTCGGCGGGTTTCCTCAGATCATCTTTCTCCTGAGCATTTGTCCTTCTCGGGGGTGGCTTTGTCACGACTGCAACGAATTTCCTCTTTTTATCATTAACGCGTTCACAACTTTCATCGTTCTTCGTTGATTCCGACATGCTTACTTGTTTTATTTTTCGTCTCTATCGCTTCATTTGAAGTGTACATGCAATGTGTCTCGATGTTATGTGAGGGCTCTCGGAAAGTGCTAAATGGCATAACTTTGTGTGAACAGGGGCCTTTTTTTTCTCGTCGACATTGCATGGTTATCATAGACAGCGTTGTTCTGATTTTATTTTATTCCCGCTTTTCAAGATACCCAGGATTGTTCGCCTTTTTAAAGCAGGAGGCGAAGAGTGCGCGATGCGTTGAAAACCAAAAGTGTTCTTTTACTATTCGACAGATCGTGCATTTCAAGATAGATCTCTTGAGTTCGGTATCTAACGGCGGGATTCACTGTATTGTGTTTTATTTCTTCAATTACATGTCATCAAAGCTCTGCAACCCATTTACTGTTTCCTCCATATACGATCGAGTGGTGTTATATTTCTTCTAGGCTCCATCGGGATTGGCGTTGGCTGCTTTTGTTCATCAGTCAAGCAAGGATGGGCAAGCTCAGGAAGGGAAGTGTCTACTGTGCTAATAGAAGAGCTTTCTTTGCATTGCATGTTGGCGTTGACTGAGCCGCTTTGACGAGATGAATTCTCTGCAATGGGCTTAAAAGGAGGGCAACAACGTTTGGGCTTTTCCTTTCATTAGCATATGTTCTTCTCTCTCTCTCTCTTTTATGGGCTTGTAGGGAATGGGCAATTGGGCAGGTTGGCTGGCGCTTGTTTCTTTTCACACTGTGTTGATGCATAGAAGTCATCGTCTTGATTGTTCCTGCACCATGGCTGCGACGAGAGATGTATGGCAGAGCTACTAAAATAGGTTCAAAAAAAGTTTCTTTGCGTTTATTAGTTATCTGGTTAATCTGTAATATTACGCAAAAGAGTCAATCTCTTGCTAAGCTTCCCTTTCTGCCATCACCTTCATGCCTTGGCATCTCTGTCTCTGGCCGTCCCTAGCCCTAACTCAACCCATTCCTGATACCAGCATTGCCAGTCCAGTGGGTTGAAGACCACCCCATCGTGATAAACACACTTCAAAGTTGCAACAGGGCCGCAACAACTTCAGCCAGTGCATACGTATCGTACGTCGCACAGTGATAGTCTTGATTTAACGGACGGGTGGCCCGCTCGCTTCGAATGCCGTAGAATCTGTGAACCGTTTCCAGTTTGTGATTAAGAAGCCCTGGATAAAGCTTTCTACATAGCGACAGAACGTTGATCTCTTGAAGGTTAGAAGCAGTTTTGTGGGCAATTTTTGGTTGAACGGGCTCATTACTCCCTCTAAGGATCATTAGTCTACTGACGATCCCCATGACAGGACATGGGTATTCTCATCATACCCTAGATTTTCTAGGGAACTCTTAGCTTGTTGTATAGTGAAGCCGTTCGTCTCGAATTCCTTGTAGCATTTCTTAAATAAAGCTCTCAGTTGATCAGAGTTGAGGGTTGACACCCCCTGAGAGTCTGCTATAGATTTCGTCGAAAGTGAGGTTGTAGTGGATATTACAATCAAAAACTTGCTCTCCATTAATTTGTCGAATCGACATTAGGAGTGGCACCGGTGAGTTGTTACCTTGAAGTTGGACAAACTCGAAATCTATGAGCCAGGCCCTTGTTGGTTCCTTGACCCAAGCCTTCAACTTATCCAACTTATGTCGCTCAAAAGAATCATCAGACGATATTCCATGTCTACTGAGGTGCCCCATGGCAGGAAATGTGTGTTTTCGTCGTAATCCAGTAAAGTCGATGAGCCATGTTCTTGATGACTGCTTGGATCAATCCTTCAATATGTTCAACTTCTATCGCTGGTGGTCAAGGCCGTTTCTTTCGTTATCTGCGAGATATCACCACGGCATATAGCACTGCTCAAGGCTTTTAGTATCTCGTTTGAATCGGAATTTGTTTCAGTGCGTTCAATATGGAAGGGGGCAGTGATTGAAAAGGCGTAATTTTTTCTCGTGTAAAAGAGGGGGACAATCCAAGTTGTACAATGCGTTGCCCTTTTGATTCCAAAGAGAAATAGGCGTCACTTTGGAACCGATTTTCTACACCTCCTGAGTGACGAGGCCCCAGATTCGTCCATCCTGCTTCAGACCTTGCATGCATCTTTGCTTGGAATTCGTCTAAGTTCTGTGAACTCGCTCGCTGAGGAATATAGACAGTTAAGATGCATGCCTGGCCTTGGAAGCCGGAATCTCGCTAGCCTAGACAATTGGGTCTTTGGCGATGAGAGGCTTAGGCCGTCTCTTGGGCTCTAGTGCTGTTGTTCGAATGCGGTCCTCGTTTTTCACCCAGCGTTTCAACGTATGAGGAGGTACGTAGAGGGATTCAGCTGCCTTCTCCACGGGCACTTCCCTCAGAAAACCCGTCTCGGTATCAAAGTAGCGGAGGTTCCGCAGTTTATCCAGTATCTCGATCTTCTCTTGCACATCCCAGTGTCGCTTTGCTGGTACTTGGACTCTTTCGGTGCTCTCTGCATTGGACAGCGTTTCGGTAAATGACTTCTTGCGGCCAAGAGTGCTGCCTTGGTGTTCGGGTTGGTTCAAAATTGAGAGGAGAAAAGGGTAGAAGGTTAGTAAGTGTCTTGAAATAAGTTGGTAGGTTGACAGGTAGGTTAGTGAGCGAAGCAATGGTGAGAGTAATGGTGAAGAGGGAGAGGGAAAGAGGGTGCTTTTATGATGATATGGAATCTCTAAAGGTCTGTCAAAATTACCGGTGATGTCCTTGTTTTTGAGGATGTAGTTCTTTGTTATACCTAATCTACTGTTCCCAACACTTACTTCTTTATTACATCTACGGAGATTTCCATACCGATTTATTCATCATCATGGTGGGGTTCTAATCGTTCATTATGAGAGCTGTCAAACAGAGAGCGGCTTAGAGGTTATGAAGAGCTCACTGTTTGAGATTACTATGCTGTTTTATACGTTCGATTGGATAATCTTGCTATCCGAGCAGTCTAGTATCATCGCTCCTAAGCATGAGACAGATATGTTGACTACCTAGGTAGGATAGTCTCATTCAGAGCTGGACAATATGAATCGCTAAACATTGTTGTCTGCGATATGCTGTATGAAATATATCAATGTTTGGTAGCTTTCCTACCGTTGATGTTGGAATAAGGCCTTACTAGAGATGGCAATAGAGGCAACCCCGTGGCTCGACAACAACGTCCCGTCACATTTTCGACAGCAGGAAAGTAAGGGCGGACAATGATGTTTGGCAAGCTTGTGATTGGCAGATCCAACATTGAAAAAATCGTAGCTATTACTAGTTGAATGATACTCTACCTTGGAAAGCGGCTGGTTTCTCAACGGAACATGGGCAAAACTTCACACGTTATCGCAAAAGACAAGCTTCTCCAGCTTCAAAACAATCAACTGCCACTGGAGTATACGTGATTACTGTCTATTTCTGACATTTTTCCCAGTGAACGTGAGGAGGAAGGGACTGGCCTTCGGCCAGATGAATCGTACACCAGGGAGCAACTGGATTGAGGTGGAGGATTTCGAAACTGGCCAGTGACAGTCTTCCCAAATACGACCAGGCTAACACTAATAGATCGACGAAGGAGCGACGCATGAAAGGAAGAAATCAGGATGGTAGTTAGTTCTCGTGGGGCTCATAGAGAAAATGGAATAACTATATGTACACGAAGAAAAGATGTAGAAATCACGGAGTTCCGCGCCTAGCGTCAATTTGATGTGGGAGCCGCGCGGCTATACTCCCATGGAGCTTCCAAGATCTCATTCCATCATCAGTTTTCCAACCTTGACATTGCTCGACATTCCTGGGACGGGAAACGATGCGCTCGCTGTAACTGTTGTCTTAAGCTCTGAACAATATCAGTCAGTTCAATCGATTTCCAAAACAGCATTACAAGTGTCACCCCCTGTCGAACAGATCAGATCAGTGCTCAAACAATCACTCGTCTAACACGTCTTACCAACGATTGAATCATCACGTCAAAGCTACAATATCCTCGAGTTTCCCGCTCTGTTTTTGAGCCGCGACAGAATGGCGGACGTCGACTCAGCCCCCGTCGATAATTCCTTCGCTGCCTCTGAACCCGGAGACGACGCAAGCGCACACAACACCGTCAGCGCGACAGTTGGCACTCGACGTCAGGCCAATGGAACCATCGGATCGGTCTATTCAGGAAACCGGATCAAACACCTCAAGAAAGACGATGGCATCCCGCTTTGGCGCAAAGATATTCAATACCAGTTCCTTAAACTCGTCTTTGAAGATAAGACTCCAGTATTCACACGCTACTCTGACGGGGCGAAGAACCTCGATTTTGCCGACGTCTACATAGACTGCATGGCTAGGAGTAGCAAGACGAGCAAGATTTTGAAGGACAAGCTGCAGAGTGATAAAAGGGCCGCTATCAGCATGGCGATGGTGTGTCTCTTGGTTAATGTTGGCCGAATGAACACTACCCTGAATTGTACGTGGATGAAGCATCTTTCTTTGGATTATCATTGTCATACAAATAAAACAAAAAATGGATACATAAGAGCTACTACTGACTATGTTTTATTTGACAGTCTTCCCCGAAATGCGAGCGCAACTAAGAACGTACCATTCAATCCCATCCCTCCAGGCAAACCAGGATCCGAACGCATACAAGCAGCTACAGGATGCCCCGCGCCTGAAGTCGATCTTGAAAGGCGCTTCAGAAGACAACAATCAACCTCCGACGATGGAGAAGCTTAGAGAATCACCAAAGCCTCGCACCAACCCGGTGCACCTCATTTTCCTCCTTTCCCAGTATGCGCCGATGATATCCGAGGTGCATTTTCCTGCCCCCTACGACTTTTTTGACTTGGTTATGCGAAGTACCTTGAGCAGTAGAAGCAGAGCACGGGCTTTCCTATGGCTGATGTGGTGGTACCTGGAAAGCGATTTCACGCGTGAAGATGCTTTGAATAACCCCTTTGGGTCTGGCCTGGAAGGAGAAGGCACAGGGGGCTTGCCTCAACGGGTACCGGCGCTTGAGAGCTTGACAGAGGAACAGGCGGATGAAGAAAACCGAGATACTCCCGAGGAATTGAAATACGGAGATGAGAAGCAGCGAGAACGCAAGCGTATTCTAGAGGAAGATGAGCCTCTTCCAAGGATTACAAAGCGTGTCAAGAAACATGATTTAGGCTACGATGATGACCAGATTGGTTCTGCGAACTCAACTCCGCTTCACCCGTCTGCTCGTCGGAATGGGCTGTTGAACGAGGAAGAGGAAGACTGGATTGCGCTAGGGAACTCCGCTCACTCAAAAAACAAACGTCCGAATCGTGATTCGCCTGCAAACAGATCGGCAACAAACCAGCGTCTTGTGCTGAAAACGAAAATGGATTCTACCTCCGCCGAGGCGTCGTCGCCCGCTCCTCCAGGAGCAGGTCACCCTATCATCAACCAATACGTTGCCGAGGCAATAACACCAAGTCAAAGCCATTCGTCTCGTCGGCCACGCCCTTTAACGCAACACCAGTTAGCAGTGGAACAAAATCGCCGACATCGCATAGAGTATCTGTTGGCCCGGCGAAAAAATGAGGCATACAAGGTTCTGCGGGCTCGTCGTGAGAGTGAACCTGCATTTCTCCACTGGATGCGTATTGCCCCTCATTTGCTGGAGACTAAGAGTATTGATGAGTTCAATGTACACGGCGATATGGCGCTGATGACGGATTTACTACTCAAGAGTGGCTACGAAGACTTTGGAGAGACAGCACATTACTACTTGTCTGTGACTCGCAAGGCACTTAGAAGATTGGACCGGTGGGACTGGGAGAAAGCCAACGGACCTAGCAAAGACCGCAAAAAGGCCCGGGAAGAGCGTCAAAAGGCATATCAGAATGGCACTGCTCTTGCGGGCTTTGGGGGTAGCGCTATTCAATCATCCCGCTCGGCTCGGTCGCGACCCCGGCCTCCCAGACGCAAGCCAGCTCCTGCGACCAGCTCAACTCCTTCAAAGGGAGGACAGAAATCTACTGCAGGTCCTTCTGGGGAAGCTACAGGTCAAGATGCCAACAAGCTATTCCCAGATAAAAGCAGCTTGGGCAACGCTGCGGCGGCGGCGGCGACACCTTCCAGTCGAGACAAACCTGCGCGTGACGAGGCGGAGTTTGATGGCGAAGAGGAAGCGTTCGACGACGCGGACAAGGACGGACTCGGCGAGGCAAGCGGCCATGAAGATGACGATTCCGAGCTCTCATACGCCGAAGACGATGAGCATGACGAAGAAGGCGACGACGAAGAATTGGACGAGGTCGAAGGGGAAGGCGACTATTCGATGCTCGAGGGCCGCAATGGCTACGACAGCGACTCGGAAGTGGCAGACGACGACGTCGAGCAGGCGGGCGATGAGGATGAGGTTATGGAAGACCAATAGATGTCATGTCAGCGTGGAAATCGATGTGGTGTTTTTCTTATTGAGATTGAGATACAGAGACTTCGTACGACATACTTGTAACGAAAGCAATATCTAATACGTCTAATACTTCCATTCCCTGTTACTGTCAAGGTCACATTCCAGCACAGTCGTATGATTGTCGTCTGTTTACGGGGTAGGACAATCCCAAGTCGGACTAGCCGCAAAGGCGCTCCGATTTTTGCGGGTTAAGAATGTCGGAAGAGCCCAGTAACTAGTTACTTATAAACCGCATGCATGCTGAACTTTTACATGTGAATCAATACTGACTACTTGTCTATTTACCCCGGTATTTACTTACTTACTGCTCATTTATAATCCTCCCGTTCACTCCTTCCGGCGGCTGGCTCGTTGCTTCGTACATCACGGCTCGTACTAGTATAAAAAGCTCTGTCCCGTCCTCCCTCTACGCTCACTTCTCTCACTTCTACGACTGAACTCCTTGCTGCATTCGATACTGAGACTTGCAAACGAGTCTATATTATTTACTTTATGTTGAATACACAATGAGCAACTCCCCGCGAATCCTCCGCCCGACGCCCAGGCGACCCTTCGAGCTCCCCTCCGCCGACTCCTCACAACCTTCGACTCCTGCCGGCGAACCGCAAGGCAACGACGGAATCGAAGTCGATCTTCTGGACGCAAAGAATGACCTGGCAGCGAAGCGATCGGGGTCGCTCCTGAACCTGACCTCGTCGACATTGCTAGGCATCTTTCAACCCACGGCGTTTGAGGATACTCGGCAAGACGACAGTCCCTGGGACACTCAATTACACACGCCGATTGATCAGCGCAATGATCCTCTTCTCGTGGCTCAACTACAGCAAAGCCTTGCAGCAGGCGCGAGACCTGCGAATGGGAATGTCGGAACGTCGACAACCACGGCGGCGGCGGCGACGAGGAAGCAAATGCATCGAACCGGAAGTGCATTTTATTTTCCTCTCGTGATGAAGATTTCTCTCCTTTTCGCATGCGGCGTCGCCTACGGGACTATTATAGCTCATCTGCATGAAAACAACTGGATCACGCCTGTGAAGCTTGAGTACATCGACAACTCCTACAGATACTTGGTCGGTTGGGGAATTGCTGGGGTGGGCTTTGCATTTGTGTTGCCTTGGCTCGATAATTTTGGGGGAAATGGCACCGCCAGCGTGAGCACGTCTGTTCTTGAGAAGAAGCAGAATGATAGTTCGCGGGTCTCTCGCTGGACACTTGCAGTTCGCAGTATTGGTGCTTTTGTGGGCATTGGGTTTGCTATGGTATGTTCATATCTTTTCCCTTCCAGTTCTATGGTCGTTATTTACTAAACTCCCCATCAGAGGAGAGTTCCATGGGAATCAACCACTCAGGAATCCCTCACCCTCGCCCTCGTGAATCCGTTCCTATGGTATCTCATCGACCGAACCAAGACGGGCTTTTGGCTATCGACTGTCGTTGCATTAACAGGCATGAGCATCACACTGGCGCTCCACCCCGAAGTCATCCCATCCTCCTCATCTACCGGTTGGGGACTGCGCAACTGGCGTCTTGAATACGACGTTGAAGGCGGATTGACACAAGATGCCAGCGCAGTTGCTGTCTGGCTTGCAAGCGTGTTTTATAGCGCATGCGTCTGCTTCGGCAATATAGGGCGTCAACTTACTCTAATTCAACTTTCGGAGAGGAAATGAATTTTCGTTGCAGCGAGGCAACATGGGACAAGAGCACTTGGGTTTCTGCTTTTGTTGACTTGTTTTATTACCATTTAATATTTTTTTTCCCTTTCGGCTTGTGTTTATCTATTCTTACGGCGTTTAATGAGTATTAGGCTATCTCTTTGCATTGTGGTCAAGAAAAGTGGTTTTATTATAATCATTATTTTTGGGTCTGTACAGCATACCACACTGATCAGGGGACAATTAATTTGTTATTGCATGACTTCTCACTGAAGAACTTTTGAGACCAAGGAGCTCTCTTGTTCCATACCAGAATTAGTAACTCAGTTAGTAAGCACGTAGAAGAAAAGACTGTAGAATCGATCATTGCAATCCCTCCCATTTAGACAAGAATCTGGAAGACACTGCACCCAAGACCAACACTGTATAAAATATTGTTCTCCATTCCCATAGACGATTTCTATACTTCATAGTATACTCATTATACAACGGGTATACTCGCAAGAATGCTTTTAAAGGGAACGTTGGTTTTTTGCGTTGTTCATAGAAGAGAAAAAGAAAAGAAGGAGAGAGAAGAAATTGAAGGGAAAAATTGTTTTAAAATACTCCGCGGACTAGCATCACGTGATACGCAGAATCATCCACACCCATACTACCTAGAAAACTCACCTAATTATACTGTATTAGGTTAGTATTTGCCAAGCCCGTCACGAACTACTCTTGATTTTCACTTATTATAGACACAATTCCAATCTGATTTGAAATTCTTCGAAATTTGTTCATATTGTATACTCTGAACAGTATTATAGTTAGTTGTTTTCTTCCTCGTGTAAATTATGGTGCAAATTGTGGAATGAATAGCTAAGACGTAACATATCGAGGAATCTGTCATATGACGGGGTATGCTTCTAAATTACAGTAATATGCTAAATTACGTTACTAGCGCATATAGTATATTTATCTGATAGATTTTCAAGTACTAACAAAACACATCATAATCACGGCTTGTGGTTCGCATAGAAATTAGGAGTTTCTGGGTTCCAAGTCCAGCTTAATTTTCAGTCACTCCAAGTGATAACAGATACACGTGGTGCTGGGAGTACGGTCTTAATTCTCTGTGCACAACGATTTCCTCGGATATCAAGAATTTGGAGAGCATGAAAGAGTTACAATCTTCTTTGAAATGCCTAGTCTATCAAAAGGTTGTATAGTTTATCTCCCTCGCTTTCCTGCACTCGTTATACCCATATAACAAATATGCCCTGTTCGCTCAATTCCACGTCTGCACCCAATCCCTCGCTCAACGTTCTTATCACAAAACTCCAATTGAGGGATGCCACCTTCGACATCACACAAGAGTACCTGGGGTTTATCAAAGAGGGGTATTTAACATGGGAAACATTCCCTAGAGCACAATTGTCATGAAATTACAATAGTAATCCCTTACAAGATTTCTCTCGGATCATTGAAAAATTCAATACCGTATCAAAACAGGGAGGGCGTTTTTTTGTGGGTTAAGCCGCTTTGGGGATGGGGCGGGGGAGGGCCGATGTTCGCATCATTTGAAAGTGGGATGGCCTGAAAATTATATTCAGCTTTTATAAAGAAACCAAGAAGACATAATGGCGCAGCAAAAATCAGGTAAGTGCCTATGTATACCTGGCATTGGCCAACGATCACTGCTATATGACAACACTCGAGTATATCTACTTACAGTGTGATAACTAGCAATTCTGTCGGTCTACGACAAAACCGGTCTTTTGGACCTCGCCAAAGGCCTTTCGCAGCACAATGTTCGTCTGCTCGCATCTGGGGGCACAGCCAAATTGATCCGGGAAGCGGGACTTGCTGTTGAGTGCGTCTATTTAATTTTCAAAAGAAGGGAAGAAATTGAACTAACACTAACACCTCATAGGGACGTCTCCGCCATCACCAATGCCCCCGAAATGCTCGGTGGTCGTGTCAAGACCCTCCACCCCGCCGTCCACGGTGGCATCCTTGCCCGCAACATCGAGTCCGACGAGAAAGATCTTGCCGAGCAAAAGATCAACAAGGTCGACTACGTCGTCTGCAATCTGTATCCCTTCAAGGACACAATCGCAAAGCCCAACGTGACCATTTCAGAAGCCGTTGAGGAAATTGATATTGGCGGTGTGACCCTCCTTCGTGCCGCCGCTAAGAACCATGCGCGAGTCACCATCTTGTCAGACCCGACTGACTACCCGGAATTCCTCAAGGAGCTCGAGGCCGGCGAGGTCTCGGAGCAGACTCGCAAAGTCTTTGCTCTCAAGGCCTTTGAGCATACTGCAGACTACGACACCGCTATCTCGGCCTACTTCCGCAAGCAATACGCCGGTGAAGGTGTTCAGCACTTGTCTCTTCGCTACGGAACAAACCCGCACCAGAAGCCGGCGGCCGCGTATGTCCCTGAGGGCAAATTGCCGTTCAAGGTGCTCGGTGGTTCCCCGGGTTACGTCAACCTCCTTGACTCCTTGAACGCCTGGCCCCTTGTGAAGGAGTTGAAGCAAGCTTTGGGTCTCCCAGCGGCAGCTAGCTTCAAGCACGTTTCCCCCGCCGGTGCAGCTATTGGCGTTCCACTCACCGAGACGGAACGCAAAGTGTATTTCGTCGATGACATTGCAGGCATTGAATCGTCTGGTCTTGCCCAAGCCTATGCTCGTGCCCGCGGAGCTGACCGCATGTCAAGTTTCGGTGACATCATTGCACTCAGCGACAAGGTCGATGTGCCAACCGCAAAGATTATCTCACGGGAAGTCTCCGACGGCGTGATCGCTCCCGACTACGAGCCACAGGCCCTTGAGATCCTCAAGAAGAAGAAAGGAGGCAAATACCTCGTTCTCCAGATTGATGAGACCTACACGCCCCCCTCAATCGAGACTCGCACTTTGTACGGAGTCCAACTCGAGCAAGGCCGAAACGACTTCACCGTCTCCCCCAACAAGACTTTCAGCACCATCATCACACCCAAGGATACAAAGACGCTGCCAGAATCTGCCCTGCGAGACTTGACCGTGGCCACCATCGCCCTTAAATACACTCAATCCAACTCCGTCTGCTACGCGCTGAACGGACAAGTCATCGGCCTCGGCGCCGGCCAACAAAGCCGTATCCACTGCACGCGTCTTGCAGGCGACAAGGCTGATAATTGGTGGATGCGATTCCACTCGCGCACGCTCAACATCAAGTGGAAAGCAGGCGTCAAGCGGGCCGATAAGAGCAATGCCATCGACATGCTCACCTCAGGACAAGTCCCGCCACGCAACGAGGTCGAGAAGGCCGAGTATGAGCGAGTTTTCGAGGAGGGACAGGTGCCCGCCCCCTTCACAGCCGAGGAAAGAGAAGCTTGGTTGCAGCAATTGACCAATGTGGCGGTTTCGTCGGATGCGTTCTTCCCCTTCATTGATAACGTTTTCAGAGCCGCACGTTCTGGTGCCAAGTATATCGCTGCCCCCAGTGGAAGTCAGAATGATGGCCCTGTCTTTGAGACGGCTGAGAAACTTGGTATTACCTTTGTTGAGCAGAGTACTCGTTTGTTCCATCATTAAGTCATATGGTTTTGGAACAAGATGAGTGGGTAAAAGAATTCGGTTTATGATAAGAAATATTTTTCATTTATTGCGAATTCAATACTAAATTCTGTGTTTATGGTGCCTGAACTCTGTAAAAATCGCAAATATAAATGCTGAGACTGTCCTAGTTAGGAAATTTTTGTTGTGGCTTCAAATTACCGGATTAGGAAGAATTTCGGCGCTTGGTGATGATGGCCAAGATAGGGGATATGAGGTCACGTGATGGAAAAGGAATGGCTATCTTTAGCTCCATTTCTCTCCTTGCCTAGTAAGTTCCTCTGCTAATGCTACTACCATTCGAACCGCGCAGACGTGTTCAATGATACGGAACCCCTTCAAGGCTTGGGGCATAGAAGCATGTCTTTGTAGGAGCATGATCTTTGACTATGGGAACTTTGCTAGGATGAACACTGGCAACTCTAAGGCCGCTTAGAAACAGTTGTCACCAGGAAAATGATTCAACAGGCGTTTCCTGTGCGGACGTCCTCGCTATGGGCGCGCATCACGCCGTTAAAATCATCCTTGACCTTATCACCAGATGGAAAATCAGCCTTAGAAGAGCCACGGTCACTCCCCACCAGCGGATTCACAACTATCGCTGGTGATCAGCTAGTTGAAGAAGAGGAGTTACCTGATTACCGAGCTGATTGATTCTATCCTGTTCAACTGGGTGAAATATTTCAAACCCGCTACCAGATCGTTGCGAAGCTTAGTTTTGGTTCTTCATCGACCACTTGGCTGGCTCGGGATCTAAGGTAGGTAAGGTAGGTGTATATGCGCAAATGTTCTGCATGCAGATGTTTGGTTAATTGTTGCAGGGATCACCAGTATGTCGCGCTAAAGGTGTATGTGCATACCTCCTTGGTTCACCGTGAACTTTCCATATTACCATCATATTGGCCGCCGTATCGCAGACAGTGCACATAAAGGACGGAATAACATCCGGAGGTTGTTAGACTCCTTCGATATCCTTGGTCCGGATGGCAAACATGTCATCCTAGTCTTTGAAGCCGCGCAAATGAGCCTGCGCGACATGAAGCTGGTGTTCAGGCGGGAATGGTTGGCGAGGATTTCGTGAAGGCGCTATTACGGAGTTTCTTCAAGCTCTAGATTTTCTTCATTCGCATGGAGAAGTTGTTCATACGAGTAGCTTCCCCCAATTCTCTTCTAGCTTAATAATTCATTCATTTTTTGCTCACGGTTATGTCGCAGATATACATCCTGGCAACATGCTTCTGGGAATTTTCAATAATAGCCAGTTGAAAAATCTTGAAGAAAAGGAAATAAGAAATAATGCCCCCAGTGCCTCGCAAGCAAGTCTCATCCTCGCGGACTATCTATCTCTCGCAGCTTATGCGCACCTGGCCCTTACTATTCAAAGGCTAACAGCATTCTTCCGGAAAGGCCTGGGACCTCCTTGAGCCGAGAAGGCATTTTACAGCGCGGGACGAGGATGGCGACCTTTATGATGCTGCTTATCTGGCCTAGCTGATAGCTGCACTAGGACCGCCTCCGCCTGAATTCCTCGCCAGAAACCCGAGCAGAAAAGCTGATTTTTGGGATGAGAAAGGTATGCATACAACCTTGAGAGAGCAAACAAGGAAGCATTTGAATAGTGTCCTTGTTGAATTCTGAGATTGCAGGAAACTAGTTGGGCCTCGCTCCTATCCCGAGTGATCGGACGATGGAAGCTCTCGAGACTCGGTTGGAGGATAAATCGGGCTTCCTCCAGTTCATCCGAAGAGCTCTTACTTGAATGCCTGAGAAGAGAGCAACGGCCAAGGAGCTTTTGCAAGACCCCTGGCTAAGGGGTGAGAAGGCCTAGAATCTTATCACTCGTGATGAAATCGCTACCTAAGTCTAAGAACTTGTTTGATGGATATCCATCTACCCTTAAATCTCGTATTGGAAATATTATTTCCAAAAAATACATCCAGCTCGGCGACCGCCTGGGTGTAAGGTCTGTCAGTGATGCTAATTAGCGACCAAACGGCCTAGTTGACTTGATAGTCAGAAACACGATTTATTGAGACACAGTCACAACAGCTAGCAGTGCATACTGCCAAAGGATCCTTCAACTCTTTAGCTTTGCCTCAAACCAGGCGGACCGAGAGTTAGCCTGGACGAAATGTGCATACCCCACGATGTCCAGCCTTACCGAGAGATAGATATTGCTGCCGAATATGAGAGCAATAAAGGTAGATGCGGCCTCCGGTCTTTTCGAGTTAGAGGCGAATAGATTGTAGAAGACAAAGCTACATATACCTGTGCAGCATATAGTACACACTAAATTGACTAGACATCTATAATGGACATTTACAGTTTCAAGTGAAAAAGGTAACATCAACTAACGATTATGTGTAATGAAAACACATTACAGAAAGAGTAAAGACACAAAGTTGAGATAGGTAAGATAGAGAAATAACGAAGAAGAAAAGCCCAACCCTCATCTCCGCCATACAACCTTCGAGGCTTTTTTTTTGAAAGATCATAAGACGGACACCTTCTATTGTGGCTCCAGTTCAAGACATAAAAACTGCGCGGCATCATTCCATAGCTAGCTAGATTACAAAGTCATTGATTGATTACACATGAAGAAAGTTAAAAAAAAAAACATGTTCAGCACTCGCAACTGGCTCTTTAAAATGCACGGTATCCAGTCACTTGTGGTGTGATTCCATTGGTTTGTTGGAAGGGAGAAGGACCAGGTGTCGACGCTGGGCCCTGGGTAAGCATCAATCGTGATCCCAGGATAGGAGTGTTGTTCTCCTCCTTTTGATGAACCGTCTCGCGCGACTTGCGTTCCTCGTTGTCCTTCTTGAGCTGTTCGATGGTGATTGTCTGCTGAGCCATCATGTTGATGAGATATGGCATCGTGAAGTCGTTCAGGCCATGGCGCCAGGAAATCTCCAAGATGACATCTGGGCGAATGATGTCATAGCACGCGTATAGCATACCGACATAGCATTCACGGCTACCAATTTCGACGAACTAAAAAAAATGATGGTTAGCCATATGAATTGACAGAAAGGCATAAAGAAAAAAAGACTTACGTAGCGTAGCAAATCCTCCACAACCTCCGGTTTTCCTGAAATCGCAGCGGTCTCAATAGCATCTTTGAAGAGCTTGTCTTGCTTTGAAAGAGCAATTGATTTCTCCCATCGCTTGTTCTTACGATAGATGTTGGCAGCGATCTGACGGAAGAAAACCAAGTCATGTTTCTCTAACCGCTGCGCTAATTCAACAGGGTCGTAATTGTCGTAGTTATCCGATGAATCGCGAAGGGTCTTGTAATCTTCTTCCTCAATGAGCAAGTCGTTGATGGCATCATTGACAGCACGCTTGTTTTGTCCCTGAACATTGAGCAAGAAGGGCTTGATAAGAGGAATGTTATCCGATGATTGGAAAATGCGAACAACACGGCTGACGTCAATACGTGGAGTCAAGACCTGGAGAAGGTCGGTAAGTAACAGAGGCTGTTCCTGGAGATAAAAGTTGAGGGCACGGTAGTAGATTTCCAGGTTGGCGACCTTGACAATGATGTCCTTGAAAGAATGATGTTCCCAGGCTTCGGCTGCACGTTCCATCATAGCAAGCGCAGCATTATCCCACTCATCGTAGTGACAGTAAAGGAACACCAATTCAGGCCACAAATTGGCCTCTTCAGAAGCGCGAATCATTTTAGGAATGTTGATACGGGACCAGAACAGCTTAAGATGTTCCATGACACGGTCGGGATGATATTTGGAAAGAGCAATGCCCAACTCTGTGAACATGCCCATATGTGCGCGCTCCAAGCCAAGACCGGCTTCGAGGAGGGAAATAAGTTCATCAAAGTATCCGTTACGTTCATATTGTCGGACGAGATCCGTGAGTTCTTCAGCGTGAACAATAAGATTCAGACCGCAAATTTGAGCAAGACGAAACTCCTTCTTGTTAACACATGCCTCGTTGACTTGCTTCCAAACCTTGACGCTGTTAGCCTTGCGAGCACACTCAACCGCAGCTTGATAATCCTCCAGATGCACGAGAGTAGTTGCCAACTTGGCCCAGTTCGAGATACTTGTATAGAAAATCTTGGCTGCCTCATGGAATCCCTCTTCGTACGCTTTGTCACCAGATGCCTCGATATTGGCAACGTTAGTGGCACGCAAGAAATCTTCAAGCTCAGGGAGCTGGTCGAGACGAGCGAAGCTGAATGCGAGGGCAGTGTCTATAGCCGGCTCACGCAATGTCTTTCGGGCCATTCTCAGATATTTGACAAGGTCTTCGTCTTTACCAGCATGGGTAGCAGTTTCAATGACCTCGTTGTAGTTGGAGGGATCATTGGCGCGGATATAAGATTCGATAGAGTCAGTGACCCGAAGACCGTCCAATTGAGCCTTTGCGACTTTGCTCCAAACTTCTGGAAGCTCAACACGTTCAGCGTACTCCTGAGCTCGGTCGATGCTGACGATGTTTTCGACCAAAACGTCGGTAGCAGCAGCATGATTACTGACTTTCTTGTAGATCTCGAAGGCTTCTTCGTATAGGCCGACGGAAATACACATTTGGGCAATATCATCAGCATTAAACTCGTTAAGTTTGTGGATATAGTCAATCAAGCGGCTCTTGTCAGCCTTGGCGGCGGTCAACATAAGAAGATTCTGCAGGCTACCGTTGTCGCTGAAAGGTGAAGGCTCAAGAATAATCTTTTCAAGTAGCTCAATAAGCTCAGCAGGCAGATCAGCATCGAGGAATGCCTTGACAGCCACGGACACTTTGTCTGGCTCTGAGGATTCAGGGACAGCAGTAGCAGTGACCTGGTCAACGACAGAGCGACGGTGAATGTTATTATCGTTGAGGACGAAAGCCCAGATTTCGCTATCTGCCCGCTCCAAAAGGTAACGGGCCTGAGCACGATACATCGCGTTTTCGTTGGTGATGTTGATGAGCTCGAGGTCATTTTGTCCCTTGCTATAAGCAATGTATGCCAAATTGGGATCTCGTTTCTCGCAGTATTTACCGACAGTCAATGTGTCGTACATATCGTTCTCCTTAAGGAACTTTTCTGGGTTGTTGTTGCTGTCAATGTAAATCTTGGCTAACGCATTGTACACTGCCTGCTGTTGGTTTCCGGTCGCTAGTGTGCTTTCCAAGAAAGGCAGCAAGAGTTTAAGGCGATTCCTAGACTCCACCTCCTGAACAAGTTCATCGATAGGGATCTGAGAAGGATCCACTGTAGAAAGCAAGTTCTTGATGATTCCTTCGTCACAGTCAACATCCAAGAGGCCGCCAATAACAGCGGGGGAACGAGAAGGGTTAACTCGCTGGACATAGACTTCAATCGACTTGTACTGCTGGTTGCGGTAGAGGTACAGGACCAAGTCATGGATGAAGTTGAATCGGTCACAGACAATAATCAATGGAAGTTGCTCTGTGAGGTTTGCCTCCTTCAAGAAGTTCTTCACCTTCTCTGGGTTGTAGTAATTGCTCTCACGGCAGATGCGCTCGACTTCAGTCAATTGGCCCATGGCGGTAGCAGCTTCAATATACTTGAAATGCACCTCCGAATCTTCGCTCAAATTGACAATGCTTCCCAAGTAGTAATAGAGACCTTCGGCAGTGCGGTACTTCTCGAAAAGCTCAATTAGGCGATTTGAGCCTAGGAGATCGGAAAACTTGGTTGCGATTTGTACAACAGCCTGCAGGTTCTGGCGAATGTTGGATTGAAGCATCTCATCTAGACATTCAAGAGCCTGCTCTTGGGAGAGATGACCGAAGTATTTGATCAGCCACTCTGGGTTAAGCTTATCTGTGCGAACGAGGTTGCGCTTGATAGCGGCCGGGTCATCCGTGTTCTCAAGAGCACGCTGAATGAGCCCTGCATTCTCACAAAGTTGTGAAATTCTAGCCTTGTCATAATGAGTAAACATTTCGTTTCCAAGAATGGCATCTGCAACCTGAGGGGCGTTGATGAGGTTCATTTCAAGCAAGCGAGTTTGGAGGTGCCCCTGTTCTGGTTTGTTGTCTTTCAACGCATCCAACAAAAATGAAGTTGCCTGCTGGATCATGTTTTGAGAAAGGAAAACATCCACAACACGGTCAAGGTCGACGAGGGCACCGGTTTCTTCGTTGGCGAGCTGTGCAGCAAATTCGGCACCCTTTTCAGGGTTCATACGAACAATGTGTTGTAGTAATTGAGTGAAGTCAGGCTGGTAGCCGGCTTGCTTGGAGTATGGTAGAATTTTATCGAACTGGCCGGTTTCAGCAAATCCTGCGACTACCTTGTGTGGGACATTGGCCTGCAAGTAAATTTGCAACGCCAAGCTCATATCATGTGGGCGCACAAGGTCTCCAAGCTCTTCTGAAGCCTCCAGCTTCTCCTCGCGCATCCATTTCTCTAATAAATGCTTTCGATTTTGCTGTAGAACGGGTCTTACGAGCTCTAAGCTCTCATGTCGATTGAGACTTCCCTTGTCAAGGAGCATACCAAAGTACTGAAGGATAACGGACATTTGTTGACCACCCTGAGGAGCACTCTTGAAGCGATTGATCGTTTCCGGGGTACGTAGGAAGCCGCGAGGAGAGTTAGCAGCAATCTTGGCTGCCTCCGTGTAGTTGCCTTGAGCCAGCAAGTTGTCGAATTGCTGTTGGTACAGGTGATCAGCACCGGGCAGACCGGCCTTAGATGCAAGCTTGACAGCAAGACCTGACATGGCTGGGTTCTCCATTAAATATGGAATGACAGTATTCTCATCCAGACTGACAGACAATACTTGTCCCTTGCGGTTCACACCCACAAGACCCGTTGAATCGGAGTCGGCAGCTGTCGTGAAGATGGTTTCACTTGAGATTCGGTTCATGAAGATGCATGTGCCAGTTTCCAGGTCATACAAATGAATGAAACCATATTTGGTAACAAGGTAAACAATGTCGTACTTGCTAGAGACTTGCATGGCGACGGGAAAATCATTAGTGGCTTCAGCAGGGAAGAATACCTCAACAGCCTTCTTTTGAAAGCGTGGATTTGGTTCCTGGTGGTCAATTTCTGCGATTTGCAGTTTAGCACCTGTTTGTGTTCGCACTGCGAAGGTGAAGAGCTTGTGCTCCACAGGAGAGCCCTCCGCCTTGATCGAAGCAAAAGCTGCGGCATGGCCTTCAATTGACTGTGAAATGCCGCGTTCGCGAGAGTAAAGCTGCATGGATCCAACAACGCGTCCTTGTTGCTGGCTGATTCCCACAACGACGCTCCATTTTCCGTCACCATTCACCCGGTAATTGATGATTTGGCAACCCTATTTCCAACGGGTGAGTATTCACAAGTGAGTGACATAAAGAAGATGCAGCTTACATTCAAGTTCGGAAGCCTGTCGAATTGTTTCACTGGATTGGGTTGGTTCGGGTCAAAGACGTCCCAGTGCCAGACAGACGTGTCTGTTACCAGGCCAAGGCTCGTACTACTGAACCATTTCCAGTAAACGACGTCCTCGCTCATCAAGGCAGATTTGAGTTTCTGTTTTGCCTCGAGGTCGAAAATTTGAATGGTTCTCGATTGTGCCTTTAATGCTATCACGTTGCGAGACCAGTGCATGATTGCACTGTCTGCATTGATAGGGCGCTTGATAATCTCATTGTTATTTTTGAGATTGATGATAATAACCTGAGGCTTATCGGTATCGTTGGTTTTTTGTCGCACGCAGATGTAGTGATCGGATTCGAGAGTCTGTAAAAAAAAGGCGACTATTCAGCATACGTCATCTCCGATTTGCGTTACTATTGGTACTTACACATGAATTGAACCCAATCGAGGATGGCTTGACATCCATGCATGAGTCAGTATAAGTTCATAGAGAAAATGAGTGGAAATGGGATGATGGAATGGGACATTGTAGTGCTCGCAAAGCTTCCCCGGGAAGAACGGAAGTAGACTGAACGTGCGGAAGCCCTTCATACCTCGATCTCTGCGTTGGTTAACTGATGAACTCGAAGTCAGTCTCAAGAATACAAATCAAACTAAAAGGTTTTATGCATGAGAACAAGCGAAAATACCTGTAGTAGCTCCGTAAACTTGATGGGAAGAGGAGCCATGTTTATGTTATTAGGCCGCAACACGACCTCATCCACCAAACGCCGCGAGATCAATCAATCGAGAGAAAACCTGAAGGCAAAAGTAAAACAGAATCAAGAAGCAGGAAAACAGCCTCCTGTGCTAGTGTAGAAGAAGAGGAAATGAAACAAATGAGAGAATTGAGGAGAGGCGAGGTGAGGTGAGGTGCGTTTGTTGATGCGGAAGGAGCTTGCCTTCAGGGGACCGACCAGGAAGGCAGTTGCTTAGGTGGTCGCTTACTCAAACGTCACGTGCCGGCCAGGTGACTTGGTAATATGTATGCGGCAACAACGGCGATCTGGGGGGCACACAACACGTGTGAGATAAGCCTTATTTTCTCTTCGTCCCCCTGGCTTGTCGCGCAGTGATCTTATTGTGGTCAAAGTGAGATCAAGTTGACTCGAGTCGGTTGTTGACCAGCATGTCCACTTATTCCAGCATCCAACTTTCTGAACAGGTAGGTCATTGTCTGACGATACACGCCCAATCCTGTTCTTGAGAGAAAAGAATCTCTCTCAATTTTCAAGTCTAGTCTCACTGACATGGACATTCTGTGCAGGACTACTCTCACGTTATCGTTCGCTATCTATTCCAGGATACTGGCCTCCCATTGTTGGGCCATCAGCTTGCTAGAGGCCAGGTTAAATTTGGACGTGGAGAACATATGAAAGACTTATTCAGACGCCCAAGAAAGCCCTCACTGAGATTGCGTTGAAAGCATGCTCCGTCGATCAACTTGCCTATAATCCCGATACCCTTGGCATCGGCAAGGGTGAAAGGTCTTTGAGACGAACGCCCAGGGCGCAGTTACTCTCGAGTCTCGTGCGGGTATTTCTAGGCCATGTCTCCCTGAATCACCAATCCTGATCAGTTTTATTGATCCGTATCACGCACATTCCCTCGATTCCGGGTATTGAGCTCGTATTGAGCTTCGGAGGAAGCATTCCCCGTTGTGCTCGACTTGGCATCCATCTCTATGTTTAATATGCATTGCCAAGTCAGGTAATACTGGGATGCAGGCTGATGGTGGTGAGTCTTGGTTTAAATTCCACAAATTAGATGCTGCATGTGACCGTAGGACTGAAGGCTGGGACTTCCGAACTCTACGTAAGATTCTCATTCTCACCTAATCTCGGCGGCTAGTCAGGACTTTGGATTGATGATTCCTGGGAGCTTCTTGAGACGGTACATGCATGCTCAGTCAGTGTTATAACCCTGCTATCGCTAAGTCGCGTCCGAGTTACGGCCAGATAAGCTTGCAGAAAACGCCGACAGGTGCAATACAACGTCGATTAGTTAAATAGAGATGATAAGCGTTTCTAGTCATCCATCTCAAACCGAAGTACGTAGATCATACTGCTGGCGAGTTCCTAGTCGGGCATAATTATTGGCGATTCTGAGCGCAGGAAGCGGGCCACCTGCAGGTTTAGCGCTTGAGGTCCTCGAGGGAACTCCGTACGGTGGATTATGATAATGCTATACTGGTAGTTATATGGCCCCTTAGCGTTGTGACATATTAGCCCCTCCTTACCGTTTGAGGAACCTGGCGACACCGAAAGCAATGCAGGCTCGATTTATGTCTATATGCCGCTACTGACCGCAGCCAAGCATTCTAGAGAGGTAATATTCAATAAATGATTCGATAATACGAGTGCAGCTACCTCTTGGCAGGGAAGCTAGCAGCATGCAAGTACATACATATCTAGAAACAACGAAAGAACCATATAGGCTCTGTCCCTAGGGCTAGAATTGCACTATGGATCAGACTACCTACCCCCATTTATGCCTCCCACTGACATTGCATTGACTGTATATGCGAAATCTCAATAATGCTCTCGAATGCCGAGGTTCTACTTCTTCTTGCATTTGAGACTATGTAGATAGCGAGGGTCATACCTGTTCGTAGCAGTCCGTGAGTAGATGCCAAATGCGCCTCGGCCACAGAGCGAGTGACTCCGAGTGCTGTTCCGGAAGCTTGAGATTGCTGACACTATCAATACAGAAGGATTCTTATGCAGATGCGAAGCGTGCTCGAAGGAAAGCAGGCCCGAAAACCCGAGGTTGTTGATGTTGTGAAGAAGAACGGCTTCGGATAGATGGAATGCGCTCGGTTATTTGTGGGGAGGGCTGCCTCGGCGCGCAAACCGAGTGTTAGCAATGCGATTACCAAAGGGATGACCTATCGAAATCCATCCTAGGCTAGACTCCCTGATCTTCGGCCCCTAAAAAATTAGCCACGGCTTGGTATCTATCGTACATCAATTATCAAGTACGTATTGCGATTAGAATTATCTGCTTGTATCACGCTGCTGCCATCAATCCAATCCAGCTTGCCGAATTTCGCGCCATGAACATCCGCTGCTCGGAGCTGGGCTGTGTCTCCCGTGGTTCTTGTTTATTGTTGTTATTATATAAGGAATGTGTAACCTCCAACTGTCCAAATGCCGTAGAGAGGGAACGCCTTTTGAGTGTACTCTCTCTCTATATATACCTACCTATACATATATATAGATGTACAGATCCCCTTGATACATCGAGCCCTTTCCACCTCCCTTGTTCTGTGCTTTCCCGTTCCCAACCTCCAAGACTTCTGTAAGTGCCCATGTTCGATGTCTACCAAGTGGTTTGTTTTCCTTGCCCCTGCACGTCACAGAAAAAGCACACTTTCCCAGTTTCGGCTGCCCTGACCCACGGATTGAGTCACCGGCTCACCGCGCAAAAAAAACACACATCATCCATGGACCAAGTGACCCAAGAGATTTTCACTCTTGGAAGGCGGCTTTATACTGAATTAAACCGCCCGGTGAGCTCTTGGTCTATGGCGGACTATTAGCCTACATGCATGTGAGCTTGCTGGGCGTATTGGCTCGATACGAAACAATACGTGCCGTGCCGATACGGACTTAGCGCCAGATTTGGGACTTGCTATTTTACTGCTGCTGCGGGCGCTCCTTCCCCCTCCCCCGCCTGGCACCTGCCGTGTTCCCCAGTGTTGCTAGCCCTCCTGCCAACAATTGAGATAAACCTGCTTGTCCTCTTCTCTTTTTTTTTTTTTTTTTTTTTCTTTGCTCTCTCTCTTCTCTCCTTCGTCTCCCTATTTTTCCATCGAATTCATCCACCTGCACCCTGTCTAAGAGAAGACAGAATCAATCCATTGACCCCATTGCTGGCCTGCAGCCGCATACATCATTGACTAGCACTAGAGCGGTGCTTGCTTGCTAGCTTTCCGCTCCGCCTGCTCGTCCCCCCGGCCTATATCTATCCTTTGCTTGTACTACAACCCACATTTCCTACTCGCAGAAAAAGAAAAAAAAGGGAAAAGGAAATAAAGCGCGACATAAAGAACCAGACTAACTGATATCCCTAGTCGCACATCCCATCCCTGTTATTCCTTCCATTTCGGGGACTCGGTACAGCCTCCGGTCACGGCGTCCGCCCCGCTGAGTTCGCCAAGAGTTCTCGACTTTGGTCACTGACCTTTAAAAACCAGCTTCTTTTCTCCCCGATACCCTCCTCTCCTTTGCGCTGCAACTTGCCTTGGGAACAAGCTTCCAATTGACTCCTGCTCGCTACTTCCTCCTTCGTTATGGCGAGCGACACCACCTACCTCCGCGAGGAGGCCATCGATGACTCGGACGTCATCGATGACAGCGTGCATACCGATTCCGTACATCACCGTCTTCGTGCCAACTCAACCATTATGCACTTTCAGAAGATCCTCGTGGCCAACCGAGGTGAAATCCCAATTCGTATTTTCCGTACCGCTCACGAGCTTTCCCTTCAGACAGTTGCCGTTTATTCGTGGGAAGATCGGCTGTCTATGCACCGCCAGAAGGCGGACGAGGCCTATATCATTGGTCAGCGCGGCCAGTTCACTCCTGTTGGCTCTTACTTGGCTGGCGACGAGATCATCAAGATTGCTCTCGAGCATGGCGTGCAGCTGATTCATCCGGGCTATGGATTCCTGTCAGAAAACGCCGAGTTTGCACGGAAAGTAGAGAAGGCCGGAATTGTCTTCGTGGGGCCTACGCCCGAGACCATCGATGCTCTCGGTGACAAAGTCTCTGCCCGTCAGCTTGCCATTAAATGCAACGTCCCCGTTGTACCCGGTACTGAAGGTCCGGTCGAGAAATTTGAGGATGCCAAGGCTTTCACCGACACATACGGTTTCCCCATCATTATCAAGGCTGCCTTTGGAGGCGGTGGCCGTGGAATGCGTGTCGTTCGTGAACAGGAAGCTTTGAAAGATGCATTTGAACGTGCCACGTCTGAGGCCCGATCTGCCTTTGGCAATGGCACAGTCTTTATTGAGCGTTTCCTTGATAAGCCCAAGCACATCGAAGTTCAATTGCTGGGTGACAACCAAGGCAATGTCGTTCATTTATACGAGCGTGACTGCTCTGTCCAACGCCGTCACCAGAAAGTCGTTGAATTGGCCCCCGCTAAGGATCTGCCCGTGGATGTGCGCGACAAAATCCTCGGCGATGCTGTCAGGCTTGCCAAGTCTGTTAACTATCGCAATGCCGGTACCGCTGAGTTCTTGGTCGATCAGCAGAACCGTTATTACTTCATTGAAATCAACCCTCGTATTCAAGTCGAACACACCATTACAGAGGAGATTACTGGCATTGATATTGTCGCCGCTCAGATTCAGATTGCCGCTGGTGCTACGCTAGAGCAACTTGGCCTGACTCAAGATCGCATTTCCACTCGTGGATTTGCTATCCAATGTCGTATTACCACCGAAGACCCTGCCAAAAACTTTTCCCCTGATACTGGAAAGATTGAAGTCTACCGATCTGCTGGTGGTAACGGTGTCCGTCTCGACGGTGGAAACGGATTCGCTGGTTCGATCATCACACCTCACTACGATTCAATGTTGGTGAAGTGCACTTGCCTAGGTTCGACATATGAAATAGCTCGTCGTAAAATGATCCGAGCTCTTATTGAGTTCCGTATTCGTGGTGTCAAGACCAACATTCCTTTCCTGGGCTCTCTTCTTTCTCACCCCACTTTCATCGATGGCAACTGCTGGACTACTTTTATTGATGATACCCCTGAGCTCTTCGCGCTCATTGGTGGCCAGAACCGTGCCCAGAAGTTGTTGGCATACCTCGGTGATGTTGCTGTGAACGGAAGCAGCATCAAGGGCCAGATCGGTGAGCCTAAACTCAAGGGAGATATCATCAAGCCAGTATTGGTCGACGATGTCGGCAAGCCTCTCGACGTTTCCAAGCCCGCTAGCCACGGCTGGAAGCAAATCTTGGACCAGCAGGGTCCAGAGGCTTTCGCCAAAGCCATCCGTGCCAACAAGGGCTGTCTCATTATGGATACCACCTGGAGAGATGCTCATCAGTCGTTACTTGCTACTCGTGTGCGAACAGCCGATCTCCTGAATATCGCTCGCGAGACCAGCCATGCCTATAGCAATGCCTACAGTTTAGAGTGCTGGGGTGGTGCAACTTTCGACGTTGCCATGCGTTTCCTCTACGAAGACCCATGGGACCGTCTACGCAAATTGCGCAAAGCAGTGCCTAACATTCCTTTCCAGATGCTTCTTCGAGGCGCCAACGGTGTTGCCTACTCCTCGTAAGTTGGAAATCTTCATTTCGAACGAATATTTTGTAATCCACCTAACAACCCCTTTCTTTTATCAAATAGTCTCCCAGACAATGCCATCTACCACTTCTGCAAACAAGCTAAGAAGAACGGCGTGGATATCTTCCGTATCTTCGATGCTCTAAATGACGTTGATCAACTCGAAGTTGGTATCAAGGCTGTCCAGGCTGCCGGCGGTGTGGTTGAGGGTACTGTGTGTTACAGCGGAGACATGTTGACCCCCAACAAGAAGTACAATCTCGAATACTACCTTAGCTTGGTAGACAAGATTGTTGCCCTTGGCATTCACGTCTTGGGTATCAAAGATATGGCTGGTGTTCTTAAACCGCAGGCCGCCACCCTCTTGATCGGCTCTATCCGCAAGAAGTACCCCGACCTTCCAATCCATGTTCATACCCATGACTCTGCAGGTACTGGTGTTGCGTCAATGGTTGCCTGCGCCCAGGCTGGTGCTGACGCTGTTGATGCGGCTACTGACAGCATGTCTGGTATGACTTCTCAACCAAGCGTGGGTGCTATTTTGGCTTCACTGGAAGGAACGGAATTCGACCCCAAGCTCAACATTCGCCATGTTCGCGCCATCGATGGATACTGGCAACAATTGCGTCTCCTCTACTCTCCATTTGAGGCTGGTTTGACTGGACCCGATCCAGAGGTCTATGAGCACGAGATCCCTGGTGGTCAGCTCACTAATCTTCTCTTCCAGGCCTCTCAGCTCGGGCTTGGAACCCAGTGGGCAGAAACTAAGAAAGCTTATGAGTCTGCTAATGATCTTCTTGGAGACATTGTCAAGGTCACTCCTACCTCGAAGGTGGTTGGTGACTTGGCCCAGTTCATGGTATCCAACAAGCTTTCAGCCCAGGACGTCGTCGACCGGGCCGATCAGCTCGACTTCCCAGGATCTGTTCTGGAGTTCCTTGAAGGTCTGATGGGACAGCCATACGGTGGATTCCCTGAGCCTCTGCGCTCTAAGGCTTTGCGTAACCGCCGTAAGCTCGACAAGCGCCCTGGTCTGTATCTTGAACCACTTGATCTCGTTAAGATCAAGAATGATATCAAGGAGAAATTTGGCACTGCCACCGAAACCGATGTTGCCAGTTACGCAATGTACCCCAAGGTATTCGAAGATTACCGCAAGTTTGTGCAGAAGTATGGTGACTTGTCTGTGCTGCCAACACGATACTTCCTTGCCAAACCTGAAATCGGTGAGGAGTTCCACGTGGAGCTCGAGCAGGGTAAGGTTCTTATTTTGAAGTTACTCGCCATTGGCCCTCTGTCGGAGCAAACCGGTCAACGTGAAGTATTCTACGAGATGAATGGTGAAGTTCGTCAAGTCACCGTAGACGACAACAAGGCAGCTGTTGACAACACAGCCCGCGTCAAGGCCGATCCTAGCGACAGCAGCCAAGTTGGAGCTCCTATGAGTGGTGTAGTTGTCGAAGTCCGTGTCCACGAGGGTCATGAGGTCAAGAAGGGCGACCCTATTGCTGTTCTCAGTGCCATGAAGATGGTAAGTTTTTGCACTTCCTACCCTTCCGCATTGATCGATTACTTACAGATTGCAGGAAATGGTTATTTCTGCCCCTCACCACGGCAAGGTTTCAGGCCTCGCAGTCAAGGAAGGCGACTCTGTCGATGGCCAAGACTTAGTGTGCAAGATCGCCAAATAATGATACGAACGCAAGTCATATTTATGTTCCTTTCTTCTTTCTTTCTTTCTTTCTTTTGTTTTGTTTCCTGTGATAGCCTATTACTGGTATCGTCGAATAATTGACAAATTGTGCACCGTAAACTTATAAACAGTGCTCACATTAAATTGCATGATTTGACTGTTGATGTTATATGAACATGGAGGTGATTATGAAGTTTTGTTAGTTATGATTAATGGAAAGATTTACTATTTTTTTTAACCACCTTTAAAGATCCTATTGCCTCTTTCCGTGCATTCAAGCTACTTTCACTTTAGAGACAAAAGGGCAAGCGTCCTATTCTCGTCATCTAAGAGTTAATATTATAAGCCAAGCTCCCCTGAGGATCAAGCCAGTACATACGTAACAAGTATGCTGAATGGAAGTTCTATCCTTGTACGAAAGCACTTTGATCAGTTTCCTTTTCCTTGATGTGTGCTGTAAGACTTCTTCATAGACTCCCGAGAGTTTGTATCCACGCCCCTATCTCTGGCCAAGGGTGACATGACGATATAATGGTCATGTGGCCTGGAAGGCTTGACAGTTCTGATGATTTCTTCTTCGTCCTCTGCCTCTTCAATGTTCGAACTATGGCACATTTCCTCGTTTAACCCAACATATCTGCGGTATCGTTCTCCGTCATGCCGAACCGACAGTGACCGCCGACGATGTCTACGATGTGCCCTCGTCATTGTCGTTGCCGTGCTGCGAGGTTTCGAGATCAAATCAAGAGCGGAACTACAACCAATAGGTTCCGTTCGGGCACGTTTAGGAATATTTGGTTTCTCTATCGACTGTATTTTCAATCCTTCAGTAGATGCTCTGTTCTTGGGTCTCGAGAGGAGCAGAGCCAGAAACCCACGCTTCGAAGGATTGTTGCTCTTAACTGGGCTTATTTTGTTTTCGGCTGGTCTCATCGTAGGGGGAGTTTGACTAAGTTCTTGAAGCTGTCGTTCCGCTTCGTTGTCGTATACAAGGACGACCGGTTTGATCACGGACAGAGTCTCTGATTGCTGTGCTTCTTTTCGGTATACTCCTGGGAATAGACAGCAGAAAACTCCACTGATATCTTCAACTCCGTCTTTGTTCCTCCATGAGGCTACATCCTTGAGAATAGAATCTTCGATTTGGCTTCCCCGAGAGATGATGTGACCTAAAGAATCTTGGGGTTCTATAAAGTCATACACGGCGGACGAACAGGCGATGGCTTGTTTGAGCTCAACAGCAAGATAAAGTACTTTTTTCTCAAGAAGAGGAAAGTGCTTCGTAAGAGTTTCAGCTTCCAGACAAATTGGTTTCTGTGAAAGTTTCTTGTACAGCCGTTCTCGACAGTCTCGCACACGCAGAATTTTGTCTTCCTGAAACTTCTTAGTCGAGACCAATGTGTTCATCGACTCGGATCTCCGTTTGTTAACTCGGTTAATAGACTCTATTTGCATCGTCATTTTAGTTTGCATTTTGTGGCACGACATCGGACACAAAACATGACACAAACCTTGGATATCTTTGCCATCGCCATCAGCTTCAATAGCATGTATCATATGGGCATACCCTTTTGTCACGACATCATCAAGCCCGAGGGGGTAATCTAAGCAAAATATTTCATTGTATAAATGACACCAAATTAGGCGGGAGAGGACCACAATCATGCAGTTGTCGAGCTGGCCAAGCCACTTCAGCTTTCGGTCCCAAGTCGAGTTACCAGCTCCATCTTTCAGACCCAAAAACTGAATTATTTTATCTTGCTCTTCACCGTGGAAAGTTTCTCGAAAGTCCCGAGAATTCCGCCCGTAGTCAACTTCGATCTTTGCAATCCAGTCGTCAATGGCGATGTGGAGTCTCTGAAACCTCTTCTTGACGTCGTCATCTGTGACTTGGTCAACGTCTTCTCCCTCGAGGTCCATTATATGCAAGAGGGCACTGTTTAAACGTTCCTGCAGTTCTGAATTTTGGACTCTGAGTGTCTGAATTTCGGCAATGGCTTGGGTTTGTGACCAGCAATGTATATCCAGGTCGGTTTTCGTGTCAGAAGCCATCGTTCGGGTTACAACCCTTTTTTTCCCCCTTTTTTTTTTTTTTTTTTTTTTTTTTTTTTTTGGAAAATAGATGAAATGAGTGACAGCTGTCATAGCAAGCAGGGAATTGCATAGAAATACCTAGGTGAAGAGATTTGGACACCAAAAGCCCTCTCGTCTCCTTTGCCAACTGACATATAGATGGGTGCGTTGTGCTTGACGGGAGGATGCATGCATTGTACAACCTGAGGCATTTAACTGACGAGTTTGATGAAAGCAGGCTGTGAAAACATACAAACACTTGCCATGTCCTGTTGCTTTACTAGCTATTAGCATGCATTTGCTGTCCCTGCTTGATGTTTGATAGGTCATTTGGGCTGCTCTCCCTTCCGGCCAGCGCGGCGTTGTGACTTGGATGGAAATGGAAGGCTATCTAATTATAGAGCCTTGCATGATATAAAGGCTCAGTTGGTCTTCGTTTCGAGGTTCAACTTTGTCCGGATTGACCTTTATTGCCCCCCTGAATAATACCCAAAACACACACATTAAAACAAAACGAACCGTGAAACGTAAAAATGTTCTCCGTGGACAAAAGCCAACGAAACAGTCAAGGTCGGAATGTAAGGATCATGGTGGCAGTCGATTTTGGTAGGTGCAGCTCGTGTTTGTCCAGACAATCTATACTGATACTGAATGAAACTTTAGGAACTACCTTCACATCGGTTGCATATTCTAGTACTAGCAGTGTAAGTCAAATTATCCCGTTAATATCGCTCAGAGAATAATGCCTACTTATAAAACCGCCTTAGCCCGAGCGGCATAAGCTATTGAACAAATGGGGAGATGGAGGCCATGAGACACGAAACAGTGTCCCGACGTAAGCATTCTTTGCGGTTTGTTAAGTACGCAATAGAAAGTTAATAACTGTTCGACTTACTTCTAGGGTTCTCCGATATGACAACGGTGGTACTACAGGCGCATATGTCTGGGGCTTCCGGGCCAAGCAATTAGTCAATCGTGGCGAGAAGATTCATGAGTGGTTCAAGCTGGGCCTTTGCAATGATTTTGAGAAGCGCCGTGCTAGAGAGTCGGAGCTTATGAGGAAGTATCAGAGTTCGGCTGCTATACAGCCTGTAAGGTGCAAAGAGTGCGAGACCCTTGTCGTCAATTTCCTCAGCAGCATCAAGGAATCTGTAGACAAATTCTTTGATGAAACCTACCAAGATATGCACCGGGTTCCCAGAGACTACATCATTACAATCCCCGCACTTTGGGATCATGCTGAACAAGAAAAGACACGGCAGTGCGCTGAAAGGGCTGGCATGGGCGAAGGAAGTCAGCTTCAGGTAATATCAGAGCCCGAGGCCGCGAGTATATACGCTATCCACACTAGGTTCTTGTTGCAGGTCAACGAGACCTTTGTCCTATGCGATGCTGGCGGGGGGTAAGGCGCCTATACCAACAGACTTGAGAATCAACAACTTGGCTGATGAAACACTGTACAGCACTGTTGACCTTTCTTCTCATACTATTGAGTCGTTGTCAATGAGCCCCTTCCACTGCAAACTTGCCGAAGCTGCAGCAGGTTCTGGGGGTCTTTGTGGCAGCAGTTTCCTGAATAGAATCTTCGAAAAATACCTCCAAAGAAAGTTCAAGGACTACCCCGAATGGGAACCATCTTTCACCATCGATGCTTTGAATGAGTTTGAGGAAAGGACCAAGCGCGACTTCACTGGAGAGGGCAACGAAGAGTACAATATCAGAATACCGGGCCTAGTGTTAAGCGAACGCCACGGAATCTACAACAGGAATGTTCTGACCCTAACCACTCGTGAGCTCCGAAAGAATATCTTTGATGAGGTTGTATTCAAGGTTCAAGGCCTTGTACGAGACCAGATTGCTAACACTAATGGGACTGTGAAGGCTGTGCTTCTCGCTGGCGGATTTGGGCAGAATCACTACCTTCAGAAAAAGTTGAAAGAGATAGACATTGTCGTCAAAGATAAAATCAGGGTTGAGCAGATTGATAACTGGTAAGTTGCATGAAGGGGGGGGGGAACAATATCTGATAGAATTTCGATAGTCATTGACAGCTCACAGCGACACGGCTATCGCACGTGGTGCCTTGATCGCCGGCCTGGCTGGGATGGGCAGAACAAACGAATATACAGATGACGGGGGCTTCAATGCTTTGCCTACTGCCATTAAAGTGGGATCTAGGATCGCTGGTAGGCATTATGGCACGGTTGCCTACCAAGACTTCGAAGAAGGCGTAGACCCCGAAGACAGAAAGTTGGCGTGCCACATGCATATGGAATATAGTGATCATTGAGGTTAATTTGGAAACAGGGTAATTCGAGATGATGGGGCCAAGATCGAGAGAATCCAATGGTTTGTCAATACGGTATGTTTATTGGTTTATATGGCTCTCGTGTCAAATGCTGTCAATTGCTAACCTTGCAAAAACAGGGCGACCGCATCTTGGACGGCCAACCAATGTCATTTAAGTTCTGCAAAGTGGCCAAAGTGAGGCCTGGAACTCCGGCTCACACGGCCTGTTTTGTAGCCATTAAGATATACACGAGTGAAAAGAAGATTCCCGTGGACTACAAAGAGCACGATAGTACGTCGAAGTCAAACTTGGTCCGTGTATTAATTTCATTGACCTCCGTAACTCACATGCATAGCTGTTTGGAAGATTGCCGAATTTGAATTTGACCTCCGCGGTCTCGTCATTCCGACAATATGGGTTAATGGAACAGAGTTCTACAGTGCCTATTTTTCCATTGAGATGACTTTACATGCTGCCAGCTTGTCATTCTGTGCAGTATACGGTAAAGGCACACCTGACGCCAAAAGATTTCCGGCGAAACAAGTTCAGTTTCTCTAAGTGCACAGTTATGATATGACTGGACTCGGTGAATACAATAGACACGTGAGGTGTCGTAAATCTAACCCCGGTATTCCATGCATTCAACACGCATGGGAAGAATAGTAGCTAGCATCCCTGGAGACTACAGGCTCAATATGATGTTTATAATAGTGAATGTTTCTCTGCAGGTTCAATCAGATTGATTATGACGATGAAAAGAATTTGCAAATAGCTTCAGTTCATCAATACTCGAAAGATCCCGGTAGCAAATGTTTTGTGAGAGTACATAATGCGATCGCCATTCATTGTGAATAGACCCTGGTGAGGTCCTAGATCTTAATGTTGAATTGCGATCCAAATAATTTGATATGAATAGATCCTTTCTACCTAGGTAATTCACCTAGGTGTGCCACGCCACCATACATAACCCAAACAATCACCTATTACTTGCACTCCTCGCAACATTGAAACCCCCATCCAGCACAGCATTAAATCCACTATCTTGAATACTGACAATTTGGGAATTATCAGCCACGTTAAAACCGCCGTCAGTCCGGATAGACCCAAGGAGCAGCTCTTCATCACGGTTTCCCATTTGGGCCTCTCTTCGCCCTGTCTCTCCTCTCACTGCCTCTCCTTGAGCATCTGTGAGCATTCTCATGATCCTCGGTGGACTATGAATATTTGATCCTTCGGTAGTCGAAGGGGATGAGAGCGGTGATAATGTCTTCTCTGAGTCCGGGGGACTCTGGTACCTTCCGAACAACCATTGTCGTATACAGAGGGCGATGCCGAAGAGGGTAATAAGTGTTATAAAGAGGAGTAGAATAATCGCGATGGTTTCGTTTTCTTCCACCATGATGTCTCGAGTTCAGAGTTTGAATTGTATGTCATAGCAAGACGAGGTAAAGTGTTTTAATGGTGAAGGTGGGAGAAAATAATTCTCGAGTGATTAACAGCTTAAGTATACATAAGAAGAAATTAACAACTACAGAGCAGATGTAAACAAAAACAATGCGAACAAGGCTACACAGGAAAAATCAAGGGACGTTGGAAGGAACACTGCATTAGGGGTTTTCAGGATAGCCTGGATTGGATAATTATGTAACACGAAAGTCTCTTTCTAGCCGCTGTACATTCCAAAGCTGTCATGAGCCGCCTTACCTGATAACTAGCGGTTACTAGTAGAGGGAAAGTGATGCAGGACCATTCAAGGATGACCTGAACAAGGACATATTAGGGCTTGCTGCGTTAGGGTTAGGGCTGTGGTCTTAGGTGCCTCGGCCCAAGATTTTGTGGGGCTGGTGGCACGTCATTCGCGGTCGTTATAATAGCACTGCAAGACCAGCTAAGTAATGAAAACCCAAACACATACCTCTAACTGTCTGTTTGCGAGGATTCTAATAGTATGGCTCACTAGATAGTTGACTACTAAGTCAGTACTTGTCACTAACCAGATGCCTGGGCAATGGAACACTGCCACCTAACGTTTTGCCTATTACCGATCATTATTTCCGTGCAATCAGTCGCAATCTTCCTGATTCTCATTGCTTGGCATATAAAGCGCAGGGAGAAGACGAGCGACAGTAAGCCTTGGCCAGACGAGAAATTTTTGACATCAAACAGCAAAAGCAGATTTGAAACTATAGCGAAAATGAAGTCGCTCGATCAAGAAGATACAGTGATCCTCAACCTCACTCAACATGGCTACATTCAAGGAGTGAAGATTCGGGCACAGCAACAGCAAAAACCCAGCCCTAATATATCTGACAATGCCTCTTCGGATGTCACACTGGCTCATTACTTCGGTGGCGTTCGCTATGCACTTCCACCGTCTCAACGATGGAGGATGGCCCAGCCGCTGCCATCCGATTATTCGTATGGCACGAAAGAACAGCCTGGAAAATGTAACGGACGGGCGGTGACTAGTCCACAACCATTTGCTGATGACGAAGGCTCTAGTGAAGATTGCTTTCAGTGCAATATATGGACGCCAAGCGGCGGATGTCCAGTTGGAGGTGTGTCTATCAAATACATCTAGTCTGGTCTAATTATTTACAAACCAATGATTTTACAGGATGGCCGGTTGTATTTTACATTCGTAAGTAGTGCCATACTCCTTTGTGGCAAACGCCGGCATTCTAATAGTATCAATTCCAACGAAGATGGCGGTTTCTTGCAGCAGGGGAGTCCCAATGACATAAACCCCTCGCGGCTTCTGGGCGAAACGAGCCTCAAATGTGTCATTGTGGCTCCTGTCTATCGACTGGCAGTTCTTGGTTTTCTGAGCTCAAGAGAGCTTATAGAAGATGCGACTGCGAGAGGCGAGCCTTGTGGCAACCAAGGGTTTTGGGATCAAAGGACAGCACTTGAATGGACCAAGAAGTATGCTCATTATTTTGGTGGAGATGACTCGAATATTACAGTAATGGGCTATTCCGCGGGTTCGTGTTGCAATTGTACACTGTTCATTGATTATCTGACTGACCCGCCTTTATTGACTGAATATAGGATCATACTCGGTTTTCTATCAGCTTGCACACGACTTAGACTTGAGCCAAGAACAAAGTATTATCCGACAAGCCGTTATGTTCTCCAACGGACCCGGAGTGCAGCCCAAGTTGGAGTTTGAGGTACAAAAGCAATTTGATGCGCTTCTTACTGCGTTAAAGATTCCCCTAGATGCATCGTCTTCTGAAAAGCTAGAGCAACTAAGTCGCGTCCCACCAAGAGAGCTGATTGAAGCTAGCGTGAAAACAAAGTATCACCAATATAGGCCCTGGGATGACGGCAAATTCATGCCCACTACATTGTTTTCCGATATTGACAATGGGTCCTTCGCGCGCCGAATGATTGAGCGCAATGTCCGGCTGATAAACGGTGAATGTCGAGACGAACATTTCGTCTACAGTACATGGTATACTCCCCAAAACTCGCTCCAGTCACTACGAGAACGACTCGAGGCAGACTACCCACAGCGAGCCTGCGATGCACTGATAAACTTGTATTACCCCGATGGCCAACTTCCGGGGGACTGCACGGATTGGCAAGATGCATTTGGCCGAGTCTACGCGGACATGCAAGTGCACATGCTGGAACGCGGGTTTGTGAATGCCCTAGCCCAGCATGGTGCCGGCCATCTTGTGTATCGATATCGTATCGAATACCGGGTGAAATGCGTTACTTTACCGCCTGAATGGGGTGTGGCGCACTCCTCAGACTTAGCCATGTGGCTATGGGGAGATGGAGCTCAGTTGGAGGAGGACGAGAAGCATATCGTTAGAACGGCATTGATTGAACCACTGACAGATTTCGTCAATGGGTCTGATATGGTCCGATGGGGCACGTCGAGGGGATCAATACAGGAAGTGCGCCGACTGCAACCCGATGGGCAGGTTGGTATTTGGCAGGACGCTGGCGATTTGTGGCACAAGGGCCTGGAGGTGTGGAATGCGATGCGAAAGGCTCGCCATACGCCAGAAGACGCGGCGAGGCTGTAGCATGGTATCTAGCGGTTATATGGGGGTCAGATACTAGTATGTTATTTACGTGTATCTTCCATACACCATCTGGCAGTGCTTCCCTTTTCAAAAAAAAAATGTGATTTACATGTATGTAACTGCGTATTTCCCGTACATAACTAACAGACATGTTGGATGATGACGTCAGAGCTCTACTGCGATGCCTGCCTGAGTATACAGGCCACAACCATCCCGCATCGACCATTTACTTGAGGGAATGCAGACATCGTGACATAACAAGCATTCGCAGAGCGTGTAAGAGACGGTATTCACACAAAGTAGCACTATGCACGGTAGTGCTGCCATCCCCCCGCGATTCTTGATCGACCAGAAAAGCTGGAGAAATGCATGCAGCTGACAAGCCAACCAAAGAAAATGCCTGGAATGACGATGGCCCAATTAAGTAAGCAGGCTGCATGCCAATCACAGGCAAATCAGCGTCTTTTCATCCATGGAAACATCTGCCTAGGGCAGATTCGAGCAATTGGTCGTATGACGCCGCTGTCTGTCTCGTTCAGCTGGATTAATAATTCCATGATTTCATTTGCTTGGGCTAGCCAGCAGTGCTTTTGTTTTATAATACCTAATACGTATATGCTGATTCATTCGTGTCCCATCCGTGTATCATCACACCTCTGAATCTCTGCTCTGAATCTCTGCTATCAAAGAAAGATTCAATCTAATCAACTAGAAAAGAAGCGAAAGACCAACCATGTCAGACAACACTGGAACCAACACCAGCTTCTCACCCCCCAGACGCCACTGGAACGGGGAAGTTGGCGCTCGCCATGAACATCAAAACGTCTGGATGAATGGCGGTGCTCGTGCGACTGCCCCCATGGCCCCGTGGGCTGGCTGGGATGCTGACAAGAAAGAACGCCGTGTAAGCTTTTCCCTTCGCTCTCTGTCTAGCTAGTTATTCAGATGCTGACTGCATTACCCAGACATCAGATTCATCCACACGGTCCAACAGCAGTACTAGCTCCGGCTCTAAATCGCTGTTTGACTCGCTAAACACCCAGAAAAGAGGAAGCTTCTCGGATGCCGATCAAGCCCAGAGACGACGCAGTTATGCCGAGATGTTGCCTGAGCGCGGCTTCTTTTCGAGGATGTGGCATGGATATACAACGGGGTCGAAGTGAAACAATCTGTAATGTGGTGGAGGTGAGTTTGAATGGATCGACCTATTGAAATAATACTTGGGCTTGAAGATGTGGTTAGCTCTTATCTTATCTCTCGCAAGACATTTATTAGAAAAGAAAAAAAAAAAAATTGCATGGAATGACGCCAGTTATGTGCTCTACTCAGTTCAGGTCGTTCGTCGTACTTGAGCAATTCTTAATTAGTTAGCGGTGCGCAATTCATGTCATCGAATGTATTTCATTCCTGTGATCATAATGGACTTCTTGAGAGACTGCCCTAATACAGTCCTCGATCCAGGCATCAACAGTTCCTCCATCATTAAACCGTATTAATGATTGAAAGGTTTTGCCATTTGTTTTTCTTTCTCCTTTCTTTCTCTTATTGGGAACATGGAAAAGAAGAAAAAGAGTAAAAAATGGTTATTTTTTTCGTAAAACAGCGCCCAAATTTATATCACCATTTTAAAACCCATTTCGAAAGATGAACAACACATGAAACACAATGAATTCCCGCACCGCCTTCCTTAATGGTATAAATGCATTTATCGGACAATGCCCTCGAAGCGGCTCTTGAACCATTTGATGGACTCGGCTTGGGTGATGCGGTGGCTGGAGCCAATGCGAGCCTTAGCACGGCGGCGCTTAGCGATACGTTCACCAGGGCGGGTCCTTTCAATGAAATGTCAGCATATATACACAACCAAATACCGTCGATTCAGACACAGGAAGGAAAAGCAACTCACATGCAGCAGTAGAAGTCCATTCCGTAGATACCAATACCGGGGTCGTACTTGATACCCAAGTCGATGTGTTCGCTGATACCGAAACCGAAGTTGCCAGTCTCGGAGAAGTTGCGCTTCCTCAATTCGTATTCCTTGACCTTGAGACCACGCTCGAGGATTTCCTCGGCCTTGGGGCCACGGACGGTAACGTGGACGGAGATCTTTTCGTTACGACGGATACCGAAGGTACGGACAGTGTAGCGAGCCTTGCCTATTAACGCACAAAAAACGATATATCAGCCATCTTTTGTCCCATATTTCCATTTGCACTGTCCGTCTGCTTTCTGATTTTTTTTCCATGTAATTTCGCTCCAGAATAATCGATCCGTATAGAGGGTTCGAGACTTCGGGGACCGCTTACTGTAGACGGGGGTTTGACCGCTCAACTGCTCAAGCACCTTAGCAGCACGGGTGAGTCTGTCACCAGATTCGCCGACCGAAATGTTAAGCACGAGCTTTTGGATGCGCAGCTCGCGCATGGGGTTGGCGCTCTTGTCCTGTCCTTCCGACTGTGCATACTGTTAGTTCGATCTTTCATCATCCACCTTCTCCCGCTCTATTCATGTGTCGTGTAAAATAAAAAAGGCAAGTGAATTCGTAATGGCAGGAAGGCTGGCTTTGAATATGGATGTCAACATACCATGGCGACGGTGTTGTGCTGGTCGACTCGTTGGATGGAATAAAATCACTCGACTTAAAAAAACAACTCCAACTTCTCTTCTCGAAAGTTGTGCAAAAGTCGTTGTGGGCGAGACGTGGAAGCGAGAAGCCCTAGTGGCTTGGCACATATCGCCTGCGCTTAGCGCCAAGCGCCGCGGCGCCTTCCCCAATTAGGAACCATTAGCCGCGGTGAGGTTGAATCCCGCAGTTTCTCACATTTGCGGCTAAGCTTTTGTTCGAGACAATTATTTACAGCTACGCCCTTCCAAGCCGTCAGCTTTGACGGGTCCTGATATTTGCTTTTGTGTTTCTCTATTCTCTTCTATGTTTAAGTGAATTCAGAGAAGAGGCAAAAGAACGCATTAAGGACAGGTGGTTATTCTTTGGAGAAAACTCAAGTCGCATTCGTGCGCACATCATTTAAGAATGGCGGCGAACAAGCAGGGTAAAATGGTAAGTTCAAGCACGAAGATACGATATCCAAATCTCTTTGTTGACAATTACAGCTGACCAATGTCATTAGCAAAATCTGGTATGTCACGACGACTTCTACTCCGACAGTAGCTCTGTTGCTTACTTTTGCAGATCAACTATCGCATGCGCGTCACGTTAAATGATGGTCGACAGATGACGGGCCAGATGCTGGCATTCGATAAGGTATAACTTTTTGTGGTCATATATGCATGTATTTATTGTCTCAAAGCTGACTACTCCCAGCATATGAATCTGGTACTGGCCGATACAGAAGAGTTTCGTCGTGTCAAGCGGAAAGCCACCAAGCAAGCCCCCGGTGCTGCAGCTGTCCCTCTCGTGGAAGCAGAAGAAAAACGAACCCTTGGCCTAACAATCGTTCGAGGTACGAATGTCGTGTCGTGCTCGGTAGATGGACCACCCCCTGCAGACCCTTCGGCGCGTTTAGGCACCAGCGTGCCTAATGTGCCTTCGGGAGCTGCTACACTTTCAGCTGGCCCCGGTATTAGCAGGCCCGCCGGACGAGGCTTGCCAGTTGGACTTGGAGGTCCTGCTGCCGGTGTGGGAGGACCTGCTCCTGGCGGCTTTGGCGGCTTCCCACCTGCTCCAGGATTCCCTGGAGCCCCGCCCCCAGGATTTGGTGGCCGCGGTGGCCCTCCTGGAGGACCCCGTAAGTTTTCTTCATCGTTTGTCGAGAAATATTTTTGTTACTAATGTATATACAGCTGGATTCGCTCCTCCCCCTGGATTCCCTCAAGGCGGACCCCGTAAGTTCTCCTCTTTCTCCCTTTTTCTGTTTATCGATTTAGCATCCATACTGCCTGAAAATCACCAGAGTAAAGATTAACTTCTTTATAGCTGGCTTTCAACCACCACCCGGATTTCAACCCCCTGGCCAAGGTCGTGGCTATCCACCGCCCGGCTTTGGTGGACGATGAATCAAAGAATATATCGATTAGAACCATTGAAACCAGACGTTACTCGCAATGGGTGTTCTCCTTCCTCGGTCTTTTCTTTTCTCCTTTCTTCTTACTTAACGTGGGTCCCGTGATATCTCACACGATGCGGCTGGCTTTTTTTGCCCGTCCACGTTTGGTGCCTGCCTTGGTGGTTAGAGATTTCCGTCACTTACGTGTGCTGTAATGCCGGTGTTTGCGGCGCCTGGGCAAAATTCTGTATGTATCAGCTATAAGCATCTGATAGTAATAAAAAAAGGAATGGGAATGGAAGGCTTTCTGATGGCTGTATCAGTTGTGTCAGTCGTGAAAGTGTCTCAGGATTCTGTACTGTATTTCTGGAATATTTTCTATATTGCACTCCATATTCATATAATTTTTTCCTACTTTATCCTCGATGCCACCAAAGTATTGTAGTTCCTGGCACACAGTAAAATGCCGTATCAATCACGTGACTTTAGCGCAATCTGCCCCGGCTGCTTCGGACATCTAAGGCGGTCGCAGCCGACCCCGGTGAGCGGCTTTAAGTCCGTGTCGTATCTCTACTTCCGCTGCTCTTCTATCTCTAATTCCCACGAACTCACGCCATAAGCAATTGATTTGGAGATAGACAGTGCTGCTATCGAAATCATTAAAAATGGCTGCCGCTATCAAAGCTGTCAATGCGAAGATTCGCTCCAACAAGGTTTTGGACTATGTCTTCTCTACACGTATGTTTATGAAGCTCTCTGTTTCTGTTTGTTGCTCTTGATGCGATTTCTCTGTTGGAGGGAGGAGGCTGTCTTTGTTTATTTTTGTTCTGGTGCTAACAGCACTCTCCCATTTCTCTAGATTTCTGGGGCCCTGCGTCGAACTTCGGTATCCCTATTGCGGCTGTAATGGACATCCAAAAGGACCCTGAAATGTGAGGCGATCAGATCCTTCATCCTTTCTCTCTCGCGTCTTCTCTTGTCCAGCGAAACAAACGGAAAAGGAGGAAGCAGAACATACATGAATGCAATACACATATATACGAACATGCACGCTGACCAATTGGTTTAATCATATAATACAGTATCTCCGGATCCATGACTGGTGCTTTGATTGTCTACTCGGCTACCTTCATGCGTTACTCGATGGCTGTTACACCCAAGAACTACCTCCTCTTTGCTTGCCATGCTATCAACTTTGGTTCTCAGGTTACACAAGGATATCGGTATATGAATTACTGGAAGTATGTCACTTTGCCCCCGTCCATATATCCATACTCATATACAACACCTGGGGAATACTAACATGTATATCTTACTGCTTATAGCTGGGGAGGTCGTGAGAAGGCCCTTGCAGAAAAGGCGGCGGCACAAGGAACGGCGACTGCTGCTCAATAGATTGGATTATTCGATTGCAAATTGTCCTTTTTATAATATATGAAAAAAGCCTATTTTTTTCATTTTCAATTAATTAGAGGAAATGAAGGTAAATTACTTTCCCTTACCTATCACCATCGTGACTTGTCAGCTGGTAACTCAGGTGGTTATGTGTGCATATTCTCGTCTTTTGTCAGGGTGAAATCTGAAGCCTTCCTATCTTGTTTCTTTGGACAAGCATTTTGGTATATGTTTGTAGATACGTAAAAGAGAAAGATGAATGCAGTTTTTCTAATGATAATATAATGAATTTCTTCTATACAGGACTGCTCCTTCGCACCTCTAATAAATCAACCCGCTTTCTTTCGAATACTTGTGCTTCTTCCTCCTGTCCCAACAGCAAATAATGAAAGGAATACGAATGAAGCATTAAAATGCCAAAAATAGAAGAACAGACTCCATAACAAGACGACACGATTATTCGAAAAGAATGAGAACGGAAAAACGAAAGAGCTCAACGAAACACTAGAGAAACAGCCAGATGCAAGGGAAGATATAAAGTAAATACCCGAATTCTAAAAGGGAAGGCAATGGAAAAGGACATTCACACGCAATAGAGGTCGACTTCTTCTCATCACTCCAACTTATACGTCGCAGTAGCCAGGAGATGGAGGAGGTGCTGGTACGCCAACCCAGTTGTAGACGGTTAGCGCCGTGGTGTATATACAGCATATCATGCCAAGGACAGCAAGACTCATGTCAGAAATGCGCTGGAACCGTGTTGTTGCGCAAGCTTTCATATGTAGCAGTGGCTGATATCAATTTCTTAGCAAATATATCAACAAGGAGGAGATGGAGATATAGAAACTTACTGGGTAGACATAGACAAGCGGCACACAGGCAAAGCTGCCAACAAGCGAAACGAATTTGTCGAGATCACCGGCACCACCCCAGGCCACAAGCGCGCAAATCATGACAAGAAAGAAGCGGAAGAAATTCTTCTTCCATTTGATACCTGGGTTGTATTTACCGCTGCGAGTGAAGAGCTCGTTCTCAGTGATGCGAATAGCCGGGAAGAGTTGCAGCGGCGTGCTCAGTAAGATTGCCAACGAGTAGAGGAACTGAACTGCGTTCACGAACTTGTCATCTTGCGGGAGATTAAGAAGAACGACAGTCTTTGTTGAGGACCCGTATGCAGCATAGCTCACAGCACCGGCTGATAGGAAAACAACGGTCACTAGGACCATGATTGTAGCGAGGACACCAGGGAATTTTTTGGGTTGCTTCATTGACTCTTGAATGGGAATAATCAGACCAACACCTTCGTAGGTAAAGATTGCAGTGCCAATGAAGAGAGTCCATGAATTGGGGTTGAAGGCGATGATATCCGAGACGCCTTTCTGTTCAACAATGGTGGTGATATCGTAATAATAAAGGTAGATCAATCCAAGCATAATAAAAAAATCGGCAATGAGAGCCGTGAACCCCAATTTGCTGATGTCGCGAATCAACGATAGCGGAAGGAAAACGATGAGCTGCATGAGAACCATGTATTTGATATCGATGTAGGTCAAGCATTTGCTGACAGCCAAGATGAATGCCTGCAAGTTCTGGGAAGTGAACACGATATACGCGGAAACAAAACCCATCTGGCTAAGCACGATAGAACCGAGGATGATCCGTCGCATCCATTTCCCATATAGGACACCTCCGATGTCGCCGAACGACCCTTCAATTTTCAAGCGTGAGTTCACCAACAGTATAAAACAGTAGAAACTGACCAACGAGACGACTAGGAGGACGATAGAACTAAACAGCATACCCCCGTTTAGAAACGCGCGGGGCAGAAATAGAACACCAGTGCCAACAAATGATTTGAGAAGGAGAAGAGCAGCGCCCATTGAGGTAGTTGTCCCTTGTGGAGCACGCTCTTTGTGCTTGCGTCTTTTGAGCCCAGGTGTGTCCGGGCGCAGTAAAGCCGTCTCTTCTTCGGGCTGCGCCTCGTCGCCTTCTTCCCACACATCGGATGAGAAGAATTCCCCTGGCCCTAAAACTTCATCATCCTCTTCCAATTCTTCACCAGCGAAATGGCCATACAAAGTCAGGAATTCAAGGAAGTTGCTAGTAAGAAACCGTGGTTGTGTCGGTGCAACATATAGACCGTCATCTCCTCGACCCTGCGGACCGGGGCTTCCCAGAGTTCTCCGCAAATAGTCTCTTCGGAAACCCCCAGGAACTCGAATTGAATTTATATTCATAGTCTCGCTTTCCGGCTCGGGTCTTTTGACCGAAAAACTTCGGCTCCTAGTTGGCCGTCTGATCCCTGACGCTTGAGCTTCGGCATCTTCTGTCCAGCGATACACCTGTCTCGTCACATCACCACCTTGCAATCTCAAGCTCGAGAACTCCTCATCGTCAATACCATTCGCTGCTTCGCTTGAGGAATGCGAATTTCGACTGTAGTCAAGATCTGGAGGCCGAACTAGATGTCTCTTTACAACTTCCGGGTCCTCAATTCCCCGCGAGCTTTCAGCTCCGTCATCGGTCGATTTTGGGTCAAATGAACCGTAGCTTGAGCGTGCAAACTTGTCTATAGACGGGTATTCACGCAGTTCGGGCAGCGCCGCTTGCCTCGGAGGGGTATTGGACTGGACAGAACTAGGAATCAGGCCGTTTGAGTCTTGAAGAGCAGAGGCTAAAGCAGATTGACCAGGGCCGGGTAACGAAGCTTTGTTCTCAATCGCGGCAAGGCTTTCATTTTGTGCGACTGGTGTAGCCGACCTTCTTCCCGATTTCACAGAGGAAGGTGTTCCGGTAAACGAGTTTGATGGGACGGGAGAAGCCAGTCGGGCCATGGACGTTTCTCGCATGGGCGAAGCAGAACGAAAGGAGCGAGGGATAGAGCTTGCAATCTGTAACGAGTTTGATGTCAGGGACGACGGTCCCTCTCCATTGTCGGCCATGGTTTCAATGTGTCGACAATCGCACCGGACGAGGCGAAAACGGGCGGAGATAGGCAGTAACAGTCATAGATGGTGGATAGAAGGTCAGCGCTGCGATGAGAATGGTATCGCAATTAGAGTGGTCGGAGTCATAAATGAAGAAGCGAACCAAGCTCCTTAATGTGCTGTTGGCAAGCTGGCTGTGACTGCATGCAAGGCTCTCGGTGCCTGGTGAGGCCATCAGGTGGACTCAGGCAGCTAACGTTAGTGTGCCATTCCGTGATCTGTATTACGGATTACCGTACCACCGTAATAAATACCGATCTTATCAGTTTGCTCTGTTTGCCGGAATTCCACGACTCCAACTTTCCAACTTTGTCGAGACGAGAGGGGAAGCTACCTCCACACATCCCAGTGACTCAAGGATGTTCTCAGATCCTTGTCCCTAGTCCACAGGCTTCTGACTCCTGTAGTCACCTCTCCGAAGCACTTCTGCGTACGGAGTTGCTAATCTTGCAAGGACGATCAGAAAACGGCATGCTATGCAGACCTCTGTGGCTTATTTCTAAATAAAGTCTCTAGGTTGAAAGAATGGCCACAGGCGACACGAATACGTTTCAGAGGCCGAGCCAATCTCGTCAACGGCCTATTTTCTCAACGCGATCAGCAATTGAAGATGCAGGTAGACTGGCTCCTAGTGAGGTGTCTCCCGACGCCGTCCGTCGTTCTTCAACAAATCCATTTGAACCCATGACAGCCGCCTCAAGGCCCTCTCCTCGGCGTCATCCGCAGTGGACTTCATTTTTCGGTCGTATTTTCCAGTGGTCCTCTGGTCGAAGCCCTACGCCGGAATCGCAACATGTTGAAACTACTTTTACAAATCCAGTTGACGGGGACGATGCAGTTGTCGAAGTAAGCTTGGATCACAAGAAAGACCGCAGTCGACGGCAAGACGTCGGTGCAAGTATGGCTGCTCAATCGAGTAAACTAGGCACATTTTCGGGTGTCTTTGTGCCCACATCGTTGAATGTCCTCAGTATTCTTATGTTCCTGCGTTTCGGGTTTATCCTCGGCCAGAGTGGTGTCCTTGGAATGATGGGTGAGATATTCAAATGCCATTTTTATTAGCTTGCAGCTCATGACAGTTTATCAGGAATGCTTCTCGCGGCATACATCATTGACCTGTTGACGACGATGTCAATCTCGGCAATTGCAACCAACGGAACAGTACGTGGCGGTGGTGCATACTACCTGATATCTCGCTCCCTGGGTCCCGAATTTGGCGGTTCTATAGGGATAGTGTTCTATATGGGACTTATCTTCAACACAGGAATGAATGCGCTTGGTTTAGTGGATTGTATTATTGAGAATTTTGGCATCGAATCGGGCTCTTGGTCGAGGTTCTTGCAGGAAGGGTTCTGGTGGAACTATCTATGGGCATCAACAGTCCTGTGTGTCTGTGTAATCATATGCTTTGCGGGAAGTTCCATTTTCGCTAGGGCTAGCAACGGCCTGCTCGCCATTCTTCTTATCTCGACACTAAGCATTCCGTTCTCTGCTCTAATCCAACAGCCGTTCAAATCGAGCAAACTAGGAATCGAATTCACAGGGTTCCGGGTGAGAACCTTTGTCGAAAATCTGAAGCCTCATTTGACCAAGGGCGCTGCGGGAAGCCAATTAGAGCATCGAGAGAATTTTCAAGATCTATTTGGGATTCTATTTCCAGCGACTAGTGGCATATTTGCGTACGGCTTTCTTACACATTCATTCTATTCATCATTTACTAACTTACCATTAGCGGAGCCAACATGTCTGGGGATTTGAGAAACCCAAGCAAATCAATTCCGAAAGGAACGCTCTCCGGATTGCTCTTGACCTTCGTAACCTATACCGCCGTCATATTATCAATGGCTGCATCGATTACTAGACAGTCCTTTTACAACAATATCAACGTGATTCAAGTAGTAAGTGTCTAGTCAGATCCTTCTTCTTCCTCGACGACAATATGCCTGACCTTTCCTTATAGACGAATGTCTCTGGAACTGTCGTGTTGTTAGGGGAATTTGCAGCCTCCTTTTTCTCCTCGCTATCGGGTCTCATTGGCTCGGCTAAGCTCCTCCAGGCCATTGCGCGCGACAATCTAGTTCCAGGCCTGACGGTTTTCGGTCGAGCCAACACGAAAAGCGATAACCCCATATTGGCTATTATCTTTTCATTCATTGTGGCACAAATCACCATGCTTTTCGATATCAACAAGATTGCCTCGTTCACAGCTATGACATATCTCATGACTTTCTTGGCCACCAACCTTGCTTGCTTTCTTTTGAAAATCGGTTCAGCGCCAAACTTTCGACCATCATTCCACTATTTCAGCTGGGTCACGGCCGCACTGGGTGCGGTTTCCAGCCTTGCAAGCATGTTCTTCGTTGACGGTATATATGCGACTGGCTGCATCGTCGTGTTGATATTTTTGTTTGTGTTGATTCATTATACTTCTCCGCCTAAATCCTGGGGAGACGTGAGCCAAAGCCTAATCTACCATCAGGTGAGGAAATATCTACTCCGACTCAGACAGGAGCATGTCAAGTTCTGGCGGCCTCAGATTCTCTTATTTGTAAACGATATAGATGCTCAGTACAAAATGGTTCATTTTTGCAACTCATTGAAGAAAGGAGCTTTGTTCGTTCTTGGTCATGTCATTGTGACCGATAACTTCACTGACGCAGTGCCGGAGGCGCGTCGTCGACAGGCATCTTGGACGAAATACATCGAATATTCAAAAGTCAAGGCTTTCATAAACCTCACGGTGGCGCCGACTGCAGAGTGGGGAGTTCGCAGCATCGTTTTAAATTCTGGACTTGGGGGCATGAGGCCAAATATTGTTGTCATTGATCAGTATCGGCAAGATCAAGGTATAGGAGATATTTTCCATCGGAGACAACGAAAGCGACACTCGAAAGCTCTCGATGTTACTCTGACCCGACAAGGATCAGACGAGAGCCATGGATTCTCACCATATATAATAAACTCTACGAGTGCACAAACATATTTGACAATTCTCGAAGACCTGCTTTTCAAGTTGCGAATCAACGTTGCTGTTGCAAGAGGGTTTGATAACCTGGAGCTGCCAAATCCAGGGGGCAGGAACGAAAAGACCTTCATAGATTTGTGGCCTATACAAATGTCTGCAGAGCTTACCGCCGATCAACAAAGCAAGCAGAATGTCCTAACAACGAACTTTGACACATACACCCTAATCTTGCAGCTTGGCTGCATCTTGAATACGGTACCTTCGTGGAAAAAGAGCTACAAACTTCGCGTGGCTGTATTTGTGGAGTACGAAAGTGACGTCGAGGAGGAACGTGGTAGAGTCTCGACTCTTTTGGAGAAGCTCCGAATTGAGGCTGAGGTACTTGTACACTGTCTGGCTGGTGGTGATTTGCAGACCTATCAGGTTATCGTCAACGGTGATACATCGTCTGCAAGTGAAGATGTTATGGCCAAAGTAAACTCTGTCCTCAAAGACGAGAGTTGGTGGAATGACATCCGAGAATATCGGCACAAGTCCAGTGGCGCTCAACAATCTAGCCAATCCTCACGAGCAGCAGAACTGTTAGACGGACTGTCCCAATGGCCGGTAGCGTCCTTCCAGCAAGGCGCACAGCGTCAAGCGGCGCCGAGATTTGAAGGTATAAAAAATCTCGTACGATCTGACAGACAGCAACGAAGGAGATCAATTTCCAGTTTCCGCGGTATGAATGTGAACATGGGTATGCAGACAAGCAGACTCCTCGATTCAATGGTTAACTACCATTCCGATGAAAGTGAGGACTCGAGCAGTACAGACGATGATGACGAACCCGAGCCTTATGTGAGCGATAGCGAGGATGGATCTACTACGCCACGCACTAGAGTTGCAACACCAAGGATCATGAACGCAATGGGTACGCCAGAAAACCTGTCGCCCAGCAACACCGCTTCCATGGATCCAGCACAGGACGAGCGGGACGAGAGCAACGATACGGCACCAGAAATGCTTGGGATAAGCAGCTCAAATACCGATGCCGTCGCAGGGGACTCATCATCATCCCTTTCACGTCCCGTGTTCAGTAGAGCCCCCTCGGGAAACAGATTTTCATCGTCACCTATCCCAGAAACAAGAGTAAATCAGACCGAAGACATAGGACGATCAATCATGTTCTCTGATTCACCCCCACGCACAGGACAACCTGTCAACAGTCAAACATCCGACACTACTCCTTTCCACTATCACGAGTCAATATACGCCAATCACAACCGTCCCACAGCAGGCTCAGCGGCAAACAAAACACCGCATCCAGCAGCATCAGGTTACCCCAGCCACGCCGCCATGCCTCTATCCTTCAATGACCTACCCTGTCGCGCCCAGCACCTCATCCTCAACGAACTCATAACCCGACACAGCGCCGAGACAGCCGTGATGTTCACCACGCTCCCTTCCCCGATCGAGGGTACATGTCTCGACAGTGCATCCAGCGAGGCGTACGTGAGTGATATGGAAGTTCTATGTTGTGATGTACCGCCCTGTCTATTGGTTCATAGCAATAGTATGACTGTGACAATGAATCTGTAGCTCCCCTTTTTGTCCCTTTTTCTGAAGTTGATTTATTTTTTATTTTTTTCTTGCTTTTATTTTCCTATGATCTGACGATTTTGTCCTTACTCTCTTTATTTTTTTGTTCTGTTCATCACAAATTTGAAGCGAAGCATGGCATACATATTCTGATGATACCAGGAGGTTGCTCTTCCAATTGTTATAGAACGAAAATTATTGTTTCTTGCAGTTAGAAATTTTTTAATCCAGACAGAGCCAGCACACTGGGCAGTTACCTTGCTTTTTGTTTTTGCTTTTGAAACGAGTTCAGATTATTGATTGGATGCATAATGATATCCTCCATACTGCTAATTATATAGGTAGGTAACGACAATACACATGTAATCAGTGCAGTCACCGAATAGCCCTAGATTAGAAAACATCCAACAAAGAAATAAGAAGCCAGACACGCAGACATAGAAGTTTATATACATGATATTGTAAATGGGACCGAAAAGATATGCCGGAAGTGTGACATCGACACCAACAAAGTCCAGACTCCAGAGTCTCCTGAACATGAGACTCTTTATGTAGACATAAGAGTGGTCATATGATATATTACCGAGTCAGATTAACTGCTTTTCTCCAAAATTTCCAGCCTTCTCGTCTTTCTTGCGTGTTACTTGCAGCGTGAACGCCAACAAGACGCTCAATGCCTTCGATTCCAACGGCATTCTCGAATTTCTGCTGATCAATCTCTTCCCCGCCTTCTTCGTCGGTGCCGTTACGGAGAACGGCAGGATACAGCACGCCAACACCGTCGCCGCCGAGTGTTGTTTCGAAGCGCTCAAAGTTTTCTGCCGCGAGTGTCTGCTCTAGTTCTTGTAGAGCCTGTGGGGATGCGTCGGGTCGCATGAGCGTTATCGCGCATCCACCACCGCCTGCACCTGTCAGTTTCGTCCAGCCTATGTTGGTGTGGTCAACTAGTTCGCGGATGCGTTCGAGACGGGGATGCGAAACGCCTAGTGAGACGAGGAGGCCGTGATTGATGCGGAACAGAGCGCCGAATTTCTCTAGTTCGTCGTTGTCGCCTTCAAAATCTTCTGATGTGATCATCTCGTTGGCTGACATTGTCACTTTATCAATTGCATCTAACATAGCTTCTGTCACCTGTGGGTGTGTTACTCGTAGCCTGCCGACCTTGGCAACTTCGACAGCAGTAGATCGAGATTGACGCGTGTTGACTAACAGCAATGGCAGTTCAGGGAAATTATTTAACGGTGTGACTGAGGGAGGTTTGCTATAATTGCTCCGCCGGAAAAGGACCGCCTTGCCTCCGGCGGAAACTGTGTTATCAACACCACTGGGGTTGCCGTGAATGCATAGTTCACCCACAAATGCCCATCTGTTGATACGCTCAATCTGCACTTCGGCCTCCTCGGGAGGCTGGTCCGGGTGCGGCCCGGCCAATGTTCGGATCTGAAGTAAGAGTGCCGCGCTGAGGCAGACGCTGACACTTGCGCTGCTTCCTAGACCAGCACTAATTGGAATCGTAGATCGTAGAGTATAGATTGCGCCGTGGGAATCGGGCGAGCCCAATGAGAGGAATAGGTATAAGAATTGTGCGGCGGAGCTTCTATGGATTTTGCGTACATCATCTGGCTTATCTGTCGACACTGCAGCGGCATGTGGTTTAACGGCCTCTACCAAGTCCGGATCTAGCTCCGTGACAAGGTCGTAGTACATTTTCTTCTTCGTGGGGTGCTTGAATACATTCCATGGTAGCGAATCAATCTCCCACGTATGATCCAAGCCAATATCGCGGAAGTTCAAGGTGACGGTACGCTGTGATTTAGAGAGGGTGGTAACGAGAAGGTAGGATCGTAGGGAAATCGCTGCAGCAAGGGCGGCCTTGCCATGAACGACGGCATGTTCTCCAAAGACAATGACTTTTCCGGGAGCAGACACCATAAAAGGAGGAGCCATTGGCGATGACGCTTTGCGCTGGGCTCGTGACATCCTCGCGGTGTTTGTCGTGGTCGTGTTCGCGTTTGAGCTGTTGTTGGAAGCGGAGGTGGAGGGAGTCGGAATGCTGGCGTCTGAACTATCTGTGCTCTCGTCGCCGGGCTTGCTGATACTTTGGTCTTCAAATCGGCTCTGCAATTCGCTGAGGGTCAATTGTTGCTTGCTGTTTCTTCGCGTAACCTTCACGCTGCCATGCTTCTTGCGATTATTGCCATTGTGCATGTCGCAGAGAAGATGAAGGGGACAGGGAGTTCGAGATTGTGGGGGGAGATTTAAAAAGGGGGGGAAGAAAGAAAGAAAGAAGGCAAAGGTTACACGGCAGACCAATCTAGGTTAATCAGAGTGCGAGAAAGAGAGGAGGAGCAGGTCAGCAGCAGATCAGCCAGCCCGCTTTGCAATTTGTCTTGTTGCTTCGGAAAGGACAGGTCGATGAATCTTTTTGCCTAACTTGGGGGCCTTGCTTGATAGGGCGATACGTTTCTTACATTATCGTACCGCGACGCCGGTGCTGCGTTTTTGATCTAGCCTCTCTAGGACTAGCGCGATACCTCTTGTACGTGAGTCTCGACTATGTCGTAGCCTAGAGCAACGACGTGCTTTGTATGTCGTTAATATTCTAGTGTTCTTAGATATGCAAATGCAAATGCAAATATAGACACAAGGAAGCAGCATATGTTTTCTCGTTATTATTCAGTAGTTATATATTGTCCGACGTCCGTAATGCCCTCGATGTAGCTTAGCCTGTATAGACCCAGAGTATTTCCGTATCATCGCCAATCCCCTTGCTGGCATTAGAAATGCGGTTTGTACCACCCGCGAATCCGTGCAATGTACCAAAGAACAGGAAAATCATCAAAAAAACACTTGGTATATTGCTATTATCGTAATCATAATTCGTCACGGCGTCTTTCATCATCATCAGCCCATGGTGGTCTCCCAGCCATGGTCAATCATTACGTCCATCCAATAAACATCAGGCTCGCCGGCATCCATGCGTCGCCAAACCTCTTTTACAAGCTCCACGCAGATGTGAATTGGTTTTGGTGGAAGTACGTGGAGGAAGGAGCTGAGACGCCCTAGAATAAACTTGCGAGTCCTCGACACTTCAATTGCGTGCGCAGACAAATTCAGGGAATAGTCGTCTCCGCTGGAATCCAATGCTGGCAGCTCCGCCTTCATAGGAGGTAGCCGAAGCTCGCTTGACGAAGCCACTAGCAAGAATGGTTGCAAGCATCTCGTTCGTGACTCCAAGGGAACGGTCTTTAGGCGTGACATGGCCGTCAGAGCGATTGTAGTGAGCCATTCGGGTTGTACGTCCTTTGAAGTATCGTCCGTTCCATCGTCATCACCACCACTATCCTGTACACAAACATCATGAGGAAAACTGGCGCTCCCTAATAAAAACGTAGTCATCGGATCATCTGGCTGGTAAAGTAGCGCCGGATCCACAATCTTAGATGCCGTTTCTTTTCTGGAAATGTTTTCTAATTGTGAACGCTCGCGTAGAAGATCGGGAAAAACTCGGTATAACTGAATAAGTCCCGTGTACCGGTAGACTTCGGCCATGGCAAGTAAGTGCCATACAGGCGTATCGTTGTCACCGGGGTTCACGACATCTGTCTCCTCTGGATGGGCCAGACTCAACAGTCTCTCCTCAAGCTGCTGTGCTTCCCGAATCGCTTCTTGAGCTTGTGCTATGTCTCTTTGCGACGTGAATCGTTTGGTACGCATGCGCTTGCGTTCTCGTCGAACAAGCCGGCCAACCTTGTGAACAGTAAATTGAGTGTCACGAGCGATCCCCGTCCACGGATGTGGCACTTTTTGCGTCAAGAATCGATCACTTGCCGTTTGGGTTTCTAACTTCGAAGACGAAGTCAACGTACCATGGTCTGCTACATATGAAAGCAGCATTTCCCAGTATACGAGTGCTTCCTCGAAGAATTGATAGTTGTTGCGGTTCGTCAGAAGCAATCCACCGTTGACGCCAATTGTAGAGGAATTAAGGTGGTCGCGGAGGGTATTGAAAAAGGAAATCCCCAAATCATTCGGGTTATGCCAGCTTGCCGTCTGACCGAGCATTAACATAGCGAGAAGAGATTTATCATCAAGAACTTGTTGCTTTTCTAGAATAGATATGGCGTCTTTGCGCATTCTAAGCCCTAGTGGACCAAATTGAGGGAAGTCGTCCACCAGAGTGGCGGCTGCCATGCTTTGCAATGTTCGGCACATAGCCGGCGAGGACGCCCACAGACGAGACACGGTCGTTCGAAAGGGATTCATATGGCTGTCGTAACTTGAAAACAAGCCGGCAACTTCTTTGAAATAGTATTCAACTAGAGTAGATGACGGGTCTTCCAGCGACCTGCGCGGAAGGGGGAAAATACTCAGTCTGCTAGCTTGTGAAGGCAGGCGACACCTAAATGGCGACGCTGGCGAAGAATTTACATGGGAAAATACCCTGTCGGTAAGGATCTCCTGGTTTGTCTTTGGATGATCTCCCGGTGCCTGCTGAACGGTACCGGAACTTGAGGTCTGCGGCTGGTCCAAGTCAAGAGTCACGCCTGCCGTGATGAATGGCGGCGTGTCCAAATGTTCTAATTCTGGCAAGGTCATGCTGAATTGGTGATCCAAGTGCTCGATGTCGAGAGACTGGTGAAGGTCATTGGATGACGAGGCTTCGTCATTATTCGGCATACTCGATGAGACACGCTCCGATATGACGGAGCCCACATCATCATTAGTTCCCGGGCTTTCATTTGGAGAAATCAGAGAAGGTCGCCTCTTAGACAAGGCTGAGGCTTCGAAAACTTCGTGTTTCGTCACCCAGCGAATCGGCTGGGAATAGCCAGGGCAGTGTACGCCGAGTCGAGTACAGCGGCCACACGAGGGCCGAGATTCGTCGCATTTGAGCTGGGGAGAAGTTAGCCATTGTCAGGTCAGGAGGGAGCCGCAAGTCAGATCTCGGAGATGTACGCGTTTGCTCTTGCACGTGGCACACCCATGCCGCGACTTCTTGATGCCTCGCATTATGCTCTGTGAGTGTCCAATGCCTCCGTCAATCGCCAGATAGCGCTGCGTCTAGATAAGGAAGGCGCGGGGAAGCCCGCCAAGGAGCGCCGTTATGTAATTAGCCCGATGGAACCCAATTGGCTGGACTAGGTGGGGGCCACATTGTATGTTTCTTTTCTATATTTATCCATCATGCATCATTGAAGAATCACAGAATGCTGTCTCTACAGGGCCAAACCGCTAGACCCTCAATGGGCCTTTTTGTCCGCGTTTTTCCAAATTTGAATTGAAAGATGATAGTGTGGATTCAGTGCCGTAATAGTTAACTAATACCAACTCTGCCGTGTCTGTCAATGTCAATGCTCCGCGCAAAACAAAACAAGGAGGCTGAGACCGGTGGGTCTGCAATTTGCTCTATTCCGGATCGGGCTATGAGGCACGACGCTAATTGCCCAAAGGGGCAGCCCTTAAACGAAAAACGAAGGAACGAGCGAAGCTTGTTTTTGAAGCCTGTTAAATCTGGACGCCTCAGGCCTGCATCCACATTCTCTCCTTGTCTCATTCTTCAACCCTGCCCGTCTGTCTTTCCTTCTGGCCCTTGTCGTTCGCTACTTAATCAAAACGTCCGTTCTCATCGTCTGTTCTCACCTTCGTTCTTCGTCAGGTCCCTCCTAACCCATACACTCGCTTGGCACATGATGCATACCTTCTTTTCTGTCCCTTTCTCCACATGATGAGACTTGCCGCCTTTCGTTCACCTGGCCTGCGGCCTCTGCTCTTTTCCTTGGTAGTAGTGACCACTGTTGCCTCCAAGATCCTACATTTATATCAACATATTCGAAGCGTCCCATATCTGTCATTTCTGCTATATCTACCGACCTTCTTTCTTACCGACCTCGTCGTTTGTGTCCTTGCATGGACTTTGCTGTCGATATTCCCGGGTGCCTGGGGTACTGCGGCATTGGTCGTCGTTGCCATTTTGGGGTATGTACTGGTTCATGCCAGCTTTTTGTTTGTTGACTTTCTAGCCACGCTAACTCGAATGCCTCTAGTGTTTTTGACTTCGGAGCAGCTTCGTCTCAATTTGGGTTTTTCTATGTTACGGGTGCCGAAGTGCGATGGGACGCTGCATCGAGCCTCGCCACTGACGCCGCTGGCTTCAAGCTCCTCCTGAGCGGCTTGATACCTGTTTTTGCTTCCGGCACACTTCTCCTTACTATCAGTTGGGCTCTCGCGCCTCTGATTTCGCTCGCCTTTGACAATTGGCTCTCAGTCATCACTGATACGGCATCCGTGCTCACCAATGCTAGAGGCAGATACCTCCCGCTTGCCAACGAGCCCAAGCGAACCAATCGACGGAGATATGCTGTGTTTTTTACAACGGTTGCACTAATATCTGTCGTTACATATATCCGCCTGTACCGACCAAACGTGCCGTATCGCCATATGTCTGGAACGATACCTTTTACATTATTGGCCGTCTTTCAACATCCAAACAAAACATGTACCGCACACGAACCGCAGCCTTTTCCCTTATCCAAGTTGGTTGAAAGTCAATATTGGGAACCCCAGAATGGGCGGTACAAAGGCTGGATGCCAGATTGGACCCTTGTTAAGAATGGCTCGTTGGCAACAAAGACACCATTATGGGCTCCTGAAACATGGCCTGCAGGATTTAAAAGGTGGTCCAATAACCCGAATGAAAACGGACTCCTAGATTCCGAGATGACTGCCGATGATGTGACATGTCCAAGTATAGACTATCTTCAAATTTCATATAACCCCATTCTAGATCCAATGCGCATCACCAACTTGGATCTTGAGTTGCTATCCCCGGTGCAGAAAGCATTAACAAATCATCAGATCCCAATCCGGCATGTGTTTCTCATCGAAATGGAAAGCGCTCGCAAAGACATCTTTCCAATAAAATCGGGTTCTCACCTTCATCAAGCGATCAAAAAGTCCCATAAATCAGCGACTCAGAAAGACATCAATGATCTCAATTCACGGCTAGCTGCTCTGACACCGGTAGCTGAACAGATCACCGGTGAGTCTGGCAATTTTCAGCTAGGAAATAGAGGCAACCTCACATCTGAGTTGTGGAAAGACAAATCTGGTCCTGGGATGGGCGGGATCAATGTACTTGGCGCAGTAACAGGAAGCAGTCTGTCTTTCAAAAGCGTGTTGGGAAGTCACTGCGGCGTGGGACCTCTCCCGGTGGATTTCATGTTTGAAGCTGATGCTGAAATCTACCAGCCATGCATTATGCAGATTTTCAAGCTATTCAACCAGCTTAAAGATAATGATGAAGACACATCAGAGGATATGCGCACAAAAAAGTGGAAATCTGTTTTCATGCAATCTATCACCGCAGAATTCGACCATCAAGACAAATTGAACAAACAAATGGGGTTTGATAAATCGGTGGTCAAAGAAAATATAAGATTACAAAGGGCAAAACACTATCACAAGGGCATGGAAGAGATCAATTATTTTGGGTAACACGCTCACAGTATTGATCATTTAAAACCACCCGCTAATATGACCATCAGTTATCCCGAAGTGGAAATTCTTCCATACCTGAAAGATACCATTGAAGAAGCCAAGTCTAAAGATGAGAGACTGTTCCTTTCGCATTTCACAAGCACCACACATCACCCATGGGGACTGCCCTCGGACTTTGAGTCTGAACAATACTGGGCTAGTAATCATCTCGTTTCGGAGCATGAGGATAACAACAAGTACCTCAACGCTGTTCGATACGTCGACAGATGGCTTGGTACTATCATGAAACTTTTAGAGAATACCGGAATTGCGAATGAGACGTTGGTCGTCTTCGTCGGCGATCAGTTAGTGTTATGATCCTGAATCTTCTACCCTTTCATCTTGCTAACAATTCACACAGTGGACAAGCATTTTCGGAAGACTCGCATACCGTTGGAACCTTTGAGAATGGTCATATCAGTAATTTCCGAGTCCCCTTAGTATTTCGCCATCCACTATTACCGCGTATTGAGGTGACTGCCAATACCTCGTCGATATCGATTTTACCCACAATCCTAGACCTCTTGGTGAACACGAATTCTCTGAACGAGCGGGATAAAGATGCGGCTTCCGACTTGATCCATGAGTACGAGGGCCAATCACTGTTGAGGCCTTTCAAGGCTTCGCACAACGGTCGAGAGGCGTGGAACATGGGCATTATCAACACCGGCGGCACCATGCTCAGCGTGGCATCCGCAGCTGTTCCCTACAGACTCATTCTTCCTCTAACCAAAGATTTCACTTATACTTTCTCGGACATTTCTCGGGATCCGAACGAAACAGACGTCATTGTAGACTGGGATTTCTATACCCTACTCCATATTATCGAAAGGAAATATGGTCATGAAGCGGTTCGCTGGGCGAAGGACGCAGAGAAAGTGGGAAGATGGTGGGTGGACGAAAAGAAGCGGCTTTGGAACTACCATGAAAAATGACTGGGAAAATAAATAATAATGCATTTCAATGTACACTATTAATGAAAACGAATACAAGCCATCGCGATATGCGCATGTGGCTGAGCTCTCGAGCGAGCTCGCGTATGAAGGACTATCCATCAAATCTTGAAAACTTCAATTCCTATCCCTTTGTAAGCACTGTTTCCAATATAAAGAATTTCGTCATTCGGATACGCTTTGATCCATGAGATGATTTGGGCTGTCTTTTAGATGCAGTCCTCGGGTTTGGGTAGCTCAATTTTCTTTCTTGCATTCGGCGAGTGCCTTTTGTTATTTCATACGACGTAGCGTACTGTATGTAATTGACCGCTAACGTTATAACAGAGGGTCGTTGATTCGTAATCATTCGCTTTGCAGAGATTTCGATGCTCTGCTTCATTGCTGACTTGCTTCTCATAGAAATAAGAGATCTTATGGCAGCACTTGTCGGATACCCAAGACAATGAATGATTGGAATTTTGTTGTCATCTTTGCTCTTTCACGTTTCTAATCGAGCCGTGTCTCAAGCAGCCAGTTTGCAACTGTTAGACATCTAAGAAAGGCTGTGGACTGGCACTTTATCTCTAGATGCCAGGTCCCATTGTGTGAAGGACTAAGCTTGGTGTTTGATGCTGCTCGCAAGTTGGACGTATCCTGTCTGATATCTCGGGCTTGTACTAATGATAGTTAATAGTTAGCATGGTCACAACGAATGCATAATGGTTGCATTACCGTCACTTCAGGAGTTTTCGGGGTAGGAGCAGCAGGACAGCGCCCAGAGAAAGTGGTGAAACCATAGAATGCTCCCTAGCAGGGTGGTAACAACTCCATACTGTGGCCAAAATCTACCAACCCGTATTTGTTGGTTGGTCGCTGTGCTAGGAAAACATATAGATCGGAGGTCGAAAAGAAATCGTACTGGAGAAGTATCACTCGTCCACAAAGTCGTTGCCATCCTGTCTCTAGCGCCGGACATGATAGGTGTGCCAAATTCCGCACGAAGCAGGCACATACTTAGAGATATGAATTCCCCCATCGAGGCAGCCTAGTATACTGCTCAGGAATTACTGGAGATGGGCCGATAATATCCAGAAAGCCTCCCCTGTCGGCTGGATCTATCTTGGCAAAGGCTCTGACGACATCATAGTACCCAGCTTCGTCATTCGAAACTGCGGCAAGCATCCATTCGAGCAGTCTTCTGAGTCGTACCAGGTCTTGATTTGATAACGCTTTAGGCCTTCCCCAGTGGCCTTGATCAATTGAGATGCAGGCGCCTGCATCATGCTCTTAACGATTGCTGTTGAGGTAGTCCCTCAGCTGGTCTGCTGCAAGTGGCCATTCATTTAATGGGGATTCGCTTGCAACGGGCTTACACTGAGTGACAAGAAGAGGTTTCCTTGGTCCAGTAGCGGTGATTGATATGGCCCACGATCCTCTTTGCATATTTAATGACTTTTTGTATGGTCTCAAGCCGCCAATCTTGCTAAAGCACGGCTAGTGTTTTCCCTTTATGCTGTACGCTTCTTTCTTTTAGTCATATTATGTGACATCTTAGGTAGTTAGGACGGTGAGAGCTGCTAGGGATCTGTCAAGAATGTTAGATAATAGAATAAACAGCAGGCTAGCCGTAACCTACTTCCTTCTAAAGAGAAAAAGGCACGTTTAAAGACTTCAACGTCGCCTTTGACATGATTGTTTTGGAAGCGAGTTCAGCTAATGGCAAAGAACAGCTGCACATGGGCCCTATCACCGTTGATCCAAATACGCATATCATTGTGAAGCTTTTTGCTAGATTCGCTCCAGCCAGCTTCGTCAAAAATATATGTCATATCCGAAATGAGCTCTATATTTGGCTCGTGTCGGCTTGAACGCGTGGGAGGGAGTGAAAAGCTTGGAGGCCATGTTGATATTGCAAAGACATGACTCTATGAGTCTGTGATAGTCAACAGAATGGTAGAAGAAGTGTCCATGGATTGAAGGAATTAAGAAGATACCTTGAATGGAAAGGGGAAGGAGGACGGGGAAGAATGTTTTCAAAAGGGGTTTCCTTGACCGAAAGCTGGAAGGGGCGAGAGACTGGCGCCCCGGTGCCCGCCTTCCCAGTGAGGTATACATGCGCATAGAAGTCTGGTTGCTGCCTGGTTGCCTGACCAGAGTTATCAGTTTATGCATTCTTGATTCTTGATCGCTATCAAACCCGGCTGTACGTTCCATTACAAGCAAAACGAGTGAGTGATCCAGTAAGCAGTTCAATCAGCAAACATAATACATGTAATTGATATTTGAAAAAGCATGTCAGACTCTGAACCGAGGCCAAATATTCAGTACTGCGATTATTTATGATGTGCATACACAAATGGCCATGTGTAGCAGCAGAGAGCCTCAGGCAGATCGATGCCTCAGGCTCCCAAAGACCGCCCCCACCACGGGCCGTTTCTTTAAGCGTAGAACAATCGATGAAAACAATAGTTACTTGCTTTACTGGAGACTACTAATTGACTAACTCTTGCGTCTCCCTTGACTAGCTTTCTCTCATCAACTACATATCATCTCTTCATTCCTGATTCTCGAGTGAAACATACATCATGGAGCAGGGCAAATATACCGACTCTCCGGAATGGTCAGACATCCAACCAATCCCTCTCGACGACGGCTCGCGCGAAGAAGAAAATTATGGGGGCAGCAGTAACCCTCTGGCAGTCATTGCCTACAAGCCAGAATACCTAGAAGCCACTTCTTATCTGCGTGCTGTCATGGCAGCTAATGAGATGTCTGAACGTGTTTTGAGATTGACCGAAGACGTGATTTCAATGAATCCGGCACATTATACTGTTTGGTATGGTTTGCTTAAACATCTCTGGCGAAAAAGCAGCATCCTAATATATGGTACAGGCTTTATCGAGCAAAGATTTTGTTTACGCTTGAAAAAGATTTGACTAAAGAGCTTGCGTGGCTGAATAAAATATCCCTCAAGTATCTCAAGAATTATCAGATATGGTACGACTGTTTCATACTAGGCTTCCCTGAACATTTGCACGACAGTGACTAACAAATCAATGACAGGCATCATCGCCAGCAACTCATGTCATCAAGAGAACATTTCCCGGCCCTTCCATCCGACGAACTGGATTTCTTGATGGACATGTTTGCAGCTGATTCCAAAAACTACCATGTCTGGTCATATCGACAATGGCTTGTGCGGCATTTTGATCTCTGGGATGAGCCACGAGAGATCAGTGACGTGAACACGCTTTTGAATGAAGACGTCCGCAACAATTCTGTCTGGAACCATCGGTATCTGCTCCGTTTCGCGCCTCGACAGGGGCCCGAAGCGGCGATGGCCACGGGCAGCTACACGTTGGGAGGAGATGAAAAGGGCCGTCTAGATGTCGTTGACGAAGATGTTGTTGATGCAGAACTTGGGTATGCTCAATCAAAAATTGTGCTTGCGCCCGAGAATCGTAGTCCCTGGCTCTATGCGCGGGGTGTGTTGCGCGCTGCAGGTCGACCGCTTTCAGAATGGAAAGGGTTTGCGAGTCGGTTTATCACGGAAGAAATTGTTGGTGATGCCGGAAATGATACAATCATACACGTTAAAAGCAGTATAGCTCTTGAGTGGCTAGCCGATGTCTCCGGTGAAGAAGCTACACATCAAGAGCTGGAAGAAGACGCCAGGAAAGAGAAAGTGGCCGAGGCAGTGAAGATGTTAAAGTTGTTGAAGGATAAGTACGATCCTATTCGGAAGAATTATTGGGACTATAAGATCCATCAGCTTTCTGTTGCAGTTGCTGTTTGAAGCTGTCATGGTGAACTCGTGATTATTTGAAGGATATGTACATTGATATTATCGAACGAAAACGAATAAAACTTCAGTCCCAGCCATTAGCAAGTTTCTCTCTCCATTCACTCGCCATGCCAGTCGTGACATTACTGCCGCCACATACAACAATCACCACACGACTTTCGCGAGTCAAGCCAGGAACCAACTGTTTCAGACACGAAGACGTTAACATAATATCGCTTTCTGCATCAGAGGCAATACCACTATCAGAACACGAGACATTCAACCCTGTATCGTCATCATCTTCTCCATAGAAGCCTTCATCATTTGCTACTGCTTTTGCTCTCTTTTCGCCACGAGAATGGTGTTGCAGTGAAATGGATCTTTTTCTTTTATTGCCATCCCCAATAGCAGCTTCAATACACACCCCGCAAGCCAATTCCACCAGAATTCGCTCATCATCAGCCAAACGCAGACATCCCCTCGCTGCATCGGCGTCGGACAAGACAGCACTATGAATGACAACACCAGGAGGCGGCGACACGCAATATTCAAAGGTTTGCTCGGAGACTCGCACACAGGCCAGCGAAACAGCCATCGATGTGATCTTTGGTAGCGTAACAAGAGCTCCCGCGGACATGGCGAGGTTCATTGATTGTGTGCCATCCGTTTCGACGGCTAGGATATGAATATCCTTACGCCGTGTTATCTTTGTGCTTTTCTTTTGCTGTTTCGTTCGGTGTCGCTCAATTCCCTGAACTAGCCCATTCATCAAGCCTCCTCCACCGACACTGCAAATGAGGGCATCGACGGGGAGTGTCTCTTCCTCTTCCTCTACTCCCTCGAGATAGCCTTCCCCTTCTTCAAAAGCGGGTAATTGATAAGCCAACTCGTCAATAATAGAACTATTTCCATCCCAAATCGCCTCATGATCGAACGGGTGCAGGGCAATCTTTTTCATTTGTTTGCTATTATTATCCCTTCCTTCCTGCTCCTCGTCTGGAGATAGTTCAGAGTCCTTCTTCATGACTACTTCTCTCATATAGTCGCCCGCTGCAGCTATCGTATCGCCGTACTGAATCACCTGCGTCGCCCCGGCGGCACGCAGCTTGTCCACCATGAGCCGCGACGTGGTCAGGGGCAGGACGACTGTGCAAGGGTATGACAGGGAGCGAGCAGCACACACAGCTGCCAAGCCAGCATTTCCACCGGAGTTTATGAAGAAGTGCAATTGTCGGTTTGCATTTTGCGGGTTTTGGATGTGATGAAGGATTAGTGAGCCCATAGCCCTATATCAATCAAGCCACGTTAATCTATATGATAATCCAAATTTTTTTGGGTTTGAGGGACTATGGAAGTTTGATTTACCTTGATTTGAATGATCCACCAGGCTGTAAATTTTCGAGCTTGAGAAATATTCGACTATATCAAATGTTAGCCCCGACTGTTTGTTCTAAGGCTGTATCTTGTATGTGGTAAGGAAAACATACCATCCAGCCTTCTTCGACAAAACTGCGGACTCGACGAGAGGAGTCTCAATCCACGGCTTCCGATGTCCATGTTTGTTTGTACGAGATGCCATATCTTCTGTGGTCATCGAAGTAGAAGAGGGGGGAGGGGGAGAAAGGGGGGAATCGAGTCCGCCGTTCATTTCTGTAGCTTCCTTCTCTGATTTCTGTGATCTATCTATATGAAAAGAGGAGAATATAGCGGGTTAATTCAGGTTTGAAGGAATGAGTAGGTATATGAAAGATTAGAAAGAAATAAATTAGCACGCAGGAATATGGATAATCTGGGACTATATACAGAAAATAATTCCAGTTAGCCACCTAACTAAACTAACCCATTGTTCCACTTAGTCAGGTATCAGTGATCACACTCGCCATCAATTCTAGATCCTACGTACTTCATACTACGGAGACTATTATTATTTTCGTGCCACTGCCCAATACCTATTAGGAAGACAAGCCCTAAGCCCGTATTCCCTCCTCCTGACTTTGCCAACAAACGGGAATATACGGCATGTTCCCTTTCACATGATGTTCACAAGAGTATGTCGGCTATCTCTGATGTATCTCCAATTATATCACATATGTTACATAGCTAATTGGTGATATTTGATAGCCAGATAGAGAGAGAGATAGGATTGGAGTTTCCCGAATACTTGGTTCTCCGCGGAAAGCCAAAGCGCGAGTCAAGTCGAAGGTCAGAGGTTTTCCAGGGAAAATTGTCTATTATTTTGCTATTGCAGGCCTTGCAAGGAGGCGTACTTGTGGATTCTATGGGGTAATGGCTTTTCGCTTTCTTTCCCTTTTTTTTTTTTTTTTTTTTCTTCTCTCTTGGTTGGGCTCATGGACTGATGCCGGGTGTAGCCGCCGTCATCCGAATCGAGATTTGAGATATAAGACTTCTATTGCCAGCTGAGAGACAAGTTTAGAAATACAGGATTGTAGGTATGGTAGTCATTTACATATATTATACATACACCAGCAGTTGCGATGCGTCTAGACTTACGCCTGTAAGAGCCACCCCTCTTTAAGCCCGAGGACAACAACGAGCGGAAACTGTATATCCAAAGGCTCCTTCTTATTTCTCCATCAGAAGCTGCCGGAATAGGTGTTTATTCCTTTTCACGTCGTGGCCATAATCAAAGTCCGCTCCATAACTGGCCGATGAAAACCCCCTTGCGGAGGCACCCACGCCGAGAAGATCCAGCAATTCCGTGGATTTTTGGGGCATGAAAGGTTGCAGGAGAATGCCAGCGATGCGCAGACCCTCACACGCGTTGTAAATACAGCGGTAGCCTTGACTGGGGTCCCCCGTTGTGTCGTGGTCCCATGGTGCTGATATGTGGAAATAATATTGGACCTGTAGTAGATGTCATTCCAAAAATTAGTTTCAAGGCGAAGGCTGCTTGTTGCCATGATTTGATCTCTCTCACCAGTTGCACGAGTTTCGCGATTTTTTCAAGAGCTCTTTTCGGATCTAAATTGGCGTCCATTGACTTTCTGACACTTTTTGGCCTACTACGAAGACAGGCTTCAATTTCAAGATCCGATGGCTGTGGTTTAACAAGTGTACCATTCGCCGCAGCTTCTATGCACGGCCGCAATTGCAACTTAGCAACACCCAATGTGCGACTTGTCAAATTGCCGAGTCCACGTTGCAGATGCGTCCTGTAGTCGCGAACGACATAAGAGTTGTCGTAATCAGAATCATTATCTTGTGGGCCTTGAAGCATGAGGAAGAACCGCATGGAATCCAAGCCAAACCGGTCTATGGCAAAGAAGGGGTTCACGACATTGCCTGTGGACTTTGACATTTTCGCCTGGTTCATTGTCCAGTGACCATGGACAAGAACTGTCCGAGGAAGAGGCAAGTCAAGTGCCATGAGGAATGCAGGCCAGTACACGCAATGGAAACTGTGTGATTGTGTGTGACTGTAAGCAATGAAATAGTGGAATACAAGAACCGAAAAAAAAAAAAAAAAAAATCTCAGACTCACCGAACAATGTCTTTTCCTACAACGTGGATATCAGCTGGCCAGCCCATTTCCGATTCCTTGCCTGGGGTGAAAGGATAGCCAGCCTTTGTTAGGTAATTAACAAGCGCATCTAGCCAAACGTAGATCGTCTGGGATTCGTCCCCTGGAACCCTAACACCCCAGGTCAGACGCTCGGCGGGCCTGGATATTGACAAGTCCTGCAATCCCTCTCTTACAGACTTCACCAGAGCATCCATATGATGCTTCGGTCTGACAAAGTTGGGGTTTTTCTCATAGAACTGGAGAAGTCGGTCCTTAAAGGCAGATAAACGGAAGTGATAGTTGGTCTCCGATGACCATTCAACTTCTTTTCCGGTCTCAACCGAAACCTTTAAAATGTTACTCGATAATCCCTATTGAGAAAAGTGGCAGAAAAAGCACCTACCATTAATTTTCGGCCTGTCGCGGGATCCAAAGAGGGCTGCACCTGTGACTTCGGATAGAACGCTTCGTCACTGACAGAGTACCAGCCTTCATGCTTCTTGGTATATATGTAACCACGATGCTGAAGCATTTCCCAGAAATATCGCACAGCATCCTTATGCGCTGTATCCGTGGTCCGGATGAAGTGATCATGCGACAGGTTTGCGGCTTTTGCCAGATCCTTGAACGTGTTGCAGTTCATATCACAAAATGCCTGCGTATCCATGGCTACATTTTGCGCTGCCTGTTGTATTTTCATGCCGTGTTCGTCGGTGCCTGTGAGAAACTGAGCGTCGGAATTGCCTAGGAGGAGCTGCCATCGCTTAAAGGTATCCGCAAGGATCATGGAATATAGGTGACCGATATGGGGGGCTTTTTTTCATATGAGAAGTTAGCAGTTGTTTAAACACAAAGACAAAGGCCTTGACCCTAACCCGCATTCACGTAGAAAATCGGTGTTGTGACATAAAAAGGCTTTTTGGGACTGTCAGTCGCATAGTGACGCGCTCTCGAAAGCCGCCTCGTTGGAGACGAAGACGCGGTGTGTGAGAGAAGATATCTCGATCGAAGTGAATTTGAAGTCGCTAAAAAGCACTGTAGCGGTCGTTTTATTGTCGCCATTGGCTAGGAATATGGAAGGCACTATTTATTTGCTTGAACGAAATGCTGAGATTGCGGAGAAAGGAAGTCACCCCCGAGGTGGTCCAAGCGTTCTGGATTTATTTTTCTGGTCTTTTGTCTTCCTTGCCTACGAACTTGCGAACACTTCTCTCCTCCCAAGCTTGAGAAAAAACAACCCTTGTACATCTGCTAGGATTCAAAGCTGCAAAATGGCCACTCCAAAAGAAGATGACTATACTAAAGCATCTACAGAAGGTGAGACGACACAGCTCCAACCACCAAGCAACGCAACGATTCTAACGCAAAATCTTAGGGGCATTGGACTTTGTTCAGCTATACCATTCAGCGCTCTCGTCAAATAAAAGGTCGATAGCTTCATTCTACAGCGCTACGCCCACCAACATACTGTTCAACGGAAACGTCATTGCGGACGGCCCCGCGGTCGAGGATATTTTTACCAAACAGCTCCCCACAGCCCACCATGAGATTCAGTCTGTCGATTGTCAGATTATCAATAAGACCTATCCTACAACTACGCCTGGTACAAGTGTCAGAGCGAATGCCAAGAATATATCCATGCTGGTCGCAGTGAGCGGGTCGGTGAAGTACGGAGACAAAGACTCTCCGCTGCATGGGTTCAGCGAGACATTTGTCCTGATCCCCAACACGGAAAGCAAAGAGAAGAACAGGAAGGACTGGGTCATTCAGAGTCAAAACTTCCGATTAGTCGCTTGATCGCCAATGTCATGCCCATTTACGCTGTTCCGACCACCCATAAGAAGTCGAGTCCAGCGAAAAGCAGCGCCGATTACCATCGGACGAAACTTATGAACTCCTTGTCGGTCGCAAATTTGATCTCACTCGCTCTATCAGTTCATCTCGGGATGCTTTGTCTGATGGCAAAAGATTTCTCTGCGCACAGTCAGCTGGACATATAATTTCTCGTTTCAAAACCAGAGCACATCGGCTTACCGCTCGAAGCCATCTTCTTAGCTCTTCTGTCGTCCATTCTTCGGGTTCTATGAATGATCAGAGACAGCTCGCCACACAAAGGCCGGTGTATATCCGGCGTCTGCTTCGCAATGCTTCGAGTATCGTACCTCCTTTAGGGTCTGGTTCCGTGGGAAACATATCGCTGCCCCATATTGTCCAGGCGGATACAGCTGTGATGATTCCGGCAAAGCCTGTTTACCATCAGTATATTTTTTGTCCGTGTATTGAAAGGATTTGAGGTATTGTACCTAGAAGAAGATTCTACAAGCATTAGTTAGCTAGGATGTTGCTCGAGATGCAGAACTCGACGCACCTTGGAATGGAGGGCTTTATCTAATTGAGTCGGCATTGTTTAGAGATGATTAATTTGTATTGATAAGAATGGAAATAATGATAGGAATAGGCACGATAGCTGAAGACGAAACATGAAGGAAAATAATCCAAGGCAGCTCTATTTTTGAGCTCGCCATCTAGCATCATCTATCACATGTCATGCGCGCAGCCTCAGGCAACGAACGGCAGAGCTGCCGCGCACCGCCACAAGACACCAGCCAAACCACAAGCCGCGCCACGCAGGGAGGGCTCCGGCGGCGCAAACCCTAATTTCCGCAACGGATCCCACAATTTCTGGTCTGATCGAGATTGGTCGGGCCTTCCAGACCCGACGACGTCAATCGATTCCAAGAACCACCAGCCTTCTTCTGCATTCTTCCTTCTGCCACGCTCAATCTTGCAAATTCTGTGTCTTAGCACATTTCTCAGAAAATCTTTTCAAGATGCCTTCCGAAGTCTCCGATATCAAGCAGTTCATTGAGATCTGCCGCCGGAAGGACGCTTCCTGTATGTTTCCTTTTCCAGAACGATCCAAACAAAAATCCGCTCTAGTTGCAGAGAGATAATGCTATTGTTTTCTCCCGGACGCCTGGTTGCTGCTCCATACTAATCATATCTCGTATATAGCCGCCCGGATCAAGCGTAGCCGCAAGTCCAGCCAGACCAAGTTCAAGGTCCGCTGCAACCGCTTCCTGTACACTCTCGTCCTCAAGGACTCCGACAAGGCCGACAAGCTCAAGCAGAGCCTTCCTCCTGGTGCGTTTTCTTAAAGGGGGGAAAGGACAATGAAGGATCACCGTCAACTAACAGGAATCTGAGAAAAGCCCTGAAAATCGTCGACGTCTCCAAGGGCGCTAAGAAGAAGTCCATCTAAATCAAACCCATAATTCGGCATTGAGTCAAGGGGGAACGGAAGGAATATGGAGTGTGCGACATGATACCATGCGAAATTATCGAAAGAATGGATAATGACATGTGAGCGGATTGCATATGGAACAAACAGTATCCGTTTTGGAGATGCTATGACAGAAAAACAAAACATGCTGCAATAATAAACGGTTCAAGATCGACCGATGTGAGGAGAAGACTATTCTGCAATGACATATCTAGGATGTGTTTTTGCTGTATCTTCTTCCTGATTTGACATGTATTATACATCTAAATGTCCGATCCCATCGGTTAGTCCCTGCCATCAGTTCCCATCTTGGGGCACAGGAACTTACCTAGTTTCAAATCACAAGAGAAACCAAATAAAAAGTTCAAAAAAAAAAGTATTGTTCTAGTCTAGTTCGTCGTTATAGTATAACTCTATATACCCGCCTACACCATATTTATCCGCGAGTCTAGCAACCTCCCCTTCCTCCAAGTTATACCTTCTCAATTCAAACTCCCCGAAATAATTCGGTTCTTGAGCCACTTTCTCGAATCCAAGGGACTCGAATAGCGCCAGACTTCTGCCGTTGTCCTGCCCAATCTTGACACTCAGACACTTGATCTTCTTGTTCTCTGTTCCTTCTGCAGCCGATTGCAGAAACTCGCGCACAATGTCATCCTCATGTCTCGTAACAAACCATAGAAAACTAAGCAGCGCAGCACGTCCAAATCCTCTGCCTTGATTCCGTTTCTCGGCAATCATAAGCTCAATCTCGCCTATTACATTAACCTCCTTTTGTTTGTCGTTGCTATCACCATCATCGTCATCAATCCGTAAAAACAGATTGGTATCCCCAATCATCCGATCTGGCGCATCGTCTTTGCCCGACGATAATGCCGTGTTACTACTCGATGGTAGAGCCAAACAAGCAATAAACGTCAATTTGTCGGCATCCTGTCTCCAGCTTTGTTGCATAGAGTATTCCTCTTCCAGAGTCAGGGGCTCGGATGCTGTTGCTTGTTGGATTTCCTGTTCTTCATATTAAAATCTATGCAAACTGCTGGGAAATATGTTATAAATACCTCATCTTTCATCCATTCGTGATATTTCAGAACATGGCGTTTGGAATAGGGCACTAATAAAACGGCCGATGTTGACACGGCTGGCACGAGTAATAAGTTAAGCCGTACTTCTGATGAGGAAAAGATAATCACTTTACCTGTAGACGCGTTTAGAAGCATTGTCGATCTTAATTGTATTTGTTTTGTTGCTGCTAACAATGATGTTATAGGTTTATGCGAAATGTGGAGGGGGGATTTGTAGAAAGTAGAAGTATGTATTCAGGACGGAATCGAAGTGGTTAAGAGTAAATGACCATTCTGAGTAACAGGCTACTAAGAATATCTAGAGAACTACATTATGATGATTTCCTCTGTTATTTAACATGTAAATCCAATTTCCCAATGTTCCAACAGATCTCATACATGATTCATCTATCCTCAGATAAATTCTCACACGTTGGCCGTACTTGGCGGCACTCCCGTATGGTGCCAGCTTGCTCAGGCATCCAACGGATCTAAAGATGGCATCAAAACAAACTCTGCGCGTGAGAATCAATTCTAGTAATACATTTCATAATTCGTACTGTTTCTCTGGCTCTATAACTATTGAGTAGTTCTCTTTATGAGGGAAAAAAAGGCCCTATTTTAATTCTTCATGCCCTGAAAATAGCTGAAATTTAACCACCTCAACTTCCAACGTCTCCGAATCGACGAGAACCAGCTCCCCTGTTTGGTGAAACTTGGGTATTGAAATCAGGCGTACACGCGTTGGTGGCTTTTCATCCTCAGTATTGGCCATCTCTGAATCTGGTCCGTTTAATCTGAATGGTGGTGGCTCGCTTTCTACCACGATGGTCTTGAATTGTGATTGATTGCCAATGAAGAACAGATGTGGACAGGCCTGAAGAATGAATGGGTCATGTGTCTGGAAGGGATAGCACCCTGCAATAACCTGTTAGGAAAACTGAAGTCTATGTTGGATGTACAAAGAGATGTTACTCACATAGTGTATCAGGAGCTGTCGGCACTGCACATCTCCACCGGAGCATGGCTTCCATGATGCGAACGCTAGTTTCTCCATCGTTTTCTGCACCGGGGTTTCCATCCTCGTCGGAAAAGTCTAGATAACGGAGAACGTCATCCACGTTCTGTCCACTGCATCCCCACAGCCGCCATCCGTCAACGTAGCCCTCCCAAGGATTCGTGACGTTGTCGAACCAGCCCGGTTCTACAGCTGCATCTCCAGGCTGGCCGTCAGAGCAGTACATCCTCGCCCGGGGTAACATTGCGCGGTGAATCCCTTGCTGAGGTAAAGAGGAGTTCGCAGGATCGCTCTCGCCTGGCATCAATGTCACCGGTATACTGGGAAGTAACTCCGAAAGGAAATTGTCGAGTTGAGTAATAGGAGATGCATTGTACGCCGAAGCATCGTATCCGTATTTTTTGGGTGCCTGTTTCTTCCTCTGAGCCATATCTCCATCCATAGCTGCTGCGGCAGTTATTGTTTCGACATCGCCCAACGAGTTTCCTGCAATGACCAATCGAGATATCCTCGCCGGGGATTCATCATCTTCACCTCCAGGTCCTGTGTAGCCTAGTAAGTAATCTGTCAGAAGCTCCAAGGTCAGACTATCGCTCGACGAGCCAGTTATGCCTAGCCCGCTCACGAATGCTATTTTCGAGGCTTTGCCGCTTGTGTTTTCCGTGCGTTTTATTGTGGGTTCTGTCTTGTCTGTTGGCGCCATCTCCCACCTTAGCGGCTGAGCTGGGAAATCAGGGACCTTGATATCGATAACTTCAAAATCACCATTCGAGTTCTCCGTACCCAGAACGGCGATAATAACGCCAGTCACTAAATGCGTTGTTCGAAGCAGAATTCCCGTCATTCTGAGACGACCTGACTCATCTTCTAACATTATCTGGGTGGTATTCGGGTTCGAGGGATCGATATAGGTCTGTCGAGGTGGAGGGGCTGAGGCGTAGTTCTTTCCAAATAGAAACAATGCTATCAGATTATTATCTCTCGGCTTAGACATGCGGACAAACTCACGTCTTTTGCAACATCATCGAGGATGTTAGGTTTCAAGGGCAGGTCCATGTAGACGGTTCCAGTGACCCAGCACAAGTCTCCCTGTCGCACATCCAGGACTCTCGGTACTTTGCGCGCCTTCTCTCCAGCAATCTGACGGTTGTCAATAACACAACATCGAGACTTGCTTCACACTGGTTCTGCCTACAGTAAATCCATCCCACGCATCTCGTCCAATCTTCTCTGCTGCCGGTTTGAGTTTCGCTAAACGCAAGAAATACAAATCGCCATATTGTTGCTGATACTGTCGGGTGTCAGCTTTGGGCAATTGAAAAGTGTGAAGCGGTGTATAGGCTGAAGCAGCGCGGTATTCAGGCTGGTATTCTTCGCCACTACAACAAAAACAAATAGCAAGTTAGTTCTATCTCCCTCATGAACTTCATGGCGGGGCCGGTTTACCTGGGCGGCTGAAGGAACCTGTCGCTCGGAGTTGTAGAGCTCATGATGATTTCAAATTATCATCATATATTTGTATAGCAGGTGCAGGGTCTTTCAAATGCGATAATTCAGATTGAGAAAAGAAAGCAAATTTGTGTCGAGAAGCAGAAGCGAAAGTGAAGCTCCAGCAGTTATGCGGAGGATGTGGAGTAACGCGCCGCAACGCGTTTTTTGGCGTTTTAATTGACTGATCCTTCTCTGCTCCATCGACACCTGGCATCGACCCATTTTTTGCAGCTTTTTTCCACGTCTGGAATTCTATTCTGACGTAGATTTGATACGGGATTGATTTGGTAAGTACTGTTTATCTGCGGAAAGACTGCGGACAGCGAACCCGGCTTAATTACATGTGAGACACCAACCGTTGCTTGTGGAACGACATAACCTCCAGGACAGCTGGAGATAACTCTGTCAACGGTCAGGATATGTGATCAATATACGATAGGTTCGGAAGACTGGATATTCGAGAACTGGCTGCTCACCACCTCAATGCGGTGCCTCGGAGAGTTGAAATCTGGTTTCCTCGGCTCATGGTGAGGGGGAGCATGAGTTGATACTCCGCTCGTGCTGGTATTCTTTCCATCTCGGAGAAATAGGATATCTCTTTTCTATACAGCCTGGCTCCATCTCGCCTCGTTTCTCCGTAGCTCTACCAGAGCGTCGACTATCTAGGGAACGAGGTATATCACACCGTTATTGACGCTATCAAGACAAAATAGACAGCATCGCAAGCCATGTCTTTGCAAACACCACTATGTGACCTATTGCACATCCAACATCCCATCCTCTTGGCTGGCATGGCCCGGGCCTCTGGAGCAGCACTTGCGGCCGCAGTATCTAACGCTGGCGGTCTTGGAAGCATAGGCGGCCTAGGATACACCCCAGCACAGCTAGACGAGATGCTCACCGAGCTCAAGTCACTACTTCGAGACCCAGATCTACCCTTCGGTGTCGATCTCGCTCTTCCGCAGGTCGGCGGCGGCGCGCGTGCGACAAACCATGATTACACACATGGCCAGCTTGATGAGTTAATCGAAACGACCATTCGACATGGCGCAAAGCTTTTTATTTCAGCTGTCGGAGTGCCGCCAGAGCGCACTATTAACCGTCTCCACGAGGCCAACATCCTGGTTATGAACATGGTAGGCGCGCCGAAACATGCGGAGAAAGCGCTGCAGCGCGGTGTAGATATCATCTGCGCCCAGGGCGGAGAAGGAGGCGGGCATACCGGTGACGTACCGTTCTCCGTCTTGATTCCTGCCGTTGTCGATGTTGTGCAGAAGCACAAAAGTCCTCTCACAGAAAAGACCCCCTTGGTTGTTGCTGCTGGGGGCGTGAATGATGGCCGGAGTCTGGCAGCCTCGCTTATGCTAGGCGCCTCCGGCGTCTGGGTTGGTACTCGCTTCGTCGCTACGACGGAAAGCAGCGCAAGCAAGTTTCACAAGGAAGCGGTGATTTCAGCAGGGTTTGGAGAGACGATCCGTACGCTTGTTGTTTCGGGCAGGCCGCTACGTCTCTTGCCAAATGACTATATCAAAGAATGGGAGCGGCGGCCACAGGACATTCAGAGACTAACGGATCAGGGCATCGTTCCGATGATGCATGATATCGAAAATAATGAGAACAGGGATATTGATTTCCCATTTCTGATGGGAAGCGTCTCGGCTATTGTTAGAGAAATCAAGCCGGCAGGGGATGTTGTTGCTGAGATGGTTAGCGATGCTATCGAAGTGTTGCGACGCGGTCAAACATATATCAAGGGAGGTGAAAGCAAGCTATGAATTGATGGTTGTAATATGATGTATATCTACGAATAATGGCTGCTCTTTCCTTTCCTCTCGAGATATGATGAAATGAATTGAATGGTATCCTGGTCGTAGTGACTATTAACAAGCAGGTGTTATGAAGTTAGGGTTAGGCGCATGAGGTTGGATATGTTTGACGAATGCTCTCTCCTTTTTTTTTTGCTCTCTTTTTCCCGCTAGTCTTTCGCAAAAAGAAACTTGCCAAAAAAAATAATACAGTACAATGAGGACGCCCTTGGTACATCTAGGAAGTTCTGACACTTTAATGTAGAACTTCTAGCCCCTATTCTAACATAACATACTTACAATCCGGCTTGTCGTGTGTTAAAACCTATGATCGCCCGAGTTAACGTATCGGTGGCTTCAAAAAACACACCCATATATAGTAAGTAGCATCGTATCCAGGTAAATTTGTCTGAACCATCTAAAAACTGATAATGTTTTTGTTGCCGTTGGTGCGCGCTTCTGCCAGTGCCGGAGGAGGCGGTGGTCCAAAAACGGGCTTTTCGATGCTGGCTTGCTCTGGGAACCGTTGGCGTATGGCTTCATATTCGTCTTCATCACTGATTACGCCATCCTCATCCTCATCCTCGTCCTCGTCCTCGTCTTCGTAATCATCATCTTCATCGTCGTAGTCACTTTGTGTGCCTTCTTCGTCGCCTTCGAGATCGCCAGAAAGTTCATGCTCACCAACATTATTTGAGTCGCCGCCTGTAAACCCGTGCCCTCGGCCCTGTTCTTGCATGCGGCGACACAACGCCTCAAGATGATGGCACTTTTTCTGGTATTTTTCGAGCTCCTGCTGATTCCGATTCCGCTCCTCTGCCATCTCTAAGATGTTGCGGTTCGTTTGATCGTGCTTGCGAGTCAACGTGAGATTCTCCTTTTCCAGCCGCTTTGTCTTCTTTGACATCTCTTCCATCTCCTTTCGGAAAGTCAAAAATAGCTCGTTGCTGTTATTCAGTGTATCCTCAACCTAGTAGCATTCAGATGAGCGATGATCCCTCTTGCTGTATATCAGAAAACAACATTTATTTCTCACCTGCTTGAATTTTTCAACGTATATATTGAGCTGGCTGCGGAGCTCGACTTCTGTGTGAGAAAAAGTCGACACCTGTGCCGTGAGAGCACGGCATCTCGACGCTTCGCTTTCTGCCACACGTTTCTGCTCTTCGTACTTAGCAGTGAGGCTTTGGATTTCTGCATCCTTGCTGCGCAATAGAGCCTTGACATGAAATTCGCGCAATTCGAACTTTTCACCAATCGTTTTGATCTTTGTACGAATCCTGTTTTGAATAGTCAGAGTCATGGTTCGGGCAGAGAAGCATAATTGCAGTGCTCACGCTTCATCCATGTCGATATCCATCTTCTCGTACTTCCGAGACTCTTTGGGAGCCATTACATCTTGTATATCGACGAGTAAAGAATTCAAACGTTCATTAACAATCATGCGAGCTCTCTTCTCGGTTTCCTCCAGCTTCTTGTTTTCGTCCTATACGTAGTTCCTTGCAGTCAGCTTGGCACAAGAATATGATGCGGCAACACTGCTGTTTACCTTTACTTTCTTGTTTTCCTTGGTTAGTTCTCGGCATAGCTTCTCCAACTTGTCCTTCATAGTAGCTGTCTTGCTGAGCTCCGACTTCCCCTTGTCCTGGTCTTTCTGCAGCTGGTCCGCTCTTTTTTTGCTTTTCGTATAGTCGCGGTCAAGCTTTTTCATCTCCGCTAGCAACTCGGTATATTTCTTGTGGACTGTCTCAAGGCGAGTCATCGGCGATTCGATATTGCTAAGCAGTTGATTCAGATCTCGCGTTGCTTTTTTCACCTCCCGCTCTAAATCATGTCAGATATGATTTGAAAAGATTTCTAAGAGAAAAATTTCTTATATTCTTGCTTTAAATTTTTTTTCTCCCTTTTCTTCTTCTTTTGAGGCTCTCTAGAGAAAAGCACAGAGCGATGATAAAGGCATAGAGACACAGGTTCACCCACCTATTTCGGCTTCCTGATCCTTCTCCCCGGCCGCATCCTGTTCCAATTGCGAGATCTTGGCAGCCAGCAACTTGGACGTCTCGTTGGGGTCGGCCATCTTCTTTCCTTTGGCCTTTTTGGACATTGTAGCCGATGCCATATTCAGTGCTGTCTACTGAGGCTTTAGAGGGGTTCTATGAGAATCAAACGATACGTAGGGCGTGTTCGCGTGACTGCTCGGTAGGGCTTCTTTCGATATCGCAACTGCCATGCCTCGACTGCAACAAGCCAGTTGCAGTCAAGGCAAACACGGTAGTATCCTTGCAAGACGTTCTCTGAAGCTTGGCGCGGCGAGGCTCGCAGTTGTAAAAGTCGACGATGTCGTTCGATTTGGATCCGTGGCTCTTCGGTCCGCAAGGTAGCCCTCTACGGATCCCGGTCTTGAGCAAAGCACAAGACCCTCCGTGGACTGCTGTAGGCGGCTGAACTAGCTAGAAACGCTGAGCGTGGTCCTGGTCAGAGTGGCTGCCAGTCTGGACTTGGTACATCGAGGATTTCTATTGGGGGTTTGAGTGTGATTTGAGACGGAGACGGAGCGACTGGCAAGAGGGGACTGGGCCGACTTGACCAATCCGAGCCTAGTGCAAAATTCTTACAGCTTTTTTCTTGGCGTCTCCGAACCATTTTACTGCTGGAGGTTCCTGCTTGTATAATTATCTTATCCTGTCATCCAACAAGCTTCCTTCCAACGTCTTCCTGTTCGTTTGTTGTTTCGTCACATTTCCCTCGTTCTCTTTGTTGGGGCCTCGCGTTCGATGAAGCTGCTGCAGTAGCTGTTCGATCGATTCAGCCCGTCATCCGCTCCACCTGGAGCTATCGCGATGCTTCGCCTAGCCACCGGAATACGCCGAAATGGCCTTGCAGTCCCAGGAAGGACATGGCTGTACAAGTCACAGTCTTTGGGTCTGCGGCGCGCGGCCTCGACTGTGACGGATCTCGACAGTTATCCTCCGGTGGGCGATAAGCTTCACGGCTTCACAGTCAAGGAAAGAAAGCATGTGCCAGAGCTGCATCTTTCTGCTATCCTTTTGAAACACGACAAGACGGATGCGGATTATCTTCATGTCGCTCGAGATGACAAGAACAATGTGTTTGGTATTGGTTTCAAGACCAATCCTCCAGATGCGACTGGGGTGCCTCACATTCTTGAGCACACGACGCTTTGCGGAAGCGAGAAGTGAGTGCTAACGTTCTTGCCCATATCATTGCGAATATGGCTAGCTAACCGTGGAGCAGATACCCTGTCCGCGATCCATTCTTTAAGATGCTTCCACGATCACTTTCCAACTTCATGAACGCCTTCACGTCTTCAGACCATACTACATATCCCTTTGCCACCACAAACAAGCAGGACTTTCAGAATTTATTGTCCGTCTATCTCGATGCTACACTTCATCCGTTATTGAAGAAAGACGATTTCAGACAGGAGGGATGGAGACTTGGACCAGAAAACCCGCGCGCTGCCGAGGTCTCGGAAACCCCAGCCAAGCATCAGCTGGACGACATTGTTTTTAAGGGTGTTGTCTACAACGAAATGAAGGGACAAATGTCGGACGCCAACTACCTCTACTACATTCGCTTCAAGGAGAATATTTTTCCGGCAATTCATAATTCTGGCGGCGATCCACACTACATTACGGATTTGACACACCAACAGTTGGTCGAATTCTCTAAAAAGAACTACCATCCAAGCAACGCAAAGATAGTCACATATGGTGACATGCCATTGGCTGATCATTTAAAGCAAATTGGAAGCGTTTTGGATGGGTTTGACAAAGGCGTGGCAGACGAGGATGTAAAGTTGCCACTCGATCTCAGTCAAGGCCCCACGAAAGTCACCGTTCCTGGCCCAGTTGATTCATTCACCAGTGACGATCGACAATACAAAACATCAAACTCATGGCTCATGGGCGATATGACAGACATTGTCGAGACCTTTTCAACGGGGATTTTGTCTTCCTTGTTACTCGATGGCTATGGTTCTCCTATGTATCGAGCACTGATTGAAAGTGAACTTGGTTCGTCCTTTACCCCGAACACCGGCCTTGACACTTCCGCCAGAAAGCCAATTTTCTCCGTCGGTGTGAATGGCGTCCGTGAGGAGGATGTGTCTAAGGTTAATGAGGTGATTCGTGGCGTCTACGAAGAAGTCATCGCTACTGGATTCAACGATGAAAAAGTCCAAGGTTTCCTTCATCAGTTGGAGCTTGCGTTAAGACACAAGACAGCAAACTTCGGTATGGGAGTTATGGAAAAGACGTTGTCATCGTGGTTCAACGGTAGCGATCCGATGAAAGAACTTGCGTGGAACGATGTCATCGATGAGTTCAAAAGGAGATATTCCGAGGGTGGATATCTTGAATCTCTCGTTCAGAAGTACCTTCTTAATGACAACTATATGAAATTCACGATGGTAGGGTCGCCGACTTATAATTCCAGTCTTGATGAACAAGAAAAGGTTCGGAAGGATGCTAAACTTTCCGATCTGATCTCAGAGCATGGCTCTGTTGAGAAAGTAATTGCTGAATTGGGAAATTCCGAGCTGGAACTCCTCAAAGTGCAAGAGGATGCGCAGCTCGCAGATGTAAGCTGTCTGCCTTCAGTCCACGTCAGTGATATTTCGAGACAAAAGGAACGCAAACCTGTACGGGAGGCCAAGGTTGATGGCGTTGAAGTCGTGTGGCGTGAAGCTCCTACAAATGGATTGACTTATTTCCAAGCATTGAATCCTTTTGATGGCCTCCCGAATGAGCTGCGTTTGCTGATGCCTCTCTTTCATGACTGCATCATGCGTCTCGGTACTCCCGGAAGGACCATGGAGCAATGGGAAGATCTGATCAAGCTCAAAACTGGAGGTGTCTCCACTTCATCATATTTGGTCTCATCGCCGACTGAATTGGGTCGGTTCAGCGAGGGTCTTCAGATTAGTGGATATGCTCTTGATAAAAATTTACCTACGATGCTGGACATCATCCGCATTCTAATCACAGAAACTGACTTCACCAGCGAGGCGGCTCCGCGCATGATCACTGAGTTGCTGCGATCCACAACCAATGGCGCTCTGGACGCAGTCGCAGGCACCGGTCATCGTTTCGCAGTCAATGCTGCAGCGGCTACATTGAACAAAAGCTTCTGGGTTCAGGAACAGCAAGCCGGGTTGGCACAATTGCAGGCAACTGCTAACCTTTTTAACGATGCCACAACTTCACCCGAAAAGCTCGGGGAAATTCTCAAGAAGCTACGTCTGATCCAAAGCTTTGCCATTTCTCAGTCATCTAAACTTCGCGTCCGCATGGTTTGCGAAGCTGAAAGTGCTGCGGAAAACGAGCAATCGCTACAGAAATGGCTCGGGGCTCTTCCACAATCAAGAATCGTGTCTGATTTCAAGGAAGAACTCGCTGGGAAGATCGCCAGTTCTCCTGGAAACGTTCTTTACGACATGCCGTACAAGGTATATTATTCCGGTCTTGCCACGGAAACCGTGCCCTTCGTCGATCCAGCCAGCGCGCCGTTGAGCGTACTCTCTCAGCTTCTGACGCATAAGTATTTGCATCCGGAAATCCGTGAGAAAGGAGGTGCCTACGGCGCCGGAGCCAGCAACGGACCTCTCAAGGGAATATTCACGCTGTCCAGCTACCGGGATCCAAATCCAGTGAACACGCTGAATGTCTTCAAGAAGACGGGAACATTCGCTCGGGATCGTTCATGGACAGAGCAAGAACTTGAAGAGGCGAAGTTGAGCATTTTCCAAGGTCTCGATGCTCCAACGAGCGTCGACGAGGAAGGAGCTCGATACTTCATGAGCGGCGTCACCCATGAGATGGACCAGCGCTGGAGAGAGCAAGTTCTAGACGTAACCGCGAAGGATGTAAACGAGGTTGCGCAACGGTTCCTTGCCGGAGGAGCACCTCGTCGTCAAGCAATCTGTGTGCTGGGAGAGAAGAGAGATCTCTCTACTCCCGGTGCTACCAATAACGAATGGACCGTGAAGAAGCTATCTTTGCAGTCACAAGAAGCTGAGATAGCAGCAGATGAGTTTGAGAGCGCCAGCGCTGCTTCAGCGTAGCTTGTGACTCTTAAAACAATTCATATAGATGGAATGGCGATTAGCATAGCATCTTCACTCAGGAGTTAATTTTTTGGACCTTTCTTTTCTTGATACATACACATATTTGATATATACCCTGTCTGTATCTTTGTACAAAATCATCGATGGGATTTACAGCGAGAATTGTTTTTGATCGTCTGTGCTTATCTTAGTCTAGGTTACATAAGCTAGGGGAGATGCCTCCTGGCCCTCAAGTGCTGTCTAGTTGCTCTCTATGGAGATAAATATAGGCACTAGTTAAGATAGTTATCTAGATTCTGGGAATATTTTTTAGCAGTTACAACAGTCTGACTGGAGCAAAAAAGTATACGTGAGGTCAAAAAGAATGATGTTTACAAGAGTGTCAGCTACGGGTTGCAGGCGAACGGGGTTGAATAATTTAGCGTGTGTGCAAATTTAACAAAAAAGGCTTGGCAGTGGGGATTGGTAAATTTTTCAACACCCCTTAGGGACCTACATTGTACAGCTAACACAAAACCCTTTCTTTTTCTCTTTCGGTGGCTTCTTTCAAGCAACATCATCCAATTCACCTCACGCGCTGCTTACGAACAGAGCAGACTCGTCTCCAGCCCCCAGTCTTTGGAACCCGTGGCTGAGAGAACACGAGTCTCTCAGGTTATATATATATATATACTTGAGATAAAGCGCAACATCAATACAAAAAGTACAAACCCCCGGCTTCCAACTTATCTAGATGCAAAGATAGATAAGTTTTCTGGTCCATCGTAAACCATATTTGCCTGAATATAGTGTTTGTGAGGACTAGACTCGTCTATCTATCGGATAAATAGAAGCTCCCAAATATATGATTGGGAAAAAACGGGGGCCTCTTTGGGCTTTTCTCCGTTTATCAGACCTGTCCTATTCGCGAGGTTATGGAGGGCGGACTAAGAACGTGAGGACATCATTATACATTGTACTATGCAGTAGGTGTCATAGTCTCGGAGAAATTAATAGAAGGGAATAATCAAATCTAATTGTCGAATTCACGTCCATTCTCGAAGAGCATACCCAAATAGGAAAAGTCCCATGTCCACCTGGCCATGATGCTCGCACGGGACAGGGGACTAGGCTGCGTTGAGTATGCTTGTAGGAATATCATGTCTGCGATATAATTTTAAGGACATGACTTTGGCACGCATCGAGCGCCTCTTACCTAGATACGTACGTATATAGCTATCTAGCTGGTCATGATAGGCCGTGACTCCGTTCGAGCTGAGCTGAGCCAAAGTTCGTGCGTATCTGGACCCCTGAGAAAATCAGATAGTTAAAGTACTCACGCATTTGGGGCGTTTCTTATTGGATGCTTTCATATCTTCCTGGTTTTCAGCTTTGTTTGGTTTTGTACCTGATTGATGTTGACTGTTGAAATATATATATATATATATATGTCATGAATCCTACTTCTCTACATTCCCGTGTCAACCATTCCATTGTTGAGTACCCAGTTACCAAGCATCTTTCTTTCTTTCCTTTCTTTTTTTTTTCTCTAGCAAAATGGCAAAGACTTCGCCGAACCTTGGTCCTCTGAGTCTTATTCCGACTCCAGGTGGACAGACCGGTGGAGTAATCGGCCACTTTTTCTGCTTAACCAAAAGAGAGAGGAGGGAACACTGATGTACAACACGATCAACAGACCGACCAATTCACCGAATTCGCATCACACATGGCACTCGTCCACAACATCATAATCCGTGGCTATAATAGCATATACCTCCAAGCACCCAAAGTGAAGCAAGCTGATGTGCATGATTTCCTGCATTACTGTCAAGCATGGAACGAGTTCGTGGTAGGCCATCATGACAGCGAGGAGCATGTCTTGTTTCCTGGCACTGAGAAGGAAACCGGAGTCCAGGGTATAATGGACGAGGATGTGCAGGAGCATGGTGCGTTTTTTTTTTTTTTTCTTTCACCCCTTTCATACACCTACGTATATCTAGCCTAACTGGTTTTAAAAGCCTCCTTTCACCATGGCCTAGCCGATATAAAAGCTTACCTGGAAACCTCCCTCACCTCACCGGCATCTGACTTCAACGGCTCCAACCTCATCATGATCCTCGACTGCTTTGCGCCTGCATTCCATAGTCATCTCACCCACGAACCGGCGAGGCTTGCATCTCTTTCACGGTACGACTTCGACATGAAGGCGCTCGGCGACCACACCACACAGCACAGTCTGCAGCGATATTCGACGACGGACATCCTGCCTGTTCTGTGGTACAATCTGGACACTACGTTCGAGAACGGGAAATGGGAGAGTTTTCCGGAGTTGCCGGCTGCTATGAAGTGGTATATGATTAATGTGCTGGGCTGGTGGAGACGGAGTTGGTGGCGGTTTGTTAGCTGTGGTGCAAATGGGGTTGAGAGGGAGTTGTTGTGTTTGAGAGATGATTACTGATTGATATGACATTGTATTCATCGAGTATAATATGATAAATGTTCTTCTGCCCTACTTGTTTACCATGGTAACTGCAATGGAGTAGGGAGGCCTTTCCCGAGTACAGGTTCAGCGGTCCCAATATCCCTGAGAATATGTTAGTTTTAACACAAAAGAAAGGGGAGAAGAGAAGGAGATTACCTTGGTCCCCTCGGAGCCCAGTATGTGCCCGTCTTGGTTATATCAAAGTCCTTCTCGATGAAATCTACCAATGACTTCGCTGCGTCGTCCGGCGTGACAGCTGTAAAAGCTCCGTTAATATCATATCACATGTCAATATAAAACATAGAGGACAAATAAACTCACCACCACCATCATCCCAGTACTTATCAAACCCAACACTACGCGTCATTTCCGTCCTCATGAATCCCGGATGCACCAGCCCTACGGCAATACCCTTATCCTTCAAATCCAACGAAAGCAATTTCCCGACCATATTCAGCGCCGCTTTACTCGCATGATGCCCATAGTTACCTCCGCCTTCTTTCTCATGGCGCAATGCGATACTGCCGCTTTCAGACGAGACCAATATAATCTTGCTACCGCTGCTGCCAACCAACGATGCTTTAACGAGCGCTTGAACGGCAAACACGGGCCCTACAGCCGATGTGGTATACATGCGAATTTGCTTTTCCCAATCCGGCTGATCAAAGGACTCAAAACCAAAGTAGCCAGCGGATACGATCACGGTGTCGAGAGAGACTTTGTCCGGGACGAGTTGGGTGACCAGTGTATCGCCAATGTCGGGTTGGGAGATGTCGATGTTTACGAGCCAGCGGATTTTGTCATGATTGGGCGCGCTGCTGTTTCCGTTATTATTGCTATTTGAAGAAGAGGGGAAGCGACTGGAGCGTGTTGTTGCGTATACGGTGGATGTTGTTGGCAAAGATGCGTAGTGTGTGGCCAGCGAGGCACCCAGGCCGCGTGTTGCGCCGATAATGAGAACGTTTCGAGACATTGCTTGTTGGCGTTCAACAGTAGCTCCGCAGTCTACTCGATAATCAATGGACTTTAAAATGGAAGAGTGTTGAAGGATGTTTTGTTGGCAAGTGGGATGCCGATGAGGTTTATATAAAGGCAATGACGTATGGGGGCCATAACCAATCACGTCAGCCTCCAACAGGAGTGTACACCACAACAGTTCTTCACACGCAGGAATCATGCGTAGTCTCATATCATTGTGCCATGGCTCGTCAAATCATAAATACTGTACATGAACAAGCCCATGATCAAGTGTCGGGCCCTAACAGAGCTTGAATCTATCAGTCGTTGGTACAATGACCATGACTATTTTCAGGAATACGATTCTGAATGAATTCAGAACGTAGGTTTATGAAACGTTATCAACCATTGGAGGACCCAGAATCGTCCCCATATAAAATTCTCAAATGAATTATCATTAGTTTGTGTGGTCTTTATTTTCATCGTCAGCCTCTGCATCGAGTTCGACCTCCTGGTCCTTGACGGAAAGCGGAGTAGTAGATCTCTGCGACGTTGGTGTCATCGGATAAGAAGGAAAGGGTTCTGTTGGTTTATCATCATTTTGTATAGAAGATGGTTGGCTCCGGTGCATCTCCGGCGCGCTGGGAAAGTCTGGCGCTGGAGTAACCTGGGACGTCTATGTATTGTTTAGCGCTGTCTTCCCACGGGTCATTGTGAAATTACGATCCTACCTGATCCTGAACCAATCCCTGGCTGATGGCCAGCTGTTGAGCTGCACTGCGCCTGCGCACAACTTCTAGCTCTTCTTCCACTTCCGCTTCCCGTTCCTCCTTGGACAACTCGGCCATGGACGCAATCTCAGCGCTACGTGCAGCTTCAACCCTGCTCTTCGCGCTCCTGATTGACTGGGCGGACGTTGTTCGCCTCGATCGGCCTGCGATTCCAGCAAAATGTTCGTCTGAAGTAAGTCCCGTATTTCGACGCGCCAATGTAACAGCGAACTCGTCATCCAAAGGAACCGCATCTTCGTCCTCGTCGTCGAAAATAAGATCTCCCCTAGAACTTAGAGAATTGCTCGTATCCTGTGATGACTGTGTCGTGCTACGACCGCGGTAGTTTTTCTTTCCCTTGTTTATTGAATCTCTGCTCGGTCCTCCATCAATAGCCCGTTGCCCCGCGTCCTCCTCCTCTTCATCTTCTTCAATTAGCGGCTGAGCCTCGGTGCCTTCTTGGTGAGGATAATCATCGTCATGTGGTAATCGCCCAGGCCTTTCCTGCAAATCAGCTGCCGAGGGACGATATTTAACCCCTCGCGGACCGAATTGCCATGGAAGACGTTCCAAGAATCCGATAAGCGAAGATTTCGGGATCACCGTAGGGTCATCTGTGCGGTCCGGGAGAATAGAACTTTTCCGTCTCGTACGAGCAGCGCCATAGCTCATTTTCCGCTGACGTCGGGGTTGCTGGGCTCCGCCTCGTACGCTCCCACTGCCTGCCAGCAGCCGGTCTAATTCGTCATTACCCCAGCCCAGAATGCCGTCATTAGCGCTCTCATTATCCCAATCGTCGTAGAAGTCAAAGTTGAGTTCAGCGCGACCTCGCCTGCGACGCCGCGCTTGGGTTTCGCGATTCGGTAAACACGGAGCTGTACATTCTGCCAGACAGTTCCCGATGGAAGCGAAGCACGGCGCTAGATATTGTTGGCTGAATCTGTAGAAGCCTTCTTGGGCGCTCTCGTTTGCTGATTCGAGATTGTGAGAAATATTATTCAGGGTTTGGCGGATTCGAGGGTCGGATGTGCGCATCATCTTTGCTCTGAGGTGTGTTATCTCACTGTAATAATAGATGGCAACGGCGGTCGATGCCCCTCGGGCACAATCTACCTCGTTTCGTTGGCGCTCAACATAGAATCAGTAGAGAGAAGTCCGAGTCTGTCGCCCTCGCTGTCCATGGGTGGGAGTGAATGTCAACATGGGCATTGAGCATGGATCGTGATAGCATGCATGACGGCACCGTCTGAAGGCGGCGGCACGTGAGATAAGGCCGAATGCACCAATCACCGGCAGCCGTCACATTCCTTCGACCATGAAAATTCCATACAGCTGGGAAAATGTGACGACGAATGGACAATTTATGCGGATAACCCAGCAAACCCATTAACTGTGATGCATCTATAGGCTGGCATAATGGTGTACTACATTCGCTTTCTGAAGACACCTCGAACACAGGCTGTCAAACCTGGTCTTGTGTCAGTCTCAGCTTTGATCTCCGTCACTACTGATCTTGGAGATGCATTTCTCGCAGAGGATGTCGTATTGCAAGCACAATTGATCGATGCTGGCACCATGGAGAGCGCGAACTCGGTTCTACAGGAATTTTCTTACAAATGGGAGGCGGGCAGACGAGAGCTAGCGATTTCCATCGGCCCAGTGCGACTCGCCTCAAAAGTTTCCAGAGTCATTCTAGCAATTGGAACGAAAAGCACCTCTACGGTGAATTTAGATACCGATCTGTGCGATCCAACACGAGTGCCGTTGGTGATTTCCGGATGGAGCGCGCCTTTTGGAGTCTCTCAGAATACCCCGGCGGAAAAGCTGATAGAAAGACGATTTATGCTGCAAAATAAGATCCAGCTTAGAATATGGGAGGAGACGGGCAACAATATTGCGCGACATATATGGCAAGTTCACCAAAGGATAATACAATAATGCATTCATCACTGACTCCTTTTCTTTTCTCCCTGCAGGGACGCTGCTATTGCTGCTATTATGTGTCTGCAGAATGCGATCGGCAGTTCCGGTAATTGCAGCATGCGGCAACTTCGATCGCATCTGGAACGCAAGAGCAACAGTAACCAATCTATTCAGGCCATTGAGCTGGGCTCTGGCTGCGGGATTGTTGGCATTGCTCTCGCGCAGATGCTGCCCCGGTGCTCAATCACGCTCACAGACCTCCCAGAAGTGCAGGATATAATGGCTTGTAATCTCCAGCTTACCCGGTCGGCGGCTGGATCAACATGTGATTTCAAGCAACTTGACTGGGAAGACGAGCGCGATGGGGATAATATGCCGAGGCCACCAATGGACTTGATCCTGGTATCCGACTGTACCTACAACGCCGACAGCCTTCCCTCGCTAGTACGAGTACTGACCCGGTTGGTGCAAGCATCGCCTCAGGCTGTTGTTCTGGTCTCTCTCAAACAACGGCACGAAAGCGAGGCAGTGTTTTTCGAACTAATGCGACGCGCTGGGTTTACTATAATGGAAGAGTCAGCCCACGCGCTTCCGGCGGCATACTCAGAGCAGGATTCGATCGAGATGTACGCCTTTGTACGGGCGTGAAGCAGACTATCCATGGATTGTTTTGCACGGGAAGTATAGCAGCGGGTCAATTATTCTCCGATTGGCTGCCGCGTTGCGTCATAGGCCAGGCCAGACTCTCCGGCGGCCTCAGGCAGCGAGTGCAGCACTGCATATGCACGCAATTCTGCAGCGTTATAAGTTTATAACCTACATAGCAGCATATAACTAACTAGTAAATATTAGATACAGCTGAACAGTGATGTAACTAATTTACATTTCAGTCACGGTGGGCCCCCGATACCAAGCGTCGGCGTAGCCACAGCAGGATTTTCCGTCTATTAATCGCTCGTAAACCGAGCCATGCGTCATGCCAGGAGAAGCAGGCAGCAAGCAGCAGATTTGTAGGTAGTTAGCAGCCGTCAACAGCGTTGGCAACGCCTGAAGGGAGCAAGCAGTTGTGGCCCACCGGGAAAGGAAAGGCCCTCCTTCCCGCCGGCAGCTGCAAATTTGTTTTCCTCCCCGCACCGCAACGTCTTTCTTTGCCTGCCAGCGCACTTTTTTTCCTCTTCCTTTTTCCGTTCCCCTCGCCTCTTCATCCTCCTCCCAGCGATTTCCAATAATAGTACGTATACAAGCCATCGATCTGAACCGGGTCGTCCCTCCTGTCCTCTTTGCGAAAAAAGGCCGCTTGACGTTCTTCCCGCCCTCGTCAAGAAAACGGCCGTGCCCTAAAAGAACACACACACTATCTCCCCCGTTTTGATTTATTTTCGTCCACACAACCTCGGTCCACCACCGGCAGGATACTCAGAAATCTGATCTCTCATTCTGACATCTGGTCTTTCTTCAGGACGCTTCTCATTGTTGTTGATTTCGTCTTTGGATATCATCCTCCTCGCCCAAAAGACGTCTCACCACGGCTTCCGCCACAAATTCTCTGTTCTTCCAAATTGTCGCGCTTTTCCGACTTCGACAGACTCTCAACAACATCCCACCTCCTGCTGAGCGTTAACGTGCTTATATATTCTTCTCTCTGCGCGTCTTTGTCTCTGCAGTCGCCAATTGACGGATTTCCCCGTTTCTTTGAGCTGCCGCATAGGGTCACTCTGACGGTTCTTCCTCTCCTGGGGGAAGAGTCGAGGAGGCTTAGCCCATTCAGTTCCAGCTGCGAATCTTTTCGCCCTCCCTAACATCCATTTTAAAGCACAACTTGTTATCAATTTGCCTGCATGGTTATGGCACCTTCGGTCCTGAATCCTGATGATGTCTACATTTTTAACAAACATCATATTCATAGTAAAGATCCAACTTTACTAACCCATTTGGATATCGACCATGGAGTGAACGATGCATTGACCGTACGCGGTCATCCATACCCCAAGGACTTGATTCTTGACGAGCTCAAGAGACGTGTCGCCCAGGTTGACATGTCAGGCTGCGAGCCTGGAGAAGAAGATGCTTTCTATGTCGCAGATATGGGCGAGATTTACCGCCAGCATATGCGCTGGAAACTGAACTTGAGCCGTGTCAAGCCTTTTTATGGTATGTGGCCATAGCCTCTTGGGGCGTTTATACGTAAAGACTGACGTAGTATCTAGCCGTCAAGTGCAACCCTGATCCAGAGGTTCTTCGGCTCATGGCCGAGTTGGGCAATGGCTTCGACTGTGCTTCCAAGACTGAAATTGATTTGGCTCTAAAGACTGGAGTCGATCCTAGCCGTATCATTTACGCTCAGCCATGCAAAACCAGGTCTTACATTCGCTATGCCGCCCAGAAGGGTGTCAAGCAAATGACCTTTGACAACGCCGATGAACTTTACAAGATCAAGGCTGATTTTCCTGGAGCCGAACTTTATCTGCGTATCTTGACCGATGATTCCACCAGTCTGTGCCGACTGAGCATGAAATTTGGGGCCTCGCTCGACACTGCACGCCCTTTGTTGGATTTGGCCAAGCAGCTCGAGCTCAAGGTTGTAGGTGTCAGCTTTCACGTAGGATCCGGAGCGGAAGACCCAGCCGCGTTTCTCAAAGCTGCGCAAGATGCCCGTTGGGTATTCGAACAAGCCTCCGAGGTTGGCTATGAACTCCATACCCTGGATGTAGGTGGTGGATTTTGTGACGACACGTTCGAGAAATTTGCCAGTATCCTGAGCAAGGCAGTCGACGATCTGTTCCCAGCAAACATCCGCATCATCGCCGAACCAGGCCGCTACTACGTCGCTGGCGCCTTCACGCTTGCAGCTAATGTCATAGCTCGCCGCGATGTGTACGATCCGCAAGTTTCGTCCCAGAGTAGCTATATGATATATCTCAATGATGGTGTTTATGGCAACTTCTCCAACATCATCTTCGACCACCAGCATCCGGTCGCTCAGATTCTGACTTCTGCCAATGGAACCGGGGCTTCTACACCCAATTCGTCTGTTTCTAGCTCCCCTGGTGCAGGCATTGAATACAGCATCTGGGGGCCAACCTGTGACGGCATCGATGTTATCAGCGAGCGGATCGTGCTGCCAGGCTTGGTTGACGTTGGTGATTGGTTGTATTTCGAGAACATGGGCGCGTACACACGTTGCAGCGCCACTCGATTCAACGGGTTCCCGGACAATCACGATGTCATTTATATTTCGAGTGAGAACGGAGCGTCTGCATTGCTTGATTATTAATTTTCCCCCCTTTTCTGTCTGGTTTTTGTTTTTGTTTTTTTTTTTTTTTTTTTTTTTCGCGAGCTTTTGATTTGGTTCTCTTTTGGCTTTTTTTTCTCTTTCGTCTTGGAAATAGAGTAGTGTGGTACGTACGACGTAGGGTTGTGTTACGTTGGAGGATACTCTGACTGGCCTCAAACCCGTCTATAAAAGTGCTTGTTTGATACTTATTCTTTTCTTGTTCATATAATAGTTTGCCGCAGCGTTTACATAAAACAGCTGAAACAGTCAGCCCTAGAAATTGATGTTAGTTTCAGCGCATTTATCTACTAGTAGTTGACATGTAATCTATATTCACACCAGTCTATACTATGAATACCTATCTATGGCTTAGAGCAGCTTCTCCACGTTTAGTTCACCGCTCGAGTCGTCGGCAGCAACAAAACTGCCCGTTTCAAGCTTCTTCTTCCATTTCCCAGACTCATACCGAGCCAGGATAAAAGTCAACCGAGCAAGATCAACGTCAGCATTATTTGACAATGAAGAAGAAATAGGCGTAAAAGTCCAACGACCAAAAGCCCAATTCAGGATATATGTGTCCGTGCTCGTGTTATTATTGTTGGAAGAAGAAGAAAACGTCGGATCTGAGTCGAGCGGTTTCTGGTCGGGGGAGGTGCGGATTGTGCCTTTGATGCGGTAGACTTCTTCCTTTGATGAGGTCTTGAGAAGATGGTTGAATTTGGCGAGGTCGATGAATGAGGAGGAGTTGTTTTCGGGCCGTTTCAATGTTACTGAGAGAACCTCGACTTCAGATTGGTGGCTTTCATGGGTATGGCCATGCTCATGGCTCGATAGTGATGCACCCTGCTTAGCCAACAAAGCACCATCAATACCCAACAACACATCCTTATCAACCCTGCCCCTATCCGACTTAACCCACGGCGTCGGCGGATCCAGTTCCAAATCCCCCAGCCGGTCCAAACAGATATCAAACCTCTGCTCCGAGACCAACTCGCACTTGTTAAAGATCACCAAATCCGTATACCGCGCCTGCATCTTGGCCGTGTAGCTGGTATCCTCGTATCCCTCCCAGTTCTCGACGTCAATCACGCTAATGACTCCATCTAACACGAAGCTTCCGCCTTCTGTAATACTGCTGCTGAGCCGGTTGACTTCCATGGCCAGTGTGGCCGGGAACGCGCTCCCGCTCGTCTCGATGATGATTCTGTCCGGCCGGACTTGGTCGCGGAGTTGCGTGAGTGCATCGCCGAGCTGGCCGACGAGGTTGCAGCAGATGCAGCCGTTGAGGAGCTCGCGGACGCCCGATATGGATTGCTCCGAGGCTAGTTGCGAGTCGATGGCGACGTCGCCGAATTCGTTTTTGAGGAGCGCTAGGCGGTAGGATGCTGGGAGTTGGGGGATTAGGTTCAGCAGTAAGGTGGTTTTGCCGGAGCCGAGGAAGCCGGTCAATATGGTGATTGGGATGGGGTCTGGGATGGTCATTTTTCTTTCTTTCTTTCTTTCTCTGTCTGTTGATTTGTCTGTATTCTGCGCGTAGATTGATCTATTATCGGCGAGATGCAGGTTGCAGGAACGAGGACTCCACGCAGTTGGATAATGAATGAATGGATATTTCAAGCAAATAAGCAAATACAGACAGCAAGTACGAAGATTGACTCCAATCAGCCCATGTCTATATGCAGTGTGAGGTTGTTGAAGGCGAAGATGAAGGAATATTGCGGGGTGAAAAAAAGTTCGGTGATCGAATTGGGCTTTTATCTCCGCCTTATCCCCCTCCCCTCTCAGGCTCTCAGACCGTCTACAGTCTCAACTCCTGCCGCAAGAGCATCGGTATTGTCATGCTATGGCATTGGTCTTGAGGTTGTTGCTCAATATGAGGCAGCTGGAAACGAGGCCATATTCCGAGGCTATACAGAATGTATTACATATATAATGTCTCCCCTCGTCATCCAACGACGTCATAGAATGTGCTAGTGCAAAGCAGTGCAATTTGTCTGGCAATTCCTCCAATTCTCCTCTGTCACCCACGGAAAATACGCGTACACACTCACAGTCACCAATTCAATCAACCGATACAATGACCCAGACAAGAGACTTCCAGCCTCAATCCGCTACTGCCTCCACCAGCCCAAGCAACAATCCCGTCAATGTTCTCAGCGCCAATGCCAGTGCAACGGTGCAGAAAGGTTGGTGCACACCTACACACATGCGAAGAAGAAGAAGAAGAACAAGAAGAAGAAGAAGCTGAGGCGACTGTCTGTCCAAGCAGCCACCGCATTCGTGGAAGCAAAAACCATGAATGCTGAAACCAGCAACCAGGTAGATCACGAAGCTGTGTACAATGCCGGTGATGAGAAGATCGAGGAGTTTCTCAGGCACAAGAACCGGAGTTTTCAGGGGCTTCAGAGTACGACGACCGGAAAATGATTTGTATGCTTCTCTTCACGCTGTATATAAGAGTTTCCTGTGACGAGAGACCATCTGCTCCTTCCTTGAGTGCATTTGGGCTCTCCGCGTCGGCTCCGAACGCTGGACGCTTCTTAGACCACTACACAATTCTTTGCGAAGCATTACCGGCCTTTCTACATATTTTGTATACGCACATACACACACAATTCAGTGAATATAAGATATCTGCCATGCTTCCAAACCATGTCGCCAATGTGTACCTCCCCTTGGAAGCCCGGCGTCACAGTTTCGGCACCTCCATATCCTCTAGCAAGTACACCGAGAACGACGTAAGCATTGCCCTTTTAAAGACAGAATGAATACCTAACACCCCAATCCACTAGTTCGTCTGTTCGCGCATAGACTGTCACTGTGACGCTGCGAATCGCGAGGAAACGGACCCAAACGAGTCCACAGTCTTTGGCAGACAGGCTGAATATTTCTATCGCCCTCCTGTCCTGAGCTCCCATCGCGACCGCCACATGTCCGGTGACTCGCCTTATTCATATTTTCAACTCCAGAAGAATGCAGACGCCGCGTATTGCGAACAATGCCAGTTTTGCTCTGCCTCGTCCAGGTGGTGCGGCAGACTACCGAGTAACCAGGCTATCAAAGTACCCCGGTCAATTCTCGACAGTCATTCAGAGTTGGATACCGGTGGCCTATATGGGACAGACTGGAAAATGCAGTTACCCAATGCAACCTGGGTCCAAGAGCCTTTGATTGTCAATTCCGTTCAGGTTTTGGACGAGAATGGGGGACCGAGGCACTTGGATTCTCTCGAGCCTGCCGTTTTTGTGAGTTGAATCAATCCCCAATTTATAGTCTAAGGTGAGGCTGTGGGTTTTCCACTAACTCATACAGTCTAATACTCTTACACGCCGGCCTTCACGCGAGCCTACTCTTAGTCCTCTTGTTCCAGGGGAAGATTTGACCGCTTCTATGGAGAGCCTACAGCAAACCCGATCAGTGGTTCAGAACGCCGCTCAGAGCTCCATGTGCCTGAAATACTTTCGAGACATCCGCTGCACACGAGAAGAGAGATGGGCTATTGAGGAGGGCTCGCTGGTTATCAGCATTCCTCCATCTTTCGTGGATTTGCCGCAACAGCTCATTGCCCCCGATGAATTCGAGCTGCGTGCCGGAGAAGTATTTGTTGTTTGTCTCATGTTCGCGGACATGTGGGCTCTCTGTGCACGGCACAGGTTATCCAATTCTATTGCCTCAGTGCAAGGTGCTACTGCCCTACAGAATTCCGATAACTTCAAGTTCCTGCCCCTCTGTGCAGTGACATTGGCTGCCAACTATGGCCCTTTCAATCGACGTTGTGCAACTTACAAAAAGAGATTCCCCTTTTCAACGTTTTATCCATCTGGAGGAAACCGCATCCAGCCCCCAGAGCGCAAGGAGAGTCTAGAGGCAAGTCGCAAAATCCTTAACGGACCTGCCGACCAAATGCCTACCTTGCCTAAAATGGTGTACGAACTCTGTAAAGCGCCTGTCAAACTACCGCATTTCACGGAATACGTATCCTTCGAGCCACCCATCAAGACGCGCAATAGTTACGCCACGCTAAAACGACTCCTGGGAAGACTGGTATTCAAAGAAGAAAGCACAAGCAAAAGAGAGACTCCTGGAGAAGAAGAAGGACAAGTCAGTGATATTCCCACGGAGAAGCAAGATCACAAGCACTACGAATTGTCCGGAGAAGGAGGACAAGATCCTTCACCAGTAGACACTACTAAGAGAAAGATGCAAAAGCGCAAAAGTATTCGAAACTTCTTTCGATCGAGCAAGTGCCACTGTGCAGAGGAGGAATCCATTTGAAGACCACTGTATTATTGATAAGTTGACCTGCTTGTATAGCTACTATACCTACTGTGTATTAAATGTCTAATGATGTATGCTAAATATGAGCTGTATTGATTATTAAAGCTTAGCTAAGTACTTGAGAATTGGATATCATCCTGCCCGGCCATACCGTGGTTATTGTATTGTTTGACATTGACATAGTGATTAAATAAAGAAGATAGCTAGGAACACGGCAAATGAACTGGACGCTTGCTATATAGCTGTTGGTGGGTATATTTGAAAGATGAAACGCGCTGATAGAACACAAAGAAAGACAAAGCATAACCATGTACATATACATGCTTGATAAGTAATAATAACTTCGCGATAAAATTAAAGTGGGTATATGAAAAGATGAAAGGGAGAAAACGAAATTAAAAAAAAAAAAAGGAAAAAGCTAAACCCACAAAACCCATCGTATACTCTTCACCACACCCATACCAATACCCCGAATGACTTTGAACACCATAACAATCAACCATACCCACCACATACCACCTACAAGCACCCACTCTAGCAGCATAAAGCCAATACGTCGAATAGAGCGGAGTCGACGATTTCGTTTCCGAAGGCCCTTGTCAAGCGTGTCGCTGAGTTGCTTGATTGCCAGCGTGCTGGTGGTGTTTAGCTGTGTGCTTAGCGATTCTGCTTCGCGGGCGGCGGTGCGGACGCGCGGGGTGAGGGAGTTGTTGATCAGGTCTTCAAGGATGTCTAGTTCGCGTTCTAGTGGGAGGAGAGTTGATTTGGAGAAGCGGTACATGGTTTTGTTGAGGTTGGTTTTGGTGGTTTCGAGTCTTTCGAGGAGGTTGCGTGCGGCGTAGTTGAATTCGTCGATGCGGGATAGACGGGGGATTATCAAGGGTTTATCCTTGTCGGCTAAGCTTTGTAGGAGGAACTGTGGAGGGGTGTGGTTGCGAGGTTCTTCGAATCGATGAACGAGCGCACTCGCTTTGATACCGGATGATAGTAGGAAGGCTTTGTATCGTAGTACTTCACGCTTCTCGACAATGTTTGGGTCGTCTACGGTCGGGATACTGCGATCAGAGAGTGTCCACCCGTGGCTTCCTGTTGATAGTGTAGGCCGCTTCGTCCTTGATGCTTCTGCGTTTGCCAATCCTGTGACTGGCGGTCCAGGTATCCTGATCGATGGGGTAGAGATTTCATTGCCAACGGCTTGCAGCTTCGGTCTGCCTTCTGGACTCTGATCCCTCGAAGAAGCTCTAAATCCGTAGCTATCACGCCGTTCGCTATACGGTGTGGTGTCGATGGATGAGGCTAATTTCGGCGCAAGCCTTGGGTGAGCCGGCACAAAATGCACGTCGCTAACCCGGCTGGCATCCGATCGTTGCTGCTGCAAACTATCTGACTCTGCCAATTCGTTCTGGTTATCGGTAGGCCCGATTGGTGGTATATTGTTTGAAAATGACTTTGCGGGCGCCCGGCCACTTGACTTGCGCCATGGAAATCCCCATTCATCATCGGAGAACGTGCTTCCTCTGCGAAGTGAGGCTTGCTTGCTGGGAATCGATTCATCGCCGTCGCTTCCTTCTTCGTCTGATTGGCCATCGTCGGATACGGTGCTCGACGCGTAGGATGAATATCTGGAATGACCACCCCCTTCTTTACGGCGTATTAAGTCTCCGACTTTAGACACTTCGCTTCCCACAATTTCTGCGATTCGACTGTTTTTCAAGAAACCTTTGAGCCTTGACTCATGGCTCGTATACGGCTTGGGGACATCCGATCTTCGAATATCATCGAGTGACATATCCTCCTGGCTGTAAGATGGTTCAGGAATAGGGCTTGGCTCAAGGAACTTGGGGCTCTCGTTTTCTTTTGGAATAGAATCCGCTGCTGTCCTGTTGCGTGCCTGAGAAGATTCCGACGGACTTTCGTCTAATCTTTCTCCTTGTTCTACATGGCTGTGTCGACGGTATCTAGTCCTTTCTTGCAGGGACTCAATGACACGGGGCAACTTCTTCCGAGGGGACGGTGATCGACTCGAAGGTGGAGATAAATTAGCAGTAATGCTTGGAAACATAGTCCCCTGCATTGGCGAGTTCGGCGCAGTACTATCCATTTCATCCCCAGACATCCGACGATCTTCCTTGCCTGTAACACTTCCTCCAGGAGAGATCAACAAACTGGTTTTGTCTGCAAATTTACCGGTCTTGGCCGATGACGGATGCGACAATGAGTTTGAATGCCTCGACTTTGTATTTGACGAGTCAGAATGTGCTTTCAATACTCTATGCAGTTTCTCGGCCTGCATAGCAGCTTCTGATTTTATTTTCTTCCTTCTATTTGCACGCCGGGATCTTCCTCGCGAAATAATATCATCACTGCTTGAGTCATCTGATAGACTATTTGACCGTGTCCACTTAGGAGCAAAAATACCAGTAGCTTCGTTCGACATAGACTGTGCGCTGTGGGATTTCGGCCACTGGTATCCATGGACAGAAATAGTCTCCCGTGCAGTCTTATTGAAAGCCGAGGGAGTGGTGGGCTCCTTTGCTAGTGCATGCCTATTCTGATAAGCCGAGTCGGGATGGCCCGCGTATGAGACTGGCAGGGCAAGCTTGAGCTTTGTAGGATCTGGATATAGCTTTTCGCCATCTCTATCTACCGCCTTGGCCTTATTAGAGCCATATTCAAGCCAGACAGCGTCCGCAAGAAGCTCCGCCGGTGAAATGGCCCACTCCAGGCGTGGTCTTTGAATCTTGGTTCCGGACCGATTCGTCCCTCGCGCACTTGATGAAGGTGACGTTGCTCTTGTATGCCACAACTCCTGCTGTTCAATCATTCTATCATCATGATGACTGTTTGGATAAGGCGGCAGTGCTAAACATTCATATGGATCTTCGCTATCTTTCTCGTGCGTTGCTTCCACTGATCCGAGCCAATTGCCAACTCTCGACACGTCCTGCCAGCCTTCTGATTCAAGGTTGATAACATTTTTCTCCCTCAGACGAGTTTTCCGGTTTCGAATAGCTTGAAGAGGATTATAAGCCCTACCAGCAGCTGGCCGTGCACCAGAGTAAGCTTGGTTTTTAAGTGGAGGCAAATAAGACAACAATTCTAAATATTTGGAAAACAGCTCGAAGTGTTGTTTTGCTTTTTGTATCCTAACCAAAGTAGCTTGTGAACATGCCATTTCCACGTCTTTTAAATCGAGAATCGGCCCAATCCCAGCGGCGGCGCCATGGGTATTCGCTGACGGCTCGTGTGCAAGCGGTGGTGTAAGAGGCCGTGTATTGCGAGCGTGTCTATTGTCTTGCATATATAAGCTGGAATGTCGCTGAACCTTGTTTCCCGCCAGCGGCCTATGAGCATTGTCGGAAGTTGAGAATAGCACCTGGTTGTTGGAAGGATTTCGGGGAATGCCTGGCAAAGGGCTGGACGGTGTGCGCCCAACAGTAGTTCTCCTCCTCGATTCGCTCAGATTCAACGCGAGGTTGACGATTTGTACCGGATCCGTATCTAAACCGACGTTCGAAGAATACGAATTGCGAGAGGAGGCGTGTCGTGAAGTTGCGTACTCATTCTGACACGAATCGTGACCTTCGGACGCGGATATATTTGTCACTGCAGCCAAGGGGGACGCCCTCAATGACCTACTTCGTTCGTGTGTCCCGCGATACGATGGGGATCTCTTCTTAGGGACGATAAGTTCATCATCGGCGTGACGGCGCTTTTCGCTATTCGTACCCTGCGTTCGCTGCGTGTATTGACTAGCAGACCCTGCATGTGCATGTCGCGAGTTCCTGGAATAGGCCGAGTCAAGCAGAAAGCCTCCAGATGTCTGATTTCTGCTCGCCCTTAGGTTCGGTTGACTGTCATCCCTGGACTTGCGGCCAAGTGTGCTACCCTCCAGTTCTGCGTTTGTCCCAGAGCTGCTTTCCATTTGTATATAACCCCTTTTTCGTCACAAGAGGATGTGCCCATGCACTCGATCTGGTGCAATGCGGAGGATTTTTTTTTCCTTTTAATTTATATAGGTTCTGACCTGATGAGGAAGGACATCCATCTTCAAGCCATCTCGGTGTTTCATTTGATGCAAATGACCCACAGGTGCCAAGCTCAACAGTTGTTTTCCGGTGGGATTGTAGGTGACAATGTGTTTCGCGTGGAGGTATGAGATGCGCAATCCGAGCTGATTCGTACAGGGTGCCACTAACGAGTGTGCAGTTCTCCGAGAAGGGTTGTAGGCCACAATCAGTCGTTCCTTTCGTGCTTCCAGGCAGTTGACTGACAAAGGACAATGACCGCACTGCGGAGCCCAAACAAACACTGCAAACAGTGATCTGCGGTGCATCTCTCTACGTATAGTACTTGACAGCAGATTCCTCTCGTTCTTATGGAGTACATGACTATTTTTCAAAAGGATGGGCGTCTATTGTCTTGAGGCTATATAGTAAGAACGCCTTGTCAAACAAAAGAAATAGATCATATTGAGTCTAGTTTATGTTTTACATTTGTATATCACAGAAAAACGAGGCACAATTAGCAATCAGGACTCGACTCTGAGGCATTGCAGGCGAGCCTCTGTCTCCATCACCTGTTATTTGTTAGAATAGATTTTCACTTGGGATAAGGTGCTGCAGATGTAAACTCACCTCCAGAGCCTGCTTTACTTCAAGCACGCGCCTCACATCTGCAAGCCAGTCCTTGCTCAGGATCTTGGCCCAGCCTTGAAGCGTATTCATTTCACGGGCTGCACCATCAATGTTACCTTCCTCCAACAAGCTTTCGGTCCGCACCAGAACGCTCTCCACATCATCGCCGTCCGCTGAACCGTCGCGTTTGAACATGACCTTGCTCAAGACGAAGCTGGCAGCATGGCTGGCAATGCCGGCATCCTCGGGCAGGAGACTGGCTTTGCGAACCTCGCCGGCAACACGACGGAAGCGGTCAATAATCTGGGATGTCGTAGGAATACCGCGTTGGTAGGCAGTAGGGTTGATAGAAGCAATGGCCGCGGCCACAACCGCATCATCACCAGCAAGCTCCTTTACAGCAACGAGTTCGCGAACAAAAGGTTTAGCGACAGTAGCACTCTCGAGAACCGTGCGAACCGAGTCTATGGCGACCTGTAGTTGCTGGGTCTTGAGGTTGCTTTCAATAACATCGCTCCAGTCTGAAGTGAGCTTTTCAAGCTGATTGACGTTGGCGGTCAACTCGCTGATCTTGCTCAAACGACCATCACGTTCTCGTTCCACCAATTCCTTGACGTCATTCAGGAACCTTCGGTTCAATTCAATTGCTTGCTCCACGAGCTCATTTTTCAGACGTTGCTCCGCCAGTTCTTGTGCCCTTGCAAGTTCTGTTTGGATTTTGTTCTGATAAGCGCGAGCCAATTTCTCCCGTTCAGATTCGAACTCCTCTCGGAATTGGGCGGCCTCGGCAGCGCGAGCTTCCTCAATTTGACGCATAAGCTTTTGGGCTGATTCGTCAAAGAGCGCGTGTGCCTTCTCAACCTCTTCCTTGGCCTCTTTCTGAGCATCGGTGCGGAGAGATACAATCTTTTCTCCGATGCTCTCCAGTTCTGTGCGGACTCTGGCGATGGGTGCTGAGTATTTGCCAGTAGCTCCCTCGTCAGCGCTGATAACGGTGATTATATCGTTGAATACTCTCACGAGTTCTTGAACCACTGGCTCATCAGCCTGCGGAACCTTGATCAGTTCAAGAGTGGTTGTGGTAGGAATGGCTGGGGTTCTGGGTTCTTCCTTGGGTGCTGGCTTTGGCTGAGTAGGCTCCTCTTTTGGCTTCGAGACTTGGCTTGCCTTGGCCTTGGACGACTCAACAGCACTATTGTGGCGACCCTTCTGAGTTAAATCAGCACCGTCATTAGATTCATCCGAAACCTTCCACGACAGTCCGCTCTTGCTTGGAATGGTGATTTTTTGCGATTCTTCTTTGTGTACTGGAGGAAGACGGTTGGCGTGACTTGTGGCGTGGGGGAAACGGCGGTAGAAATCGCGTTCCTCAAAGTAGAGAACGGATTGCTCGCCATACGGAACATATTCTGTGAAGAAGTCGTGGAAGTTGTCCGACTTCAACGATAGAAAAACGCCTCCTCCATAGCCCAGACCTGATGAAAGAATGAGGTATAGCAAAAATCGCCTAAAGCGGCCAGTTTTCCGGGGCGCTGGAGGCGGAGGAGGAGTGATTGGGGAGTTGCTAGAGTCCTCCACAGGGGGCTGAGGAGGTTGTATAGATGAAGGGGGAGATGTTTGAGTCTGCCCAGTTGGTGACGATGCAGCCGAGTGAACAGTCTCGGGGGGGATTACCGACTGCGATTCGGGCGAAACTGGCGTTGGGCTTGTTGGCTGACCAATTTTTGGGTCTGCATAATATCTCTGTAGCGAAGAAGAGCAGTCAGCGGGGTCAATGCATGTGCCATCATATGAGAGTTTTGGGTACCTGGCCGATGGCGATGCGGTTGCTTGCAAGAGGGTTCGAAAGCAATTGCGTCGCTGTGCGCTGTCGACTCACAGACAGCAGCCGAGTCTGGCTTGACAATACGGAGTAGCGCAGCATTTCGGGCTGCCCTACCTGTGTCAGCGAGTGGTGGTGGAAGGGATGTGGTAGAAACAAATGCAGCGGACGGAACTGAGCGACTAGAGATGTTGTTGCATTTTACGATCTGCTCCGAAGCGGCTGCCATTGGCTCCGCCGGCCTGGCGGGTACCTGTTCTTGACCCCGGCCGTGCCGACGACCAAGAAATTTTAGAGAATCATGGCCTCCGGTGTCATTCTCGACAAAAGTAGCAATTTTCTCATTGATGTCGCGCTTGTGAATTATTACGAATCAGTGCACTACTATATACTTAGCGATTGCGTCGAGCTAAGCAATATCTGCAACATACAATCGAAGACATTGATTAGGCTGGGATAATGATGTGGTATGAAGTAGTTAAGAGATAGCTTGAGTAGCTTGACAACCGAAGAAATCTGACCCAACAACAGGTATAACGACGCCTTCAAAAGAATTAACAGTAGACAAGGTAAAGCAGATGAAATACAGCGAGGTAAGGGATCTACCCTTCGAACAAACGAAATAAAAGCTGGCCTGAAATCTCAACTCTCCAGCAGCGACTGAGGCTGAGCACATGTGCAATGAAAAAAGAAAAGAGATACGCGAGTTAGTATAAAGGAGAAATGTTGGAGCACCAAACTTCCAACCGATCAAGGGCAATAACCCGTAGGCCTTGTTCTATCTATGGTCAATTATGGCACCGGTCTGGCTCCATATATGTCGAATTCCATCACACCGAGGCAGAATAGAATAATAGTGCGTATGCTATATCTGCCACTCTCGAGCAAGCGCTGGCTAATAACGGGATATACCGGTTAAAAGGTCCCATTGTGAAGTGCACTTTATTAATTTAGCAACTGCAACCATTAGCTCCCTGGGTGCCAGCAGCTTCGGGTCGTAGATCAACACCAGGTCTCGCGCTCGCTCGCAGATTTCGTGGTCCGGCTTGGTCAAGCGGCAACTTCTTTGCAATGGCGGTAAAAAGCTCCTTGACATTAGTGGTTGTCTTGGCTGATGTTTCGAAAAAGAGTAATCCAGCTTCTCGGGCATATGCCTCCGCATCAGCTGTCGCAATAGCACGCTTGTCCGGGTTCTCGGTGACCAAATCCAGCTTATTTCCGGCTAGGGCAATGATGATATTCTCGTTCGCTTGACGTTGCAGCTCCTTCACCCACGATTTGGCCTTATCGAGTGATGACTAGTATTGAGAAGAAGAAGTAAGGTCAGCATACAATAGCCGGGAGTAATTCTCCCAAGGCAACATACCGATTGTGTGATATCATAAACGACGACGGCACAGTTTGCATTTCTATAATACATCGGTGCCAGAGATTTGTACCGTTCTTGGCCAGCTGTGTCCCAGATTTCGAACTTTACCGTCGTATTCTCATCCAACGAAATCGTCTGTGTCAGGAAAGCAGCGCCAATTGTCGACTCTCTGTAATCATCGAATTGATCCTAGATTATGTTGGCCACTAATGCATTAACGATACAAGCAACACAGTGGGTAGATACTAACTTTGACAAATCGTAAAACCAGAGAACTCTGTAGGGGGGAAATCAGCGATTAGTATGATCGGTGGGACTCGATTCGATGGCCGTAGACCGAGCTGTTATGGCAAGCTGGCTTACCTTTCCGACCGCGGATTCTCCTGCAGGCAGCATCAAGTTAGTCTACAATCATCGAGGGAGGCTGATATAGCTCCTGGTAGGCGGATAACGAACCGAGCAGAACAAGCTTGAACTGAGCGAACCTCGCACCGGGGCGACCTCCAACTGGTGCGCGCGAAGCCATATCTCCAGACAGAAAAGCAACTTTTGTGCAGTAACAATACAAGAAGACAGTGATGTTTCTCGACGTGCAGGTAGAGACAACACTGTGTTTCGTGGAGAGGGTGGATGCGGTATGTGAGATGGACGATTGAGGTTGTAGTGACGGACTATGTTTCTGTTGGAGCCGCGGGATGACGAGAGGCAACTGACCAGAAAAGGCTGTGCAATGACGCTATTGGCTAGGGGCCGCGGTCACGGGCCACTAGCCACAAAGGGGGCTTGCGCGGCTGTCCGCTGTCCAATCACAGCGCCGGGCTGCGTGGCCTGCTGTGGCACAGCAAACAAGTTGGTGCCAAACAGGCAGCTGCTCTCCCATACTATTTATTGCATGCAGCTGATTAGCTGTTGACGCTCGCTTCATTCTCAGCTCGTTTACGATCATTCAATTCCATTTGCCCGCGACTACATTATGCGCTGAAGCTGCGACCTCGATCTTTCTATTGTATAATCACTATCCCCCTGGCGAGTTGACCATGGCGCAACCGGTGCTCCCCTTCAAGGACATTAATCTGCATTCCTCGCCATCGCACTATGCATTCACTTCACCCTCTACTCCCAACGCCCCGACATTGGTGGTGGAGCGACCAAATGGCGATTTGCGTCTCAATGATGGCACTCTCCTCGGCACGAAACGAGTGTCGAGCATTGCCGGGATTCTGGGAATGATCAAGCTGAAGCTAGGTACGACGTGATGGCATCCCAAGTTCTTCAGTATGTGAGGCTGATTAGTTGAAGACAAGTACATCATAGTCATCACCAAGGCGCAACCCATGGGTCGTCTCCAGGGCCACATGGTGTATAAAGTTGTCGCGACGGAATTTCTACCTCTTCGAGAGCGCCCACTACACGACACGGACGAAGACACCTATCTTTCATTATTGAAAGACTTGATCCGAACCGGACCCATGTACTTTTCTTATTCTCTCGACCTCACCAACAGCTTCCAAAGGCAATCGCAGAGTGACCCGAGTTACCCCCTGTGGAAACGAGCCGACGACCGCTTTTATTGGAATCGGTTTATCCAGTCGGATCTCATTGACTTCCGTGTTGGTACTGTTGACACAACTGGTTCACGGTACAGCCAGCAGCCCGGTGTTGATCCATATATCTTGCCTGTTATCTTTGGCATGCTACGCATCACCCCCGCCAGAGTCAAGAATACTTCGTTTACTTTCGCTTTGATTACACGGAGGTCAAGGTTTAGAGGCGGGACTCGCTACTTCTCTCGTGGTATTGATGATAATGGGAATGTGTCCAATTATAATGAGACGGAGCAAATTGTGATCCTGAACGATTCCACTGGTGGCTTGACTGGTTTCGCTGGAGGTCAAGCATTGCCGAACGGAAAACTTGAAGAGCCAGGCCGAGATTTGGAGGTATTTTCGTTTGTCCAGACCAGAGGCAGTGTACCTGTTTTTTGGTCTGAGGTGAACAGTCTTCGTTACACCCCGAAGCTACAGGTCAGGGGTGTAGAGACGGCTGTTGAAGCCGCGCAAAAACATTTCTCTCAGCAAATTAGGATTTACGGGGAAAATTATTTGGTCAACTTGGTGAACCAAAAAGGCAGAGAAGAGCGGGTCAAGAAGGCCTATGAACAAATGGTCCGTACTTTGCTGTCATCTCCAGGAGAGGCTTCCGAGAAGGATCTACCACATACCGATGAGAAAGTACGCATTGTGGAATCCGAGGAAAGAAGGGAGCTCTTGGATCGTATACACTATATTTATTTCGACTTCCACAATGAGACCAAGGGTCTTAAATGGCACCGAGCACAACTGCTCCTAGATCAGCTTACAGATGGGCTCATGCGCGGGCAATATTTCCGAGGTGTTGAAAAGCCCGGTGATTCCCACGGACCTTTGGATATTCGCACTCAACAGGGAAGTGTTGTACGGACAAATTGCATGGACTGTCTTGACCGTACGAATGTTGTTCAGAGTATGTTAGGTCGTTGGACAATCAGCCGTCAATTAATGGACGCTGGCGTTCTGCGCCCAGGGGAGTCAGCAAGCGACGATGCTGAATTTGAAAATATATTCCGTAATATATGGGCCGACAATGCCGATGTCGTTTCACGAGCGTATTCCGGAACTGGAGCTCTGAAGACAGACTTCACGCGAACAGGCGAACGCACTCGCGCCGGAATGTTGCAAGATTTTTCGAATTCGGTCACCCGTTATATTCGCAATAATTTCATGGATGGTCCCCGGCAAGATGGGTTTGACTTGTTTTTGGGTGCTTATCTACCGCAAGACTCGGCGTTGGGGAGCTTGTTACTCTTCATTGATCGCAGACCCGTCATCATACAATCGATCCCATACGTGTTGGCAGCGAGCGTATTTATGGTGCTGGTTGCTATTTTCACGCGCCGCCTGCCTGATGCTGCAGTATGGCCATTAAGGATTTTCACTCTTTTCTGGATCATCGTTGGTGCATGGTGCTTACACTTCATATTTGGCCATGGAATGCTCTACGTAAGTTCATGCTGTTTGTTCGATGTCGCATCCGCGGTACTAACATTTTGCAGGTCAACTGGCCCAAGCTCAATACACCAACTGCTGCTTCAGAAGGTTATCAAGATGCTCTGACTCATGCTCGATCAGACAAGGTCATTGGGCGTTTCTTACTCAGTAAACGACACCAGCGCGGTTACAGCAATGCCCGCTTGGGCTTTATGGAAGAAGGCAAAAAGAGGCTTGAATAGACCCTTTTTTTGTTGTCTCTCCTTATTGTCTTTTTTTCTGTTTCTACCTTTCTCTTGCGCGAAAGCATATGAATTTGTCGCCGACGCAGGTTTTCTTTCTATTCTCCTCTAAAGAGTTCTTTTACTTCGATCACAGGTTATGCTTTTAGTTACATATTCAATTCCACCATTCTGTTATGCTACGTATCATAAATACCATTATTTTACTCTACTGTGGAAATATAAATAAGCCTTCGTGTGAACTTTGTCGGCGTTGGGTCTATCTAGTATCGTTATCGGAAAAGTCGTCGGCGAGCGAGCCGTTGGCCGAAGTCCGGAATTCCCAACAAGCTCTTCGGCATGAAATTGTCTGTTTGTGAGGCATGAGACCTTTACTTTAAACTTCTCTCTTGCTGCACCCCTTTCCGAATGCTTACGCGACCCCGATTCTGGAGATTGCAAAGCCCTGCATTGTCTCGCCACTTGCATTCAATTCGCTTCAAGCCCTTCACGATGGCGGGGCGCACGTACGATGTGAGATGGCATTCTGCGCGACAGTCTACAAATCGCTCTTTTAACTGACGGACATGTGTCTTATGTCTCGCAGGAAGCTATTACTGCACTCAATTCTTTACAGTCAAATTTTTCGATTGTCAACGCCATCAGGCAGTCTGGGAGACCTATGAATCAAAATGCTATCCCGGAAATGATCGACTGGTTTAGGAAAGTTGGATACGAGGTTTGCCCTTGCTAGTCTATGACAATATGAATGATCCTAGCTTATAGAAATGCTCTTATAGCCATCAGATCTCAATCGCCTCAACCTAGTTCATATCGCCGGCACAAAAGGCAAGGGCTCGACGTCCGCCTTCGTCTCGTCGATTCTCTCGCAGTACCTTCCCGTGGCGGAAAGCTCCTCAGCCGCCGTTCACAAAGTCGGACTTTATACTTCGCCACATTTACGTTTTGCTCGTGAGAGGATAAAGATAAATAATGAGCCATTGTCCGAGGACCAATTTGCCCGCTACTTCTTCGAGGTATGGGATCGTCTGGAAGAATCTGCCAAGGCGGCCGGGGAAGATCCTCAGGTGAAACCGGTTTACTTCCGGTACCTTACTCTTATGGCATTCCACGCCTATATCAGTGAAGGCGTCGATGCAGCCGTGATTGAGTGTGGTATTGGAGGCGAGTATGACTCGACAAACATCATCGTGCAACCGACAGTCTGTGGTATAACCAGCCTTGGCATTGATCACGTCGCATTATTGGGGTCTACCATCGAGGAAATAGCATGGCATAAAGGCGGTATTATCAAAGCAGGAGCGAAGACTTTCACGGGCCCACAACCTGAAGGCGCATTGGAGGTTCTGCGCAAAAGGGCTGAGGAGAAGGGCACGGAACTGATTGTTGCTCAGGGACAGCCTGAATTGGAGAAAGGGAGCAGCTCATTGAAGCTGGGTTTGGACGGTGATTTCCAATATACGAATGCGAATATAGCAGTTGGCGTTGCGGGCGAGTTTCTGCGACGCCGTGGGGTGGAGGATATCCCTGCTGATATATTTACCGCATCACTGCCCGAAAAATTTCGAGCCGGCTTAGAGAAGACCAGGTTAGGTGGCAGATGTGAAACACGTCAGGAAAGGACGGTCTCTTGGTATATCGACGGTGGTCATACACTCGAAAGCATACGCGTTGCCGGGGAATGGTTTGCTTCAAAGCTGGTTGGTGATGCTGAGAGTAAGCAACCCCGCGTCCTGATTTTCAACCAGCAGACTCGCGACAGCGGAGCGCTGGCACGAGCCCTATATCAGACTCTAGCCGAAGCCCTTGGGTCGGTGCAGCCTTTTACACATGCTGTATTCTGCACTAATGTCACATACAAGAGTGCTGGATACCGACCTGATCTCATCAGTATAAATACCAATGCCTCGGAGGTAGAGAAGCTTAGCGTACAAAACTCACTTGCCAAATCCTGGCAGGAGATTGACCCGAAATCGCATATATCGGTCTTTTCTACAATTGAGGAAGCCGTGGATTTCGTGCGTGAACTTTCGAAACAAGTCTCCGGTGAGGTTCCTGTCAAGGCCATGGTGACTGGCAGTCTACATCTTGTGGGCGGTTTCCTCGATGTTGTCGAGACTAAGCCTGGACAGCCTGCAGCGTGAGGAACATCTCCCCGTTTACAGACGTATACCTTCGCAATCAAATCAAACCTTGGGTCATCATGATTATGAGAAAACCGCTATGCATAGTCGAGGGACTATTTTCTCCCTTTTTCCTTCTTGGAAAGAAGCTACCTAGCTCCAATATGGAGCGTCTAGGATGTATACAAGTCTATAGCTAGTTGTACAACACCTACCTACTGTCTATAATAGAACATTTGACAGACTCTAGTACAAAAAGATCACATCTGGTGCATAGAAGAAACCATCAATTAGCTATCACAAACCATCTAATCTTATTCATCAATTTTAGGACATGTGCACTTAGAAAGTAATATTTTTAACGATCAGCATGATTCCTTTAATCCTTCTCTCTCCTCCAATGGCATCTGCACAATGTCAGGCGGTGTGCAAGATGTTGAAGTGCCCCACCAACGCGTGATAATGCCAGACTTACCGCTTTCCCTTTCTGTCTTGCGGGGTGTGAATAGCAACGCTGAAGATAAACAGTTAACGCTTCTCTTTCACTCCTCAGCATTCCCTTTACTCCTCTTTGCCTTCGCTACACACAGCAATGGCAGAGCCACAGGAATCCAAGGGCAAAGCTCCTGCACAGGAGCCTAGTGACAGCACAAATGGACAAGACAACCACATCACTGATAACAGCAGTGCAGAGAAGTCTTCAGAGACCATTGAAGGCTCATCTGGCAAGAAAGACAAAACGCCTCTTGTTTCAGGAGTCAAAGAGAGAATTGGCAAACTAGCACGTTCCTCTAACGATGACAAGACAGTCACACCTCAGATGCTTGACTCCTTACTTCGCATGAACCCATCCTTGGCTGGCGAGCTGGCTGGCATGCCTCAAGACAAGGCCATCGAAACACTCACCAGTATGAATGTCGCTGACCTCCTCACTGGACTGTCCTTGGGGAAGAAGAACCAGAAGGACATGGCCTCTTACAAATTTTGGCAAACTCAACCTGTCCCGCGTTTCGATGACCAGGAAAACCTCACTGAAGGCCCCATCAAAATCATCAACCCAGAGGAAGTTTCGAAGGAGCCGCCACAGCTGATAGAGGGGTTTGAGTGGGTGACACTGGATATTTCAAACGACAGTGAAGTGACAGAGCTGTATGAATTGTTGTCCAATCACTATGTCGAAGATGACAACGCCATGTTTCGCTTTAATTATTCCAGAGCATTCCTCAATTGGTAAGCCTTACAAATGATCCCATTATTTCAGTGGATTTTCTATTTCTCACCTTTTCTTTTCAGGGCTTTGACATCTCCTGGCTGGAAAAAGGAATGGCATGTGGGAGTTCGTGCAACAAAGTCTCGCAAGTTGGTCGCTTTTATTTGCGGTGTGCCAACATACATCCGAGTTCGCGATCAGAAGCTCAAAGTGGTCGAAATTAACTTCCTTTGCGTGCACAAGAAGTTGCGTTCCAAACGTCTTGCACCTGTCTTGATCAAGGAAGTGACCCGTCGCTGTTATTTGCGAGGAATTTACCAAGCCATCTACACTGTGGGCATTGTTCTTCCCAAGCCTGTGACCTCATGCCGCTATTACCATCGTCCTCTAGACTGGTTGAAACTGTACGAAGTTGGGTTTTCTCCTCTCCCCCCAGGTTCCACCAAAGCGCGCCAGATTACCAGAAATCACCTTCCAAGCCACACGGCCACCCCTGGTCTGCGCAAAATGCAAAAGAAGGATGTGGGCGCAGTCTACAACTTGCTCGAACGGTTCCTGAAACGCTTTGATATTAATCCGGCATTCTCAAAGGAAGAAATAGACCACTGGCTGCTTCATCAAGAGTCGCGTGGTGAGCAGGTCGTTTGGTCCTATGTAGTAGAAGAATCACACACGAAGAAGATTACAGACTTTGTGTCTTTCTACAGCCTGGAATCATCAGTCATCGGCAACCCGAAGCACAAGGAAGTTCGTGCTGCATACCTGTACTATTACGCGTCGGAGACTGCTTTCAACGACAGAGAGGCGGGCTTCAAGGAGCGGCTTCAGTTATTGATCAACGATGCTCTCATCGAAGCTAAGAAGGTAAGCATATCCCAGACTTTGTCAATGGACGACGCCTAACCTAACACTTGTATAGGCTCACTTTGATGTCTTCAATGCGCTCACCCTGCAGGATAACCCTCTATTCCTTGAACAACTTAAATTTGGTGCTGGTGATGGTCAGCTGCATTACTACCTGTACAATTACCGCACTGCTCCTGTTCCCGGCGGAGTCGACCACAAGAATCTTCCGGACGAGCGAAAGAGAGGAGGAATGGGCGTGGTTCTTCTTTAAGTTGGACAGACCTCTGCTGCAATTTGGACATAGTCTATCATCACGAATGGCACGATTGGGGGGATTTTGTGCTTTCCAGAATATTTCGTAGTCTACACTTGGACTGGGCTGTTGTAAATTCCTCGTTTTAGCTAAAGACAATGAAGGACATGGCTTAACTTGTAAGAAATGCAACTCTACATTGTGCTGTCCTGTTCTCAGTAAGTGTCATCATAAGCAACCGAGGAATGCCCCACTCGGCACTTGCAGGCGGAGCGATCTGGATTGGATCGTCAACCCGTCAACCTTAATCCAACCTCTAGCTTCCTGTCGCTCATCCATGTCGACTGTAAGCATTGAATTCAAATCTGATCCAGGCAGATGATAAGAGAGAAATAACGAATAATGATTCCCCTCATCCAGATCTCGGTTCGTTGACGCTGAACTAGTCAGTCATAAGTTATCGCTCTGCCATCATTAGGCTGCATTTTTTTCGAACACGTACAACTCTAGCAGTAGACAATCGAACAAAATGGGCGCATCACAGTCTACAGGTGGACTCGAGGGTGCTCCGTCTCTAGGTATGTCTCATGCGACACTGTCGCTGTGTATCCCGCATTTTTATTCTTTTCCGTAATTCAAAAGGCTTATTTTTCGATTCACAGAACAGCTCAGCTTTCTACTAGCTGAACGCTTTGCAACAAAGTGCTTCACTCCCTTAGAACTTACTCATTTCAAAGACAACTTTTATTCGCGGGCACTCGACCAAGCGGGATTTCGGTATTGGAACGAGAAGATCCTTTCGGACTTTCTCGGCATACCTGATGGAATCTATACCGATGAGAAGGGCGGCAGTCATGATGGCCGCCTTGATGCGGGTCCCGTCGTGTTCAGAATGGTGTCATACTTGGGCGCGTTCCCTTTCCAGAAAACCCTTGCGCCTAGCGTTTTGACTTTCGAGGCTATGGTCAAGGTTGTTGTGCTCCTCACTGAGAGATATGGCAAAGTCCTGAGAAGAGGTCGTAAAGATCGTGTCAAGCTGCTTTTTGGAAGTCTTGCAGATGTCGGAAGACCGCCCGTGCGAGACACAAAAGAACATCAACTCTCCGAACCCTCTGATAACAATGGAGAAGGATCACAAGGGCCTTCGTCGCATGCGCCGGGATTTTCCATCGATGAGCCCGCTAACGACGACTATGATGAAGAAGTTGATGATGACGATCTAGCATTAGCAGCATTGGAATCACTAGATGCTATTGAGGTTTTTAAACATGACCAACGAATTGATCGTACAGTCTATGAGGCACGCATATCCGTGGACACATTTCGTCGTCTTCTTATGTTACTCCTCGTGATTACTCCGTTGAGACCATTTGAGACTGTCACCAAATATACTTATGATTTAAGCTCGGAAGAGCAGGCTTCCATCAGACACGAAGCCGACAGCATCATCTCTAGTTTCAGTGAAGAAGAACTCCGGGACGGTATTGGATACAAATCATTTTCGAAGATGGTTTCCCTCAGCTTACCTCATCTCTTTGATCCCTTGACGCCACTATTTGAGCATCTTTTGTTTAGTAAAAATTTGGATCTGTCTCGGAAACGAACTGGATCTGAAACCAATCCCGAGACTTCGCCTACGCAGTTGTCGAACGATGAAACGCCAACCCCCGGCCATCCGGCTGCGATTTTGCTTCCGGGGAGCTTTGAATCTGCAATACTCACTCCGAGTATGATATCTCATCTTTCTTTTTTCTTACCCGCCTCCTCGGACCAGAATATTTATAGGAGTGATATACACTTACACCCTGTCTTTTCCACCGTGGCACATGGTGAATCTTTAACATCATTCCAGCACAATGTCTTCACATGGCAGGCCCCATCGCTCCTCATTGTTCAAGGTGCTCCGATTGGAGGGTCCAGCTCCTCCTCCAACAACGAATTGATAACAATGGGCGCATATATACCTCGGCCATGGAAACCATCTTCAACATCTTACGAAACCTCTACCAATACAAACAATCGATCAAGCCTCCCCTATCTATTCCAGCTCCACCCCAAACATTCCGTACTACCAGGTAATCCTTCTCCCTCAAAACTCGAATCAACTACAAACCCCACAGTATTCTTCTCCACATCAACCGGCATCGCTATCGGCTGTGAGGTCGCAGCATCTGCGCACCACAAAACGAGTTATGGCCCCGGCGTACCCTCTTCCTCCCGCCACCATAGAAACAACAGCAATAACAAACAACACGCACCAATCCCTAATGGCGCGGGCAGTCTCATCATAGACGCCGGTCTAGAAACAGCACAACTACACGTATCCTACCTGGCCGGTAGTTCCGGCACTTTCACACCAGCTGTCCCTCCTATCCTTCCAACCATTACACACATTGATATCTACAACCTTGAAATATGGGGTATTATTGAGCCGGTATCGTCGGCAACAACGGGAGGTAATACTAATACCATTTCGCAACAGCGCGCAGCGTGGCAGTTCGATGCCCGTGAAGCAGAGCGTAGAAAGGGACTTAATGTTAAATTGGGTGCAAATGCATCGGACAGTGATTATCAGAATGCGCGTGCTTTGCTCGAAATGGCTGGTATTATAGGTGATCAGGGCCAGCGGAGTGGAGGCAGTGTATGATTTTTTCTTTCAATTTTCTCACTGTCTTTTCACCTCTTGCTTTGCGAAGAGTCAGTTATTGTAAGTCTGACGCCCTGGCTCGGGCCTTATAGCAGCATGAGTAACGGTATATTTTTATTACAATAATGATAAATAAAACGAGATTTTTTCCCCCTCATAATCTATATTCATACAATATTCTAATGATAACATCAAACTCGTATAGGTACAAGCCCATTAGGCGGTTCATAGAAATCCTTTAATAAAAGCTCCAACTCCTCCGCTTCCAAATCAGCCTTGCCATCATCAGCTACCGCCATGTCATCAACTTCACTAGCGGCAGCAGTACTTTGATGACGATCGCTTGTCTTTGACTTGGCATCTTCGGCCATAACGGTAACCTCATTGGCGGCGTCATGATCATCAGCATCACCACCGCCAGCCTTAAGAGGCTTTTCTCTGGGCAGACGGAAAGGAAGAAAGCCCGCGGGCGCACGTTCAGCACGCTCCATCACTTCTTCCATGTATTTTCGTACTTCAGCTGCGGGTTTGACGATTCGAGATAGCGGCTCTAAAATTGCGGGTTTGCTACTATAGAAGCGCATTGTCAAGGGTTGGTAGTATTCTTTGAGATTTGTTGCGGCGTCTACCTTTTTGGGTTGTGCGGCTGCTGTCGTGTCTGCTAATGGTGTTTTGTTATCACCTTCTTCTGCAGGCTTCTTTTCATCGGCTGTGCTGGTGCCGGGGGCGTTGTTTTCTTTCTTTTCATCTACTGCTTGACTGTCGACTTCAGGTGCAGGTGTCGATGGACCGCCTTTTTCGGCGGCTTTTTCCTTGTCTTTCTTTTTGGACTTTGAGGATTTGCTCTTGGACTTGGGTGCGATGTCTGGTGTCTGCTCAAGTGGGAATTTCGTATTAGGTTCCACTTTGCGCACAAGCAGGAACGAAGCAAGAAGCACCGTACCGCCGGCTTGGTATTCCAAGATAGAGTATTCTGGGAATAGGTAGCGATCGCCTGAACCAGCATGACCAGAGGTGCTGCTTCCGTAAGGTGTCAATGGAGAAGTAAACTCGAACACCACTGCCTTGATGGGTGGCTTAGGAGGAGGAGGAGCAGGCCCAGTTTGGTAATAAGTCGATGAACTATATTGGGGTCCACTACGAGCCTTGATAGGAGGTGGCACATGCGGATAAGGAGGATGGTGGTATTGTGGATATTGTGATGGTCCTGCAGGATACGGTGAAAGTGGCTGTGGAGACGGATTTGTGGGAACGGGATTTGTTACAGGAGAAGCTTGAGGTACATAGGAGGGGCCTGATGAAGGAGCAGTTGCAACAAGGGCTGCACTCGGCGGCACAGGCACGGGAGCCGGAGCCTTTGGAACTGTGTTTGCTGGTGTAACAGCGGATGGTGTAGGTGCTGGAGGTGCTGCGGGAGCAGGGGCTAGAGTTGCAGGCGTTCCGGGCTCCGTCTTGATCTGAGGGGTAGTATTGGGTGTAGAGTCACTCGCATTAGGGACACCGGATTGACCAGCACTAGGGGCAGTATGTGGTTGCGCATTTCCAGGGTTGTTGGCTGGGGTTGGGATTGGTGCTTGTGACGGCTGTGTTGGCGACTGTGCTTTTGCAGCGCTGTTCGCCGGTGCTGGTGTAGAAGCCAAGTCTGATGTCGAGGACTGCGCAGGGGTAGCTGCCGATGAAGGAGCCGGTACTGGAGACTTTTGAGGTTGCTGTGAATTCTGTTGCGGAGGTTTTGGAGCCACTTGCTGCGCCGGGGGTGGCGCATGTGTATTCTGAGGTTGTTGAGATTGCGGTACTTGTTGGGGTTGTTGATAATAATTGTTCTGCTGCTGTTGTTGTTGCCTCCTTTGCTGCTCTTCTCTCTGTCGAATAATGGCATTGAGCTCATCAATATGGCCCTGGAAAATCCGCAATTGTTCCTGAGAGGCCTTGCTTGATGCCACAATCCTCATCAAGGCCTTCAGTTCAGGATTTGAAGCTGCTCTAGTTGCAAGCATTTGAATAACAGGGTCTGGACTCGGTTTCGCTGGCTGAGGTGGAGGTCCCTGCGCCTGCGACGTCGGTTGTTGGCGCTGGGTCGGTGGTGGCTGCTGTGGCCTCGGATGGGATGGGGCATTCTGAGGGTTTGGAGGCTGATTATAAGGATATGGAGGCGGTCGCATTTGCTGAGGAGGGGCGTAATGCTGATATTGGTATCCGGTTGTTGGCGGAGGGCCGTATTGAACAATGCGTTGTGGCGGGGGAATTTGCACTGCTGGTTTTGCATTGGGGTCTTTCACTGTATAGATCATTCCATCGAAATGATGGGGTTCAATAATAATTTTGCACGGGCCGACTTTGGTCATCGAATCCTTGGGTGGATTTTTCCCTTCGAGTTGTTCTCTCTTCGTTTTCTTCGGTTTTGTCCAATACCTTTCGAAAATGCCGTCACTAAGCCACTTTTTCTTAGACCGTTCAAGGGACATGCTTAAAACGACGCTTTTCAACAAACAACCAGTCAGATACAACCATTAAATTATCTGAGATGATGGAATGAATACCTTTCAGCGATGGATTGAAAGTCATTGTCAGACAATGTGAGCGACGATTGAGGCTTTGACCTCGTCGGGAGAGGGTCCCCTTCCTTGAGCTTTGTAGGCAATGGCTCTTCAATAGGTTCTGGAGTAGATTGACGTTCAGGTTCAGGTATCGGTGTTGAAGACTGAGCTGCAGTGGCAGGTGTTGATGTTTTCCTTCTGCTCGAGCTTTGCGAAGCTGCTTCTGAGACTCGTCGCTTCGCTGCGGGTTCTCGGCGTTCGCGAGCAGGAAGTTTGCGCTTCGGTGCCATTGCGCTTTCAACTTTTTGTATTTGCTGATGTTTCCATATAACTGGTGTTGTACTATCTGGATGAGATGAACATTGTCGCGCTAGCAACCCAAGTATGCAGAGAGTCGCGCATTCATTCAAGGGTCCGCGGAAAGCTTCGCGCGGAAAATCATTCTGCCGTGTTTGGCCAAGGCGGTGAGTGCGGGCTTACTTTTTCTTATCGATTGATAAGAGCGATGCCTTAGGAATATTCATATTTGCTCTCCATCAGGAGATATTCTTTACTGCTTAGCGACGCTCGATCTTTTCTGCCCTGCTGCCTACCTAGAAGATTACGTCGCAGCTTGAGCAGGCCGAAGCTTAGGTATATCAAAAGAGATGTTGATGTGGATTCACGTTTCTATAGCCCTAAAAGTCACCCGTGGGTTACCTTAAGAAAGTGTACACCATTCTACACAATTAGTAGTCGAGACAAACGGCATTTAATTTAATCTCAAGATTCTCTTCGCGTTTCCGAATGCAATCGCCTCCCACTCGGTTTGGCTGACCACTCCGGACCTTTTCAAGGTCTGCATGAACGCCGCTCCATCCTCTATGAGGGATCACGGGTAGTCAACATAAAACTAGCAATCAGCATTGACTGATGTTTTGTTTATGGGAAGAAAAAGGAAGGGAAGAAAAGGAACCTTATTCTATCCGGCGCAGTAGTTCCTGGTCATGCCGCGAATGGATTCGAGGTGAAAAGACAAAACACTAAGGCCGAAAAGCAATGCACCGGAATTTACCTAGGTATACTTAACCCCTCATATTTTTGGCGAGAGAACAGTAGTAGGTGTAGACATTGATATATCCGTATTGAAGGAGATGACGGCAGCAAAAAGACGAGTCCAAATCTTGAGAATCAAACGCACGGCATTTTGTAGACACTGTTCGTAGTGAAACTAGGGCTATGTCGTTGGATGGTCAGGGCCTTCATGTTCATGTTAGCGCTTCCAGAGCAAAGAAAATTCAAGTCCTCAGGAGAGTAGAGCGGTTCCCTGAAAGCCTGACGGATGTTGGATCCAGCTTGAAAATATCCATTAGCGCCAGGGAGAATCATCCATCGTCCATCGGACAGTCGGATCCTCATATAAGATCTGCGTACCCTATACTGGATATTACGCTTTACGATGTTATGATATGTTGTAAGCATAATACATTGTGTCGATGCAGTGGTCTGAGGTCAGTTCAGAGAATCAGGTTACAGACTGCTCTAAATCCTATTGATGAGATTTGTGAGGTCCCTCTCTTGCCAAAAATTTTTATCAAACACTTGAATTCCATGGTCCTTCTATAGGTGGATAAATGAATAGAACGAGGGGTTGCAGATCTGCCCTGGTGTTTGCCAGGGTTAAGTCTGGGCTGCAGAGTTGGCCCTAACTCGGTATAAAAGTTGCCGAATTAATGAAGACACAGACGCAAGCAGGTTCCCTGCTATAGTCCTAGGCAAAGGTTTGGAGATCTTTTAAAATTAGGCAGGGCCTTTCCCTAGCCATATACAATCAACTTCTTGTCTTCATCTATAGCCCACGTTAAAATTGAAAAATGGCACGGCTTGCAACTCTGCTTAGCATCATTAGCGCGGCGTCGGTGTCAGCCAACACTCTCCTAGCTACTCTAGACTATGGCTCCTTTCAGGGATACTATGACGCAGAATACAATCTGTCATACTGGAGGAAGATACCATTTGCTGCACCTCCAGTCGGCGAAAATCGGTTTAGGGCTCCGCAGCCCCCTCTTCAAGTAAACGGTACATATGACACCAATGCCGGCTTTTCCGAGTGTCCGCAGCGAACTGCAAATGGCTCGGAGGATTGTCTGTATCTGGGAGTGTATGCTAGACCGTGGAGTGAAGGCCAGAAACTACGCCCAGTATTCGTTGAGATGTATGGAGGGGCATTCGTCGAGGGTAGTGCCTCAACCGGATTGCCAGGGATATTCTATCCTTTGCTCAACTCCAGTGATGAGAGTGATTTTATTGCTGTAGGCCCCAATTACCGTGTAAACGCATTCGGATTCTTGCCGGGCCAGGAAATCTACGATGACCCTTTGTCTGATTTGAATCCCGGTTTGCTAGATCAGCAGTATGCATTGCAGTGGGTTCACAGATACATCCATCTCTTCGGAGGCGATCCATCTCAGGTCACTATCATAGGTCAGAGTGCCGGCGGAGGAAGTACTGTGGCTCAATCGATTGCGAATGGCGGTAAAACCGACCCGCCTCTATTCCAAAGGGCTTTATCATTGAGTCCATTCTGGCCCAAAACATACCAGTACAACTCACCCCAGGCGCAGGCTATCTATGATCAGTTCGCAAGCTTGGCCAACTGCTCTGGGACTAGCAATACTCTGGAGTGTTTGAAATCTGCAGATCTGGACACATTAATCACCGCAGCATATGGTGTCACATACGGTGACGAGTATGGACCAAATTCGTACACCTGGGCTCCCGTCATAGATGGCACCTTCCTGCCTAATACGCTCAGCGACGCGGTGGAAAAGGGCGCCATAAACGCACCCGCCCATTGGGGAATGTACAACACGTATGAAGGGGAGAACTTCATCCCATCTGGTCTCAAAACCTCTGACTTGTCACCATACAACTCATCAGATGCAGCATTTGAGCTTTGGCTGGGGGATTTTCTGCCTGACCTATCCCAGAGTGACCTCGATCACCTTTTAACTGTGTACCCATCGAGTGGCAGTAGTGAGAGTATAGAGAGCTACAACACAACTTACATTCGCGCGGAGCTGATCTATCGAGACCTTGTCCTGGCTTGTCCCGGGTACTGGCTGGCCCAGTCCGCGAAGGTGGGATATCTTGGGCAGTACACAATCAGTCCTGCCACTCATGGCAGTGATACCTCTTGGGTGAGTATATATACATCACGAAAATGGGCCACCGTTTGTGTACTGACATATACCCCGAATAAACAGTGGGACTCGTACGGTACACTGCAAACCGAATACCCAACGATATACGAGGGGTTTGCGGGCGCCTATGCTTCGTTCATCCAAACAGGCGATCCAAACAAGAATAAGCTGACGAATTCTTCGGAAGCTGGTGTTCCTGAGATCAACACAGGAGACGAATGGATCATAGCACTTGATGGATTCACTGTCACGAAACTCGAGCAATTGAAAACGAGATGTGCGTTCTGGAAAGAAGTGGCAGCAGATGTTCCCAATTGATGAGAATAGGGAATATGTCTAGACTATAGCAATGAATAAAACGATCTGGTGTAGTGGACGAGGTCCAAGGGCGTCCTTGCTTATGAATGTGAAAGCAAAAACGAGATACTCGCAGCGATGTAAAGTATTTCGACGTGACTGTAATTTATACTAGTTCGTACGCCGCCATCCTTGATTTCCTGGTATTCATGCTGCAAATACCCAAGATACCCGGTCACAGTAATACCAGCATACATTCAGTCCTACACGTCTCTTGATGTAATCGTTCACAACTCCGCCATCAATTCTCAATCTCCATCCAACATGGTTGAGCTGCTCCCAATATTCAAAAAAGCCTATTGGGCCCTAGCTGCTACGAGTCTAGTTTACATATCATGGCTAGGCGCAATGACATTTCCAACCGTTCAGCGGGCGTACGTTCCTCTACTATCCTATCCTCGAGGTAGAAGTAGCCCTTTCGCTAACCAGTGAGTTAAGGGCACTGTATGCAAACTTAATAAACCCAGCCGTCTGGCAGGATTTAAATGATGTTGAGAGTTTTGGCTTCTTAAGTAATAATCTTCACTTCTTCCTGTTTCCTATGCATACATGCCCCTTGCTAATGAGCTGCCGTAAAGAGACTCAAGTACAGCCATTTTATCTGAAGACGCCAGACAATGAAACTTTATACGGATGGCATATCCTCCCACTACATCTGTGCAGAGAGCATGAGGAGCTTCTGAATGATAATTGGTCTTATGGGCCTGCAGAGGATTATACACAAACAGTAGCATACAAGCTGCTTTCTGAAGAACCTAATTCGCGGGTTGTTACGAATTGTGAGTTTAGTTAAGCATCTGCATTGTGAATAGGTAGTTATCGAATGTCTGGCAGTTCTAACTTCATCAAAAGTCCATGGGAATGCCGCCCATCTCGGTTCTGTCATCCGTCCGGAGATGTATCGAATGGCTTTGGGGGTATCAACTCCACAGAATCCGGTACATGTCTTCGCCATTGATTACCGGGGATACGGTATTTCCACAGGCTCTCCCTCAGAAGAAGGCCTCATTACTGACGGCGTAACGCTACTGAACTTTCTCACCTCTGAGCCATGCAACATCCCACCATCACAAATCGTAATTGCAGGCCTGAGTCTTGGGACTGCGGTTACAACTGCAGTTGCCGAGCGTTTTGCCTTTGGTGCAGCACCAGATTCGCCCGACTCAGTGACCATTGTTGGCCAGCCAGCTTTGAAAGACCCTGAGCCCTTTGCCGGGATCATTCTCGTTGCTTCTTTCAGCAATCTTCCCGATCTCATCGAATCATATAGCTTCAAGGGCTTGACACCACCAATGCTTTCACCTTTGGCTGGCTATCCTCGGGCCCGGGAATGGGTCAAGTCACAGATCCTCGATACCTGGCAAACCAACAGCCGTCTGGCACGCCTTACAAGCATGAAGCCTCGAGGAGACGATGATAGCGCTGAATCTGATGCGAGACACGCCCAAAAGGGTGTAGATATCACAATAATTCACGCGCGAGACGATGCTGAAATACCCTGGAAAGAGGGTTTCATGAACTGGAAGTGGGGTACGACTGGTTGGAACAATGATGACGACAAGCAGAAGAAAGTTGGTAGTCAGTCCCAAGTAGGAAAGATTGTTTATGAACGTGTTGCGGAAGATGGTGTAACAGAGACTAGGGTTTGGGAGAAGGAAATCTGGCCATCGCCAGAAAGGAGCACGAGTTTCGCGAAGACAAATAGTAACGGGAAAGGAGTGAAACGAGTCAGATGGGAAAAGGTTGGATACGGTGGGCATAATCAAGTCGGTGCTTATTCAGTTGCAGCTCTTGCTATCCTACGCTCCTTTGAAGAATAGCTCTTTCGCATTCGTGCGCGTCTTACTGACATGGCATTATGGTTGGTGAAAGGGATTGCTGGATTATGATGAACACTACCGAACCAATAGTTAATTTACGAGTAGCTCAAAACTAAATGATTAATAAATGCAAACGCTGTAGAATTGATTGATGACCTATGATAACAATAATCTAACTAACTCCATCCAATTTTTGTTTTTGATTCCATCCGTGATTGTACCTCCTGGTTGCCTGCAAAAGGCATATATGCGAACTATCCAAGCTCAACATATAACAAAGAATCAAATTCCACTGTTCTTTAATGCGTACTCAATGAGGAGAAGAGATTATATAGGAATAATACAAATGGTGATGCAAAAAAGAAAACAGTTCAACAAGGTATCCAAGCAATACATGATTTGAGAAACGAATATGACAGACACAGCTCGAGCACCAGCGGTCGTAAATGTATACAAAATAATTCTAAAAGGTATAGTATAAGACAAATGGGGTGAAGAATATGGATGCTGATTTGCTCAAACGGCCGTCAATTTGGGTGGATTATGCCATAGAAGGTCAAAAGTCGTGATGGACTTTATTTCTTGTGTCGGTCTGCTTGGGCCTTGAGGTACTTCTGAATAAGTTCCTTTTGCAATTGACCGGGGGCCTTCTCGTAATGACTGAATTCCATGGTGAACTCGCCTTTACCCTGAGTGGCTGCACGCAGATGGCTACTGAAGCCAAACATGCCGTTCAAGCTGCAGTCGGCGTAAACGGTGAACTCGTCGACGCCGATTTCACTGTCGTTAATGGTGGCGTTTCGCTTATTCAAAAGGCCGATAACATCACCCTGGAACTCGATGGGGGCTGTAACGACAGTCTTCATCAAAGGCTCCAGAACAGAAGGGTTACTTTCCATAAACGCCTTACGGAATGCTTGTTGGGTGGCATTCTTGAAAGACATTTCAGAGGAATCAGTCATGTGAGTGGCACCATCGTTGATGACCATCTGTGTTCCAAGAACTTTGTGTCCAATCAATGGGCCCTTCTCACAAGCGAGATTGAAACCCTTTTCACAAGCGAACAAAAATTTCTCGGAAATGGCTCCTCCGACAATCTGTTCTTCGAACTTGTTTTCTTCCAGAGATGCAGATGGTTCCATCCATCCAACGACACGAGCATAGTCACCAGGACCTCCGCTCTGCTTCTTCAACAAGTGGTCGAACTCAACGCGATTGCCAATGGTCTCTCGGTAAGCAACCTGGGGTGGTCCGGTCTCGCAGTCAACCTTGTATTCACGGCGCATACGCTCGACGTAGATATCAAGATGCAATTCGCCCATTCCAGAGATGATAGTCTGCTCACTTTCGCTATCATATGAAACACGGAACGTCGGATCTTCGCGCTGGAATCGAGCCATAGCCTTTGAAAAGTTGGCCGAGTCTTTGTTGTTCTTTGGCTTGATCGAAAGAGAGATAACGGGTTCTGGAACAAACATAGACGACATGGTGTAAGCAAGCTGTCCGTCCGTAAAGGTATCACCTGATGCGCAGTCGACACCGAACACAGCACAGATTTCACCAGCGCCGATCTCTTGCACTTCCTCCATTTCGTTGGAGTGCATACGAACAATACGTGGGACCTTGACTTTCTTATCATTCCGGGCATTGAAGACATTGGCACCTTTGCGAAGGGTACCTTGGTAAACACGAATATAGGTAAGCTGACCGAAGTTGCTTTCTTCAAGCTTGAAAGCCAGACCGACAAATGGCTGTGAACCATACGGCAGTAGTTTGACCTGGGCTTCCTTGCGTTTCTGATCCAAGGCAAGATTAGTTACTTCGGATGGGTTGGGGAGGTAATCGCAAACTCCATCCAACATAGGCTGGATCGACTTGTCAGCCAATGCAGAGCCCATGAACACCGGAGTAAATTTCAAGGAGATAGTAGCGCGACGGATAGCAGCCTTGATTTGCTCCTGTGTGGGCTCCCTTTCATCCAAGAAGATCTCTGCAATCTCGTCATCGACATCGGCAAGGGTCTCAATGAGCATCCTCCTTCTTTCTTCAGCTACAGCCTTGACTTTCTCGGGGATTTCATCGGTTTCGGTAATAGTCTCTCCTCGGGGACCCTCATTGTAAATGGCTTTCATGCGAATCAAATCGACCACACCCTGAAACTCATCCTCGGACCCAATGGGAACTTGCACCGCAGCGGCAGGTATTTTGAGTTTGTTGTTAATCTGATCGATAGCCTTGAAGGGGTTGGCGCCCATTCGGTCCATCTTATTGACGAAGGAAATTCGGGGGACGTTGTAACGCTTCATTTGACGGTCGACAGTGATGGTCTGCGATTGGACACCGGAGACGGCACAGAGGATCATGACAGCACCATCGAGAACACGAAGAGCCCTCTCAACCTCAATGGTAAAATCAATATGTCCCGGCGTGTCAATCAAGTTAAAATGATATTTCTCCTCTTTGCCATCCTCCTTCTTCACCCAGTCACAGAATGTGGCTGCAGATTGAATAGTGATACCCTTCTCACGTTCCAGATCCATAGAGTCCATTTTCGCACCAACACTGTCCCGACCACGAACTTCATGAATAGATTTGATACGGCCAGTGTAGAAAAGAACTCGTTCGGTTGCAGTTGTTTTTCCGCTATCGATATGCGCCTGTTTAAACTGTATCAATAATGGCCCCAACAGAGAATTAAGATGGCAGTAAACTTGGGTCAACGTACGGCGATACCAATGTTTCGGACTTTCGACAGACGCTTCCATTCCTGAGCGTCGATGTTTTGGATGATCTCCTCTTGACTGAGACCGTCGGGGTTGGCAGCAGCTTGTTCGATCCTAAGTTGATCACGAATGTTCAGTAAAACGTCGAAAAGAACCGGCGATGGAAAAACAACAGAAACAAACGTGAAATGGAACATACACTGCCGATGCTGCTCCCGAGGCATTCCTTATCTGATGCCATTGCCTAACTGGCGACGATAGTATCTGGCCATTTTTTGTGGGCAATGAAGTGAGCCTAGAGACCGGCAAAGAGGCACATTTCAACACATTTCGGCTCTGCGACGGAAGTAATCGGACAGGCGCTGATCTCGCAAGGCCAGAGAAGGCCCGCATTTGAGATGGTCGCACCATAGAGTATGCCCTCATTGCTCCCTATCTCGGCAAGAGGATCAATCTACTTCAATTGCTTGTGACGGGCCACGTTTTGCATCAAACATGCGCGCGTTGGAAAGAAAAAAGTTCGGGGAGACCCTGCACGTGATGTGGAGCCCGAACAGGGCCAGGGGTTAGCCAGTAATATAGTGCGCATTCAAGCCGACGAAAATGGAAGTCAAAAAAAAAAAAAAGAATCGAAGAGGGATAAGACGCAATATCTCAAAGTCCTACTTTTGTTGAAATAAATGAGAGGTATCTGGATTTCTGGAAGATCTTTTCCGGCTCTAAATATAATACATGAATGGTGTTTGCACAAACGAAATGCTGAAAATTTGGATCCCATCCCTTTTAACTCCGACAATCACTGAGTAACAAAATGCAACGTATATCCAAAGTTTCGTATTGTGATGAGTATGGCGTTCGAAAACCCTTGTAGGCGTCCATCAAGAATGAACCAATTATCACTATCCCACCGATAGCGGTATACAACTCAGAATGCCCCGTATGCTTTCATTTCGTGGATTGATCAAAAGCCTCGCCCAATTGACCATTTATTTGCCTTGGCGTTGCTTGTGTTTCGGATTTTTCGAACTGTCGCAGAAAGAACGATGATAGTTAGCTACAATGAACAATAGTGTTATGCTGTAGAGGAGATTCAAATCAAACGTACCAGATGATGTAGACACGGTTCTTCCGTCGCACAGGCTGCCACAAAGTCAGAATTCCATATGCATTATAAAAAAAGCGCAAAAAAGAGTGGAAAGTTTAAACTGAAACTTACCTTGCAACCGTCACAGAGTCTCTTCACAGACGACCTGGTTTTCATTCCGCTTTTCTGCGAGTGTATATATGTGGTGGTCGCGGTTGAAGTATTATGACCGACGCTTGAACGAAATAGACTCCATCGACTCTGAGTGAGAGCTGAAACTGCTCTCAATTGCGAGAATGACCGTGACACATTGTGGGTAGCTTCATAGCGGCGAGGGGTGAGGATGACTTGGCGGGCAGAAAGCAGAGATCGCGAGGCCGTCGAGAGAACGGAGCGTAGTGGTGACATCATGCTTGTGTTCGTGGCGGGAGCTCGAGTCCCTTGGTCACTGGAACCTGCTGAATATGGAACAAAAACAGGCGCTTTTATGCAGTTCTTGTTGGTTGATCCTTTGCAACATGGCGGAGGTTGAACGAGGACGGGCCGCTCCCCAGTCAGATTCCGTCACGTGACTTCGCTGGACTTTGGCAATCCATTAAGGGTTTGTTCCCCATTGTTCCACACCAAACTCTCCAAGAAGCATGGAGGCGTCTGTAATTAGGAGAAACCCGAAACTTAGAACGGCATGCGACAGATGCTACGAGCTCAAAGAACGATGCGAGCGCATATCGACCTCCTCCCACTGTGCACGGTGCGAGAGGCTGGGTCTAGCTTGTTCAACGGTGCGGCCGGTACGACCTGTCGGTAGAAGGGTCCATCGTGAGAAGGAACCCGTCTCCAGACTGACGTCGGACACGCGCAGAAAGCTGCAGCATTACCATCCTGTCATTGACACCTGTTTGGGCATCCTTCATGATCAGCAGCCGGAAGAAAAGGAGCTGCTGCAGTTTCTCCTGGGCCAGGCTGGAAACTTGGATCACTACGTCGTGTGTCCGAGCTTTCAAGATGAACAGCAATATTCGCTTGTTACGCAGCTGCCAGCTGCACTGCCACTGCTCAAGGATGCTTATCTTGCGTGTGCTACCACCCTAAAGCAGCTTCATTCTGGCACTGTAACGGACACAAATGCCAATATCAGTATCGTCTACATATCAAAAGCTATGCGCGCATTACGCTCGCTGTCTGTCCTGCGTACAGAAGACACAGTTTTATGCCATACTCTAGGGGGTATACTGGCTTTTTCGATCTATTCGGCCATTGGTGTAGGAGTTCCAGACATTTGCCGTTACTGTCTCGGTACAACAAGATCATTTGTGAGAACAACAATATCCAGGGCGCACGAGGATTCGTGGCAGAATTTACTAGTCCTCCTAGAGACCATGGACTGTCTGGTCTACCGACGAAGGCCAACACTAAGAATTCAGATACCAGCCTCTAGTACTGTTGATCGCCACCTTGGTCTCTCCTTGCCTCTCTTGCCTTATTATCATGATCTTTGTGTGATTAGCAATTCACTTCTTAATACAACTGACGCAAGCATTCTAGCTCATCTTCAAAAGCAGGTAGATGACATCCGAACTATTGTTGAACCCTGGCAGCCATCTAACTTGGATCAACTTGTTGAGCAGTTCGATTCGGCAGATATTGTACACCTTCTTGCGCAAGCCAAGGTATACCGCCTGGGAGTGCTTCTGATAGGCCACCGATTACGATATCCATTCGGCCAGGAGGATTCTCGGGCCGAAACATGGTCCAAGGAAATCCTTATGGAACTTGAAATGGCGCAACGAGTCACGAAGCGATCGGTTCGATTTGTTACGTTACCATTCAGCATCGCAGCCATTGAGGTTCGAGATAAGGATCTACGCTCTAAGACGCTCCAGCGCGTGGATGATTTCGTTGATCAATACGCTCCGCTCTTACAAAAGGCAACCAAGACATTCTTGTCAAGAATTTGGCGCGAGCGGGATATGCGTCTCACGAGTCGTTGGTTTAATTCGTTACATAAACCATGTCCCGCGCTAGATTATGTTAATACAGCTTGCTCTGATAGCTTATAAAACTCGGAGAATTGTAGCTACTGCTTCTCTAAACCCTATTTATGATCGAGTCCAGTACGGCTGCTGCCTTCAACAAGGCCTCGTCTCTTTGTCTATATCCCACCGCCTGAATAGAAACCGGTGCATCCTTGTATTGTTCCGGGCTGGTATCTGTTGAAACATTCGTGAGCTTGAGCTGCCAAAAAAGAAATAACGAAGAAAGGGGCGGTGCGTACATAGACGGTAGACCTGCTCATCCTCCGGGCCAAATTGGGCGTTGCTCAAATCGTCAGCAGAGTCAAAGTCTCGCACATAGCCCACAGGAACAGAAATCGCCGGATAATCAAGATAATTCCACAGACCAGTATATGCCGCAGTCGCCCAGCAGTCCAGGGGAACTGCCGTATGTGGTGCTGGAGGCATTACAATCACATCTATCTCGTTGTCACGGAACAATTTGAGGTACTGTTTTGCGGCACCGGCTCTGCGGACATTCAAATCAAAGAAACCCTGCAGAGTCGTTCCTGGCACCGACAGAATGCCGACGGTTTCCAGCGAGGGGACAACTGGCTCCCCTGTCCGCGCGAACTGTTCGTAGTAGTACTTTTTTTTTTTCACTTTTAGTCAGTCTATCTACAGCTAGCATGCCAATGATTTGAGGGGGGGCTCACATCACTTCCTGGTAGCGTCACATAGCTTACGTGGTCTTGATAAAGTATTTTGACGTCGGGGAGGTCAATTGGGATGATTTGAATGTCGTCGTTGTCACGAAGTAGACTAACCGCCTGCTGCAAGGCACGTCTAATTGGTGGCGATGGGGTATAGACGCCATCATTTTGAGCAACGCCAACACGGAGCTTGCGTGCGGGTTCAAGGTCCAGCCATGGAACTGAGACAGAAGTGCTGTCATACTTCCAGGTGTCTGCTTGCAGTATCGTCTTTAGAAAGAGAGAGCAATCCCGGAGTGAGGTCGCCATAGGCCCGGCTGTTGAACGGACAATATCTGTCCCTGGGGTGGTGACGTCTCGCACACCACCATGAGGAACCAAACCTACGCTAGCCCTAAATCCATAGATCCCGTTGCAGAGTGATGGGATACGAATGCTGCCAGCAATATCCGTCCCAACCCCGAGGATGCTGCCTCGAAGCGCAATGAGTGCGCCTTCGCCTCCTGTGCTTCCACCCACAGTGAGCATTTTGTTGCGAGGGTTCAGAGTTCTTCCAAAGATATTGTTGTCACTATCTCCAGTCATGATTGCCTGAGGCAGATTGGTCTTGCAGTACAGAACCGCACCCAAGTCAATTAGCATAGCAGCCAGCGCGCTATGTTCCTTTGCTGGCTGATCCACATAACAACCCAATCCGGTTGAATTATCGTATCCAGCAACCTGAAAGCTATCCTTGAGTGAAATTGGGAGCCCAAAAAGTGGCGGGAGAGCATCCCCACGAAACTTTTGCTCGTATTCCAGGTCAAGTTTCTTCGCTCGTTCAATCGCATCCTCGAAGAATATCTCCGTTAGACAATTCGTCTGATGGCACCAGAGTCCAGGTTAGCAGATTTCTTTAGTAAGATAAGTTCTTCAAGGAACTGACTAGCTGGTGGGCAATGGCAGCCCGTTTGCAAAAGGCTACAATCACTTGCTCAGTCGACCACACTCTAGCCTTGAGCTGTTCAAGAAGCGCAGTTGCGTCGTAGTCAGAAGTGATTTTGACTTCTGTTTGGTCTAATATGCCGCAGGTAAGTGGTATATCCATCACGTTGGTAGCATCTTGGAAACTCTCCGCAGGAATCCGCCAAGTCTCGGGGATCTTGTCCTGCTGCTGAGCTCTCTTCGCCGCTGCCAAGATCTTGTAGTTTTTCGTCTTAGATGCCATCTTGATTTGCACGAGTCGGATTATCGAAACAAGAAGCAGTGAGACTTTCTTTGTATGGGTGATTTTGGAAGCTAAAATATCTTCAGGTCTGGCTATTTCCTGCTATTTATAATCACAGCAAATAGTCATCAAGGCAATCAAAAGAAACTATACGTAATTACCACGACCCTCCGGCCCCCGTATTTGGCGTGCATCAACAATTGTTGAGTAGTTCAAGCCGTCTTCATTGGACAATTCACGAATATGCATTGATGGGCCCAATTTCATCTCGGCGGGGCCGGTGGGTTAAGATCTCCGGGCAATCTTCCGGTCAACCTTCCGGCCCACTCTGACATCTACAGGCTACAGCTCCGAGTACTAGTTTATCCTGTTCGCTGATGCGTTGTAGAATATCCGATGCACCTATAAGTCATTTGAGTGCGACTATTATTGTGAAGGATTAGTTCTTCTTGGTGCGCTTGTCATGAACTGAGAGAATACGCAAGATAAACTATACCTAATCTGGTAAGCTCCATGATCATCGATCAACAGACCCCCATTAATCGGAAATGGATCTCTCAAGATTTTTAGTCACTTACTAAACAATAAGAAACTATTAAAAAAAATGCACTCAATTATTCTACTAGCAACTCATCTATATAAAACTTCCTCTTCCCTTTAATACCAACATACTAAACTTTTAATTTAGTCTATTTTTAATAGAATTGTCTAACTACATTTAGTAGAATATTTGCCTTCTATTAATAGAATCATCACATTGAGTCAAAGTAGTACTATATATAATCAATTGACCTATAATTAGCTACAATTAAGTGAAGGCCTTGGACCCATAATAGAGAATAGTCAATTACCCCAATTAGAAAGACCTGAGGAGAAGCCTACTACAGATAATCCATAGAGCAAAGGGTCAAGCCAGCCCGCCTTACACATAAATTAATAAGGAAGACCAGAGACCTAAGCTTATACAAGTTCTACCTTCATTCTATTGGTACCCTATTATTCATCATTTAGCTAGTATTTACTGCAGGCTACATCTTCTCAGAGAAAGTACCTCGTGCGTGCCAACACCCATACTCATATTCTATGGTAATTTACTCACATCCCAAAACATACAGAGATATAGCTTCGCATCTAGACAGAAAATGGTACCACACATCATACGGCGACATATTTTGAAGGCTACCTAAGTTTTAAATTACTATGCGTTCTCCTTTCAGGCATCTATATATAATTAGTTAAATCTATAATGCTCTAAAACAGTATATATCCTTAGTAACTAACTTCTACAGCTACTTAATGATTGTCAGTATCCTAAAGTCCACTCAGTATTTACACTAGCTCCTGCTCAGAGCTATAGTCAGGTACAACATGCAGCTATGTCCCTTACACATGATTAAGGGTTTGCTAAATGCAGTGTTTAGGGCACCTCTATGATTCTTCTCCACAACAGACACCAGCACAATTCTAAACAGGTATGAAATTAAACGCGTCCACCACTTGGCACATGGGATCACTTACCTAGGTATTTGGCTTGACAGATTCAGTCAAGATATGACCCTCATAGACCAGGTGCTTCCAACAGCTGCGTTCACGACAACTTTTGGTAAGCCAGCAACCTCGTCCACCGTGAATACACTACCTAGTCTCAAAGCTGACTACTTATTAGATGTATATTTGCAGGAACAGCACTCATAGCATCTGGTGTAAGCTACGTCGCAGCCATCATTTCATTCGGCATGTTGGCCATCTACATTATCTAGAGGTTCTACCTTCGCACTTCCCATCAAATACGACGTCTTAATCTAGAAGCTAAATCTCCTTTATATCAACTATTTACAGAAACCACTTCAGATATCATCACAGTGCATGTATTTGGCTGGGAAGCAACTTTTATAAATGAACAACTGCAAAAGCTTCAGTGCTCACAAAAGGCTTACTACATGTTGTAAGCAAGGGCCCCCAGAAATCTGCAGAAGCTGCATATGACCAACTGTATGACATAGGTACTGCATCCAACGCTGGCTGAATGTCGTCCTAGACATCTTTGTCGCGGCTATAGCAGTTGTTCTGATCAGGTTCGCGCTGAGATTCTCCAATATAGCAAGTCAAGGGTCCATTGATCTTACTCTATTAAATATAATAGAACTCAACCAAAGCCTTTCAATGCTCATCAACTCACAAACTAGACTAGAGACTTCCCTTAGCACCATTACACAGCTCAAGGGCTTTCTCGCTGAAACTCAAGCCGAGGGTTCAGCAATGGAAAACAAGATGCCACCAACTAACTAACCAACAAGAGGTTATATTCAGATAACAGGCGTCACGGCAAAATACAAATAAGCCATATTATGTCCTTCTTATACTTACCCGTGAAAAAGTCAGCTAATAATAGGTAATAGCATTGCTAATGCCTAGTCTCAGTCAATAATTCACAATATTGACTTACACATACAGCCAGGACAACACATTTTAATCATCAGTCAAATTAGTAGTAATAAATCATCTTCTTCTCACTCTGTTGCATCTACTTAATCTAGACTCCAGACGCATCACTATTGACAGATTAGACTTGTCACAAATTCTACATCAGATTCTCTGCTCTCATCTTGTGACAATTCCCCAAGACTATGTCGAGCTGCCCAGCTCAGTACACTACAACCTTACTTATTTCTCATCATTAGATAAGGAGCCAGAATCAGGGTACACCAACAATGAAGATAAGAAGGCCATGAAATGCGCACTAAGGCGTGTTGGCCTCTGGGACACTATGAGTAAATAAGATGGACTCAACATCAAGCTTGCCGACCTAGGTCTATCAGGCGGATAGAAGCAGTTGTTTTCTCTTATATAGACTCTTCTTATAGTATAAAATAGAAGAGTTAATGGTGATATCATACTCCTTGACGAACCGACAAGCAGCATAGATCAGGGGATGGAGCTAGACATATGGAGGATAATGAAGGAGAAGTTTGCGCAGTATACTATTATCACTGTGAGCCATCGCTTAGATGTAGCGAGCGATGCCGACGTAGTCGTGCTCATGGAGGGTGGCAAGGTAGTCGAGGTCAAAAAAAGGGGGGAATTATGAAAATTTGCCGTTCATATAGCGAAGCTCAAGGATACTAACAAGGACTAATGCTTCACTTTATTACAGTCTAGTTATCTAGATCTATTGTAGAGGATCTATCAATGATAGTTTGATATCTATTAATTATTCTCGCTTGTACGATTAATTGAGTAAATGAAACTCAAAGACCAACGCCAGCGGAGACAAGAAATCATCCTCGTCCCCGATCCCTTATGCTGTTCATGAATATTGCCTCCCAACATATAGTTACAGCCCGAGTGATTCTACAAAAGAAAAAAAAGTGGAAACATGGCGATTTCCATTCAACCCATTCACTTACTCCCGTCGGAGAAACATCTTGTATGTCGGCGAGTTGGTGCACTCTTCATACGGATACCCAAGCTCGTTCAGAAAGCGGGTGAGTTCATCATTCTCCGAAGTTGCGCATTGAATGCCTGCCAAAACCCTGCCAACATCTCCGCCATGGTTACGGTAGTGGAATAACGTGACATTATCTGTGGGACGAAGATGGCTGAGGAATTTCTGCAATGCACCGGGTCTCTCTGGGAATTGGAACATGAAAAGGCGTTCGTCTCGGACGCCACTCGGTCCTCCAACGAGGAAGCGGATATGTGACTTGGCAAGCTCATCTTCACTGAGATCTTCAGCTTTCATGCCGGCCTTTTCCAGCTCGGAAAAGATCTTTTGGAGCTCTTCGACCCTGGAAGATGCAGACATGGATATTCCCATGAGGACATTAGCATAGTCTTCGCGGGTAAATCGGTAGTTGAAAGCGGTTATCGGGTGAGGTGCAACAATGTCTATGAGTTTAGCATAGGCCCCCGGTCGTTCAGGGATTGTGACGCTCATTAACACCTCCTTCTTCTCCCCTAGTGCAGCCCTCTCAGCAACAAATCGAAGACGGTCGAAATCCATATTAGCGCCTGAAGTCACGGCCACGAGCTCCCTCTGTGGGTTGGGATCGGGGTTGGCTGCCACATATTTTTTCAGACCAGCCAAGGCGAGAGCTCCAGCCGGCTCGAGAATGGAGCGGGTATCTTCAAAAACGTCCTTGATAGAGGCGCAGATTTCATCGGTCGTGACCTGAATAATCTCATCAACAACATCGCGACATATGCGGAATGTCTCCTCGCCAACAAGTTTGACTGCTGCTCCATCCGCGAAGAGGCCGACTTCTTTCAACATCACTCGCTCTCCTTTCTGCAATGACTGCACCATTGCGTTTGCATCGAACGTTTCAACACCAATGATCTTAACGTGTGGTGCAATGCGCTTGATGTAGGCACCGACACCGGCGATGAGGCCACCACCGCCAATACAGCAGAACACTGCTTCGAGGTTGTGCAGCTTAGCCTGGCGTATGATTTCCATGCCAACGGTGCCTTGACCCGCAATAACATAAGGGTCATCAAAGGGGGGGATGTTAGTCAGCTTGTGCAGCTTCTCGAGGCGATGAGCTTCCTCTTTCGCGGCATCGAAATCATTTCCTTGCAAAACAACACTGCCACCGAGTCGGGAAACGTTGAGGTGCTTGATTGCCGGGGTGCCGGATGGCATCACGATGGTGGCAGGGATTTTCAATTTACGAGCGGAATAGGCCACGCCTTGCGCGTGGTTGCCTAGTGAGATTGAATCAGCGAACATGATTGCTAAGTTATAGACTCTTGAGATAGAAAATACCTGCCGAGCATGCAATAACCCCCTTCCATCGCTGCTCGGGGCCTAGATGCGCCATCTTGTTGTAGGCACCTCGCAATTTGAAGCTGAAAACGGGCAACAAGTCCTCCCGTTTGAGCAGAACCTTGCACTCCAGCCGATTGCTTATGTTTGTGGCATGCTGTAAAGGCGTCTCCTCAATGACATCGTATACGCGCGAGGTGAGGATCAATCGCAGATACTATTGTCAAGGTAGGTCAACATCATCTGGTCTACGAGCACACAATCATGGCCGTGGTTGTGCACGTACATCAGGATAGCCCGTCGGCAAGATATAATCCTCTGGGACATCGGAATTGCAGGCGGCCCTAAGGCCTCCTTCAGCCCTTTCCTGTGTTGGGGTCGGGATGGCGGAATACTCAGTCATAGATAAGCCGTTCACATGTGGCCGCCGCGGGGGCGTCACCAGACCGTTGGCCATGATGCGTCTGGATTGATTAGTTCAGCAAGACTACAGTCATCAATGTCATCAATGCTGCAACAAAGCCAATTGCGCCAGAATCGAGAAGACGAGCAACAAGGGCGGTGTAGAGATAGCAGACAAGGATTTTTGCTCGGTCGCCGGTTTTGCTGCCGCGCTCCGCTCCGACTCCGGGGGGAGACACTTATTATGTCAGCAACCCTAACCCGTAGCCCTAACTATGTGCTGCATCGGAACTAGCGCGTAGCCATGGTTGAGGGCCTCTTGGTAACTGCCGACTTCCTCTTCGTCTTCCTCTCCGTCAGACAACGCAGTCCACTCACAGCCATGTCACAGCCACGATACGGATTCTCCGGAAAAGTCCTGCGTGAAATTGCGCCGTTACAGCACGGAAAAAGCCGCAGACTTGACAGGGTAACGGCGGTTGCGAGGCTCGCATTTCCACCCTCGTGCATGATGCCCAGAGGAGGGGTATGAAACAGTCAAATTTAAAGGAGAACATTTCCATGAAAATACGCAGTGGTGCCAGCTGGTCAAGCGTCTATCTGATGATACCTAATAGAGGAATCGTCACGGAACTACATTCTCGGAACCTGTCCTGCGGCACCCGTCCGCCTCGACAGTGTCAATATAAGGTTAAAGTCTAAGGTGAATTTATCCGGCGCGATCTATAATAGCCTGACGATGCAGTCACTAGCTACTAGCGCTGAGAAGCTAATCTTCAGTCTGCAGCGCTCCGTGCACATAGCTTCGAACTATCACGGTATCACCTGATTATCACACATTGGTAGCGCTGTTTTTTTCGGTGATGAAGTGGCAGTAGATGAATGTCTACAGACACGTAGTTCGTGTCTGGATCAGCAGGGGTTGCATTTGACGGTCACAGAAGCGCCAGGGTTAGTAATGATGCATTGCAACACACTCCAAGGGGCCAAAGATGTGCCGAGACGACAAGACTTCGTCCTATCTCTGGACTAGCCGATTGTTGACAGCGCTTAGTTTCTGATCGTATAAACCTTGCTGGTTTGACCAGAGGGAAGTTGGCCGATACATATTCAACATTGCCAGAAGACGAAAGTAAACTCGAAACAATGCCGGCCGGCTATGCAGACCAGGATTTAGGGGCTTCGCCCCCGCAATCTCGTTTTCCTTGGAGCATTCGAATGCCATTGAGCACCCGGGTAGCCAGGGTTGTATTTGCCGACATAATAATTGCAAAGTCGACTGCTGACCAGTCCGGGGTGCCCAGCCAATCCCCGCTTTACTGCCAAATGCAAGTCGGTCAAGACGGAGATGAAGACCCCTGGCAGCCTTTCTGCCTGTAATTTCCAAATCCACGTATCAGCGCTTCGTAGGGGGATTTCTCGAACCCCGTCATATGTTCGTTCTGCAGACAGGCCTGCATAAAATCAAGATGAAGATGTGCCGCATAAACATCATAACCTCGGTCGTCAATGAGCAGCAAACAAATGAAGCGCCGAAGAAGGTTCACGGGACGTTTATTTTAGCTTTGTTAGTTTTTCTAGATAAAGCGTCCTTCCCCAGATTTTGCCCCTCCGCACAACCAAACAAACTCGGGCAGTCAGGCCAGATGGCGATCGTCTAAGAATGCCCCCACCCCCCGACATTCCGCAGCCAAGTGAACTGAACTGAACTGAACCGAATGAACCGGGCACTTCTCTCTTCTCGTAGTACGATTCTCCTCTTTTGCAAGGTTGCACTGCTGCAATCGTGCTGCGTTTGCGCTCCAGGGCGGTCGCGCGGACGCCCGTCATGAATAATGACCCGTTGCAGCAGCTGCTTGACAGCGTCGAAACCGACTTTCCAACGCAGGATGTCATCCTGCTACCTCCTACCACCGCAACTGTTGTGTCCAGCTCCGATAGCGCTGCAGAAATCAGCCACAGCAAGCTAGAGGCTGCGATGACTCGAAGACGCCCCGCACCGCGAGGCACGGCGGCATATCCCCGTAAGCGGGCGAACAGAGCTTGTCAGGTCTGCAGAGCTCGCAGAACGAAATGCGACAATAAGAAGCCATCGTGTTCGTTTTGCGAGAAAGTGGGTGCCAAATGTATCACGACTCCGACTGATCTGTCGTCGTAGGGAGACCCTTTCTGTTATCCTTTTTTTTTGTTTTTTTTTCCCCTTCCTTTTCTTACCCTCATTTCAACCTCTTCTTTAAACATGTGCTGAAAATATCCCGAGTGGAACGCTCGTGCTGACGATGGGATTGTGAAAAGCTTCGACCCTGCGAGCCTAGCAATCCTAGATCGACTTGAGCACATAGAAAAGCTAATTCGCGAGAAACCGCTAGAAGTGAGCCTACCTTCAACCGCGCCGTCAGTTGAGCAACAACGGTCCAGTCTAGGCTACGGATCTCCTCCAACTCCCGATCTACAGTTTGGAGCTGACCTCAGCACTGTCACTATTGAGACTGTGCTTTCTTGGGATGTCTTTCAGGGTCGTTTTGATGCTCAATTGGACATCAGATCGGTCCTGAAGAATTATGAAATGCCTCCGTCTCCGATGACCTCGCCAGTTGGAGAGGCTATTCCTTTGATTAACAGCATGGAGCTGGGGTCTTGCAATAGGCTGCTCAATAGCTTTCTGGGCCGCGTTCACATTGCCAATCCCATCCTAGATGTCGACTTGGTTCGTGGATATGTCCACCATGCCTGTCTCAATGGGATTAACTGGGATGCCCAGTCATGTCTGGTGGTAGGTGCTTTTCACTCAGGGTTTTGTTTCTCTGTGTGTCATGCTAAGCTCCCACGTCTATCATTTGCAGCTCCTTATTTGCGCGCTAGGATCTATCGCAGAAGCTTTTCACGATATACACCCGCACACATCGCTCATGGCTCGGAACTCTCCCAGCTTCGCTTTAGCCAGGGCCTTTTTCGAAGCATCACAGAAGCGGATCGGGTTGCTGATGCGTGGTAACGGCGTTCTCGAGGCGCAATGCTTCTTCTATTCGGGCGTCTATCTGATGACCATTCAGCAGCCCATGGACGCATGGAGGCATTTCGTTCAAGCAGCCGCTGTCTCGCAGGGATTCGATTTCTTGAGGAGATCCGAAAGATCGTTCGCTGGCGAATTGTTACTTAGCGAGGATATGCAGCGCGATCGAGCTTCGCAGGAAAGTATCTACTGGACGTGCTTCAAGTCTGAGCTGTGAGTTTCTTCGTGCTAGAGTCCCTATAGTAGAATATCTTACCGACTTGCTAACTCTGAAAAGCGAGGTACGCATGGAATTGTCTTTGCCAGGGTTCGGGCTGCAAGATCTGTCATATCCCAGTTCCTTCCCCAGTCCACCATTAAACTACCTAGGAGATGAATCTGCGCGAGCCTGGTATTACTATCTCGCAGAAATTGCGTTGCGTCGACTAGCCAATCGCATACTGTATAACCTCTTCCGTCATCAGGACAATGGCCGGTTCCCGCGAATCAACGAGATGGTGGAAATGACTGCTGCATTTGAAGCAGAGGCTGTTGACTGGTAAGAGACTCTTATCCTTTTTTTTTATCTCTTTCTTATAGATAAATATATTAAATAAACAAATATTAATGCTCTGCTTCTGTCAAATAGGATGGCATCCCTCCCCCCAATCTTCTCCCTCCAGACATCCGAAGAACAAGACGACGTGCTCAAATTCGTTCTCCGCGGCCATCTTCTCGACTGCTACGAATGGATGTATTTCCCCTTCATGACCGAAACCATCAACTACGGCCGCCGAGAGCCCATCCTCGACGAATACACTCGCAAGGGACTGGAAATGTGCGCCGAACGCATCCGCAAAAACGAGCCGGGCTTTCAGCACCGACACCACGGTGCGTGGCTTATGTTGCGTACTTGCACGCGCAGCGCACTTATCTTGTTGGCTGCTTGTCATAGTCAGATGGTACAGGATTTGATGCCGCAGGGATGGAAGGAGGCGGTTTTGAGTGCGATGAATATGTTGCGGTTTTGGGAAGACGAGGTTGGTGATGCGCGGGATCGGTTGCAGATTTTGACTGTTTTGATGGCCGAGCTGGGCTGGTAGTTGTTCTATTAAAGATGAATGAGTGGAAGAGGAATTCTTTGATGATGCGATGAAATAGTACATTCTTGATATGTTTTTTGCATGTCTATCTACGGGCCGGGTCAGGCAAAAATGATCATATTGGATTTGATGGAGATATGTATATATTTCTTGCGTGACGACCTTTAACGAAAAGCATAGTGTGAAATATGATTGTCATCATTTGGTATGGTTGCAGGCACCCATCGAATCAGTAAATCAATACCAGAACAGTACTCCTATATCAAACCTGCCTTTATTCTATATCATTTAACAAAACATTGTCACCTCCCATTCTGCTGGTTCGCTCTATTCATCCTTTCCGCCCATCCATTATTCAGACTTCGGCGAATACCCAGTGTTTTGCGCCCGGTATTACCGTTCCCATTCGAGCTCAACTGGCTCATTGTCGTTGTATTTGATGCCATTGTCGTCGTCATTGTTGTTGTCGTTTTATGGAAGGTGGCAGCAGGACGATGACTGGTTTCAGTCACCCCTTTGGTATTGCCTGTTGCTACTGTCGTCGTTGTCTTGTCTGATGGTAGCCAGGTATAGTTATTTGCGTCTGCGACTGCCAGCGGAACCGGACGTGGTGGTTGGTATCGCTGGGGCTGGATACGATAACCTCCATTGCTGACATTATGACTGGTCCGGCTAGATGCATCCGTGGCAACAGTCTGGTCACGGTGAATCGTTTTTGAACCTCTCTTTGCATCTCCTGGGCCTGCTTTGGAAGTAGATGGCGGTTGCATGTTTTGCGGCTTTTGTCTGTTGATACCGAAATATCGGGACAGTGTCTCCTGACCCGGAGGAGCTGCACCATCTTTTCGATTAGACGACGCGACTGGTTTGTTTTGTGCAACTGGTGTCAGCTCCTTCGAAATAGCAGGCGCCGTTTCCATATGTTGCCTTGCTGTTGAAAATCCCATTGACATAGTGCTATTTGATATTGAAAATCCCGATGCATTGCTCATGGTATATGAAGAGCTTGATGTAACGAAACCAGAGGCTGGACTTGCCATGGTAGTTGCTGTCTGAGTTTTATCGTTTAGTCGACGGCGCTTGGTCCAATGTTCCTGAGTCGTTCCTCTTCCATCGAGCGACATCACAGTTTGCGATCCATCCCATCTAGTGGCCGTCTCGCTGTTGTACTCGCCATCATGCGTCCATAAATCGTCGTTAACACTAGGTAATCCCGCCTGTAATCCCCTCACTATTGCCTCTTGGTTTGGATGGTCACGGCCAAGGATATCAGCGATGCCGAAGATAGTTTTATCATGAAATTTGGGTCCAATGGCACGAAATCTGGTTTCAACAAGCTGGCTAGGCAGAAACGAGCTCGGCTTAGTCTCTTCACCGTTCTTGGAATCTCGACGAGGAAGGCTTAGGTAGAGAAGTGCCTGTGCCCTTGTCATAGCTACATACAGCAACCTTCTCTCCTCGTCGCTGTCCTCAGCCCGTGAATGCGGTATGATGCCCTCGTAAACGGCGGCAACAAATACAACAGGCCATTCCAATCCCTTTGCAGCATGGATGGTTGAAATGGTTATCTTCTCTTGCGGCTGATCTTCTTCCTCGCTCGTGATTTCTGTCGACAAAGCTACATTGGCAAGAAATCGGGACAGTGCTTCTTCCCCTATATGCCCCTGATTCTGCTCTAAGCCCTCAATATCGGGAAGAAAATCATCCTGCTGAGAGTTGGATGCTGATGGATCACAAGCTTGAGCTAGGAGTTCTTCCACATTAGCCCACCTGTTTTCTTCATCTAGGGGGTAAGTTGCAGTAAGGTATTCCCGGAACCCAAGCTTCGCAATAATAAACTCGAGTAAAACCCTTGGAGAAGAATCATCAAGACATTCGCCAAGTTTCTTTCTCGCAGACTCGATAAGTCCAACAAGAACTGACAAGCCGATGCTGGCTGCTTTAGAAAAACTCTTCTGGCTAGATCTACGACCCTGGGCCACGTCTTTGATGTAAGTCCACAACGGTAACTTGGCACTCTCAGCGCCCGTAGTTAAGTTTTTGAGTGTTTCTTCACCAATCTTCCTCGTGGGGACATTGATAATTCGAACCAGAGCATCATTATTAGCCGGGTGGCTGACGACACGGAGATAGTCTAAGAGGAGGCGGATCTCAACTCTGTCAAAAAACCGCGAGCCTCCAACCATACGGTAAGGAACTCCCTGCTTGCCTAATTCCGACTCAATCTGTCGAGAAAGAGAAGCCGAACGGAGAAGAATGGCGAAATCCGAGGGCTTGAGCAGCTCCCCCGTTAGTGTAATGCATCTTTTGATTTCCGCCACCATCCATTGTGCTTCTGCGGCGGCTGAAGGTAGTTTTCGTAGAACAGGCATCGTGCCGACTCCATGTGTCGGAAGTAGTTTCTTTACAGGACGAGCTGTATCCTGCTCAATGACTTGCTCGGCCGAACCCAGAATCGAACCTGAAGATCGATAGTTATCTTCTAGCAAGACTACCGAAGTATTCTTATACAGGTTCTGCATGCGCTCAAGGTTCTTGATCTCGGCAGACCGAAATCCATAAATGCTCTGGTCGGGGTCGCCAACTATCGTAATACGCCTGTTCCGCGCAGCAAACAAGTTCATCAGCTCGTACTGAATGAGGTTCGTGTCCTGGAACTCGTCCACAAGGACAGCCTGTACATTCGACACGCAGTGCGGATGCTTTCGTAATAAATCCACACAGCGCAGAAGAAGATCATCGTAGTCCAGTAAGTTCGAACTTGCTAATGCCGCCTCATATTCGCGATAGACCTGCACGAATTCCTGCTTCTCCAAGCTTTTGGGATGGCGGGCATCATCGAGCTCTTGCCAGCTTATTCCTTGCGCTTTTTGGCCTGATATTCTCGACCTTGCGGTGTTGGGCTGTATATTGAGATTCAAGCGCTTCACAATTCTCTTGTTTTCATCGTAAGCACTTTATGACAGAACCTTGCAGCTTAAAAACGGAGGCAAGATCAGAGAGAGAGAAACACACCTTTATAATTGCCAAGCTGTCATTACTATCTGCAATTCCAAACCCTTTCTTCAACCCAATCAAATGTCCGTACGCAACTAGATACCGACGACATATCGAATGGAACGTGCCCAGAATCAGCTTCGACACGACTTGATCGCCAATCAGTTGCGATAAGCGCTCGCGCATTTCACGGCTAGATTTGATCGTGAATGTGCAGCAAATGACATCTTGCGGGCGAAATCCATTCTTTGATGCCGATGTTGTTGTTACTGATGATGATGAAAGCAAATACGCGACGCGTGCGGTCAGGGTCTTGGTCTTCCCGGAGCCGGGAGGAGCCAGGACCTGCAGGATTGAGGCTGGACTTGTTACCGCTGTTCGCTGTGCAGTGTTTAGCCCTTTTAGAATCGGGTTGATGTCCATCGATTAAACTGAGGAAAGAAAAGAGGGCAGAAACGGGAGAGATGGCGATGTTTGTTTGTTCGTTGGACCGAAAGGTACGCAGGCTTCCCCATGACACGCTACGACGCGTGGTCACATGACCAGTATAGAGTTACAAATATGTGTACCATGAATTTCTAGAAAAGAGTCATACAAATTGGGCTTCTTTACAGGCCGGGATATAAAAAAGAGAATGATAACCAGACAATGCTTCAATGAAAAGGAATAACCGCCAACACCCAACCATAATAAAATAGCCAACCCGCCCGAAAAGCCGAAAATAGAAACGGAAAAAAAAAACATAAGACGCAGTCACCGGGTTATGAAAAAACGTTCAGCGGTATACTCATTGTGACACCAAAGTTGGGCACATTGACAACCTCTGATATTTTCAGGTCTCCCGCTACGCTACTCAGTATGTAGGCTTCGTTGCGCGTAAGCCCCTTGGTAGCCACTAGCCACTCAATCATAGCACGGGTGGCTTTACGAGTAGCTTCCAATATATCCGAGTCCACGCCCATAGTAACGTATTGTCCCTTGTCAGGAAACACAATCGATGCTGGCGGTTGAGGAGACAGAAGCAAATGCGGCGACTGGACCCAGGGGTGGTTTTTGCAAACTGTGAATCGAATGGTTGCTTTCATGTTCGTCTCAATAGCTGTTCCGCAAACCTCGCCGTGGCCCTCGGCTGCATGGCCATCACCGCAACTGAACAGAGCACCTGGGGTTTGCACGGGGAGATAAAGGGTCGAGCCAACGACCAAATCCCGACAGTCAATATTACCCCCAACCACAGTAGGTGGGATGGTGGGAAACTCCCCATCAGCACCCGGTGCAAGACCCATAATCCCGAGAAACGGCCGCAAGGGGACACGCACACCTGGTCTCAACTCAGCATAGCCTGCACCCTGATTGAATTTCCAAATCTTCAAGTGAGGCTCTGAGAAATCATCTGCTAGAAGACCAAAGCCTGGGAATAGGGCTGTCCACCCCCAGTTTGATGTTTCTAGGGCTAAGACTTCAATTTTCAGCGCATCCCCGGGTTCGGCATCGCGGACATAGACAGGACCAACTGCCGGGTCAGCGAGCTCCAGGTTAAATGAGTTGAGGGCGGAGGTATCCGAGTCAATAGAGAGCTGTCCGTTACTGCTATCGATGGCATCAAAAGTGACAACGTCACCGGACGAAATGGTCAAGGCAGGCGGCTGCTTGTTGGACCATTTAAGATGTCTTTGGTGGTTGTGGATGTGTTTCGTACACGTCGACATGATGTCTGCTTTTACTTTCTTGCTTTTTTCTGCCTTTGTTCTGTATGAGGAAAAGGACCGAGAGTATGCAGCAGGACCGAAGGCAGAAATATATAGATGTATGTATATATATGCTATGTCTTTGGCTGCCAGAATCCGGCGATCATATTTTGCCTGGGCCTAGATCGAATAGGCTAAGTATCACAGGTGCACAACGTCGGCAGATATAAGAATATTTTATGAGTATTCTGATTGGGGCTTGAATGACGTGCTGCAACGCGAGGAGAAATTTTTTTGGCAGCCTTCCCCAATCACGGTTGCATGATAGGTGAGGAAATTAGTACCTGTCCGAGGACTGGACCAGAACCCAGAGACCGGGCAGACATTTCGTGAGCGAGCAGAATGCTAAGAGTCATTGAATGAGGGAACAAAGTCAAAACTGACTGACAAAACTCGGGCGTGGTGGAGTTTGAAGACTGTGAGTGGTGGTCCAGGCAGCGAAACAGCTTCCTCTTTCGGTGGCGCAACCTTTTGTCATTCGGGCCTGGCGCCAAGAGCAGATTATCTCCTGCCTGTTCGGGGCTAGCGCGTAGTCGCTTGCAAGTCTCTTGACATCGCCTGTTTCCTTATGATCTGACTCACTTCCCGTCGTCGATATCTCTAGTGTTGCATGGATGCATGCTGATCATGGCATATCTCTTGCTGAGGACTGCCTTTGTTTGGAAAAGTTCGACTGGATATCATCATCCCTACATATACCGCTGAATTATAACATGAATCGATCGGATCTCCTGACTTGGCAAAGGCAGCTAGCTAACCACCGTTTCAGAGCATAGATGCCATCGCCATTCCGGAGATGCTGAGTTACTATTTTGCCTGGGCAAGCTCCAAGCCAGAGAAGAAAATGATTCATCCTTTCTCCATCCTCCTTCCTTTCCTGGAGACCGAAGTGAGCAAGCATCCGATGATTTCAAAAGCATAATGAAAAAGAGACTAGGCAGCCAGGCTAGCTACGGTATATGCTATCCATAGTTGCATTATTATAATTATCATTATTATTAAACTCGGAATCCGGACACAGGTAAAAACAGCCGGGTTACTGCAGTATACTAGCCGGGGTGGATAGGTGGGCAGGGGTGGGAGAAGATAAAAACACGATCGCCCTATACTTATAGGCCTCTGTCCAATTGTCTATTGAATACATTTCAAATACAGCTGATTAATCCTATGCTAATTGGCCAACTTCACTAGTCATCTTCTGAAATCTCTTAGGTTTGGTTCTAAAAAGTCCAAGCTAAAGAAAAGCCGGGAGCTTCTGATTTGATATCAGTGCACATGCGCATAGCTAGGAGCCTGGGTGCTTTGAACATTTCTCGGGGACTCCGTACGGAGTGCAGACCCCATTCCGGGAAATGTAGCTCGCTTCACATGGCACTACGTATACGTCGTATAGTTGAGATATTTAGTTGTGGTTTTCGTAACTAACTACTACATACTACATACATGCATACTACTACATAGTCATATGTTCCGCTGTTACGTTGGGATCTATAGTGATATAGGCCAAGCAGATCATTCGCAAATGAGGATGAGCCATCTTCATCCCCAGCCAAACTAACTAACTAACTGCGTAGAATTGGATGTGATCCTTTCTTTCGCAATTTTGGCGTCCAACGTCCATGGAGAATGATAATAGATAAGATAAGAGACTTCGCTCCGAGATCGGCGTAGCTAAGAGGAGGCCTGAGGGGGGCAGGCATCAACAAACTCAAAATGTAACCCCAACCGTCAGTATTACACTTAATATGGGGGAGCTAAGAAATTCTGAAAAAGCAAGTAGTGAGAACCTTGGAAGTAAACAATGTTTGATTTGAAATGACGTTGCAATTTTGTCTTCGGGGAGGAGAAGTGGATGTTCACATGAAACTCCCGGGAAAGGAAGATGAAATCTTCGGAAAATATATATATTGGAATAGGTATATACATTATACGATTTCGCTATGGCCATTACTAACTATGTATCGTTGCCTGTTTCTTTTTTGCTTCCCGCGCCTGAAAAATAAATAGTGGATATAACCTTGCATAAAATCCTGGACTCGATCCCCAAATACAAGTCCGAGTATAAAAATTGCGTATGAGTATAATGTTCGAGGAATGAAATCGCGTGAAAAGAGGATACGGAAGACCGAGAGAGTGTATATTTGTATAGGTGAGTGAGTGAGCGTGTGAAAGAAAAAAAGAAAGAAAATCCTGAAAAGAACTCCAAACCCAATTATTCTGCCTGTGCGGATGACACTTCTTTCCGGACAGCTGCTTTAACTTCATCGACTCGCTGCTGAAGTAATTCCGGTTCGTCTGCATTCTGCTGAAGCGCGAGTCGGAGATTATTAACGGCTTCCTGCCGTGCGGATGTCGCCGTGCCCACCGGCGAAAGCCATACGTCCTCTTGAACACTGTTGGCGAGGTCCCTGGCGGCACGGAACCTGCTCCAGTACTGCGTGGTGAGGTCAATATATGCCGTGTCCTGCAAGGGAACTTCCCATTCGAGCGGTGTCTTTTCCACAATATCAAGCCAATTGGCCATATGAGGCCAGCGGTCGTCTTCGAGACCCGGGAAATGAACGAGCAAGTCCCCCTTTTTCCCTTCATAGGCATGATGCCACTCGTACGTATTGATCCATGGCCGTGGGAGATATGCCATACCATCGGCATATCCTCGACCCTCGGGCCCATTATATGTTTTGGCCATGATGCGGGCCATTGCTTCTTGGTCGGCGGAACGTCCAAGATCGACCTCGGGCAGGTACAGCGGATGAGCAAGAGCCTCTATAAGCATACTGACTGTCCATGGATGGACGTGGAAGAAAACAATTCCAGTGTTCAGCCCATTCTGGTCCTTTGTAGCAACGAAGTGGATTTCTTCAAGTTCGGGCGGCGGGAGGAAGATATCGACTGGGATGGCAGGGTTGATAATAATAGAATCCGCATCAACCCACCTGCAAATGAAATCATCCACGGTTAGTAAAGAAAAAGAGTGCAACAGAAAAGGATGATTGCAATTTTTAACCAACATTAACCATTCCATCCGCTTCAAAGCTGGCTTCGCAAGCTCCTGGATAACAAGCGAGAGCACATAACTTGGCTTATTCCAGAATCCCGCCGAAATATCCTGTTGTAGAACATGCATGGGGTAACCCCATCGTTGTGCGTGACGCTCATGACTTTGAAGTGCTCGCTCGTAAAGAGGGTTCGGGTGGCCGTACAACATGGACACCTTAGCAACCCTTCGTCCATGGCCATTACCGCCCGGCTTTGTTATTTGCGACACCCTATTCGGCGACAAAGAAGGGACATGATAGTTCGACACGCGCCATATCAAAAGCAAGACGGTCGCCGTTAGTAACGCGCCGATCGCTCGTCTGGTGAATCCCTGGGGCATGGTCTTCTTCTTTTTCTTGTTCTTGTATTCTGAGGGGAGCTGCCCGCCCGACACAGCCCTCTCTCTCTTCTCTTTCTCTTTCTGCCTTGTGGCTGCTGCTAGGGAAATCTAGCGTAGATCGATCGATCGTTCGTTCAAGCAATTGGGAAGTCGAACGCGCTTCGTCGAATCTCCATCAGCGGTGGCAGGCGACAATGAGGTTTTCGTGGGCAGTGTCGTCTTTTTCGCAGGGTGATTAGGTCAATGAATCACTGTACTTGCATCTTCGAAGGAGGCTTAACTGGCATCTCCAGATGGTTTCATTCTGCCCGCCAAGCCGTCAGCCTCGGCGCGGTGATTGGCTGCAGCCGTCGCCCTGGCGCATCACGTGATTTCTATACGAGGATTGTCCTCAGGCATTCCACATTCAGCAATCCTCGTTGGCATACGATATATGTATATACGTTTGCTGTACTTTAATAATGCCATTGCTGAAATTTGTGAATATTGAAAATTATCCATGAAGAATAGCTTAATGTTCAAAATTGAGAGATGAGGATCTCACGGAATGCGTGGCTGATCGACTCACTAACCCCGGGTCTTGACTAGCTAACTGCTATTTTTATCCTCGCTTCTATTGGCTGTGGCACTCCTTACACGTACCCTGATCTGAACAATGACAATTATTAACCATTCAATACTTATAATTGTCGTGTAAACAGTAATAAATATGATTAAACACACAGAAAACCAAGAAAAAATAATGTAAACAGCTTCGAACTGGATACGCGTTCATTCGGAGGAAAGTCAGGCCGCCCAAAAGACTGCCGAGGCATGATTTCCTAAATAGGCAATTTTTTCCAGATTGGGCGATTTCGTGGTTAGCCCGAAATCCGTTTGTTCAACAACGCTCCTGTCCTATAAATACTAGGCTAGGTATGCTTCAGACTGAATGATTGGTATGTAGAGAACTCTCGATTGGCATTTTGACTAGACCTTTTCTTGACATACGGTATCTAACCGGTATCATCATGGCGTTTACTCGCGAGGAACGGCTCAAATTAGCGGATATTGATCCTGAGCTCGCTGAGGTGTGTTATTTTCAAATTCACATCAAGAAAACTATAAAAAAAATATTATATTAACAGGATACATCTCCAGACACTAAAAAAAATAACCATCCCCCCAATCCCCGAAGATGCCAACCCAGACGCAGTCATCGCTCGCGTACGCGCATACATGAAAGCCCAACACAAAGCTCCAGACCCAGACAGTGGCGTCACCGAGCAGGACATATTCTACCCTGCGCGGGACGGGCATCAACTACGCGCACGAGTCTTCCAGCCATCTGAAGCACCAGCCGCATCATCCCCGGCTCCCCTACTAGTATATTTCCACGGCGGTGGATGGACCATCGGATCCCCTGAAGACACCGCACCAAGCTGTCGCCGCCTAGTGCAAAACCTGGGCGTAGTCTGCATCGCGCCTAAATACCGACTGGCTCCCGAACATCCGTTTCCGGCTGGGATCAATGATGCATGGGATGCGATACGATGGATTGCAGCAAACGCCGAGTCCGTGCTATCATCATCATCATCTTCTTCTTCTCTGCCATTTCCTGTGTCGTTATCGCGCGGCTTCCTCGTCGGCGGCTCCTCTGCTGGAGCCAATCTAGCAGCTGTCCTGGCCCATCTTGCGCGCGATGATGGCGCAGAAACCCTCAAGCAGCCTATTACAGGCTCCTTCCTTCTATCACCCATGATAATGCCCCCGGAGACCGTCAACACACTCCCCGCAGACTGGAAATATAAAGAAATCTACCTCTCACGCACGCAGGACGCATGCAAGAAAGACCCCATCCTTTCACCGGTTTTGCAAAAGATTTTCTATACGTCGGTAAACGGTGACCCTCGCTCACCCCTATTCGCGCCCTATATATGGCCAACGGGCCATGCAAACTTGCCGCGAACGTATCTCCAGGTGTGCGGAATGGATGTGTTGCGCGATGAAGAGCTTATTTATGAGCAGGTGCTGAGGGAGGAGAATGGTGTTGAGACGCGGTTTGATATCTACCCGGGTATGCCGCATACGTTTTGGAATATGTTTCCGATGTTGACACAGGGGAAGAAGGCAGCGAAAGATCTGGAGGAAGGGGTGAGGTGGTTGTTAAGGACTGAATGATACATCCATTCTACATGGGAATTAGCTTAGAGTTAGATAGTAGTATGCTGTTCTACAGCTTTTGGATATGCCATAGTAAAAAAAGTAATAGAATCGGGCAAGGTAGAGCTCACGAAATGATTATTGTATCTAAGGTCTATCCTCATTTTCACCCTCGCTAGACTATGACATGCCCTTCAATTTTGGGGCCAATCACATACCTACATACCTAGGTATGTATGTCAAACTTACTTTATTTACCTAGAAAAGGTTATCTGGACTTAACCCTTCTCCGCACCTAGGTAGACAATCAATATCAGCCAAATATCTAGGCATAATTAGGCATTGAACAACCAAAACGGCAGTAGCACAAGCCCAGTAAAACACGTCAAAAAGCCAAACATTGACAGGCGTGCGCTATTTATCTGCACGTTTATTGAGTATGTACTATAGATAGTAGTGCATGGTATGTGAGTTGCGGTCAACTCCCGCAACTTCTAAGAGTATATAATATATCTCTATTGTATCGGGTATTAGTACAGCCATTCCATCGAATGACGAAATTAGAGCAAAGCAAGGTAGAAAAGAGATAAACGCCATCATAATCCCGTAAGTAGTAATGATACAATGCATTCAATTGCACGGCATGAAGACGATCAATGCCATGCAATTCGAAAAAGGGAAAGGGGGGAAAGAAAGAAAACGACTAAGAAGCAATGCACGCTAGTCCCGACGCTCATGACCGCAAAAAATCTCCAATGAAGTAAAGACACACGAAACCAAAGTAAAAAAAAAGCCCGAAAATTGTGGAGTGCATGCATGCTGCTGCTGTGTTGCCATGTCAGTTTGCCATTTGGTACTTATGACTTGGAAAGGCTCGCTACTGGCTGGGGACTGGAGAGTCGAGCGGTGAGGACCAGCAATAGCATGCAAGTGATGTGCAGTCCAATGAATGCTGCAGAGGAGCAAAAAAAGCCATAAGAAAAAAAAAAAATAAAAAAAAGAAAACAGCACAGCAACAGCAGGAATTCAACACGCAGCAGAATGTACCGTACATGTATATGTAATAAATGTATGGATGGATGCTGCTGGACTGAGCTGGCAGGGAGAACAAACAAGGCAAACAAAAACAAAGCAACAATCCAAACAGCAAAGTTCGTCCACTCATACAAGGTTGTACACGTATTAGTACAGTAGTAGTAGTAGTAGTTCAAAAAGAGTTAGTAGCAAAAGACTCGAGAATAAGAAGACAGACAAAAGGAGAGCGGCTAATGCAAGGGCGGCGGCGAGGCAGAGAGAGAAAGAGAGAGAGAGAGAGCGAGAGAGTGAAAAGAGGCGTGGATGATCTGAATGGAATTTCCTACCCATGCAATGATTCACGTCTCGGAATGGAAGTCATGGAATAGGGAATTGCATGGTGGATTAGGGGAAGCAATGCACACCGACAGGAGGACTGTAAGTGTAGACGCAGTCGGGGCAGCTAGGGGAAGAAAAGTTAGAGCAGTCGGGGAAATGCGGAATGCCATTCGCCGTACACAGTCCGCCTCACTTCGTCTGGCCTCAGGGAGAGAGAGGAACGTTGGCGCAAGGGGAATGACGAGGTCGCAAAGAAATGAATGAATGAATGTCCGCCTCACTTTTTGTTGTTTGTTCTGTTTGCTTCTTGCGAAAAGACGCGCGGAAAAGGCGGAAGCGGATAGCGGAGCCAGTCACGCGTCGGCGCTTGCCTCACCGCCCTGGGCTAGCTCTAACATAGTTCGCTAGCCAGCTGCTAGTCCGCGGTGGATTTACTTCCAGCGACTCTTGTCCCAGGAGGCCGGCCTCTTGTCGTCGTAGCTCGGTCCGCCGCCATTATGTACGACGACCGCTTTGGGTCCGGATCTGCGCGAGGGATCTAGATTTCGAGACACGGGTTAGCTGCTGGTCTGGCAGTATGTGATAGGCATGGCAGCGCCGGTCGAGGCTTGGGGGATTGTCGGGGTTCGCTTGGGAACGATCGTCGTTGTGAAGATCAAGGGGAGGCCCCCCAAAAAGAAGGGTCTCTTTGGGTTTGGACACTGGAGAGATGTTGAGACATACCTGGTACGTCGGCAACGTGTATCCGATCACTGCTGCTGACTCTGCTGGAGGAATTCGAGTCGGCGTAGTCGCCGAGCTTGTGAGGCATGATGTGCTTGTTGGAGTGTGAGAAGTTTTAGGAGGAAGAGAAGAGGGTGGTAGCTCGATGCAATGGCGCAGCCAGACGAGTAGAGAGATATCAAGCACAGCAGATAGAATGATAAGTTGATATACGTGGGTAGTAGGAAGGTCTCGGTCGCCCTCCCTTATATGTAGACTGGTTGTCGAGTGATCAGACCAAGCTACTTGGGGGCGGTGTTCGATGTTGAAACGAACACGCACGTCGGGATTGGATGACAGAAAAAGACAAAGGAAGTAGTTGATGTAGATGAGTTATTGCTTGAAGACAGAAAGACAGAAAGCAGGGTGGACGCAGGATTATTTATGTTAAGATTGAGTCCATTTACGGACTGGCGTGATGTCCCAGGCAGGAATGCGTTTAGCCTTTGGGTTTAGAGCAGCTGTCTACTCCAGACTACTCCAGACCAAGCATGCACCAACTCCTGCAAGTCGAGACGTCGTCAGTTAGTTACCTTAGGGCCTTAGCATTCACTTGCTGCTAACTACAGGATAGCTGTTACACCGTAGGCCACTGAGTCCATTGCAGCCTTGAATCGACGTCACAAAATAAGACACGAAGGCGCCAGGCAGCAGACCCCTGGGAATCATTACAAAGCCTGCAGGGCAGCCCTGATCACCAGTTGAGCAGCGTTTTGAAACACTACGTAAGTGTAGTGAATGATGATGGGGCGGATACCGCCTTGCTGGTTCAGGAGGCGTCGAGGCTCAGCCCCATCGGGTGATGGTGACTGGACAGAGTAACGGTGGCTCAGTCTGGACTCTGGACTCTGGACTCTGGACTCTAGACTCGTGAGGGACTGACTGGCAACAGAAGATACGGTGTATAATAATAGCATGCACAACTAGTTAAGACTGACAGTTGTGTAAACTAAGCAGCACAAATGGCTTAGCGAGTTATGTCAGGTGACGCTTTTCAGAGCATCCAATCAGAAGCGCCTCCTGAAAACAGACGTCACATGATTTCTGCCAGCCTCGCGCTAGGCTGTTTCCGGTAATCTGTAGTTGTCCCTGCTCTCAGGCTTCAGCTGTTTGTAGTAGAGAATGAAGACGCTGGATTATGGATTATATTATTTCTTTATTCAGCGTTTTAGGAGTAGTCCTGTAGCTCAGTAGTATTGCCAGACAACCAGCCTACGTACTATATACGTAAACAGTACATGCAGCTGTCCTTGTTCATTCCTCACCACTTCTTGTTCTTTTACACGATAACCATACCAAGTGATGAATATGCCTTTGGCCACTGACCCATGTAAGCATCTACTGAGTGCTATAAGTATGCTCAGTGACTTGTGCCAAGTGATCCCCAAGCTCTTGGTATCGGTTCCTGAAAGACCATCCTCAAGGGTCGCATTGGCTAACGTAGTTGGTCTTGTTCGAACATGGCCTAAATGAGAGATTCGGTGATTGGTTTTATAGACCCACTTTGTTTATTGCCAATAACTGAAATCTGGGGAAAGTATGTTTTTCCAAGGATGTGTTTTATCAATATCAAATGCGAACGGAGTATCATCTCCGCTTGTCCTACGGCCGGAGCTCATCATCCGTTGACAATGACTCCATACCTATGTGTTTAGTTAGTTACGGTAAAGTAGCAGTTAACCATTGGTAATAGCATTGCATTGCATTGAAAAGAAAAAAAAAAGAACCGTTTCTGCTAACCATAATATCTTATATACAAATGCAAAAAGGTCCGTACAATTGAATTTGAAAGCATGTAATCCGTACCTGGAAACATTACTTGATTGCAGTTATGAAACTATCCTGTTTAAACAAGTAGATACAAGCCAGTAAATGAGAGAAAATAAAAAGGTTGGATTTATTACAGGGTATGGAAGGCATTCTTACTGCCCAGCACCCAATTTCTCGTCGTTCTCTCTATTTAATGTCCCAGCCGACAGCATGTTCAGTTTATCCTCGTCAGCATCCAACTTTCTGAACCGAAACCAAAAACACAATCCCCCGACAGCCGAAAGTATAGCTGGGACGGCGAAGTTCCAGATGAGGAGCGGATCATGAGTGAGGGGAGTAAGCGCCTCTCCGATTGCAGAAGCCACAGCATTGGCGAACAGCGCGAGAGCCTGTACAAGAGATCGCATCTCGACGGGTGCCTTTGAGAACGAGTACTCCAGAACCGTAATTGTTCCCAAAATCTCGGAAATTGCGATTAGTACGAATGCTCCAGATTGTGCGCCGAAACTGATGGGAGAGGGGCTTTCACAAGTAGTAGCCGAATAGCCACAGGGAGACTTTTTATATATGTAGTATTGCAAGACTGCTGCCCATATCATGGCGGCGGATGCAAAGAAGAAAGCGGCGGTGATTTTTTTGATCGGCGTTGGATTGATTTTGAAACTTCTCAACAGTGGGTATAACACTCGATCGAAAATCGGTATCAAGATAATGATTGCGAGCGGATCAATACTGGTGAGGATCTCATTTGGAAAGCCGTGAGTCTGCAACAGTGCCGCTTGCGATGTGAGGTTGTTGTTGATCTGATTGTAACAGAGGAAATAGAGAGGGTACCATGCAAACACTTTACAGGCGGAAAACCCACGATGCACGACTTCAACCCAGGCATCATCGAATGTCATCCAACTCGGTCGATGAGATGGCGCGACATTGGAAGGCATGGCCCTGTACCACATTGTCCCGTCATTAAGACTTCTCCACGTCTTAATGGGATTGAAAGACCAGCAGTCCTTTTGGGCATAGACCCAAAGTCGGATTGCCTTTCCAAACGCCGAAGGTTCGGGTTTGGTAACACGATATCTCTTATACCCCCAAAGGAGAATTGCGGGACACAAGAAGTAGAAAGCAGTTGGCACAAGCCATGCTAGCCAAAACCCAACGTATTTCTCTGCATAAGGCATACTAATTGTGCCGATGAGACCGCCGACGTTTGTGAAGAAATAGTAATACATATAAGCCCGGTTCAGTGTTAATGCAGGGTCTGAAATGACCTTCTCGTTATTCGGTAATATCTTGATCGTGAGTTCGGTATGGGACAGCTGTTCTGCAACGAGAGGGGACAAGTTCGGCTTCACACCTCCAGTGCCGAACCCTAAAAGGACTGTTGCCAGGATAAAAGTCGCCAAAGACGCCTCTCGATTATGTATGACTGAGGGTAGAGCTGCAACCACAAAGACCACATGCGCGACGATCGACAGGCCTACTGACATGCATATAACACGGAAACGACCCCAGCGAGCATCGGCGAGATATGCTCCCAGAAGGGGAGTTGTATAGAAGAAAAATTGCTTAAAGGTACTCAGGGCATAAGACGTTTCTTGTCCGTATCCAAGAGCGCCAGATTGACCGTTTTTTCCCCCTGCACCGGTTGCCGAATTTGATGGCAGGGGCCGCTGAATGAAGTTCGTCACTAATAGATTACACGGTTAGATGATGGCTGAAGAGTGTTGTTCTGTTTCTGGCCTTGATGACTTACTCACGATGCTAGTCCCGTAATAAGTCAGTCTTTCGCACAGGTCGAGGAAGACGATTGTAAAGACAATCCATTCTATCTTTCCTGGGACTCGCCTCAAGGTCTGGAGATCCTCATCAGTAGGCCTTCCTTCGATAACCTCCATGTGTCCCAATGCCGACTCTGCATGCTCACGTGGAGCCGACAACTTTGATTGATCTTTCGTCTCGTGTGTGTCCATCATGGCATGAGATTAGAAAGAGTCAGCGCTGAAAACGGCCTACTTACGGAGCGTCAAGAATAATTCACATACCGTGCAGCTGGTACCGATTATTAAATATTTGTCTTATCTCCAGTAATGGTAGTTTGGGCCATCTCGGAGTTGGACCTTCGGTGTTTGAGTTTGAGCTGTAGCAACTCCTATCTTCAGCTTTGAAGCCGGAACTTAAAACGTGGCGACCCATACTCGGTATTTTATGGGGTTTTATACCTAGGTATCTGATTTAATGGCAGTGGAGTGCAGCATTGATTGTCAACCACTGATCTCTCTTTTCGCTCGTGGAGCCTTGGAATCGTCTGCCAAATATCTAGACCAGTATCTCCCAACATCAAAGGATTCACTTTTTCAAAATCAATCCTAAGAACAAAACCATGATTACAACAATATCTATATAAAAGTTTATATATCCTATTTGCTCCAGTTGTCTGTCAGAGGGCACTCATATGACCTTATTATTCTCGCGAAATCTCTTGGTAGTCTAAAAGCCACAATATAAGACTAATTATCATTTATTTAGAATGTACTGATTTAAACTAAAAAGTTCATTTCTAATTTGAAAAAAATATATAGGGGTGCATAAAACAAATTTATTGGTGAAACATTGCTCGCATCGAATAAGCGTTGCGTATGGCACACCGGGTAGATTGGGGGTTTTAAATGCCAAAGGAACAACCCTGTGGGCAGACTATCGTTGGCCAATCTCTGTAGACAGCAGATTCACACTTGCTAAATGAAGCCGCTCAGGCTTGCTGACAGAATAGGTAAAGATGAACGTAAGTATGAGCTCAAAAATGCAGGACTTACCACTTCATATATAGAATGAAACAGAAACTAGTGCATTTAATGCGGCGTATGCATTTCAACTTACCGGGACGACTGGTCACTGAGCCCACCTAAAAGGTATGCGGGTGAGTATAAGTGGATGGAACGGTGCGTACCATTGCAAGTAGAGCCTCAGCATAGCCGCTGGTAGTGTGACCGCCATAATGACCCTTTTGGCGAGAAAAGGTGAATTCCGTTCGACTCTTGGACGAGCAGAACAGAAAGAACCGCGTCCATTCATATTCATGAGGACAAGACCTCAAAAATGGTGACTTCGCGCTGTTGATTGAATTTAGACGGATCTTATCGTGTGTGCAATGATTTGCTTTGCATGTCCCCATATAGTTGTACAGCATTGTTTGCATGTATCAAGGAGCTGTCAACCAAGGATCAGATAGCAAGTCCTTCGCCGAAGGCCTAGCTTCCGACGCCCATTGAAGCATCTTTCGCATAAACCGAAGGGAAAGCTCTTGACTGGACCCATGTGAATTCTTCTCGGAATCCATTAGTGACACAGGAGAAACTTCAGCCCCCCCCTTTCCGGTTACCTGATATTTAAGTGATCGGCTTAAAAAGACAGAAAGGAGGGTAAGGGCAAGAGCGCGACTGATCGGATAGAGTAAGCTCATATCATTGTCAAAAAAACTCCGAGGTATAATCACTGCGCTGTAAAAATTCTCTAGACTTGAAGCTTTCTCAGATCTTGCGTAGAGTCACGCTCGCAACCCTTCGAATTCACGTATTGATAGCGTCTAATAAATTTATCAAGTCCAGACGACCAAAAGATTTTGCAAGTAGCATAAGAACTCACTGCTAATCCCTGCAGAGCCATAGGTGGTGTAAGCGCCGTGACCAAGCTTTCCGAGAACTTGGTACCTTGATTGAAATACTTGGCCGATCTGGACAGCATAATATCGATCTGGCGAATACCAAGGAAACGGTTTCTTCTTCGATTTCCTCAGTGCGGCTCAGGGTTACGAAGCAAGACTGTTTCAACTGTCGCTGTGGAGATGGAGGTCGTGGAAGGAAGCGCCGACCCCAGCGCAGCAGATTTGACATGTAGAGTAGAGGGACTGCACAGTATCACAACTATATGTGCAAAAAATAGCTCGCAAACCGAGGTGGTAATATGTTGTGTAAGATGACTGACTACAGTATTCATTCCGTGCTGTTCATGGAACGAACCTTGGAAGATATCCGGGGGCGTGCTTCAACTGCGGAGAGCTTAGTCAGCTTCCTTAGCTTGGTTAGATAACTACGTGGAAGCAAGTCCAACTACCGATACAATAAATTCAAGTCGCCAATACTGCTGAATCACAATTGTTCAAAAACATCACGTCAACAATTTCCCACAATGCGCTTCACAACCCTCCTCGCCAACCTCTTTTTCGCCGCCACCATGGCCACGGCCGCCGACCTGCAAATTGAAGTTACACACGCCGTCGAGTGCAATCGCAAGACTACCAATGGCGATAACGTCAAAATGCATTACAGGGGCACGCTAGCCGACAGCGGGAAACAATTCGATGCTTCATATGACCGTGGAACGCCATTGTCGTTTACGTTGGGTGCTGGGAGGGTTATCAAAGGGTTTGTTTTCGCCCTCCTCGCTCCTTTTCTTTCTGGAATTGTCTTTTAATGCGTTGGTTTAGATGGGACCAAGGTCTATTAGACATGTGTGTCGGTGAGAAGAGGACGTTGACAATTCCGCCCGAGTTGGGATATGGTAATAGAGGCGTGGGACCGATCCCCGCGGGGTCTACGCTCGTTTTTGAGACGGAGTTGGTTGAGATTGTTGGTGTGCCCAAGGATGAGCTGTGATCACCCTGACTATGGGAAAAGCCAAGTCAAACGTGATATATGAGCTGTATTGTATTGTATATACTAATACGAAATTATATTTCTACCTCCCATTCCTCCTGGAAAAGAAAAAGGAAGGAAGAGAAAGGAACAATATCAACCTGGGGTATCTTGGAATCTAATAATCTATACAATTCTATTTGCAGTCCGTATGATCTCCCCAACTCAGTCCATCGCATCCAATGCATTCGTCTCCACTATCTCATTCTCCGAAACCAGTATTCCCACCAAACACTCCCCCAGTATCCCATCCCAGTTCACCCACGGATGCGTTTCCATAAACAGCTTTTCCGAATCCTTCCCTGCTCCTCGCAACAGCTCCCCTTTCCCACCGGGATGAAAGGGGACATAGGGAGTGATATTGTAGACTTTCCCATTATACGATGTCCATGCATCAGCGCCCTTTCGGCCATTGTGCGCCTTGAGCATGGAGGGTGTCACTTTGATCAGGGTTGGCGGTAGTCCAGATCCTCGTAGATTGTTTCGTGGATCTTTGGCTAGCGATGCCCAGTCGAGAGGCGAGTAGCCCGGTCCAAGGACCACTTTGCGAGACGGCCGTTGCGCCGGTGCGAGCGTACTTGTACTTAGTCCGCCGACTGGGTTTCGTAGGCTTGCTGCTGCAGATGGCGGGGTGCGGAGGGGTGCTGGTGTTTTCAGTCTTGGAGGGCCGAGGAGTTGCTGGGTAGTAGAGGAGATGGGTTTTAGACTTGGCGGTTTAGAAGCGGGGGTTCGTGGCGGCGGAGGCGGCATAAGAGAGGAACTATTATTTGCGATGGGCGAGGCTATACTCGTGGTGTTGGACGGAGCTGGTTTGTCGTTTTCGTCCAGACTCAGCTCGGGCACTTGGAGCGCGACGACCGACGCCGATGCCTTGGGCGTGCTCTGTGACTCTGTATCTGATGCGGAATCATCTTCAGCGCGTAGTTTGGCTTCGTTTTCTGTCTTTATTTCCTCTTGTATTGCTTCTTGTGGAGGCTGCCTGGTCGTTGACCGCGAGAGGAGGTTGGACAACCACATGTTACTTGGTGTAGGAAATCTGACGACGAGGGGAGTAGCACCAGCTCTTTAATCGTCCGAATATGGTTCCCCCTTGTATTGCATTGCTTGAACCAGGAAGGGTATCAGGCAGCGATGGTAAGTGACAAGTCGATGAAGGGAAAAAGTGGACCAACTTCGTCCGGGCCGCCCTTAGACGATCTGATAAGACTCTTATCAGATCGTCTTATCCCCCGCCCATAAACACCGCCGCAATCTATACGACTCCATCTCCTGGCATCTCAAAAAGAACGATATACACTGTCACGGCATACAGGAAATTGACACTAAAACACGATCTCGTGTAACCATCTACTGTGCTCCAGAGCCACGCCGAACACCGATCCATGGACGAACAGAAACGGTGGCACAACACCACGCCCGGGAGTTTCAGCCGGCCAGGCTCATGCAGAATGTAGCTTTTTTTGCCAAATGTTGATCGTGCGCCTCAATTGCCAGCTTCCGTGATGTCAGCCTGCCATCATTCGTGATGATGCATAAAAAACTAACAGACAAACAGGAAGCGTCGCTGTCGTACTTGTCAATGCACATTTCCAAACACTTAGGCTCTAGATTAAAGGGCACCAACCACAATCATGGCCGCTACAGACTCTGTGCTTCTTTTCGATGCCGGAGCGGCCACAGTGAGTACAGCTCACGCCAACATAGCAATCCAAGTGTGTTGACCGGTAAAAACACAGGCTCAAGGGGGCCGAATGTCTCAAGAAGATCGTTTTGTGATCATGTTGCCCGACCAGTTCCCGCCACTAACAACGACGGACAAGCTCGCTCTGTTTGCGACATATGATGGGCAGTACGGAATACTTTTTCTTGTTTTGAATCAATGAAGGACAGATATTAACAACACGTCACAAAGTGGCTCTGCAGCAGTGTCCGAACACGTCAGGCAAAGTCTACCGGCTCTGCTAATCAAAAGGCCCGAATTTACCAAAGGTGACTACGAGACTGCAATCATTCGAGCATTCGAGGACGAAGATCAGCTCCTCCTACAAATGGCCATGGAAGATGATACCGAGCCCGTAATCGCAGGCTCGACTGTAGCGCTGTGCCTAGTCAATATGACCAAGGGATTGATGGTTGTTGGGAACGTGGGTGACTCTCATATCTTTCTCGCCAGACGAGACCCAGCTACGGAGACTGTAACATGGCAGGTACAAGATAAGAAACCATCTGTCTCCTGCAAGTAGTGCACCGCGTTGACATAATTTCTCAGGACCGCTTGACCAGGGAACACAAACCCCATGATCCGGCAGAGAAAAGCCGCATCGAGGAGGCTGGTGGTGCAGTGCATACTTATGGAGGGACTGCTCGACTCGGTGTGTATGCACAAGCATATTCCACTTTAACAACACAACACAGCCCAACAATTGTTCTTATTGCATCATTTCCTTCTGAAATGATACGTTGTATTGACCCAAATGACAGGAACCCTAAACATGTCCCGAGCCCTAGGCGACCTCCAATACAAAAACCCAATCAACAACCTCGACGTCGCAGGCACGAAAAAGAGCAGACGCGCAATTGCAAGCGGATCAAGGGCACAACATCCTCGGAACCGCGGAAATTTCATATCCAATGAAGCAGACGTGCAAACCGTCCAGCTGGACCAGGACAGTCGATATATGCTGCTGTGCTGTACAGATGGCGTAACGGACGTTACGGATGAGACGATGCTTGTAGAGGAGGTTGCGAAGGACTTTATGAGAGGTCGAAGAGCGACTGATATTGCGAAGAGAGTTACGAAGGCGACTGCTGAGCAGCCGCAGAGTGATAATTGTACTTGCGTGATTGCGTTTTTTGATGGAACGGCGTCCACAAGATTGGAAGCTTGACATTTCATACTAAAAAGAAAATTTACTGGTAGATAAAGATAACAGTGACCAAATCATCCATAGTATACACGAGACTTTGAAGAAATTTAGGCTGAAATAGTCTCTGAAATAGTCTCTTTTTAAAAAAAAGGCCAATGCTATGTGCATACTAATCAAGAATGAAGTGGACGGTATTCCAAAATACATATACTATCATCATACGGTATCGTATTGTAATCAAATTTCCGACGTCATGGTCACTCAACTCCAGCCGTTGCGGCAAAGACAGCAGAAAATCATACAACCTCGCTCCATTCGCTCGCTCACTCATTTCCAATCGGAATGCTAACAAGCACCCGGTAGTCGCGCAATCTCTCGAATTGAATCAGATTTGTGGAGTTGATAATACGATCATCGTTTTCCGTGGAAACAGTCGACTTGAAGGCTCAACAAAACAGAAAGTTAAATTCTCTCCTCCGAGTCAACCGTACACGCCGACTCCAGCATCCTTCGACATTAATCTCATCACCATTTTAAGTGAAGTGGAAAGTTGGAATAAAGACAGCAATCATGGCCGACCAAGGTGACCTGTACGTTTTTAACACTGAGCAACACCGACCACTACACCATGTCACATAAAGATGGGTCGAACGATAACTAACCACCATATACGTCGATCGATATAGTCAATTTGAGGAAGAAACATCCATGCAAAAGTTTAAACGCCGGCTCAAGGAAGAACCATTGATCCCTCTAGGTATATATCCTACAGGAAATGATAAAAAGAAAGGGAAAAAAAAAGGGCAAAAATAAGATAACCCAGTATTCTAACTCTTTTCTTCAAGGATGCGCCGCAACATGCTACGCGCTCTTCCGCGCCTACCGATCCGGCAAAGCGAAAGACTCAATGGAAATGAACCGCATGTTCCGCGCCCGTATCTACGCGCAATTCTTCACCCTACTAGCCGTCGTAGCGGGCGGAATGTACTACAAAAACGAGCGTAAACAACGCCGCGAATTCGAGCGGATGGTCGAAGAGCGCAAGGCGCAGGAGAAGCGGGATGCGTGGTTACGCGAGTTGGAGGCCAGAGAGAAAGAGGATAAGGGGTGGAGAGAGCGGCATGCTGCTGTGTCTGAGGCGGCGAAGGAGGCTGCTGCTGGTGGGAAGAAGAGTACGAAGGCTGTGGATGATAATGTGAATCAGGCGCCGCAGGAAAAGAGTGATGAGAAGAGGGGTGTAGGGATTCTCGAGGCCGTAAAGGCGTTGGTCCAGGGTAATAAGGAGAATTAATCTGGATGGGTCAATCAAGACTTGAGGTCATTGCAATATATTCCCATGGCTATTTGCTAATGTACATATATATAAATAAATCTGCCCATTTTCAGAACACCAAACACCGTCTAACGAGTAATGCAACAGAAACCAAGCCCCCAATAAACATGAAATCACCGATTCATCGACGCGAGTTCATCGATATATCTCCTCATGGTATCAAACTCGGTTTTTCCAGCAGACAAAAGATACCGGATATGCGCCTATGAAATGACTCAGCACATGCTTATACTTTACATATATAATCAAAAGAAAAATGAACTCACAGCATCCTGCACGCCTTTATTCCGATCAAATTCAGTCCGTGCATAATCCCTCATTTCCGTACGTGTCGACGAAGGTGGAATTTCTAGAAGCCTCAAAATTAACAACTTTCAAATCAAATCAAATAAAAGTGAGGCGAACAAGGAATAACGTACTATGCACAGCACGTATAATCTCACGCCAAAACGAGAGAACTCTCTGGCGCTGAATAAACTAAAATACAAAAAGATTGCATGGTTAGGTATTGTAATTGGAGATTATACTGCTGCCTTGCTTACCTGATCAAGAGTCAATGCTGGTTTTTTCAGTCTTGAGTTCCTAGGTCCTGCTGCTTGATTACTGGCGGATGATGTAGCTGATGATGAGGATGCTACTGGTTGTGTATTGGAGGCAATTGATGTTAGGAAGCGTGGGGATGGTCTGATGCTTAACATTGATTTGGGCAGCATGTTGGAGTATCAGTATCTTGTATAATATAGTGAGATTGGGGAAGCATGGAGTGAGCTGTTGTTGATCGTTGAATTAAATATGTTAGAATATGTTGGATGGATGGATGGCGGGCGGTGAGAAGGTCTGTATTAACTGCTAATACTGTACGGTAATTTGGTACTGTTTATTCGGTAATACGATAGACGAACGGTACGGTACATGTACCCAATCACCTGGATAGATTCTCATGTGCACTACATTCCTGTTGACACTAAAGTTGAAAAGCGAAGAGAGAGAGGGGGGGATTAATTCAGTCAATACGATAATTAATGCAGTTCTCACTTGCATTTTCCGAGTGTGATTGACTAAATGCTGCGTTGCTACTCAAAGTCTCAGACAGGTCTCTTCACGTGTCAGCCTTACCCTACTCAGACCCTCTTTGTCCCTGTCTCTCGACTCAACACTCGCTCACTCACTAGAGTCGCCGTTCTTGACATATCTCTCTCCAGGACATTCCCCTGACATACTCTTTCTTCCCTTCAACTGATCAGCACTTTCAACGTCGCCTGCAAAAGCCCCTTCCCTCAAAATGGGCAACTCCAGCACAAGTATCGAAAACATCAAAGCCTTTTCCCCAAAGACAAGACCCCCCTCAAAGAAGAAATACACCGAAAAAGCCTCCTTCGCTGTCAGGAAGCGATGGATGGAGCTCCTCTCGGCATTACCTGAAGAATACTTCCAGCGCAACCATGAACTTCAGGTCAAATCCAGCTTTTGGAACGCCCTCGAAACACTGAGACCAGAAGAGCATGATGCTGCTGACAAATTTGAGCACATCACTATGAACGAGAAAGAGTGGAGTCGATATGCTGTGCGTGCCTGCGTCATCTACATTGAATGCGGGCTATTGGATGAGCAGATATTGAGTATCCTCAATCAAACCATTGCATATGTCGCCGTGTGCGCGTTGCGTGCGGGACATAGACGTGTTTACTTCGACGACGGAATCAACGTGTTCTTCGATCCGTGCGACTCTGGTATGGCGTATTCTTCCAGACAGAAGTATGAAATACTCCTCGAAAGATTGCGGGGGTTAAAATCTGTCGAAAATAAGCGTAGTGTCACTCTGGCTGTTTCTGGTGATGGTCATGAGCAGAAACCCGCCGCTGCTGCTGTTGCTCAGGCCACTCCAGCATCAACGACTGTCACCCAGCCACTCAAGATCCCCAGTTCGCAACCTTTTCTCAACGAAAATCAAATTCAACACCAGAAAAACAAGCCAAAAAAGAGAAGGAGCAAGAAGAAAAGCAAAGGACTCCAGGAGAGGGATCATTCTGAAACAAAGACACTCAAACGAAGGCTTTTCGACGACTATACGATGGGCGAGCATAAAAAGCAAAAGTTTTCGAAGCACCGGTGACAGGATTGCTGAGTCGCTCTCTCTATGGAGATGTAATTTTGAAAGGGGGTCAGTTATTGAGGCTGTACTTGAATGATGGCCAAAACACACAAGGTTGGGTTAGATAGTGTTGATAACGGTGTGTTTTAGAAGAATTAGTTAACCCATCACAATATCATTCATTCAAACAAATGATTAAGTTAGCTTTTGACATAATTCGGTACTCGACCAGCAAGCCAGCCTTTAGCTGACTGACATGCTCCGCCCAGAAGTTTGTTTGCCAAACGTTCTTACATATGTTTCAGTCTCGTGTATCTCACAATAAATCTTCTCCCTCTTCATCAAATCATTCAGCCTCGTGGTCTCCTTCTTATAGTACGGCTGTGGCGGTAAATAGATTTTCCACCTTCGCTGCGGATGATCTCTCAAACGCAGGTTTCGCAAGGGCTCGAGGAAAACAGGTACTTTCTCGATCGGCTCACCGAACCAATTCCCCGTTAGATGCAGTGTGAACTCTTCGAGGTTCTTCATCAGAAGAATAGCATTGCATGTCTCAATCCATTGCTGACGACCGGCCCAGACATACACCGATTTCACGGAGTCCTTGCTCGGGAGCCAATGGCCGGGGAATGCCCATTTGAGATCGACTTTTCGAACCGCGTTCCATTGATCAGACGGCATTGTCGGTCGCAGATACGCCAGTGACCAGGTGTTGCTAAACTCGAACGTGTTCGCCGAGTAAAGAATATGTATACTTTCTCGGTAACTATGTCCAGGAAAGGAAGACAAGGGGAAGAGGGACGGGGAAGAAAAGGTTGGAAAATGAGACATTTCAATTTAACAGCAATGCTTGCCTGCGCATTCGACAGGCAAAGCAGCAAAAGAAGTAGAAAGATGAAGAAAGGGAAGAGGGATTGTGCAAAGCTTACATTTGTTTACATGTCACCAGCAACGAGAGCAAGTTCGCTTTTGAGCATGTCTCGATATTCTTGACCGGTTGCAGGAGTACTCCTCGGCAGATATCACACGAGCCATTTTGAGGACAAACGACGCAGCCCAGTCGTCTATGAGATCGCTGGATAATGTGCAATTGCAGATTACCTAGCACAATCTCCCAAATCGCAAGGCGCAGTTCTGGGGGTAGTCTGTTCAGTAACAGGCACTGTGGTTGTTGATCCGGCTGTCGGGTTATATCGAGTCCCCGTGGTGCTGGCCCTCTAATGTTGCCTTTGCGCCGTCTGTACCGAGGCAGAGACGAGGGCTTGTCATCTGCGATGGTGGTCAATAAATAAAACATGGCAAAAATGTGGAATAGAACACACTTTGATATCGCTGGGCGAGCACATCTTCCCAGGAATGGACACCAGCATTTTTGAACCTCGCCATATCACCAGCACAACGGCGGAAAACGTATATAGTCGTGCTAAGTAAGGTTCAGCAAAACGCTCAAGCTAGGCCCGGCTGTACGCTCAAAAGACACAGATGCATTATGGCACGTAGGGCACGTTATGCGCAGTGATCCATGGTCAACTTGAACGAGATGTTAAAAATGACTCAGGCACCGACGTCGGCGGCGGGCGGATGGGCAAGGTGGGGGCCCAGCCTAATCACGGGGGTACAGATGCCCGGTGCTAGGAACCAAGGCCGACGCTGGCCGCGTCTCACCGCATCTTCTCGGCCTGCAGAATCAAAGGATTCCAGGATTGCGTTTTGGGTCTTCTTGTTCGCATAGATACGTTACGTAGTCGGAAGGGTGCGTAGATAATAGATAATGATATAGATAGAAGACTAACTGGATATGTATGCGGAACACGCTTCTTATGAAGATCAATGGAAAAGGCTCTCCTAGTTAAATGACTGCAACTGCAGATACGTAGCTCACCGAGCTCTCAGAGAGCTCATCTGGATCCGAGCTTCTCTCGTACCTAATAAAGTGAAACTTTCCTACTTCGTCCCCTGTAGCCGAGGCGAACTCTTCTAATGCGGCCATAATTACACCAATAGGATGGCGTCCGCAGACCGTGTTGCCCGTAGTTTTCAGTATCTTCAGGAACTGTGCCGTGCTTCCCGTCGTAATAGCTTTCATCGTCGCGATGTCGACTGCTGATATACTGTCGTATATTTCTGTGCGTAGCTCACGGTTACTGCGCAGCCATCGACCTGATACCGCGCTTATAGCTTCCTTGGCCTCGGAGACAGATGTAGGCGGCTGCGGCAGATGGTCAAAGGACAAGGGCAGAATCGGTTTCTGCTGTGGTGCATCCGGCACGTAATATGTATACGCGAATCGCTGACCCCAGTGGCAGAAGTCAGAGCTGATGATAAATGCATTTGACTGGTCAGCCAAATAGGGAGCAAGCAGTGCACCAACAGCACGCTCTATTTCGGCATTGGTGCTTCCGACCATAATTGGAACGAGGGGAGGATACTCCGAGGCAGGACGTCCAGGAAATGTAAGCTGCAGCTTACGGTGTATGTAGGGCAGATGAAGCTCCATGCTGTGTTCTCGCTCATCGACGTGGCGGGACATGGTTTCAAAGGCATGTGAAGCGCTGCGTATTTTGTGGATCACATCAATATCAAGGGGTAGGGGCTCGTCGGATAGAGGCGTCGCGTACGAGGTTAGTACAGGTAAAGCGATTGTCGCCAGGGCGTGGTGGTGAGATGGGCCGAGCAGAAAAATGCGTTTGCTGTAGACAAAGCCCATGAGCAACGAAGGCCAGTTTACTCACACGGAATCATTAGAACCAGCTTACGCTTTAGATATATCAAGTGCCTTGTAGGCCCAGGCAGCGCATGGTCCTGAATACGCATAGCCTGCGTGTCTTTTGGGGTGTGCTACTTATCAGCTCCAAGTCTCAAGGGCGAAATCCAGAGCTAAGGAAGTAAACGAGCAAACGCAGAGAGAAGACAGAACTAACGGGCCTATAATAATTCTCGCACCCGGTACTGGCAAAGCACCTAGCTGCCCAATCTCACCAGGAACAGCCTCGAGCCATCCGTCCAATTCAGCTTTCAGCCGCGCACTATCATTTTCGTACCAGGAACCAGCATGTATTGGTCGTCGAGTCGACATTTGGCTTCTTTTTCTGCAGCAAGCAACAGGCACACAATGCATAAAACCGGCTGGGGTGTTTTGCGGTGAAGCAGCAAGTTGCAACTTGGTTCTTGCAATTTGCGGGGGAGGGGCGCCTGCCGTCATAGCGCGCGCTCGGCAACCCGGGGAAGGTCCCAGTCGGCTTGCCGAAGATAACGTGATCACATTCTAGATCAATTAGCCGGTTGTGTCTACTTCATAAAGCACGCAAATTCTTGTCGATTGCCTGAGGAATGCTCACGTTACCTAGGTAAAGACCGTGTTTATGTTACCATAACACGCCCGCCAACAGCATCCGCGAAATGATGGCATCAGCATCAGCGCGGAAACACACAGCGAGTCGTTGTGAGGACGAGTTGATTTCGCTTGACATATATTCTTTTATTTACTCTTTCTGCTATTATCCCGTTTCTAAAATATGGTTTATATTAATTACATCGAACAAGAAAAGGAAAGGTCGCATTCCTGTGGAACCCGGAATAACTAAATCTATTTTCGGCTAGCGTGGCGTACTTTGTTCGACTAGCGCGTCTTTCCGCGCCTCTCCTGCCTGCCATTAAATAATCAATCAACGACGTCTTTCTTCAATTGGTATGCTCCAAACAGCCAACCCATCTTCTTCTGTCTGATTCTCACAACATCCTCGCGTATACAGCTGCGAACTTGCTCACTCACCATATACGAAAACTCCCAAATCCGTATATAATCAACCACCACCCACCTCTACACTTGCAATTTCAGTCGCCATTCGTTTCGATCGTCACAAACATGTCTCTCAAGCGCAAAGCGTCCTTCTCACGTGAAAGCTTTCATGACCGAGCAATGGAAGACGTTCCGCGTCATTTGAATAGCCGGACACGGAAGAGATTCCGTGACGCTCGTCCTGACGAGCAAACAGTATATGGTGAGTCGACAATGGAATCATTCGACCAAACAATAACTAACTTGGATCTAGCGAATACATTACGAATACTCTACCAAGCTCAGAAAGAACCTATAGTTTCAAACCCACCTGATGAATCAACACCGCCGCCATCAAAGCCCGAGGCTCCAGATCCACGTCAACAGACATTGCTAAAGTTCTTCCAGCCTGCACCGGCACCATCTTCATTAGCGCCAGTCAATATGCAATGCCACAGCACAAACAATAACATAAGGCATGTCGCCAGGCCCGTCATAATGGAATTTGAAACCAACCAGAGCACTACTTCAGCGAGTGGCTCATCTACCCCTGTATCCACTGGTATTACGGAAATGGACATCAATATGGATACAGATATAAATATGGACTACGCTGCACAAGGAAGATGGGTTATGGCATAGGGCTTATGTGATTGGTGATCATCGCGCCAATTTGACTGATTTCTAGGGGGCCTTAAATAAACGCCATTGTTCGTCATGTTTATATGACAACTTTGGACGCTCTACATTATGATACGTTGCCACTCACGAAGCGATTGTATTTCATCTCATTTTCAATGTATTATTGGCGACATATTAAGGCTTTTCACTGTTGGTCTTTCGCAACACGGCGTTTGGGAGTACTATCGATTTGCTTGTATGCTTCGGTAGATAGGGGTTTGTGGCTATTATTCTATATTATACTTATATACCCTTAGTGTATTGACAGCTATATGTGAGCAAGGAATGAATTTGATAATCAGGCTAGATTTGAACTCTTCCCTACTTTTCCCATCCAAACCAAGCGTATCTAAGTATTGTAATCCCCCTTAATTGTGTAGACAGCCATGAAATAGAACATCTAAATTATAAACTAGTACCAGTTAATTATGTAGGCTTGTCTTGGTAAGTAGCAGCTGATGGTCAGGTATACTACCACGAATTATGCCAGGGAAAGATGGGCGGGGAAAACGAGGCTAGTAGCGATAAATAAATTACCGGACTTCATCTCATCACCCCAACGTCTCCCACCTACCAAAGTACCCCAATGCCAACGCAGACTGTCAAAAAAATTACCAGTATTGCTGCATACTAATATATATACTTACACAAACTAAAATGAACAATTCGGTGCATGTCAGCTTTCTTCAGTCCTTGCTAGGCCGAAACCTGCGCATTCATACGACCGATACACGCATGTTTGTGGGCATCTTCAAATGCACCGACATGGTACGTCCGATCTATTCCGATGCCGAGCTCCTTTTTTATCTTTTCCATTTGAGAGGACGCGAGTGGAGGAATACCTCAGAAATAAAATTCTAATGGATTATTGTTCTTGCAGGACCGTAATGTCATTCTCGCGAATACGTTCGAATATCGTCTTCCTAGTCAAAGTGCATTGCAGGCCGCGGCAGAATCTGCATCTCCTTCCGATGCAGGCAAATTCAAAATGGACATGACTAGTCGTTTCATTGGAGTGGTGGTGGTCCCTGGCCAACACATCACCAAGATTGAGGTTGAAGAAAATCCTTTTGAAATCCGGACTCGGCCATTGCCAGTTACGCACTGAACACATCAACGCACATACACGTACGCACAAATGGAAGGGAAAGAAAGAGAGGATCCACGTTGGACGCAAGCATTGAACTGGGAACATCCTTTTTGCAATGCTTCATGCAGGGTCGATGAGTCAAGAATTACTATCATTTCTCAGCTAGGATATCCTCGCGACTGTTGCATGGGTAACTCGAGAAGCTGGTGGACCAACCACGATGCAAAGTAAAGCAAAGCAATGCAATGGCCTGCTCTAGAATCAACCAGGCAAATGTACGCGGACCATGATGGAGGCCCAACCTACGGCACAAAGAGAGCCTCGCCAATGCTGTTGCTGTCGGAGGAAAACCACGAAAGCAGGTAGCGAGCACCGTACTCGCCAGGAGGAAATCGGAATGCAAGATGAGTGGTCAACAGGACCAAGGACGCATGGGCATTCATGCACCCATGCAAATATCTTGACCAATCTCTCTGGTTCTATGCAGCTAGAGTTTGGATGCACTGAATACTTCGTACGCACTGTCAAATAGGCGAGAGATCCACTCGTAATCGCGGTCAGGCTCGCGGATGATATGTGCTTGACGCATCAATCCAAATGTTGAATTAGTACACGCTTGAAGTGCATAGTCAAATAGTTTATATAGTGAAATGGACATCATTTCCCACCTACTTTCACTCGCCACATAACCCCGAGCTGTATGCGGACTTGAATAATTCTCCATGACATGCGCATTGAATATGCTATGTATATGGCTGGCTTGGCAGTTGACGTATCGCCCCCGGGCAGGTCACGGGACGCATTCCAGCCAGTAACGAGGCATGGCTGCCTCAGGCTCCGTGTCTGCCAAGGTCCAGACCGGTCTTGGCAGCATTAGGTAAGCCCGCCATGCCCGAAACGGCGATCCTGAGCTTCTCCGTGCTTTCTGTGGTTGCTGCTTGTTGCTGATTGCCAACTTCCATCTCAACCTCGACAACAACAACAACAACAGCCCTCTCCTGCGATACCGCCTCGTTCGTCACTGCCCGCCCAACTGACAGAATAGCGAACGTCCTGCATTCCTCCGCCGTGGCACGATCCACTGCCTTGGAAAAGTGCTTATCTCGAGGTTCGTGTTACACCCTGCTCCATCCCTGCCATGACGCACATTCTTCCTACGTACTCCGTGCTGCTGAAATTATCCCCCCGCATGGCTTGACACCCACCACACGTGTATCTCATGCTGTTCTTCGTTCTTGGCTTTCGGATCGGGCAACTTTCCATGTGAAGCGTGATTACCTGCATGGCCGCAGTGCTTCACAGCCCGACTGGGAATGAAGCTTGATTTGCCGCCGGATGACCATCGCAGCCCCCCGTATCTGTCCACTTTTTATCTTTGGACTCTGTGCCATTTACGCCTTGTTTCCATCGTTATTATTACCTTCATCACATTTAACAAACATTTTATCTATATAACAAAGTCGATCCTTGTCCGAGGCTGACTCTTGTTTTCCAGTTATCCTGCCGGAAGCAGCCACCTCATTTATGCTCCGACCCTATCACAATCTCGCTTCGACTAGGTATTCCTAGCTTGTTACATCCTTTGATTAAGTCGTTGATTGATTCACACCTTTCAACACCGACCGGTAAATTCCACCACCTCTGTTGCGGAGTTCCAAGAGCAGCGAATCTTGCTGCCTTAAGTAAACGAATCGCTCTGACCTGCTACGAGTTAGTCGCTGTGATTTTCAACGATCGTGTGCCGTCGCTTTTGAGCTTTCCGTAATGGGTCAGTCTCAGTCAAGGCCTGGAGAGCGTTCCGGCGACCCTCTACAGTCCTATCCATCGTTCTCTCGTACGGATACCAAAGAGTCTATTCGATCTATCAAAGGTTCAATTCGGTCCAAGATTCCTGGTTCTAGAGGTAGCGACAAAAACAATGACAGTCCGAGGGGATCTACTGCAGGCCTCGGTGACGATAAGTCGGATGCCGCTTCTGTGAGGTCAACGAGCAGCAACAGGCAACCAATCTCGCCGCAGTCAACTGTTTCCAACGACCCGATCCCTCCCCGTACCGGGACTCCCGAACCCCCTCCATCTCCCTCGCAATCTACTTCACTAAACCGAGGCCACAAGAACGTGGATGCTGCTCAACAGAGTGGCGAAGTCGACCTTGTCTCAGACGCCCCGCCATCCGTCCCACCCGTTACGCCACAGAGCCCCGGAGAGTCAATACTGGTGAGACCAGAGAATCAGATTAACCCTGTTATTTTGGATATTCTGGCTTCTGCGCCGTCAGAAACTAGCAGCTCCCCCGGCATGGGAATGGGGGCGCTTAAGACAATTGACCTTGATGACATGATTTCTCGTCTCCTAGATGCTGGATATTCCACCAAGATTACCAAAGCCGTCTGCTTGAAGAATGCGGAAATTATCGCCATTTGCTCTGCAGCCCGCGAGTTGCTCCTTTCGCAGCCTGCTTTGCTGGAATTGTCAGCACCGGTGAAAATTGTTGGTGATGTTCACGGTCAATATACAGACCTTATCAGACTGTTTGAGATGTGCGGGTTTCCACCGGCGGCAAACTACTTATTTCTGGGTGACTATGTTGATCGGGGAAAGCAGAGCCTGGAGACAATTCTTCTGCTACTGTGTTACAAGTTGAAATATCCCGAAAACTTCTTCCTTCTTCGTGGAAATCATGAATGCGCGAATGTAACACGTGTGTATGGTTTCTACGATGAGTGCAAACGCAGATGCAACATTAAGATTTGGAAGACGTTCGTTGACACCTTCAACTGTCTGCCTATTGCCTCAATTGTTGCCGGGAAGATCTTTTGTGTTCATGGTGGTCTCTCGCCGAGTCTGTCTCATATGGATGATATTCGTGGAATTGCGAGACCGACCGACGTTCCAGACTATGGTCTTCTAAACGACCTGCTGTGGAGTGACCCAGCAGACATGGAGGAAGACTGGGAGCCTAATGAGCGTGGAGTGAGCTATTGCTTCGGCAAGAAGGTTATTATGGACTTTTTACAACGCCATGATTTCGATTTAGTTTGTCGTGCACATATGGTGGTGGAAGATGGATACGAGTTTTTCCAAGATCGAATTTTGGTTACTGTTTTTTCTGCACCAAATGTAGGTCCTCCCTTCTTCCTTATGTTTGATGTTGTTCCCACTAACCGGCATATTAGTATTGCGGTGAATTCGATAATTGGGGAGCTATCATGTCTGTCTCTGCGGAACTACTCTGCAGTTTCGAGCTGCTCAAGCCATTGGACTCGAGTGCCCTGAAGAGTCACATCAAGAAAGGCCGGAACAAGCGAAACAGCATGCTTAACAGCCCTGTAAGTTTTTATCGAGACCCTGAAATTGGAACATTCCTAACAAAAATGAATTATAGCCTGCTATTGTTTCCGCGCAAAGTTATTAAACAAATCGCAACAACACCAAAAAGTTTCTTTTTTTTCAACAATGGCATGATATTCGAGCATTTAAAACAGATTTTAGACTGTCAGATACGACTGTCCATCGACACCGTCTATTGATCATCAAAACGTGTGATGATTCATCAAGCGCATGCACAATGCCCTGATCTACCGGAGGCACCCATGTCGACGGCGTCAAAATGATGCAGATACAAAGTCAGGGAGTTCCCCGTCATGACAATGCAATACGCGTCGGGAAGAGAACGTCGAACGCCCTATTACGAAGTATCATCAGTCGGGACGGACGATGGTTCTCTTGGTGCAATATATACATGCAGCAAGCCCTCTTTTCTCCCGAAGCAGACAGACGAACTGGCACACATTCAGGAAGGTGGTCGTGTACGTGGCGTGGTTGTCGCATGAAAGTGAATACTTAGCAGGAAAGTATACCACAAGTGTGTGGACTAGAGTCTACTCCCATGTGCGAGGAAGTGTCGGAATTATCTATTTATTAGCCATAGCCATAGGGCTCTGTGTCAGGAGCCAGTCCGGTCTCGTTCATCTTACCAAAGCATATCATACGATCAGCGTGGTTGTATGATCTTGACAAGAGTGTATCATTTTTCTTCTTCCTTTTTTCATGTGAGAATATGTTTCTCTTAGCTGGAGTCAAACAGAAATGACGAAGATGCTTTATACATCCTGAATAATTGAAAACTAAGTAATTGAAAACTAAGTAGAGAAGAAGACTCATTAAAAGCGACAATCAGTTGATTAAATGACTATGAACCTACACAACCAATCCATAGACCACACAAACGCCATTTTTTGTAACCCAAACAAAAAACAACATGGAGATATATGTATATGCATGCATATGTATAACAGAAAAAAAAGAGGTAAATAAAAATCACTCATAATCCTTAACATACCTCTCGCCAAGATCCATATCCCACAATGGCCGCTCAACAATAGCCAATTCCACGACTGCTTCGCTTTCTTTCCTCTTGCTATTATTACTGCCCACAACATTATTGATATTGCTATTCCTATGGCAAGAACCAATCGGCAAAACGCCTAGGATGTCTCGGAATCTGTACGAGTGCCAGAATATTGGTGTCTGATTATTGTCGTGATGGTTGTCGGGTACACCGTCTGCTGGATTCTTGGATTCTTTGTCGTCTGCGATTCCACCGCGACGAAGATGGGCAAAGTCCGGCTCGCCGTTGACGAAGAACGGGTTTGTGTTAGGGTATGCGTCTTCGTCGTATTCTTCGTTGTTGTTGTTGTCGTCGTCGTCGTCACCAGCAGCAGCAGCAGCATCTTCTTGATCTTCATTACCGTGCTTCTTGTTGGTGTCTTTGCTGCCATGCTGACGATGTTTCTCGGCGTTGACGATCACTTCGTCGTGTTTATTGCTGCCCACGATTTTCCGCATTTTCGTGCCGAGGGTTACTTTTGCTTGGGATGTTGGGATCAGATCTCCTGCTCCACTGTTGTATTTCCTGCGCTCTTGCTCGTCTTCCTCGTTGAGGAGGCGTTTGCGTTTTTGGGATCCTGCTGGTGTATTATGGCTATTGTTGTTGTTGTTGTTGTTGATCGTGGTGGTGGTGGCAGGAGACGGGAAGTCATGCGTCAAATCAAACATCCACAACCACGACGGTCCGTAGAGGAGCAACTTCGGCATCTGCGCGCTCCCGAACAGCCCGCAGACACCGCCGACGGCGCGATCTTTGAGGCCAATGAATTCCTCGGGCAGGTGTGATTTGGGGTTCTTTTGGGACCACTCCGAGAATTTGCCGCGCAGGGCTTCGTACTCGGTTACTTGGTGGCGGCTGGTGAGGACGAGGAGGCGGTCGTCAGTGGTGGTGCTACTGCTGGTGCTTGTTGGGCGGAAGGACATGAATACGATGCCGGCGTGCAGGCAGGGCATGGCAGCTAGGGATTTCCAGCGTTGGTTGTCAATGGTTTGTGCGATATTGTCGTCGTCGTCTTCATCGTCATCATCATCATCATCATCAGACTCATCGTTCGATGTGTTTGTGCCATTGGTTCGTGGCTGCGCTTGCTGTTGTTGGTTTTCAGAGGAAACGTCCTCGAGTGCCCAGAAGTCGACAAATCCCGCCAAGTCGCCCGTCGCGAATAACTTGCTATCAGCAGAGAAAGTGACGGTGCGGATGGTGCGGTCATAGTCCCCGAGAGTGCCCATGTTCACGCCGCGGAGAGTACGCGCCTTGCCTGATGATCGTTCCAGACGCAGAAGCTTGGAGTGAACCTGAGTCTGGTTGTCGGTGGTGTCGGTGCTCAGTTTTGCGAGGAATACTTCGCTACTGGGTCGGACGATGGATAGCCACTGCAGATCAGGGGACAGAGAAACAACCCGAGCTCCATCATCTGCGATCTGGGGAGGGACTTTCAGGTCGTTGATGCTCAACACTACGTCCTCGTCTTCGCTATCGTTCCAGGAAAGGGCGAACATGCGGACTGTGGTCATCGTAGACAAAACAAGGAGACTGCCATTAGATGCAAGTGCGGCTGATGTGATATTTTCGTCGCCCTAGTGTTATGTCATTAGCTAAAACAGCCTCCAATGACCAAAGGAAACAAGGAATCTCACTGGAATCAACACCCTGCCCACTAACTGATTCCTCTGGCTCTCGTCTGCATCATCGCCATTCTCCGGCGCAATTCGCCATATCCTCGCTTCTCTTTCCCAGAAACTCATCATCAATCTCGACGATAAACTGGACGTAAGTTGGCAGATCTGAGGGAGGCTGGAAAGCGTCCTGTGGTGTTCCTTTCCAGACTCGCGCAAGGGCATGACGACGAGAGATGCGTCAGGTCCTATCAATACAATATTAGTATCAATTGACAGAAACCAAAGCCCCCCTCTGTGTATGAAACATACCTCCAGACACCGCAATGCTTATATCCTTTGACTCATACACAGCAAACTTCTTCACATCATGAGTATGATACCGACGATGCATAACCTCAGCCCATCGACGCGACTTGTCGTGCTTCTTGCCCGGCTTCAACCGATACAGGACAGTCCTTCGGTCCGCACCACCACTGATAACCGTCTCCCCATCAACACCAACAGCGACATCCAACACATCAGCCTGATGACCGCGCAATCGCTGAATCAGTGAGTAATTCTTCGCATCCCAAAAACGAATCTCCCCCGTCGAATCACCAGAAACCAGCGTTCCATCGGACAGACACTTCACGCTCCAGACCAAAATATCCTTGGGTCCTCCAACGGGCCCTCTGCCCAGCGACACAGTTCGCAATAGACGTCCACTTCGAATATCAAATAGCCTAATCGAACTATCCGCATACCCAGCTGCAATCACATTCCGATTCTGGAACGCAATGCTCAACACGCGCACATTCTTCGTCACAGAGACCTGCAACCGCCGGACAAATTTCAAATCATTATCTGCCGTCGACAATATAACAATCGATCCGTCCGCGCATCCAATAGCCAGATGTTGACCCGTATATTCTCCAGTAGCAGCAGCAGCAGTGCCCCCCTTTTCCTTCTCAGTCCATCTTGGCTGCGCCGTAAGACACCAAATCTCCCCATAACTCCCACTCGAATGCCTCGCCGGCCGACCCTTTTCCAAATCCCACTCCGTCACCGTATTCGTATACCCAATACTAAACAGGCGCAAACGACCGGGTAGCCTCAATCCACTCCCATCAGCCGCATCCTCAGAAGGGTCGAGCGTCCATGCCAGTCCTTCAATACACCTACCCTTCCCGCCGCGGATAATGGTCTCCTGAAACCAGGCGCCGCGGAGCGGGTTCCAGATCTCGATATCCCCGTTTGCGCGGCCCACAGCGAGCCGAAGAGTTTGCGCGCCTTGACCGGTGGCTTTGGATGAGGCTGGGTGCGAGAATTCGAGCGCGTTGATCGCTTGAGGGTTGTACGGGACGAAGCGACAGCGGTGGAGCTCCATGTTGCCTTTTACCTTTCTTTTATATAGTGTACCGATGCTCGATGCTATGTAAACAGACAAGAGTCCCCTGCTCTACTTTAAAAGTAGGAGACTGAGTAAGTCGAATCCCAAAAAGAAATCAAGCAATCACAGCCATCCGCTTGGGAAAAAAAAAATAAATAAGACCAGAAATATTCAAGGAAAGAAAGCCCAAATTGCCAACAACAGGGTTGATAAAAGAAAGCTGCTGGAGTGGAAGAGAACGAAGTAAGAATAGAATATAAATTTCCAGCGGGCAATTTGAATTCAAATTTATTTTTTCTTCCAATGGCAGTTTTTCGCGGGCTTATCGGTCACGTGGGCGGGTATACTTTCGGGGGTCGCGGGTGTAAGCTTGGGCTAATCAGAGGTGAGTTTATATCATTCTGTTTATAGAGCTCGTATAGTTATTTTACTCTCAAATTAGTTTTAAAGAGAAAAAAAAGTCTCAATCCCGCCGCATGGGAAGGCAAGCTAAGATGAGGCGCCAGAGCCTAAGAGAAAACGTCGAGTGAGAAGAGAATAGCCTTTATTAATGTGTAGCTTCTGATTTTATCCCCTTCCCAACAAGTCAAGAGTAAAGTAAGGAAATTTCTTATGCACTCCACTCTCGAGCAAGCAAATAAAAAAAGCAGGTCAGAGAAGTAGTGGTACAAACACAACGATAGCAAAAGCAGCAGCAGTAGTAGTCAGAATGAATGTTCTTTTGTTGAAACAACACGAAATGAAAGGAACTAGATAGCTGAATCAAGGGGCATGATAAAGTCATCTGTTCGATTATGATAATGATGGGAGTCCCCTCTGAGAAAATCAAGGTTATGTTGGGTCAGATAAGTGAGCAAGCAAACAAGTATTTGCGAAACGCTAGCAAGATAGACAAGGATAAAAGAAAGTAGAGAATAGAAATGAATTTTTTTGTATCAGAAACGACTCGCGCTTGCAATGCCAGATCTAAAAACACACAAACATATGATGATGATGGATGAAAATGATGATGATGGAAAAGGTATAAAGGGTATGTAATAATCTAGGATGAAAATGCAATCCGTTCCTGTCCTCGGACAATGATGAGAGAGAAAAAAAAGAAAATAACAGATCCAATGACTCGCGGTCGTGCAGTAGAAAATACTTATGTCACGGGTTCGAAGTTCAAAGCAACTATGGCACAGGGTTGGTGAAGAAAAAGCTGTTTTGATAGGGAAAACTCAAATATGTCTCCGATCAAAACACTAAGATTTGCCGACGGAAATAAGCTGCAAATATCCATTTAGCAATAGCCCCAATCGATTCCCCAAATCAGTATCGCTGCTAGAATGCGGGAGTGTAACCGACATGAGAAGGTTGGGCATATTGCGGGCATTGAGCATACACCGGTTCTGCATCGTACATCTGAGTATCATTGAAGGACACATTCGGCGGCGGAGAAGGTGAGGAGGGGCAAACAGTGCTTGCCACTTGCTTATTTGCATTGACGGCAGCAACATGGGCATTATTGAATCCTTCGTTTTCCGGTGTGATTGGAGGTGTGAGGTACCCATGCGGTGGAATGCCATGCGATTTCTGTGGTGTGGAGAGACCAACTTGCCCAGCATACTGCGCTTTCGGTTCCACTGGTATATCTGTTGGTGGCGAGGGAGGAGAGTAAGAACCACTGGCAATAGAAGCTTGGCGAGCAAGGAACTGTTCCAGGAGCTTGGAAATTCTTGAATAATGGCCAGAAGAGTATTTGCGATACAACACTTGCGAGGGCTGGTGCAACTGCTGGGATAGACCGACCAAGGTAGCAGAGTCGTAAGTCGAGGCCCATTCATTATGGTGAGGCTGACGTCGATTCAAGATACACCTCGAAAGAGCCAGGGCAGCCTTGGCAAGATCAGCCGATGGTTTTGAGACAAACTCCCGATGGAAGAGTGAGATCTCGAGGATGTACAATGCAAGATGCTCGACTTCGGGGTCGTATTGCTTATCTACCAAAGCGATGTTCAAGAAACTATCCACTGTTGGGTGCCCAATGGTCCAGCCGAGGGTTTGCAACACATGCCACTCCATTTGAAGGAACATGTCATCATCGTAGAGCGAGCAGCACATAGACTTCAACTCCCTTATTGTAGGCACATGCTCCTTCTTGTCGCCGTATTTGGCGGCAATGAGAAGAGCGGAGCAACCAACAAGTTGGTAATGTCTCTTGTATACAACTCGCTTGGAGCAGTAGCGGTCAAGGAGGTTGATAGCCAGGAACAACGTGGAAGGTTGTAATTGGAAGGCGGCATGAGCCTCAATGAGAAAGTCCAACAGGTAGGGACGCATGAACCACTGAATTTCAGTTTGGATATCAATAGACTCCACGTCGGGAAGGGTAGCAGTCTACAGCAAGTCAGTACGGAGTCGAAGTCAAAAAAAAAAATCACACAGGTGTAAACGTACATCCATCTGAAGCATGTGAGACAGGCAGTCATCTAGATACTCCTCCTTGGCCAACGTGGACAACTGGTCGGCAATGGCATACTGCCTTTCCCGAGCAATCAGCCTTGCCTGCTCTTTGGGATCCATGCGAGGATGCATGTCATCAGACTCAACGAAGAAGGTATCACAAGGTTGATGGGCGGTAGCAGGACGTGGGCAAGCCATGATGATGTTAGATGTTATTTTTGTTGTGTGTTGAATGTCTCGAACTGGCCGGCAGGGAGGATCCGAAATGATTTCTTTTGATATAAGGGAATGGCACGGAAGCAAAGATATTCCTGATGACAGACCTGTGTATCAACCGAGAACGACGAAGTGGGATGACAGAGAGAGTGACTGTCGTGGGATTATGCAATTAATGATTGTAAACAGTTGGAAGAACAAATTAAAAGAGTGTGGTGGCCTAGACAATAATCTAAGCAGTGGAGCAAACAAGAAAGCTGTGATTAAAAGGACTTTTCCGGCAAAGCTGTAAGAAAGGAGACGAATTAGCTCCCGTAATATTTCGTGGTTGAAGCGAAGGGTAATTAGGATTATTATAAGCAACAAGTATAAACTGGGCAGGAAAGAGAGGAGCTGCAAGAAGAAAAGAAGGTTTGAGTGGGAAGGGAGAGGAATTAAGCATGCATGCGATACTTAGTGCTTACCCAGGATGAGGACTGTCGAGGAAGACAGGTCAACCACCCTTACTGTGAAAACAGCTCTGGCATCTAGGCTGTCAATGGGCGCAGGAATGAAGTCCAACTTGGCTTGTTCCTGTTGACAAAGAGATGAAGTACGAGTCAACGTCTCCACCCTTGTCAATGGACGGTCTTGAGAGGGTTGCTAGTAAGTGCTCCTCGTGTTCCGGAATGTGGAGCGGGAGAGGCACGAAACCCTATGTAAGGGCAAGGGGTGTGGTCAGCGGAACGTCAATCCTTGGATAGGAAGAGAGGATAACTCACAGCTTTGCTATTTAAGCAAGCCCTGTCGGACACGTTCGTTGGAGATTGACTGGGAACGGGTTGACAGGTAACCTTGAATAAGGGTTGGGATTCGCCGACAACGGGAAACCACAACCAGTTTTCTGTCAAGACATGAGGAATGTATTAGCTTCGGGAGATCATAAGAAAAAGGAATTGTTTTAAATTATGTGTATGTGCGCAGAGAATTTGAAGATGTCGGGGTGCATGAGCAGAGGTTGCCATCCATTCATTCCATTCCGAGAAAGGCTGTCCTGGGTGATGATCCTTCATGCCACTGGGATAGACAGGCACAGTGAGTTGCATGAAACATCCAAATCCGAGCAAAGTATAATGAGGAAATAGATATGCCGGTTACTATCTCATCCTGATTCCATGTCCGTCTTGTCTTTCTCGTGTTCTACAACGGAACGTAGAAACAGGGCTCAACCCCGTTCAAAGCCAAAAGACTACCAAGGACAAAGGACATCGTTCAAACCAGATGGGCTATATCTTTGGCCAAAACTTGAAACAAGGTATTCGCCGGTTAAATGAACGATGGGTGCAAGTCGGGGGTATTCAACCGGGAGCTCGCTCGTACGCACAACACACCGAGAACGATCTCCCTGCAAGCCACTGAGAAGCTCTCAGACTTGAGGATTTCGTTTATATACCGAAACATGCACGGAAGAATGGAAATAATCTTATTTCGAGACTCGGAGATGTTTGGGATTCAATGCACGTGACTCGACACCGACCACAGCAGCAGACCAACTTTGACGCTTCTCGACCAGCTCATCCAGGGCAATTGTATTGGAAGGGGAAGGTAGGCAGGCTCGGTTGTGGGATGGAAGGAGGGTATCTATCTCACCGTCGGTTAGATTTGGAGAAGAGGTTCTGTACAGGACAGATCAACGTCGTCGGAGGGGGGTTGACGGGGAGAAAAAAAGGATGTCGAGCAGGCGGACGACAGTGCTCGACTGGGGAAACTGAACCGCTGAACGAGCACAGGAGGAAATTCAAAATCAACAGAGGACAAGAAAACCGGGCTCGATATTCTTCAGACTTGAGGAGTTCTCTCTTGCAAGAGAAACTTCAGAGCCCAATTCAATCAAGCCAGCCTCGAGTGTGACCAGTCCCAGACTCTCCGAGAGCAGGAGAGAAAGGAGAAGAAAGATTAAAAGGGAGAAAAGAAGAAGAAACGGAGATGGAGATGGAGAGGAGGAGGAGAAGAAGAGAAAAGAGAAAAAAATGATGGAGGGAGGGGGGTTCTTTTTTCTCTCTCTCTCCAGGTGGTTGTGGTAGGAAAGGAAAGAAGAGAGGTGAGCAGACGAAAGAGGAAGTGCACTTAGGGAAAGCATGGTGGTTGCGTACGGGCCCGGTACGTAATTTTGGTAATGGGCTCGATTACGAGAGGACCAGAGGCGGCCGAGGGAGGAGCGCTGCGTCACGGGCGTACGGGCTAGTGTTATATTACAGCTGGGTCGTGTACGACAGGGGGAAAACGCTTAGTGCGTTTTGGGCCATCCAGCTGCAGCAGGCAATGACTGGCCAATCGAGTACGGTTTGTGCCGTGCGCCAGCTGGCCGTGTCTTCTAGGTGTTTGGCAGGGGAATGATTGGCTCGCAGTGCTCTTTAAAAGCAGTCTGCAGTCGTTTGACAGGTGGTTTGTTTTGAATATGATCTATTTAATCATACCCGGATGGATCGAAATACCATACTATAACCATTAACTAATAGTAACAGGATCAAGCTCCATAGAGACGTGCAGCCAGTCAGCATGCGTCGGCTTGAGGACAACCTGTTTTGCGGCTCGTACGGGTGGTTCCTGGGTAATAGTCTTGACGCGTACAGTCCGCCACGGCTGTATGCAGTCTACAAGCGTATGCCAGATGGTCAGTATTATTGAACCCAGGTGCCATCTACATAGAACGCCGTCCGGAAGTGACAAACTGGCTGGATCTGAGTCTTGTACAAATATCTACGTAGCTATGGTAGGCATTTATTATTGCTGAGCCGGGCGTCGGTAATACATACCTACATACGTACATACATTCATTACTTACTCCTCCTTACTACATACAGAAACCCGGCTAGTCCCAAAGCGGGAGAGCAGCCAATCAGCGGCGCCAAACCGGCAGAATCCCCTGACTCTTGGCAACAAAGCTCGACGCGTGGAGTTTTTGTCTCTGAGACGCTAAGCTCATCTAAGCTTGTCGGCGCCAATCAGCGCCACGAGCTGCTGTTCCGATCGGGACTAGCGCCGTAATCTCCTCCACATCCTCGTTTTTTACGGATCCTCCTTCCAAGACTGGAAAACTCCCCGCTTTTTCGGTCAGATCCGTTTCCGCGCGCGTTGATTGGACGAAAATTTTTATATGGACGTTATTTACGGAGTATTTAGATATACTATACAAGACACACAAAGATACAAAGATGTGTTTCAATACCATCAGAAAGAAAAAAAAAATCGTGTTGGAGTAAGTTGAAATGCAGTAAAGCACACAGGCCGGTGGGCGACGAGCGACAGAAAAAAAAGGAGTAAGCAGCCAGCCCATGCATCGCGCATCCTCCCGAGCACTATTCTAGTAAAGACGATAGTTAGGCTGAGACTAATCAACTACGTCATGCAAGTCACTATGCTGCATGGAGTTAAATCCGCTGCCTGCCTTGGACTTAGGCTTGGCTTTGGCCCTCTTCACGCCTAAAGCTAGCCGGCCTGGCCTGAGAGCTAGTGATGCCGCAGCCTAGCTAGCTACCAGCCAAAGCCCCTGGTCCTGGTCTTGTCTTCCTGATTCAATGGCGTACACCCGCGTCAATGGAAGGATTATTGCTTTTCTCTGTCAGCGTACAAACTTAGCACCGTGTCAAAGAGAACTAAACTACGGAGTAATCGCCCCAAATTAAACAGAGCATTACTCGTGTCGAAGATCCATTCCTATTCGAATCCATGTTTGCACAGTGAACTTTGTTGGCCTGCAAAAATCTGGAACGGAGGTCCTTTTCCTCGACGCAAACCGGGAACGAATACAAACTCAAAAAGCCAGCCAACGTAACTAACGCGGCCAACTTTCCAACGCGCTTAGGCGCGACGTAGTATGTATAAAACTAAAACGTGGAACTCTTTGTGTGTCAAACACGTTTTGAACGGGGTTATAAATATCCTTGATCGGTTTTATATTACTATGTTGGTCTGGACTCTGATTGTTCGGAGCATATAATCTGATTGCTACAGATTCATGCAGTCGACATATCGGTTTGATCAACAACGGTTAGAAACAAAAAAACGCGGTACAGAGTAATAATAGCGATCGACTAAATATATCACGCATTTCCCTGATCTTTTATACGTCGCTGCTCGATCCATGGAACCGACCCCGTCCTAAGGACCTAGTTTGGTGATGTTCAGTGCATTTGTACCGATGCGGAGGAGACGCCGGGAATAGTGCTTGACTGTGGCTAAAATGATGATAACAAGATACCATGACATGCTCATTACGAATTTCAGGGATGGTAGATGTATGGAAATGTGAATGTAGATACCGGCCTGTCCAGCCACAGTCTTTTGTCCAGACCCCAATCCAGGTGGCAGGCACAACCAAGTTACTAGCCATATGCTAAACTAGCACTTCGCGAACTAATAATGACCGTTCTGACACTCCGAGCAAGTTTCTTGCAATTGTAGGCTGCCGTCGTAACCCTACTGCAGGTGACTGATGAGTTGTCCATCAGGGCTATTCCTTTTTGGACCATTAATCGATTCTGCTATTATCAGAAGACTAACAGTATAAGATGTACAGAGTGGTAGTCGACTTGCATAGATTAACCCATGAACCAATAAAACATCCAAAACAAGGGTTGTCTCGCCTCCCCTTGCAAGTTGGTCAGCCCTACTAACTAATTATTCTGTCCCGTCCGTCTACAGGCTACCCCGGGGATACTCTTGCATCAGTCTGCCTTGTAACCTTGTCAAAGATTCTAACATTATCCCAAGATATTAGTTTAATTAGATATCTTATTCCGGTTCGTATCTGATATGAAAAATGGGGCACCGGTGCGGAAATCAACTCATGTGGTTATGTACTCATCGTCGATGCCATAAAACTGGAGATCTCAGCCGATCTCGACTAACTAAACTTTGGAACCCCCTCATTGACTAAGAATTATATATCAAAGTGTATAAACTGCAAGTGCATGTTGAAAGCAAGCTGAGCACACCATCGTCTAGCACCACAGCTTCAGCTCGCCTCCGTCTCGCGCGCGGCACGGCATGGCCTTATCAATCCGCGCTCGGCCAATAAAACCCCGGCCCAATAGCTCTAGACCAGACGGCTTGGGTGCTGACTACTACCTAGTGTACCTAGGAGCATGTCTGAGCGGTGGCTTGTATGCCATCAATCCGATTGATTGATCTGCATGGCCATTCGGTGGTTCTTGAACTGCTTGCCACTTGGCAATGAAGTATAATATATTGAGGGAGAACCGAGGTCATGGATAGCTCAAATTCCCAGCCACACCGATGGAGCCTAGGGCCTTATTCACGTGTCTTGCTTGAGCCTTGCAAAGGTATGCATTATTCCCTGGACTGGTCATATCATTTATATGCCTGCCTTACGTGCTGCGAAATTGATCGCATGTATCTAGATACATAAATGATGTTAGTATTGCATACATATATGTATGCACATGCGTGAACTGCATAAGAAATAAACGCAGCTCGTAAAGAAATGAAACAAACATAATTACCGAATATCTGTCCGATGCGGAGAAATTATGTCCCCAAGTAGATAAAATTGGACACATCCCTTGCACGTCTCCAGACGCCCGTAAACCAATTTCCGGTGCTAACCCCATACCAAACACCTACCGAGGTACATACTCACAGGGAAGGATGAATGGCAGACCGCTTAATAGGGCCGCAAGCCTGTCAGTTCTAACTTCTAGGCGTATATTGATATCCTTAGTTGCAGGTGACAAGTATATTTTAGCTTAGCCCTATTCTATTCAACGGTATGTACGGGGTACCCAGTCCTTGAGGAAGTATGTAGACTAATTACCAGGTACGAATTAAGGCACTGAAAAGGGGTACGTACATACATACTGCTTACTGTCTGTCTACATGCAGCCCTGCATTGTCAGGTTACCTGTCCTTTCTTACCTAGGTAGGTTGATGAGAGGGAAGATGCTTGTTCATTCTTGAATCTAGGAACTCAAGCCCCAGACGAGATGTCTTAGTACCCTGATACACACTGTTGGCAGCTACTAGGTACATATCCATCCAAGCTATACATTCTCGTGTCAGCAGTTGCAGCCGCAGGTAATTAGGCCGTGCACTTCCAATGGTCGCATACTCTCATTTCTGCATTGCGCCTAATCGAATGGGACTGCTTCAAAGATGGTGCGTGATATACATTCGAGGCAGTGGACTCGACAATCATTCAGATGGTTTAAGGTGATAAACGAACATCGGATATTCATATCTAAGTGTCTTTCATGAATCTTGATTGAAAATTTTATTTGCCGCTTTATATGCCGTTATACTATGGCAGCTATTGGTCGTGCAGTGACAATCTGCAATACCTTCGTATCGGCAACCATCTATCTGGGCACTGTCAAGTTTTCATGATGCATCATGTCTGGCGACCAACTATGTTTAACGCTGAGTTTCATGCCACGTTGGATCTCACCTCCGTAGTCCGTTACAGTCAAACATCAATGGCATTCCCAGCATGAGCTAAGCAACGAATACGGCTAACGACGGCCTCTGCATACTCACTCTCTCTCTCTCTCTCTCTCTCTCTCTCCGTGCTTTCAGAGCCAGTTTGGAGCTTGTACTTGCTTGTACTTGGCAAGAGTTCCCGTCAGGTAAAACAAATAAATTACAGTGCCGCGTGCTGCCACCAATACTAAGCAACTGAGATAGTGAAGTACGTCGCTGAGTATGGATTACAAGTGCTGCTGCTTGTATAAGATCCAATGCTGAGAGTCATAGTAGCAATTCTTTCAGTGGGAAGTCGTCCAAAGTTCTACTGCAAGTTTTATAGCTTCCTTCGCACTTATGCCTACCTCTTAAGTTGGGACTCACCCGGCTATGCTTTTTCCTGACACTTCCGGAGATATCCCAAGCTTACCTCTTCAATACAGTCCTCCGGCGTACATTCAGAATAAGCTTCGTGCCGAACTCCAGATGGGACTTTTCTGTCTTAAAGCTCTTGCACGACACGTAAAAAGCGGCGCCAGTAATTCACCAACTCGGTCGGCAAGTTCGGAACCTAGTCGCACTATGTACCGCGCTGCCTAGTCGCAGCCTTTAGCATTGAAGCAGCCATGGGAGAGACGGTCTTCTAATGGACGACGTATATATGGAATGAGCTAGTCAATTGCCTTATGCTCTCCGTATATCCATGAAAAGGGCCTGTCTGGTATTGCCCAGAACTAAGCAAGAACTTGGGTTGCAAGTTCCCGTTGGCATCCAATGAGACTCGCCCCGTGCATGCCAAAATGTAACCAGGGATAGGCCACGGTAACTTAAAATCGTTGAAAGCTGTCTTCGTACACAGAGTAAACATGAAAGAGTCTTGTTTATTGCGTAAAGATGTCTGTCAAGTAATAACAAGAGTAATTCTAAAGAATCTAGTGATGTTATAAGGCTAACCGCATCGGGAAATGGCGGAAACATTGGCGTAACAAACGCGTAAAATGACGATTAATACGCCGGCCTGAACGGTACCGATTTGACCCGAGCCGAACCAGACGCCGGCAAAGTCTCGAAGTTGCTCTCTCAAATTTTTACTCTTGTCATCTTTCCAGATCACCAAAGCCTCAAAACACCTAAACCTCACATCCCAACTCCACTCTATTTCTTTTTTTTTTTGCTGCTTATTTTCCGTCTTTTTGCGTCGCGCGCATTCATCATAAACCACAATGGCTGCTGTTGCTTTGGAAAAGAAGCCTGAGGGCTTGAACCTCTACGCCCGGTTTGCTTTCGCCGGTGCTGTCTGCTGCTCCATCACTCACGGTTCCTTTACCCCGGTCGATGTGTATGTTTCATATCAATCTGCTTTATGGCAAACTCAAAGTGGTGTTTACTGACCAATTCCCCATAGCGTCAAGACCAAGATCCAGCTTGACCCCGTCACCTACAACCGTGGTATGTTTGGCGGTTTCCGTCAGGTCATCCAAAACGAGGGTGCTGGTGCTCTCTTGACCGGCGCCGGCCCTACCTTCGCTGGTTACTTCATGCAGGGCGGTTTCAAGTTCGGTGGTTACGAATTCTTCAAGAAGCAGTCTATTGACTTGGTTGGCATCGACAAGGCCCGTGAGTACCGTGGCACCGTTTACTCGCTCTCTGCCGCCAGCGCCGAGTTCTTCGCCTCCATTGCCCTCTGCCCTCTTGAAGCTACCCGTATCCGTCTCGTTTCTCAGCCCGGTTTTGCCAACGGTTTGATTGGTGGTTTCAGCAAGATTCTCAAGAACGAGGGTGTTGGCGCTTTCTACAGTGGATTCGGACCTATCCTTCTCAAGCAGTACGTGAAGATCAATAGCACCATATAATAAGAAACAGAAGACTGACATGAATCTAGGATCCCCTACACTGTGACCAAGTTCGTTGCTTTCGAGAAGTTCTCTGAGGCTATCTACTCTAGCCTTGGTGGCAAGTCCACTCTCTCCGACGGTGCCCAAACCGGTGGCAACCTCGGATCTGGTCTCCTTGCTGGTTTCGCTGCTGCCATTGTCTCTCAACCCGCTGATACTATGCTGTCCAAGATCAACAAGACCAAGGGTCTTCCCGGTGAAGGTGTTCTCACCCGTCTCATCAAGATTGGTGGTGAGCTTGGTGTCCGTGGTTCTTTCGCTGGTCTTCCTACTCGTCTGTTCATGATTGGTGGTCTTACTGCCGGTCAATTCGCCATCTACGGTGACATCAAGAAGGCTCTTGGTAAGCCTTTTCCCCTCCCTCATTTCCTCTTCTGAACAGCAGACTGACTTTGTGTCTCTTAGGTGCCACTAACGGCGTTGAGATCTCCAAATAAACGACCCCATCACGAATGTTTCTTAAATCCGCATGGTTCTAGACAGGAGGAAGGAAAAAGATTTTTTGGTATAGAGATGGACATAGCCAGATCTGCGACCCTATTCATATTATACCCCCCCTTTTGTTTTACCAAGATGCGGTGACCTGCAACCCTTTTCTTAGACTTTTAGTGTACAGTGCCTTGCAAATTCAATTTTTCCCCTCAAACGCATTCCGATTGTTTTCAAACCTCTCATTTGTAATAGCTATGGAACAGACTATAGGATAGACCTTAGATATCTAGTGAATTTATATAGACTCTATGTTCTTTCATCTCTACCTATGATAGCAGTCATACTTGACGCATACGACAACTTCCTACTTGCGAGCTTAATATAATAATTCGGGTAGGTAGTGTTAGGATCACCGAAGGGAATGCTCAATACCCTCCTGTTCCAGCTATTACTCTCTCGACGCACATCCTGACTGAGCCGTTGATTATTAAAGTCCTACTAAGAACCTTGGAATCTTGTGATGAGGCACTCGATGAAACGTATCCGCACGCCAATGGATAACTTTTGCTACTCGAGGTTCTTGTATGACTATGATGACATGTATGAATGTAGTGCAATGACTGGGAATCTTGTTTTTTTTTTTTTTTTTTTTTTTTTTTTTTTTTTTTTTTGATATATAGTTCATAATTATTCTCGGAACAATACTTCAAGGTAGATTGGAAGACTTGATATACGGAGGTTGAGCTCCATCATTCATGATATCAATATATTAAGTTAGGTAAATGGATATCATAAAACATGCGACTTCTTCTTCATCCAAAGACGCAAATGCTCCTTCACCACTGGCACAGCCATAACCAGCGAAACGGCCGTCGCAAGCCCTCCACACGCTAATGACATGGCATGGCTCACCTTACAACCATCCATATACGAACTCAGCACATCCTGCAACTCCTCGCCCGTAAAGAGCCCGCGTAACTGCGTCGCAGCGCCCGAGGAAATGACAGTCGAAGCGTCGACAGACGGCGCATTATCAGCCAGATACGAGACGATAGTACTAGTAAACGCCGCTTCAGTGGCAGCATTAAAAATAGTCGTTCCCATATTCTCAAAGAACAAAGTCAGCGCCGTGGCCTCGGGGATGTCATCAGTGCTGGAGACTAGGGCCTGGTTCGCGACCATGGGTACCTGTAAGACCAGGCCTATGCCCACGGCAGTAATGATTTCGTATCCGATCCATTTACCGGTTGATGCGTTCTCATTGATGCCATATATAAGCCCGACGCCGATTGTGCCTACCGCTGCACCTAGCACGGTGAGTGGGAGATGCTTGCGGTACATGGATATGATTCCGTTTGAGATCATAGTGAAAATTGATATGCCCAGAATCAGGGGGATGAGCCGAATGCCGCTTTGGGCTGCGGATACGTTGTCGATAGACTGGAACTGGATGGGCAGAGAGTACAGAAGCGGGAAGTAGAGGCCCGCGAGGAAGAATTCGTATACGAGGTTTGCGACAAAGACGCGATTCTTGAGCAATCGGCCTTGGATCATGGCGCGGTCACCCATTAGTCGCTCGTTGAGGATGAATAGGCCTGCAAATGCTGCGCAGGCCACGAGGCAGCCGACGACGGCTCCGCTGGACCATGACTTGACTACTCCTCCCCAGTGCATGGCTGTGATGAAGCAGGTCATGGAGGCACAGGCGAGAAGACTACCGCTGAAATCCATTTGTAGAAGTTTTTTGTGTAGACTTAAGGTAGTGTAGGCACTTGTCGCCGAGTTTTGCAGGCTGAACATAATGCCGGTTGCACCGGTTGCCCAGATGGGCAGGCTGATCCTGTTAAATGTCAGAAATTGCTGTCGATAGTGCGTCTGAGTATGAGACATATAGAGAGGAGGAGAAAATAATACCAGAAGCACCACCTCCACGAAGCCTGATCAGTCAAAATACCTCCGAGCAGTGGGCCGACAATCCCTGAACACCCAAATGTAGCGCCCACAATGCCCATATACGCAGCTCTATACCTAGGCCGTGCTGTCAGAGCAATGATAGTAAAGCCACCACTCATAATCCCGCCACCGCCCGTTCCACTAATCGCCCTGCCCAGGATGACAGCCGAACTACTCGTAGCCGTAGCGCAGACAACATTGCCAATCTCAAAGATGAGTCCGGCAACAATAAAAGTCTGCTTGAGGGGGAAATATTTATACGCTTTTCCCCATGAGGACAGGAATGCGAAATTAGTTAGCGAATATGCACTGGAATACCATACTACGTCGTTGAGATGGCCGAACTCGTCGGTTATGGACGGGATTGCGGTGGATATGATGGTAGAGTCTAGGGCAGAGAGGAACACAGTGAAGATGATGGAGAAGGTAATTAGAACGAATCTGATTCCTCTGGGGTAGATGGTTTCATCTCCTGTTTCTCTCTCTGCTTCAGCTTCAGCGCTTGTCTGCTCTAGTTCTGCTGTTCTTGCTGGCGCTGCATCCTGGCCGCTTGCAAGGTGGGCTGTGTGAGATATCTCATCGAGGGCGACTAGTTCTGTCATTTTTTTGATTTTGCCAATATCATCAGAATCAAACCCAGAGACTGTGCAGGTGAATGAGCGATGGAACGATGGATGAATCATTCCAGGCACGCCACGCTAAAATAAATTGCGCAAGTTAGGGTTAGAATCCCGGAACCCTAAGTTCAGCTCTAGCCAAAATCATTCATGAGTTGTTTGAAGACTTTTAATGGTGAACAATATGATTTTTTTCAAATTCTGATTCATTATAGGATACTATCCTAACTATATGAATGTGACATCGGCCATGGCTCATGTTGCACAGCAGCTACAGCTGAGACCAGTATAGAATAAATGAATGAATCTAATTAAATTACAGCATCCTTGCACGATATTAATAGAAGTTATCGACTTTCTAGGCATATGAGTTTGATATGGTAAGCCTTGTGCAGTACTGTTCGCATTTATCTTATTTGTAGACAGTTCCTAGTGTAATCCGTCAACAATACTCTGATGCTCCCTCCGTAATTGCTCAGCATCCATAGTCTCGAACGAAAAGCTGAATATCCGATGATAAGAAGACTTCTCTAGACTCTGTTTTGTTGCACTGACTGCACCGACATGTTGCAGTACACTTGGAACCTATGGAGGTCGTCAGCTTAATAGCTAGCTCCACTGAAACAACGATATATCACTTACTATAGCCCAGCGCAGTTCATGTTCTTCATTTGCAAACTTCTCAATCGTCTGGTCTACCCAGATTCCGCCAGCTTCATGTTGTCTCTCTAGCTCACCTTGGTGTCGCAGATACCGTAGGACGGTTGGGATGCGCGTTGAAGGATAAAGCAGGCCCTGAGTGCAGCAGCCATATGTCGGCATCTGGACTATTGGTCCGCGATAAGGGAAAATAGACATGCGGCCTGCGACAAAGATGCTGACAATGAGGAAGGCATTGCCGATTAAAAGCATCACAATTGATTTCATTAATGGTAGCCGCAGACCGTTGTGCCAGACTTGCGGGTCCTCGTCGTTGTTGTCATTCTGGTGGGAGTCGAGCCTGCCGTCTAGCAATGCCCGACCAGCCAAGAGTACAGCCAACTGGATGGATAGAAAAATCACAATGTTTCGTGCATAGATCGGCCATTCTTCTTTGTTCCAGCCTTGATGCCTCTCTGACCAGAAGAGTCGGACGTACAAATCTACAGAGATGCCCGCGGTGTCAGCTACAAGCTGTTATTTCCAATGGCTAGACTCACAATCAGATAAGCCCATGGACCACGTGCGGCGGTATGCCTCTTTGGCTGCAGCAATGGAACGGTGATACCAGCCATCCATTGCCAGGACGTCGTCCTCCAAGATGAGCACTTGAGAAGCACCTGTCCTTTGGCATGCCTCCAGCAACAGGATGTAGTCAATCCTTGTCTTCTGGCGTATTCCATCTTCGGAGATCTCGAGTAGTTTGATCTCTTCTACTTCCTTTGGTGGTAGCGCATTATATTGCAGGATACTGTCGGCAACATGATCAATCCAGGTGGCATTGTGAGCGGGATGAAGGCTGGTGTTTGTATGCGCAATCAAAAGAATCAAGTATATCTCCTGTCGCTCCACTGGGTCTAAGCCCACCAGAAGAGATCCAACAGCGCTGTCTAGATATTGAACGCTAGGTCTGGTTGTCGATGCGATTGCAACACACAGTTTGGGCAGTTTATCTGGCTGACATTTTGGTTGTGTAGAGAGGGTCGCTTGCTCGATATAGGCGGCGGCTTGCTTTTGGCGGACAGCAGAATATAATGCGAGATACGCTCGATTGGGGTCGAAAAACACAGAACCTGGGTCACGATAGCAGATGTGAGAGCTGAGCAGGTACAGAATGCCCAGCAGAAAGAAGGACAAGGCTGTGTAGGCGATTGCCTTGGAATGTGTTTTTCGCAGAGCAAGCATTGTCGTCAGCAAGGAAGACGCGGTGTGGAGCATAGCGAACGCAGTCTTCTTCTTCTTCTCCCCTGGATGACACAACAATCGCAGTCATGTGATTAGGGCCATCCTGAAGAAGGTCCGCCTCGTGTCACCTCGTAGTCTGGTTGTAGTACAAGAGAAGACTATTGACCTGATATCAAGGTATTTGGGACGATTGCATATCAATGACATGTAGCTAGGCCGGGTTGAACACCATAACAGAATACGTTCAACAGTTATTTCCATCACAGGCATTCGACACAAATCTGTAGGCTTGCCCTGCAGGGATGTGGAAGCAACCACTGTCACCAAAATCATTCGAAATACAGGTACTTTGGCATGGACAATTTGAACGCGGAGAAACCACCAGGCTGTACAACATAATATCAGTGCCGTGGATTTTGACGGATTTGCGACCATTTTCGTTGAGACATCCAGGGTTGGCCAAGTTGACTGATATGCCACAGTTTACGGAACAATTATCGTCGTCGCAAAACTGGGCCCATTGTGTCGCTGTGGACAGATGGGCGAATGTGGCCGCTAAGGCGATGGTTTTGAGCATCATGATGTCGCTGTAGATATTAGTCATCTTTACCTAGCTCCAACAGACACGATCACATACTATTTCGAGATTCGGTGGTCAGAAACGAGCAATGATGCAGGTAGGATATGCCATAGAAGTTGAGGGGGAAGTTGGTTAGATTCATGCAACTAGGAATCAGAAGGGGAATAGAGTGTTTTATATAACTCAGATGAATATCATGCCATACCTAGGTAGTAGCTACTAGGAAGGAGATGGTTACTATCACCATTAGCTGTCTAACAGTAAGTACACCAGCAATTTAATAGCAGGCAGTAGGATGAAGTGTTACCAAATGCAACTCATACAATGGCTTATTCTTAGCTCCGGCATTGGGAGTATTCATACCGCTAAGGACAATGGGATTCCAGTGCCACTATCTGACATATTAGAACTGTCAGTGCTACTATGATGTGTAACAAATCTATTACTCAGTGTTGCGTGATATTCCAAAGCCTGCTTTCTGTGCCTCATGCATGTTGTTTTCCAACACAATCTTGGCTGTAGCACTGGAAAAGTCAATATTGAGGAGTAGAAAAAGAGTTTAAGTACCTAACCCTATTACAAGGATCTTATCTGGCTGACATGTATGTCCATCTGGGGGTCAAGGCTTTAGATATGTCTCCTATACTGTCGTCCCCTTTACAGAGCTTGCAATCAAAGCACTTCCCGGCCACTGCACCACTGGCACAGGGTGTCTCCATATGCATTACCAGCTGAGTAGTTTGCCTGGCCCGAGTTGCCAATAATGCCAACCGCCAAAGCCAGAATGACGAGAAAGCTCAAGAGGCTCTTCCAGAGTGGTCATTATCAAGGTTTAGTGATCTATGGCCTTGGGCCGCATTCCATGTCCCCAAAGATTTGCTCTTCCAACAGCATGTATTAACTCGAGTTTTATCTAGTCAGCACACTGTAACCATCCCCAAACATCAAGCTATCAAAAAGACCGGGTCCTAAATATCGGCTTTAGCGGCCTGGCGGCCTGGTAGAATGGCTGGCTTTCTACAGCGGCATCATTTTTGTTTGAAAGTGCTTGCTTGATCCTGGGCATTGACCTTGGTCTCGATTACGTTCATGCAGCGCTTGACCTACTACTATACACCATAGTGCCACTATTATGGGTCCTGTGCTTCTGTATCTCCAAGGCTTTTACAAGAGAGTCTGCCAGGGATCGCTGCTAAGCCCGTCGGGGCTAGCCTAGCTAGGCTCGGGGTTAATCTGACATCAGCTGTTGTTCTAGTGAAGTTACGTCCTTCACTTTTCAAACTTCCCTTCTTCCATCGGAGGTTAAACTGATCGATTGCTTTGTCTAGTTTCTCGCTGTTCAAATCATCCAAGATGGGTGATTCGCTTGTACACCCAACCCGAAAGATCCTGCTTGCCGCCACAACAGGAGGCTTCACGCATGCTTGTAAGAAGGGCAAAACAAGGACAAAACTTAGAACCCAGAAGCTAATAAAGGTAATGAAAAGCGCCTGTATTTGAAATCGGCCGGGCTCTCGCTGAGAGAGGCCACACCATTGAATTCGCGACGTTGGACGGTCAAGGGCATTGGACCAAGGACTATGAATTCGTCTCCAAGATTCACTTCCTGGGCCCCTATGCGACTGAGGAGCAGCTAGACGCGCATTACTTGCGCATGCGGTCGTGGGACATTTCACAAGGCATCGGAGGCGCAATGGGATCCAAGTACTTGTTTGATTCCTTTTGGCCACAGACCTACCACGGGCTAAAAGCCATCATGCAGGACCCGACTAGACGACCGGATATGATCATTGCCGATTTCTTCGTTGATGCGGTAAAAGATATCATGGTCGAGTATAAGATACCCATTGCTATCGTCGGGCCGCAAATGCCCATCCTCCAGATGCCCTGCTCGTATATCCCGGGCCAGCCTGGGTTCCAGTTACAAGGGACGCTGACCTCGGAGACAGCATCGCTATGGCTGCGCTTGAAGAATGAGCTGACAGTCATCAAGGCCCTGTTTCAGATCATCAAATGGGTGCGGTGGACCACGGCCATGCGCAAACGCGAAGGAGTGAATTATCCACCGCATAGTATCAAAAAACCCAACTATCTCGTTTTCGTGAACTCATTCTTCGGCCTGGAGATCCCTCGCGATCTGCCCCCGACGGCGGCCGTAGTCGGACCGCTCATCAGTGACACATATCCTCCATTAGACGCCGAGTATGAGACTTTCCTGTCCCGCCACAAGTCAGTCATATACATTGCGCTTGGTACTCACGTCATTCTGTCCAACAAAGACGTAGTGAAGGTTATCACCGGTATACTTCCTCTGATCGAAGAGAAATTAATCGACGGCGTGATCTGGGCAGTGAGTAAGAGCGGCCGGCAGGACTTTGAGCTTGAAACAACCTTTACCACCACACAGGGGACCATTCGACTAGGCGACTTGGTAGAAGGCCGCCACCCAGACTGGATGTTTTCATTCTTTGTGCCACAGCGTGCTGTTTTGGAGCACAGGTCGACCAAGCTCTACTTCACGCATGGTGGAGGCTCCAGCGCCAACGAGGGCCTCTACCACGGCAAAAGCATGTTGACGATGGGCATATTCAGCGACCAAATTGCCAACATGGCGCGCCTAGTTGGTGGCGGAGTGGCCGAGCCACTCGACAAATTCCATTTCACATCCGACGAAGTACACGCCAAAGCCAAAAAGCTCGTGCTCGACAAAGACGGTCTGTACAGTCGCAATTCCCTGTGGCTGCAGCGCATTGCGCATGTGGCTGCGCGCCGCAAATACCATGCTGCCGATCTTGTTGAGGAGCTTATGTATGATAACGAATTGCGCTTCCAGGATGGACGTGAGTTGCGGCCCATGCACCTGCAGACGGCTGACATGCGCATGCCCATGTACAAGGCTAAGAACTGGGATTTGTATGCATTCAGCTTCCTGGGACTGGCTACGGTGACAGGGTCGACTGTGGTTGTTAGCAACTTGTTGTGGACGCATCGCGCGTCTTTATTTCAGATGGTTCAGTCGGCACTGTCTTATGCCCAGGATGTTGTTAGAAAGTAGATCTATAGTATAGTTCAATCAAATTCCGCAACTTGTACAAACAAAAGTACGGTAAACTCTCTCTTTAGTTGCTGGGGAAAAAAATGACCACCGACAGGATCCAGCGTATACGCAGGGAGTCTACAATGTCCAATCAAGATCAGTCTTCCCTGTTTGAAGTGAAAAACTACATCCAAAAAAGCACCTATTCGCACAATTTGTTTGAGAGCGGGCTAGAAACGAAAAGGGGTTTTGAGCGGTATTGGCTTTCTAGATGAGATCAAATTCTTGCGAGCGCAGGTGGCTCATATGAAGAACGAATAAAAGAGTTGGAAAGATCACAAAGCGGCTGGTGCATGAGTTGCAAGAACTAGAGGGAATAGTAGAGGAGCAGAGTCTCACAGTATATGCGCAGCAAAAAAAAAAAAAAAAAAAAAAAAAAAAAAAAAAAAAAAAAAAAGGGCAGCGAGCCAGGAGAGCGCAAGACAGAAGCAAAACGGGAAGTAGGCAGGAATAACAAGCCTATAGTAGAAATTAAGAAATAAAACCACTAAGTAGTCCGAATCAGATTTATCAGTTTTCAGTTGATTAGCCTAAATTTTTCCTTTATATAAGGTGTAGATTTGATTTATCACAAGAGGAGTCTAAATCTACCTCTTTTCTGTATGCGTTTTACTTCCGATATGTTTGAACAACGACCCTAGCAAGCTAGCCATTTCGTAGATAGTTTCAAGACTGTTTGAGGGAAACTCAAGCTTAAATTAGATGTAATAGCTGATTTTCTCTCCGGTAAGCTTCTCCTGCTTTTTGAGTTCTCTTTCTGATTGAAATTAGCCACTGACCAGGTCGAATCCTTACAAGTCGGTATAACAAACATGTAGAACACGATACAGGGACATGAGACACTGGTATCGGAGCAGGATAATGCTCTACGGATGCAGCAGGGCGCGATAAGGGAACAAAACGACCTCATACAGGAGCTGACGGACACGATACAGCCCTCAAGGGAGAATGACACCGTTGTGGAGTTTGGAGCACACAGTACAAAAGGATATATCAAGATCAATTCCTTATATGTGAAATGATGCAGGGGCAGGAGAGTCTCATTGGGAGAGTGTTTCATGTTATACAGCAATGGCTGAATGGATTGTAGATGTAGGAAATCATCCCCTTAGATCAATCAGCAAGAAAACCATAACCGGCCCTTGCATGACATTTCGAGGCGCCGCTTAGCTCCGTGACAATGAACGGCAAATGGCAATAGTTGCTCCGACGCCGAAACATGCAAATAAGCAGTTAAGCCGACCCATAATTCTTGCGGATAGGGCTGGCAGGTTTTAATTTAGTCTTCAAGTCTACTACCTGCGGAGTAGGTATGTTTATTGAGCTATTATGGTAGGGTTGATGTGGTTAGCTGAGGGCTAGGTATTGAAAATTTCCTATCTAGGGAATATACACGCCGCATATATCTAGCTAGGTACAGAAGCTTCATTCGGGCGCGGGGGAATCCGCCGAGAAGGATGAGAAATTCATGGATTCCATAAAGTTCTTGACTCGACTAAAGAGTTGGACACATTAACTATAAATCCTAGAGCTTTTCTTCGGTCCATAGTCTTCAACAATTTCATGCTACTTTCATCACCTCGCCCGGAAGCTATTCAGAATGCACCTCTCTTCATCGATCCTCTCCACAACTCTATGCCTAGCAGCATCTGTCTCTGCTCTGGCTCAAAAACAAAGCAGAGCCAGCCCTGGTCTTCCACCATCGCTAGATCCCTGGTACACAGCACCAGACAACCTCTTCTCCTACCCTGCAGGAAGCATCATCAAAGTACGCCCCGACCCGCTCAATCTATACGCAGCCATAGGCACAAATGCCACATCAGCAAGCTACAATATCCTCTACCGCACCAGTGACAGCAACCAAATGCCCAGTTTTGCCGTCACAACCCTCTTCGTGCCAGCCTTCAGAAGTAGCAAAAAGAAAAATAGCGCGCTGCTATCGTACCAAATCCCGTACAACTCCCCCTCTGTCGACGCCAGTCCCTCATGGACCCTAGGATCGCAGTACAGCTCGACCTTCGGCGATATCACTGCCGCACTGCAGCAAGGGTGGTATGTCTCGGTAACCGACTTTGAAGGTCCCAATGCCACGTTCGCAGTGGGCGTAGCCGAGGGCCATGCCGTCCTCGACGGAGTACGGGCTGTCACTCAGTCCCCTCTTTCGCCTGCCTCATTATCAGCAGCAGCACCACCACCACCACCACCACTAACAAATAAATGGAGTATCTCCATGTGGGGGTACTCCGGTGGCTCAATCGCGACTGAATTTGCCGCCGAACTACAATCCTCCTACGCACCGGACATCGCCATTGCAGGCGTCGCCATCGGCGGACTTACAACACCCCTACTCAACGTTGTAGACTCCGTCAATGAAAGCCCCTACGCCTGCCTGATCGTGCTCGGATTATGGGGGTATGCAAATACATATCCCGTAGTTGAGTCGTACTTGCTCAGTCGGTTGACGCCCGAAGTGCAGGCCAGCGGGAATTTCACTATGGGGCGCAATATGAGCTTTGAAGAGGCCGTGGAGCCGTACTATGATGTTGATGTGTATTCGTATTTTATCGGGGGTAGAGATGATATCCAGTCGAGTCCGTTGATAGCGTATTTTATGAGCACGCAGGGGGTAATGGGCGAACATGGGCTGCCGGGCATGCCGATGTTTGTGTATAAGGCTATTAATGACCAGTTGTCGCCTGTTCAGTACTCGGATGCGTTGATTGGGAAGTATTGTGACGCGGGGAATGCGCAGAGCGAGATTCCTGGCGGAGATGGAGTCAGGATTCGGTATGAGCGCAATACGATCGGTGGCCATCTTGCTGAGGAGGACAATGAGGATGGGAGGGCTTTTGAGTTTTTGGTCAAGGCGATGAACGGGCATCTGGGCGCTGGATGGCCGAATGGTGCTGGACAGGGCTGCGTTGTGCGAAATGTCACTGTTGGCAATGATACGTCGCCAGATTGGTGATCATCTATCGGAGTGAGAATTAGAATTCGTATACTACATTGAGCATCTAGACTCCAGACTCTAGTATAAAAGCATTTTGGGAAGGGGCTATGATATTTACTGCGCCTTGAATCCAGCCACATCGTCCACAACTGCCGGCGGAATGCCCTCATCCGCAATCGTCTTCAGATCGTCCTCACCCATCTCACCATCCCAGCCATTCGCAACCAGATAAGCGCGGAACTTCTCGTCAGACTCCTTCAGATCACTACCCGACGTGTTCGGGACAAACAAGAACGTCACCACCACGCCAACCACACCGCAAATAGCCGCAATAATAAACGTCCACCTCTTCCCCAAGTTGTCCTCAATAGGTGTAAACGCCTGCGTCCCAATGGCACCACCGGCTTTCCCAAACGCAGCCGAAATACCATAACACGTACCCCTTACCGCGGTGGCGTAAGACTCGCTAGACAGCAGACCAAGCATATCGCCCGGTCCCAGGTTACCGGAACTCTGCATGAAGCCGTAGAACACGACGAACAGAGGGACGATCTTGGTGATTTGGTCGTAGGCACAGCCAATGATGAGGCCGAAGACCAGGTAGCCGCCAAAGCCAATCATCATGGTCTGTTTGCGGCCGATGCGGTCGCAGAGCCAGGCACCGATCAGCACACCTGGTATACTGAGGACGCCGAGGAGGAGCTGCCATTCGGCAGTTCGCTTGATCGAGCCGTTTTTCACGATGGAGTCGAGGATTTTGCCGGAGAAGACCCCGTTGGGAAAAGTGACAAAGTCTATACAGTGAGCTCAGTTGCTTTCGCGCAAAAAAGGTATAGGGGGTAAGAAGAGGTGTATACCGTAAAGAAACCAAGCACCGCACGTCCCAATCAGCGACTTCCAATAGTACTTGATCACAAGCCAGTACGGAACTCTCTTCTTGATAGCTCCGCGACGATACAGGCTGGAATTGAGCATGCGGATCCGGAAATAGAACACAGACAGCGGCCAGATACAGCCAATACCAAAACAAACACGCCACACCGTGCTGTAGTGCGCCTGGTTACAAGCCGAGAAGACAATCAAAAAGACAATGACAGCAAACGGTCCGCCCAACGAAAGTGGCAGGTTGGTCACCAAGATGAAAAGTGGACCGCGGCGTTTAAGTGTGCGCTCGTTTGCTGCCTCGGAGGCGGAGACGGATGATGCTGGATATTCACCACCGGTTCCTTGAAGAAGTTAACTCATTGGTCCCATAAGCATCTGCTGGTGGTGGAAGTGGGCGAGACATACCAAATCCAATCGTCCCGCGCGCAACAGTCATCATCCAGAACATGCCGTTGATAGTATACCCATTCGACGCCGTGGCCAGAATGCCGCCGACAACAATCAGGACGGTCGTAATCACAATAGCCCATTTCCGGCCGAGGTAGTCGCAGGTCAAACTATCCAATCAGTACGTATTACTTCTGTATGTGAGACGGTTGCAAGACTCACCCAATGACAAGCATGCCAATAACCTCACCGACCAAGAGCGCGTTGGACACACGCGTGGACACGGTCGAGTTGTACTGTTCAGGATACTCCTTTTTGAGGAGAACATTGGCCATGGTCCTGTACACATTCGTCAGACTATGTCTTCGTTGCGAGTAAACATGTTCGTGTGCTCTCACATCAAGTTATTCTGGTAACCATCAGAGATCAGAGCGAACCCCGCAGCGAACTACATTATCACCAGTCAGCATCTCTAGCATGTATCAGAGGCCTTGGAGTAAGAATAGATACTCACAATCGTGAACAGATCCGACATACTCTGGCGCGCTCTCGTCACCAGGCCTGATTGTGCGGCGTTCTCCCCGCCATCGTCTCGATAGGTGTCTTTAACAGCGACGGCTTTCTCGCCGTACTGCTGCTGCTGGTGGATTTGAATTTCCGACATGTCGTGCCAGCTCTATTGCAAGATGCTAAATAGAAGAATTGACCGAGGACAGAAGAGACAGAAGGAGGGGGGAAAAAAAATTCCCAATCAAAAGACTTCTATTTATTATTCAACTTCCATTGCCATAATGGTTACACGCGCAGGCACGTGAGATAGCTACATATCAAAAAGCTTAAACTATAAAGCTTCAGAGTTCCAATACACAAATAACAGCCGCAGCCAGACGCACGTTCTCGCACGCCGCCAATGAGAGGAGAAGAGAGACACACCAAAGGGACGCGTAAACCGTTCTTACATTTAGCTAGTCTCTTGCTAACTACTGCTTACTATACTTAGTGTGAATTGTGAATCGTGGTGCGGCCGTCGGAAACGAAACTATTCGCTGAACCGAGCACTGTTCTGTGATTGGCGGGAGATAGCGGCTTATCCGGATACGGACTAGCGCTGCCGGCGCAGATTGAGTTTTGCGAGTCAGTTGCATAACTATAAGAATATCTCGATTGGTATAACATCGTATGATCGTACAGTATGAGCGTGATCTAAACTCTATGATGATTTTGATCTATGATCGAGAAACATGAACAGTAATTGTCCCTAGTAACACAGTCGAAGATTCCTTTTTAAAATGAACTCCCAGCGCCGAAATATAATGCATTCGTTATGTCGTCAAAAAAGAAAATAAGATAAAATCATATCATATCCGATCATGCCCATTTCCCCAGCAATGCCATCAGACCCGCGCCAAGGCATATCAGCACAAACGCAAATAGCACAGTGGACAAAGGCGCCCGGCGCATGGAAGCACTGAACATGAACTCGTGCGCCATGAGCTCGACGAGAGACGTATAGATCAGGACGCCGGCGGAAATAGCGTCAAACACGCCATTCACAATTAGCGTCGTTCGGCCGTTGGGGGCGTACGTGGAACGCACCCCGAGGCCGATTGCAGTCGCGATCGGAGTCGATACCGAGTACCCTATACCGAGCAGGTAGGGCGTGAAGCGTTTGGATTCGGGCCATGGTAGTGTGGCCAGACGCGAGCCCAGACCGAGTCCTTCAAAGGTCTGGTGAAAGACTAGCACGATGTAGAGCGTGATAAAATCGCTGCCGGAGACGGCGAGGGTAAGTCCAATGAAGACGGAGTGGAAGATGATGCCAAATTCGAGGATGAAGACCGCTGCTAATTGGGCTGCGTAGTCCTCGGTGCTCATGTCAGGTTCCTTGGAGCTGGCAGACTCGATGTCGCGGTGGTCCCGGGTGTGGCTGAGATGGTCGTTACCGGGCATGTGTTCCTGTTCTTTGTTGGGGGCAGCCATGATAGCAGCATTCACCCCAAGAGTCGATTGTGAATTTGAATGAGAATGCGAATTGGACCCCGAGCCCGAGCCCGAGTCCGAGTCAGAAGACGAGTGATCATCTTCATGTCCGTGTCCATGTCCATGTCCATCGGGAAAAGAGTACCGCATAACCATCAACTCCACGAAAAACATCACCACAATAGTCATAAGCACAATACCCTCCGTCCAACTATAATCCGTAATGGGGCCAGTGAGACACGGATCCCTTAGCTCGTCCTCGGCCGAGGCGAGCAGGTGGATAAAGGCCGTGGCCACAATGACCCCGGAGCCGAAGTATTTGGCGATGAAAAACACCCAGGACGGGACGCCGTTGCCGCCCAGCCGTTTGGCGAGCACGGGGAAGACGGAGCCAAACAGTGAGCCTATCAGGATGACGAAGATGGCGGAAATGCGCAGGCCCATGTGGCCATCGTAGCCATTTGCGGTGTCGCAGGTGGAGGCCATATCCTCTGATAGGTTGATAGAGAGGTGAATTAGGTCGCTTTTTTGGTATAATCTATGCCTGTCGCGAGTTAAATTATGTTATGTCTAGAGTGCAAATAACATAAATTAACAAAACAGGACTGGTCTGACAGCGACAACGCACTTTGAAGTGTAGGAGGGAACAGTGAAAAAGAAAGGAAAAAAAGACAGTGGAGGATGACCAGGGTGGGTTGGCTGAGGACCTTGGGGTTAGCACGTACTACTTCAAGTTGATTTGCCTGGCTGTCTGCCTGCTTGTGTCTGCTTCCGCCTATGTGTGACTATGTCCTGCCACTTCAAGGCAACAGACTGCCATTGCCATCATATTTGCCTGAGCCATTGATTCTTCCATGACTGATCCCACAACTGTGTCAATATTGACTTTGCTTCGTGAGTGAGAATGTTGAACGGGGGACCTTGCGGACGATGACATCGCGGCTTTTCCGGGCTGCTGATTGGCGGACCTGGTCTTAGTCAGCCCGAGATATGCCTAGCACTGTTATGGACTAGCCGTATATCTTTCAAATAGAGCTGCAGGTACGAGCCCAATTCAGCCTTTGATTCTTAAGATAGTTTTAGTTGTTTCTTTAAGCCCTTGTCTACCTTGATCATGATGCGGAGAAACTTATATTAACAGCTTTTGATACATAAAAGATCACAAGAAAGGAGACGACAGACGCCACGCTATAGTCTATATGTATATATGCAAGAGAGAGAGAGAGAGAGAGAAAGAAAAAAAAAAAAAAAAAAAAAAAAAGAAAGAAAGAAACCAAATGCGACAGCAGTGTATAATATACAGGAGGCAGACAAAAGAAAGAAAGACTACGAAATTGGTATTCCCAGAATATCCTCCGCCGATGAACTCCCCCCAATATTCACATCCACATCCTCATCCTCGTCGTATTCTTCTTCCTCGCCAGCGATTGTAATAACCCCATTGTAGAACAGATAACCAACCATGGCCGCCACGCCAGCCGCCACCGATGCGATCGAGATGTATAAATCGCGGCGTTGCGCAATCGCGTATTCCGAGATGGCCCGCGCTTCGGATTCGCTGTATTCAGAGGACCTCGGGTCGATCGATTTAGCCGCCTGCTGCAGTCGACTGTTCATGCGGAATTCTTTCAGGATCGGGGTTGCGTCGGCGAGGGTGTTGAGAAGAGTATTTCCAATTTTGGCCGCATTGATGCGCTCTGGTTTCTGCCATGGAAGAGGAAGTGGCTTCTTTGTCGTGTTGCCCGAAAACGCATCTTCGAGCTGCACGGCGGCCCCAAAACACTCCTCCCGCAATCGCTCCACATAGCTAGCCAGTCGAGGCGTCTTCGTGCGCAGCGATTCCCGAAGCCAGGCTGCAGGAACTTCCGGGACCAGCGCCAGCGACAAATAACCCAGCACCAGCGCATCTAGACTTGACGGCCGACGACCGTCCGCTAAGAAATACGCCTTCTTCCCCAGCAACTGTTCCAGCGGCTCAAACAATTCGGCCGTCAACGCATCGAGACGGAAATGGCTGGATCGCGCCGTCTTTCCCAGTAACGAAGAAACTGTTTCGCGGGGTCGGGAAATCAGACTTTGGGGGATCTGGCCTGCGGAGACGGCGGCGGAGCGTTCGCGCTCTCTTTGTTCTTCGCTAGCTTCTAGGTCGAGCGATGAGAGGCCCAGGTGTTCGGTGCGGTGTTTGGCGGCGTGTCGGAGTTTGGGAGGGAGGATCCATTGGTTGGGCCAGGTGAGGATGGAGCCGTAGGCTGGGGAGGTGGATGCGTAGTAGTTTTGGCTGGAGACGTAGAGGGAGAGGTCGATTAGGAGTTGGCCGTTGGATTCGACGAAGGCGGAGAAGCTGTGTCATCATTTAGCCCTATATATTATATAGCGTTGTGATGGTTATGGCATACGCAGTGATATCCGCATTATCTAGCCCAGTCCATTCCGCGTCCAGGTCCCAGGCCTGATCCGAGTACTGGCGCACGTAATCGACAATATTCCGGAATTTCGAAACCCAGACGTCGCCGTTCCTCAGAGCGGGTAGCTCATCTATCATTGAATCCGAGTTAGTTCATACTCATTGCAATCATTGATTAAAAGAAGGGAGAGGGGGAAAGCATACTGGTCGGCGACACGGAAGGATCACTCGAAGCAACCAACACCCACTCCTCTTTGGGCACTGCCTTGACGAGATATGCGATGGTGGCCAGACATTGCGGATCAATTGAGGGCAGGGAAAAGGCGGGGCCCCAGACGTGCAGTTCGAGCATTTTTCTTTCTGGTGTTGCCCTTGGACTTGCGAGTATTTTGTTACTGACTAGCGTGTTTGCTGTTGGCGGAGCAAGAGTTTATGCGGAGAAATCACGTGATATGGCAGCATACTTGTACTGTACGGACTCTGGAGTAGTTATGGCTTACCTAGGTCATTATTGAATTTCCATGTCTCGCGCGTACAATTGCATAATTTCCTTATTTAGCAGTTACTCTTAGAGAGTACATCAGCTAGACTTGATCGTACGTATTACTCATTACCGCGCTAACAAACTAATGCATGCACAACCAAAATCGTGCATTTCTTTGTGGACATTCTACAAGCTCCATAGTTACGTTTGAGGTACATAGCTAGGTGGTAGTTGGGTAGTTAGACTGGTCCTTAGTCTATACAACACAATATAACTAGTAGATACGCTTGCAGTGACGAGATTAATACACAATCAACTCATCGATCGCATCACGCCATACGACATGGTTTAGATGAATCAAGACATTGCTGCGGGCTTTACTTACAGGCTAAATTACTTGATTTTTACTGAAAGAGCACAGTTACAAAACATCAGGAAAGATGGCCTGCTAAGGGGCCAAATCAAAAGCAACGACATTCAGCCTTAACTTTAAATAAGATCACCGATCATTATCATATGTGCCATAAATATCAGGCAGGATCCGTTACGTGCCTTATCATCCGTGTCTCAGCCCAGCCTAAGCATGGGGTATTCGCATCCGTATCAGCGTAAGACTAACGACGTAACTACTCATCATAAAACTTGAGGAGTACAACGCTCGGACGCTTGGCCAGGCAGCTGACCTGTGATAGGACCTTTGCAAGACCGGTTTTAGATGGCAGTTATCAAGAATAAAACTGGGTCATGAATCATGGATGTGATATTAGAATGGCTATCCGGCTCATGATAAGATAGCTATGTACTTCCTGATGTAACCAGTAACCATCACTTCGTATATAAAATAAGATTATTAAGATGTATAGACAGCAAGTCGGCCGGTTGGCCAACGGGTATTCTCGGAAACCAAAAAAAGCAACAAAAAAGACATGGAAAGACAGTAAGGAAAGCACGTGGATGCCCGAGACAGCAGTGGGCCAGCCAATCAGCAGCCGCTCCCGGACATCAGAATAACGGCACAGGCACGCAGCCAATCACGACGCGCGATGGCCGCAGCCCATTGCATCGGCGAAGTCGAGCTGGTGGCCGTGTGGCCCCTCTGATTGGACCCCGCCAGCCCGGGTCTGTTCGTTGATCACATGTTTTATGCATGTAAACGTCAACGGTGCTGCAGGCCGTTTTTGTCGATGGCGATTAGACAGGTAGATAGGTAGGTGTGTAGGTAAAGCCGAAAAAAGGTTCGTTCTTGTATAATTTCCAAGCCACCGGAAAACACCGAACCGAAACCGAAAAATCAGAGGCAGACCAAATAGTAGATGCAGACAGATGAATATAGAGAGTTCTTCAAGTTTCGCTTTCGTATGCGGCGAGATTCTCAAGTTTCTTCTTTATGCGAGAGGTAGCTGTACCAAGCGAGCTGAGGACAGACCAGCTATCCTCGTTCCTAGACAGATGCGGCGGACGGGTATTGACATTGATCATGGTCGTAGAGAGTTTATTTCGGAGTTGGAGGCAGAGGACCCGTCGGCGGAGGGCCGGGGCAGGGTGGGAAGGATGCTTGCGAGTAGGAAGGCATTGTTGCTGTGTAGTACTGTAGTTGTACGCGAGGCAGTGTACGGAGTAGCAGACAGTTGGACGTAGTGTAGTCGTAGTAGGAGACGTAGTTGAGAGAAGGAAAAAAGCTATCCAGGACGAAGGAGGTATGTATTTATATCTACTCCGTTAAGAATTAAAAAAGAAAAACAAATTAAAATAGCACCGCGTACGAATCAATACCGCTAGTAATAGTGTCAGCCTTGTTTCTCGCTCCACTGCGCCCACTCAGCTGGCGGAATACGAAGTCATGACGCAGGTGGAGCGATTCTTGATTTGGGAGTTATTCCTCGCAGGAGAATTGATCTCCGAGCAAGGAACTTGTCTTGTCTTGAAACTTGAAACAAGTCTGTGTGCCACAAAAGTAAGGACTTGGGACAAAGAACACCGGCTAAGCATGCAAGAATTGCCGGATGCAGTAACTGTGATACCTACCTGGGATATTCCGACGGGGTATATCCATCAATCTAATGATAATTTGTAATACCAAGGAACACATGCAAATAGGTGTGATGTGATTATGATTATAATAATAATAATTGTAATTATAATTGTAATTATAATTGTAATTGTAATTGTCAATGTGATATATATGTCGAACATCATAGTTCCGTATCTTATAACATACTCCGTACGGAGAATACGATACGGATCCGTACCCCACATGAAAAGCAATAAGGTTGCCGTTGCGAACGTATAAATATGAAAACATGATCATTGATTATGCAATTTACCTACAAATACTTACTAGTTACATGTTTACTCGTAGACACGCACTGGTAGGAGTAAGGTATGTCGTCACATGAAATCTACTCCGTCAGTAACTAGTCAAGTCCCAAAATTCGACAGAACGAAACAAACCTCTCCAAACAGAGGACGGAGTAAGCGATATTTCCAATCAGATCCACAAAAGGGGGTGACCGTTGACCGCCCACCGTTGATTTGTTGTTTTTTTTGCTCTGGTGCTTCAAGAAATAAAGTTACAAGTTCCCCCTTTTATGGAGATGCGTAACTTTAATACAGAAATTTGATCATTCTGTGGAATGTTCTCCCGTGTAGCCTTTTTGGGTTAGTCTGTTTCTTTTTCTTTTTTTTTTTTTCTTTTTTTCCCTCTTTCTGGTTGTATTATTAGTGATTTATTACTGTGAGCACTCTTACAAGAGTTGCATGCCGATGTAACTCTTTTGCTCTACAGTGTAACAACAGGATCGGAGGATTGGACTATGGAATATATGTAATACTACGTAGGTGTATATGTATGGTAGGAATAACAGGCAGAGCGGTTTTAGTATCGATCCTTACTGCAAATCAAGGCCGATTGATAGGCAGCGACATTGGCAATTGCGCCGAGGATCGCCCTGATCCGATAAGATCCCTGCATAGTCAAGCCATTCAGCTCAGGCAAAGATGCAGCCTGCAGGAGTAATTAAATAGGGGCAGAAAGATGAACAGGCGCCGGTAAGGTAATATCAATACAAGTATAACTCACTACGGAGTACAGCAGGTATAAGTATATAAGTCAAAAAATTTTCTTTTTCTTTTTCTTTTTTCAAGTATCAAACTAAAGATGTCTTAATTTCCCAACACAATATAGTTTGGCCGATAGCCGCATCTGCCGTCTACCGTCCGCGATTATAGACACGGAAACTCCGTATGTTACCACACCGTCGGAACGGAGCATATGTGGCGCCTGTCAAGGACCACAGCCACATATTATTTTTCTTCCACTTCTGCCGAGTAACGTACTCCGTACTAGTCTAATCGTAAGGCTAGTTCGCGGTAATTTAAGGAAATGAGATGGTGGCAAAATGAGCGGAGTAACTAACCAAGTTAACTATAGTTACAAGTGTCAAGGAGATGAGCAGACGAGAAAGGAGATTGATTGCGTTTTCTGGCTAGAGTACTGTACAAGTGTTCTTATTCCTTTTTCATAAAAAAGAAAAAAGGTACGGACTCCGGAATATTGGTGAATATCAGTCTCCTATCGCAGGTGCGTCATTTCAGCAGGAATTTTGTGATTTGAGTTGTGTGGATTGCTCAATATCGAATAAGAGCAGAGAAGTCGGTATTCGATGAAACAATAATTATTTAGTATCCTAATTTACTAGGAGAAATGAGGCTCTCATATCCCATCACGGGACTATGACAAAAAGTCCGTCGCAGCGTCACTCGTGTGGTACAAATCACCTGATTAAGAAAGCCCTATCAACTCCTTCTTCTTCTCAATGCGGGAGGTCATACATCATCGTCCAAAAAACTATCTAACTACTTCCTAGATACGCTGTGATAAGGAATTTTTAGTCGCAGATATTATCAATTCTTGAGCATCCTCATATTCACAACTAGTGTCGCTATTCTTACGCTTTGGGTGTAGGAGCACCAGCCTTCTTCTAGGACTGCATTATTCCCATCCTTCTTTTAATCTGTTCACTTGTAACTGGCACCGGCATTGGGACTGGCAGATTGGCTATGAGTATGTCTGTCTTTCCAGATTGGGTGGTTGGATTGATATTAGTTAGTGCAAACTGGATGGGACTAGAAGTACCTGGGTACCTGGCTAGGATGGGATTAGGACATGGAATAGGATGGAGGATAATCTCTCGTGATGTTTGTTTGGAGTGGATTCTTATTAATTTTCGAGTTCATACTTGGGGTTAAACATACCTAGGTATAGGATACATACGTATATATATGGTGCGGGTTCCATTACTCGCTCAATCCAATCCGTAACGAATAAACAAGACCACAATTCCGTCCTATTCCTCTACTTTCCAAGTCCCTCCCAGTCGCATAATCAAACCATAACAACAACCTAGTCCATAAGTATACTCAAGATCAATCCAAACGCAGCCGACAGTACCGAGGCACCACTAACGTACAAGAGGCCAGAGCAATTCATCCGCATGCCGAACAAGCAATTCCCGCAGCCAATCACAAAGCTGCGCTGGCCCCCAGTCGCATCATGAATAAATTCCGTCTGCTAAAATTCACGGCCGGATTCGGGCGAATTGCGACGAGCTGCATAGTACTTACCAGCAACAGAGTAAACACTGAATATGTGTATATATAGTAGATTTTCTGCGTGATGGTTCGTTGAAATAATTATTGAATTAAGAGTATATATATACACATATATAAAATGTCGGAAATACCACCAACAATGCGCGCCTGGGCGTACCGTCAAGCCGGCCTCCCCTCGCAAGTTGTCAAATTAGAAACCAACCTCCGGACACCGCAACCCACAGATCTCGGCCCCAACGAAGTCCTCGTCGAAACACGCTATACATCTTTTAATGGCGGCTTCACACTGATCATGCAATCCCTGCGGCCGCGGCCACTGGCACTGTGGCTCCCGAAGAAGGATCGCATGTCCATCGCCGAATTCGAGTTTGCTGGCCGGATGGTTGCTGCGGGAGCCAATGTTTTGGCTTCTAGGCCCGATCTGAGATTGGGGGAGTTGGTGGTTGGGTCTATGGATCATATGAATACGATACGCCACGGGGTGGGTGCTTTGGCTGAGTATGCTATTTCGGATATTGCAGCCGTGGTGCCGTATCAGATAGCTGGTGAGAAGAAGTCCAAATTGTCGCTGGCGGAGTGGGCTGGGCTGGGTGCTGTTGGGTGCACGGCGGTACAGGTGATGGATAGAGTGGGCGTTAAAGCTGGGGATAAGGTTCTCATTAATGGCGGAAGCGGCGGCGCAGGCGTTATGATGGTGCAGGTCGCGAAGTCTGTGGTCGGCCCGAATGGGCGTGTGGTGGCTACATGCTCAGGACGGAACGTGGATTTGGTCAAAAGCCTCGGTGCAGACGAGGTGATCGATTATCGACAGTGTGGTCCACTTCATACATACCTCGCCGCGTCGGAACACGCGAAAGCGCCGTTTGATGCGATTATTGACTGTGTCGGGATCCAAGATCTTTTCGCCTATTCTCCAGCCTATCTTGGGCGAGGCAAGAAATTCCTGAATATTGGTGCCATGGACACAGAGACTTCAATCAGGGGTGCCGTTAAGTGGGTTTGGCTGCGCGTGTGGAATCGGTTTTGCCCAAGAATACTCGGCGGCGTGCCAAGAGAGTATGAATTCTATGGTGCGAAGTGTGATGTGCAATCCTTGGAACGAGTGAGGAAGATGGTTCAAGCGGGGGAGCTGAGGCAGGTTGTTGACTCCATTTGGGAGTTTGAAGATGTGCCCAAGGTAGCTATATTTCCACATGCTGCTGTCCATACCATGAGTTACTGACTGCTTCCCAGGCATATGAAGTAATGGAAAGCAAAAGAGCAAGGGGAAAAGTCATTGTCCATGTGAGGGATTAGTTGTACCTTGTCTCGACTGGTCAGGCAGAAATCCATGTTCTTCTCTTTCCGCACTTTTGACGGGGCTCAATCTTCATCAAGCGCAGGCTGTATCTGCGTACCTATCCATTCCTCCATCAGCGCCTGCCCAGAAGTAGCAGCAGCAGCAGTCTCCCCCATGCGAGGCCTATTCCCACGTCCCCTGCGCGTCACAAGCAAACAAAGGACCCAGCCCCAGATAGTAAATCCCTCATAACTCGTCTCGAATCGAAGCTTTTTCTCTCCTCCTTCATCCTCTATACCCTCAATGCCTTCTGTATCTTCAGTTGCCTCGGGTACATTAGTCATATTTTCCTCATCGTCACTCTCAATCAATATTCCAGCAGAATCAGTCGTCCCCGTAAGTTTATTCGAGTTACTCTTAATCCTGCCCTGCTTCCCAAACACCTTTTGCTTCGTAAGCAGGGAATGACGGGTTCCAGACTCGCGTAGGAATATCGCAACCTCAAAATCATCTGCATATATATACACATCAGAAAAAGACCCGCACATACATCTTCCGTAAGAAGAAAATCAACAAGATACAAACCCTCTACCAAAACATCCTTGACAGGATTACTCTTCTTTTTCGCTAGCGCACGTTCATTCTCCTCCCTCAGTTTGGGCAGGACAAGCGGTTTGATGGTATCGAAAATCCGGCGTAGCATGGAGATATTATTGGTATTGCGGGTGTCTAGGAGCCATCGTGTGTCGGATGGGTTGTCGAGGTAGACGCGGCATTCGAGCACAGAGTATTTGCTGATGCGGAGGTAGCGGCGTATTGGGGGCATGTTTGTATTAAATCAAGAGCGTAGTCGTTGTGACATCGGATGAAGGAAGAATAGGAATTCGTTATGACGCAAAAAGCGAATGGAAAGACGCGGGGTCATGTGACCGCGTGACGGCTGAACGCGTTATTTTTTTCTTCTCAGATTCTTGAATTCATAAGTATACAAAACTTAAATATATCTATATATTTATACAATCGTAATCATACAGACATCTTCATCGCAATAGTCTTGTGAGGATCGTATCCCTTAACCACAAAATCCTCCGCCTGCCATCCGTCAATACTGCCGCCCTTCTCCTGCTTGATCTCCAGTTCAGGGAAATCGCGCGGCTCGCGCTCCAACTGCGTCTGGAGTGCATCGACATGGTCAACATACACATGCGCATCGCCCATAACATGCGTCAGACTGCCGGGCACAAGGTCACACACGTGCGCAATCATGTGTGTCAACAACGCATAGCTTGCGATATTGAATGGCACGCCGAGACCCATGTCGCACGATCGTTGGTATAACTGGCAATGAAGATGGCCTTTTGGTTTCTCTCCTTCTTCCCGACTCTTCTCATCATTCGCAGTACCACCGCTACTACTTCTCGGGTATGAAACATAAAACTGAGCAAACATATGACACGGCGGCAGAACCATCTGCGGAATATCCCTTGGATTCCACGCACTCAGAATCAACCTCCGATCAAACGGGTTTGTGCGCAACTTGTGAATAATATGCGCCAACTGATCGACTCCCTGCCCCGCATAATCGGTTTGCGCATCGACATACTCGGCGCCAAAGTGCCGCCACTGGAACCCGTACACGGGTCCTAGGTCGCCAACGGCCCGGTGCGTTAAGCCTAGGTTATCGAGGAACTCGCGCGAGCCATTGCCGTCCCAGATCTTGACGCCGGCTTCGCTGAGTGTTAGTGACGAGGTTTCGCCCTTAATGAACCAGAGTAACTCGGCGATGATGGCGCGGAGGAAGACGCGCTTGGTGGTGAGGAGCGGGAGGATAAGTCGTCCGTCTTGTTTGTCGTGGAGGGAGAATTTTAATGGTCGTGGTGCGAATACTGAGTATGTGCCGGTTCCGGTGCTGCAATCCAAATCAGCTTTTCTCTCTCGCTCTTTTTTTTTATGTAGACAACGCGTCGGTTCGCGACTTACCGGTCTGGGCGGTGTTCGCCGTGATCGAGAATCTCGCGCACAAGATCGAGGTACTGGTATTCCTCGTGTGGTGGAGAAGCAGCTGATGCTGTTCTAGTTGCCATGTTGGCAGAACTTGTGATTTCTGTAGCTGTCATTATTCTCGCGATTGATGATGACTTGTATCAGAAATATATTGACTACGCGGGTTGAATTCAATTTGCGAGTCGCGACGCCCCACTCAGATATTTACCCGTATGCGGCAGGCGGTCTACCCAGGATTTACTGGCTATCAATATGAAATGAATGAATGGCATCATCTAGAGCTGCAGCGTGGTAATAACATTGGATATTTTACTGAGCAGCATTGCAGATGCTGCAGCCTGGCCAACACTCAGTTCTTCTAAGAATATCCCGGGTTGCTCATTTGACTCCATGACTCCCAGAATAGGCGTCTACTATGTAGGGGCTCCGGTGTATGGACTAGTCAGGGGTAATAAATGCACCCCTATCACCCTATCCCCGGCCATGATATTGAACGCACGGAGTATGGAGATTGGAGAGGCGATCATCAATAGCGCGAGAATTAGTCCCAAAGCCAACTCAGACAAGGCGAAACCATTGACAATCCATGAACGCTGAACACTGAGCATTAACAATGACCAAATTTCTGGTCAAGCCCATCCATAGTCTACCAAGACTGGGCTCTCCCGGATCCTCTGATTTAGTTTGAGTGACTATTGCGTCACTGCATGCGTCCAATCTCGGCGCCTAAGCCTTGCCTTAAAAGACTGCTAGCCTCAACCGTTACGTCGCCGTGGTGGCTGAGTCTATACTCCGTTGGTGTCGGAAACACGCATGTCTTACCTGCGACGGCACGTTGTTTCAGAGCGAAACTAGGGCAGTGGACTTTCCAACCAACTCGAACCGATTGGTTAGGAGTCGTTCGTGTCGTGTTCGAGGTATTTTTAACTTTTTTTCCCCCCCAGGTACGAGCTTCTTTCAGCCTGATCAGGGTTTTACTCTCCATTGTTAACAATAGTAGCTTCTTAAAAGGCTCAAGGTCAAAGCAATCCATAATCTAAAAGTAAAACATGTCATGTCCCAAACGTATGTACAAGAAGGTATCAGTCTTTTGTTTCCAAAATCAATTGCTAAATGGAAGTACAACATATCAACCGCCATCCTAATTGCGTAGTCCGTCTGATGTAGAGGAGTCGGCATCTATGTTATGCTAACTGTTGGAAAAGAACATATAGAAACAAAAAATAGTAGTATATATCCGAATATGTAATGAAGAAAATAGATAACAACAACATCACAAGCTCAGAAAACAGGCACCCCAAAGCTTAACCGCTGTAGTTAAGAGTAGCGGTCAAGGCAATAGAACCAGGGGAGACGTTACCGCCAATGCCACCGACATCGGTCAGGTCTTGGGTGTAAGCGTTGGAAACGGTGCCGAGACCAGTGGTGATGGAGGAAGTCTGGCCGTCACCAGTGATCTTCAGACCAGGGTAGTCAGTGATGCCGGCAATCTGAGCTTCAATGGCAGAGACATCAAAGCCACTCCAGCCATCGTTGATAGTGGTACCAAAGCCGAATTCACCCCAGAAGCCGAGGATAATGCCACTAGCAGAGTTGCGAGGGACATCAGAGCTGGAAGGAGCAGTGACGAAAGCACCCTGGGTGTCGACGTCGAGGGCAACGTAGGCGGAGCTACCGGCAGAGATGGTGACAGTCAAGGGGAAGACAGTGTCGAAGAAGCCAGCAAGAGAGCCAGATTCAGTGCAGCTGTTCCAGAAGTAGGCCTTGTAATCCTCGGAGAGGTTGGATCCGTCCAAGGTGATGGTGTAGTTGTAGCTGTCGAGCTCGTCCTTGGAGATCTCAATGATGTTGGAACCGTAGGGAATACCGACGTTTCCGCAGTAGGTGACTCCAGTGCCGGAGGGAGAGGTGACACCACCGAAGCCGGAGGCGGTGGAAGAAGCGGTGCTGGTGGTAGTAGCGGTGGCAGAGGAGCTCACTTTGACATCGTCGACGTTCTTGACGTTGGCAACAGTAGCCTCAGTGGTGGCAGCAGCAGCGGCGGCCTCGGTGGCAGAGGAGGCAGCGACAGCAGCAGCCTCAGTCGGGCCAGCGTAGGTGTTTTGCCAGGAGACAGTCTGGCCGTCGATAACAGCAGTCACCCAGGTGCCAACGCCGCGTTCGTGGTGCTGGTGGCGGCGTTCATGGCCATGAAGACGGGCAACGGCACTGCCGGCAGTGAGGGCCGTCAACAAGACGAGGGAGTTCTTGACCTGCATTGCGATGTGCTTATTGTGTGCGTGTGCGTGTGCGCGGTGGAGGATTCAGAGAGCTGGCGAGTTGCTGGAGCAATGGAAATTTAAAGAGCGTGGGTCGCTTGGACAAGGAGTGGCAGCGAGCAAATGCTCAGAGAAGTGTGAAAGGCGGAAGAATGAAGGTGCAGCAAAGGCAAAAAGGGAAGCGAAGGGAAGGAGGCGAGCGGGAGTCAGGAGGGTTTTAAAACGGGAAGGAGCCACTGGGGCAGTCAGAGATTTTAGTGCAGATTAGTTCGGTTTACTTTTGTTTAGGGAAGGAAGGGGCGCCCCGCCAAGCCTGCAGATGGGCTTCATTTCCCGCGCCGCAGCCTGAGCCAGGCACCGCCCGATGATTGGCCGGCATGCAGCTGCCGCAGCGCAGTGGGGACCCGACGGCGCGCTGCTATTGGCTGCAAGCTCGACTGCGTCCCCTAGGGCGGGTCTGGCGGACTGAACCCTCAGGCTGCCTCTTTCGGCATCGGCTACGTGTGCAGAGCGCCCTTGATTGGCTGTCATCTGCTGTTCCTGAGTCTAGACTCGCCTAGCGCCGTCTGCACACCTGGCCAGAGCTCATTGGGCCGGACAAATTGGAAAGTGACTGGCCTGCTGTGTAATGGCCTACGCGGGCTCTCATTCCATGGCTGCTCATTGCCGTTCAATTATTGTCATTGATCATCGATTATGATTCCCGTCGGTTGCAGTTTTATATTGTTCTGAGGAACCCACGTCCGCGAGGCAATTCAACTCGGTCGCTAATGCCGTCGCCTGACGTGATTTTTGCCATAGTAACACCATCCACCATGCATTATCCATTGTCTAACAATGACCGGCTCAATTCTCTCTGAGTTTCAGTGTGACTACACTGTACAGTGTAGGATAGAAGACTTAACAATTAATCAAACCCAACCCGCCAAGAAAAAAATTCTGTTCATGATCCATTGATCTCTACAACGAGGACCAGAAATTGGGAAATCATTGTTCTCAAATCCGTTTGTTGACCTACGACGGTACGGCGTACATTGAAATTTCTGTCGTCCAAGTCCAACGCACACCCAAGTACCAGCGTACGTCGTAGTGCGAATCCACAGTCGCCACATGGCAATGGTTATGCCTGACGGAACCCTCATTCCTGTGACTCGTGAGTGTGGGCATTGGACAATCCGATGCTATCCACCGCACGATGGCAATTGACGGAATTTTGACCCTCACCACCGTCACACCCACGTGGTCTGCTTTATTAATGATGGCGTGCTCGTGGATTTATATCTCATTTATCATAGTTCTTGAGTCTTTTGCATCGATGTCAACGCAAGATGCTTGCGGGTCTGACAGGCTCTGGCCAGCGTACACAGCTGATATCTCTGACTCCCTCCTATGGTTGGTGGCAATGTCGACTGACTTTACCTAGGTACTTGAGGTGAATCCGGCGTAAGCATTAATTAATCTCTTGATTTTATTGGCAAGCAAGGATTACGCTGCACGCAGTCATTCTCATAAATCCAGAAAACAGTATGACATGAAATGTGTCACAAATCTGACTCGGGGCATATTTATCCTTGGACCTGCATCGCCGTACCTGAATCTGATCGGCGGATGCCGCGTCACACCAACGCACCCAACACGCAGCAGAGCCCAACTTCTTCACAGAAAAAGAAAAGAAAATTTTTTTTCACCTCATTACAATCAGATTGTTGACAAATTTGACAAATTACCATGCTCGGAAAGTCGCAAGCTGATTACCGTATGCGTTATTGTCAAATGGTTCGCCCCGAACCGAACCAGGGACCGTAACAGCGGGATGGATGGTTCAGAGGTCAGGTGATGTTTGCCCCAGGCGCATGACCTAGCTTCGATATCGCGACTTATGACCATGTCTTATTCGATTATCTGTTCCAGATGCTTTGAACTGCGATAGAATCTGTATACAGAGTACAATGTATAGAAATCAAACTCCAGTTCTGGAAGGATCCGCGCGAAAGTCGCAGGGCGATAAGGAGTGCGCTCTTCAGAATATCTCGAACAGGATAGATATCCATCTTTAAGCCGCTGTTATTCTGGCGTAGAGAGCTAGAATGCGGACTACGACACAGTGAAGGAACTTGATAGCCTGAGTCGTGAGTCTTGACTCTTGATAGCGAGATAAGATTGCGTGCCAAAAGCGGCTAGCGCTAGATCGCCCCACCTGCAGCCGCCACTCGCTGGAATTTGATGAGCTTGTTTCGACTCTAGCCAAGTCTATCTAACAAGCGTGCAGAATGAACACCAACTTACCACCAACAGAGAATACCAGATTCACTTGACGACAGAGTATTCATCCATGGCACGGTCTGCCATCGTGCAAGAGTACGACACTCCGCCCACCACCCGCTCCGTCACCTTCAGTCTCGACCAGAAAACCAACCACGAGCGACTGCACAACGGCATCACGCGCCCGCAGGGCTACACGGTGTCATGGCACGCCAACCCAGCCGTTGAAGCCCACCACTTCGGACAGTCACACCCGATGAAGCCATGGCGCCTCGTGCTGACCAAAGAACTTGTGCTCGCCTACGGAATGCACCATGCCATGGACCTCTACCTGTCGCGGGCGGCGACATTTGAAGAAATGGCCGATTTCCACACGGAAGATTACCTCGATTTCCTGCGCCAGGTGATCCCCGCCGATATGGAGGCTGCCGAGCAATCGGAGCGCATGGCGAAATACAACTTTGGAGATGACTGCCCCATCTTCGATGGCCTGTACAACTACTGCTCGCTATACTCGGGCGGCACGGTCGATGCGGCGCGCAAACTCGTCAATAACCAGGCCGATATTGCCATCAACTGGTCTGGCGGACTGCACCACGCGAAAAAGACTGAAGCCAGCGGGTTCTGCTATGTGAATGACGTTGTCTTGGGCATTTTGCAGCTTCTGCGATTCCATCCTCGCGTCATGTATATCGATATCGACGTGCACCATGGCGATGGCGTGGAGCAAGCATTTTGGTCGACCGATCGCGTGTTGACGGTTTCCTTCCACAAGTTCGACCGAGACAACTTCTTTCCTGGCACGGGCTCGCTCGATAGCACGGGTCCTTCCCACCCATCAAACCCGGGCGCACACCATGCGCTCAACGTGCCTCTCAACGACGGCATTGAGGACGGCGACTACCTCCAACTCTTCAAGGATATCATTGGTTCGTGCGTCGAAACCTACCAACCGGGCGCAATCGTGCTGCAGTGCGGCGCCGACAGTCTCGGTTGCGATCGCCTCGGCTGCTTCAGCCTCAATGTCACGGGCCACGGCTCCTGCGTCGCATACGTGAAAACGCTCGGTCTCCCGCTTCTCGTCGTCGGCGGCGGCGGCTACACCCCTCGCAATGTCTCCCGCGCCTGGGCCCACGAAACATCCATCCTAATCGACGCGGCCGACAAAATCGACCCAAACATCCCTGAAACAGTAACATTCCGCAACCACTTCGGTCCCGACTACAGCCTTTTCCCGCCCCTGTCCGAAATGCGGAAAATCGAAAATAAGAATTCGAAACAGTACCTGGCTACCCTGGTGTCGACTATTCGTGAACAGTTACGGTATATGCAGGGTGCGCCCAGCGTGCAGATGAGTTTTATTCCGCCGGACATTTTGGGCTTTAGAGAGGATGTGGAAAAGGAAATTGAGGAAGAGAAGGATTTGATGGATGAGGAGAGGGAGGAGCGCGAGCATAGTTTGTTATCGTCTGGTGGTGGTGGTAGTAGGCGGAGGGATCTTGAGAGGGGTCTCGGGACGAGGGGAGAGTTGTCTACTTGATATATAATTCCTGGGATGAAACGAGACAAAGAGAAAAAATAAAATAAAATGGGGGATTATGGCGCTATATTGTGGTTGGCGTTTTCATTCATCTGGGTGGTCTTTATATGTCATATTCTCTGTATATTACCTCAATCAACTAACATAAACTAAATCAGATAAGAATTAACAACACTATCTTTTAAAACTATAAGAAAGAAATTCATAAACCAACTAAAATAATCTCAGGGAATCTCATTTCTTCTCCTCCGCATCCACAAATACATCTACATCATGCGTCGTCGAATCTACCCTCTGAACGGGATGTATACCCTGTCCTGGTCGTGAGCCCAGCGAACTATCATCACTTAGTAAATCGTACGATGCTCCGGCCGCGGGTTTCGCGGCTATTGCGTCGTTGTTGTTGCTTTTGTCGTCGTCAAAGTCGATTAGATCATTACTACTGCTGCCGTGAGGTTGTTGTGGTTGAGGTTTTGTGGATGGTTGGTGGCCCGGCGGAATTTGTAGGGATGTTGATGTCTTTTGGCCTGGGAGGATGGGTGCAATGGCGAGGATTTGTTTGTGGGCTTTTTCGATGTTTTTGGTGTCGCTTTTTTTTTTATCTCCCGTTAGAGAAACGAAAATCAATAATTAAAAAAAAAAAAAAGAAAGTGAGGGAGAAAGAGAGAGGATAGGGGGAATTACACTTCAGCATTAATGATCCAGTCGAGATCTTCCTCGCCCTCTTCTGACCCTCCCGGCCCGCCGCGGACAGCACGGAAGAGTCGCGGTCGCCATTCGACATTCTCTTCGGCTCGTTTGGCAGCTTCTTCGCGCTGCTGGTCTTCGATTTTGGTCTTTTCGCTTGTCGCTGCTTCGTGATTTCGGGCGTTTAGTCCTTGCACTGTGCTGTGCCATAGTTTCTGAGACTCGCGTTCGGATTGCTCCTCGAGAGGGCGTGTGAGAGGGACAGTGTGTTTGGCGTGACTCGCATCGAATAGGAGTTCCTTTTTGCCTGTCTGGGAGATGGTCAGCTTGAAGATATCTCTTCTGAGAAGGGAGAGGCAACCCACGACATGGTTCTTCAAATACATCTCGCCATTCCACAGACCCGAAATCTCATAGTAGACTTCGCCCGTTTGATCGTTTTTGATTGTTCCGGCAATGGCATTGTATGTACCGGAGAAGTAGCCCTTAGTCTTGAATTCGACGTCGCACACTAGGTGGTTCTCTGGACATTTGATGAAGCTGTGGTCTCCGAGCTCGTATTTCATCTTGCCGAAAAGAATGCCGCGCGCATACATGTTGGGTTGCGTCAGAATGCTGTTTCTTTCAGTCAATATTTCGTTTCCTAAAAGAAGAAACTGGGTTATAGCATACTATCTTTCCCCCTTGACGGGATCCTTGCCACGGTTCAAGAACCGCAGAACCGCAGTGCCCTCCATGAGACTGGCTGCCGAGTTGCCGAGAAACTTACTGCGCGGCTTGAGCGTGCCGTCTATCCTGATGTGATGCTCGGGCGCCATGAAGAAGTAGCTGGATTTTGGCGGATGGTGGGACGTCTGTTCCGAGATGTAGTAGCCGCGAGTGCCGTCTTTATAGTCCCAGTAGCAAGTAAAGGTCTCTCCGAGGATAGGGTTGAGCGGTTTCTTCACTCCTCTACAAAATGAATTTAAATTAGTACCTATTCATGCTTTCGGTTAAGGTGAAGATTTCGTACGGAGGTTTGATATGCCAGCCGCTCAGGTAGAATTTGACCACGGACACGAATCGTTCTAATGGATCGTCGTGTTCGGGCATGGGTAGTAGTGTTTCCGGATGCGCCATGAAGCTGTATCGAAGGAAAACAGATTAGCACACGTAGTACTCATTATTTCTCTCGTCCTACGCACTTTGTAATTCTTTCCAGCATCGATCGCGGCTCGAGAATGAACGTTGGGAGCGTGACGCGGCTCAAGTCAGCTCCGGGGCGAAGCTGAGATATGATATGGGACAGGACTACAATGGTAGTAATTCATTGGAATTCAGCCTATGCTAGTGGTATTGGCTGTGTGTGCATCGAGAACCTACCATTGCCCTGATCCGGCTCGACGACGGTCTCGTCTTCGGCCTCGTCGCTGGAAGATTTGTTGCTGTTGCCTGTGTGAGCAGATCAGTGTCTGTCCCATTAAAAGTAGAATGCGCCGTTGGAGAAGAAAAGCGACGTCGCTTTTGCGGCGCGAGGAAGTGAAGAGGACGAGTGAGAGCGTGCTTACTCAAAGACGAGCGGTGGTGAGAGTGTAGCGGCATGGTGATCGATAGTGAGTCGACTCGCTGTAATGAATCTAGCGGCTTTGCTTTACGTGTTTTGAAAGGAGAAACCGAATGGAATACGTCCCAAGCATCAGTCCAACGAGTTGGTGCAGTGAGAGTGAGTCGGGCGCTCGATGACTCGGGGAATTTGAGTTGGCACTGCCCCTCCGAGAAAAAAAGTATCAATGAGTTCAGCAGTCCTGTGACGAGAGGCGAGAGGCCGGCAGTCCGCAGTCGCCGAGAGTGCTACCGAATGTTTGGTCTATTTATTTGATGTTTCAATGTGAAGTCTTGGTCTTGGTATATTTTTCAGGCGTCTGTGATTTTTTGGAGGTTTGTTGATGAACTTAATTAAGTTACGCGCTGGGTGGATGACTAAGGCAATGACGTTTGGGACACCGAAAAAGGGAAGCCTATGACGACTTGCTCTTCATCTCCAACTCTCACTCACTCACCCACTCACTCACTCGTTGGGCAGTCCAGACCGGCTGGAAATATTGTCAGGCAGCAGCAAGACTATACTTGTCTTCATGTCTTTCCCTTCCGGCTTTCCGAGCACCCCACGTGCCTGCTGCCATCCCGCCTCGTTGGGCGTTACAGAGAGAACATGCATGCTCGTCACACTTGAATCCTCTATCCGGACGCGGTTCTATACCTCTATCTAATCCAAAGCAATACTAACTAAGCAAACCTAACAAATCTAAGGAGCCGCCCCTCGAGAAACCTTCTCAACCAAAGGAACATCCCCGTTCGTGATGTCCCTGATAAACTCCGGGTCCGGCTGGTGCAGCATAACATGGAAATGCTCAATGGCATGAACAGACTTAAGGGCCTTCCAATTCTTGAACCAGACAATCTATAGCAAAGCACGAGGAAAATCACACAAAAAACCAGAAGTTTAGCAATCACAAACGACCGTATCACCGGAGGGAAGAAAAGAGAGACTACTAACCTGATCGGAAGCGATACGAGAGCGGAATTTTGTCTCGACATAATCATCGATCTTCTTCCACATTGTCTCGGTCAAAAGGCCCGTAGACGGATCCTCGTCTAGGTCGAATTTGGTCCAGACGACGAGATGGACGATGTCTTTCTCGAGGCCGTAGGGCCAGTCATTGAGCAGGATTTTCAGGTCATCTTTTTAGGCAAGCTTTCTATCAGCAAAAGAACACACACACACACACACACACACACACAGAGTTCAATAGTAATAGGGCATACCGTCATATTCAAACGCTTCGCCTCGCGGCTTCAGATCCTCCTTGTCCCAATGGAGCCTTTGAGTAAGCACAAAATCCATCACGGAGCCGTATTTCTGTTTGATGTGAAACATGGATTCCAGATACTTCCTCAGATCAGAGGGGAAGCGTTGGAAACGTCCAATGTCATTCGACTCTGACCATGTTAGCCCCCTCTTTGTGCAAAGAGGGATGTATAACGTAGTTATAACTAGTATAAGGATTACTCACTGACCAACTCCCTAACCCTCTCCCAGCCAATCCATTGATACTCCGAGTCCGGCGTCGCCAGAATTGCAATGTTCTTGTCTGACAATCCCTGGAGAAACTCGGGACATGACGAGGGCCATTGCTCGCGCGGCACGTTGACTAGCCAGTATGGCAACGGCTCTTCGGCGCCGCCATGTACTTGTCCCGGCAACGGGGCGCCGACAGCGGGCAAGACTGGGCCAGCGGCGGTGGTGGTGGTAGTAGTAGTAGTAGTAGTAGTAGTAGTAGTAGTAGTAGTAGTAGTAGAAGTATTTGAGAGCTGTTTGTCGAGGGCTGCGAATGCTTCGGCGGACATCTTGTGGTGTGTTTGTAGAGGTGTATATGTGGAAAACTGGGCCAGGGATGGAGTTGGTAGATACGTAGTGATACTAAGAATAGCCAGCCGCTCGATCTGGTGGGGCTGTAGATGTCACCATCTGAACTACTATTATCAGATGCAAGATAGACTGAGGAATGTGTGGCGAGAAAATAAATAGATAACCCTTCTAGTCCACCACTCAATGCCGCCTACATCGTGGGATTCAATATACAGACAGACAGCTAGCTAGGTACGAACTCTCGCAATCTCCGGCCCATCACTCCTCACAACCTCGACGCCAAACTCCCCAAACTCCTTCATTGCCTGCTGCCAGCCCATCCCCGGATCCACCGACTTGACCGCATCCTCGACCACCCAAGTCTTAAACCCAGCTCTCGCAGCATCCACCGCCGTATACTTGACGCAGTAATCGCCCGCAATCCCCACCACAAACACATCCGTGACATGTCTTTCCTTCAGGACAGCAGTGACGTCCACATCAACCGACTTCCGGGCCAGGGAAGGATCCATGTTGCCAAACGCATCGCTGAAAACGGAATACATCTCAACGCCGGGGTGCATGCCCTTTTTAGCTAGGAGGTCGATTTTGCCGCTGCTTCCCTCGCTTGAAGCTGGCGCCAGTATTTCGGGGATGATTGCCGCGCCATTGGTGGATGCGACGCAGTGCGTGGGCCAGAGCCGTTGCTCTTTGGTTTCGTGCTCCTTGCCGCCTGCCGGGTTGTGCATTTGTATGTATGATTCGAAGGGCTTGTTGTTTGGCGCGGGATGGTTGGAGGCGAATGAGATGTGGTCCGCCGGGTGCCAGTCTTGGGTAGCGATGCGAATTGCAAAGTTGGGGAGATCGAGGAGGGAGTTTATAATGGGCGCGATTGTGCGGCCACCTTCTACTGCAAGAGAGCCGTTCTAGAGGAACTTTAGCACATGTTGAAAAAACAGTGTTATGTACTCTTGAGTGTGTCTTAGGTGCATACCGGCGGGCAAAAGTCCTCTTGCATGTCCACCACGATCAGCGCGGGGACAAAGGCGTTTTCATCTTGTGAGGCCATATTATATAATTTATATATATATATAAATATATATAAAATTGTTTTGTTGACGGACTAGCAAGGCAGGGAGGAGAAATTGAGGGGAAAGTCAAGAGTCTATCGATAACCGCGATAAGGGAAAGCTTAGAGCTATAAGCACACGTGATTAAGACATGGTTTACAAAACGTACTTCTGATCACTATAATTAAACTATATTAGACGACGATGCTAGATGATCTTTAAAACCATGACAACGTCCACAGCGCCGGTAAATGGGGATATTTCTCCTGCCATGCACCAAGAATCTCCGGTACTTTCTCATCGAAGCTTTGCCTCGCCTCCCCAGCACCTTGATCCCAGGAGGCAGGATCATTACTCAACCGGCGCTCTTCGTTAGCTACCGTATTCAGACTATCGGCCAAGTCACGTATAGCCTTGCCTCCCAATAAAGCCTCTTCATGATTGTCACGGATATCAATATTGATCACATGCACCGGCCGATTTAAGGGAGAACCCCTGTTGAGTAAATCGTCAACAACAGCGTCCCAGCATCGCTCTTCGCAGGTGATGATGACATCTACAACACCTGCTTCAGTGCCCAAGCTTCCCTTATCCCCCTTGGCGATATGATCCAGACGCGGTTGGCCTGGAACCCAGTGCTGGAACTTCTCTGGGCCCCATTTCAGATTCCTGTTTCGGTCCAGCATGTTCAGAATGCCATTATTGCGGTAGAGCCGCTGGTCCTTGGTGTAGAGATCCTCGTACATCTGATTGTACGATGTGGAGTCGAAGTTGAAAACGTTGGGCTGCGTGATTGAGGGTCCCGGTAGACGCACTAGCGAGCCGGTTCCAAACGAAATCACTGGATACGAACCCGACGAAAGCTGGTAGTGTGCTTCCATTGATCTGTTGTTGTTCGATGCACATACGGTGCAGAATTTGAGTTTGTAGGATGTCTCTCCATCTGATGATGATGACGATCCGTCGCGCTGCTGCTGCTGTTGTTCTATGGAGTGTACGGCCTCCGTGGGGGTCAAAACCTCTGGAGTAGGCGTCACCGCCGTCTCGATCTGAGAATTCGCGGCCATTTTTGGGGGGGGGATATCTTTATTCTGCGGCGTGACTGGATATTATTCAAGGAGGTCTGAAGGGGTTAAAACTGGCACTCGCAGAGCCCTGAGCTCTTGGAAGGATACTGTTAGCGACCTTCCAAAAGACAGACAGTACATGAACACAAAGGAGATGAATGATAAAATTGATCAGTTAAGTAGTTGTTTGCGTATTATAAAAAGCTATCAGCATTGCAAAAGCTAAGACAGCTCCAATAATTGAGTTCATCAGACGGAACAAAAAAAGAGAAAACAAAGAAATCCGACAGCTGCTTACCTTGCAAGATCTTTGCATTTCTCACACCATGCTTCAAGCTGGGGTTGCCGCGCACAGTGGGCGTCGATGTGCTGGCAAGGCTTGACTGTTGGTTGTTGTTGGTTGTTATTGTTGCGAGGAAGAAAAAACAAAATATGTGGGAGCGAGCCGTTCCTGTTTGGGACGTCACGTGATCCGTCTCTCCAAGAATGGCACTCTTCGAGTCTTCGAAGTTTTATTTAGTTTTCGATAGAAACTAATATTAATTTTGATTGTTTACATATGAAGCATTCATGTTGATACGTGCACAGAGTTCATTTTGGTTCATCATTACAATTCGGCCTTTAACTTGGCCGTTCTTCACTAAGCCCTAGAATTATCTTCGAGAGGACAAGGCTAGATAGAGGTAAATGGCACTTACCTAGGTAAAGAAATGAGAATAGAGAGGACCTACCAAGTAGTCAGTTACTATGCACCACGTCGTTGAGTCCAGACTGTCTGTATATATAAAGACTGGCTGTTGCGCGGCTCTTCCCCGGATTGCCGAGGCTCACTCGGTGCCGAACGTGAACAATACCTTGGACGTGGGTTGGATCAGAACGACAGTCTCAAATGAACAATTGACTCGCCATGGAACCATCCAGCGCCACCAAAGGCTTCTTCCAAACGAAGCCCTCTATCCCGCCTCAGTATCTCGAAGACCGGGCTCTGCAGCGCATCATTTCTCTACATCTCCCCTCTCCAACTCCGCCATCGATATCAGAAGATCTGCTACGTTTCTCACGCCTGGTCCTTTCCAAGGCTATTCTGGCATCCGTCGCTGATGCCGAGAGACACACTCCATTTCTGAAACCTCTCACCTCTTTCGGGGCCGAGAACAGAGTTGACCCCTTAGTGACTAGTGAGGGATGGCGAAAACTACAGGAAACAGGTATCCAAGAGGGCATTGTAGCTCTTGCATACGAGACAGAAACGCAGTGCAATCCGCGCGTGCACCAGTTCATCAAATACCATATCTGGAGCGGGAGCTCGGCTATCGTCACTTGCCCTAGTGCGATGACTGATGGCGCTGCAAAACTGTTGGGGAAGCATTTACATGATCAGAGCAATGGAGCAATATTCGCCGATGCTCGACGCAGGCTGGTCAGTCGGGAGAAGGGCTTTGCATGGACAAGCGGGCAGTGGATGACGGAGCGCAAGGGTGGAAGCGATGTCCGAGGCACCGAGACCATTGCAATCAAACTGGAGACCATAGACGAAACCGATGGCTTGGATGCGGACGGCCAGCAGCTCGGTCCCTGGAAAATTGATGGCTACAAGTGGTTCTCATCCGCAACTGATGCGAACATGACCATTCTTCTAGCCAAGACGGGGGAAGATGGTCAAATCAGCGCGTTTTATGCGCCATTGAGAAGACGAGTTGCAAAACAAGCCAAAGAAGATGATGTCTCGGATGATGGTGGCTACAAAACCGAGCTCAATGGCATACGCATTCAACGGCTCAAAAGCAAACTCGGAACCAAGGGTCTACCCACAGCCGAGCTCGAGCTGAAGGGAATGCGCGGCTACCTCATTGGCAAAGAGGGCCAAGGAGTCAAGGAAATAGCACACATTCTGAGTATCACGCGGATGCAAAATATCGTTTCTTCAGTTGGTCTCTGGGGTCGCGGTCTTGCAGTCAGTCGGGCTTTTGCCTGCGTGCGAAGTGCTGGAGGAAAGCTGCTATGCGATATTCCAGCACACGTACGGGGATTGGCGCAGGAGCATGTCAAGTATACCGCGCACATGCATCTGTGTTATTTTATCGCTGCCCTGCTTGGTCGTTCGGAAGGCTTCTCATCCGACAACGACAGCTCAACTGCAGCCGCAGCTGTCTCAATACTCCCTACAGACATCACCCAAGTCCACGCCCTCTACCGTCTGCTCACACCAGTAGCCAAAGCCCAAACGGCGCTTTCGTCCATCAGCGGTCTGCGGGCTTGCATGGAGAGTCTCGGCGGCGTTGGATATCTAGAAAACGACGACGACCCAGAGCTAAACATCGCAAGACTATACCGAGACGCCAACGTGCTGGCAATCTGGGAGGGGACCACGGACATTATGGCGGACGATTTTGTGCGAGCTGTAAAGGGGAAGGGAAAGCAAGGCGACGTCCTACTAAACACTTTGGAGTCATGGCTCAAATCATCCTTCGAGATGGGCAACAAAGCCGGTTTCGCGGATGAATGCCGTAGATTGGGCGCGTTGGCGGACAGGCTTCTTCAAGACCTTCGGGTGAAAGATAGGGAGGAACTGGCTTGGAGAGGTAGAGATTATCTTCGTGATGTGGATTTGCTGGTTTGTGCATGTTTGTTGGTTTGCGATGCGGCGAGGGACGCGGACCCGGTTGCCAGAGAAGTTGCATTGAAATGGATTCATGGTGCGTCTAATGCTTCTCGGAGCTGGAGAGAGGATGTTGTCTGGGATCGAAGAATTGTGTTTGGTAAGGAGGAGTTGGTGTCTTCCAAGTTATGATTCCATTTCTCTTGCCTTACGTCGTTGACTATAGCAACATGTACATATTCTAATATGTCACCATTCAAGTAAATCGACAGACAAAGTCAATAAAATCTGAGGATTACAAGAACTTCTAAAGCCAGCAATCAATCTGTCATCCTCAGTGATGTTCAATTTGTTCAATCAACATGTGAAAAGGGTATCTCTAAAACAAACCATGAAAAACAATGGAGAAAGAAAACTACTCCTCAATCTCAATATCCCGATCCTCCCTCAAAAGAAACTCCCTCCTATCCCTATACCATTTCTCCAAACACTCCCGTCTCTGCGCCTGCGTCATACTCTCAACCACGAGCGCAAACTCAGTCGCATTCGGGAATCCGAATCGCCTCGCCATGCTACAAAACTGGCGTTTGCGTACATCCTGCGGAGGATGGAACTTGAATCGAATCGTCTTGCCGTCTTTGCGGATTTTGAAGTTCTCATAGTCGAGGTTCTCACTGCCGCTACCACTGCCACTGGTAATTTTGTTGACTGCGCCGTCTTGAGAAGGTTCAAAGACGTGCACGTCGCCTTGTCGGGAGTCATTGGTTTGTTCGGCGCGCCGACTGAGACGCTCTTCCACTTTGGATGAGCCTATGACTTCGTTGTTGAGATGGCTGTATTCGACGCCGGCACCGGCGAGGATGGCATGCACCGGGTCGTGTTTCTTGGTGCTTGCAGGGAGTGTGGTTGATGATGTCGTTGATGATGATGGAGCATCACCACGAATCAAAGCTGCAAGCTGGCTTATACTTCCGTCATCGTCTTCATCATCACCACCGGCACTGCCTCTCGAAGAACTGTTTTCATTCATATTTGCATTCTCCTCGTCTTCGACTTCGACGCCAATGACTTGCACGCCGGCTTTACTCTCGGCAATGTTGGTCTTGTTGACGATATCGCGGAGAACAATATTGTTATTCTGGTACTCGAAGAGATTGGACAGGCCGAATATCTCGCCCTTTTGGTCCTTCTTCTCCTGCACACCTTTGAAGTATCTTCGTTCCGTGCTGGCATTGTATCCGATATTGGCTTGTTGTTGCTTGTAGATTTGGCGTGCGTAGACGATTTCTTCGATCGTGCCGGCAGAGATTAGTCGAAAGACCTCGACATCTCTCTGTTGTCCGATACGATAAGCGCGGTCCTGCGCTTGTAAGTCATGAGAAGGGTTCCAGTTGGGATCGACTACAACCACTTTGTTCGCAGAAACAATATTCAAACCCACCCCTCCTGCGCGAGTTGATATCAAAAACACAAACTGCTGAGGATCCGCGTTGAAGTCGTCAACGACCTTGGCGCGGTCTTCATACGACATGGCACCGTCTAGATAGCTGACATTGTAGCTTGTATGGTTGAAGAGCATTTGAAGCATTTTCAGGAGCCGAACACTATGCGAAAAGACCAGTACCTTGTCTCCGTTTGCGTGCCACCATTTTAGCAGCTTTCGAAGAACTTTCCATTTCCCACAAAACTCCGGGTTTGCATAATTCATAATCGAGTCTCGGCTCTGGTAAAGCTCGCGCCATTGATCGGGCACGGCGAGTTGCAACATTTCAAGATCCTTGTCTTGTTTTTCTCGCGGATCTTGGCCCTGAGGTATGAGAATTGCAAGATGGTTGCTAAGCTTTTGAAGGTTGTTTATCGCTGGGAAGACGTAGCTTTGCCATTTCTGACCTGACGGCAAATGTGTATGACAGCACCAGCCCGATTTCTTGCCCGAGCCGCAGTCACATAGCTCCGACGAGGTCTTGATGTATACCAGCGCATCGCTATTTAGGAAGTTCTCATAGGCGTCGGCTTGCGTGTCTGTCAGCGGACAAAAGACGACCCTGTCACTCTTCTTGGGCAGTTGGTCCGCAATCAACGTCTTCATGCGACGAAGGAAGAACTCTGGAAGCAGATTCTGCACGAGCTTCTTGGCTGTCTTACGCGCCTTGCTCAGTTGGTATAGAGTAGCGTCATGAGACTGCCCGATTTTCAAAGGCTCTGCAACGGCTTTCTTCCATGCAGTCACAGGGCCCAACCTGCCAGGGTTCGTCCAATTCAACAGCGTCCATAGCTCTTCATACTTGTTCTGAATAGCTGTACCCGTGAGTCCGATCCGACAGAGAGCATTGATCTCGTTCATCGCTATGGTGGTCTCCGACTTGCGCTCCTTAATCTGATGGCACTCGTCGGCGACTACACAGTCCCATTCCACCATATTGACAGAATCCTTATTCATGCGATAGGTCACATATGTCGTAATCAATATTTCTAGTCGACCTGCTTTGGCGGCATGAAGGGCTTCCTCTTTTCTGTCACCGTGAAAGACTCCAACAGCCCACCAGCCCCAACGCTGCAACTCGGACTTCCAATTCTCAATGAGCGTACCGGGACATACAATCAATGTGCGAGGATACCAGACATCGTCTCCGCTTCTTCTGAGTTTGCGCATGCGCTTCGAGTCCCGCTCATCCGCCGTTTTCCCATACGCAGCCGTCAGGAAAGCAATGACCTGCACCGTTTTTCCCAGACCCATATCATCACCCAGTATACCACCTTTCTGATAAACAAACATCTCGTGCAGAAACGCAGCACCTTCGACCTGGTACTCTCGCAGCCACTGCGCAATAGACGCCGGGATAAGACCGAGCGAATACGGAAGCGGTATATCCTTATATTCCCTGGCGGGTAAAAGATCTCTAAACACGGGCTTCTCCTTCAAAAACTCCAGACTCTCATCGTCCGAGAATTCGACATCCTCGAAACTAGGCGGTAACCTCAAGCCTGCTTCTTTGAGGCGATTCATGCGAGCATCGAATTGAGATCGCCGCCGCTGCAGGAAATCGGGCAGCGTATGCTCCATCAAGTCATCTTCTGAGGAGATGGGTTCGTCTTCGTCGTATTCCCTGAAGGGCCGCTGGGGTCTGTTATTATTCTCTGTTGCTGCGACCCGTCCGACGAGAGAATCTCTACTAAGTCTTATCCTTGTGCGTGTACTTGCGCTCTCTTTTCCCTTTCCTTTCCGTGCTCGACGGGCGTTGAGGGAGGCCCGTTTGCGTTGGATACTTTTTCTGTTCTTGAATCGCTGGTAGGCAGCCTCGCCGTCGTTGAACTCGTCATCAAGAATATCATCGTTGTCATCATCGTCGTCGGGGTCGTTGTCATCTTCTTCGACGTCGGAGGAGAGGACGGGAGATCGGGCTTGTGCACGCGATGGTATACGCTGTTTCTTGTAGCGATGATTCGCAGACGATTCTCCTTGTCCATGTTCTTCTACCTCTTCAATTACTCGCGGCCTCTTGTGCGACCCTGTTTCTGTCTTATCAGCCTTTGTCTCACACCGTAGTTCATTATCGCGCGGTAAATAGTCCACATACCAGCAGCAACCGGCCGAACAGAGACAACCTCCAGATCATCATCATCGTCATCGTCATCGCCGTCCGTATCAGACCGTGAATTCCTCGACGCCATATCTAAGCATGCTGTTCGCGCTACGCAGTACACGTAAACGTAAACAGTTGAATAAAAGGAAAGTCGCGGGGGCAGTGGCCGGCGCGTTCTGAACTTCTGAACTGGGCTGTCCGGATTGGGAAAGGAGCTTTTAACTTTAAATTTGCGGCTTTTCAGATTTGTTCGGCTTCACATTCGCCTTGGCTGACCAGCAGACAAGCAATCGCGCAGAATTGAGCAATACAGGAGAATACAATTCAGACATATTCTCTCCTTTTCTAAGTCAGACAGAAAAGCTAGGAAGAAAAAAAAAAAGGTCGTTCGCAAAGGCAAAAGAGAATCCGCAGAGAGAAGGGGGAAAAAAAAATGCCTCTCGACACCTCAACCACATACCCCCTCACCAAACTCCGACTAGACGGACGACGATGGAACGAACTACGCCTGCTCCAAGCGCAAATATCAACCAACCCCGCCAGCTCCGGATCCTCGTACCTATCCATGGGCAACACGTCAATTATGTGCACCGTCCACGGCCCACACGAGACGGGCGGTGGCGCGGGCAGCAATGCGAGCGAAGCAGTGGTCGACGTAGACGTGAACATAGCCGGGTTTGCAGGGATAGATCGGAAGCGAAGGGCTGGAGGGAGTGATCGGTGCGATTTTTCCCCTCTACCTACATACATACCATACCGGTGTGTTGTGTGTGTGTTTAAAAAGGCTAACATGATCTCAGTCAATCCTCCCAACTCTCCAACACCCTCAAATCCGCCTTCCAATCGCACCTGCACACCTATCTCTACCCACACAGCACAATCACAGTGCAAGTCTCCGTCCTCTCGGCCGACGGCTCCCTGCTCGCCGCCGCCATCAATGCCTGCACACTAGCTCTCGTGGATGCCGGTATACCCATGCCGGGCCTCTTGTGCGGCTGCACAGCGGGCATGAGCGGCAGCGCATCGACGCCCGCGCAAGACGTCAATAAAGGCACCAGCACAGATGACTCGCTCGACCCGATCCTCGATTTGTCACTGCCTGAAGAACAGGAGTTACCCTTCATCACTGTCGGGACTACGACTGACCTGCCCATGGGCACGGGTATAGGAAAAGGGGTGGGACGAGAACGGCGGCGGAAGAGAGAAGGGAATAATGATAACGAGGGTGTTGGAGATGACGATCATCAAGAGGAGGAAGAGGAAGAGGAAGAGGATTATTTACAAAATGACGACGATCTTAAAGTGTCGGTCTTGCATATGGAGACGAGAGCGCATTTGTCGTATCTGGATACTATGCTTGCGGTTGGGGTTGATGGGTGTAAGCAGATTAGGGAGATTTTGGAAGGGGTTGTGAAGGGGTCGAGTATGGGTTTTGTGGCTGCGGTGGATGGTGGTGGTATAGAGGATGATGAAGATGAAAATGAAAATGAGGACGGTGATATTGAAGTTGATGAGATTATGGCATCTGATGTATGATATACCCGAAAATGCAACATGATGAGGCTTGTTCATACCTGTATGATTGATAGTGGCCCAGTCCGGAGCGGCTGCATAAATCCAGTTACTATTACACGAGTTGATAGGAAATCATTGCCAATGGCCTCTTGCCCAGACAAACTCTTGCAAACAAGGAGTCCAGAACAAGAAATACGAGGATTGTATTCTCAAGCTAATTGGCAAGATAAAAAAAAAAAAGGATAAGGCAAATCAAAAAGGCTACCCGTATTTTATTATCTTAAAAAGTCTTGTGTGCAGAACAAGATCGGGGGGCAAGTTTGATTGAACAGTACATATGGCAAACAATCATCATCTTTTTAAGCAGCACCAGAGTCAACAATCTTGGCGGTTCCCCGGAGAGCGCCGCTGGAGCTACCGAGCTTCTCAATGGCGTCAACAACGTCTTGGCCGCTGGTGACCTCGCCGAAGACGACGTGCTTGCCATCGAGCCAGCTGGTCTTGACGGTGGTGATGAAGAATTGAGAGCCGTTTCTATGACAAGTTAGCTGGCGCAGACAGATAAATATAAATAAATGAGGTATAGCTTACGTGTTAGGACCAGCGTTGGCCATGGAAAGCAGACCGGGCTTATCGTGGCGGAGGTTGAAGTTCTCGTCAGCGAACTTCTCGCCGTAGATGGACTTTCCACCGGTGCCCTAAATATCACGGGTAAAAAAAATTAACCAATGTCCTTCTCCATCAAGACATGTATTCAACTTACGTTGCCACGGGTAAAGTCACCACCCTGGAGCATGAACTGAGGAATGACACGGTGGAAAGAAGAGCCCTTGTAGGTCAGGACCTTGCCAGCCTCGTCGGTGAAGCCCTTGCAGAGCTCAGCAAAGTTCTTGGCGGTCTTGGGGACGACATTGTCGAAGAGCTTGAAGTCAATACGACCCTGCTTGGCTGGGGAGAGTTAGAATGATCACTGGAAGACCAAAAGGATAGATTGGGGGGCTGCAATGGAAGGAAAGAAAGGAAGAAACAACGAGGGGCAGCAGCATCAAGAGCAAGAACTTACTGTTACCAGGAGTGCCGTACTCGACAACGAAATAGGCAGAAGAAGACATGGCTGCAGAGGATTGGTGGAAAGCACGAGCTGCTGGAAACTGGGAGCAATTGAGGAGAGGACGGAAGGAGGAGGAAGAAGAAGAGGAAGAAGAGGCAACGAAGGAGCGAAAAGAAGAAGGTGGGGTGAGTGATGCTTTGAGGCTTCGGGAGAACATTGTTGCAGCTGGCGTGTTTGCCTTAGGGATCTGGCTGGTCGTGGAGAAGGAGGGGCAGGCAAGTCACGGGCGAGGGGCACAAGGAGGGGCTGGCTGCGTGCGTGTTAGGTAAGCGCTGTTACGGTATTGGTATTTCCCCGTATGTATTATATACGTTACCGGGTACTATCGGTATTAACTTGCAGCAGTCGCCTTCACATGATGCTTGCAAGCATCAGGAAAAGGATGTTGCTCCAACCTGAATGAATATATGGAGAGCAAACTTACCAATTGAGTGAGAGCAATCAGGGAAGCAGCCAATTGCAACAAGAGCAACCAGCAGGACTCGGTATGGTACAGCAAAAAACAACCGGATTCCAAGAACAGAAGAATCCCAAACCAACCAATGATAACACAGGCTCTCTGTTCTCTGAGACAAGAGAAGAGAATCGAAAAGAGTATTAAAAAGAATAAGAGTTAGACAGGAGTAATACAGTCGAGAAGAAGAGTGAGGACCAAACAGCTTAACCTGATGCAACGAGTAGACGACGTTTTGACCGAGTCAAGGAATCCTTTTGAAGGGGGGAAAAAAGGAGTCGTGGAATTTCTGCTTACTAACCACGCAGCAACCAGCACTAACCCAAGCTGGATGCCCGGCCGGAAAACGGACCCGGGTGGGTGTACGAATCACGTGATGGGTAATATTATCAGAAATACCCGGTATTAGCCCATCGATACGCGCGGAATACACATCCTTTTTCATTACTCTTTTCTTCCATGTTCCGGGGCTAGTTGATATTTAATGCAGGAAAAAAAAAAGTGATATATAGTCTTCATTCATTTACACATAACATCAAGATTGAGACAAACGGCTCAATTCAAATTCCCATCCACATCCACCTTGTCTGTTTGTCTGTCTGCTGCCGATAGTTTGATTGAATCTTTGTATAAATAAGCATTACCGATATGGTAGGTGGTATAGTAGTATTATATGAATATAAGGTCCCAGCAATCGTATCATCCCCCGTTCTCAGTTGTCTTTTCGCCTGTCGACGTATTGGATGTACCAGGAAGATGCTTGTCGTCTTGCGTGTTTCCGTTTGCTGCTGCTGCTGCTGTTGTTGTTGTTGTTGCTGCTGTTTGTTGCTCTTCTCCGGGTAGGTCTGCCGTCGACGCAGCAGTGAACTGCTGTTCATTCCCATCAAGCACAACAGCACTAAGCTCTCCATTCAGAGAGCTCAGCCCCCCCTCAATATCACGCACCAGCCGTACAAATTCCTCTGGCACAAGCCCTGATTCGCCCGTCCTCGGATCCTCAGCAACCAACCATCCCTGGCCATGCCGGTACGACACCAGGATGACCTGTCCTTCTTTCAGTGGGAGTTCATTCTCGTGCTCGCGCGTAAAATCAAACAATGCAACGGCTTTGCCATGCATTTCCTCATCCGGCGACCCAATCGAGAAATGGTAGTCGCGCGAATATCTGTCCGAATACTCATCCTCGTACCCGTAGTCTCCGCTGGCATTGGAGGGCGATAATAGTAATCCCTGGGTTCCGTCTGCTAATGCACCATTCCCATGCCCATAGGAATAAGCGTATTGGGAGTATCTGCTTTCACCAGCCGGGTATGTAATATATTCACCGCCAGGGCCATCACTTCCATCCTGGTCGCCTTGGACATAGTACGTTTCGCTTCCGTCTCCGTTGACAGCCACCAGGGTGCCACGGTCGGTCTCCTCGGTCCATCTACCACTACCACTACCACTACCACTACCACTACCATTACCATCACCTCCAGCTCCATGTCTACCATCAGTGCCATCGCCGGGACTTCTTCCGCGATCTCCGCCAAATGTATGCACGGACTTGTGCTTGCGATAGCGGGCTGTGATTATGGGACTATGCAGATCCTCATCCTCACTATAAGGCGGACCCCCATCGCCGAATGACACGGCGGGGAGCTGCTGCTGATTCCCATATGTTTCAGCTGCAGATGTACCAATGCTATTGTTTGAAGAGGCCCACGAATTCGAATTCCGCGTCGCTTCCCCCCACGCACCCGCCTGCGGATCAGACAGTCGTCTACCCTCGCTGGCAGGCGTAGAAGCCCTGGACGGAACGGGCAGCGGGCCATAATGCAGCGGATGGATGGGCGCATACGCAAAATCACGTACTAGAGCGTACGACAGACTGGAGTGGAAAAGCGGGAAGACGTGGGAAACAGGGCGCGATCGGTTCTGTGAGACGTTGGAATAGACGGATAGGCGCTCCTTGGCGCTGGAGGATATGCGTCGCATGGGGGGCAGTCTAGCGCTGTTGTTGTTGTTGCTGCTGCTGCTGCTGTCTGTGGTGGTGGTGGTGGTGGCGAGGGTAGGGAATGTGGGAGCGTTGTGCGCTTGGGGGGATGTGGTGGTTGTGGTTGCCATGGTTATGTCGAGTTCTGTATAGACATTAGCATGTGAAACAGACAGAGGCAGTGACCGCTCATACAAATCAAACGCTAGATCGGATCCTCCACTTCGATCAAGTATTGCATATCGAACGTATACAAATAAGCGTATGCCGGCTGACTGTCATTCGCGACGAGCGCTGCCCCTAGATATGGCTGGCGTATACCGGGCTGATATCCTCCCAAAGCGCAGAAAACGTGTCTCTTCTTAGACCTCGAAACTGGTATGGTATAAAGGAGAGTGGGCGAGGCGATGGAGAGCGGACAGACGACCAGCGCAGCAGAAGCCTTGACGTTTTCGACAGGAGGAACGAACGAAACAATAAAACAATAAAACAATGGAGAAAGAAGAAAGGAAGAAAGAAGAAGAAAGAAAGAGCAAGCAACGACCAACAAAAGGAAAGAACGGAATATTTCAGAATAGAATAAAATAAGAATGTAGAATAAAGAGGTGGCTCGCAGGGAGAAAAGATCAGGCAGGTTCAGGGAGGGCATAATCCTCATTGTCGAATCGAAACGGGGCGTCGCATGGAATTTAGCCCGTGCTAATTTTAGCCAGGCGGTCAGCGTGGGCAACCACATTGCCCTCTCTATACGCATGGATATTTGTATCTGTTCATATATATATATATATGTATGTATATTTATATATAGTTGTATATATTTATATATTTATATTATATTATATTATACTATACTATACTATACTCTGCTATATTCCCTTGGATGATCGATGATAACTAAATGGAAGATACAATATGGCACTATCATCTCCATCGGGATGCAGAGAGAAGCGACGAACATGCACGAAATGAAGGGCAACGGAGCCCTCCGTGCGAGTGCTATCTCTCGTCTACAACACGGGGCTGTTGCTCTCTGCTTGGTTGTGCTTCACAAGATACGAAAAAGGTGGAAAAGGATTCTTTGCAAGGTATCAGTTTTATTCCTCTCAATAATTCTGCTGCAGATGACGTGCACGCAGGAAGTCACGTGGTATGCAAGTCACCACTTAGCGTGTTTCAGGCGGGCAGCCAATCAGCGCGTCGGAGTCGGGAATGTTCAAGCTCGCCTTCTCGCTCCGAAGCCACGCCTCCGCCTCCGCCCTCGTCGCTCCAGCATGGTCAAACTGCCAGCGCAGCACCGCGTCGAAAACAGGTTTCATGAACGCTCCGCTCTTCTTTAGCCCGAACATGCTTTTGATGTCGGCCCCGCCCAGGATCGGTTTCAGTGTCGCTGCGTCGTGCAGGTCGTGCGAGGATACACAGCGCAGGAAGACGGCATAGCGGTTGGTGAGCTGGTCGTGCTGCTCTTCGGGCGTAGCCATCAGCTCGCAGAGCAGGGAGTATAGGGCTTGTAGTCTCCAGGTTACGCCCCAGGATCGTATGGCCACGCCGATTGTGCTTCTTCGGGGGGGTGGGTTGCTGTGATGATTCACTGCGTCGATGGTTGAGCGGATGTCGTCCATATTCTTGAACGATTCGCCCAGCGCTTTCCACTTCTTGGTCGCAGCATTAATGGCTTTGGCGGCGGCTTTGACTATTGTCCCATCGGCGTTGACATCCCCCCGCAGTTGCACCAGCGGAGACCATGCGGCCATCAGCCAGACCATCTCACGATCTTCAGTCTGAGCGATCTCTTTCGCAACGTCGCTATCGGCATTTAGCAGCAGCTCTGCCAACGCCACGCAGGCACGGAGCCATGTCGCCGGCCACGGATGGCCACTATCATCTCCACCACCACGCCTCATATCCAAGCTCTCCTGCCCAAAATCCAAAAACACAGTCCCATAAAGCCCCAGCTCGTAAATCCAGCGAAACGCAGCCACCGGATCAGGCCCCATCAACATCTTCTTAACCTCACCCCCAATCCGCTCAGGACTAATCCTCGTCCTCAGGGCCAACTGTATCTCCGGATCCTTCATTGCCTGCTGCGTACCATCAGCATCATCAATCGTAAACCCGCCTCCAAGCGTGCTCGCAAGTCTGATCAACCGCAGCATCCGTAGCGGATCATCCGTGAACGTGATGCGTGCATCTAGCGGTGTCCGGAGCACTCGGCTCTGGATATCCGTCAGGCCCTTTTTGGTGTGATCTTCAATCTGTTGCGTTTCAAGGTTGTAGAATATCGCGTTGATGTTGGCATCGCGGCGTAGGGCGTCTTCTTCGGGGGCCGAGGTGAATGTTAAGGTCTCTTTCTTTTTTTCCTGCTCTTGGTAAAGACTCTCGCTCCTCAAATTCACAAAATCAACCTCCAGCCCAAATATCTGCGCACTCGTAGTCTCCAAATGCTTCCCTTTGCCGGGGTTGCGCTCAATATGATAGAATCCTCGAATCTCAGCGGTCTCCACGCCGCGTCTAGCAGCTTCTTGCTTGTATTTTGCTGCTGTATTTCCCCCTTCTGCGAGGAATTGGTCTTCCAGATGACGCGCGAATGCAGAGCCCGTCATTGCGCTGCTGAGTGCCACGTCGATGTCGGCGCTTTGCTTGCCCAGGAGTTTGTCGCGGACCCAACCGCCGACGAACCACATTTCGATCTTGGGGCTTTCAATTTCACCTTTGCTGTCTTCTTCATGTGCTGTAGACTTGGTGGAGGTGGCGGCCCGCGTTTGGAGGATGTGCTCTCGACAGTCGAGAAGAAGCTCTCGCAGGAGCTGTTCTGCAGGTAGTAAATCGACCTGGTAGGAGATTCTGTTGCATTCCATGGCTGGCTTTCTAGTAGAAGAACTAAAAACAGTCTGCTGATCTAACAAGCAAGTGAGCAGAATCCGACCTCAAATAATGCACCCGCACATACCTGGATCACTCGAATCAATCCGTTTGATCTTTTTATTTGGAGGTTCACTTTCAAATTCTTCCGATTCACTTTTTGACTTGGTTGTGTCCATGGTTACCTAGGTGGGTGGGAGAATAGTCTATATATTTATATATATATCCCTCAGGTCTATGACTGGGTTGGATGCAGAAGGGAGAAAAAGTGACGCGGGCGGAGTCATACAATAAGGCCCTACTTAGACTACCTCGGTGACTGACTGTCATTGTCTTGTCTTGTCTTGTCACATTCGCATCTTTTGGATTTTTATATATATCTTGGATACTTTATTAAATTATCGTACTAAAAATATGATTTGGTAGAAGTTTTTCCAAAGTTAAAAATATGTATTTTATCTCAGTATGAGATCATTCTTGGTTGCATCCCTAAACCAATTTTATACATGAAGATGTTCGAGTAAGATCTTTTTTAGATATGAATGCAAATGAATAATGGACACCAAAGTGGCCTGCTAGAACCAGTCCAGCGACGAGCAAGAAAATAAGCCAACCCCAAAGACAAATGAAAGAAGGAATAGTGTCTCACGCATCTGCGAAAGCTAGAGGCCTCCGACGAGCTAACCTGGCATTCTGATTTGGTGGAAGCGTCGCTGTCGCTGGTTGCGTCACGACCGATGTTATGGTGGTTGTCACGGTGCTTGCGTCTGGGCACGTTGCTGTGGCTGTGATGGTCAAGGTTGGGTTGCAGGCAGCCGTGGGTTGTTGTACTGCTGGCGCTGCCCCCATTTGACCAACAGGTGAAGTGGTCACGGAGCTTCCTGGAGAAGTAGTCACCCTGGTTGGCATTGTCGTAGCTGGCGGAGGGATATTTGTTTGCCCTGACGTGAAGTATCCCGGAGTCAACGTCGCCGGCACAGTCACCGTAGCAGTGAGAAGACTCTCAAATATAGACGATACAGCAGCATCCCCATAATTCGAGACGTGCGCAAAAGACGCACTAGCCTCCTGGTTGGACGCACCCGCACCGTTGCTATTCGAGTCCGTGATAGAAACGTCCATGCAACTCGTATAAAACTGCGGCTGGGCCTTGGAATCCGTGGTATCCATCGTTGACCAGTCCCAAACCCAGTAAAGCGTGTATTCCGTCCCCGCGGCCAAATCATTCGGCAGCTTCACGTCCGTCTGGCACCATAGATTTGCGCCTTCTACCGATCCGGCCTCGGCCTTGCGCGGGAATTCCTGTTGTCGCTGGACCGATTTGGGCGCGTTACTGACCTGGTAGCACTGGCCGTCGTCGAAGAATTGGCTCGTGAGCAAGCGGCCTCGCGCGTCTCCTCCCGTGCCATCGAGAGTCCAGGTCTGATAAATACCAGCCAGCGTGTCGTCTTCGCTTGGCTTCGTGGTGCCGTAGACGTACACGGCACCGCTGCCCTCGGGCTTGCCGCTCGGTATCCAGGGCTGCGTGACATGTCCGTTTTCCTGGTAGCGTAGAGCAATGGAAGCGCCCGCGGGCGCCTGGAGGATTGGGCTTCCAGCGGTGTAGTTGGCTGTTTGCTGACTTGGTCTGCACATGGCCATGTCTGGGGTGATTTGGTCGCCGTTGTCGGTCGGGAGCTGCCACTCCATCATGTCGTCCTGGAACGCCGCTGAGCGCTGAACTGTGCCTCGAGGATAGCCTCGTGGCCCGGTGAAAGTGCCATCAGGCGCGAGGAGGGTCAGCTCTTCGACCCAGCTGTGCGCGTGGGCGAGAGGGGCGAGCGTCGTGGCCAGCACGATGAGGGTTTGCATGATGTCCAGCATTTCTACCTAGGCCGGGGAAAGACAGACTGATGGTCGAGTAGGGGGGTAAGAGGAAATATCCTCAGTCCATGTCAAACAAGAAATGAAACAAGAAATAAAGCAGTCTAGTGCGGCCAGCGCAGCGCCGGGTCATTGTGCTCCATTGTGTGAGTCGACATCGTATTGTCATCGACCATAATGAACATTAATGGGATTGTAGTAATAGTACTTCAATGACAACTCCAGACGTCAAATCCCAAGCCAAGACTGGGATGATTGGACAGCAGCCATTGGAATTGCCGTTTCGGGTGTGTTTCGCTATTGAGCCCTAACTGTCGTATTCATCATTCAGACAGTTAACTACTTAGTTAGGGTAAACCCGCCACCGTGTTATATTTATTTCCATTTAGAGTAACTAAGTACCACAGAGTAGGTAGCATTCATCGAGCACTGACAGTCGGCGGATTCAACCTTATCTCTTAGACAGCGTTAGTGCCTACTATGTACTAGATCCTATCGACGTAGGTAGTAATTAATATTACTAGGCATGGAGCCTCACTGTACCATACTCTCCTATACAGCGCAATGCAGGGCTATGATTCTTTTCAGAGAGCATCAGCTTTGCTCAGAAATCGCTCGCATTGTTGATATTATTCTTTTTCTTTGTTTGATCGGCGCAGTCGAAGCTAGCACGAATCGGGCCAGGCTTGGCTTGACCTTGGCTGATCCTCCGCCCCCAAAAAAGATTCCCCCAAATTCCTCCCATCCAGGCTGCCTCGTTCTGCTCCCACCGCTCAACTCTGTGTGTATGTCCAGGGACATATCCTAACAGCCTAATTGTTGCTTTTCACCAAAGCAACACGCCCTCCCTGTGCTGCGGCGAACTCGAATTTGCAAGTAAGTCCCTCACGTCCCCCCCCCCCTATTCCATCGCAGAGCCATTCTCCGCCACAGACGCGCGCGCAAGTATGACTCGGAAACGATCGACGAGAAAGAAACAAACCCCTGGCATGATTCTGCATATTTCGTACGCTGCCAATGCACACGCATGTATTGCAGTGGCAATGGCAGTCAATTGAACCGTGACATACATACCAATGGCGGTGAGCCAGACTAACAGTTTTCTCCGTTATCTTTGCAGAGCTGCTCGTCAAGCACAAACCTCCTTTCTCCCCATGCAGTACAGCGACTAGTATATACGTTTTTCTACGATTTGGATATTTCCCCTCCTCCTCCCACCCTCATACCCCGTGCCCTTGTCTGGAGGGCAGGGTTCCTTGTTTTCGCTACTCGAATACACAACTTCGTGTGCGGCAATGGCTACCTTGATCCCTCGGCGGTTTCGTGCTGCTGCCCCCGAAGAGGAGGCGCCTGAACCGAGCTGGTTGAAGAAACAGGTCACAAATGTCCTGCAAGCGGTATCTCGTCGTGCCTGTGCTCATCCCATCCATACCATTGTGGTAATCGCCCTCCTTGCCAGTACCACCTATGTCGGCCTTCTCGAAGGCAGTATCTTCGACGCCTTCCGCCATACCGGCAGCGGATCAAACCAGCTAGATCCTTCGTCATTCTTGCATGGTAGCCGACTTCTTCATCTTGGTGAACAGACTTCCTGGCGGTGGCAGGTTGAAGATAAGGGAGTATCCGAATCTACCGAGGTAGGCCTTGATGTCTTTAATGATATTCCAGTCTCTGAGCCGCTCGCTAAAAGCTTATTCCCCCCCTTTTTTTCCTTCTGCAGATCTCCCAACATTTGGCCCTGACTACATTCATCTTTTCCGACTCGACCGCATCCAATACCCCCGTAGTTGAGGACATTGCTATTCCGGAAAATGTCTCGGCTGTTCACGTTCCACACACTCCCAATCTGTTCTCTGCCTTCTCGCACGATTCACCCGTCGCCCTGGCTGTTCCGTTTGACAATCTGCCCGATTTCCTCAGGGCAGTACAGGAGATCAATGACCCGTCAGCTGATGACGATGGGCTTGAGCACCGCAAGTGGATAATGAAAGCCGCTCGGGGTGAAGGCTCTGAGCGCGCTCTGATGCTCTGGCTGTCAGATGCCTGGAGCTCGTTTGTGGATCTGATCAAGCATGCGGAGACAATCGACATTGTTATCATGACTTTGGGTTATATTTCAATGCATCTTACCTTCGTCTCGCTCTTCCTTTCGATGAGACGGCTAGGCTCACAGTTCTGGTTGGCCACCTCAGTTCTCTTCTCGAGCGTGTTTGCTTTCTTGTTCGCACTTTTGGTGACTACCAAACTCAATGTCCCAATCAACATGCTGCTACTTTCCGAGGGCTTGCCCTTCTTGGTTGTAACGGTTGGCTTCGAGAAGCCCACGCTCCTAACCAAAGCAGTACTCTCGGCCTCTATCAGCAAAAAGGCCGGAACAAACGGTCAGGTGCACTCCGCTAGGTCTATCCAAGACTCCATTGAGTTGGCCATCAAAGAGCAGGGCTTTGGTATCGTTCGAGACTACCTCATTGAGATTACGGTTTTGGTTATCGGTGCCATTTCGGGTGTTCATGGTGGCCTTCGCCAGTTCTGCTTCTTGGCCGCCTGGATCTTGTTCTTCGACTGCATTCTTTTGTTCACCTTCTACACTACAATTCTCTGCATCAAGCTCGAAATCAACCGCATCAAGCGCCACGTCGCGCTTCGCAAAGCCCTGGAAGAAGACGGTGTTTCTCGTCAGGTTGCTGAGAACGTAGCTTCCAGCAATGACTGGCCGCAAATCGATTCTAGCGATAGCAAGAATGGCGTTGCAGGCGTTCTGTTTGGCAAGAAGAACCAGGCCGGTAGCGTGTCTAAATTCAAGCTTCTCATGGTAGGAGGCTTCGCTTTGGTCAACGTTGTCAATCTTGGGTCAATCCCTTTCCGAAATATCGACCAGGGAACTGCCATTCCTGTTCTATCGAGATTCTCTAATGTGTTGGCATCGGCTCCCATTGATCCTTTCAAAGTCGCGGATAACGGCCTGGATTCCATCTATGTCACTGCAAAGAGCAACAAGTTGGAAACTCTCGTCACTGTTCTTCCTCCTATCAAATACAAGCTCGAGTACCCTTCAATTCACTACGCGAACTCTGACCACACTGGAAAGTTTGATATCGAGTACACTGAGCAGTTCTTGGATGTTGTTGGAGGAAAGGTATTGGAGAGCCTCTTGAAGAGTGTTGAAGATCCCGTGATCAGCAAATGGATTATCGCAGCTTTGACGCTTAGCATTGTTCTGAACGGATATTTGTTCAATGCAGCACGCTGGGGTATTAAGGAACCCGAACCGGAGGCACCAGCCAAGGAAACTCCCGTTGTCGAAACCCCCAAGGTTTTGGTCGAGTATAAGGACGATGGCACGAAGAGGACCAAGGAAGAAGCCGAGGCTATGTTGAAGGAGAAAAAGGCATCCCTACTAAATGACGAAGAACTCATTGAACTGTCGTTGCGGGGCAAATTACCTGGCTATGCTCTTGAAAAGACGATGGAAGACCAGCCTATCATGACCCGCCGAGAGGCGTTCACCCGAGCTGTCAAGATTCGTAGAGCTGTCGTTTCACGGACTCCTGCAACGGCCGCGGTTGCTAGCAACTTGGAATCATCCCTGCTGCCGTACAAGGACTATAACTATGGTCTCGTCCACGGCGCATGCTGCGAAAACGTTATTGGCTATTTACCCTTGCCCCTTGGTGTTGCGGGACCTTTGGTTATCGATGGACAGAATTACTTTATTCCAATGGCTACCACAGAAGGTGTCTTGGTTGCCAGCGCTAGCCGTGGTGCCAAAGCAATTAATGCTGGTGGTGGTGCAGTTACTGTGGTTCATGGTGACGGTATGACTCGAGGCCCCGGTGTGAGCTTTCCTACCCTTGCACGAGCTGCCGAAGCCAAGAACTGGATTGATTCCGAGGAGGGTGCGAGCATATTGAAAGCGGCCTTTGATTCAACCAGTCGATTTGCCCGTCTCCAGCACCTCAAGACAGCTCTGGCTGGTACCAATCTGTACATCCGGTTCAAGACCACGACGGGTGATGCCATGGGAATGAACATGATTTCCAAGGGTGCCGAAAAGGCTCTTCAAGTAATGGCCACCGAGTGTGGCTTTGACGATATGACCGTTATCTCTCTGTCAGCGAACTACTGCACTGATAAAAAGGCCGCCGCCATCAACTGGATTGATGGCCGTGGAAAGTCTGTTGTTGCCGAGGCTATCATTCCGGGTGACATCGTCAAGTCTGTTTTGAAGAGCAATGTTGAAGCCATGGTGGAACTCAACATCAGTAAGAACCTGATTGGAAGTGCAATGGCCGGCGCTCTGGGAGGCTTCAATGCGCATGCCTCCAACATTGTGACTGCCATCTTCCTCGCCACAGGGCAGGATCCTGCACAGAACGTCGAAAGCAGTAATTGTATTACAATCATGAGAAAGTACGTCATTTCCTTCTTTCAATATCATTCCATGAAATCAATTGTACTAACTAGATGCCACAGCTTGAATGGCAACCTTCACATCTCCGTATCCATGCCCTCAATCGAAGTTGGCACCATTGGCGGCGGCACGATTCTCGAGGCCCAATCCGCAATGCTAGAAATGCTCGGAGTCAGAGGACCGCATCCCACCAACCCCGGCGAAAACGCGCGCCAGTTGGCTCGAATTGTTGCTGCCGGTGTTCTTGCCGGTGAGCTTAGCTTGTGCGCTGCTCTTGCTGCCGGCCATCTCGTCAAGGCACACATGGCGCATAACCGTAGCCAGGCTCCCACGCGATCTGCGACTCCTGTATCAGCAGCCGTTGGTGCTGCGCGGAGTAGTGCTGGGCTTAGCATGACTTCGGTGAAGTGATATAAATATATCCCTTTACTATAACTGTGAGCGTGTTTTCTTGGTGATAAGGACACGCGCAGATAGATTGCCGTCTTTTTTTTTTTTTTTTTTTTTTTTTTTTTTTTTTTTTTTTTTTTTTTTTTTTTTTTTTTTTTTTTTTTTTTTTTTCTTTTCTCATTTTCCTTTTCCTCGATAAATGTCACGATCCATTAATTTTGAGTGATTGATTGATTGACCTGAAGCTTCACCATTGACATCGATACATTCCGTTATCTCTTATATACGGATGCATTACTTACTACCTACATTTTCCCGTCGTCATGACATGAAAAGAAACAAATACACGGCAGCGATGCCTTCTTTTTTTCTATGACTAGTCACCCGTACTTATATCACGGACATACAAGCAAGTAACTCACTAGCCCTAAGCAGTATCATCAACCCTCTCAATCCTCCCCCCATCCAGCTGAACAATCATCCCCCGACCCCCAACCTGCAAGGTCTCACTCACCCTATGCGTAATCGCGATAGTAGTATGCCCCTTCTCCACAAACTCGCGACGCATAATACCACCTATAACCGCCTCGGTCCCCGGATCAAGCGAAGAAGTAGCCTCATCGAGAAGAAGAATCAGCATGGCATTCGCATTCGCACAACCGCGTTGATGGGCTTCCGATATGCCCGTGGCAGTCTTCAAACCCTCAAGACTGAGAATTGCCTGTGCTAGAGTGAATATTTGCGTTTGGCCGGTGGATAGCTGCGGTAAGGAGGTCATGGCGCTGTTTAGGGTTTCGGAGGTTGTAAGCATCCTCGGGACTTAGATGTGGCCATAGTTGTGTTTCGCTGGAGGACAGCGATGATGCTCTCGTCTGAGAGGGGGGAGGAGGAGGAGGGCTGAGAACTGGTTAGATGGGATGATAGGTTAGGTATGTTTTTCTTACATCAAGGTTGAACCGAAGACTGGCCGGTGCGCCAGCACGAATGGATCCTGTATGACTGTGATGAAGCATCGTTGTCTGACCAAAGAGCGTGGGACAAGACTTATATCGATCCCATCTACTTTGATAGCTCTCGATTTCACGTCTAAGAGACGCAGAAGGGCGAGTAGTAGGGTGCTTTTCCCGCTTCTGTAGAAGAAATTTTAGCAGAAATCAATCAATCAATCAACGGGTATGGGACATATACTCACCTGCCTGTACAGCCACAAATGATTGATTGTTGACCGGCGACGACTTTCAGGTTGATGTTTCGTAAAGCTACTGCGTCTGGACTGAGTAGGGAAGTTAGAGAGTTGAAAGTTGTCCTGTGATGTAAAGACCTTACTTGTATTCTACCGTTACGTTATCGAACTCTACGAGTCCAGATGATGGCCAGCTGTTGTCAACGGCCATGTTGTTTTCGTGAGGTTCGTGCTCTGTTGGTGTATTGGCCTCTAGATTCTTCAAGCGAGATCTGAAGATGATTAGCATCTAGTCTTGTAGCCTGCTCAATGGCTCCACAGCAAGCAGTAAGCAGAGAACGAAGCTAGATACGTACATATCGCCCAGGGATATCTCCAGGTTAGTCCACAAAGTCACCAGGCTGAGAAGGGTTGTATTTGCTACCAGAACAATATTTAACGCCATACCAATCTGACTGGCGGTAGTCGTTCCGCGTATCAGAATAGCAAGAGTGATCAGACTAATTGCTATAGTAGCAATAAATAGATCAAGAACAATACCTAGCCATTATTAAAGGCAGAGCAGGATGTATGCTGGCTGTTGTGATGCGTCCAGCGATTTGATATTTACATCCGTAACTACTTTCTCCCATCCGAACTCCTGGATCGTAGTGAGGCCCTCAATCTGTGCTGTGGTCAGTTATGATACAGCTATACATTTCTCCAAATGGGGAGATACCGATTCTAGAAAGCTTGGTTATACTGCAGATTGTGACTCGAGATCGAGCAAGCGCAGTTGTCGCGATGTTTGTATATCCTCTGCACGAGATACACGACCACTACGCAAAGTGGGAAGGTCAACGACAATAGCTTTTGTGCACTGAACAGTAAACCTGCTTGCACGAGGAGCTTAGATATCTCTGTAAATTTGATAAGCTAAAGGTCTTGACGAGCTCAGGCAGAACTTATGGTTTGAGATGGACAGAATGGCCGGTGGTAGCTTTCTATTGACCAGCTGGATATCGTTACTGAAACTGCAATAGATCATCAGCATGCGCCTGTCGAATATTAACTACCTAGGTACCTGGTAGTCAAATCTAACCGGTTCAGGATCACGCCTATATCAGTGATCGAGAAAAAGCACAACGAGGCACTGTGCTTCATCAATACCAGTTAAGTAGCAGTCAAGTAATGTACACACACACCCCATAATCGTCGACAGAAGGCGCCGGTGTAATTCAGCCCCTGATTGGGGTGTAATAAGGATATGCGTTGACCTTTCTCCCAGTTTTAGTAGAGTCATGCTTACCTCAAATAGCTACGTAGGTAGAGCTGCACACACCACATTGAACCGTTGGTAGAGGTCCATGCCATGAGAGATAAGATGAGATAGCCTCCAATGTAAAAAGTTGTTTGGGATGCTGGCGCCTGAGTCCATTTTTGCAGCCAGTACTGGGGGAACGTGACAAAGAAGGATCACGAAGTTATGCATGCCTATGGATTGGAGATAATATCCTGTCAAGGTCAGTGGAATGTCATGAGATGGGGTTGTTATATATGTAGGTACCATAGAGTGAGACATCGCCTGTCGCCTGGTTGAGATTGGAGACAGCCTCGGCCATGTTCAGTCTCTGATTCTGTCTAATTTCATTTGCAGAACTTTTCTTATTAACACTTTATGTCTCAGCAATGTTATGTTTTAGGATGTTCTCGGGTTTCTCTGTCAAGCCAGCCTATGTATTTTTGGTATTTGATTGAAGAATCTCCGAGCACAACAATCTAATCTGCCAGGGGCAAGTGCGTAGCTATGGATTTTAAGCATTTGTGTCACAAGTTGTGATGAAGCCTTAGACATATCAGAATCTATTATTAAAAATACTGCTGTTTCCATTTGTCTAAAGAAAGCCCATGGACTGAGAAGGTCATTGACAATATAACTTTCTATTTTGCTATTACGAGTACTAAAACTATCATCTAAAAATACAATCTTGCAGTGGGCATATAATATATAAGCAAGAGCCTATATGTAGCTTTATTAGTAGAATTTAAGCAAGTTCTAAATGCTCTTCACTGGGTATTTGTGAAGGAAGATTATTCAAATATACCACGCATTATCTCTATTTACTGGAAAGGTTCAGACCACGACTCCCTATCATGGTTTGGTCTCTATTGGGGAGCGCTAAATATCATTGCTAAGGCAGTATAGACGAACAAACTGGTTATACCAGTGTTAATATTCTAGTGAGGAACCATAGATAGCCTCCTTAAGAGTTTTACTTGGCAGTTAGAGTATCTGATTACCGTAACCTACACGCTTTAAAGATACTGATATTGTTCTATTAGCTATAGATAGCTCTTTTATAATAGCTTTTGTAAGTGTTATTTTACTGCTTTTAATAGAACTAGAGCAAATAATAATTGATCCCCTATCAAAAACAAGATTAATGTTATTGAAGATAGGGGGTGTCGGTGAGCTACTCTTCTGAATGATAACATCCGCCATGCAAATAGCTGGTGAATTACTGTTTTTCAATACTGCTTGTTGATCACTTCGAGGCTGCTAGATACGGTCAAGAGCGGCCAGTGAGCCTATTGCTTGCTGTACTATCAACATGATCATGTTGGCTGGGTTCGTCACCAATCCGAGAAGTGCGGCGGTAGTGAAGGCTATCTCAGTATTGAGTTTGGTCCCATTCCACTATAACAGAACGACCAAGAGCACAAATATAACAATTAGAGAAATATGCCGAGAGCATTTGCTACAGGAGTAAGTAAAACCTAGCCAACATAGTGAGGCTCAAGGATCGTACAGATAACATACCACTTGCATTATAAGCGACCATCATCCACCACACCTTCTTAGCCATATCAACTTCTCAAAGTCTCAGAGTATGAACAAGAGATTCTATATATATTGTCATCCCTAGCATCTTTAAGCCCTTCATTAAGACAAGCATTAAGATGGTCATGGCAAGGCATTTTTATATAGCTACATTACAGTCCCTTTACCTACTCTATAAGTTCATCGCTAGGTATCTACTCATCCGTGAATAGACTTTAATATTTATCAGTGAACTTGCTGAACAAACAGCCAAGAATAACTCACAGAAAATGATCGCAAGCGGAACTAGAGACAACCCATCCAATCTCCCTAGTCAATATCAACATGCCTAAAATAACCTCAATAACCTGCACCCATGTCTTATGGAACACCTCCGCACCGTTGCTTCCTGCATCGGCGAGTACGATAAGGCGTGCTGAAGTCGCAATAGCTGGTTGATGCATCAGCTAATAACGTGTCTCAGCCAGGGTCATTATCTGTACACTAGAATGGGCATGGCTATGCATGTACAATTGCACATATACTGTAGCTGCCCCGCTCGGCTGGTCTATGAGAGCTAGATGCCGACTTTGCTTGAAATTAATATCGAATGAAAATCACTTACCGGCTGCTATTATTTTTAGGTGCATGCATTTGACTTGGGAAAAGGAGGTTAGGGTTAGGGCACGCTGTAAGGCCTCAAGGCATCAAACTTGTCTGATCTCCGAAAACAAAAACGTGATACTTTCTGGTACACCCGACACCCGTGGTTCCGCCGGTATTAGACTCCCAGCATAAGAGATTGCGCAGTTTTTAATCTATTTACCTTGACATTAGTTATCCGATAGTAGAGAACGCGTTGGCACAAAGCTTGTTTGGGAAGCTAGTAGATTTATAAATTACACACTAGACTGTTAGGAGGATACTGCCGTAGTATGACTGTGGATAATATATACACAATTCATCGTGTATAAGGTATGTAAGTGTAACAATACATACGGAAATACATGAGTGAATTTCGCGGAGTTTATGTCTCCCAGCGGACAAAAGGGGGGAGTCTGTATTAAACGTATTAAAATACCGAGCAGATACCAGCTGTGGCTGAGTCAGGTACGGTCCGCCCGTCACTGGCTGGCGTCCCAGCCGGGGTTAGCGGCAGACCCACCAAAGGAGTCTAGCCACTTTCCTTCCCGAATCTCCTCCCGTCCGCTCCTTCTGCAGTTTTGGGAGTCAAGAAGAAACGTCCGTCGCAAAAATCACACTGGCCAGCCTTACACTTATTCACCTTGACACGCCTGCCTATCAATCACGCCCCTTGACTCTCTGTACGGCCTTTTACCTGCCCTGTTGGCCTGCGCCTTCCCGTCTTTGTTGCTCCTTGCGTCCAGTCCGGAACCTCCTGAAACCCAGACGCATGACGAGGCTGGACATCGGAATATTTCATCGCATCTGCTCTTTTTTTTCTGTTTGCTTGAGCTAGCCCTAACCTTCCGTCCTCTTCTCTCTTGTTTCTTTTGTTTGTCGAAAAGGGGAAAAAGAAAAAGTCGTGCATCTAGTTATATCTAGAATGCATGGAGTGACAAAAACAGGATCGTCCACACGTCACATTTTCATTTGTTTGATTATTTTCTCTTCGCTCCTTAATTTTGCCTTCTTGTTCTTGTCTTTTTGGAAACTGGAAACATAATTGTTTGCAGACCAGCACATGTCTCAACCGATCATGAACGGCCGCAACGGCACCATGTCCCCCGTCTCCGCGGACGACAGCGAATGGTCTGGTATTGGCCAATACCAGCTTGGGCTGAAGCCGGATCCCCCAATGTCTCCGACAGTACCACAGAGCCGTGGGAATCTTGCGACGCCTCCAAGTTCTGGGACTCCCACTCCAACTAGCTCCCTAGGCTTAAATGGGATGCCTCCTCGACGACCTGGCGATGCCGGAAACCCATCTCCCCCCAACTCCGTCGCTGCCAGATCCAGCGTGGGAACTTTGTCAGACCAGCACGGCACACGATATCGCAGAATGGAAGAATCGCTAGCCCAGCATTACAACGCCCTTCGCCGGTTTTTGGGAAACCCCCATTCAAGTGAAAGGGCCGCAATGAAGACGAATAAAGCACGTGATAAACTATTGCGGCTATCCCCGACTCAGTTTCACGAATTGAGTACCGACGTCTTCGATGAGCTGATTCGTCGACAGCAAGCTGCCGGCGGTCCAGGACGACCTCCACGGACTGATATTCCGCCCTCACTACCTCCGCGTCAAGACTTTCATGAGAAACGCAACCAAGCTCGCCAAAAGCTCGCTTCGCTACAGATAGCTCGTTTTCGTGATTTAGCCACCGACGTTTTTTGTGAGCTGGAACGACGGTTCCCTCAGTTTGCTGGTCCGGATTTGCCGCGTGTGGGAAGTCCTGCTGGTAGTATGCTTGGTGGTCCTGCGCGTGGCAGCGGGCCGCCCAATGGTTTCCGGCCAGGCTCGAATGGTTTCCCACCCAATGGATTCCCTGGGGCCCCACGACCAGCATCCCGAGGTCCAGGTGGCAGAGGGTATCCTATTGGGGGCCCTCCTGGAGGCCCTCCTATAGGTCCTCCCGGCGGACGGTTCCCCCCGCGCCAGCAATCTCTTAGTGGCGGAATAGGTCCCAATGGCGATGAGAATGCGCCATTGCCGAAATCATTCCAGAGTAACACAATCGTGCCCAATAAGAGTACGCTCGTGGAGGACGACGACGATGATGCAGGCTTGGATGATGATTACGATGGACGCAGCGATGCCTTTGGGCTAGACTCTTTACAAAGTCGCAGAGAGACAACGGCGACCTTGGCAGATAAAAAGCTCTTAGCGGACAGTCAGGCTCAAGTCTCCACATTGCAAGACCGTATTGACGAACTAGAAACGCTTATGAAGAGCAAAGATGAGGAAATTTCTCGTTTGCAGGATGATCACGAGAAATCACAGGTATGGAAAACCAATCCTCCAATGAAAGTTTGTTTAGCAGTCGGGATCATTGACACATTTCGCAGATCAGCAATAACGAACGTGAGGAATGGGAAAGCCTAAAGGCTGAGCTGGAAAGCAAATTTACGGACGTGGAAAATGCAAACACATATCTGCAAAACAAAATAGATGAAATGCAGCAAGATCACTCTGAAAGGGAACGCGAGTTACGGGAACAAATCGAGGCCACTCATGCTACTGCTGCCGCCGCTGCTGGTATTGGTGCAGATGCCGAGCTCCAGCAACGGTATGATGAGTTAGAGGCACGACACGAAAGCTTACAACTCGAGCTCCAGGAACATCAAAACATGACTGAAGAGGTACGACGGGATGCCAGTAACTTCTTAAAGGAGATGAGAGCAATGTCTGAACGAAGCAATGCTACTTGGGAACGTGAAGAACAATTATCTCGCGATGTCAACCGGCTCGAGGAAGAAGTCAAAGAATGGAAGAGTCGGTATGTCAGGGCAAAAACTCAATTGCGACACTTGCGTACGTCCACTGTGGGCGTTCCTGATATAGCCGATACTGGCATTATCGCGAGGGAGAATGAGCTTTTGCAACCGAATGGATTGGTCAAGGATGCGCATGTGACCAGGTTTCAAATGTCAATCGATGAGCTATTGCGCTCAGCTCGCTCGGGCGAGCCCGGTCTTGTCCTCGAACAGATGAAAGTGGTTGTCGTGGCTGTGCGACATATCATGAATGACACAGAAGCTGTACAAAACGTAGAGGAGGAGATGTCTCCTGCTCAGAAGCGAGCCAGAGCGAAATTATCGGCCACTGCAAACAACCTCATCACGGCATCCAAGAACTTTACTGGCTCCAATGGCCTTCTACCCGTCTCGCTACTTGATGCGGCAGCATCTCATTTAAGTACGGCTGTTATTGAGCTCCTCCGCTTGGTCAAGATCTGCGCTAGTCCCGAGGAAGATTTCGAAGGTGAAGACGATGACAATATTGCGCCGATGCAATCACCTGGTTATTTCAGCGTGGCAGCTAGTCAAAGCCGATTGAGCAACCATGAGTCAGTATACAGTGCAATCAGCAGTCCATCAGCCAGGTCGCGAAGCATAGCTCACTCGCGGCGCACCATGTCTCGTAGCGGCATCCCCCTTACCGCTGGTGGCAAGGCAGGATACGGGGCAGTACGGCCGCAAGACCGTGAGCTGGAAGAACTGAAGGTATGCAAGAATATGTTCACAAACATTTTGCTTTCTCTCTTTTGAGACATTTCCTAACAGAATACAGCTCTATCTCGAGGACCAGACCCAAGGCCTTGTCCAAACAATCCAAGCCCTAGTAGCCAGCATCCGCGGCGCTGAGCACATCTCATCGATCCGCAATCATATTGGCGCCATATCGATCGTGGTAGGCAATGTGGTCTCGTCAACAGACAATGCCATGAACAAAGCCGCCGAGATCAGCCCAGCTGTCCGCGAGCGACTTGGCCCGGTTGTACAGAATCTAGCTGACTGCTCTGACCGTCTGTCTCTCACAGCTGCCGAGGGTGAAGACATGGAAGACAGTCCCGAGCAACTACGTGACTTGACAAGCAAACTACCTCCTATCGCATTTGAAATTGCGCGAGAGACAAAGGAACTTGTCCAACGCATCGACCAGCTTGAACTGGATGAAGGGAATGACGATTTTCGATAATTGATTTTCCTCTTTCTTCCTCTTTACAACTATTTGTTTTATATCCTTGCACCTTTCAACCTTCAATCTTGTTGTACTATACTATATTCTTCTTCTTCTTTCCCTTCCCTTTCTCTCGATACATTTGCATAGTAGAAGAAGGGCTGAGGAAAGAAATAACATGTGAACGACATGAACGATTCAATGATTTATTGATTATTCCCCTTGTGCTTGCATATGCATTCTTTCTATTAACTCGTGTTTAAAACACCCTCTCGCCGTGGACATGCTCGAATAACTCGGAGGCAAAATGATATTGATCAGAAAGAAGAATTATGTCTTGTCTCGATGCGTTGAATATTTGTTCTTCTTGTATATAGTCATATATAACTTTTATCATCTTTTTCATATAAACCTGGTCTGGTTGACTGCCTAACTGGGTGACTGGTTGCAGAATTGATATACATCTACTACCCGGTAGGTAGCCTGCCCAAGATACAGTTATTGAGATTGAGAGTACCTAGGACAAGAAAAAAATTCAAGACGAGAAAGGCCACCTATTGAGCAACTAAATTAACTAATCAAAAAAAAAATTCCACATCGAAGGCTGTAAAGCAGCAAAGAAACGATAACAAGGACGACAGAGAAGAACAAATAAACGCAGACTCGAAAAAAAAAGATCTAATATCCCATCTCCATCCCATCATCCACATATACTGCCTCTCCTGAGCAGGAAATGGGATGGACATGACAAAAAATAAATAAAAAAATTCATTACTTTTTCCCTTTCTTTCCTTCTCTTTCCTCTTATCTTCTTCTCTTCGCATATGAGAAAGGGAAGTTTCATATTTCTATCCAAGTAAATCCCCATTCCCCCCCGGTCTCGTGGACGATGACTGGGTAGAAGATGAGAAACCAGCGCTACCAGCGGAACCCCAAATACCGGCACTAGATTTCTCCTTTGCCATACTTGCCAGATTGGGTCCTTTATTGTTGGAGGTGTTCTTCTGAATGCCGGCGTTGGCGCTGGCGGTGCTCCAGAGGGATCCGAAGACGTCGCCGCCGGCACTTGATTTTGATGTTGATGTCGGTTTTGTGGTTGCGGCGGCGGCTGTTGGTGAGGTTAGGGATGAGAAGGAGGTGCTGCTTCCTACACTCGGTCTGCCGCCAATTGATGAGGTTGTGGTGGTGGTAGGTGTGGATAGTGCGGCGTTGACGGATGTATAGTAGTTTGGTGTCGCGGCTTGGAAGCCTGATGGTTTAATGGCAGGTTGTTGTGGGGCTGGAGCTGGAGCTGGAGCTGCAAATGCAGATCCTGAAGATAGTGGCGGTGGTGATAATGTGGTTGAGCTGGCTGGCGTGGTTGTGCCGGATGTAAACCCTACGAGTCCTGTCAAGTCGGCGCCCTGGGCTGCTGAGACTGGCTTGGGGGCAACAAATTGGGTACTCGGAGTTACTGTCGACGCAGCGGGGATTATCGTGGAGAATTGAGAAGTAGTTGCAGGTGGTGATGCTGACTGGAAGTCATCGAAGTCGTCATCTGCATCCGCAGCTCCCAGGACATCTAGCCCATTACCGCTAGTTGCTGGTTGTTTTCCTGCCGCCGTGGACGAAGAAGACACTACCACTTCCTCATCACCAAAGTCGAACAAGTCTGCTTCTTGCGGCTTTGGCGGCGGCTGCGGCGGCTTAGCTTGTGTCCTTGGTTCTGCCTGGCGTCGAACAGGGGGGGATATCTCATCATCTTCATCGTACTCCTCGAACCGACTGGATCGTCGGGCAGTATCTGCGAAATCGCTAGGATCGCTCGCACCACCGAATCCACCTCCGTCGCCAAACACACCGCCACTGTACCCTCCATAAGAATCGCTGCCAAAACCGCCATATCTACCGCCGCTAGCACCGCCGCTAGAAAACCCTCCACCCATGCTTCCTTCCATACCGCCGAACTTGTTACGGTTGGCGCGAGATTTCTTCCGTTCTGCGCGAATAGCATCCACATCGCCTAGCAGCTTCACCAGCTCCTGAGATCGATTGCGCACGTTAATACCCTGGTCCTTGCCATTATTGTCAATGTAGTGGAATTGGCGCAGCATTCGCAGTAGAGAAAGGTGTGATCTCGCATCGTCAACAACGCGCTCGGAACCGTTCTTGACAAGGAATTCGAGAAGTTGCAGTGCCTGTCAATCGATCGTCAACTTTCATTCCTTGACAAATACACTTCCATGGCGCGTAAAGGGTCTGCTCTGACCTTATATATTTGTCTCCATTCCTCTGCCGTTTTCTCTGTGAATCGTTTGTAGATCATAGGCATGATTTCGTTGAGTAAATGACTGAATGCGAGAAGAAAAATATGTCAGTCACTAAACCTATAGCCTCGCTTCGTATGGCAGTCACTGACTAGTTATGTGTGCCACTCGCAATTTCCTGCATCAGGGTAGACGATGCGCCCCACGGCTCATTGTTGGTGGCTTCTCGGACCTAAGACAGTCGCAATCAGCATACCAATTTCAATTCTTTAAGCGCGAGCAATCAATGAGACAAACCTTGGCCTCCATTTCTGTATAATTCATAACAGCTATCCATAGCAAAGAACAATCAGTCAGCACCAATGTTCCAATTCAATGAACAAACGCTACTACCACCGCTTCCGTCTCATTCGGCATGAGGAAAACTCGGACTTCGCTCATAAATCGAGTACCGAGGGGTGGAAGGCGAGCAGGGGAGAGAGAGGGTCCCATTCTTTTTTTTTTTCCCCTTCTTACCATTTTGAACTTTGCGAACACCCGCCTTGATATCATACAAGGTCAGGTTGCTCACCTGGTCTTTGAGACTGCTGAAATCCATTGTAGAAACTTGTACCGGTCACAACCGAGGAATCCGCAAGCCGTTATGCGAGTAAGAGAACTAGTGATTTGGTCGAGGGTTTGGGGAATGTTGTTCTTGGCTCGAATCAATGGAAAAGGAGGTTGTCGGCCAAGGCGGAGATGCCTGATGCCATATGGCTTTAAGAGCTTAGGCTGTGATCCGCCGACCCGCGCGAGCGAATTAGTACTGCGCCGTCGATCACGTGAACACTCTGCACATATATGATTATTAAAGGTGGAACGAGCTATGTAAATATTCATTGGTAGCTATGGTATGATGAAGTTGAATAGTAAGCAATTAGTTTAGTATACTTCAGCCTTCTAGTTAACGTTACATACAGGTATGAGAGAAACAATAAGTCATGCGTGAGAGGCACGTAAACATCGTAACAACCACCAACCAGCCAGCGAACTCACACAAGAGAGAAGAACTGCCTGAAATGGTATAAGAAATATATGCAGTGCTAGAAACAAAAAAGATCAAATAAATAATAAAGCACAATAAAAAAACACACACAAACGATTCGCTATCCTTAAAAACCAGCCGAGACCCCGAGTCCAGCCCTACCTCTAAAGATATCATTGAACGCATTTGAAAACATCAAAACAACACGAACCTGCACGCCAGGTTCCCTTTGGGGTAAGCAAACAAAGAAAAGAGAAATTCCATTTATTCATTATAGAATTTTTTCATAATCAGGTGCACGAAATAATCAACGTTCACTCGTAAGCTGCCTTCAAAGAAGTCGAGGAACTGGGTATTGTTGTACTGTGCTTGAAGCAGGTCATCAAGTGGCACCTGCGCGTTAGCTCCAGGTATCATCATATTGCCACTGCTTCCATCAAGGGTAAACACTCCGACTTCGTTACTGGAAATAGTAAGGTCCACTCGGTCCCATTGACGATCCGTATAACCTCGCCAATGCACTAGAACTCCTTTCTCTGCAAGAGTTCGTGCCGAGTACTTGTAAGAACCGAACTTGAACACTCGTCCTGTTTTCTGGAGCTCACGTTCGTGATCCCACTGTTTCGTAAAGGGCATCAGAAACCTTTTCTTCCCCTTCTTATTTTGAAGGGTAATCATTGAATGCTCAATGTAGTTGTTATAAGTCTCTAGTTGTTGCTCGAGATACTCAGCTTGATTATTAAGCCTTGACAATGTTAATCGAACACTCTCCAACTCTCGCTCGCGTTGTATCCTGCGGCGGTGTTTGGTCCGAATATCCACGGCAATCGCGTTCAAGATATCTTGATAATGGTTGTGCCGGCTGATCTTTCCCACTTGCTCTAATTGCAGAATGTTCTCAAGCGCAACACTCTTCAAATCAGCGTAACTCATAGTGCTAAGGTCTAGCACCGAGTTCACTTCCGAGTAAGCACCCCTTCGTTTATTGTTCGCAGAAAGTTCGTCGTGAACAAGCGAAAGCCACCGCTGCTCATCCTCCTCAGTTGGCGACTTAAGCATTATTTCCATTAGATTAGCTCCAGTCTGAACTCTAATAATGTAGAGGATGCATCGTTTTGTTTCCATAAACAAAGCTCTGACGCCTGCCTCCGGATCTGCGTCATGTTAGTTTCTGGCAATCAGACAATTCTAAAAAAGATGGCTATTCTCACCTTCGGTGTTTGTGAGCCTTGGGTTCAGAGTCAGGCTGATTTCGGACGACCTGACTGCCATGAGCTCGTGTTCGTTGGACTTGACATTTCCGAGTTCCCGTATAATCTCCTTCAAAGTATCGTCCGGCTGTGTGCACAAGAAGTTTATTTCGGACGCGACAAGCTGATGAATAGAGAATATATCGGACATTTTGATGTACAGGGTTGGCTTGGTCTTAGCGTAGAGGTCATTGAACTCGTCGATATCAAAATAAGATTCTGCATCTTGTACAGTGATCACTGATGATCGGTTAGACAGGTCTGGAATGTAAAAGAGCGTTACAGAATGATTCAACCAAACTTACTATCTCCCCAAATTCCACCAAGGCGCTGAATAAAGCTTCCAAGATGGGTATTGAGTGGCTGCAAATAGACACTTTCGTCGCCAAACAGTCGGCCGGATGCTACTTGAGAAAATACCTTGGCAATCTCATTCAGGTCCTTCTTGCCCTTGGGATCTATACTGTGGTCAATTACTCCATGCTTTTCAGGCTCCAGAACTGCAGCTTGAAGGTAGTTCTTCCAGATATATTGTCCAGCCACTTGAAGGATAAGGCCAGGGTCTTCGTTGCTATAGTGAGAGACAAGCAATTCATATAACTCCTTCGCAATGTAACGTATTCCGAAGGGCATTTTTGGAAGCGTCTCTTGAAATCTTGCGAGGAGTTGCTCTGTGATATCACGAAGATCCTCGAGGTGTCGAATAAATATAGCGCGTGTTTCTGGATCCCGAATGGCGACTTCTGTGGATATGTCAAGAGGACGCCTGCTCTTTTGACCAGTACGAAGTTCTTCGTTAATGACAGAGGAGCGATAGATTTGCATTGGATCACTTTCAAGGTCTGTTTCCGAGTTCTCAAGAATCCACTCTTTGACAATAGGATTCAAGATTTCTCGCAGGAATTTTCGGTCTCTTGGTGACTTAACGTATGCCACGAACAGTTTGGTCCAGAATGAGTTGCACCGAATCCAGTCATTCAACGTTGGACAGCTTTGTATTTCCTCTCTAATGGAGCGCACAATTAGCTTAATAAGATAATATTCTTCGCGTCTCTTTTGTGAATAACCGAAAAGTCCCATAATAACATGTTTTGTTTTCTCATATTCCTTGTCGCTAGTATTCTGTTCTCGAAGTTTGCGGAATAACCTGGCGAGGTACTGCGGTTGAGTTTGAAGAAGAAAGAACAACACTTGGTATTGTTCGAGTTTCTTCCGGGAGTTCTTGTTCAACGCTTTGAGATCAGATGGGTCCTTTGAAATGATGTTCTTGTTCGACAGAAGAGACCCAACATGCCCACCAAAATGCTTTTGATGCTTAACAACTTCGTCGAGCGTAATCTTGTTTTTCACCAGCAGAGCAATCTTGATATCCAATTGTGAAATGTATTGATCCGCCATTTCGTTCTGTCTTACTTGCTGGACAACCGTCTTCCGGAGTCTCTCAAATTCAATCTCCTCGTCGAAATCAAAATCACTGTCGTTGAGTAGATGAACAAAGCCCTTGATGGTGCCCACCGGAGGGTTCTTTCCACTCGTAAGGCTCTTGTATGCCTGTCCTTGGATCTTGGCTCTGACAAAACTCTGGACCTTGATAACCTTCTCCATGTTTTGTCGGAAAAATCGTTGCTTTTCGGCAAACCTTAGTCTAACGAGGAAACCTCGGATGTTTGCTTGGAGGTCGGTAACGGTCTCTTCTTCGGCTTCTAGGTCAGATAGAAGATTGCCTACATCGAGGCGGACAAGCATTGCCCGAATGAGTCCCTGAAGCCTGATAACCTCATCCTCATTTTCCTCGAATTGAGAAAGTAGCTGCCCAATATCTCTTCTAACTAGTGCAGCTCGTGTGAGAGATTGCAACGTGGTGAAAAGGGTCCCGTTTTTTTGAAGGCTTTGCAAATCAGAATTTATTCGCTTTCTTAGGAAGAGACCGCGAGTCATAGATTGCAGAATCAGGACCTCTGATTCTGCCTTAGCCAATGCAGACTTCTGTTCCTCAAGCTTAGACCGGGCTGCATTAGCGCGAATTAAACTTTGAAGTTCTGTAAAGGGTTCTTGGTGTCCTTTGAGTTGATCGCGGAGGGTCTTGAGCTGCTTGCGGACATTAGCGGCTCGAATCGAGGATTGCAAGGAGCATGTTTGACTGTCCTTCTGCGCTAGTGCCTGCTTCAGACTTGTCATACGAGCTCTTTCTGCTGAAGCTCGAATTGCTGATTGAATAAACACAACCGATGGAGCTTCGTGCTGTAGCTGAGTCGCGATGTCATTCATAGAACGACGCAAATGCATTGCGCGAATAGAGGCTTGAAGTGTGGTTATCTGGGTTTCGGCACCCTTTGTCTGTTCGACCTTCTCGGAGGCACTTTTTCGTTGCATAGCGCCTCTGATCGCTGCCTGGATGAGTTTAATTCCAGGTTCTTCTCGTTGCACTCGTATCTTCAGCTGCGATACCCGATTTCTGGCTTTTCTACCTCTCACAAGATTTTGGATCTTTAGCACCTCTGGTTCCTTGATTTTCCACCATTCCTCGTCACTTTGTCTCTTGGCGCGTACTAAGAAGCCTCGGGAAACGGCCTGTAGGTTAATGGCAAATTGACGCATGCTTAGGCGATATTCGATAACTTGACGTGCCCAGTCTCCACGTATCCTCGACTGTAGATCAATGATCAAATGCTCATTGTCCCAAAGCTCGTTCATAACGTGCCCTAACTTGACTCGCAACAGAGCGCCTCGTATCTGAGTCTGTATCTCGCTGACAGAGCTTTCATTCTCGCACAATTCACGCTCGATACGTTGCTCCTCTGTTTCCACAGGCTCCGGTTCGGGTTCGGGTTCAGGCTCAGGCTCAGCACCAAACGTAGCGCCCATTCCAGAGAAACTGGGCATACTGACACCAGCCTTATCAAGCCCTTTCTGTGTTTGTTCCAGTTCATGGTGTTCGAATTGTAGTTGACCGACCAAGTTCCCTATACGAAAATCGACGATGCCATCCTTGTAAAGTAGCCACGAAAGAGCATGGATACAATGAATGACCTTGGGGATATTTTTCTTCTCGTACAAATCAATGAGCTCGAACCTAAAAATGTCGGGTAACGCAACTTCGTCGAGGAAGCGAAAAAAGAGAGCTATGTTATCAGAATGACGATACTGTAGGCGTGGATGGTGGAAGATACGAAGGGTTCTGTTAGGATACAGAGCTTGTACAATCTCAGCCAAAGTCACGCCATCTCGAAGTGCTTCCTCTAATTGAACAATTGGTGGAATTTCTTTCCGAATCACGTCTTCTATCCATTCCTTTGCCTCTCCAATGTGACAAAGGTATTCGTAGGCCTGAAGAAACTGTCTTTGCTTATCCATCCAATTTCCGGCTGCCCAAGACGACGAAACATTCTTGTTTTTCGCAGCAGCGGTTCCTCGTATAGAATCTGAGCGTTTAAGGCGTCTTCGTCCCCCCAGACCGACAACAGAAGGAAGAGCTGAATCAAGTGCGAACTCCTCCGTTTCCCCAGACTTGGCAAATTTTGAAAGAGTTCGGAGGTGTCCAGTAGAGGATTTCTGAAAAGTCTCGAGTTCCGGTGCTGTAAATGATGCTGTCAGGTTGGGCGGAAGAGGACTTTGACGGCCGTGTGAATGCTGCGAACGTGGACGAGGAGGTGTGGTTGTTGAGCCGGAGAAATCTGTATTTCCCTGAGACGATAGCTCATTGTCTTGCCATCTGATTTTGCGCTCAGGTGTGCCTGCTGGGGATACAGATTTTCGATACGCAGTTTCATCAATGGTATAGCTTCTGGTATGGCGGGTTGAGCCACCCTTCAATGAGCTTTTGGGGGACGCGTTTGGCGGTTGTGGTAGTGGGCGCAAAGAGCGACGGATATTTCCATATGTTTCTGCGGCAGAAGGGCGTCGCTCGTGCATAGTGGAAGTATTTGAATTGAAAGCGCCTACTTCACTCATGCCACGTTTGTGGCTGAAACCAGCTATAGAAGACGCATTCGATGAGATAGTACTGCTGCGAGTGGGTGTCGCTGTGTTCGAGAAAACAGAGTAGGCTGATGAGTTTGTGGAAGCAACAGAGTCGTGACGCAGCGGACTCGAGGCAGAGTTCCCGATGTCGGTCTGTGATCGTCTAAATGCTGTTGAATCTGACATTACGGAGCGTATAGTGAGTCGTGAAGTGTGCGAAGATGAGAGTCAAGCAAACTGTTCAGCTTCAAGGGACACATGCCTGCGTCCCCAGCGCAAGAATTAGAAAATGGAAGTCACTCAGTGCTTGCACGATGTAAGTACTAGCAGGATCGGGCGTAAACAAGGAGCAGATTGTCGCCGAATCGGGCCTGGCGACGACGTGAGTCGGTAAGCACAGAGCAAGCAAGAAGCAAGTCCACCTTCTCGTGGCTGACGAAGAGCAACTTTAACAAATCGGCCGAATTAAGGCTGAGATGACGCTTGAGGATTTTGATAACAACAAAGACAAATGGGCCGGGGCTAGGGTCGGCGGTTGGTCGCAGCTTCCTCAGGAAAGGAAGCGCCTTCCGCGAGGGGTCGATTGTTTACGTTGTTTACATTTGTCCCGATATGGCATAGTCGCGCGTTGCCGGTTGCTGCGAGGCTGTTACGTCATGTGATTTGAGCTTGGACTGTAATCTCGGTGTAATTACTCCCGTATTTTACACTCCCCGCAGTAAATGTCGGCGACAATTTATCAACGTTTGGTTTCTAGACGTCTATTCCTGCATAGACCGAGCGCAGCGATATAAATGGAACATGGCTTCCTCAGATGGCCCCAAATATGTCTATAAGATCGTTCCGTCGAGTGCGCCCATCCCCGAGTCTTTGCCGGCGAGACTTCCCATCAGCGATCTCGACCAACAGTCGGGATTCATCCATCTCTCTACAGCGCTGCAGGTGCCGAACACTTTGAAATTCTTCTTTAAGGACGAGCCTTGTGTGTACATGCTCCGAATTGGATATGAGAAAGTCCAGGAGAACATTCGGTGGGAAAGTCCCGATGCAAAGGTCTGCGGCCCCCGAGGAGGCGAGGGCATGTTTCCGGTAAGCGGCAGTTGATTCTATTTATATTCGTTGAATGAATATTATTAATGACGCATGTTAAAGCATCTTTACAATGGTCACAAGCTGGGAAAGGACGAGATAGAGAGTGTGGCTACTTGGAAGAATGAAGATGGCTGGGACCGTGCATTAGAGAACGCAGCCTCATGGCTTGTTTATTGAACTTCGAATAACCTTTTGAAGACGCAGATAAATTACATCTAAATACGAGCGATTCGCCGTTTAATTTTACGGGATACTCCATATGAAATCCCACACCCAGTGTGTTCTGGAACGCAGGGAACGAGCCCATCTCTCGTCTAATCGCCAAGTGGATAACAATGAAGGATTTGACCATCTAATAGACAGTTACTCAGCTCAATGCACACACATTGGGATGTGCAAAAAAATACTCACAGTACAGCGAAGACTCGGGGCTGGCTAGGAAAACAAAAGTGGGCGCAACTTCACTTGGTTGGCCAGGGCGACCTAGGGGGGATTTCGAATGCCAATTCTCCATCTGCTTCGCCGGCCGTGTATCTGACTGGATAGGAGTATATACCGCTCCAGGTCTTTCAATATCTGTCCGTCAGTATTATCACTCTTTTGTCATTGTATAAGAACTTCCTCGGCACATACGCTACGGCATTAACCCTTATCCCTTTGGGGATCAGCTGAGACGCTAGGGAGCGTGTGAATCCTACAATTGATCCTTTGGTAGCTGCGTAATCTACCATGCTAGAAGAACCACGGAAAGTGACCACAGACGTTGTGTTGATGATCCTGATAGAAGGTAAAAATACAATCAGTACTGTGCGAAATTCTCGGCAAGCATGTTCAATCTCTATACTTACGAGTCCCCCTTCTTCATGTAGGGCAGTGCAAATTTGGTCATCGCAAACATCTGCAGGATATTGGTCCGGAAAAGATTCTCAACGTTACACATATCAATATCCGTAAAGTTCTTGCAAATGTACTGCTTGGATGCATTGTTCACGAGAATATTGACGCTTCCATAACTATCAAGATCTATGATTAGCAAGGAATTCACAATGGTGATTTGTATGACTTTCTCATACCTCTGGAAGTGCTGATCGACAGCTTTGCGGCAATTTTCATAATCCGTGAGATCTCCGGCAAATAGAGCACACATCCTCTTTTCTGCCTTTACCAATTTCTTTGTGTCTTCAGCGTCTGTTTGCTCTTCGGGGAGATGAGCAATGGTCACATCGGCACCCTCTTTTGCCATGAGGATTGCAACAGACCGGCCAATGCCAGAGCTGAACCAGTTCTCTCTTTAGCGGATGATTCTCTCAGAGGGGAATTGAACGTGGGACTTACTCTCCACCGGTGATCAACACATTCTTGTCTTTCAGCTTGCCGCTTCCAACATACTCGATGAACTCGTCAGTGTGCTCAAGCTTGGTCGATTCACTAGCAGGCTGCATGTTCTTTTCAAGCCTGGGGACATTACGCAAGTTAGTATGTATATAATCATATTGTTAATCTCAACCATTGAGGACTCAATACCCAGGTTTTGATTGGCTTTGGGAAGCTTGCGGAGGCTTGAAAGCGCCATGCTGTGCCGTTTGCTCTGATGCCATCTCGACAGATGAATGTTGTAAATCGACTGATGGAGTTAGACCTGGGATTATTGTATATATACAACCTGTGCCTCCACGAACCTCATTATGTCGTCATTGTAACGGGGTTCGTCTGAGCATCCATGGATGGCAAAATGAAGGACGTTTTCCAAGGTTTTATATAGAGTTACCTAGGTAGAGGTAAAACGTCTCATGCATCTGCTTTAGAACTCTGTGAAGGGGCATGGACCTGGACAGCTGTACCACCACGCACACATTTCAGGTATCGAACTACAGCAATTGATCTTCTAAACAAAATCCAAACCGATCAATGTTACCAAAGACGAATGTTTTCTTTGATGAAAAAGAGATGCCTGAGGATCCATGATTGGCTGATAAGATAGATGATTAAGCCATGTGCTGACAATTCACCGCCTCGTAACGCCAGCCAATCACAGGCTAGCGCGCGCACCGTTGACCCCACAGACCCGAAAAAAAAAGTTATCTGCGTCAAATCCAGACTTGCCCTCTCTCTCTCTTTTTTTCTTCTTTTTTTTTTTTCTTTGGGAAAGGAAACTCTTCCCCGTCAACAGACGCCTATCGGAATCTTCTGTTGACTGTTTTCTCATCTATTCTTTTCATTTTATTTCACTCATACCTGTCAATTTATTTTCCCCGTCATATATCATCATGCCTATCTCCAACGGCGACGCCAGTGGACTCCTCCACACAAAGGGGGAGATCCAGGACTACACCAAGGCTGTGGAAATTCTTGAGAAAGAATATCCCAAAGACGGCTTGGATGTGGAGACCCTGCTTGATTCCGACAAGCACGGTGCTCTGACTTATAATGATTTCCTCATCTTGCCCGGCTACATCGGTATGGGATATCACAGCTCAGACTGTCAAAGATGATTTTTTTTTCCCGCTAATTTCTGCGTGTTTATCAGGTTTCCCTGCTTCCGATGTCACTCTTGATACCCCAGTGACCAAGCGCATTTCATTGAAGGCGCCTCTTCTGTCCTCCGCCATGGACACTGTCACTGAACACAACATGGCTATCCACATGGCCCTCCTCGGAGGTCTAGGTGTTATCCATCATAACTGCTCGGCTGAGGACCAGGCCGAGATGGTCAGGAAAGTCAAGCGCTACGAGAATGGCTTCATTCTCGACCCCGTCGTGATTTCTCCTCAGACCACCGTCGCCGAGGCCAAGGAACTCAAGGCCACTTGGGGATTTGGTGGCTTCCCTGTGACTGGTAGGTTTCCTCTTACTTGTCCTTCTTTTTCTTTATAATCCGATGCCATTTTCATGATGTCCAAACATCTTTTACACAAATAACTTTCGTTCCACCGTAGTCAGCGCAAGCTGTGGGGAGAAAAGATTTCTATCTGATTTATACTAGCTCTTCTTTTTATCACTGCGAGTTTATGATTCTGGCTTAACATTGCAAATTCTAATTCGTGATCACATTAGAAAACGGTACTCTTCGATCAAAAATCATTGGCATTGTCACCAGCCGTGACATCCAATTCCATGACTCCGATGCAGACCCTGTCACCAAAGTTATGTCCACTGATCTCGTGACCGCCCCCGCTGGCACCACCTTGGCTGAAGCCAACGAAGTGTTGCGTAACTCAAAGAAGGGCAAGCTTCCCATCGTTGACAAGGAAGGCAACCTTGTCTCGTTGCTTTCTCGCTCAGATTTGCAAAAGAACCTTCACTACCCCCTTGCGTCCAAGCTTCCTCACTCTAAACAGCTCATTTGTGCTGCTGCTATCGGTACCCGTGATGCCGACAAGGAGCGATTGAAGCTCCTTGTTGAAGCTGGTCTTGACATTGCCAACGTCGACAGCAGCCAAGGAAATAGCTTGTACCAGATTGAAATGATTAAGTATATCAAGAAGACATACCCTCAACTTGATGTCCTTGCCGGTAACGTGGTTACACGAGAGCAAGCCGCGGCTTTGATTGCCGCCGGTGCCGATGGCCTGAGAATTGGCATGGGCAGCGGTAGTGCATGCATCACCCAAGAGGTTATGGCTGTCGGCCGTCCGCAAGCCGTGGCTGTCCACAGCGTTGCCTCATTCGCCGCCCGCTTTGGTGTTCCCTGCGTTGCCGACGGTGGTATCCAGAATGTTGGCCACATTGTCAAGGGTCTTGCCATGGGTGCTTCTGCCGTGATGATGGGCGGTCTACTTGCTGGTACTACCGAGTCTCCTGGAGAATACTTTGTCAGCAGTGAGGGTCAGGTCGTCAAGGCCTACCGCGGTATGGGTAGCATTGACGCTATGGAAGACACCAAAGCCGGAAAGGGTGGCAAGGATAGCAAAGCCAGCAACGCTGGTACTGCTAGATACTTCTCGGAGAAAGACCGAGTCCTTGTTGCTCAGGGTGTGTCCGGATCTGTCCTGGACCGTGGTTCCGTGACCAAGTTCATCCCATACCTTATTGCTGGTATTCAGCACTCGCTGCAGGACATTGGAGTGAAGAGCATCCAGGAACTTCACGAGGGCGTGAATAATAAGACTGTTCGCTTCGAGGTACGCAGTGGCAGTGCTCAGGCCGAGGGTAACGTCCACGGTCTACACAGCTATGACAAGAAGCTCTACTCTTAATTTTATAAGCAAGTCAATAAGGATGTATGAGTGAAGATGAAAAAAAGTTTTGACGAATGTATTATGATTTAGATGCTATAATATAATCACGAGTTGCACTGAAGTTTGATTCCATATAGTAAAAGCTTTGTAACTTGGCTGTTTTCCTGATTAGACCATCTCTTTATGCGCAAGGACCAGCTCTTCCTGGCCCAATTCATATTTACCGTCATAGAAATCCGCGACGGGGAGAAGCATGACGGGCGAATTGAAAGCTGCCGATTTCACGGCTGTATGGGCCCATTCCCAGTCGACAATTTCTGTGATATTGTATTCATTATCAACAAGAATATGGTCAACTTTGTTATCTGCATGTCTTAGAATTTGTCGTTGTCATCATGGCTGCTGGAACCGAATATAACATCATTCAAAATCAAGTCAAAAAGGAAGCGGTGAATCAAATACGCATCGATTGCGCGTGAGGTGTAACACTCCTCTCTCATGATCAGATCTAGCGTTAGTTGAAAGCTTGAAAGGAGGCACTCTTTAGAGGACTTGAACGGCCCCAGCGGCAGCATCTGAAGTCTCTATCAAAGTCCGTCAATGATTCCCGTGCAAAAGAACCCACAGATGCTGTTCCCGGTTGATCTAGACAACCCATCATATCAAACGGGTATTTTTCCAATTCAGAATAGATATCTGCTAGCTGGCTCATGACCCTCTTTCTTTGCTCTGTAGATGGAAGTGCCCAGCGAAGCGAAAGGCCATGCAATTTTTCCATCAGGGTATATGCGACGCCAACTGGGTTTCCTTCATCAAGGTCATAACCAATACCTTAGGGGCAGGGACATTAGTCTTGCGCAGGAACTGCAGTGTAGCGATCTCGCTACGCATAATGTGCGCTCTAAGGTTTGGCGGTGGTGAAGTGACGTTGACTCTTCGGATTCGTGCAAGCCAGCTGACTCCATCTTCAAATTGGATTTCGATATGGTAATTCATACCGCCCATCACAGTAGAGCGCTGTGATCGGTCATACTGGAGGGCGGTTGGTGTAGTGCATCGAAGACCGCCACGCAGAGAGCTGGCCTGGGCAAGAAGTACAGGAGCATTGACCTTGTCCATGGGTGCGGACAGAAGGCTTCTCACAGTCTTGAAAATCACACCTCCACATTGTCATTCTATCTGACATATAAACACCGTTCGTTTATTGAGGGTACAAGTTGAGGCCGCCGAAAGTGGTGAAAACACTTTTGTTGTTGTTGTTGTTGTCAGGCAACGGATTACGGGATAGTCAGGAACCAATAAGACTTCATTCAATTTCGCGAGGCAAGATCTCGTTACGGTCTTACATTAAATAAATATACAAATACATCGATTTATATACCCCGATAATACTAACCAACCCGCCAGCCTTCCCCAAAGTCAGGTAACGGTGTTGAGTCTGTAATATTGGATTCATCAGGGAGACTAGTATGAATGAGATAGCATTTACTAACGCCTGAGCAGGGACGTCGCCGAAGATAATTTCAAACAGAGGTCTAGTCTCAGGAGATGGAACTTGCCACTCCTTAAAATAGGCCTCGGACGTATTCACGTCGTTGGCAGCTTTCAAGCGTAGCACAATGTTAGAATGGCACATCTATCGTGACTACGATATAAGATGCAAAACAAACTGATTTGCAGTGTAGGCTTGAGATGATTAGGTGGGAGCAATTATGACAGTCATTTCCACTCACTGAACTTAACCCTTCTCCTGACTCCCCAGGCAGCTTTTACGAGATAAGTGTATGTTGCGCCACGTCTCTGCCATTGACTATCAAGTAAATCGTACCTCTGTAAGGATGTATACTATAAAGTAAGTTAACTGCTCTATGAGATTCTTGCTTTTTCTAGGACATCCTCCATGTCGAGAATGAGGATCTCTCTGACCCCAGAAATCAGACCATCTGAATCTTGCTTCGAGTTCAATATCGTACTGTTACACCTGTAGAATTAGCTCATTTAATCTGAGAGGAGGATATCCTGTCAGCAGGTCAGCAGTATTCATTGGTATGATGCCATCATACTCAGTGGTTTCTTGCATATTATTGTGACTCGCTGGTGTCACTTGTCTTACTCACCATACACAATGGGAGGTACTTCCCGTTTTCATGCTGCGATTTCCATGGGTCAGGCTTGTGAGGTGCAAATGAACGCTGCATCATTCATATCGTTTCAAGGCCCAAGGCGTGCTATTGGTACCAGGAACCTCAATGGCTGTATTGCCGTAGCCATAGTCTCTGAATGGGGGGCAATTCTCGCTCACATCCCTCCCATGCCCTACAAAACCCATGATCCAAATGCTGGTATGCAAAACCTCGAGGCAAAGATGACAGAGATCATTACGCTATACCAGCAAAACTCAAAAAGTTTCCCCTCCAGCGGGACGTCTCTCATTGTGGCTCCACTTTATGAAAACCAGGTGGCACTGTCTCATCACTTGGACTGCATCAGAGGCCGGTTATTGCGAAATGGCTTGGATCCCAACGTGGTGTATTATCAAGTATCGCGAGGTGGCCACTTCAGCGCTGCACAAGGAACCTGTTTCATCGACGCAAGATAGGGTTATCCAATCACCTATGTCGAGGGCCGGCCTGTTAATTGGAGTTGACTTGGTCTCACTTGGGCATTCAAGCTATTTCCGGGTGAGACAGAGGCCGGATTTAGGAGCTTTAAACCTAAGTCGAGCAATTGCATTTCATTTCCCCCTCTTTTGCTACCAATATTGCCCGTATAAGTGGGCAAATTGTACACGCGGAGTTGAGGTTGGATGCGAGTTGTTTCACGATTGGCAAGAATGATTGATGTCTTGTTGATGAGGCTAGACCACGTTGGGGAAAGGCTGTAAAGCTAGTTTATTTTTGGTAGCCCCGGGTCCGTGCTTTCTCCCCCCGTGTTTCTTCCCCCATGCCGAGGTTACTTTATTATCATCACGGTATTGAATACTACCTTGGTAAGCATGGTTTATGATTTTCTACCCTACAATGACATCGCTTCTCAATGCCCGGAAAATTACCACAATTGAGATAATTTGTTCATGCGTGTGGAAGGCTACCTACCATAATAATAAACGCGCATTTTCCACAAGATCAAACAGTCCGCCAGAATCAGTAGCAATGTCGACAAAGCCCAGGCAGAAAAAGGAACTCGCAGTCCCCCGACCTAGCTCAAGGCATGGCTAGTAGCAATTTTTGTTCTTGAGGGAAAAAGGAAGTCTTTACTAACAAGTAATTAGTGTCGTCCTCATATCACCCCAAAATGAAGTCCTCCTACTCCACAGAGTGAAAACATCGACCTCATATGCATCCGCACATGTTTTTCCAGGAGGCAACATATCGCCTTTACATGATGGGGAATATGCTTTTGACAAGGAAGACCCGCGACGACATTACGATGCACCCAACTACCGAAATGCAGCTATTCGCGAGCTTTTCGAAGAAAGTGGTATTCTGCTTGCCAAAGACAAGCAGGATAGCCTGTCAGGTCTCTTCCATGTAAATGATGCAGAAAGGGAGCAGGGAAGGCGAGATATCCATAGTAATAAGATAGGGTTTTCTGAATGGCTTCGGAAACAGCATGCCACGGCCGAGCCGGATATAGGTATGTATAGACCCCCTTTCTGGCCTCGATATTGAGATTGACGTTGACCTCAATATGCAGATGGCCTGATACCATTCACACATTGGATAACCCCGACGAACTTACCAAAGAGATTCACAACACAGATGTACCTCTACTTCCTACCCATCCCTACCAAGGAGCATTCTGCACAGAATACAGCAACTACAACAGCACAGGGACTGCCCAAAGATGGCCGACAAGAAGTCCAAGTACCCACTTCTGATGGCGGAATAGAAATTAACGAGGCCAGATTTCTACCAGCGTCGACATGGTTACAGAAAGCGCGTGCTGGCGAGATTATTCTCTATCCGCCTCAATATCTATTGCTTTCGATTGTGTCGCAATTTCTCGACCAGACCGCCCCTCACCAAGGCCCAAACTCGACCGTTGAAGAACTAATAGAAGAAGAGGAGAAAGAACGACACAGCCGCAGAAATAATCTACTCCAATTCATTCTTACTGACAACCCGCCATGGACAGACAAATTCGTATGTCCTAAGACAATGAAGCTTCTTGACGACAAGAGGTCTGTTCTCGCATTGGATGAACCTGGCCCGGAGCTGCATGGATCAGGGAAGAAGGGAGTGTTTGATCGGGTGATTTTGGTTCGATTTGACAAGGATGGGCCCCATGATGTGGATGTTTGTTGGAGAAAGGATGTACTGGGGGACCTTAAGAGTGCTTTATAGGCCCATATGTGTATATAGATATATGTTATTTACTATGCTGTACCATCGTTAGACAACTGTGTCTCGTTGGCAGATGAACAACTCTGGTCTAGCCCTAACTCGTGCTCATTGGGCACTTCGTCATCAAAACGCGAGCTTCCAAGGTTCGAGCAGGAGCCAAATTCTTCATTGTAAATATTGTATATGAGGGCCTGCGTTCCATATGAGAGTAAATGCGCCTTCGGTGCTGCCGGTGCATTATTTCATCCCTCCATGATATTTAGATCCTGCATTGCTTCCTCAAAACTCTTGGTCCAAAAGTTCAACGTGCAAAGACATACTGGTGTGCCATCAATCCAAATAGGCCCACCAATCTCGGTCCACTGTTGAAGATTTACATCAGCGTGCTGGCCATCGTTAGTGAGGCACTCGCATTCGCGTTTCTGGCCTGAAACCAACGCTGTTTTCGTCACATTGAGACCCATGGCGAGCGCATGCCGAATAAGTGGATTGAGGCACGCCTTCCACGCCCCAATCGATTCCACCAATTTGAGTATTTGCAGCGCACACACTAGAGCTTTTCTTCCGTATTTATTGAGGGTCCACAAAGTCTCATCCGTATGGGGTTCCTCGGTTTGTGTCTTCACCAAGCCGGCATTGTGGTACATTTTCAAGTAATAGTACAGAATCATCCCGTCTTGTACAAGGGTGTTGATTTTCTCTAATGATGCCGCTACAGAACTATCTGCTCCGCGATACGCCAGCAACAGAGTTCTGGTAGCATTACTGGTCATGCTCCTTGCGTTAGCCAGCTTGTTGATTTTATCTAGCTCCAATTTCCAGTCGTCGAGAATCTCGATGAGTAGTGCATTTTGCAAAGCGCTACTGGGGTGTCTTTCCGTTTTGGATGAGGAAGAAGACTGCCTAAAGACCCATATCGCCTGCAAGAGGCCACATAATCCCAGTTGTACGTCTTCCACAAGGAGTTGCGAGCTTGTAAATGAGTCCGGGCGGTTTGTCATCTCAGATATTCGAAATTCTATTCGTCCAAGTGGTTCCTCTGGCTGTCGTGCATCAAATACATCAATGCCATATGAGTTCCACAGCGCAAAAGTATTTGGGAGACCTACATCAACTTCTTGACGGTGAAGTATGGGTGGCTTTTCGTGGGCAAGAGCGAAGTAAACGTCGAACTGATAGGTCAACGCAAGCAATCGTGTGAGATGTTCGCGCATACTTAACGTGTAAGGAGCAAATGTGCCGCTATAGTGAGTTTTTAAATGGCTTGCCAGTATTTCGGCGTCGAAGGCCCCGAGCTCTCGGAGAAAGGTTATGAATGTGCTTCGAAGAAGCATAGCTCTGGACAAAGCGGTTTTATCGGTGCGATAGAGTGAGAAGATCAGGGTCAATATAACTGCCTGAAAAAGTTCGATTGGCCATGCCTGACCTTCGGGGATCAATTCGGGATCAATCTATAGAAGCATTAGCGGAATGATCTCGCGAGAATGGGTATAGACATATACGAACTAGACTACGTAGCAAGCGCTGTAGTAGGATTTCATGCACCCTGAGGGCATAAAATCTTTCATTCCAGTTAACACTGCTTTGGAACCATGCTCCTATGACGCATACCGATGCAGAAAGGTGCAAGGGCATAGTACTTATATCCAGGCTGAATACTGGCGCGTGAAGGGTAGGCCACCGGAGGTGGAATCTTTTGAAATATGTCTCAAGATACTTGGTCACGAATTCTTGTAATCCATCCGATCCTTCCATAGCCCCTTCTAACGAAGGCTTTTCGGCTACCAGGAGTTCGTATATACCTTCCATTCCACGGCTTAGGGGCCGAAATTCGCCAGTTGTGCGCGGCTCGGACGAGACAACAGTGACATTTTTGAGAAATTCAAGATTTGGCGGAAGATGTTCCCCTTCCGGATGCAATACGTGTTCCGCTGGGAAGTTCTCTGGCCGCAAGCATGTAGGCGACGTTGATATATCAACGTCGTCATCATCCTCGCTAACGGAAGCATTCGCAGCTGCAGACCCATCGCTTGTCGGTACTCCTCTTGATTGACGGAGACAGTTTCGAAGAGTACAGTCAATACCTCGTCGTCTACATAGCGAGCACGGCGGCCCACCGGAGCATTTGGTTTTGTTAGCGCGGCACGCATCGCAGGAGACTACGAGGCGTTTATGGCTCGCCTCATGCAAAACTGAGTGGCGACGAAGTAGGTCTCTTAGGGCAAGCATTAGCTCAGTAGGCCTGGGGAAATTCTAGGAAAGCCAGACTTACTTGCGAGTAAATTGCCGTTGACATATATTGCATATGTATGCTGGTCTATAGTGGGTAGCTTGATGTCTGGTTAGATGTTCTTTGCGGATGAAGCTTTTACCGCAATGGCATGCATGCCGAGCCCTTGGATTCGGCCCTGGCAAGGCTGTCAGCTATTATGCAAACACAATTTTGGAACATAGCCCTCTATTCTTAAATTGCCAAGTTTGATGCTCGCGATTTGGACCATGAAGGTATCTCTACTCACCCAGTCCCGGAGGAAGAAACATGGCCTCAGTGCACTTGATGACGCAATAATCCTCGTTCGATAGTGATTATCACGACTCTTCGGATATACGGAATGCGTGAGTCAACCCGAGTAGTAATTGTAGTGAACGAGGGGGGTCGACGTCGGCGAAAAGTGGGATATTTAGCGGTATCAAAAAGGCCGAGACAAACTCAAAGGAGGGTGAGGTCACGCCATCACAACTAATATCGAGATATCTCGAGAAAAAAAAAAAGGAAAAAGGAAAAAAAGGAAAAAGAAAAAGATCGTCGAAGAGATAGATGGAACAGACATCAAGTAGGGGCAAAACTATGAAAAGTCCAAGTCTGTGGGAGGATAGTTACAGGTGCAAAATACACTATGCCTAATTAGGAAATTCCTTACCAGCATTATAACTACTGCCAATGGCAAGAATATTGTTGATATGGAAATTTATAAGATTCCTTCTGGATAAAAGTACAATATTGCCCAGCCGGTATTGTGACAGTGCCAGCTATAACCTTGCTCTGAAGGCCGCACAGGATTACTAAGTAGGAAGCTTCACCGGTGGGATGTGGGATGTGCAAACACAGCTTAGCAATCCCTGGCCTGCTTAGATATTCTGATCGAGCACTTTTCGTGGCACAATGGGATGACTACAAAGTACCTGGGTAGTTGACCCATGTCGTTGCAATGCAAATGGCTATGAAATAACATATATAAAGAGCCCTTGGCCTGTCGCTGTCTCCGTTCTGGTACCACTTCCAAGGTTATATATAGGAATCTATTTCATCTCTCTACTACTTACAACACTACCCACTCGCTACCATGTCAGCTATCAAGAACGTCACGCTTGTCGGCGGATCTGGCCGCCTGGGCACCTTCATTCTAGACAAGCTTCTGGCCTCTAAATTCAATGTCCAAGTCCTCAGACGCGCGGGCTCGTCGTCCAACTATGCTACAAGCGCAGTAGTTGAGGCTGACTTCACAGATCTGGAGTCCCTGAAGGCCGCCTTTCAAGGCCAAGATGCCGTGGTCTCAGTTGTTAACGATGCCGGTGTCCCCGGCCAGAAGCTCTTGATTGATGCCGCTATCGCTGCTGGCGTCAAACGGTTCCTCCCGTCCAACTTCGGCTCCAACATGACCAATCCCAACTCTCGCAAGCTGCCAGTATTCGCAGGCAAGGTGGCAGTCGAGGATTACCTCATTGAGAAATCAAAGACTACAGACCTAACATACTCGTTTGTGTACACCGGAGGATTCACAGACTTCTGCATCCAAAACAAGGTCATTATTGACTTTTCCGAATACAAGCCCACGCTCTTCAACGGCGGAGAAACTGAGTTTAGCACCACCAGCATGCCAACCGTCGGAGATGCCGTCGTTGGTGTCCTAGAACACCCAGCAGAGACCCAGAACAGGCCAGTTTATGTTTCTGAATTGGTCACTTCACAAAACCAGCTGCTCTCCGTGGCCAAACGATTGGCCCCAAACAAGCCGTGGGCTCCTGTGACTGCGGACTTGGACGTCTTGGCCGCGAGCGCAATAGAGCGTTTCACTCAGGGACAACATGATTTCCCAACCATCATCACTGTCCTGCTCAAGGGAATCCTAGATCCGGAGTATGGAACGAAGTTCACCGAGAACGATAACGAGCTGTTGGGCATCAAGGTTAAATCGGAGGAATATTTGGTTGAGCTTTTGACTCCATTGGTCAAATAGAACAGCATCATAGCTTAGAGTAGATCAGACATAATGACATATCCATCTTTGAACCAATCATTTTTGCCACATCTCCTAGGATGTTATTGCCATAATCTTCTTAAATGGCATGGACGAATCGCTGCAGACAATTCCGAATATGTTATAATGAGGCGGTAAAACTTGAAATCACTCACACACTTTCCCTCAACGTATTTTAAAAAATTTGATTCTTATTTGATGACTTTTTTCTTTTTTGCTCTGTTTCCTTGATTTTCTCAAGAAAGTAACTATATCGGTGGTCGAGAGGTCTCGACGGCAGAACTTCGGAAGAGGTCACATGACCCACAACCCGCAGTCTGCAATTTCTCTTTTCACGGCTAAATCGTATGCAGCGTCCGCCTCCAACATCAAAATCCCACCAGCCTTTCATTCCAGCCCTTTTCCGAAAGCCTCGTCGCATTCAACCCCAATCGCATCAAAATGGAGAACGAAAAGGGAGAGATCGTCGATCTGTTCGTATCCCTCTTGTCCCTCCCTTCTTTTGACATCTTTTGTGAAGCGTGTTGCTAACATGTGGATGAAAAAAAAAATAGCTACGTCCCCCGCAAATGCTCGGCCACCAACCGCATCATCAAGGCCAACGACCACGCCTCTGTGCAACTTGCCGTTGGCAAAGTTGACGAGAACGGCCGCTACACCGGCGAGAACCAGGTCTACGCTCTCTGCGGATTTGTGCGTGCTCGCGGCGAGGCCGACGACTCGCTTAACCGCCTTGCACAGAAGGATGGATACTTGAAGAATGTCTGGAGCGCTCAGCGATAAATTTTTTCTTCTTCTAAACGACAAAAAATGAATCGACTAGGAAAGAAAAAAAAAATCGAGAAAATAATGGGGACATAAATATTTCATTGGGCTGCTCTGCTTGGGATTCTTCTTTTTTTAATGTTCGGATCGAATCGAGGATTGGTCGATCGATGATATGATGTATTTCTTTTTTTTTTTCATTCATGCCTATGCGTTTCGACTTGGGAGGAGGGAAATAGAGAATGGCTTAAAGGGATATGTACTGTGATGGTAAGGTTTGCCTGTCATCCATTTACCTGGAGATTGTGAACTAACACATCCAAGTACATCGCAGATAACCTTGTATAAAACCATATACAAATCCTCTTACCTACTACCTACAACCTCTCAAACCAATGGATTGATTCAATTGAAGCGTGTGCGCGGAAAAAGAAAGAAAGAAATAACTCAGAAATAGAATTTAGTTCTATTTCATTCCAATCAAATCAAGTCAATACCTTCTCCGTAAGTCGATTGATGGGTCAAGAAAATTCCCAAAAGAACAAAATGAAGAAGCCAAAGACAAAAGGACAAGGAATTTGAGAAATTGTAGCATTTCGGCACATCAAGGCCTCCTCACTCTTTCTCTTCCATGAGAGAGGAGGTAGAACATGAATTCATCCATCCCGCCGAATATCAATTTTGTAAACTCGCCTACTGAAGAGCCACGGTATTTTCCGAGATTACGAGCCGGGGCACAGATACGGGTGAGACATCTATACTAGTAGTTATAGGTAAGTAGGTAGATTCGTTTAGTATCGAGGTAGAACTAGGTGCATGCTTTTCTATTTGATTTTTGTGGCGTATTTTGTTATTCATTACACATGAACTTTATGAATTCCTGGTTTTCTCTAATTTTGTTTATTTCTTTTGTTTCTTCTTCTAATACAAACGACATGCTATACTTAATCCCGCTCTAGACGAACAGCTGGGTTTGTCTCGATGAAGTTGAGATCAACCTTGTGACCGAGCAGTTCACGGATATTGCTGACTCCGTACCTGGGAGACAATTTAATTAGTACGCATTAGGTTTAGACTTGGAAAAAAGATAACTTACTTGATCATCGTAGGTCGCTCAAGACTCAATCCCCACCCATACACACGCATATCCTTCGGCAGGCCCATGGGCTCCAGCATCTCCGGCCGGAACATACCACTGTTTCCAATTTCGACCCATTTACCTAGTCCATCGTGGTATCCGAAGATCTCCATACTGGGCTCAGTGTACGGGTTGTAAGCGGGCTTGAAGCGGAGTCGATGAATACCCATCTTTGCGAAGAAGACTTCCATGAATCCGATCAGACCGCCGAGGGCTAGGCCAAAGTCTGCAATCACACCTTCAATCTGGTGGAATTCAGCCAAGTGGGTGGCGTCAACGGCCTCGTTTCGAAACACGCGGTCAATACTGAAGTATCGTGCTGGTCGTGGGTTGGCTGCGAGCTTGTGAAGCATGTACGTCGACACGGATGTTGTGTGGGTTCGTAGGACTAGTCGGAGAGACTCGTCGGGGTTCCATGGGTAACGGTAGCCGATTGATCCATATTTGCCTGATTCGTGAACTGCGCGAACATTGTCCCAGTATTCCTGGTAGTTCAATGGCTTTTCCTCTTCCTTTTTAGCGGACGACGGCGTGGTAGACGCTTTGATCAGATGAGGGTCATTGGGGGGATCTTCCCGAGGAGAATCGGCCTGTTTGGGGTCGGCAATGTAGAAAGTGTCCTGCAGGTCACGGGCAGGATGTTGTTGTGGCACGTAAAGGGCATCGAAGTTCCAGAATCCGGTTTCCACAAATCGGTTCGTGGGCATTTCTTCGAATCCCATCTCGAAGAAGATGTTTCGGAATTCTTGTCGAACCTTGTTCAGAGGATGCAACGTTCCGCTAGGCGTAGGAGCACCCTTGGCCTTGAAGTTGTAGGGTTTCAGCGACGATGTCTTCCATGAACCGTTTGCGAGCATTTCCGCCGTCAGGTCGGTCTCTTCCTTGACGAACTCCCTGGCATACTTGGGGCCCTTGGAAATCTTGAAACTAATCACTTTCTGTACCGTGATCAATTTTCTCTTCTTCAAATCTGCGATGACCTTATTATCCGCGAGAGTCTGAGTATCTTTAATAGCCTGCAGTTGCAGCCTTGTCTCGTCATGGATCTTGTCTGTAGTTGGCCGCAGCGTGTCCTTGTCTTTCTTAATCCAACCTCGCTTGAAGGCGTTGCCCTGTCCGACCTTGGCGACATCCTTTCCAACGATGCCGGGGAGGTCAGCAATTTTCAACCCATCGAGGGCAGCGACAACGGCGTCGAAGACCTTGGCTTCGTGAGAGCCATTGGCGGCAATAGACTCTCCTTCCTCCGTCAAAACAAGTTTCTCTTTATCTATCGTTTCATATTCCACCATGGACCTAGACGCTAGACGATCGAGGGCGGCTTTTATGTTCAGGGACGGCGTGGAGGGGAATGCGTCGGTGGAGAGGAGAGGCTGATTTGTCGACGACAAGGCGTCCAAAATCGGCGCCGTCATGTCAGACGCCATTGTGCAGAGGAAGTATCAGTCTTCTGTTCGACTGTTATTTTGAAACTTTTTTTTCCCACTGGTGGTGCGCTGTTCGAATTCAGGCCGATCGGTGGATGTGTGCTATGACTCTTTTCGGACAAAATTAGCCCAATTTCGATACGGAGAGGGATGCAGACCGACTGTGCAACTTGCCCCGCGTATAGGTCACGTGATCTAACGTCCATCTGCAAGTAGAAGTCGTCGCCTGGCTCGCTTTAAATTTCAACCAGATCATAATTCTGCCCGAAAATGTAGGAATCGGGCAGGTTAATCGTTGGCCAACATAGTTAAATTGCAGTGCATTGACGCTGATGATGATCCGTGGCAATCCCAATTTTGCACTCCTTACCACGCAGATCTGATTGATACTAATCAACTCTATTAAGCATTAGAATTTGGCACACATTCTAATGCTGGAGGAGTGGTCAGGCTGGTATTCAGGTCGTTTATGTGATCAGATCATGAAACTCTAGCTCAGTATTGAAACATTCTATTGTATGGCGTCGTTCCAAAGCCTGCCAAGGCCCAAGACATCAAATATGATGCCTGAAGCCTGAGGCCGTTACTTTAACGCTCGTTACCCTTTGAAAGTATTGGGAAGCTGGACCTCGTATCACTGAGTGCACTATCTACCTTCGAGTACGTACTAGAGTCTACTATTGTTTTCCTTGCAGTGGCTACTGGATGTTCCACAAAATCTTCGATGTGTTGGATTGTTGTACGTACGTAGCCAGTTAGCAATATTAGGTGAATGTTAGGTGCTTGTAGTATAAAACTGATCGCAATGGTGGTCATTGATTAGATAGCGCAAGAATTTCTGAATCTAGACATAAATCTGCCCCCCGCGAAAATGGGTGTACGTTTTTAGACTAGCAAAGTCACCAGCAGAGTCATCTGATTGATCAGTGTGAGGAATGCAGCAAGGACGGAGTGCATGCTTTCTTCGAGGGATGAGACGGTTAAGCTTAAGCCCAAATGCCAAAGTTGTATCAGGTGCGTGATTATTGATATGTACGGCTAGCCAATCATATTACCCGTCGCATAAAAGTAGCATCGGCGCCGCGGAGCCAATCACCTCAGTTCCGAACCGAGGTTGACATGTTTGTATATTATCGTCAGTATTTATGTGGTATTTATGTGGGTTCAAATTTTTCCAACGGACAGGCAGGTAGCATTACTGATTATAGTATTGTAAATAACTAACTATACTATACGTTAACTATGTTTCATTATTTATTGTGAGCGTTCGCCGTTCGAGGAACGCTCCTGGTAGCGCCTTGTTGGACCATGGAACGTTCCCTTCGGTACAGATATGGTTCGTCTGTTCTATTATTTTTTTTTTACCTCCTCTTCTCCCTTTTCTGTTCTTCTTTTTGTCATTGTCCGTCCTATGGTAGTTAGATCGGCCGTGGCAATCTACAGAGATATTTTAATGGTCTAGATAACTAGCCACAGCGATTGATTTGAAAGCATTTGCCATTTGCCGTTCGGTGACTTTTAAGGTATCGCACAGGGACTAGGCTTCTTTCCGCCTACTTCCATGTGGACTCGGACCACTGGCTTTCTTTCGTGGTTCGTCTCCATCGCCCCATCTCGCATCCAAATGCACCAAATTTTTTTTCTCAGTCATCGAGGTTAATCCTGATAGACCCTTACTACCACTGGGTTGATACTTACGTTGGACTCAAATGGGAGGGTTATAAAAGGACAAGGCAGATGGGTATAACAGCAAGCAAGATGATATGCTCGTTTTTATATGTACTCCAGACTGCGTATGGTTATGGATGGATGCCGATTGAGTCAACGCTATTGGCTGATCACCAGCACAACCGCGTCCCCACCCATCGTCCACACTGGCAAATAGAGTCGCGGCGAACAGCCCGCCTCCAGCCGATCTGAATCTTGGCCAATGGTAGGCATCGGCTGCTGCTATCGCGGCCCACTGCAGGCCTTCTGATTGGCGCACGGTGCCAATTGTTACTTGTTTAGGGCTGCCCCGGTGTTCTAACCAACCCTGACACTGCACTAAGCCCAACGTGGCCAAGGCTTGTGTCCCGTTGAGCGCTCAGCAACGCTCAGCGAGTTGAGGATGGAATCCTGCAAAGATGGGAGCGTCTTCAGTGAGGGATGATTTGTTACTTGTAAATCTGTCGGCAAGTGACGAGTTGACAGCCGGTGTGTTGACAAAAAATCGAAAAAAATCAATATTAATGTGTGTATTAATAAGAGAACCCATTATTAAGAATAATCATCAGGGAGGCGTCAGAAGGGAAAGAAGAGAGACCCTCGCACTGGCTCGCTCCTTCCACGCGGGCTAAGTTATCTTTTTCCTGCTTAGTGACACTGACATCTCTCTGCCGTTTCCTTTCCCTCTCCCTCCTTCTCCTCCTCTGATCCTCTAAACCTCTCCTTCCCCCCTTATCCTTCACCCTCATTATTACGCTCTTCGTATAAGCGCTAAGCCTATCGACGAGCTGGTAATAGGCTAATCCCCCTTTCTATCCTTCTTTTCTTTCCTCCCCCTCCTCTTCGTTCCGTTATCATCTTTTCTGTTTCCTGACCTACCACTTCTGGCGGTGTCCTTTTTTCCATTCCCTCTCCTCTTAATCAAATCTTCCTCCGAGACAAACGACCTCGCATCGAAATCGATCGCTGCACTGCCGCCTTGCACGCGTCATACCGGCTCGAATCAAACGAATACACCGATTGAAAATAATTAATTTGTCGATTCAGATTACTTCGGTCACTGATTATCGTTGCCTCAAAATCTTTAAAGCACAACACCATCACTCGGAATAGAACTCATGTCGCTTCTTTAACGTACGCTCGCACTCTACCCGATAATTTTTGCATCCGCGCCCTGCTCTTAGCGGACAGGCCGGAGCACTTAATTCTTCTTAATTTTATTTTTTTTTGTTTCTCGTTATAAGCCGAGCAACATCGATATGGGTGGTGAAGAAGACCCCTTCTTCGCCGCTGCGGCCATCCTCAGAAATCTCGCTCGCGAACCTCCGCCGAGTGACGATGACGATGATGCAAGTCTCTCCCCTAAACAACGTGTGAAGAACGGCTTCGATTCCAAGCGCGTAGTGAGATTACCGGGAGATAATACCGCTGGAAAAAAGGCATTCACAACCGAGCTAGAGTGCTTGGTGTCTCGTATCCATGATTTGGAGACGGAACTAGTCAGTCATCCTAAAGCCCCTGGTCTCCTATATCTCTTTCTCCCGTTCACGCCATTGTGCTAAACCGGCTTTTTTTTCCCTTATTCTTTTTCTTTTTTTTGTTTGTCATTCTAATCTAAGATTACCTCTAGCAGTCTAAGAGACCCCGCAGGTCGCGACGACTTAAGCGCAAATACGATGACGATTCTGTTGAGGAGGATGACGACGAAGACGAGGATGATGATGATGAGTCGGACGATAGCGATGATGACAACGAAGATGAAGATCATCGGGTCAATGGAATCATTGTCCCTCGACATCGCATGATGCGCGGCGGAGCAGAGACTCTTCGTTCCCTTCAAAACCATGTCGAAAAGCAAGCTCACGAAATCAGCATACAAAAGGATATCATCGCTCGCGTTCGAGATGAATTGCACCAGCAGGAGGAACATACCCGGCGGACTTTAGTCAAGGTGGAACACGAGGATGTTGGAGTCCTGCAGCGTGAACTGCGGAAGCATCAGCAAGCCAACGAAGCTTTCCAGAAGGCCTTGCGTGAAATCGGCGGAATTATTACTCAGGTCGCTAATGGTGATCTCTCGATGAAAGTACAAATTCACCCACTGGAGATGGACCCTGAAATCGCAACATTCAAACGAACAATTAATACCATGATGGATCAACTTCAAGTCTTCGGTAGTGAGGTGTCAAGGGTGGCCCGTGAGGTCGGCACCGAAGGTATACTGGGTGGACAAGCCCAGATTACCGGGGTGCATGGTATCTGGAAAGAACTTACAGAAAACGTCAATATCATGGCCAAAAATCTCACTGATCAAGTGCGTGAAATTGCTACTGTCACTACTGCTGTCGCACATGGTGATCTCAGTCAAAAAATTGAGAGCCGTGCCCATGGAGAAATTTTTGAACTACAGCAGACTATCAATACTATGGTGGACCAACTTAGGACTTTTGCTACCGAGGTGACACGTGTTGCCCGTGATGTCGGCACAGAGGGTGTGCTGGGTGGTCAGGCTCAGATCGAAGGCGTTCAAGGCATGTGGAATGAACTGACGGTAAATGTCAACGCTATGGCCAACAATTTAACCACGCAAGTGCGTGACATCGCAACCGTTACCAAAGCAGTCGCCAAGGGTGACCTGACTCAAAAAGTACAAGCCAATTGCAAAGGAGAAATCGCAGAGCTCAAGAATATTATCAATTCCATGGTGGACCAGCTTCGACAGTTCGCCCAGGAAGTTACGAAGATCGCCAAGGAAGTGGGTACGGATGGTGTTCTCGGTGGCCAGGCTACAGTTCATGATGTCGAGGGCACTTGGAAGGATCTCACCGAGAACGTGAACCGTATGGCAAACAATCTTACTACCCACGTGCGCGAGATTGCAGAGGTCACTACAGCTGTCGCAAAGGGCGATTTGACAAGGAAAGTTACGGCCAACGTGCAGGGCGAGATACTAGATTTGAAGAATACCATCAATGATATGGTGGACCGTCTGAATAAGTTTGCATTTGAAGTCAGCAAGGTGGCTAGGGAAGTCGGCACAGATGGAACCCTTGGCGGCCAAGCAAAAGTTGATAATGTGGAGGGTAAATGGAAAGACCTCACCGACAACGTCAACACCATGGCGCAAAATCTTACCTCACAGGTGCGAGGTATCTCCGACGTGACGCAGGCTATTGCCAAGGGTGATCTCAGCAAGAAAATCGAAGTCCACGCGCAGGGAGAGATCCTCACTTTGAAAGTAACGATTAATAACATGGTTGACCGTCTCGCCAAATTTGCTACTGAACTCAAGAAAGTCGCTCGTGATGTCGGTGTTGACGGAAAGATGGGTGGTCAAGCTAACGTAGAGGGAATCGCCGGCCGATGGAAAGAAATTACCGAGGATGTCAACACAATGGCCGAAAATCTTACCTCGCAGGTGCGAGCCTTTGGCGAAATCACTGATGCCGCCACCTATGGTGACTTTACCAAATTGATCACTGTTAACGCCTCTGGTGAAATGGACGAACTGAAGCGCAAAATCAATAAGATGGTTTCCAATCTGCGTGACAGTATTCAGCGTAATACGGCTGCCAGGGAAGCTGCAGAACAAGCCAATCGCACCAAATCAGAGTTTTTGGCCAATATGAGTCACGAGATTCGTACGCCCATGAACGGTATTATTGGCATGACACAGCTTACTCTGGACACCGATGACTTAAAACCTTATCCTCGAGAGATGTTGAATGTCGTTCATAATCTGGCGAACAGTTTGTTGACTATTATTGACGATATTCTGGATATCTCGAAGATTGAGGCAAACCGGATGGTCATTGAAAGTATTCCGTTCACTGTCAGGGGTACCGTATTCAATGCGCTCAAGACTCTGGCGGTCAAGGCCAATGAGAAATTCCTCAATCTGGCGTACCAAGTGGACAGCTCCGTACCTGACTATGTTATCGGTGACCCATTCCGTCTCCGCCAGATCATTCTCAACTTGGTCGGAAACGCTATCAAATTTACCGAACATGGTGAGGTCAAGCTGACTATTAGCAAATCTCAAAGAGAGCAATGCGCCCGGGACGAGTATGCCTTCGAATTCTCCGTGTCAGATACTGGCATTGGTATTGAAGAAGACAAACTTGACCTTATTTTCGACACATTCCAGCAAGCCGATGGATCAACTACTCGTCGGTTTGGAGGAACTGGCCTTGGTCTCTCTATTTCTAAGCGTCTTGTCAATCTCATGGGTGGTGATGTTTGGGTTACCTCAGAATACGGCCATGGCAGCACATTCCACTTTACCTGTGTTGTCAAACTCGCCGACCAATCCCTGAACGTCATCAGCTCGCAGCTTATTCCCTACAAGAACCATCGTGTTCTGTTCATTGACAAGGGACACACTGGTGGACATGCCGACCAGATTACACAGATGTTGCAACAGCTGGATTTGAAGCCTCTCGTTGTCAAGTATGAAGACGAAGTCCCTCCTCCAGAAATACAAGATCCCTCAGGCAAGGAGTCAGGCCATGCCTACGATGTAATCATCGTGGATACCGTGGATACTGCCCGTACCCTGCGGACGTATGAAGAGTTCAAGTATATACCGATTGTACTATTGTGCCCAGTGGTATCTGTGAGCTTGAAGTCTGCTCTGGACCTGGGTATTACCTCGTACATGACCACCCCTTGTCAACCTATCGATCTGGGTAATGGAATGTTGCCGGCACTAGAAGGTCGCTCGGCGCCAATCACGACAGACCACTCCCGATCATTTGATATTCTCCTCGCTGAAGATAATGAGGTCAACCAGAAGCTGGCAGTGAAGATTCTGGAGAAATGCAACCACGGTGTCACTGTGGTGGGCAACGGTCAGGAGGCTTTGGATGCAGTCAAAGATCGGCGATACGATATTATTCTTATGGATGTTCAAATGCCTGTTATGGGTGGATTTGAAGCCACAGCTAAAATTCGTGAATATGAGCGCGAGAAGAATTTGTCTCGCACTCCTATCATTGCTCTTACGGCGCATGCTATGCTGGGTGATAGGGAGAAATGTATCCAGGCTCAGATGGATGAATACTTGTCCAAGCCTCTGAAACAGAACCAGATGATCCAGACTATTCTAAAGTGTGCAACGCTTGGTGGAAATTTCATGGACAAGAGCAAAGAGGCACGGCTTGCGGGCCAGGGGGAGGGACACCTTCAGCCCGGATATCAACGTCCTGGAATGGAAGGTCGAACGCTTAGTTCGAATGAGGGCACAAGCGTGGAGGAAGTGGTCCAAGCGCCTGACGTCGACCGAGTAAGTTTGAAAAATGATAGGTGATAGATGTGGATTGAATGCTAACGTTGGCATTTTAGCAAAAGCTATTGTTACGATCTCACAGTAGCTAGATAACTCGTCTTGTCTACTACCTACCTTCATTCGCAATGATCTTGGCCATGGCAGCGATCCGGTCTTTGTCTACTTGTCTTCTTATCCATGGAGGTCTCTTTTCCAACCTGCATATTGCATATTTCACTTTGTGCGTGATTTGAATTTTCATCATTTCATTTCTGCTTTTGTCCTTACTCGCAAGTCTTGATGACGGTGTGTTGATGGTATAAGTTGGCGTTAGCGTGTTGGTTGCATTGGATACTTCTCACCTTATACTGGAGTCTTGGACTCTTCATACCCTACCTCTACCTACTAAGCTTCGTGCTTCTTCTTCTTCTTTTTCTTCTTCCTTGATTGTTGGTTGGTCCGGCGAATTCGGGACTATTACGTACCTAAGTATCGACTGGGTACCTCGAGGGTATTGAATTTTGATTTAATATTAGTGATTACATGTATTTGGTATACAATTGATGACAGCATCGATCTCGATGTTTTTCCGTTGACCATTCATCGATGTTAAGTTTTTACAGAGTCATTTAAAGTCCTCTAAATATGTTAAGAGAAAAGTAAGACAATAGTTAAAGATACGGTTTTCAACCTCCCAAACTATGATAGAACTACACCCATTTCTAGAGAATTTTTTATGCTTGCCTGCCACAGCTCAATGCATTGACACTTCAGCTGAATGCACACGCGACTTTTCTTTATGTACATAGCTATTAGGCTTCGACTTATGCTTCAATTTATGCTTCAGCTCGTGCCCCAGCTTATGCTCTAGACTCAGAAATGCGTTGTCATGATTTACTAATATGCTCTAACTGCCGAAGCGCCCTGGGTAGTTGGAAGTGGCTAATAACTGACAATTAGCGTGCAGCTGTGCTAGATATATAATCACCGTGATGCTCCTTCGAGAATATTATTCAGCTAAATCGCCAACGTACTGATATAACGACAACGACAACAATATGGAGCTCACCCTCTGCTTCGCCAAAAGCTGTTGTGGATAATACTGGGACCGATACTGCGCCCGCAATTCGAAAAATACCTGCCAGAATGGATGATGTACAATATGCTGTGTCTTCGAGTCAAAGACAGACAGACTCAAGTCCTTTTCTATGCTCACCCAAGTCTTCATGATGATATGTAGTAGCAGTATGCCATCCGATTGCTGCACTTTTATCAATTCTCATCCTACCAGGTTAGGCGTAACAGACATAGGTACTCAGCATTTCGGGGTTCTCAGAGTCTCCATTCCGGGCCCTGCATGCTCAGTAAGCAATCCTGACCGGGGCTGAGCGTTTTGGGTCTCGCAGGTTTTTTTTTATGTATCGTATACGTATATTGAAAAGTTAGGGCTATTCGACACGTGCCCTACCTCGCGACGTATACCACGGTAAAGCCAACGATGTTAACCAGCTATTCAATGTATAATCTACAATATTATTATCTATATAAGAAGACCTATTCAAGTCTCAGAAACGCAGTTATATCCATTAAGTTTCCAGCTAATATACCTATTACCCCCATTTTGGAATTAGAACAAAACATCTACAAGCTATCATCAACCATTCATAACATCAATCCTAAAACCCCGTATCTGTCCCCATTTTACGGTTGGTAAACCTAGCTAGTTCCCTCTGTAATCTACTATAGCCCATAATCGGCTACAACGCCTCTCATCTTCATCCTCCTTACTCTCGTCGGAATGTCACTGGGAGTCAGAGTCGGTGTAGAAGTTGTAGACGAAGAAGACAAAGACACACTCGACCACGAGGAAGGAGACAACGATGCCTGTTGTGAAGGTGATGCCGTTCTCGTAGTCGTTTTGATAGTCGACGGGTGTGACTGGGACGGAAGTGGATCGGCAGCTGTAATGGAGGATGGCACAGATGATGGTAATGCCCGCGATGGCGATGACGATAGAGATGGTAGAGTTGCATTGCTGTTTCTGCCGTACATAATATGTCTGCGGATAATGGCAGGAGAAATGCCCGCTGCTCCTGCTGCTCCAGCTGGTGGTGGTGATGCTGCGGCTGCCGCCGCTGCAGGTGCTGCGGGAGATTGGACTGGTCTAGCTGCTGGTGGAGGAGACGGAGTTGCTACACCTGCTGCTGTAGCTGCAGTAGGGACTGATGCAGTAGTTGTGGTAGCAGTAGCAGCGGGAGCTGATGCCGCTGGAGCAGACGGAATAACGCCAATAGCAAAAACTGATGTAGTCGTCTGCACCGCGATACCGGGCACAGATACCGACACCACCGCGGGCGCTGGTACTGATGAAGCGGCTGCTGGACCAGCGATGATAGCACCGCCAACAGCAGTAGCAGGCGAGGAGGTGGGAATGGCAGCTGCTGGCACAGATGCAGATGATACAGCGGCTGCTATAACGGAGGCCGGAGGAGGCGTGGAGACAGATTCGGCAGAGGAGAAGAATGAGATGGAAGTATATGGGAAGACAGAAGAAGCGGACGTGACGACTGTCTCAGGGCCGAAGACCCTGCTCGATGAAGTGGTTGAGCGTGGGATCGTGACTGATGAAGAAGGTATGATGAATGGTGCTGGAGCTGCTGCCGGGAATGACGAGGCAGAAGGAGAAACAGCAATCCGGATAGATGACGATGAACGCGAAGGCGAATGCGTGGTCGAGGTCGTAGACGTGGTTACGGAGAAAACCGGTGCCGGTGCAGCAGGTGGTACAGATACCGATACTGCCGGCGTTGATACAGGTACAGATGATGATGGTGGAGGACAGAATGTCTCCGTTACTGTCACCGTTCGTGTAGCTAGACAGACGAGAGAAGACGAAAAAGAGGAAGACGGAGAAGACGGCAACACAAGAGGTGAGGATATGCTCACTCTCGGTGTTGGAGGAGTAGGCGTAATTCTCGGAATAGATGATGATACTGATATTGACACTGATGATATGGGCCTTGGTGAACTGGTAAATACCCTGCTTGGCGATGTTGGCGGGCGAGGATTTCCTATTTGGGGAATGGCCATGACAACAGACGCGATGAGCGTCAGTAGAAGAGTTAGGACCCTCATTTTGATTCTTTTCCTTTTCTTTCTTTCCGTCAAGACAAGAGGTAATTCAAGGGGATACGAATAGAAGGAAGAATGCATAAAAGAAAAGAGAAGAGAGAAAAAAAAAATGATATTAAACAATCCCACAACGCCTCACTTGATATCACAACCTCATCAATTCGCCTGCAGCAATAGTCACCATCCAATCGGCTTTATATATATTTAGTATATACTCTGCTACAGACTTTGACTGAATTGCGGATTTCCCTCCCGCCGTGCCGTGGATTTACACGATTACAGACTGTGACGCACAGCATATTTTACTCGGTCATGTTATCGGAAAGTTCAGGCCGCAAACCGAAAGTCAACTTTAATAGAATGCATACTTTAATTCTTTTCCTTGCTGTTAATACTGTAGTCTTTTAATTCCTGCAGGTAAAATATAATGGTGAGCACTTGCCACTGGCCTCGGAACATTGCCTGCTGTTGAAGTCATTAGCCATGTATAACATCAAGTGATGTAACATCGAGGCAACAAATTATTCGATGGACAGCCCTAACACGTTAAGACTTCTATTCAAATTGTTCTGTGATAAAGAGAAGGAAGATGTATTGAAGACTATGCTAAAATACAGTCCAGGGCTGTCTCCATCCAACCCTTAGCAGCTTGGCCGTAGTAAACGCAAGCAGGCCACTGAAGTAGCAGCAAGTCACAAAGGCAATTAGCCCCCAATATTGGCCACCACATCTTGACAATATTTCTCCGGCAATTGGGACTCCGGTCAATGTACTAACGAAGTGTCAGTTTTTAATCACACCCTCAAAAGAGAAGGAAGGAAACTCACCCAAAACTAACAATGGTATAAGCAGTAGCATAATACCGCCCATAATGCTCCGTCTTACAAAGCTGGCCCACACAAACCGGCGTCAAGCTGATATTACTACCACTGAAAAACCCAAATAGAGCCGCATACACAACCAAAAGCGCAGTACTGCCACCAGCAGGGAACCAAAAACATGCCGTACTCAACAGACACCCCAGCACAGCCAAGATCATGGTATTGAATCGCCCCAGATAATCTGCTACGTATCCCGGTAACCACCTGCCAAGGGCAGAACCAGCGTTCAGAATAGCGAGAATTTGGTAGGAGAACGCGTTCGAAACCCCCTCAGCCAGAGCATAAGACGAAATATACGTGACGGGCACGAAGAGCCCCCACTCAATTAAGAACACGCCTGCGGTAGTCAAGGTAAAGATCGGATCGATAAAGATCCTAAAATCAGGCATAATATTTTCCCTCGATGCTGGTTTTGGCGGTAGCCGAGACCGAATCAAGATGCAAGCAATCCCTAAAAGCACCAGACAGAACAGCGCAATTACACGCGTTGCCCACGCAAACCCAATCTTGGGGAAAAGCGCCTCAAGGACAAGCGGGAACATAACGCCTCCGGCTGAGCCGCCCGCAGCAGCGATGCCGGTTGCTTCGCCTCGGCGGTCGAAAAAGAAGTGGCCTATCGCTGCGACTGAGGGGGTGAAAATCAGTGATGTGCCGATGCCATTAACTATGCCGAGCACGAGCATAAATTCCCAATATTGGGTACAGAATGCCACGGTAATCATGGCAACGACAACCAATATGGAGCCGCACAGGATGAGGACTCGGGGGCCCTTGGCGTCGAAGATGGGGCCGATTTGAAGGCCACAGAAAAAGGTTAGACAGGCATATACACCGAAGATCCAGCCAATGGTGCCGGAGGAGTAATCTTTCAGTTGGTGTGTTGATATGTATGTCTGGAAGGTTCCGATGCTGTTGAGCAGGCCCATGGAGCCGAAGAGACCTGAGAAACTACCAAAGACGACGAGCCAGGCTTGACGGCCGCCTTCGGGGTATGTGTTGCCGTGAGCATCTGTTGATACTCTTGTAGCGGGGTTCTGGGCTTCGCTATCTCCATCGCCATCTTGACGTGTTGCTACATGGTGGATATGGCTAGGCTCATCTGATATAATCTCACTGGTCACCCCGCTTTGGGGAGGCTGCAACTGCGGTTCCTTTGAGTCGGAATAATTCTCATTTTCATTCAGAAACGAGGAATGAATCTCGTCTGGCGGCATTTATCTGGTGCCTATGATCAAGAGCCCCTTGCGATATGTGTGATATGGGGAAAGGGGGGAAAGACGGAGGAAAAATCGGAAGAAACTAACACAAGTAAAAGGTGAAGCTGCATCCTGATTGGGCAGCAGTTTAGGTACGGTTGCGGCGACTGCGGGTCCTGGTATGGCACAACCGGGGAATCGATGCTGATTGGCCGACCTTATTTGCACATACCCTCCCTTAAGATTAACTATATATGGTGGTGGTGGTAGTAGTATTAGGAGTGTATGAATGCCTCAATTCCAAGCAAAACGCCAAACAATAACATAGCTCATTAATATACAGCCAATTCAAACATCATAAGCATTTGTAGTATCAAAAACATCATGTGGTTCTTCATCCTTCATCCTTCATCAATCGTCAAACATCGTAAACCGTAGACGTATTTCTGGTTTTCGTAAATCATCTGAATGCAATATTTTCTCTCGTAACTCATGAATCATTCTTCTTTAAAATCATAGTCTCTCGTCGAGACTTCTAATACAGATCTCTACCGACCCCGACAGTTGCATGACTCTCCTCGTACGGCGTACCCTGGCTGAAGGGACCAACCGCATACGGATCCGTCAATGTCTTGGCACCAATGCTCTGCTTCAATTTCTCCCGTCGTGCTTCTAGCTTCGCACTTGCTCGCTTTTGTCTTGTTTCCCTTGCACGCAGTCTTGCGTTGCGCAACATCTTCACGGGGAAGAGAATCCCTCTCTGCACTCGATATTTGGCTGATCGGCGCTGATATGGCGAGCGAGGACGAACAATTCCCATTCCCATGGCAAGGTTCAGATCACTCTGGCTTGCACCGTGTCGGCGCCGCCGCTGCGTCCACTTTTTTGACTTTTTCGAAAGACGACGAGCTAGTACAAGAGGGCCGCTGAATATCACTCGTTTTTGTGGTAACCCTAGAGAGTTGCTCACAAACACATCTTCCTCGTTTCCCTGTTGTCTATTTTGATCAGCGCCATTGCCCCCTGCGCTCCCTTCATTGCCCGGAGAACTGTCAAAATCATCCCAGAATCCACGTGGCCGCCAGAAAGAGTACAATTGACTATCTCTTGCTTTCTGGTCTCTGCGATTCCTTGCGGACCGGGTTGAGAGAGATCGAGTCACAGGTTGTTGACGAGCACTATCTGAATTGCGACGAGCACTCAATGCACGCTTGACAGATCCGATGCCTCTGCTAAGACGATTGCTTCCTTGTCGACTGAGCTCTGGGTTTCCCGAGTGTCCATTAGTAGTGATACTAGTGTGATTCCCGGGAGCCGGAAATGCGGCTTTCTGTGTAGGGGGCACCGGTGGTGTACGAGGATTTCGTAGGGGAGATTCAATGTCTATTGCCGCTGTGGACTGTTGCGGTGTCCGTACGGCGACGGCTTCGTTCAAGTTCTGGCCACGCAATGCCTTCGCCGCCTGCGGCTCTGGCTGCATATATGAATTAATCAATAGGAGCGATTCGTTGTTGTGCGGAAAGTAGGTCACCATTGTAGCTTCTCTGATTTCAATAGGACCAGGGGAAGACGAAACAATGGAGGACTGAGTGAAATGAAGGGACGGAGCATGAAGTAGTTCCATGTCATCCTTAATGCGCCAAGGAGATGCGGGCACAAACGCCTCGTTATTTCGAGAATCCGAAACATCAGGGAGTGAAATCCTCGGTGATGGTAATACAGCAGAATTTTCACTATTCTTTGGCACTTCAAATGCCGGTTCCATCGCTTCGGTATGTCGGCGTAGACTCTCCGAAGTCAACGATGTGGCGCGTGAGTTGTTGCGGCTCGTTGGAGCCGAGAGAGATGAACTTCTCGTAGGTATTGGAGGACGGCTTGCTACTCCACGACCACGGGATTCCCTTGCTTCACCATACTCTGCTACTGAATCTGCAGATTCAGACATGGTGCGTTTCCTCCGAGAGGAATGTTTATCGCTAGCTCTGCTGCGGGAAACACTCTTGTTGCGCCGACTAGACGTTGCGGATCGCGCGGTAGACTGAGCTCTGCTGTTGGGAGCGGAAGATTTGAGGGAAGAGCGTCTTTCCGGAACAACAGCTACAGGAATAACCTCCATCTTGTGTTGATAAGAGCTAGAAGTCGTACTGAACGGGATTGACATGTCAGATGCGGTACTATGGCGATTTTGATTTGAAATCCGAGCTGACTTATGCACCAAGCGGTGTGGAGAGTCCGCATTGGACTCGGTAGACGTGCGCGTAGATTGGGGCTGTGGCGAGCTCACTGACCGCAAAGATGTCCTTTTCTCAATGTGCCTCAAAGTCCGTTGTTTGGGAGGAGAATTATCAATTACCAGAGCTTCAATGGTGGATGCGAATGAGCCTCCAGAAAACCTCCATGTATTGACTCGGTCCATCAGCTTTTGTTCACTGTCCGTCAAATCAGAATCAGTTTTTTCGCCAGATTTATCGAATCTCATTCGTTGAGAGGCCCCATCTGCATTCTCCTGATCTATTCCTAGAACATCTTGATGACTCTGAGTTGGGATGCCATTGGCATGAGACTTCGGTAATAGCGATGGACTCAATATTGGAGTGCGCTTTTCATCCTCCACTGTATTAGTAGATATTTTCGCTCGAGAAGCCTTTTTCCTCGGGGTTCTTTCTTCGGTGGAATCGTTAATACTTTCGACGCCATTTGAGAGAGGAGACGGCTCTGGAAAAGACTTTTGACGTTTCCGTAGAACAAGTGAATGCGTGGACGGGTAGAAACCTTCTACGACGTCATCGTCCGATATATTCTCTCTTGCGGTCTGGAACGATTCGGCCCGCGAAGACATTGACGACTGTAGAGAGGCAAATACAGGCCGAGCTTTTGGTGTTGCATCTCTGACACGAGGTGGCGTAGCATCAGGCGTGGGCGGACTAAATTGGCGAGAGCCCGTACTTGTGTGAGACAATGGAAGCGAATGTTGGCCCTTTAGACGCGGCGAGTTATCTCGATGAGCGTCGTCGTCGTTGGCCTGGTTCGGAGGAGTGAGTGGTAGCGTCGGGGTAATGGGGATGTCAACATCGTAGACCTTATCGTCCTTAGATAATTCGACGTGGTCGAATAGGTCTGATGTGGGTTTGGGTTGCCGGCGTCGCGGAAGCGTTTTGTGGCCTTTGAGAAGCGGCCGATCTGGAGACGGAGGAGCGCCGTTGAGCGCGCCCACAGTTTCGGAATTCGGCATTGCAATATCGACAAGTTACGATATGAGGACTTTCAGCGCAAGACAAAGTCATCAGACCGGATAACTCAGAAACGCTGTTAACGGCGCTGTATCAAGCTACTTGACACTGCCGAACACTGCATTCTTGGGGAAGCAGACGACCTGCACTCCGGCGAACCACGATCGAAGATTCTAGGGTGTCGAGATGGGCGATATAGTTATACGAACCGGATTGACCGCAGGGAGTGTAGATGTCAGTTTCGTAAAGGCGTGTCTCGATTAGCGTTGGCGGTGACTGCGGTCGGGTGACTGACAAACGATCCTGCCCGTGGGAGTTAATGAGCGACAGCGACAGGAATCCTACAGTACTCGCGGTCTTCAGAGATTTGGATTGAGAATGGTTTGCGAACGACCGAGTTTGGAGATGTGGCAACCCGATTTGTCGGGAGAGAGAAGCAGGAGCGAGAGAGGAAGAGGGACCGGAAAGAGCGCGGCCGGGAGAGAGCAGAAGTGCGCGACCCAGTCAAGCACCTTTTCTGACCATAAATTATTGAGTATCGAGATGGAGCAGGGGATCACAGATGTTGTGGCATATTGCAGCAGCAGAGGAAGAGGAGGAAGTGCAGAGAAGGCGAGGCGAGATCCGGGAGGGGGCTTGACGAATGGCAATCTGGCTGCAACGGTAGCGCTTGCAACGCTCAGGCTGGGCTGGGCCAACAGGAGCAATTCTTGGAATGGGCTAACTGGCTAGCAGACAGTTACACAGGAGGTTATCGCAAGTGGCTTTTCTTCTGACAGGTCACTGCATTATTTAGTTGAGGGAGGGAATACGCAGGTGAAACATCGTCCCTCCCAGCTGAGACATGCTGGTGCCTAGGGCCAGTATCAAATTTATGCGACTCATCACCTCAATTCCACTACACACGGGCTTTGACTGGACAATCTACTTAACTACAGCGGTTATCAATCGCATTGCTCGAGCAGAACCTTGCTCCGTTAGCCCTCGCATTGGCCAAAACATGATATATGCACCTGCAAATCCACGGTAATCTTATTTCACGGAGACCATTGGAGAATATAATGTATGTACTATTAAATGATACTATTATGACCTTCCTGCTCAGGAATCAGGCTGCGTGACGCCAACCTGATCCACAACGCGCCGATATGTTTCCACCCTGCGATGCTGCGCAAAGTTGAATATCTGCAGCCGGACTCAGTCACTTTGCTCGCGAAATGGATAAAGGCGAACTTACATGTTCTTTCCCTTGGCGACACTCATCCAAATCAATCTCTGCACAAATCACTTCGTCGTCGGTAGTCGCTGCTTCGGCCAGTATTTGACCTTCCGGGCCGACGATACAGCTCCCTCCGATGAGCTCATACTGTCCATCTTCTAGCCCGGCCTTGCCAGCGGCAATGGAAAAGCAGCTGTTCATGTAGCTGTTGGCCTGCATAACCAGTTTATGCTGCGCAATGGCAGTGCTCTTCGCAATTTCCGGGCTCATGGCCTTCGACGTGCCCCAGAAATGAGGATTATATGCCGGGGTGTTATATCCGCAAAGGATTACTTCGACTCCCTGAAGACCATAACAACGCCACGCCTCAGGCCATCGCCGGTCATTGCAGATCAGCATTCCCAGGATTGGATCCCCTGCGCCATCCGCGTTTTGCCTTTTGCCTGGAGCACGAAAAGCCTGAAATCCGAGGTCACCGGGTTCAAAGTACCGTTTCTCTAGGTGATTGACCGCCGCCTTGTCAGGAAGAGGCTCACGAGTCCCTGGGATATGGACCTTGCGATACTTTGCCATCACCCGGTCTTGTTTCGCAGAATAATAGATGGCCGAGTTGAAAGCCCTACCTTCCGGTGTTTTCTCGGCATAGCCCACGCAAATATCAACCCCTAACCGTTGCGCCTCCTCAAATAGAGCCTTAGTCGGACTGGATCGCGAGATGTCTTTATCGTGTTCGAAGAAGGCTTCTAGGCGTGTGGGTTCATCAAAGAGATGCCGCGCAAAGAAAGTCGTAAATGCCAGCTCTGGAAATACCACCAATGTTGCTCCCTGTCGCGCCGCCGATTTCAAGAGCCTGATAAGACGAACCACTGTTTCCGCTCGGGGGGTATCGAGATGGACAGGGCCCAGCTGCGCAGCCGCAACCTTCAGAATGCGAGACATCGTTGGGAGGAGCACACCGACATAGTGTCGACATCAATCTTTCCAGAGCAGCCAGCTTTCTATTTGGCTTGAAATCGTTGACTACGGCATGCTCATCGCCTTGAACTGGCACGAGGCGTAGACTCTAGCGAATAGCTCCAGAGACGAGGCCGAAATAGGAAAGTATAGGCTGTCCGGCGACCAATTATGTCGCTCAGGAGAACATGACTAAGCCGCATCGTCATCTCCGGATCCCCAGAGAAGGAGCATCTTGGCTGTTTCTTATCCATGCATAAGACAACTCATACGATTCTTCAGTAATACCAATCTCAGCCTTTTCGCGACGGCATTTAATTTGATAAGAAATCGACCGCAACAATGCCGCCGGCAGATGGGGAGAAACCCCGCCGGTCTCGCACGGGCTGTCAGAACTGCCGCCGACTGCATCGGAAATGCGATGAGACTAAACCTGCCTGTTTGGGTTGTCTCGCCTCGGGGAAGCAATGTACTTACAGTCTCCGCGTATCCTGGGGCGGCCGTCCATTTGCCAAATCATCCTTTGGCAAGTGTCTGAGGACCGACGTGGCCGTCGTTCCCACCGCCGAATCCACAGACGCAGGTCAATCACGGTCCAATCCAGAAGAGAACGAGGATACGTCGTTTGTCTATGGTCTTGCCGAGTCACGTCATCGCATTGAAGAGGCCGAGTCAGACAGTCAGAGTTCTTCAACGCCTTCCCGGCTATCTTCGCCGGTTCGCGCAAGCCCGGCAAATTCAATCACTGCAGAGACATATGCAACTAGCATCTCTCAGAACCCTTCTCACCTTTCGCAACTTCCACCTTCCCATCGTCTTCTATTAGATCATTTTTGTAATGCTGTCACACGGTCATTCTCTTTGCATCTCTCAACTCACCATGGATTCTGTATGACATACCTCCCGCTGGCTCTTGACCCGGTTACAGGAAATGGCCTCCTGCCAGCCGTCTTGGAAGCAGCAGCGCTCCATCGCAAGTCGCTAGGCCTGTACCACAATGAGCGTGAGCTAATTGCGCTACGACATGAAAGTATTCGCCAATTTAAATTGCCAACCATTGGAAAAAATCCCGTCGATGATGACAAGGCTCTAGCCACGGCTCTAATTTTGTGTTTATGCGATATCCTCGCTGGTGGAGAGAAGGCCAACTCATGGCAGCTTCATCTCCAAGGGGCTACCGCGATGATACAGCAGGCCTCAGAGGGAGGTGACATGTCCCAGGAATCCGATCTACGAAGGTTTTTGAGACGCTGGTGTGAATCTTTGGAAGTGCTATCTATTATTGGCCCGGATTCCAAGTTGGCTGGCCAAACAGTGGAGTCTAGCAATTTAGACTATATTGACGAGTTTCATGGTTTCTGTCGAAGATTGATTCCAATCTTCCAAGAAGTCCATCTGCTTCTGATGGAGTGTCAGTCACTGCAAGAAATGTTGGAGTTGGTCGGCCCATCCCATCCGATGGTAGAGAGAATGTCTTATGTGGTTGAGGGGCGATGTCGAGCTGCTATCAATAGCGTTAAATCATCACTGGCCCAGACATCTTACTCGTTCCACCCCTGCATTCAGTCTTATATGAGCCCCCAAGTTCAAAGTGAATTCGTGTCTCTTAATAAAGCCTTTCATCACGGTATCCTCCTACATCTCTATAGGAGGGTACAAGGCTTACCGCCTACTGATTCGAATATCGAAGCCTCGGTTCAGGCGATCATCCTACACCTGTCCGAGCTGGATCTCCGTGACGAGGCGTGCCCCGGGGTAGCTATGTTGCAGCCCCTCTTCGATGCTGGATGTGCATCCTATAGTATGCACCATCGTGACAGAGTAATAGAATTGATGAATACTTTGGAGAAACGTTACGGTATGGGAAACGTCAGCCGTGCCCGGGCATTCCTTCAAGAATATTGGGTGGAGTTTGATCAGCAACGCTTCCATGGAGTTGATCTCCATTGGGACACGTATATCAGTAGGTTCCTTCATCTTAGTATTTCATTGACCGATTTGCTGACTATATTCAGAGTTGAAAGGATGGGAGCTATCCTTATATTAGCTGTCCAGAAAGATTACAAACTCATGTATATTCGGATAGAAGTCCTCGTGCTTCGCGTGATTTCTCACCCCTATTCACTTGAGTTCTTCTTCATAAAATCGTCGTAAATCTCGCCCATTGTCACCCATTCCACCCCTTCATGTTTATTAATATGCTCAATGATCCTATTGAAGCCAATCAGCTACTGCACTCAATGCCAGCAAGTTTCATGCAAACCTTTCCTGCATCAAAAGAACGTGCGGGCGCCCTGATACATCCGGATGAATTGTCATCGGAAAGATAAACTCGTCATACTCCCGGTAGAAATAGTCAAATTGATCCTGCACCATCTAGTCAGCCAGGTTACGCTTCTCCATCCCTAAGAGCACATATATCCAAACCTTCCAAAGGTCCTCAACATCCCGCGGATTCACCCATCCGTGGCTATTAGCAGAGCCCTTGATAAACATCAACGGGACCATATCGTCAAGATACCACGATGCCGGGATCTCAACGAGCTCACTTTCCGTGCCCCAGACGAGCGGCTTCATCCACTCCTTGGCGGGCTGCGAGTAATCGATCTTGGTCCATTGATCCCCCGCCCGAACCCGATACGCCTGGCAGTCATGGTGACTCAGGCTGTGGTCGTACTTGATCCCGTAATTAAGAAGTAGCTGGACCATTTCCTGGTTGACCTCCCACCAGGGCGCCACGTATCCGCGTGGCTGTTTCCCGCCGCAAAAGCTGGTTAGCATCTTGTACGTCTTGTCTAAGACATCGCGCTGTTGTTGTGGTGACATATTGACTGGGTTTTCATGCGAGTAGCCATGCAACCCGATCTCGTGGCCGGCGTCGCGTACTTGAGCGCATTGCTCCGGGAAGGTCTCGAGGGAATGCCCGGGTATAAACCAGGTTGTTTTGATGTTATATTTTTCAAACACTCGGAGTAGTCGTTGGACACCGATAGTTCCTGCAAATATTCCTGTAGGTTGTCCGTGTGGTTAACAGAAATTTTTTCATAAGCGAATTGAATTCGGGGCTCTATGTATTTACCTCTACTGATGTCATTTTCTGAGTCTTCGCCCCCGTATGAGCCTAGCCAGCCTGACACTGCATCCAGATCGACGCCGTAGCTACAGAGGACTCTTTTCTTGCCCATGGTTGGTTTCGTCGCCGTAATATCCAACTAAAAGTTCATAAAACTCCACAGATTGAGCGTAATGAGGCCGATCTAAGTAGATTTTTTGGTGACTCTTTTCCAGTAAATATTGTCAGTCAACATTTATAAGCAGAGTATCTTATATTTTTCCGCTTTCAGTTCGGTGATTTCTCGCTGACTGTACCTTATTTATCTGGTCGTCATCGTTGGTCTTTTAGTGAATTAGGGTTTCAAGACGCGCCAAACCGGATTAGGGAACTATAGCCTGTTGGGGTGGATGGAGCTGACCGACCATCGCAGAATCATTTTCAAGAACACCACGATTGATAGGCTATTCTTTCCTATCTACACGTTGCTTACTGTCTCATGAGAAATTGTTGCTCTGATTTGTCATTGCTTAAAGACCCCCAGCTCGACAAGTCGTGATGCTCAATAGCCTAAATACGCCGCGTCTCCTCTACATTCGTCTGTCTATTTCCCTCATCCTGAACAGAACAAGAGAAAAGAATTCTATTATTTTCACACTTTTGCATACCATTAATTGATTTCGCACACACACACACACACACACACACAACAATGTGCGCAACACACGGCACCACTTCTCAAACCAACGGTTCGAGCGCCTCTACCGGCCAACAAAGCTTCCTCGGAAACGCAATTGAAATCTGCATCGTGACCCGCGACCACAAACGCACTATTGACGGTCTATTGCGCCTCGGCATTGGGCCCTGGAAGAGCTACACATTCACGCCCGAAAACACAACCAACCAGACCTACCGCGGCAAGCCAGCAGAGTTCACACTCAAAGTATGCTTTGCGCAGGGACCCAATGTCGTCTACGAGATAATCCAGCCTGTATCGGGCCCAACCATATTCGGCGAGTTCCTCGACAAGCACGGGGAGGGCATCCATCATGTGGCGTATGACTGCCACGGAATTCCATGGGAGGAACGAATGGCTGGGTTCAAAGAACGGGGCTTTGAGCTGGCGCAGTCGGGCAGTTGGCAGGGACGGAATCATTTTGCTTTCTTCGAAACGGAGGATGCGACTACGACTTGCTTCGAGACGTACTTCTTCCCGGATGACTGGGAGGATCCTGTGGCTGATGAAGTGTATGGTCTTCCTTCTACAGAGTGAGTGCAGAAACTCTTGGGTTGTATTTTATATGAGTCATTCTTAAATAGCAGCCTTGAAAGTGTTTCGAGATATAGATGCTGTTTTGAAATGGATGTATTCAGAATTTTACTTTACCTCAAGATACGTCTATTTCTGCAAAGACATTTCCACATTTGATTGCGCATTTAAAATACTAGACTAAGGGATTATTGCTTTTCTATATAAGACATCTTCGTTTTGTTAAGTCATTAGGAATGTATTACAAGGAAAGTTTTTGGTTACCTAGGTATTACTGGAGTATTCCTTTGATGTATTTGTCTACGAGTTTCCACAAGGTTATTAGCATTGAATACCCGAACGCAGTGGATTAGAGGATCATGGAAACTTTTAACGTAATATAGCAGGTCCATAATATGAATACAGTGTCAAGTATCAATTTTTCATGAAGAGCAGACAAAAAACGAACATAGTAGCTAGCATTTGGTGTGGCAGCAACTCCTAGCCCTAAATGACCAAGCTGAGTGTACGAGCATCATGGTGATGACAATCAAAGCGCACACGAGGAAGAACTGAAGAGATCATTTCTTCACTACACTGCCATCGAACACATCATGAGCGTCGATTTCCATACTCCCTGGCCGATTATCAGGCACAACCGGATTCATAACGACCATCTGGGGCCCGACATAGTCTGTCTTGCGCTTCCATAACCACCACCCGGTTACCAAAATAGTGATACCACCGGTAATCGCACTGGAATAGTTCATGGACGTCGCGCTAGTCGGCATGGTATACGGAAAACAGAAGATAACGATGAATACAATCAGATATGCGCAGCTAATCCCGCCAACGACATAGCCCGCCGTGCCTTTGATCCAAAACGGGCCTCGCATGACAGTGTGACGCCGCTGGAATAGGTGTGGTCCCAAAGCTGCAATGTAGGATAAAGACATGAGGATAACGAAACTGCCGACGAAGGCGTTGAAAGCAGTTTCCGAGCCCACTGGATTAATTCTGTTAGCGCACGTATATTCTAGCTGCGTTGTATTTCCGACCAATGAGAAGAGGAAACTTACTATAAATCCCGCCAAATGCAGTGCTTATAATGCCACAAATGATAGTAGAGTTCAGCGGATTCTTCTGCCTAGTATCGATTTTGCCGACAATCTTGCTGAAAGGAGTCGCGCCGTCTCGTCCCAGCGTCCAGAGCACTCGACCGGCCGTGATATACGCCGCAACACAGGCACAGAGGGATGGAAGGAAGATGACAATAAGCAGTCCAAGAGCACCAGCTTGAGACCCTGTTGCTTGTAGGTATATCTGAGCTAGGGGGAAGTTGAAAGAACTCTCAACTACTGCGTTGATGTCTGAAATGGCATATAGCAGCGCTAGGAGATAGAGGAAAGTCCTAGTTTGTTTTTAGTCGGATAGCTGAAAGGTCCTGTAGAAGAAACTCTTACGATAAAAATCCGATAATGATCTGTGCAGCGATTGCTTTCGGGACGTTGACGTTCGGCCTGGTTCCCATCAGTCAACATTCTTGCTTGTTCTCGATGTATGGAAGGAATGGACCACGTACCTTGGAATCTCCTCAGCCAGGTGCGATGCACAGTCTATCTCAAATTAGTCCTTCTCGGATCCTTATCCCCTGACGGGTTGATCAACCTACCCGGCGTACCCATCGCATAGGCACCATTCAGCATACCCATGACAAACACCATCCCGTTACTAGAGTATCCTGTTTCGTTCTCCCAGTCCCGCCAAACAAAGGCATTGCTAGCATGACGACTGGGCATGATGGCACAGACCAAGATAGAGATGAGTACCCCTGCAATAATAAAAAAAAGACCAACATGATTGATCCATGGCAAGGCCCTGTTTGCATAAGCGACCACAAAGCAGCACATCCACGTCACCGCAATATAAGTGACAAATACATGCCATCGCTGAAAGGTATACTCGGGATGGAAAAGAGCATACATCTAATTTCACCATGTTGTCAAGTCTTCATCCAGAAAAGAAAAAAAAAAAAGAAGTTCTGGAGACCTTCTTACCTGCACCGCCTGCTGAGCAACTACCGAGCCGCTCGACACCGTCGCAAAGATCCAGGCAAGTGTATTCCACCAGCCTGCATAGAAGCTTACCATCGGTCCGTAGCGTGTACCTGACACCATCGCCGACCACTGATAGACTGTGAAAAGATTAGCAGAAACCAGAAATGGGATTCTCTCCACGAACCTCCTGCCGACGACGGCATGGCGGATGCTAGCTCTGCGATTGATGCAGCAACAAAGCAGTACATTACAGAAACCGCAATGCTGATAAATATCAGGATCAACCCATATCCGAGGATCAAACGCGAAGGGTAGGTGATGTTACAATTCATAGAGAATTCCCGGCGGACCGCCGTTCAGCACTGATGTTACCTAGAGTTGTTTTGTTCTGTTAAAAAAAATAATCACGATCTTGGCAATCAGCGAGCAAGGGTCATTCAGGCTTACAATAGTGCCACCCATCAGTGCCCATGAACATCCCGTGACGATTCCAACGGCAGAGATACTCAACAGGCCAAATTGACGATCGAGCTCCTGGGCATGCCCGGAGGCATTAACCTCGTTGGGTTTATTGTCATCTACTGCCATCGTGAAATTTCAAAGTGAAGTGTGCAAGTGTAGTAGGTATCTAGGAGATTTTCCGGGTTTCGATGGACATGACCATGATTTTTATGTTGATAGAAAGCCTGAGCGCCCCGAGTATCTGCTGATAGCGTTCCATATTCATCTACAGACAGTGTAGAGTTCGTATCAAGACCATGATAAGAAAAGGAGGATAGTCGAGATAATTGACTTTCTCCAGTTGCACTCTCTGGCCCTAACCAGAGAACCCGCAGCCTATAGTTTCCATTTACGGCTTAGGGCGGCTTATGTCCCCAAGCTGCAATTTTCAGACTCCCAAAGATACGTATATACAGCACGTAGTGGATTACATGCTTCTTTATTGTGTCAATTTACTGATAAGCTGGCATTTTCATGACAGAAGCCGATTGCGAGAATGTTCACATTACCTCTGTGTGAGCTAGCCAGCCTATTGTTTCTTCACTGGGAAAGCATGCAAATGATGATAGAAGATACTGATTGATTTTTACTAAATGACACATGTAATTGGAAATATTTGTAATCAGTCTGGGCTCAGGTGGCTACTTTACTCTCTTGCACCGCTTCTATAAGATAAGAGCCCCGCATGCTGGCTTTTCGTCCTCTTGCTATCAACTCGAGCGGTCTTGGTCACTCAGCGAAATCAGCATGGCTCAACAACGCTTGCCAGCAAAGTCCGGCATAGCTGTCCCCCTTGTAAAAGGACAGTTAATCCAAGTCATTAATACACATGGCAAGCAAGTGGTGGACACCTGGGCCTTTGACTCGCAGGATCCAAGCTCACATCTCTCCATGGAGCACACTCGCGCTTCTCTGCTGAAAATCTCCATTGCAGTCGGCGATACCCTCGTCACTAACCGTCGGACTCCAATTCTGACGGTGGTGGAAGATACAAGTCCTGGGGTGCATGATTTATTAATCGCTGCTTGTGATAGTCATCGTTATGCGCAAGTAGGTTTATTTTCTCTTGACTAGAAAGGGACTACGAAGATCCATCTAACCTTGGTTCAGCTCGGGGTGAAAGGGTATCATAATAGTTGTGTCGACAATCTTCACAATGCGCTCAAAGCCGTTGGAACTCGCATCAGCTCAGTCCCGTCCCCTCTGAATTTGTTCATGAACGTCCCCGTGGCTAGCGACGGTTCATTATCCTTTGCTGATCCATTATGCGAAGCTGGACAGTCCTGCACTCTACGCGCAGAAACAGACTTGATTCTAGTGATGTCCGCTTGCCCGCAGGATGTGACCCCTGTCAATGGTGGCAAATGCGCCGATATTCACTTCGTCGTCACTTAAGCAAGTCTCCTATTAGTCTCTAATATATATCCTGGGTTTCGTTGAATGCGGGGAAATCGCAAGGACGCCTATTATATTATGTATAATACATATACTCCCAATCAGTTGCGTCACGGCATAAGATGATCGAGTCGAGCCCGACTTGATCATCCGTCGGATGGTAGGATTAGCGAAGTCTGGGCAGACGTGGATCTTGTCTTTCTCAAAAAAAGCTTCAATATCAACAGACTGTAAAGCAGATCTAGACGCTTCTGTCTCCTAGCTGAGCTCCGCTTCAGATCCATAGCTGTCATCATTGTGGCTAGTCCCTCCAAGAAATGCTGGTCCGTATATATATCATGAGGAGTTTGATTTCATGCTTCATTGGCCAGAGATTTGATGTCATAGCTATGATGCTGGTGATAGTTACACGTTCTTATCAGGAATCTCAAGGATGACGTCGGTAGGTTGACGAGCAGATGCTATGATGAACAGCGCGATACGGACGAAGCAGTAAGTGAATGGTTATTCTGTATAGGTGAATAGCAGGATGATTAGGTAGGTGTATGCTGACCAGATGACTGTGTCTGTCCAGGCATACGTCTCAATTGGATATAGCTGTGTACACATGTGACTGCATAGGTGAGATATAAACAATTGTAAGCTGATATAGTTGGTCAATCAAATGTGTTGATGATGATACTAGGATGATATAAACTGAAAAATATGCTTAGAGAAGAGCGGGAGCAATGACGCAGCGCCTGATGTCATGGGGCTTTCTCCTGGCGTGCTGAGTCAGCCAGATCGTCATCCCACATCGCTGTGATTTGCTCGATCTGTCCTTCACTCAATCTCTCTCTCTCTCTTTCTCTTTCTCTCTTTCTCAGTCAGTCCCTTTCCCTCTCTCTCACTACAACTATCCGCCTGTCGCCGCGTTGAGTCCTCTTTGGTCCGTTTTCAGCGTCGTCGCCGTGGCTTGAAAAAAAGGGACGAAAATCAAAGTTTGCCCCTCAGCAGTCGTCAGCGCCTTTTAAGACACGTTCCGCTCCCTTCACCTCTTGCAAGCACCGCATTCTGTTGCAGCTGCACATAGCCATACCCTCAGCAAGGAGGAAATAGACGAAGGAGCAAAAACAGAAAACAAAAAACGCTCCAGTCTCATTGGCACTCACTCAGCAACCGTTGGGTTATTAGACTGTTAGTCGGTGTCGTTGGTCCCTGCGCTTATTCCGTCATCGCCGAATGTCATGCCCTAGTGACTCTTGCTCCTACTAGAGACATCTCGTTTTCCCCTCATATACCACCACAGCATCTCGTTATCATCATTTTTCTCTTCCTCCATTGTGCCCCTTTACTCCAACTCGTTACCCTCTAGAGCGCCGTCCTTTTTCCCCACCCTTCCTTTCTCTCCGCCTCCCTCTCACCCTCTCACATCCCGAGAGAGACGAACCCGCCCCGCCGTCGCCATGAGTACGATACAGAATTTAAAGAACTTTATTCGCCATGGCAAGCAAGCTCGCCTGGTGACCCCTCATGCAGAGCCCACCACAGATGTCACAGCCGTCCACGCACAACAGCAACGTCAACCGCAAGGGCAATACGCCAATAATCTCGATACTATTGACCAGAAACATGGCAACGGACAAACAACCACGCAGCCGCAGTCGCGGTCGCAGCAGAAAGCTGCCGACTCGCAAAGCAAAGTGTCGCGCGCTGATATCGAGAAATTGGTGGCCGAGGAACGACAGAGCAAGTCCAAGATGCCCAAGTATCCGGGACTAGATCGATACATTTTGGTTGAGAAAATGGGCGATGGAGCCTTTAGCAATGTTTATCGAGCCAAGGATACCCTGAACCGCATGGAGGAAGTGGCAATTAAGGTTGTGCGGAAGTTTGAAATGAATAGTAACCAGGTATGGAGCCAAAATGCAGTCCTCTTACCTTTTTCGCTTGTCTGTTTTTTTATTGTTTTCACCTTGTTATGTTTCTCTACCTGCTCTTTTCCCCTCGCTGCTGTGCCAATATATGTGAACCACCTGCACTATGAATTTAGTCGCCAACATCTTGTCGGCGGCTTTTTAGGACAACAAACACCCTCGACCGTATAAGAAGAAGCCGAAAGCCGTGGAGGTGCGCGATTTTCACTCCTTTCTCTGAATGTTACTTATGTCATTGCACCGATTTTTCTTTCTTGTTTCGGGGTGTTTTTTTTTTTTTTTTTTTTTTTCCTCCAATTGATCATCTGAGTTGTATAGTTGCTGACTGATCACAGCGAGCCAATATCCTGAAAGAAGTCCAGATTATGCGACAATTAGATCACCCCAATATTGTTAGCTTGATCGACTTCTCTGAATCACCCCAATTCTATTACATAGTCCTTGAGCTCTGCCCTGGTGGCGAGCTCTTCCATCAGATCGTGCGATTGACATATTTCAGCGAAGATCTTAGCCGCCATGTCATCAAACAAGTCGCCGAAGCTATTGAGTTTCTTCACGAGACTTCCGGCGTGGTCCATCGGTAAGTTGGCATACACGAAAGATGCGCAGGAAGAAACTAATAGTACTAGTGATATCAAACCTGAAAATCTACTATTCTACCCCTGCGAGTACAAGCCCACCAAAAATCCCAAGCCGCGCCAACCAGGCGATGAAGATAAAGTAGACGAGGGAGAATTCATTCCGGGTGTGGGTGCAGGTGGCATTGGCAAGATCAAGATTGCCGACTTTGGTCTTTCCAAGGTCATTTGGGACAGTCAAACAATGACGCCGTGCGGTACCGTGGGCTACACGGCTCCTGAGATTGTTAAAGACGAGCGATATTCGAAAAGCGTTGATATGTGGGCATTAGGCTGCGTGCTATACACGCTTCTCTGTGGCTTCCCTCCTTTCTACGACGAAAGCATCCAAGTTCTCACAGAAAAAGTTGCCCGAGGGCAATACACCTTCTTGTCACCGTGGTGGGATGACATCTCCAAGTCTGCCCAGGATCTCGTATCACATCTCCTCACCGTCGACCCGGACAAACGCTATACCATCGGTCAATTTCTAAACCATCCATGGATTAAGCAAACGGATGAAACAACACACGCAGCTGCCGACGCACCCCCCCTCGCCACACCTCAAATCCCCCGTCAAAAGGAGACCGCCCAACAACCACAACACACCATAGAAATTGAACAAACCCCTCTATCAGCCACGGAACGACGTTTGCAGGACTTCCGATCTCCCGGTGCAGTCAATCTCCGCGAAGTCTTTGACGTCGGCTACGCCGTCCATCGCCAAGAAGAAGAAGGCAAACGACGCAAAAACTTCCGACAAGGATACCGCGGCGCCAATCCCACAACGGGCTTCAGCGCCCAACTCAACCCGCTCAACGAAGACTACGACGACGAAGAGGAAGAAGTATACGACACCAACAAGGGCGACCAACGAGAACCACCCGCTAAAATCCCACGCTCGTCCCAAGTAGGCGCCAGCGACGTGGCAGCCATGGAGGCAAAACTCCGCTCGACAAATTTGGGTACTCAACCCAGCAGCGCCGCCCAGGCAAGACAATCAGTAAGAAACGGAGCGGGAACCACCGGCCAGAGACAGCCACAGCAACAGGGACAAGGCTACGGCCAGCACAGTGCGGCAGTTGCAGCAGCAGCACGGCAAAACGCGGCGCGCGCTGCTAAGCAGCCATTTGAACTAAATATGGCGAATGCGACGTTACTAGAGCGAAGAGGGAGGAGAGCGCCCAGTCAGGTTGTATAGAATCATTATATCAATTGTGTGTATGTAACAAACAAACAAATCATTTGCTTGTTTTTTGTCTTTTTTTCACGTTCCATCTTTTTTATGGTTGTGGTCATGGTCTTGGTTATTTGGTACTGGCGTTTTTCTTCTTTTTTCTTTCTTCTTTTTGTTGTTGGTTTCTTTTTATTCTATTTCAATCTTATGACTTTTTTCTTGTTATATCAGTTCTCTGGGTGAAGGGATGAAGGGATGAATCAATGGATAGCGATGGATTCCTCTTATTTCATTGCCATGGAAAGGAGACAGATACTAGGTCAGGTCAACTGGATTGTATCCTACCTATTTATTATCAAATACATCGACTTGCATACACATTCACATGTACAATTGAGTTTCATTTATTCCATCTCTATTTATAAGTAGTATATATAAGTTTTTTTGTATACGGCATAAGCAAACCCGGACCGTAATGATAGGTATGTAGCTAAGTACGTAGGCAGACATATTACAAAGCCTGCTTCCCTCTCGTCTCAATGGGCAAAAACACCATAGCACAAAAAGCAGCTAGGATAAGACCACCGGAAGCATAGACGGGGGCATTTGCGTTCCCTTGGGCACCATATATAGCCACAATGGGCGCCATGACGCCGCAGAGACGATTGAAAAAGCTAGCTACGCCTGTACCAGTACCGCGATTCGGCGCGGGGAATACCTCGGGTGTGTACGCGTAGAGGACGCCGTACATGATGTTCTGGAAGAAGGCCTCTAGAGAGCTGCAGACGAGTTGGATGTTGGAGTCACTGGAGACGGTGAAGCAGAAGAGGATGATGCCTGTGAGGAGAGTGGCGATGGCCATGGTGCCCTTGCGGCCAATGTATTTGATATTCACCGTGAAGCAGCCGATGATCGAGCCGGGGACACCGACGATGGAGGTAATGGCGTAGTTGCGGTATGTGATGTTGATTGGGGTGGTGGAGCTGTCGGAGCCTGCGTGCGCGAGGTATTGAGGCAAAAAAGCGTTGAAGAGTGGGAAACCCATGCCGATGGTAGCCCAGCAGAACCAGAGAATGGCGGTAGTGAAGCCGAGACGTTTGGTGTGGAAAAGGGGGCCGAGTCGTTCGCCGGAGAACTTGGAGAGGGCGCGCTTGATGATGTCCAAGGTGCTGAGAGTCGAGTCGCCGACTTCGCTTGGATAGCCTCCAATTTCATTGAGGATGTCAACGGTGAGCCATGTTTTGGTCTTGTTCTTGTACGCGAGAGCGTGAACGGTGCGGACGGCTTCGTCCTGGCGGCCACGAGAGAGCAGGAACTTGGGGGACTCGTAGAGGTGAAAGAAGAAGAACCGGCAGGCGAACATGGCCAGAGTTAGGGCACCCATTGTGACACACAAGTACCGCCAGCCCATGTTGTCTTGCCTGCGACAGCAGGCTTCGCCAGCCGCTACGGCCGAGCACGCTGGCAAACCGCTGGCGCAGCTGTAATTAGGGATGAAGCCCCAAGCAATCAGACTATATCTGTTAGTACTCATGTTAACTGAGAATTGTGATAAAAGGCAGACACACCTTCCCACCATTTGCCCAACTGGCCACCAGATACTCAGCAGAGTAAGAAGATTGGCAGATGCAAAGGGCAAGAATTCCAAGAACAGCGCTCCATCGACTGGCAGATTGCCTCCAACCCCTAAACCCATGGCAGAAGCCATACCGCAGACGCCAATCCACGTTGGGCTCGCTGCAAGGCAGATGCCGAAGATGCCGCAAATCAAAAGAGTCATGTTGAAGGCCAGACGACGGCCCACGATGTCGGACGCAATGCCCCAGAAAGATGCACCGAGACATAGACCAATGAACAGGGCAGCTGTCGTGAAGCGAACATGGGTCGACGAAACACCGAATTCTTGGGAGACTGAATTCAGGGTCAAAGCGATGCCCTAGTTGACACGTAGGTTAGTATTGAAACTAGTTGACAACATGAAAATATATTTATATACCTGTAGCCAGAGACTATGTCGTGTCAGCTTAGCAACTTCAACAAAAATACTAATCAATGGTAACCTACTTGTCTGCAAACCAGCCAAAGCCACACAAAATGAAAAGATGCCACTGGTAGCGGCCCATTCCAATATCTTGAATAGCCAAGTTGACCACCTTGGCCTTTCCTGTAAACCAATTAGATCCGTTTTCCTCTTCTCATCCCTAAGAAGCAACTACGAAAGAATCCATCTTCAACCGCACAGGGCATTGGCATAACCTACGGTCGTACACGGTGTCATGTCCAGAGGTGGACACTTCGCTCTCCACTTCAGCGCGAATGGCTTCGATAGTTTGATAGCTATACTCAGGATCAGAAGCAGCAGCACCATTCTCTTCAGAACCGACGCGGTCGAGCTCCTTGTCATTCTCCTTATTGCTATTGATATTATCGCCAGCAGCAGCAACTTCCGAGTCGCCGGAGACGACGGTGTTTAAGTGCTGGAACCGGGTTGCTTGCGATAGAGGGATCACAACGCCTAGAAATTCCTGACGGTCATGGCGCGTAAATGGATTGACCCAGGAAGGCATATTTGGTGGATTTGGCGCAGTCGGTAGGAATAATAGGTAATAGGTAGCAGGTAGCAAGGTCGCAAGGGCAATGTCGCGTCGGCAGTCAGAATCTTGTACAGTCTATGCGGATATGTGTGCGCGTTGTGTGATATAGACACAGCCTATGCACTAGAGCAATAAAATTTATATCGAATCGAAGTCGATTTGGGTGTGCAGTCCAGAGGTGACTGATGAAAGGAGAGAAATGTGGTTAGTTGGAATGGCTGCGAAGGAAAAGAAAGGAAAGAGGGCTTGAGAAAAACGGCCCTCTTATACAGTCAACCTCAACCAATTGATTCCATGAAACATTTTCCCGTCTCTGTCATTATTTCCTTAGTCACAGATTTGTTCTAAAATACAGACGACTGGCAACTTGTCCCATCTTTGACCGTGATAGGCAGATGGGCCTGTAAAATTACGTGCAAATTTTTTTCAAAACATCCAACGGACCATCACGACTAACGGAGTACTCCGAACGTCACAGCCAAGAAACTCGATCTGTGGCAACGGAATTTCGAGTCTTCAGCTTCTTGTCCATCTTGTATCCCAATGGTCGATACGGGAATTTTGCAGCGCGGCAAGCTGCAAAATAGTATCCAATTAGGGCTCGCGCTTGCGGCGGGGAAGCACCCAAAACGGCGATGCCAAGGCCCGGGCGGCGGCTCGGCGTGGCTGAAGCCGTAGAACTTTTTGACGCATACGGAAATGCGGAGTAAGTTACGGTACGGCCATTACGTACGAATTAATTTCATGAGTGGAGCTCAAAAAACTTTTCATTTTATATATACATGCCTTGGTCCTTCTTGTCTAGTCATATATACTAATTTACTTAATCGCTTGGATAAGCATGTATTGTTGGTATTATTCGTACAGCGACTTCGTATACGTGCAAATCTTGCACATGCAATATTCATGGAAAAAAAAAAAAAAAAAAAAAAAAAAAAAGTAAAGAAGATGATGTCATACACAGCGCTAGTGAATCGACCCACTTGGACCGCGGCTCCCACGAACCCTGTATTGTAATTACGATATCTACAACATCAGATTTGTTTTTTTGTTCAAAATCGACCTTTGCCTCTCTGGGCATGATGTTATGATATTCAATAACTCAGGCTATTATATTAATTAAAGTCGTCTCATAAGGGCCAAGTACCTGCTGGACTTTAATAGCTGCCGTTGATAGACTAAAAGATCAGCTTACCGCGCAATACCCTCCTTATACCTCTGCAGCGCCCTCGCCCGACTCGCAGCATGCTCGACAATCGCCCTAGGATACCCAGCCTTCTGCGCAACCGCTGCCGCACCTCTATTATAGGGGTCATGGATAGCCTTCCGGTCCTTGATGTCCCTTAACTCCGGCACCCATTTCCTAATATACTCCCCATTAGGATCAGACTTCTCACTCTGCAGCAGCGGATTGAAAATCCGGAAATAGGGCTGCGGATCAACACCCGTACTCGACCCAAAGCCCCATCCACCGTGATTAGAGGCAAAGTCGCCATCGACCAGATTCTCCATGAAATGTCTCTCGCCGCGTCGCCAGTCGATCATGAGGTCTTTGGATAGGAATGAGGAGACAACCATGCGATTGCGGTTGTGCATCCAGGCGTCATGTTTGAGTTGGCGCATGGCTGCGTCGACGAGTGGGACGCCGGTTTGGCCTTCGGTCCAGCGCGTGAAGATCTCCGAGTCGTATTCCCATTCGACGTTGGTGAATTCGGGTTTGAAACATTTATTCATGCTTTTCGTGCTATTAGCTTAATATAACGCCACAGGAAGTAGGAAGAGGTACCAAATAAATGGCCAGTGTACTAGCACATGCTTGTAGAAATCCCGCCAGGCAACCTCACTAATCCACGATGCAAGCCCAGCATTCTTCCCATCCAAATATCCACCATTGGCATCTTTCGCAATGGAAACAGCCGTCCTCGCACTCAAAACACCGGCAGCCAGATACGGACTGAGAACGGAAGTATATTCGTTATCAACCATGCTGCGCACCTTGTTGTAGTCGTTTGCCTTTGTTTTAAGAAACCTATCCAGTCGTCTCATAGCCTCTGACTCGCCTTCGGGATACATTTTGCTGAATCGCTGTTTCTCTTCCTTCCCAAGACGCTTGTTCGCTGGTGCATCGGGCACTTGGCTGTCGAAAAGGTCTGCGAATTGTGAGCGCGCGCTGCTAGAGTTCGCGCCGGGCGCCTCTAGAACAGTCAGGTTCTGCTCATGTTGATGAAGATAATTCATCCACGATCGGTACCATGGCGAGAACACGGCATACTGTTTACCCTGCTGGCTCTGAAGAGCGCCGGGGGTAACAACGCAAGAGTCATGGGCCGTTTCAAAGACAATGCCCTTATCGGCCAGGAGCCGCACAAGCTTTGCCTCTCTTCGCAGTTCGTCAACTTCATACTCAATGTTGGCAAACAAATGATTAACACCCCACTGCTCGCACAACTCGAGAATTCTATTAGGCACAGTCCGGCGTTTTTCCTGCGTCTCCATGTACAGGGGGATATCGAGTTTCTCGAGATCTATTTTCAGCACCTTCAAATTGCGAAGCACGAAGTCTACGCGCGCCGGGCTAGCCAAATGTGCTGTTAAATCCTGCGGTGAAAGGATGTACAGGCAGATTAGCGGAGCATTATTTGCTTGAGCAAGGTCATATGCCATTTTCAAAGCACGGTTGTCCTTCAATCTCAAATCATTCTTGAACCAGTGCACGACTGCAGCATTCTTGCCATTGATACTCCCACGGACTTCATTTGTTTCTTCGTAGGCTCGGTTCAGCGTATCTATTGGCCGCTCCAAAGTGCCGTTGTTATAAGCTTCGCAGCGCGCGTTGCTCATTTCTGGAGGATAGAAATCGCGAAGCACGATGCCGAATTGTTCGGCTTGTTGGGCGCTGGGATGCGGGCTGTTGATGTCGTTTAAATTGGATGGCCGCGATGTGTTGCTTTTTTTTGCCGAGGGGACGGCGTCGGTGGAAGCCTTTCGTTTCTGTGGTGCCATTTTTCTTTCCAAGGAAAAATATAATCACAAACTTTGTAGAGAAGGATTTTCAGGGACCAAGAAGAAAAAGAAAAAGAAAAAGAAAGATGCTGTCTGCCGAATTAAGGGGAGCGCTGATGTCATCGGCATGTCGGATAAGCTCAGCGATCTCCGCGTCTCTGCAATTAGGGCTCTACGGATCGGGCAGTTTGACACATCCCCTAATTCTCAGTATAGAGTCAGTCTTGAGACTCTTCATGGTCGTATCATCTGCAGTGGACTTCTTCATGATACTATAATCATCTCCTTCTCCTCCCCCTTCCACGAACGATCCTCCGATCCCTAATCGCCATACTTCCGTACTCAGCCTGCGCTGCTCTCCTACGCACCTCTCTCTCCGTGCTCAATTGTGCAGTGAGAGAGGATTCGCCTTGCCTTTTGTCGTCGTCATCATCAACATCATTATTATCATCATCTTCTTCTTTTCTCTTCCTCTCTTCCGCAATCCTTCTCTGCACTAACTCCGGCTCCAGAAACGGCTGTGGCGCTAGCGAGGAGTCAAATTCAACTGTCTGAATAGTTCTATCATCAATATCATATTTTTCTTCATTTTCTTCGTTATTCGGTTCCAACGACGAAAAGACAGGACGCCGGAGTTGGATTTTGGCTGGTATGGCGCTTGGATTAATGGTTTTGTGAATCCTGGTCTTTTGTGATGGCGTCGCAGGTAAAAGACGCCGTTTGTGCGGGATAATGCGTGCACGTTTTATCTTTTGTTTTCCTTGTACAGTTTCTTGTCTCTGAGTCAAGTCTGGAGATGGCATGATGTTTGCTCTGGTTAATTATCTACCAAGATGTATGACAGCAGGGGTTGCATGTCTCAATTTAGTTCGCGCGGATAAGGTGCGGCGCGCCGGCGCTAGTTCGGATCCCAATCACATGATCTGATCCGTTGCCAAGCCGCTAGCTTATTCAGGGTCAACGTCAACTCGGAATTCTCAAAGCCAACATGGAATAATGAGAGACAATTCCTGCCGGCTCAATTCGGAGTGTAAAAATCGGAAAGAGAAAGAGAACGAGACAGAATGAAATTAAGAACCATGAAAAGTTTTTTTTTTCTCCTAATTTTGGCCCCTTCGCTGTAAACCTTCTCGTGCCTTGGCGTGAGGGTTATATTTAGTGCCCGCTCTGATCGGAGGAATCCAGCCAATCACAGCGGGAACCAAATAACCCTAACGAGAGGTTTACAGGCACATCATGCCAGTCTCCAGCCACAGTGAGCCGTGAATGCCGTGATATCCCCTTTTTCGGCATCCCGGCTAATTCCTGGATCCCGATAGTTTTGGGGGTTAATCCGATGCCCTGGCTGGCTTTGTGTCTGCTTCAATGCCCATGGCAATGCCTGGATCCCAATGCTGTACTGCGTAGGTCACCGAATGTAAGAGTGGAATATAAGTAGGCGAGCGCAAAGTAATGCCAAGATCTCCATGACTGGGCTACAGCCGGACATCTGGAAACTCAACCCATACTGGGGAACTGGTAACGCATTGGATGATTGTAGGTAGGACGAAAGGGCGTATCCCTCGAGCCTTCTACATAGTAGCCCGGACCAGGAACAACGTATCCCCGGCTAGCTCCCATGTAGTGGGGACCTTCCGCCACTACGATATTATCACTATGATGATCATCACTAAAATCTTATGAAGATCGAAACAACGCATTAGGATCAGAATTTCCAATCTGCATGGTCAACCGAATATCGAAATAAACCACCAAGGTCCAAGCTGCATATCTGAACTAGCTACGGGAAAATTGGATCTCTGCGGTAAAGCGGGAAAAGCGGGTACATATGCTGTGGCGCACCGTCCAAAATGTAGCCACACAAGGGCAATCTTCACGGTTGGGTCGGGACAAATGGTGATGTCAAGCAATTTCTTCGCCCTCGCGTTATGGCTGAAGTGCTGTTCCCTATGCCGAAATACCGTGTATCCTCGCGGATGAAGGGATCCTGGGACTATAAAGGCCTTAGGGGCCCCTTAAACTCTTTCGCTATACTCCATACATACCTTGCGATCCACACACATCCTACCCCTCAAGATGGCTTCTAGTAACCAAGAGAATGAGATGGCTCCCGATGCAGTGACGCGGACCATGACCTTTAGTTCCATACCCGGTCAGAATCAGATCGATCCCTTAGATCTGCCACTACGAGAACTGAACGACAATGCCAACTTGGAGGAATTCACTACCGAGACCCGTGCAGGAAACATTGTCAAGCCCGTACGGTCCAATGTTACGGGTGAAGTAGAACAATGGAAACTTGTCACATTCAAAATCAACGACCCGGAGAACCCCAAAAACTGGTCCAAGGCCAAGAAGTGGTATTGCACTATGGTGGTCGCGTGGACTTGTTTTGTGGTTGCGTTCGCTAGTAGTATCATCACTGCGGGTTTAGAAGGTCCCGAGGCAACTTTCCATATCTCAGAAGAGGTTTCTCTGCTCGCCATCACGGTTTTCGTGGTTGGCTTCGGTGTTGGTACGTTAGCCCCCTTGAAGCTTTTGCCCTTCTATTAGCTAATCCACTTCTTCTCTAGGACCAATGATATTTGCCCCTCTTTCTGAGATCATTGGACGACGTTGGGTATACGCAAGCACACTTCTGCTCGCCGTCATTTTCGAAATCCCCTGTGCTTTGGCGAAGAATATTGGCACGCTGCTCGTATGTCGAGCCATTGACGGCATTGCATTTAGTGCACCCATGACTCTAGTCGGAGGAACCTTGGCCGATATGTGGAACAATGAAGAGCGTGGTGTCCCTATGGCCGCTTTCAGTGCCGCACCTTTTGTTGGTCCTGCTATTGGACCCCTGGCCGGTGGCTTCTTATTCGATAGCGCTGGTTGGAGATGGTTATATTGGCTCCAGATGATCCTGGCTGGTGTAGCCTGGGTTTTGATTACTTTTACAGTTCCAGAAACCTACGCGCCGACATTGCTCAAGGCACGCGCTAAGAAGATGAGAAAGCAGAACAACGACCCCAAGTATGTGACTGAGATGGAACTCGATTCTCGGCCAACTGGTGAGAAGATCAAGATTTTCTTGCTGCGCCCATTCCAGCTGCTTTTCTTAGAGCCTATTGTGCTCTTTATCTCGATATATATGTCTGTCCTCTATGGTCTGCTCTATATGTTCTTTGTCGCGTAAGTCCCGGCCATCAACATACTTTGTTCTTTTTTTATAAGACTAATAAAATGATCACAGATACCCTATCGTTTATGTCGAGGGAAAGGGATATTCTGAGGGCATTACAGGTCTTATGTTCATCCCTCTTGCTCTTGGAGTCGTTATGAGTGCATTCTGTGCGCCATTTATCAACAAGCATTATTTGAAGATTACAGCCAAATTCAACGGAGCAGTTCCAGCAGAGTATCGACTAATTCCGATGATGTGCTCCTGTTGGCTTATCCCTATTGGTCTATTTATATTCGCGTGGACCTCCTATCCTCGAGTGCATTGGATTGGACCAGCCATTGGTGGATGGCCCGTTGGATTTGGATTCATCTTCCTCTACAATTCGGCCAACAACTATCTCGGTAAGCTATCCCCGTCGGTACCTAGATTGATACGCGCTTTGAATACTGATGTCTGTCTTAGTCGACACCTACCAGCACCAGGCGGCATCTGCCTTGGCCGCGAAGACCTGCCTGAGATCTTTCTGGGGTGCAGGTTGTGTCCTTTTCACTGTGCAAATGTATCACCGCCTCGGATACGAATGGGCTGGCTCCCTCCTTGCTTTCATCTCCCTCGCTTGCTGCGCGATACCTTATGTTTTCTGGTTCAAAGGTGCAGCAATTCGTCGATACTCTCGTTTTGCTTATAAAGGAGATGATGAGAAAGTCTTTGCCGCCAAGGTTCGTGATATCGAAAATCCGCCTGGGAGCCATTGAGACCAGCTGTAAAAGCACGAGGGCAAGAACAAGATTGAGCGTCTCAACTGCTTAGATAGCATGAGCATATTTTGAAGCTATTCACAGCGACATTCTATATTCCGCCTTAGACTTAGAATTTGATTTTATTATTTAGCTATTCACTATAATTTCTTTATTTTCTTCCCGAACCCTGCGAGACATATGAACGCTATACTCTCTTTGGCAAAGCACTGAGTGGTTAATTAGGTGAGGCCACAAGGCTCCAACCACTGCACCAAAAACCATTCCCAAATTACGATGGTTGCACGATATACAACTAGCTTAAATAATTATAAGCTTGATTATATAATTCCTAGCTAGCTTTGAGTAACTATAAACGAGTCTATCTAGGCTCCTTGTATCAACTCAAGATTTTGGGCCAGTATGAGCAAAGCAGCCTGTTTTGGAGCAATCAGAGCGTATATTGGAAAATATGGAATCTTTCATGCCATCCCTACCTAGAAATATCTATATAACCATACAAAGCTAAAAAATACCAATGGATCAATATAGATATAAAAGAAACAAGAACAAATTTACGTCAACAACAATGAACATGACTTCGTTAAAAGCAGAGGAACCGGGTATTCTGAAAGCATCCTACCAACCACTGCATATGTATGTACGTCCAGTTCTAAACCACCTAGAATCGAAAGGAAAAGATCAGATTCATCCGGCTAACCCTTGCGTTTCTATACCCTGCATGGGCATGTTATACGGGAAGTCAACTAAGCCATCGAGAAGCCAGTTCAAAGGATCAAAAACCTCGTAGTTGGGTTCCAGAAAGCCGCTGACAGAACTGGGAAGATTGCCTACACCACTAGACGAAGCAGACATGGAGAGGCCGTGTGAGACTGCGGGAGCAGGCGCCAGACTGGGGTCGCCGTTGACTCCAGGTGTGGTTGATGAGGCTCGACCCTGTGGTGCAAGAGCCGAGGGAGCAGTAGATTCACCGTTGGAGTCGGGGTCGGTGGGGTTTTTGAGGGAGGCTATAAAGTGACTGTCAGACTAACTACCAATATATAAAAAATATGGGACTGCTTATGATGTACGAACCTTCGATATTGCGACCTTTGGCCAATGCGTCTTCTCGCCATCGCCAGACTGAATCGTAGACCAGAGACATGCTCATTCGACATCGAACCTTGAGTTGTAGGGAATCATCAATTGTTGATGATGATGAAGCCGGTCGTGGAGTTGGAGCGCCTCCCTGTTTCCACATCTGGGTAAGAACTTCGGTTAATCGCTGAGGTAAATCATTGTTTGACACTGAAATGGCCCGGATAGACCATATCGTTCTGTTGAAGAGTCTCTTGGTGTACTCTAAGTCTATATGAGCGGAAAAAAAGCTCTTGCACAGCTTCATCAAGGAGTACCCGCCCGCGAGCATCATCTGGAAGATGTAGTACGGCGTGTAGGGAAGCACTGGGCCTACATCGGTCTCCAGATTCAACGCAGACTCCAGGAAGTTGCATGTTGCCGAGTGCAGCGCAAGAAGACGTTCGCGATATCCTGGTAATGATGGATCGTCAAAGAATGAGCATAGGTGCATGTGGAGACTAGCTGCTCTCAGGTAGAGATCAGTGATAGCTAAAAAGAAAGTCAGTTTAAATGAGCTTGGTCAAGGATTAGACAGAGCTTAGGGTCTAACCATCATTCTCAGCCTTCAACTGATCCTCTAGATCCTCGTAATCACGGATTAGAAATGAGATAAGCGAAGGCCTCTCGTTTCCCTCAGCCAGACCCACTGGGTTCCTCCTGTTATTATACAATGCCTTGGTCACCTTGTCGGCAAACTCTTCAATCTGTAACCTGGCCTTGATTTCACGAGGTAGTCGGAAATTTGGATCAAGGATTTCGCTAGCACCCAGAGTCCAGTCGTACAAAGTCGAAGGAGGTTGTCCATAGCCAGTTGCCACCCTAATCAGTCAGTAATCAAACCGCAAGGAGATAGAGGAAGCGCAGATTACCTTTGTGCTACTATATTGCAGATAGCCCACGTCCTGACTTTATCCCTGAGCTCCGACTCAAGAAGTTCAACGTTAAACTTCGAGAAATCTTGTGTATGGGAAGGCCGGTGGAGACCCAGTTGCATAGAAACATGAATCATAAGACCGCACAGCATAAAGGTAGGGTCGGTGGACGTGCTGCTGGTTGGGAACGGCCAAGTGCAAAGCAAGCAGATTGCTTTGACGGCGTGAAAGCTCTGAGGTATGTCGGCGATGGTGCTCCAAACAAGACGTGTTACCGGACCGGATAGTGAATTTAAGAGGTGGATATCAGTTTGATACCGGCGTGCACCTACGCTGATGATCATCCAGAAGAGGAGGGGAGAGGTCGCGTAATAATCTTCAGGTGTGATCTCGCGGTCAAGGAACGGGAGATAGGGGTGATAAAAGGTAAAGAATCTGGCGACCAATTAGTATTGAAAGAGATTACTTCCAGTTGAAAGAGACTTACAAGTTGAATAGCTCGTTGACCCGATCCGTTGCGACCATGACATCTTCTATTCTTTTGAACTGGTGGCCACCATTCCGCATATAGTTTGCTCCATCAAACCCGGAGCGCAAATCCAGTAGCGATGCCACGGCTTCGTGTGAGCCCATGTACTGGTCTGCCGACAGTGGTGTAGGTGTCTGATACATTGGCCCAGCACTCAGCGGAGTCGATATGGCAGACGCCTCGTGTGGTTTGCTCGGGACGCCTTGTTGGGCCTTCAACGACGCGTTGGTAGCATTCACATTCGCAATTTGTCTCCTCAGCTCGATAATCTCCCGTTCCATCTCGGCGTTGCGACTTCTTTTCCCGACTCGCTTGAAGTTGGTTTCGATTTTACAATCTAGTTTGAGACGACGACAACGCGAGCATTCCATGAACGGGTCTTGGACCACATCACACCGGAGCTTCACGCGACATTCATTTAGCATGGACAATGAATACACCCAGGAAAATAGTCACCTTCAACTTACTTTTTGTTGACGACACTCATTGCAGGCACGTTTGACGGGCTGTCTCTTCTTCTCCTCTTGCTGATCCCCTTCATCGATCTCATCAATGCTGCCAGGCGAACTATCCAGCCCGGCGCCAGCTCCATTGCGCTTCCTTCCGGCAAGCGAAGCTACAAGACCGGGGGCATGCAGTTTCGCATTGAGCCGACCCGGGCTCGTTGCTGGAGTCGCACTTTGAGACTCAGATGGAAATTGGCCAACCCCTCCCCCTCCGATGCCGCCCGTCACCCCGTGCGCCGCCACTCTGGCTGTAGCCCGCGGCTATGCGCGAGCTATCTGAAACTTGAAAGGATGTCGGACGGTTTATGTTGCCAATGGGGGCGTATTTCTGGTTTCCCTTGCAGTCCACGTCCGATGTCGCAAAATTTGATGGAATGACGGCAGAATCAAATTTTTGGGTGCCTGGATTGAGCCCAGAAAACGGTATGGATGCTGCAAATAAGACGCTTTTCTGCAGGCAATGCCTAGCGTCGATCTCTTTTCCGATATATTTGCTTTTTTTCTCTTCTCTCTTCTTCCTCTTGCAGTTCCCTTTTTTTCCCTCCCTTTCCGTTTTCTCGAGTCAGTTCGCTCGCGCACCAAACGAAGTGGGGTTAGCCGGTTTCGGGGAGCGAGGTCATGTGATGGCGAGGCCATGCCGCGGCGCGGACACCTGAAGGCTGAGGCACGCAAGGCACCGCCCACGTGTTGCCGTTGCCATTGTATGACTATGCATTCATTATCTGCAGCTTCTTATTGGCTAGAATGTGAATCCGCCAGGCTTATCGGCAATGACGTTCAGTGATAATCCAAGTCTTCATTTTTGTTGTCTGACATTGCATAGCTGCATCACATGGTTATTGGGCAGTTCTCTTATGACGCACGGGGGGCAGGTCGAGCAGCGCTACGTATTTCCCATTGTGGAAGGGCCCCCACAAGGCATACTGAGGCTGTGAGCCTCAGGTTTTCAGCTCGATAAGATGGCCCGCCCGCTGCTTCCCCATCTTGGCTTCCTGGAAGTGAGGCTCTTCTACTACACATCTATAAATCTGAGCCCCACCGTCCTCGCTTGCCATCAAAAGTGCATCTTTTCACAACTGCGTACTGTGCGATGCTTGTTCTACTTTGAAGATGACTGTTGACAAACCCTCAAAAGAACAGCTTGCGCAAGAGGAAACAAAGAAGAAAGATGCCGATGAAGCTAAAGAAGCCCTTCCATCGTACGAAGCAGTGCAGCAGGATGAGCTATCTATTCCTGCGTTCCCGCCTCTCGAATTCTACGCGCTTGAATCAAGCAAGACCGTCGATAGAAACCGGTGTATCCTGCACTTAAAGCTACTTGCAGCGCTTGCCGACTTGCGAGACACCATTTCTAGCATCGATGGTCTATTTGGCATTGGTGATTCTCTTGCAGACAAGTTCGTTGATGAAGCGACAAAGTACAAGGCCCTCGTGCGTATCAGGGAGAAAAGATGGGCAGTCTACACTGCCAGGGCGGCAGATCGTTACGTGGACTGGTGGACGAAGATACTGCCGTCTTCTGGAGATCCCGTTACTGTTTCTTCCATGAGGAGTACGAGTTATAATTCCATCACTCGCCCATTACTATCACCGCTAAGTTGGACGACGAAGAAATTACCACCTCTAGGTAAGTATGATTAGTCATAACCAGCGCTCTGCAGTTAGACTGAATATAACCACTAATATCCGAGGGTCTGTGTAGATGTCCTCATGGTTTGGCATGCTCACATGCTGAACCCTCGCGCGTATCTAGAAGATTGTATTCGAGAGACTAGAATGAATATCTGGACTGCTGACTTTCCCTGGAAACTAGTGGATAATGCCATAGACGCCCAGTCTTTTGATTATGACCCCGGAGAAGATGCCAGACAACATTTTGAGAAGACTTCAGGACGACCCTGGAACAACTTAGATGAGTCGGAGCAGAAGAAATTCAAGTGCCTGCTGTGCTCAGCTCAACTAACCGTTCCTTGGACGACCGGAGAGTTTGGAGCTTCACCGGATTCTGCATTCAAGTACTGCACTGGGTATGCAGACAAAAATTTGGAAGTTTATTGCACGTTCTGCAACCACAAACACGATAAACATGCTATGAGAGTAGCTCGATTCCACCAAGATGTTCATGACTTGTTGTACAAAGATCGCCCAATGCCGGGGACTTACTTGGATTTTGAGGGAATACCGACTTGCTTGGTGGAATATTATGGGTTTCCAAACCTTCTAATAAAGGAAAGCAGACATCGAGTCCTCGACTCCACAGAAGCAGACCGTAATATACGCAATATGAATGGTGTCAAGGCACTTCTCGAATCTCTAATGGCCGACCCCCAGTTGGTGATGCGCGTAAAAGTCCGTCCGAGAGTGAAATTGAGCAGGACACAGAAGATAAGCATTCGACGCATGATGTCTCACTACTGGGAAAATAGTTCTATATTTTCATTGGACCTCGTGGGCGCGGTCATCCGCCAAGGCACATTCATACAGAAAATGGACAATATTGACTGGATACATTCGCCTGCTCTTTCTGCGACAATGGATCGGTTGATACGCAAATACCGCATCTTCTTCGAAATCATGATGGATAACCGAGGTAAAATGGCGGTGCCCACCTTAGATGTCGATCTTGCATGGCATACGCATCAAATGTCACCATTTCGATACTGCAATTATTCCAGAACCCAATCTCTTCGATTAGGTGCCCAGATATTCATAGATCACGATGACAAGGTCGATGAAGGCAAACTCTCGGATGCATTTCAATGGACGAGCAAGCAGTACATGAAAGTAACCAATGGCGAGCTCTATAGCGAATGTACATGTTGGTACTGCGAAGCCTCCCGCGAATCTTTCCTCTACTCTTCCCTTCCTTTCCCATCGTCATCCACTAGGCGTTCACGCACCTTAGTCGAAAATCTTCACGACGATCCCCAAATTTCTTCCAACCCTGACAAGAACCCTCACATTTCCGCGCACAACGCCGTGCGCATCGAGGATGGCCATGGCTGGGCCCAAAACAGCGCGAACCTGAAAGCAATGCGTCTCCGGCAGATGTGGGAAAAAGCACATCGTCGAGCTCAAAAACGGCAGAAGAAGCAGGGAAAAGCGACGGGTTCTGATAGCGAGGATCGTAACAGATCGACAAGATCGACTGATGCTACTGACCCATATTATCCGATGATATATGGGTATCCATATTTTGTCCCCTATTATGCCCCATACATGGCCGATCCGGGCATTAACAGTGCTATATACCCCTGCAATCCGGCATGCATGAGTGCTGGGTTATCTTCATATGGGAATTGCGCGGCAGGGACTTGCGGCAGTGGCGTTGCAGCTGGTGCATGTGCTGGAGCTGGAGGCGGAGCAGGTTGTGGTGGAGGAGCTTGCGGTGGTGGTGGAGGAGGAGGAGGAGGAGGTAAGTTTGTTTCTTGTTAAGTGTTTCTCCCAGTCAGAACAGTCACTAACCAGACTTTTATTATCACAGGGGGATGCGGAGGCGGAGGCGGAGGCGGAGGCGGCTGTGGTGGTGGAGGTGGAGGCTGAAAGGGTCGAGTCGACTCATCTTCATGGATATTCTTCTTAATTAAATACCCTCTGCAGTCTCGTTGCTTTTGTATTTTTTTATTTTTATTTTATTTTATTTTTTTTGTTCCTTTCAACTCTACGATCAATGAATTCGAAGAAGCTAGCACTCATTCCAATCATCTTATGTTCATCATTTCGTATCCTTACAATTGCAGAACGATGGTGTATATGTTTACAAGCTATCGAGCATAAGGTATGAAACAGAAAATACGAATAAAAAACAAATAGGAAAACAACAAGACTTAACGCTAAGAATCCCAAGAAATATAACAATGTCAATATATATAAAAACGTATATAGACGTCAATACCGAAAGGAACCTCCAATCTCTTTTACATAACAATGCATCGTCCGGTTTTACTCCTGCTCCTTTTCCTTTCGTTGATAGTATTCGCATTCCACGCCTCTATGCGGGCTCTCCAGGCCTCAAACTCTGCCGGATTCGGCTGCTGCCAGTCAGCATCTGCTGACTGTCCTTGTTGCTGCTGAAGTTCATCGACATGATCGTCGCCGTGAATAGGCATCAATTGCGTCTGTATGCGACTATACCGTCTGTCATTCGCGTTTTGAAATTGTAGTGCATTTCGTAGCGCTTCCTCTGTCAATGGTGCGGGTGGTTGTGTGACCTCTGATCGGGAACGAGTACGGCGAACTTGGCGATTTTGCTCGACGGATCGAGAAGCGTTGCTGTAAATAGTGGACATGCGATTAACTCCGCTACCGGAACCAATGGCCAGATTTGGTGATGAGCGTGAAAACCTCCCGTTCCTCATTACGGAGCGGTTTCTTCTTGGACTAGGGTTGGGTAAATATTGTTCGTGTTGTTGTTGTTGTTGTTGTTGTTGTTCGCTGGACTGACTGGCTGCTGAGTCGTTGCCTGGTCTTCGAATATTGCCAAATAATCTACTGTTTCTGAACGGCCTTCTGGGTATTCCTGATGATGGAGCAGTTCCACTATCGGTTGGTGAGGGTCTCACGGTCTGGCGCGGCGCTGTGGATGGCGGTATCATGTCGTTCTCAGCAGGCGGGAGTGGAGGAACAGAGTCAATGCCCAATTCCGAGTTGCTTGTTGAAACCCGCTGACTTCTGTGGAATGAAAGTGGTCTAAAATTTATTCCTCGTCTGCTCGTGGAGTCGTTGGCTGTATCTACAGTACGTCGCCGAGTGCTCCAGCGCCTTGAGAGTACACCAGCGCCACCAACAGAGCTATCCCGATCAGGCCGGTTTTCCTGGTTTGTATTGGCCCGCACCATCTGCTGAGGTATCTCATCCATAGCTCCGCCTGGAGGAGCTGTCATTGGGGGAAGAAGCTGTTGTCTCAGACGCTCCGGCAGTGGTTCTTCAGCATCACGTGTATAGGGTGGAGGGGGAGGCACCCAGTTGTCAGCATCGCTTTCATGAGGAATATGGAGGGCAGGGAGTCTAGGGCGTTCATGTTCGCGAATAGAATATTGGGATCTGCGGTTGGCAGCTGCCGCCGTAGCTGCACGTTGTAAAGTCTCCCTAGAACGAGGCGCAGTATTGCTATAAGGCCCGTCCAAGAATAAGGTCACATCATTGACTTCGGTGCCTAATGCTTGGGAGCTTGATGGCGAGTGGCCCTTGGGGTTATTGCTTGTGTCTGGAGGTGATTGTCGAGAAATGTTCAGCGGTTCTCCAGGATCTGCCCTGGGTAAGCCTGTACCCCCACGGCGCATTTGAGTTCTCCTTCTCTCAAGCTCCACTTCTTGCTCGAGATTAGCATCGGGTTCCCTCAGAACCAGTGGCTCCTCTTCTCCAAGCTCAATGGTCAATTCAACGGTTCCACCATCCTCCGCCGAAGACTGAAAATCGAAAATCGATATCCTTCCTCCATCTACTGGTATTGTTTCATCTCCTAGCGTCGCGGACGTGACACCTCCTGGAGCAACGGCAACTAGTCTCTGGGGACTTGAAATATTACTTTGCGCAGAACGCCGCCGAGAAACCCAGCGCGCTGCTGTCAGCCCTGGTATGTCAGCTACCTTTCGACCTTCAATCATCAGTAATGGCTGGTTAACACTTTGCCTCAGTCTTGTTGCTACGGTGTCATCATAGTCCGTGCGGGGGCTTTGAGTAGATGGTGTCAAAAGTCTGGTGTTATGAATCCCGACCTCCGCATTAGATTCTAATGGCGTGAGGCTAAAGTCATCGGGGAGCCCATACAGCCACAAGCCACTGCCTCGAAATGCTAAGGCAACAAGTTCTCCGTTCGAGTTGATGGCGGGACTCAAAGAGGGCACGTATTCTTCCACGCCATCGGATGATGCTGGTCCTGGGAAAAAAGTCGAGCCTGTCTTTGGATCACTCGGTCTAACTGCCCGGAACGTTTGGAGGTCGCTATCAAAGCCAATTATCCAATCATCATCACCACCAACTTGGCTGGATACCAACGTTACATGGCTATATCCTGAAACCACGTCGGGAAACAATATCTGGGTTGTCCATGTATGAGCCTCGTAATTGCTTACGTCCATCATCGAGTCTGTAGGAAAAGGAGCTGTAATGGTGACAAACCCTCCTTCGGGATGGTCTAACGAGGAACCAAGAAGCATTGACCCATCTAAAGAAAATGATAGAGCATCAATTTTTCCGCATCGTACAGCTCGGCACTGAGTAGCAATGTCATTTTCACCCAATGCATGTACCTCTATGCTCCCGTCATATGCGATGCCAAGTACACTCCCGCTAGGTGCGAGGGCTAGAGCCCGTGGAACATCGTTTAGTGTCAAGACTTGGACATGCTTAGCTTCGCTTTTGGATAGATGATATATGTTGACTTGATGACGATGGGAGACGACGGCGAGGAGACGGCCATCATCAAGGATGGTGGCGGCCAATGGCATGCGCGAGGTTTTGAGTTGATGTAGTACTGTTATCTCAGGCGCAGCTAAATCCAGAACAAAAATCCGGGAAGAGCTCAGACAGAGGAGAATTTGACCGTTCGCAGAGAAGTCAAACTTCAACGCTTCGCCCGTTGGTAGTGCTGCTGAGGATCCAACCGAACTTGATATCAATGTTACCAGTGTTATGTGAGGACGAAGAAATAATTGAAAGGCATTTTTCCGGACTTCTCGGGCAAACATCTGTTTCAACTGATCAAGTTCGTACGACTGGATCGAGGCAGCAATGGCACCATGAGAAACAGAAAACATCGGACATCGAGAAAGGTGGTGTGCGTAGAGCTCAGGGTTATTTGATGTCTTCCTCCATTGTTGGTTTAAAACCGTCAAGGACGCGAACGTATTGGCATCAACTATATAGAGAATCCTATGCAAACGGAAGAAAAAGTCAGCCTCGCTCTGGAGTTACCGGTTGAGAGTTGAAGACACATACTTCTGAATGACGTTGGAGGGCAGGCGATGGAAGGCACCATGGTCCTCTAGTAATCTCTCTCTCGTACCACGTGAAGCAATATAGTCGTCATTTTCGTGGCCCTGTGTTTCCAAATCCATGCTCGCCAAATGAAGGTGGCCTACATCGGCTGCCACTTGGAGACACAGTAATTCCAGCACAGAAGAGCAGGGGGCGGTGGCTCACAGACACGCATCATGTAACATATCAAGCTCAGAAGCCGACAAGCGAAGCATAATAAACCGGTATTGAGTAGCCTGGGTGACTCTAAAAGAAATGGCACCTTGGTCCGACCTCCAATCGCCCAAGCACAACTCTTTGGTGAAGGGCTTGGACCGCACCCTTGGTCGTTCGCACCTGAAACAGAGCGAGTGGATAGTAGCTGGGGTAGCAGCTAATAACGTAGTCGGAACGCGGGGGAAATCAGTGCTTCGATGTTGATCTAACCAAGGATAAGAGATCAGCCAAAATTGAGGGAAACAAGGAGGTCTGTAGCCAGCATATGCACATCGTCCTCGGAGGCAGAGGCAAATATTGGATGCTAGGGCGTTTGGAAAAGAGATTGACCAGCGCAGCCTCCCTTGGCTAAGAATAGAACGCATGGCGTCAAGTGTGGTTGGCGTTGCCATTTGGGGACTAGTGCGAGGGAGCAGATCTATCATCTTTCCCTGCCAGAACGGGGATAGCGTGGTCGCCTTGCTCTGTGAGTCTGTTCGCTTTTGCTCTGCGGATCAGCGGTCAAGTGCGATGCCTCAGTCTCAGCCTCAGAACTGTGGTGTAATACGTAGTTACTGTAGGAGTGACTGCCCCCCGCGTGTATCCGCCATTGACGGAGCTTTCTGTCGCAAGATTGTACACTGCGAAGTTGAAGACTGAGCAGTAAACTCCGTCATCCAATGAAAGCTTCCCATCGATATCAACCCGTGCTGCAGCTCACGTGCTGCCAAGCTAAGTTAACTAACTTAACCTATCTCGAAGCTGAGTCAGCCACGGTCCCTCGGCCTTTTGATTGGCTGCCGGTGACCGACAAAATTGCGGCATAGAATCCGACAAGAACTTTTGCTCTCCCCATCATGAGCCGACAAAAGCCTATCTTCACCGATTTTTGGCGCGTGCAGGAGTGCGTTGTGATTGCCTATGCTTCTCATACAGCTTAGGCTAGGTGCATGACACAGTGTAAATAGAAAAGCGTCAATTACAACCCAGTTAAATGCCGCCGACATCGGTTCATCGCGCGTCTTACTTATAATGCACGTCTCCTAGCGTCATCACCACCATGTCCACCAACGCGCCTCCACCCAAGGCACACCCAGGAATCGTCAATACGGGCTCGCGTCCATATCGCTCTCACAAAGTGAGGGCATGCGATCTGTGTCGCAAAAGGAAGTCTCGGTGTACTGTCGATATACCTGGGCAGTCGTGCGTCCTTTGTCGGATTCAAGGCGCCGACTGTCATTACCAAGAGGATTCTATGCCAGAGGATTCACAAATCATCGGCTCTGATAAACACAGTTCAGCGTCACCGTCTCTTACTAGTCACAAGCGCAAGCGGGGCCCTGAAATCGTTGAGAAAGGCATCGACAGCTATGAGAACCCATCGTCCGGAAAGGCCAATGGGTCTTCATCGTTTACGGTTCCCAATGAAAGTCGCGACAGTGAGCGCTCGCGTCGAAAGACGGAGGATCCTCATAACGAATCAGTCCTTATCGTGGGCCCCGTCGCAGCCGAGGACGCCCAAGTAATCGAAAAGTTTATGCCCTCAGAGCAGTCAAATAAATCTGTGGAGAAGGGGCAAAAGCCATATAACGTATATTCGAATGATCCACGGAAGCCGATTCTTTATACCACCGTGTCACGGCGACGACAGGGGATGCGCCTGGGATCCCCTCCGGGCGAGAATCAGAAAGAGATACTGGAGCACCTACTTGGCCCCTTTAAACAGGATTTAGTACGACTGTAAGTCCCCTTACTCTACATGGCAAGGCCTATTACCTGACAAGAAATCTTGAACAGTTTTCTCGACAGATTCAATGTGGCATTTCCTATCTTTGACGGTCACGCCTTTTGGGAGGCCTACATTTCTGAGTTAGATAATGAACCTCCAACGACTCTTCTGTGTCATGTATATGCAATGTCATTGGTCTACTGGAAACATACGCCTAAACTCGCTCGGCATCCGAAGCCCGATGTTCGATATGCTATCAACCTAACGGTGGCAGCGTTGCACGAAGACTATTCGGCTCCTGGGCTTTCGACAGTGAGTGCAGCATTACTTGATTTGACGGGACGACCTATCTTCTCTATGACCGGAAATGCAATTAGCTGCGGGCGGCTAGTATCCCTTGCGCACTGTTTAGGTCTTAACAGAGACCCCAGCAATTGGCGAGTCCCTCTCGCCGACAAAAAGCAACGGATCCGCCTGTGGTGGGGGGTCGTTATTCAGGATCGGTGGGGAAGCTTTGGGCACGGTGTGCCTCCTCAGATTTCAAAGAGTCAATACGATGTTCCCCTACCAAGCGTCGAAGTTCTAGTGACTCAACCAAGGGCAACATCCCAACACATACGGGCTGCACATTGCCATATTGCTCTGTGCCGTCTAACGGAAATATTGGGTGAACTGCTGCCGCTTGTCTACCAACTCCAGACGAAACCCGGTCGAGAAACATCAAAGAGACTCAGGCATATCCGGAATGATCTTGACACGTGGGAGGATTCGCTACCAGAGTGGCTACGGGCTCCAGTGTCCGATGTCGAAAACCCAGTCAGCGGAGCAAGCAGCTTGCATCTGGCCTTTCTGGCCATGAAGATGCTTGTGTGCCGCGTGGAATTACATGTTAGTTTTAATCTTCTACATATTGCAACGTTTCTTCTAATGCACTTTGACAGGAGGTGAATAGCACGGAAACCGATAATCCCGAGGCTCGTCGTTACTTCCAAACTGAGTGCCGAAAAGCAGCAGAGGATATCGTTCATTTCATGTGCTCATTGCAACCTGCCAACTTTAGAGAATTCTGGTTGCCATGTACGTCTAACGACCCAGTTTTTCTCTGTTCGACTAGACCTAAGATATCTGACCTCATCTATAGACAGCGCATTTCACCTTACTTCGACAGCAACATTACTTGTCCGTTGTGCATTAGAAACAACAGATCAAGAAATTACTCGCTCTTGCTTGACAAATGTCGACAATCTACGCTCCCTTTTACGACGGGTCCGGGACGAAGAAGACTGGGATGTGGCCGATATGTGCCTTGATCATTGTGAACGGATCCTCTCCAAACATCCAGAGATAAGCAACATGGCCACCGGTGGTGCCATTGGTCACCCAGAAGACCATGCAATCCACGCCGGACCTGTGGATGAAACGCTATCCATGACACCTGCGGCCATTATTCTGCCCGAGACTACAACAAACAATGACATTGTAGATGACATGATGTCAATCTCGGGGACTTTTGGGACCATGGATGGCTTTCCTTTCGATATGACTGGTATCTGGGATGTCTCTGGATTTCAAGACGTAAATTTTACTTGAAATGAGCAGAGGTCTTGCAGAACAAAAACATGAACATCAATATTACAAACGAGACGACCTTCGTCTTTCCCGTGCAACCACACTGATGGAGAATCAACCCATCTCTTTTCCGAGGAAAGATACAACGAATTCCTGCGATTCCAGGATATATCCAGGCCTGAAAGACTTGCATTGAAATCGATCTAGGAAAAATTTACTGCTCACAAACCTCGCATGTGCGCGGCAAGAAACGGCTGCGGTCGGTGTTGCGGTCCGCGTATGGGACCGTGGCTTGCCTGGAAGTCCGCTAGTGGCCTTCCAAGGTCCACTTCTGTGCGCAACCCATCCGTTTTTGACGAAGGATTTCCCTGTGTACAATTGCATTGTGTAGCCTATGAAACGGCGGTTGTTCAACCATCCCAGCTGATATAGGAAGGTCATATGGGACGAAAGCTCGAAGGATGCACGCGTCGTTGGTCGGAAAACTTTCACGTTGTGCCACTGTCTATCAAATTACATAATGATACACTTGTTCCATCTTGTTAGAAGGGGCATGCGATTACAACCTCTGCTAAGTGCTTATGTATTGATATGGATGAAGACTTGGTTGAGCAGTGATTGCCAGATTGGTATTACAAGTCTGGTTTAGTGGGCGTCTTGAACTTCAATCGCAAAAATAACTTAGCTCAACGAGTAACTACTTGGTAGTCAAGGGTGCGATATTGTTCTCCTCGTACTTTTCTAGAATAGATGTAAATCATAATAAACCATATTCTCCTTCTCTTCAACTGTAACTACTAGATTGATAATTAAGCTCTGGGGTATATAAATATGTAGCCAACAAAACGCTTTCCGGATGATGCCGGATCATCAAATTACATCCTGACTCTAACAAAACGAGGCGACGGTTCTGATAGTGTTACATACATATATACTTCTCATTGCTCAAATTGTAAGTAAATCTGGTCGAACACGTGCTACCTTAACCCTAAAGATAGGAAATGTCCGATATTGCCCCACTTCTTGCCCGAACGGGACATTCTTCTAGCACTGAGTTTTTTTTACCGTATCTTTACCCTCAAGCCCTAATTTTAATTAATTTTCTGTATTCTGTTTTGAAAAACCGCCTATGAGTCATTGCCGAAAATTACCATACATGCCCTCACAATAAAATCCTCTTTCCCGCGGAATCGATTTGCTTCCATTCGCCTTTGCTCCTCCTTCCCCGACAGAAGTACAACATTCGCATATAACATTCGAAGATCAAGGTGCTTAGCCTATAATTTTATTTTACGCTGATTACAAGCGTTCGATATATACATTTTTTGATTACATTATGGCTCCAGGTATCACGGAGCTTTCCGAGCGCTCTTTTGAGGTGTCGAAAGCGTCGAGCGGATATCATGGGACGAGGGACGGCGAAGATGTTGTTGCTGCTGCTGCTTATACCGGACAGCAGCCAGTGAATGCATGTCCGCCGGCTAATATGGAGGATGCTCCCCTATCATTTACTATGCCCTCAATGCATAAGCTCCGGGAAGCTCAACGGCGAGTTGAGCATGACTTTCGCTCTGATACAGTCACAGTACCAACTGTGCATATGATGCAGGTGTGTAGAAGTTTGCTTTTGGATGTGCTCTTCATGTGGATACGTTATGTATCAAACTATAAGTCCTATCAGACCGCTGATGAGTAGGGTTAAAAACAACCCAGGCTATGCTTGAATCGTCTTTTCAAGATGACATGTATGACTCAACCGGGGATGAGTCCGTCAACCGCCTTCAGGATCGCCTGGTCGAATTGACCGGTAAAGAAGCAGCCATGTGGGCTCTTTCCGGTACGATGGGAAACCAGATCTGCCTTCGAACGCACCTGGTCCAGCCACCCCATACGGTCCTCCTTGATCATCGAGCACATGTCCACTGTTGGGAGTCCGGCGCTTTGCCGGTGATGTCCCAGGCATCAGTGACCCAGGTTCATCCTAAGAATGGCATACACTTGACGTTGCAGGATGTGAAGAAGCATATGATTGCCGATGGAAACAGTACGTTATCAACCAAGCCCCCCCTCCCTGGGCACCCTTTCTTTCGATGTAGTCTTCTCTGATATTGATATTTCTCACAAGTCCACTTCCCTCCAACGCGTGTTGTGTCCTTGGAGAATTCCTTGAGTGGTACTATACTACCCCTTAAAGATGCCAAGGAAATTTCGGAGTTCGTCCGAAACTACCCTGTTGAAGAAGGTCAAAAGCCCGTCGCTATGCACCTCGATGGCGCACGTCTCTTCGATGCTATTGCGGCGGAAGGCGTCGACTTGAAAGAGTACTGCGCCTGCTTTGATTCAATCAGCATTTGTCTTGCCAAAGGTCTCGGTGCGCCAATGGGAAGCATTATTGTAGGATCAAAGAAGTTTATAAACCGTGCCAAATTCTTCCGGAAGATGTTTGGTGGAGGTACACGGCAGGTATGTCTTTTTTCCTGTTACTTCCCCTCTTTGAGCTAATTTACTGATCAATTACCATCAGCCTGGAATGATGGCCGCTGCTGCCCTAAGCGCACTGGAATATACTATGCCATTATTACCTCTCGTGCACGCATTGACTCGTCGAACAGCCGACTCTTTGCGTGAAATCGGCTATAAAATATCACTGCCCGTGCAGACAAATATGATTGTCCTGGACCTAGAGGATGCTGGTATTCCGCCAGCAGCGTTTGTTGAATACGGAAAGCGAGCTGGAGTGACAGTATTTCCTACCGGACGACTCGTATTTCACCATCAGATCTCTGCAGAGGCAGCGTCAAGGCTGGTTGCGGGATTGACTTCTCTGATGGATGATAAAAGAGCTGGAAAGGAACTGGAGAATCATAAAGTCACTGGTGGATATATGTGATGAATTTGGAAGGTAATGATGAATATGATGAACTATATTGCATAGACCGATCAGTGAAAAGCTGAGCGGATCACCCGAAGTTATATATGACATTTCCTCGCGAATATAGCATACAGCTGTTTCAATACATTGATTAATATAAAGACAATTTTATTCATATATATGATCCCAATTCGAGTCTCACTGACGCAGCAGCTCTTTCTATGTACATATAATATCCGTAACAGGAAGGAAGTTAGCACTAAAAGATCTTGAAATAATTCTACTTTTCTATGACAACGTCGCGATCCTGGCCGCAGGTACATGCTGTCTACGCAGTGATTTTCGACTTAGGTCAGTAATTGAGATGGACCCGGTAGCATTCATTTTACTCGCGGTATCGTTCCAGTCTTCATCCTCCCAGTCATTCCATCCGCGTTCAGGGCCCCAGAGAATCTTCTTGTTTGCTGTGCGGACTTCAGATAACAAGCGTCTCATCAGAGCTCCATTCTTCTGAACCGAAGGCCAAGCGTCAAATTCAACCTGAGTCAAATTCGGTAACTGTTCCAAAATCTTCTGTACCATCTCGCCCGCAAAACCAGTATAAAAATCGGAAGATATTCTGAATCCTTCGAAAACCGGGTGCGAAGGGTCACACTGAATGAAGATTTTCAGTGTCTGGAGCCCGGTCATTTCCGCTAAACCAAGGCGATTCGTGACTTTCCACGATTTCGGAGGCGCCGTCCAACTTGATCCGAGAATGAGCTCAATTTTTTTTATGAGTGGCCGGTAGGTAGGCGCAAGGCTGGTTAACGTGGGTAACCGCGAGTAATCCTGGATCTGAAAGACACGGAACGTTTGAACCGAGTAAAACTGCACCGAGGCTTCATCGTGAATGCGACGCGAAGCTAGGAAGAGCGCAACGCGATGGGAGAGGGGTGCCAATGGTTTGTTCTTGGACGACGAGCCCACATTGCCACTTGGGCGAGCAGCTCCTTTTCTTTTTGACCCAAACAGCACGTAATTGTATATCTTGAGGCGGATTTCCGAAGGCAAGTCAAAAAATCTGAAAGGCAGGATTTCCGCCGGCTCTTCCTCAACCTCCCCTCCGTCTGGGTGCTGGCCAGGATGCTCGTTGTGCTGGGGGCGCTCTTGCAGGGAGAGTTTGCTGAGATCAGCTTCCAAAGCAGTCATCTTAGATATAGCTCGCTAAGTGATGAACCGGTCCAGTCATAACAGTCTAACGGGCAGAAAGAGAACACAGAAAAGTGGCACAGAGATTAACGCCCATTCATGATCTTATTATTGGGTGGTATATAGACATTAGGTAGAGAGCACGGTGGCAATAATAAGATGTGTCTCGCATACGGGGCTGCACAGCTCACAGGAGGCCTAGCTGCCGCTCTTGGGGGCAAGACTGAATCAGATTCATTGGGTCTCCCCAGCTAATACAACCCGGCATCCATGGGAGAAGGAGAGTGATGGGTCAAATTTCGATGTCTGGGTTGATTCAACTTTCATATATGGGAAAAAAGAAGAGAAAAGAGAAGCAGAGAAGCGCCGGGCGGAAAGATCTTTAAAGGCGGGAAACACGGGCCGGCAGTTCTGCCGAGCTCGGCGGACTCTTGCTTTTCGCGGCTTGGCCCATGACGCTGATCCAAGCTTCCTGACCCGGCAATTTTTTAAATGCAGGAAGCCAACGTCGACTAATACCCTGCCTCATTGCCTGCGACCCCCTTCTCGTGCATCTACTAACTGGGGTTTCTCTACTGGGGGATGAGCATATAGGGTCTTCAATTGCCCCATTATCCGCCGCTTTTCGTTGCAGTCCACGATGCTCAGCCGTGCCGTTCTGCCGCTGGCAAGGGCTCGGCCAGTGCCATCGACTCTCCGAGTATCCATCACAGCATCGCCATATCCGCGATGGTACGCTCAGAATAAAAAGTCACGGACACCATACACCCTTCCGCCCAAATCCAAGCACGCACAGTCGAAGCCAGCCCAGCCGCAAAGCAACTCACAGCCAAAAGAGAAGCCTAGCAAGCCATCGCCTCAGCCCGACGTATCCCCTGAACAGCCCGAATTCGACACCATAGCTCAGGGCGAAAAAAAAAAAGCGCAAAAGCCCCTTCCGGACTTGACACAGGGTATTCCATCTACATTGGGAGCGGAACTCGATGCAGCGCGCAAGGGACGTGGATCAACTTCCCTCAACTTGACCGAAGACCCCTCCCAGCAGGAATACGAAGACGAAGGCGCTGGTGGCGGTCGGTCCCAAGATGCCTACGAATCTTCGTTAGATCGCCGAAGAGCACGTGTCGCCAATATCATGTCTGGCGTTGTACTTGCAGGTATTTTCAGTGGAGTGCTATATCTAGGCCGAAACTGGGATTCGGAGGAGGAAGCTAAAGCACACAAGGATACTCCATCGGGATGGGGTATTGGCCTTTTCTATAATCGGATCAAAGCTCGTCTCGACGGCTTGACCAGTTATTACAGGGACCCTGCTTTTGAAAAATTGCTTCCTGATGAAGATCCCTCGTTGAGACAGCCATATACATTGGTACTGAGTTTGGAAGACCTTCTAGTCCACAGTGAGTGGACAAGAGAGCATGGATGGCGCGTGGCTAAGCGACCTGGTGTCGACTACTTTCTACGCTATCTCAACCAGTACTATGAACTTGTGCTCTTCACTAGCGTTCCTAGCATGATGGCAGATCAAGTTCTGCGAAAGCTGGACCCTTTCCGCATTATTAGATGGCCATTGTTCCGTGAAGCCACTAAATATAGAGATGGCGAATACGTGAAGGTATGCTTGACCCCAATGTATTCTTTCTCTAATCCGAATGCTTACCGCAATGTTTCAAGGACCTGTCTTACTTGAATCGCGATCTTTCCAAAGTCATTCTCATCGATACCGTGCCCGGTCACGCTCGTGAACAGCCAGAAAACGCTATCATTCTTCCCAAGTGGAAAGGCGAAGCGAAGGATAAGTCTCTTGTCGCTTTGATACCTTTCCTTGAATACGTGGCTGGAATGAACGTGGAGGACGTACGTCCGGTCATTAAGTCATTTGAGGGTACATATATCCCGGCGGAATTCGCCGAGCGCGAGAAGAAGATGCGTGAGAAATTCCAAAAACAGATGGAAGAAGAGCAGAAAGGCCGACCCCGTCGCGGCGTGGGCAGCCTTGCCGGCCTTCTAGGTTTGAAACCACAGAGTTCGATTGACGGCCAAAGCCCCGCTGAGGAACAAGGCAAAATGCTCTGGGATCAGATACGTGAGCGTGGCCAGAAGAACTATGAGATGATGGAGCAAGAAATTCGTGAGAATGGAGAGACATGGCTCAAAATGATGGCCGAGGAAGAGGAGAAGGCTCGCCAGGAGCAGATGCAGAGTATGAAAGGAAGCGTCACCAGCTTCTTCGGTGCTGGCGGGGGGTCTCAGGGTGAGCGGAAATAATAAATGCATTGATTTCCAGCACCTGCACCCCCTTTTTTTGGCGACGTAATTCTATGACTGACCCTTTTCCGCCGTCTTTATCTTAAAATCTTGTTCCTACTTCTTCACGGAAAACCACAAACTTTCTAATCATGTCTTCTTACACTTGTCAACTATATTATCGATCTTGGCCAATAACTTCACCTGTATGTTCTTACTCCTCTTCTTGTCTTACCAAGTTGCATTTGTCTGGGGTTTTCCAATGCTATCTGGTTTTACTTGCATAATGTTTTCTTTCCATTTTCATGCCGTCGAGTCCTTATAGAGCAATCGCCGCTTTCCTCTGATCTTATTTTGTGTTGCATGAGACCAGACTTTCGCAACACAAAGTTGTATAGTAAAAGGTTTCTCTATGAAAGAAACTATGCACTCAATATTTGAGAATGATATCGTATTGTGTATTTCATATGTATGTGTTCTTGAATAAGCGTAAAAAGTATCTTTCCCCCCCACTTTAACATTTCTGATGCAAGAAATACAAAGACAATAGAAGCGTTACCCATGAGTCACATCTATTAACAAGTCAAAGAAAAAGTCAACTTTATAGCTTCTCATCCACGTCCATGTCTCCGCCATTTTCTGTATCCTGGGCATTTGGGACCCTGGCAACTGATGACTCTTTGTTGATCATCTGTTTCGATACAGCAACGATGTTATCCTCGATTAGTTGCTGACCGACGTCTTCGATGTCTATTGCGAGCAACAATTGTTAACGCTATGCGGGAAAAAAAAAAAACATAACATATCTATGAAATTAGTGCACTTACGCTTCTTCGGATCAACCTTGCCCACATATCGAGTTTTTAGTTGCTCCTTGGTTAATGTAGACTCTTCCTTGACCCGCTTCTCGTAGCCCTCAGCCAGCTCCACAAGACGTTGCATACTGGCAGCATTTCGCTTGCCGTCTTCACGGAAGTCGTTCATCTGAAGCGCTTCGGTCCAGACATGTTTGTGCAGGTTCATAAGCATGTTCTCCTCTAGGCCGGTCTTTTTGTAATTGATTGCAAGGCTGTAATAATGGCGGTTGAGGCCGTGAATAAGGGCTTGAATAGACGGCTTGTTTAGGTGACCCAAATTGGATGTGGTTTGACGGGGTTCTTGCCCCATGACAACTGTTTGTGGAGCAATGAGTCGGAAAGCATCAATCACGACCTTGCCCTTGACAGACTGAATGGGATCGACCACGACAGCTACCGCACGAGGGGTGAGTTGTTCGAAGGATTGCTGAGTATTGATATCGACCGATGACAACCAACATCCAAAACCAGGATGCGAATGGTACCAACCAACGACTGATTCCGGTCTATGAGATAAATAAATGAGTATCCCGTTGTTTGCTCTTTCTTCTCCCTTGAAAACAATATGCAGCGAATGTCACCTACCGGCCAGTTTGCTTTAAGAAGTCCATCATCTTCGTTTGGAAGACGGGATCCACGGCCTCAACACTCACACCTGTTCCGCTTTGTGGCATAGCAAAGACATCAACGACTCTCACGGTATACTCGTCAACAAAGTCTCCCAACATTAAACCCATGACTTCCATGGGAACACCGGCTCGCCCGTGCCTCAACATCTTCAGCAACGCCAAAGATGAGATGTGAACAGTCTCCGAGTTATCGATTAGGTTAGGGCTATCCTATTGAACGCGCAAGTTAGCCTAGGATCCGTGTCTATTCAATTTGTGTCAGGCAGTTTCTTACAGCACCCGGGGGGGCGCCACCCATGCCCATGCCAGCCTGGAGCATCCGATTAAGTCGCTCCATATTGAAGGGCTTGAAATCGAGCTAAAGCGATGAAATGATGGTAATGGAGGCCAAAGAAAGCTCCCTTTGCGGGAAGCTTGGTACCAGATGTAGAGAGCTCTGAGCTCAAGCCGGCCGGTGGGGGAACAAGTCCTGATAAATGAGATCCTAAACGTGATGAAATAGAATCTCAAAGATCCCTGGGGACAAAAGAGCAGTCGAATTATTTAGGGGCGATAAAAGACAGCGGTGGTGGTGATTGTGCAGTGCGCTGGAGGTTCTTGAGGCAATACAACTGAGTAAGCCGCTTGAATCTCCAGAGCTCCGGGATCCACTCTGCGACCAACTTCGGCTTTACCGCCTTTGGAGTCTTTCCTGTTGCGCATTCAGGTTCCTCTTTCCCCTCAAAGCCCAAACGCCATTTACTCTACCGATTTTATTTCGCGGGCTTGCCTCACAGCTGGATGCGCATTTTTTCTTTCTTATTGCATCATTGGACTCTATCCCGGCCTGATATAACATTGGTCTCCCAACGCACAGGGCCCTGCTTCATCCTTTTCTTTCCGTTCTGCGTTTGACTGGTTGAAGACTGCTTTCTGTCTTACTACGCAAAACCTGCCATTTCACGGCATTACAGCACGCATAGCACGTAGCTATGACTGGCCTTGCACCTCTTGATCCCATCAACCTGAATGGGGTTGCTGACAAGGGAAAGAAAGTGGCATATTTCTATGACTCGGATGTTGGCAACTATGCCTATGTCTCTGGACACCCCATGAAGCCACACCGTATTCGAATGGCCCACAGTCTTGTAATGAACTATGGTCTATACAAGAAGATGGAAATTTATGTGAGTGCTGGACTACAATTTTTGCGCATCCCACTTGACGCTTTTCAGTGCTGATATCTTCTAGCGCGCCAAACCAGCCTCCAAGTACGAAATGACCCAATTTCATACGGACGAATATATCGATTTCCTCTCAAAAGTGACACCAGACAATATGGACCAATACTCGAAAGAGCAGAGCAAGTACAATGTCGGAGATGATTGTCCGGTGTTTGATGGGCTGTTTGAGTTTTGCGGTATCAGTGCCGGTGGCAGTATGGAGGGCGCAGCTCGTCTGAATCGCAACAAGTGTGATATTGCGGTCAACTGGGCAGGTGGCCTGCACCACGCGAAAAAGAGCGAAGCCAGTGGTTTCTGTTATGTGAACGGTAAGTCATGATGCCAGATGATGGAAGGCTTGATGTTGTTGTTAACTCACGGTCAACAGATATCGTCCTCGGTATTCTCGAGCTTCTTCGATTCAAACAGCGCGTTCTATACATCGATATAGATGTCCATCACGGTGACGGCGTTGAAGAGGCTTTCTATACGACAGATCGCGTCATGACCGTCTCCTTCCATAAGTATGGAGAGTACTTCCCAGGAACGGGTGAGCTGCGCGATATTGGTGTTGGACAAGGAAAATATTATGCGATCAACTTCCCTCTTCGAGATGGTATCGATGATGTCTCCTACAAAAGTATATTCGAGCCCGTCATCAGCAACGTTATGGAATGGTATCGACCTGAGGCCGTTGTTCTTCAGTGTGGCGGAGATAGTTTATCTGGCGATCGTCTAGGTTGCTTCAACCTGAGCATGAGGGGGCATGCGAATTGTGTCAACTTCGTGAAGACTTTCAATTTGCCAACATTGGTGGTCGGAGGTGGCGGCTACACAATGCGCAACGTAGCCCGCACATGGGCATTCGAGACTGGTATACTCGTCAATGAACAGCTGGAGTCACAGCTGCCGTACAATGACTACTACGAGGTAAGATTCAGCTTCCAATGACCTGAATTGTGTTTCTACTTGTGGAGAGCACAGATCTAATGAATATGCTAGTATTTCTCACCTGACTACGAATTGGATGTTCGTCCATCGAACATGGACAACGCTAATACGAAGGAATATCTGGACAAAATCCGAAGTCAAGTGATAGAGAACCTCCGACGAACTGGATTTGCGCCGTCAGTACAAATGACCGACGTTCCACGTGATCCACTTATAGATGGCTTGGACGACGAGGCGGACGCAATTATGGACGATCTTGACGAGGATGAGAATAAAGATAAGCGCTACACAAAACGCCGCTTTGATCAGTACATTGAAAAGACTGGCGAGCTTAGTGATAGTGAAGACGAAGAAGAGAATGCTGCCAATGGTGTTCGTCGTCAACCAGGAGTTGTCCGACGGCGAAATCACATCAGCCACCGGAATCTTGATATCACTGATTCCGGCTTAGACAGTGGTATCGCGACATCCAGAGAAGTATCTGCCGTTCCGGATCAGGATGAAGACATGGATTTGACAACTGATCCTGCGGCTGATAAGCCTGAGGCCTCACTAGCACCAGAGGCAGAGCCCCGCCGGTCTCCATCGGATTTAGATATGGGTTCGAAAATTGAAGAAAAAGTAGCCACGGAAGCCAATGAGACTGCCCCAGCTACCACTACACGTGCCGAGTCGCCGGCGTCTGCTTTGAGCGAAGCACATTCAGATGTTGACATGGAAGATGTTAACGCCACTACTGCCGAGGCGCAACCTGCCACCTTACGCCAGAGCGTAGGGCAGGAGAAAACACCTCCGGCATCTCCCCCAGCCACCACTACAGCACAGGAGGCCGAACCAGCCGCTCCTTCACCGCCACTCGTTGCGCCTGCCGAGGCTCCCTCCAACGTTGAAGAGACCGAAGCGAAGAAGGAAAGTGACAAGGCTGCGGAAGAGCCTAAGGAAGAAGAAGAAAAAGCCGCAGTCGAGACATCCACTAAACCCGAGGAAGAACCAGAAGAAAAGGCTACTTCTGAAGCCAAAGAGCCTGAGAAGACTGAAACATGAAAAGGTACTTCAGGCAAAGGCAAAGTCTTGAAAATTTTGCTGGCGTAATGGACGAAAATAGGGATGGTGTTTCTGGCTCTGGCGGAGTTTCTTCTTCCTCCTTTTGTTTTCTTTTGATTATTTGAACACTACATTACATACTGCTTTCTTTCTCTTTTTTCTTTGCCTCGGCACATAATTGGGCGTCGCAGGCTGTTTTCATATGGCAATGCGCTGTATCTTCTTCGATCTATGTTCGCATGTATCAAAATGCATGAATTGACTCGGAGCGCTAGATCCTAATTTAGGCGAAATATATTCATTCATAGCTGGGAACAAAAAGGAGAACATCAAGCTTTGAAGTTTTGGCGTAGTAAGCAGATGCAGATGCCAAGCATGTCCCGACTGAGACTAGTCTTAGGGTACAACCTCCCGGGCTCCACCAATGGCGGCGGCCGCGCCAAGATTTCGCCGTCCAGGCGTTTCTGCTCACAGTCACACACTAAGCGAGATCGAGCACGCAGGAAATTCCGACCCGCCCTGTGTGAATAACATCGACTCCAACCTCCTCTTCTTCTGTCAAATTATCCCAGCCCAGTTAACTTGACATTACCGCCAAAATGTCGAACAGAGGGTAAGTCCTGCTCGTCCTGTTCAATCAACGCTCTGCAAACTCCTGTGTGCACCACCAATCTCGAGCTCTCGATTTGTTTTGTTCGATGGACAACGATTAGTCTTTTTTTCCCCTCTCGGAGATACATGTGTGGACTCAGGCGAAATATGAGCAGCATTTACTGTCGTGACGATCGGAGCTTGGATTGTTGGAATCATGCAGAGAAAAAAGAACAAAATTTTTGGTTCAAATTGGATTGGGAAAGCAAACTAACGTGAATTTTGTGATAGTCGTGGTGCCGCTGGCAACAAGCTTAAGATGACTCTCGGTCTGCCTGTGTACGTGAAATCGGTTTCCCCCCTGTGCCCGAGAATTGGATGCATTGGATCGATAAAACAAAAAAAGAAAGACAAGGAAAGGAAAACTGGAGGAAGATCGGTATGGGCTGACGTTTGCTGTGTGATAATAGTGGCGCCGTGATGAACTGCTGCGACAACTCCGGAGCTCGCAACCTGTACATCATTGCCGTCACCGGTGCTGGTGCCCGCCTCAACCGTCTCCCCGCTGCTGGTGTCGGTGACATGGTCATGGCCACCGTTAAGAAGGGAAAGCCCGAACTCCGAAAGAAGGTTATGCCCGCTGTTGTTGTCCGTCAGAGCAAGCCATGGCGACGACCCGACGGTATCTTCCTCTACTTCGAGGACAACGCTGGTGTTGTAAGTGATGGATTTTGTTCCCCTTATCGCATGAGGGCCACACCGCATCGTTACAGCTGGTACTGGGATAAAGAAATTCTGATCAACTATGGTGATGCTGGATTGTGGTTCCTTGCTATTATTGATTGCGATGATGGAAAACATGCTGACTTTTTTTTTAGATTGTCAACGCCAAGGGTGAAATGAAGGGTTCTGCCATTACTGGTCCCGTTGGAAAGGAAGCTGCTGAGCTCTGGCCTGTGAGTGCACATCATCAATTATTCTTACCTTGATCAACAAGCTGACTTATACTTTCTCTCTAGCGTATCGCTTCCAACTCCGGTGTTGTCATGTAATTAAGATACAAACTAAAAAATTTTCACAATGCGATACCATTCGGGATTTACGGGCCTCGATTTATTCAATTTCTTCCCCCTCTTCCTCCTTTTGCGACATCAATTTTCTCTCTTCCTTCGTCTTCTTTTCTCTTCTTTTCCCGCTTTAATGTCCTCAGCTTTGTGGAATCAAGGAGAGGAGGGGAGGAAACACCAGGGTGAGGGCATCATTTCATGAAATAGGCGTTTTTTAGATTGCACGTTGTTTCTGTGCTTCGTTTACGCTTAACTGCCATGTACGAGAAACAAGAAAACAAAAATTTCAGCTACCACTGCCAATATGGGATCAAGGTAGCTAGCTAGCTAAGCTCATCACATCCTCGATGGTGACTCGGGAGATGGACAGTCGACAACAAGTAAAAAAAAGGGCAAAATATGATGAGACTTTCTTAGATTGACCGTCTATGCAGTTGATACTAAGCATTTTCCCTTGTACTCTCGTATGTCCTAGGCCTCATACAATCATGTTCCTGATAGTTGATAGGGCTAAGAGCCACGGCGGATAGAGGCAGCTTCCCGCCAACCCCACCATAGAAGCATGTGGAATGATTTCCTCCAGCTGCAGCAACGACAGCTTAATTCTTCTAGACAATAAGACGATTCAATACTTCTTTATTGCCGCAAGAATTGGCATCATCAGCAACCAGCCTGGACATCAGGCTTTCGCTTCTACACACCAACTACTAAGACAACTATATTGAATTCGCCATGGATGACATCGAAGACCCCTCCGGCCCTAGCCGTCAAGAACTCGCTCAACGTGAACAAGAGGAGAAAGAACGCAAGGCAAAGGAAGATGCTGAACAAGCATCATTGCCCTACAAATGGACACAAACCATTGGCGATGCAGACGTCACCGTCCAAGTGCCCGCCACGATCAAGGGTCGAGATCTAGATGTCGTTCTCACAAAGACGAAGATCAAGGTCGGGCTGAAGGGGCAACCACCGATCATAGAGGTATGACAATGCATTCATTCCGTCTGCGATTGAAAACAAACTAATTGTGAAATACAGGGCGATTTCCCCCATCCCATTCGCGCGGACGATTCCACATGGACTCTGGAAACGACACGAACTGGGAAAGAAGTCTCTATTCACCTTGATAAAGTGAACAAAATGGAATGGTGGCCGCACATCGTTACAACTGCGCCCAAGATTGACATCACCAAGATTACACCCGAAAATTCGTCGCTAGGCGATTTGGATGGCGAGACGAGGGCAATGGTTGAAAAGATGATGTACGATCAGAGACAGAAGGAAATGGGAAAGCCGACGAGTGATGAGCAAAAGAAGGCGGATTTGCTGAAGAAGTTTCAGGAAGAGCATCCAGGTAATTTCCCCCTGTTCTCCTGAAGTTGTTCAAGTGTCGAGTTCGACGGCTAACTGTACGTCTAGAAATGGATTTCTCGAATGCAAAGATCGGTTAAACCTCGACTGCTGTGGCTAAGGGCACCGATCGCTATTTTATCAATCAATGTTTTTATGCATAGCGAAATCGTGGTTAAGGTCTAACCTGCAATCAATATGAAGGTTGGGCTGGAAATTCTGGAGGTTAATGATAGTCTTGATAATATATTATATTACAGAATGGCAGTCCATGCAGTGAGTATGTAGTTTATAGTACATATAATACAGAGCAAAGAAGAGACGTTCACTGCTTCAAACGGAGATGATAGGTATCCAACACCTCCTCAGACAACTCACTTGGTGAACCCACCATGACGTCCTCGCCCTTCCCAGTCTTAGGAAACGCGATCACGTCGCGCACCGACTCCTTACCCAACATGACAGCAACCAGCCGGTCAAACCCAAGAGCGATGCCCGCATGAGGCGGACACCCCGCCTTAAGAGCTCCCAGTAGGTGCGAAAATTCAGCTAAGCGCGAAGCCGGCATCTTGAGTATATCCCTGAATACAATCTCCTGAACACGAGCATCGTGAATGCGACGACTACCGCCTCCCAGTTCCACCCCATTGACCACCAGGTCATAGTGATCAGCTACTACTGCAGCTGGGTCAGTCGTCATTAGATTGACATCAGCCGCGGACTTTGGTGCTGTGAAAGGGTGATGAGTAGACGCGAGACCTGCTGTGCCACCCTGGCCCGGTTCATTTTCGTCCATTGGCGAGAAAAGTGGAAAATCTATAATCCACAAGAAATCGAACCCCTTGGGGGCCTCCTTGAGCCCTGCTTTGACGGCTTCAGAATGCAGAGCTTTTCGGAGATCTCCCAGTGGCGTCGAACCCCCAGAGAAGAAAGGTGTCTTTTTGCGTGCTTGTAATACGATCAGGTCGCCGTGATCCGGTTCGAGGATCTCCTCGACTCGCTCCGCAGCCTCAAAGCCAAAGGGCATCAGGCCGCGCAGAGGCTTTTTGGCATCGTACACAAAGATTCCTGGGCCGCCATCTGGATTCTTATTGAATTCTGCGCCAGCACGTGAGTCCAGGAATCTGGTCACCAATTCCAATGTTTTGGCAGGGTCATTGTCTTCACTTTCTAGCTTGAATGCCTCCACAATGGGATCTGTAAGAGACGTGATCTTCTGTACGAGATCCACGGGTAGCATATAGTCGAGCCTGGTGATCTCCATTCCCAAACGAGTATCTGGCTTGTCCGACCCGAATCGGCTCATTGCTTCCTGATATGGCATTCTTATGAACGGTTCCGTTCCAAGGTTGATATCGAGTAGCCTTGACCAGAGCTTCCGAATGACCTTTTCAATAGACTGCATAACATCTTCGCCAGTGGCAAATGACATTTCCAAATCAAGCTGCACGGTCCTTGTTGTTAGCTTCCGGTCATAACTAAGAGAAGAGTAACACGCACTTGAGTAAACTCCGGCTGTCTGTCAGCTCTCAGATCCTCGTCTCTGAAACAGCGCGCAAACTGATAGTACCGATTGATGCCGCTTGCCATTAAAATCTGCTTATACTGCTGAGGGCTTTGAGGCAGAGCATATGCAAGGCCTTTGCGACGCGTGGGGACTATGAACTCTCGAGCACCCTCGGGCGTCGACTTAAATAGTAGAGGCGTTTCTATCTCTATAAACGGAGACGAACCAGTCTCAAGCTCCTCTCTGCAAATTTTGCGTGCTTCGGATCGAAATCGGAGCGCGTCACGGAGGCGTCGATCTGAACGTAGCTGCAAATGCCTTTGCTCTGCTGGGAATACTGTCTCCGGCGTCATGATTATATCTTTAGAGAAGTCATTGAGGAGCCAAATATCAGTCAGACTGATCTCGATGCTGTCAATCTTTTCAACTTCGGGACTTTCGCGTTCCACGACAACGCCATTCGCTTTCTTCGTCTGAACGGTGCCACGGACTGCAACAGGGCTGTTGCTTGGGATAGTCTTCAGTTGTTGATGTACATCATTTTTCGCGACGGAGATGATCTGGATATTCTGGCGCATAGTTGGATCTGTCAATCTCACGAACGATAGCTTTTTTGATATATCTGCTCGATTGCCCAGGTAGCCATGAAGGACAACACTATCTCCGGCACTGACGTTCTGCATTAAAGAGGGGAAAGTATGCGTTGCACGCGGAAAATCAACTACAACGTAAGAAAAGAGCCGGTTTATCAGTAAGTGGACTAAGTGATTTTCTTTTCTTTCTACTCAAAAAGTGCTTTTTCTAACCGGCATTTTGATATCGTTCAAGCGGAGCTCTAATGCTTTCCATATCCTGGGCTTGCTGTAGGGGATTCAGCGAGTCATGGTAATTCCTCCTCTTCCCAGCAAAAGATATTACTGGCTGCACTCGACCGAGACGTTTTTGACGAGCAAAATTCCATATCTCAATGTAGCTAAGCCGAGATGGGGCTTGAAGGACAGGCGAGCTTCGGCGAAGGGAAGCTGCGAGCATCGCCGAAGACGCGATGGGGTGAACGGGTGAAGAGGATTCTTTTGGGGATAAGTGCGTATTACAAGAGGAAAACAGCCAAGAAGAGCAAGTGTAAGAGGAAACGAGTAGGCAATTGCAGAGTTATGAACATGATCAGAACAATTGCGAGGAACTCAAAAAGCCGAAACATTTGGCGCTTGCCCCGAACCGCACTAGCGCATTCTGTCCGGCGCTAACTATAAAAAAACTTCCCACGACTTCCCAACTTCTTCCTTTCTTCCTTCATCCTTCCAAGTTTTGAACAGGTGCGTGTTATCCCCCTCGACAGCTGGCCACCAATTCTTACGACAAAACTGACATCCATCTTCTATCAGATGATGAAAGCCTAGTGTGTTCTATTTGATTCTATCTCTCCCTCTTCTCAGGGCTGTTGATTCTCTTCCTTCTCTGAAGGAGGCTCAAGGATCGCAGAACGGGCGAAGGAGAGAGGATGAAAGAGGCGTTCGGCACAACCTCCTTGTTACTTCGACGGACGCGATGAAGGCATCTCTGATCCAAATTTCATTACTTGGCGGTGTCACGGTCATGTTAATGTTTCATGGGTGACTGGATTAGATAGATCCAGGTCCATCACGCTCAAGAGAAAGAACGCGTTGGACGAGCCATTTGACAAGGTTGAAGACTAACGTGTCCAGCAGGAATACCATCACACAGGTTACCTCAAATAATAGGTAAGCTCATCTTTCTTTCCTCGCCCCCTCAACATGTGTTTTTCTAGGATGAAATATTTCGGATGTAAATTCACAGACCTGTTCTGAAAGCGCAAAGCCGTGTGGATATTTCCGTTGCCTTCCTTCTGATCGATCTCATCTCTCAAACTCATTGAATCAAGAAACATTTCTTGCAATATGCAGTTGCTAATCCATGTTGTCTCCAGGTACCTTACTGTCGTTGCGATGCCCGTGCGTGGTCTAATTATCTTAGATGCTTCAAGAATAGAACGACACTAGTGAGGCTTTTGTATGACTTTTTGATAGACTGTTTTTGAAATGAATACTTTCGCTATTTTCTATAGCTTTCGTAAATTTCTCCTATTATTTTCAGTAAAGGAAAAAAAACAAGACCCGGAGATCCATTAACATGTCTAGCCCGATACGGATTAGCGTGTTGTAGATTTATTTTCCCCCGAGTCGCCGCAAGATTAATCTGTTTGCGCTTCAGCAGAGTGAGCTTGAGAATTGCTCCGTCTGCTGTCAAGTCTCTTCAAATACTCGCCATACTATTTTCCCTTTCTTCTCTCTACCATGAGACGAGTAACGCGCAGCGTGCATCTGCCAGATGCTTCAATCACACGGCTTCCAAGCCCAACCTGTGCATGCGTCGTGCAGCAGTCGCAAAGGCCCCGAGTCATTGCCTCGTCGAACATCGAAGCACCATATTCACAAAAGCGATGTATAGGTCAGAGGTATCTTAAACGCATGGCGGATGCCCAGGAACAATGGAAAGGGTTCGCTGCGGAGATCAAAGCTGGGAAGCGGAAAGCCTTCCTGGACCACCTGGAAGAACGTGGGCTTGTCAATCAGGTTGTTGGGTCAGTATTGTGATGCCATTAGTGTTTTGTTCGGTTGATAGGTCTGAAAGGACTGGAATGTAATCGTAATTGTGGCTAATCTTTCTTGATATCTAGGGAACGAGAACTCCTTGACAAAATCTTGACGGAGAAGAGAACGGGGTTATACACTGGTGTTGACCCAACAGCGCCATCGCTTCATATCGGGCATATGCTGCCAATTATGGTTTTGGCTTGGGCTTTTAATTGGGGTTATCCCGTCCACTTTGTGGCAAGTACCAAAGCTTCCTCTCCCCCCAAGAAAAATCGTGAGTGCTGAAGCTAACCACATTTTACAGCTCGGGGGTGCCACTGCAAAATTTGGCGACCCTACTGGTCGACTTGGGCCTCGAGAGACTCAACATCGAACTGTGAGGACGGCGAACATGGCCGCAATGCATATGCAATTGAAAAGAATCAGCAGCAGCATTGAGAGCTATGGTAGACGCCATGGCTTTGAGAGAGAATGGGTGTGGAGACGAGCTCTTACAAACAACAATGCTTGGTGGAATAAAACGCCTTTTATCACCGTATTACGAGATTTGGGCATGCACATGAGACTAGGCCCCATGCTAGGAAGGGACACGTATGTACAATGAACTATACATTTCAAATGCTATCGGCATACTGACTTTTATGGATAGCGTCAAGACTCGCCTCGAAGGTCAGGGCATGTCATTTGCCGAATTTGCTTACCCTCTCATGCAGGCATGGGACTGGTTTATGTTGTTTAAGCTAGGGGTGCAGGTCCAGGTGGGAGGTGCTGACCAATATGGGAATATTCTCTTTGGCATGGACGCCGTCAAACAGCTCTCTAAAAACACAGCAATAGAGCTTGATCGAAGGGACGTCGAGACAGAAGTGAACAGACCCATCGGTCTTACCACCCCGCTACTCACTACTTCGTCTGGCGCAAAGTTTGGAAAATCGGCAGGAAATGCAGTCTGGCTTGACAAGGACTTGACCTCCACATTCGAGCTCTATCAGGTGCGGCACTCACTGCTTTTTTTTTTTTTTGTCCCTTCATTACAGTTCAACTAATGTAGCGCAGTTTTTCGTACGAACGCCAGATGATCAAGTAGAACGGTATCTGAAGATGTTTACTTTCTTGCCGCTGGAACAAATTGCGGAGCTCATGGAGGAGCAGAGACAAGATCCATCGAAGCGGGTGGCACAACACCGGCTTGCCCAAGAATTTGTTGACATTGTTCATGGACCAGTGGAGGCACAAGCTGCAGCTACACAGCATCGCCAGCTTTTCCGACCCCGTTCATCCACCTCAGAACCAACACCGCCACCAACACGGCCTTCCAACGCACCCGCGAATTCTCCCACGGCCAGCTTTATAAACAGGGGAGCCGGCAACAAACAAGCCCCTATTGTGAACTACGCTAACATGGAATCGAACCGGATCTCTCTCCCTCGATCCCTTGTGCTCGAGCAGCCTCTGAACAAGGTCCTTTACAACGCTGGCCTGGTCTCGTCCAACAGCGAGGGTCATCGTCTGATTGTCGGCCGAGGAGTGTCTATAGGTAGCCGACCCGGAGATTCAGGAGTCATGACCGATTCTTTGAACTTCACTCCTATCCAAACGTGGGTTCCTGCTAAGACGGCCGACTTCTTAATTGAGGGCAAGCTATTGATCATCAGAATCGGCAAGTGGAAGCTCAGAATAATCGACGTTGTCGACGACGCAGAGTTCGAGGACAAAGGCCTCGATGCACCTGGTTGGCAGGAATTCAAGAAGAATAAGGCAGAGGGCAAGAAAGACGACGATCCAATCACCCAGCAATACTTCAAGGTAAAAATTAGGAGGGTCCCATTGCCCAGTCCACCGCGTGACGAAGATTGAACAACCAGAATAGAAAATGTATTATATTGACAGATCGAATGTATAATAGCCGAGGTGCATATGAAAGTTTATTGACACCCATCTTAAACACCCATCTTAAGGCCGGCTCAAATCTATGCCTCAAGCTATACCAGAAGGTAAAAGTAAATGTATTTCTAATTAGGTTATGGTTTTCTTTTCTTTTCTTTTTCTTTTTCTTTCTCTTTGCCATTTCCTTGTCCTCTCCTCATGCTATCCTGATATCCTCATTAGGAAATAGAAAAGTGGCCTAAGATTTTGCCTGTGTTTCTAATCATCTGCTTTCCAAACTCCTACCCAGTTGCTTATGTCATAGCTAGGATTCAAGTGATCATGATCTATATAGATTACCAAAAGTAGACACTGGACCTTTGGAGCCTCATCCAACCACTCTCCCGAAACCTCCTATTCCTTACGTTAAGGGCTGGGGGTTTGCCGTCCAGCAACACATTCCTCCCGCCCCAACAAAGGTGATGCAACGTTCCTGCCAGTACTAGACGAAAGACGACAGCTCGCTGTAGTTGAGCGATGTTTGCGACATCCCCCGTTACCAGGAACGACGAAACCGTACAGTGTTGAGCTAAAGGTTCTTAGCCCCATCAGAGTTCAAGATGGCACAAACGCCCAAGTCTTCACTGTTCAGCTTCTCCAGTCGCAACTTAATGCCGAACACCTGCAGCCGAGTGAAAAAGAGCTTGTGGCCAAAGTATTTGATCCTCTTTATTTTGATGATGATGACGGATATGTTGATCCATTTCGTTGCGTGGGAACGGCATTACACGCACGAGGTTCCTGCATACAACATGCTTTCAAAGTGGCAAGGAACCCTTATACCGAAATTTTACGGGTCTTATACGTTGGATATCCCTGTTGAGGGCTTTGGGGCTCGTGTTGTTCGACTAATTCTGATTGAGTATATACCTGGGATATCGATGCGCGAAGTCAATCCGGGTCATTTTTCTCCACGCGCTCGTCAATGGATGATAAAGTCAATAATTGATTTCGAAAGCCGAGTGTACGGAACACGAGACATTCTACTGCAGGATCTAAGCCCTAGAAATGTTATCATTACGGAGCCAAATGATGATCGTGATGATTTGGCACCAAAGCTTGTCTTCATTGATTTCGCTGATGCTCTCTTCAATCGCAGGAGAGATGATCCCATCTGGTTGAGAGCTAAATTGTTCAATGGACAGTATGTCTCGCCTCTATTACGATGGAGCCGGAGCAAGGCGACAAGGGAATTCAATGAATGAATTTAATGGGGATTTGATCTCTGGAAGGAAGCCGAGTTCGCTGATACGGCTTGGACAATAACGTCAGAAATGAAAGAGGCTTTTGATGAGTGACATGGAACATATAGTTGCGTGCGAGCATACAAAGCAAAACTGATATAATTTCTGGTAAACAGAATACAAAGGATTGACAGGAGCTCTTTGAGACTGACAATACAACTAAGCTTTTGGTCGGCCTTTGCAGTTTTGCACCGTTTTCGAGTCCTAGGAACCGAGAGATCTAGTACCAAATATGTTATATTTACCATGAACGCTATCAATAACCTTGGAAGCTACTTTCACTACGGCAAGCACGCCAGCTCCATTATATCAATGCCATCAATCTTATGACTCAGTGCTAGAGGGTTTGTTCCTGTTATGGCATATGACCTTTTAAGACAACCTCGAGTTGGACAGAGGCAATACAATGAGCACCAGAACCACTGCCAGAACCGAAGCCCATTTCCTGGAGGTTTTGTTGATACCATATCGGTGTCGTGCTGGTAGACACTCATCAATATATCATTCTTACTAGTGATAATAAAAACGCAGTGAACTACCAAGATAGGAAAGATATGTTCTAGGGTTTGATGATGTATAATTTCCTGATCGGGCAACAATCCAGCGTCGGAAAATGAAACCTCAGTCAACGGGTTGCTTGTCTCTGAATAAATAGTATGCACAAGTAATAAACGAAAGAGGCATCTTTTCTTTGATTCCAACGTCTAGAGAACATTAGGGGCTGTTCAACCACTGTCCCTCAGGGGTACAAGTCGACGCAGCTATGGCCAGCGGGAAAGGAAAGTACCCACCAAAAACCACTCAACGCGTCCGAACGCGTTTCTCTCCTTCCGTCCCGTCCCTGGCATCATCCCTGATCCATCAACCACAAGAATTTGTGCTTATAGCATCAATTCCTTTCCTTTGCCATGCTACAATCCTAGGTCATTGCTCGCCTTCTCTCGATATCCCGTCGCTTTACTTCGCCACCCCGAAACAATGGCAAGAGGCGCCGCATCGTCACCCGCCGCTGCAACAACGCCCGGTTTGAAACGATCGACTTCCAGCACGCAGAATATGAAAAACCAGCGATCCATCTTGGGATTCTTCCAAAAGTCTTCCCCGTCGACTCCTTCTACCGCTCAGCGTAAACCCGCAGCAGCGGAACCTGCATCGTCGCCAGCACAACGCGCCGCCGACGCCAAATCAGCTGTCAAGAGTAGCAACAATAAAAAGGCTTTGCAGAGATTGACACCGGCCCCTAGTAGCGACGCAATTGAGCCCGATGAGGAAACTCCTACTGTCAAAAAGGTGCGTGTTTTTGCGACGAGAATCTGTGTGTTCTTGCATATTAACGAGTGATGTGTGTTATATGTAGATCGGTAATAATGAAGACGACAACCAATCCTCCTCCACTCCCACGAGACGGGTATGTACTGGCTCGGTTCGTTTGCAGTCCAAAGTACTCACAACTGTTTCTAGGCCAAGAAAAAGGTCAACTATTTAGAGTCTGATAGTGAAGGAGAGGATGACGACGATGAAATTTTCCGGCCTCAGCCGTCGCGGAAGAGACGTCGACCAGCTGTCGAAAGCGAAGACGAGTTTGAGGTTGATGGGGCAGATGCCCACGTTTCAGAAGATGGTTTGTTAATCCAATGATGACGAGATCGACGTTGTTAACTGATGGCTTGTAGAAATGGACGATTTTATCGTTGCCGATGACTCGGAAGAAGATGCTCGACCGTCCAAGAAGAGAAAGAAGGTTTCCACTCGACCTGCCCAACGTAATAACAACCCCTCCTTTGATGAGCCTAAGGAACCGGCGGATGAAGACCTTGATTTGGAAATTCCAGATGCAACAGCTGGAGGAACAGCACAGAAATGGACGTACGACCCAGATAATAAGGAACCCCGAAAGGAGCGCGAACAGGTGCTTTCTTCAGCTCCTGTTACAAAGCGCAAAGAAAAGGTTCATGAAACTGAACCGGAAAAGAGATACCCATGGCTGGCCAACATCATGGACATGGACAGAAACCCTCCTGGTCATCCGGATTACGACCCACGTAACATTTATATCCCACCCCTAGCGTGGACAAAATTCTCACCCTTCGAGAAACAGTACTGGGAAATCAAACAGAAATTCTGGGATACCATTGTGTTTTTCAAAAAGGGCAAGTTTTACGAGCTCTACGAGAATGATGCAACAATCGGTCACCAACTGTTCGATTTGAAGCTGACTGATAGAGTTAATATGCGCATGGTTGGCGTACCTGAAATGAGTCTTGATCACTGGGCCAATCAGTTTGTCGCCAAAGGCTATAAAATCGCCCGAGTTGATCAATCAGAGTCTGCATTGGGGAAGGAAATGCGAGAGCGTGACGACAAGAAAGCCGCCAAGGGCGGCAAGGAAGACAAAATTATCAAGCGAGAATTATCCTGTGTTCTTACAGCTGGAACATTGGTGGAGGGCTCTATGCTTCAGGATGACATGTCAACGTACTGTGTTGCGATCAAAGAAGTCATCCTGGACGGACTCCCAGCATTTGGCATTGCGTTTGTTGATACTGCTACGGGCCAGTTTTACTTGTCTGAATTCAAAGACGATGCAGACATGACCAAGTTTGAAACATTCGTTGCCCAAACACGGCCCCAGGAACTGCTATTGGAGAAATCTACAGTCAGCCACAAAGCAATGCGTATACTTAAAAATAATACAGGACCAACAACACTTTGGAACCATCTTAAACCGGGGAAGGAATTCTGGGAAGCGGACATCGCAGTGAGAGAGCTAGATTCCTCCGAATACTTTGTTTCCAAAGATCAAGACAACATTGAAGCCTGGCCTGAGGTTCTGCGTGACGCTCGTGAGAAAGAGTATGCCATGTCAGCGTTTGGTGCATTAGTACAATATCTCAGAGTCCTCAAGCTTGACCGTGATCTCATTTCCATTGGCAACTTCACCTGGTACGATCCGATCCGCAAGGCCACAAGCTTGGTTCTTGACGGTCAAACTCTGATAAACCTCGAGATCTTTGCCAATTCGTTTGATGGCGGACTTGAAGGGACCCTATTTCAGCTACTCAATCGTTGTATCACGCCATTCGGCAAGCGTATGTTCAAGCAATGGGTGTGCCACCCATTGATGGATATCGATAAAATAAATGCCCGATTGGATGCTGTTGATGCGTTGAATGCTGATTCAACCATTCGTGATCAATTCTCGTCTCAGTTAACCAAAATGCCCGATCTGGAACGGCTGATATCTCGCATTCATGCCGGAGCCTGCAAAGCACAAGATTTCCTGCGAGTTTTAGAGGGATTCGAGCAAATCGAATATACAATGAGTTTGCTCAAAGATCTCGGATCTGGTGAGGGTCTGATAGGCAAACTTGTCACCTCCATGCCTGACTTGGTATCGCCTCTTGAATACTGGAAGACTGCCTTTGATCGACTCAAAGCTAAAGAGAATGGCATTCTTGTTCCTGAGCAGGGAATCGAGGAAGACTTTGATGCTTCTCAAGAAATCATTGATCAGCTACACCGTGATTTGGAAAATATTCTCAAAAAGGCGCGCCGTGATCTCGGGTCCACCGCAATCTGTTACAGAGACAATGGTAAAGAGATCTACCAACTCGAAGTTCCTATCAAAGTCAAGAACATCCCGAAGAACTGGGATCAGATGTCAGCAACTAAGCAAGTGAAGCGTTATTACTTCCCGGAATTGCGAGCAGTAATCCGGAAGCTTCAGGAGGCACAAGAAACTCATAGTCAGATCGTGAAGGAAGTCGCAGGTCGATTTTATGCACGTTTTGATGAGGAATATGACACCTGGCTGAAATCTATCCGGATAGTTTCACAGCTAGACTGTCTGATTAGCTTGGCTAAAGCTTCCTCGTCTCTTGGACAGCCCAGCTGCAGACCAGAGTTTGTCGACAACGATCGAAGTGTGCTCGAATTCGAAGAACTCCGCCATCCTTGTATGTTGCAAAATGTGACAGACTTTATCCCCAACGATGTGCAGCTTGGAGGCAACGCTGCAAGTATAAACCTCTTGACTGGCGCAAATGCAGCTGGTAAATCCACGATTCTTCGCATGGTAGGTAATCCTAATTCTTGAGCATTGATTTGGTACTCATCTTACATCCTGTACAGACTTGTGTTGCCGTTATAATGGCTCAAATTGGATGCTACCTTCCTTGCCAGAGCGCTCGGCTAAGCCCTGTTGACCGCATCATGTCTCGACTCGGTGCAAACGATAACATTTTCGCAGCTCAATCGACCTTCTTCGTGGAGCTGTCAGAAACGAAGAAGATTTTATCAGAGGCAACGCCTCGGTCCCTAGTGATCCTAGATGAACTAGGTCGTGGCACTAGCTCGTACGACGGTGTAGCCGTAGCACAGGCCGTATTACATCACATCGCGACACATGTCGGAGCGTTAGGGTTCTTCGCTACCCACTATCACTCCCTCGCCGCAGAGTTCGAGGGCCATCCCGAAATCGCCCCGAAACGGATGCGTATCCACGTCGACGACGAAGAACGACGAGTCACTTTTCTCTACAAACTGGAAGATGGCGTCGCCGAAGGCAGTTTCGGTATGCATTGTGCTGCTATGTGCGGCATTCCCAACAAAGTAATCGAGAACGCCGAGGCTGCTGCCAAGCAGTGGGAGCATACCAGTCGTTTGACCGAGAGTCTGGAGCGTCGTAAAGGCGGTGGTCTCGTCGGTCTAGGCTGGTGGAGTGATGTGGCCTGGTTGCTTCGTGACGATAATAGGACGGAGGGCGAGGCATTTGATCGAGGGCTGGAGATTCTCAGAAAGGCTATTGAGACGTTGTAACTTCATTATACCTTTGATGACGAACTGAGACTATTTTTCTTTTTTTTTGACATTTCGGGGTTTTTCTTAAGATCTGATATGGGGGTCGAGAGTGTCCATGTCCTTTCAAATTGGTTTTCTAATCATTTGTCTTTATTTGAACGATTTCGTGCAGGATGAACCAACTTATCAACCAATGCATGTATATATAATATGTATTCAAACACATCTTAACAGATATCATCTACAACCTCCCTGCCTATCTGGAGATGAAATAATAGGGCTTGCACAGATGGGATTGAGCAGTGATTAATTAGCCAATTACCTACCTAATTAACTAACGCATTGCTTGAATGCATGATAACATGGTATCATAGCTGGCTCTTTGAGAAGAACACCCAATCGAGAAGTAAATAAAAATATCAACGATCAACTGACTGGATTGATTAATTCAGATCCAGGTATAACAAGTTCAAGAATCTTTCTTTGTGCTATTTTCTCTTTTTTCTTCTTGTGTGTGTTCGCGAATATTCAACAGGCACAACAGCATCGTCATCGTCGCCATCATGCCAAGATGAGATGAGATATAAAAACCGAGAATGAACAAGGGGAAAGACAGGATGTAAATCGTCCACATGTGCATGTGTGCATGTGAGACAAGAATGATATTAGCAGGAAATATTCTCAACTGTGAGGAATAAAGGTCAGAAAGAAGTTCTTTTCGTCTTATGGCTGGAATTAGTCAAACCTACATTCCCAATGACCGTAACCGAATATCATCATCGTCATCGTTTAAACAGCGAAACAGGTGGATCGATATACTGCTGTTGAATCACTCCTCGCTCTTGATACTTGTTTCAGCATCCTCTTCGTCCTTGACCAAGGGCATGTCTGAGAGCAGAGACCCAAAAGTCTTGGAAGTACCTGCGGAAGATTTACTGGACGGAAAGAAGTGTTAGCATTCGTACCACGGAGGCCAGGGAAGACAAGAGAATACGTACGCGGGAGTCTTTTTAATAGGAGACTTCCTCTGACGCTTGCTTGGGGTCGGTTCAGTATCAGAGCCATCGAGCGCCCCAGCTCCAGTGAGGAAGGTATTCATGGCATCAGCGTCGGGAGCACTTGGAGTGTGGACCATAGGAGAGGCTTCATCGCCAGGGTCTACTTCCTCAGTGGTACCCTTGGTTCTCTTGTTGCTCTTTCGACTCCTGGGGGTCTTTGGTGTTTTGGCCGCTGGAGTTGCGGGGGTCTCAGAGGAGCCAAGCATAGCAGCATCGCCGCCATCAGCATTGTTGACTCCAGAGGCGTCCAAAGAATCAGTCAACTTGCGGAGAACCTTGCGATACATCACCTGGGCAGAACCCTTGGTGTATCCTCCATATTTGGCGATTTGCTCGTAGTCAACCTGTAGTGAAAGTATGTTTGATTAGCATTGGTTTGTATGTCTAGAAATATGCATCGTGTATCGTAGCTAGAAGAATACTGACCTTGCCCGCTCCACCGATAGTGAATTTGGCACCGAGGGCAATCAGTTTGAGTTCAGCTTGAGTAAGGTTTGGCAGGCCGGACGAGGCATCAGCCTTTTCTTTGGTGTCCTTGCCAGCCATCTCTTCTGATTTGATGATTGAGAAGATGAAGGTGGTTGGGAATGGATGAAGGTATTGGATGCTCGAGTTAGAGTTCGCTATAGTTGAAGTTCAGATCAGAGTTCAGACCAATGACAGGGAAGTGAGGTATAAAGAATGAAAAGTGATTGCTAAAACCTTGGAAGTGGAAAGAAAAGGGGAGAACCTGGCTGGCAAACTCACTTGCAGTGTGAACGAGACTTGAGCCTGAAGACTTGTTCTCGAGGAAATGATAAGAGTAGAAAATCTAGCTTAAGATAGATTTACGTGTTAGTGAAGTGCGTTGGTTCAGTGGTGAAAACTCTTCTGAGGTGTTGAGAGGATGAAAGGAACAGGAGGGGTAAGAGGGAAGAAGATGAGATATAAAATATAAACCAGAGAAGAGGACCCACCAAGCTCAAGGAAGAAGTCGGTTCTTCGAAGGGATTCAATTGCCAGTGTCAGATAGTAGATAATGTGAGACAGGAGGCTGGGGAACGAGAGAATTTGTTGGGATGAAACAGAAACACGGAAAGTCCCTGAATTGATGCGAAGAAAGGAGGAGAAAGACAACCTGGCTCAAGTAAAGTCTGACTGTATGAGATATGAGTGAGTCCTCTAAAATGGAAAGACAAAAGAAGTGACTGGAAAGATGTTCAGTATGATTGACTTCAGAGTGGTATACAATTCAAGTAAAGGTTCGATAAGGCATGATTGCATCTTATAGACATTGTTCGAGATTGGCGTTAGTTTCGATAAGGTATCATTTAATGTACATAATTAGACAAGCTTCATAATCATTGACGTTGACTCTGTATCTTCTTGTAAATGTGCTGCCACAATTCTGGGTAGAACTTCGGCGCTGACTGAGCACTCTTACTCGTCTGCAATGCATAAAACTGCTTCAAAGTGCGAGACCTCCACCAGGGTATAGGCTCCGGATTCTTATTCCTAAAGGAGACAGGGCGCAGGAGTGCCTTGTCAGGGACAAGATCTGCCACTCGCACCTGTGTGGTACGGGGAATTGTTGTGATTTTCATAGTTCTTATTGATACCTCAGCTGACGGTGGTAGATTCCTCACGTACTCCAATGCTGTTTCTCGTGACTTTCGTGCAAAAATGGGGAGATGGAGGTAGATATTGTTCACGAACGGCGCAGTTGTATAGGAAACAAAGGCAAGCGGCAGTGCGCCGCCAATAACAACTAGTGGTTGACTTCAGTTAGCCCATAAAATGACAGAAGAGGTGTAAAGAGACGTACTCAGTGGTGCGATATACCAGGCGAATTCATCAGCGAAAAAAGCTGGTGCTATGATCATGGTTGAAACACCACAGACGAAAATCGTTGCTGTACGCAGCATGCCAAGAAAAACAACACGCCCTGTTCCTGCATGATAGATGAGAACATTCTCTGGTGCAGCTGCATAGAGTCTTAGTAAGCTTTCGAACAATGGATGGGATGTGAGGTATGTAAAATGAAAGAGGAGGTAGATGAGCGACGCACCTCGTTGAACCGTCGGCTTCCAAGGTTGAGCTGCGGTATATTTTGAGACTGGTTTGACAGCCACTAATTTTGACTTCTTTGGAATGACGTTTATTTTCGAAGGAGATGGTTTCTTAGTCGTGGAGGAGTAGCGCAGGCCGAGCCTCTTTGCAAGGGATCTTCTGTGAAAGGCGCGCTGACGAGCTGCCGAAGGGCCTGCGAGACAGCGGAGCTGCGAGAAAATCAACTGAGACGTTTTCATCATTTTTCTGACACTGTGGCACGTTAATTGGCGTGGTTGAGACCGTTGCTGTTTCAACTCAGCTCGACCAGAGAGATCTCAGCAGTTCGCTCGTCGTCAAAATTAGAGCTCGGCCATAAACTCTTAAGGCACCCCTAAGGCCGCCAGCCAATCGGAGAACCAAACAGGGAAAGCTGCAGGCTTGGCGTCGGATTTTCTCAACGACAAGCCATAAATTGCCAGCTTTCATCTTTCATCGTTGGTCACTCTTCAGTCTACAAAGAGACTGTCGCTGTTCATGCCCATGATGTGCTAATGACTGCAATTTAATTTTCCTCTTCTCCCCTCTTAAAGGCATACCGGCTGAATTGATCCCGGGATGTTGGCTGCATCTAGTAACCGCCAGCCTTTATGGCGTTGCCTCATTTCATTATTTTGTCTGATCCAGTGCATCGCGGCATATCAGACGCTTTCGGAAGATACACTAAAATTGCTCCCTCAGCCGGGAAATGACTTTGACATCCACGAAGGAAACCTTCTGGCACCCATACTCCGGACCCGAGTCCCAGGGTCTGCGGGTTCCGCCGCGGTGTTGAATCATTTCAATGACTTTTTCAAGACGAGCCTGCCCGACTGGACTATCGAGCTACAGAATTCAACCTCGAAAACTCCAGTGACGGGGAAGAAGGAGGTGCCCTTTGTTAACTTTATTGCCTATCGAGATCCTCCGTGGGCATCGAAAGGGGACGTTGGGAGGCTGACATTGGTCGCACACTATGACAGCAAACTACATCCCGAGGGCTTTATTGGCGCTATTGATAGTGCGGCGCCTTGTGCTATGATTATGCATGCCATGCGGAGTATTGATGCTGCCTTGACTAGGAAATGGAACGATATGGAGGCCCAGGGCAATTTAGATTCTGGGCTTGAAGCATATACTGGCATTCAAGTATTTTTTCTTGATGGGGAGGAGGCTTTTAATACTTGGACAGATAGCGATTCCCTGTATGGTGCGCGTTCACTAGCTGAAACATGGGAACGAACACCCCATTCGTCTATGTCGATCTTCAAGACGCCTTTATCCTCCATCACTCTTTTTGTGCTTCTTGATCTTCTGGGATCGAAAAATCCCACCATTCAATCATACTTCCCAACAACCCACTGGGCATATCAAAGTCTGGCCGAGTTGGAAAGCAGACTTCGAGCTGTGAAACAATTCAAGTCATCGCCAAACTACGAAGGAGGGAAAGAAGTCAACGAACCCCAGTGGCTGGTAGATGCTAAGACCAGCGAACATTCCCTCAAACCCTGGACGGCTATTCAGGATGATCATATCCCATTTCTGCGACGCGGGGTTGATATCCTCCATATCATTGATACGCCTGGCAGGGCAAGCTTCCCGACTGTCTGGCATACAATAAAGGACGACGGTGAACATCTTGATATAGCCACCGTCGAGGACTGGGGTATGCTTATGACGGCATTTGCGGCAGAATGGATGGAGCTTGAAGGCTACTTTGGCGAGCCACACAGTACGGAGAAACTTTCTAGTCGGAAAACCGAATTGTAAGATATTTCCGAACTATCTTCTTTCCTTTCTGAGCATGTATATACGTTTTTGTCTATTTCTATTATTCCATTCATTATTCTTTGCATAGAATTGGACTAATAGGTATTAGCAATTGAATTGCGCACATCTTCTTTTTAATTATGAATGATTACGAGCTTCTACGCCTGGAACCCTATCAAATCTCCGACCCATTGTGTCAATCTATGCATAAAGAGGAGGTGACGATTGTGGGAGATAAAAATCATATCAATCCTCCCAAAAAGTAACCACTCATCCATAAAATACCCCATACCGGCTGAAGAACAGACCTCAGAATAGCCGGCCCAGGACAAACCCCACTCAAGCCCCATGCTAAACCAAAGACCATCGCACCTACTACAAAGCGCCAATCGATGTCAGCAACGGTGAGTTGAGACAAACTCCAAGTGTCTGCCAGTGTCGGGGCTTTCACATTCCCATTCACGTCTGGTTTACCCGGTTCGACGGTCAGATAACCATAAAGCGACGGGCCGATTGCGAAGAGGATGATAAGAGCTAGCGAAGGATCGAAGTCGGCTGTGTTACCGGCAAAGGAAAAGAATCGAATAACTTTGGCTGGGTCCGCCATGCCGGAAAATAATAGCCCTAGCCCGAACTGGATGCCCGCTAGGTAGGCAAATAGCCGTCTCGAATTCGATGATCGCGTCAAGATTTTGGGGCCAAAGACGAAAGTTGTGAGCAGACTGGCGATGCAGGTGGTTCCCATTACGGCTACTTCAAATGCGTTTGGGTAGATGGGATAATAGCAGGGACCATTTTCACAGGGTGGGATCAATGTGTGACCCGTTGAAGATGGTGCGAGATTGGCAACTAGTAACCCAGTGGTGAAGAAAATGGCAGTCGCTATAATAGAGCGTGGTGAGAGACGTGACATTCCACTGAGCATGTGCCCTGATGTACAGCCTTGATCATTCTGTAGAGATCTATGTTAACCTAGAAACAAAGTCTTTTGGAGATGTGATGGCAAAAAGATCATACCTTTGTACCCCAGCCAGTTAATACCCCTAATCCAACTGTCGTAGCGGCCGAAACCCATGGAGAGGCTGGTGGTGTCGTTGTAGGAGAAAAATCCTGGGGATATGAAGGGAGCAACGAGGGCACCACCAACTTCACCAAAAGCGGACTCGACACCAAGCCAGCCACGATGGGAAAGTTATTTTCATCCTTGAAGCTGCCGGGGTGCAGCAGACACGACCGAAGGATTGACGAGATGCCAAAGACGCGTCCATTATGTAGGAGTAATCCAAATGAGCCACTGAACAGGAGCAGGGCCCCAATTGTAGTATGAACAGGGGTGAACATGGTGATAGATAGATAGACAGCCGTATCCCTACCTAGCCAGACACCTGAATCCCTGTCTGCCAAGCTCTCCCCCTGGTCCAATGCAATGCGACAGGGCTAGGGATGTATGGTTTTAAGCTTGTGAGAGGAGAGAGGCATGGCGAGCAAGCACGATTATTTGAATTGATATGTCACACAAACAGCGGCATGCCAGATAGGTATGTTCTCTCTTTGTTTCTCTTCCGAGAACTTAATGAACGAATGAATGAACGTCCCGACATGACGAAAATGGCATAAGAAAGACGAATATTTCGGTCAAGCCTCCAGACGGGGACCTCCGGCAAGTTGAATTCTTTGTGTTGGTTGGATGGAGCCCGAATGACTTTGATGGCAAGATGGCCCATGATGTAATTTTCCTCGATATGGTAATTCTGGTACGGTACACGGCACACAATCGCGGCCTATCGGGCTTTTTTGGTTGGTGGGTGCTGAGCAGACCCACTACAGTTGTACGATGTCTGTAAATTATTACAGCACGGTCGCTTTATATACTGTGTGCAATGCATCCTCTCTGGTCAGTGTTGCGTGCTTACCAGGTAGAAAAGACGACTACCCAGTAAGCACTAAACAGTGATGAAGAACTCAAAACTAGACGAGAAATAGCTTAGCTGCCTGAGGCTGCTAGGAAATGGTCCCCGAACACGTGGGACTGCTTACTACTAGACCCCGAGCCAATCACGGCCCGGCACTGCACGGTATTATTCCAAACGCCGTGATGCATTTCCGTTAGAAATCAAAACTACACTGTCTGGGTACTGAAGCTGTGTGCAGACTACAAGCCACAGTGTAGATACTCAAAAGACGGCGCGTGGTGTATAATTATAGGCATGGTATGCATACCATTACCCCGCGATTTGATGCATATGATGCCTTAGGCCCGACTTGTCCTAGCTAGGTGGAGAACCCCGTGATATTCTTCCTTGAAGTTTGACTCTCTCGCTCGTACGGAATAACGGAACTGGCTTCTGGCTTGTTCGTCTCGTTCTGTCTCTTTCCCATCTAATAGTGAGCGGCGACAACATGCAATTTCTCGACTCGTTCCGCGACATCTCGGCTCGAAATCTCGACCTCTTCAAGAGACAGACGCTGGCCGAGATATCAGGCTCGCTAGGCGATCTGGGAACGTTTCTACCCATTGCCATCGCCTTGTCCGTAAATGGCACTGTTTCGCTATCCAGCACCCTGGTATTCTCAGGTGTTGCCAATATCTTGACGGGTCTCTTCTTCGGCATCCCGCTGCCCGTACAGCCCATGAAGGCCATCGCGGCTGTCGCCATCGCCAACTCATTCAGCAATGGCGAGATTGCCGCTGCCGGCATCTTTGTGGCCGCCTGTATTTTTGTTTTCAGTGCTACCGGCTTGCTGCGCTGGTTCGCCAATGTGATCCCAATTCCTGTTGTGAAGGGGATTCAAGTCGGGGCTGGTCTGTCCTTGATTATTGCTGCTGGTGGCAGTATCTCCAATCTCGGCTGGGTGACCCCTTCTTGGGCCGATAATCGTATCTGGGCAATCGTTGCTTTCGTATTCTTGTTATCGATAAACTATATCCACCAAATCCCCTATGCACTGGTTGTGCTTGTGGTCGGCCTTGCGTTTGCCATAGTCCGCGCAGCAAAGCTCAATGACTTGCCCAACTTTATCCCATGGATACCAGTCTTGTCTATTCCCATGGACAGCGATTGGCGCGTGGGCATTGTGAACGCTGGAATCGGACAGCTGCCGCTCACCACGTTGAACTCCATTGTTGCCGTAGTTCACCTAGCCAGTGATTTATTACCGGACGTCAAGACGCCATCCATCACCTCGGTAGGATTAAGCGTTGCTGTCATGAATCTAGTGAGCTGCTGGTTCGGCGCAATGCCAGTTTGCCACGGATCCGGGGGGTTGGCAGCACAGTACCGCTTCGGAGCACGATCGGGGTCTAGTGTTGTATTTTTGGGGATTTTGAAGTTACTCATCGGATTCTTTTTCGGAAATACACTTGTTGGATTGCTGAAGTCATTTCCTTATGCCTTCCTCGGCATCATGGTTATAGCCGCGGGACTTGAGCTTGCCAGTGTAGGCGAGAGTCTCAATACGACTGGAGCTCGCGACCTGAAGAAAAGTCACCATACGAGCATTTTGGGTGGTAATGGCCAGGAAATCGGGCCCGTATTGAGCGAAGATGAGCGGAAAAGACGGTATACGGTGATGATGGTCACAATTGGGTTTTTGGTAGGATTCAAGAATGATGCCGTTGGATTTCTTGCAGGATTGCTGTGTCATGGAAGCTTTCAGCTATCAAGCTACATACAGAAGCTGCAGGCAAGACGACAAGAAGGCCGGATTCAGCTGACGGAATGAGACAAGTGTCAAGGCTGCATGCGACAATGATTGACGGGTCGCATCTATTTGTTTTGTTGTACAAATTGATCGGCTGTATAAAATCAGAGCAATTTTCATGAGGACAGGGTATATGGTCTGGATCGATCTCTCTATCTATATATGCATGACAAGCTTACCCAGGTACAAAGCCAAAATATTGTCTCACTCGCTTATGCTTTGAGTAATTGCAAATAAAAAAACATAAAAAAAAAACCAAATGCTTACACTTACCTGTCTGATAAGGCGACAAGATAAGCCTTTTCGGGACATCGGCAGATTCCGCCTCAACCCCGCAGAAGGCCACGCGGGAAATTCTACGACTATAAATACCTCTCCAATTCCATTAAGAGCACAAAAACCGGAAATAAATTAGTCCAGTGCCATACTTACGTCCACCATGCCAGGCGCCATCACCACCGACGTGCTCACGCCCGAGCAACTCCAATTCTTCAACGAGAATGGCTTCCTGGTCATTCCCAACTACCTATCCGCAGAAGAGATTCAGTCGCTTCTCTCAACCACGCACGAGCTTTTGGACAACTTCTCGCTCGACACTCACCCCATGACTCGCTTCACCACCGGTGACGACGGGGATGACAGCGTCAAGCATGTCGGGGACGATTACTTCCTCTCCTCTGGCGACAAAATCCACTTCTTCTTCGAGCCCGATGCAGTAGCTCCCCCCGCCGAGGGCGAGAAAGTGCCCAAATTGCTCAAGCCCAAGAACCTTGCAATCAACAAGATTGGACACGCCCTTCATAGCAAATCCGCTCCCTTTGAGAAAGTAACCATCTCTAAACGAAACGCGGCTATTGCGCAGTCCCTTGGTTTTCAGGATCCGCGATGTTTGCAGAGTATGGTGATTTGCAAACAGCCGAGTATTGGCGGTCCGGTGCCGGCGCATCGTGATTCGGAATTCTTGTATACCTCGCCCCCGTCCGCGGTCGGGTATTGGGTAGCTTTGCAGGATGCGACGCCGGGAAATGCGTCGTTGGGGATGTGGAAGGGTTCTCATACGGGTAAGAAAGGTGGTCATATTCGTCGACGATTTGTTCGTGCCGAGGAAGGTGGTACGACATTTGTGGCGAATGATGGTCCTAGTCTGCCCTTGGGCAAGGACGAGGAAGCAGAGCAGACTGTAAATGAACAGTCAGAGGGTGAGGATTTTGAGGTCTTGAATGTCAAGGCTGGTGATTTGGTTCTTATTCACGGCAACGTGCTGCACAAAAGTGAGAAGAACACGAGTGACAAGAGCCGCTATGCGTATACCTTCCATGTCATTGAGGGGGCAGAGGGATGGACATATGATGAGCGGAATTGGCTGCAGCCGCCAAAGGAGGGATTTTCGCGCTTGACTGATGCTTACTCTCGGGCATAGTACATTGTACATCTAAGATTATATATACAGGTCAAATTCTACTGATTCTACTTTCTCCTGTGTAGAAGCTTTTTGCCAAGAGTTGATTTGACAGCTATACATACATCTGAAACTAAGAACGTCATTGCAATGCTCGCTAATCCTGAAACATGTACACGCAAAGAACGCAGACACGAGACAAGAACGCTTCCAAGCTTGTGACTACGAAACCAGGAAACGACACGAATATTGTAACAAAGCGCTCAGCAAAATGCAACAGAATGAGTGACTAGAGTGAGAAGCAACATAATGCTTGAACGCGACAAAACAAAGCAAAAACCAAAAAACCAAAAGAACAAAAAACAAAACTAATCCTCTGCATGATACACCTTCCCTGTCACCGGATCAATAGCCCCTTCATCAAAGTCCGAACGATGATGCGACTGATAACTCCCACTAATATCGTCCGCTGGCGTGTTGGTAGCAGACACATTGGTATCCTGAGACCTAAAGCTCGAGAGAGAAGTATCCAGCAAAGACAAATTCTGATTCGTACTTGTATCCACTGACGAGGCACCTGTCGAGGTAAGCCCGTAGTTATAGTCTTGATCCGTCATATCTTCCACCACTCGTCGCGACGAACCTTCACCCGAAATACCACTGCCGGTGCCGGGTCTGGTGGAAACTAGTTCCTGGCCTGTACGGTCATAGCGTCGCTCTTCGATAACTGCTGGCTCACCGAGATCCTGGTGCGCGGTGCGTACAATTGTGTTGCCGGATGGGTCGGTGTGCGACGTCGTTGTGAAGCGGTGGCCAGTCGTTTCGGTGCCGGTTGTTGTGCTCGTCGCGGAGGTGTAGTAGTACGAGGAGGTGGTGTCGGACATTTTATCGAAATACTGCCTAGGAAGATTGCTGACAAAAACCACAAGAAGCAAAGAAACAAATCACGGCTTCAACGCTAGGATCAAATGCAATCAAAACGAAAAGCAAGGAACCGCAGTAACAAACCTAAGCACAAAAGAACAAGCAAAAATCCGACATGCTGAAGAAAAGAAAGACAGAGGAAGACTCAGGAATACGTCCATTTATATAGGCCTACGTCTTCCTACCTACCCCATGGTGGCAACGAGGTTCAACCACGGACGTAGCTTAGCCCTAACCTTATTGCGAAGCCTAAAATGACATCAATGGACCACAAGCTCGCCTCCCATAAACCATACAAAACAAAGCTAAAGATTACAGAGCTGAATATGATTAGTTACTTACATTTGGATTCCGAGTCGGGAAGAACCCTTTCTCATCTGGGGATTGAATTGTGTGCCGAGTCAAGTCGTCGGACATGTATTCCGGCGCTGGGGAATTATAAATGCCTGCTCCACAATGCAATAATACATTTCTTTGAGTGGAGGGAGAAGAGGCAAGACGAAATACCTTGTTGCACGGTGCCATGGAAGATCATTAAATGGCATACGCCACTATCAACTCTTTGCTTGGCTCAGACAGTAGGTTACTACGTCACACCTTCAATGCTTACAAATGCTATATCCTGCAGCTTTTTGATCATTGATTGATAGCGAATATCTCATAGATATCGATACAGGAAGTCTAGGTTTGACGAATTAAGTGCGTCTAACCGTGGCGTGCACGAGCCAAAGTTCCGCGCAAACTCCTCATCAAACAAGTACGGCTCTGATAGGTCGATGTCGACTTCGTTGCTGGGTAATGATAACAGTGTCATGTCAGACCAGGCCTGTGGCCGTTCCTCATTTAGTACTTCTTGTTGCGACCCCTGTCGTTCCTCTTCGTGCTGCTGCTGTTGCGGTGGTGGCGGCGACGGGGGCGGTTGTTGTTCTTCAGCGATCATAGATGAAGAACCTGGTTTGATTGTATCAGGAAACAAGGCGATATTGCGCTGGACCTGCCTCGATGGCGTTGTGGCATCGCTTGCAATCGTTTCGACGTTCGTGTTGGCATTTATGTTGGGGTTTGTGATGGCAAAATTAGTGGTACCAGTGCCGGTCTTATTGCTGCTGCTGCGTATGCTATGGTTATTCTTCTCTTCCGACAACTGCAAGTACTCCGCTGTGCTCTCGTCGAGGCAATGAAAGAAAATCTCCAAGACCCAGTAATTCAAATCCCAGGATTTCTGCAGCTCTTTGAGTCCAAGCAAGCAAAGTTTAGCCCGGTGTTCGGCAAGTTTACGTTCTGTCCCTTCCGAGCGCGAGAATTGCACTGTGTGGATACAGAGGGCGGCGAATATGTTTGTAATTCTGTTTGTTGCTCGTCAACTCAGTCTTTGTCTGGTACCAATGCGTCAATCAACTTACATATGCACAATGCCGTGCTCAATTAAATTTTGTGATAGCATGTCCTCGAGAATCCGCGTGCATTGACATGCAGCTTGAAGGGCTAATTTTCCTTCCTTTTTCCTTTGTTCGTCGGACGGATCGAGGTAGGACGGCCGGTAGAGTAGTATATATAGATAACTAGTCACAGCATAGTTAGAGGGAGAGTCCGCTAGTCTGCAATAACCTGATGTTGAAGCAACTGACTTATAAGTGATGTTGACAATCCCCGCAAAGTACATAGTATCATGCTCCGCTGCCTCCGAAAGTTTGAGTTCTGGTGGCAATTCCGACTCCCATTGCACCAATCGTGCTTTCAGCTTTTCGCGTTCGGATGGATCGTATCGAAGTCTGCCGGGTAGATATGCTGCCCATACTACCTCGCGAACTGTTCGCATGCAATGAGTTTATCTCTGCTTTTTATTCGAACGAAATTACGGAGATGTCAACATACGCAACCTTGATGCCCTCGCCATCTGAATTATATATAAAGTATGCTCCGGTTTCTGTGTTCCGAATATGGCCCTATTCCCAACGAACCCTGCTTCGTCAAAATCTGTCTCGTCAAGCATTGGGATGTCACAGTCCTCGTCCCGTATTCGAGGTGGCAGACCGTAGGCGGCAGCAACTTGCTGGTCGCGTATCTATAGGAAGTATCAATCAATAGCTGATACGGAAAGTTTTCGTGGCAAACCTACATAAAGAGACCAGAAGATCCGTTTTCGCACACTCTTCTCCTTGGAACTCAGAAGGGATAATTTTGACCTGGGGGCAAAGTCAGCCGGTTTCAATTCACGATAACTCGAATTCTCACTTACAACATGTGCAAGCCCCCGGTCTGAGCAAGACTAATGGCTGCTCCCAACCAATAACGCGTATCCTTCTCGTGGCCGGGGGTACTACGCCAAAAACTCAACAGAAACACAGCCTGCAATTTCGAAAGCGAGTCTGTCTCACAATCCGCATCGAAAATCTCCTTGGCGCGGTCATAAAAGAGGAACTTGGTCTCATAACGGTCCCAAAACCCGGCACTACGGAGTGCTTCGTCACTGCAAAGACTGGCACCAATAAAGAGCATAGATTGCAGCAGCAGAGGTGATATAGTCTTGTCGTTGCACGACTTGCTGACTTCCACTCGGTCAACGATGGGGAAGCAAGGATGAAACCACTCGAAATAGGCCCGCAAAAACATTTCGCAGACGGATGGTTCGGGTAAGTCAAATGCTCCCTCGCGCGTCAACTGTTCGATCTTCCGTGCTCTGCGACTGGCGAAGAGCGAGAAACTGACCGACCTTCGACATACAACCTCAGGGATTGGATACTGCCATCGGATCTTGTTTGCCTTTTGGGTTACCGACAACCCACCGGCTCCTAGAGGCTTGCTCCCTTCGTCGACGACACAGTTCAGAGGACTGGACTCGCCGAAAAAGACAATCTGATCCAGTTCGCTTTTGACCTGTACCTGCTGCGGTGGTGGTGGTGCATACGCTGGGCTGCTGTGACTTGCGGGTGAAAGTATGTCTCTCTTGGTCATTGAGGGATCTTCCTGCGCAGTTGCTATATTTCTGATAGCTTCCACCTCATGTGAGTGTGCAGGAGCTGCATTTGGATGTGGGCTGACGACATATCGAGGATATCTGTGATCAACGTTAGCATCCATCCATCACCCAGGCAGAAAATATAGAAAAAGAGAATACATACTTCCCTCTCCTCGACACTCCAATCTCGCAATGCGCCCCAGATGCCCTGCAATTATCACAAGGCTGCCTCTCGACAACATTACATTTGACCCGTCGAGCATTGCAAGTGATGCAAGCTCTTTTTGCGCGCGTTCTTGTCACACGTTGCTGAGCCTGGCCCTTTGAACTCATGGTCTTCCCTGTCTTCGTCTTTCTGCTCGTGATATCTATAAAAATATATACAAAATCATATCAATCGAAAGGGCACAGACCCATGCACGCCTTGGTTACAGAGTGGTTGGCGATCATGCACATGTATTGATTGGTATGTCGCACAAACTGTCCGCCAGCCAGACCAATCGAGAAAGCGGCATTTGTAAAAGGACCCCTTTGGAAAAACAACCCAAGAAAAAAGCGAGTCGAGTAAGCCAAATACAAATCCGGGGAAGAAATAAAGGCTATATAGGTAAGAAGTAGTCGGATTGGAGGAAGTCTTCGGCTATCATATAGCCGAACCGGGCTGATTACTAAGTTACCCTTCTTACTCGTCATTCGACTTCGAGGAGGATAAATTTATTATTGAACAGAGAGATAGTTAACAAGACAATTGCTGATATACAAATTATCTCAGACCTCGATTGACCTTTATACAAATAACACCTATATGCTAGCTATGCCATTCTAAACTCCTATCCATGAAGGGTATCCAAAACCGGACAACTTTTCTTTTTTCTTCTTTCTTCGTCTTGACGACCATCACGATACTTTGAGCATGTCCAACATGCCTTTCGTTTGCCACGCTTGCTGTGCCCAGTCGACCTCTTCGCGTACTCGTCTGTGAAGCTTGATGATCTGTGCATCCACATCGGCTGACTGACCGAGGTTGCCAGAGTATATGTCTAAAATGTTCATTCCCACTTCGACGCATATACCGACAAGACGTGGTTCCATGATGTGTTTATACACCCATTTTAGAATCGGTTGCAGAGTGACCTCGTCGCGGTTCATCAGTGCAGTCCGTAGAGCTGAACGGTGCCGCAATGCCGTGATCAGCGTCAACTGTGTAGTCTTGTCTCTGCCGTCCAGCACTCGGTCAAGGGCTTCAGAATACCTAGCATGACGAAGATCCAATTCCCAATCAGACTCCTTCTTTCGCTTTTTGCTCTCCCGTCCTTGAATGATGATATCGACCCCTTCACCGAGGAAGTCATGGCCGCGTATGCGTTTCTCATAACCCCGACCACGGGCTTTCTTTGCTTCTTTCTTATCAAACTCTTCGATTCTACCTTCAATCAATGCTTGCATTTCCTTGCGGCGCTCCTTTTCGCGAATTTTCTGCTCGCTGGAAAGACGAGTCTTGATTGAAAGAAGACCAGACTGCATACCCACAGCAATATGCTTATCCTCCCGCTCGGGACCAGATGTGAGGACACTCAAAGACAAAATCGGAGATGGATACTTGGAACCAGCAACTACAGACCATTCTGTCGTATCGAAAATCTTCAAATGGCCGTCTAAGGCTCCACTCACAACCCGCTCTCCATTAGAAGCCAAAGAAAGCGAAGTGACCGTCTTCTGGTGGCTTTTGATCATGTGTAGCGGCTTGCCTCCAACCACATCCAAGACTGCGATTTGATTGTCCGCAGCAGCCAGCACCGTAGTACCGGAAGGCATAGGTAAGACGGACTCAATTGCAGCACCCATCTGGAAAGTCATCACTGCACGACCATCGACACGGGGATCCCATAGTCGTACTGTTCTGTCATAACTTCCAGATACGACCAACCCGCTCGAAGCCATGGAACCTGGTAGGAATGCTCCACTTCGGACATAGTCCGTGTGTCCAGTAAAAGTCCTTTCGCTATTTTCGCTTGGTAAACTCCATAGTCGGACTGTACGATCATCGCTTGTGCTCAGTAATGTTGTCGGGTCGCTGGGTGAAAACTTAGTAACCCACACGGGCTGCTTGTGATCTTTCCATGTTTTCAAAATAGCACGAGAGTTGACGTCAAAGACTTGGATGGTCCCCGTGTCATCACCGACTGCGATGATGCGCCCGTCAGGTCGGACATCGGTGCCCCGCGCCGTGTCGTCGAATCTCGTGATCGTCCGGAGAAGTTTTCGTGTCCGGATGGAGTAGATCTGGACTCGGGCGCCGGTTGTGACGGTGAAGACATCGGGAGGTTGGGCAGCGGAAGGATAGGCGGATAAAGACGACGGGATTGATGGCTGTGTAATGAGGTTGATTGGGTTGTTTGATGGCGAGGAGACGAGGAGAGGGTTTTTGAATGACTTCCAGAAAATTTGTTCGCTCGTCAGCTTGGTCGATGGCAGCTGCGGGAGCTTGACCTGGGGAAGAGGGAGCACTGGCGCGGCCATCGCGACCAGGAGTGGTGTTAATAGAAATGGTAGACCACTGTATAATTGTTGTATAAAGTTATATTAAGAGATATAGACAAAGCGCCTGGTGGTCTTGCTCTCTGTCGGGGTTGGATGATTTTTCCCGCTCCCAGAAAAAGTTGGCGATAACAAACGAAATTATCGGAGACCCACTCTGCGGCTCGGGCCATTCACAGCGCAGCATTCTGTCCAAAGACAGAATGCTTAACGACCCTCCTGCGGTCAAAGTTGAAGAACAAGTATGCGTTTCTATCGATTGTTACATGAGTTACCGACTACTGCTGGACTAACTACATGCTGGCGTGAGCAACAAACTCGGGACGTCTTCAGCGCGATTGGTCTCCACAGATGGATGGCTGGCCCAATCGAAGCGTATCGTATTTGTCATCAGTCTCTCTTGTTATTCAGCATGTTAAACTCATGAATTGATTGACATGGTTCTCAGTCTTGATTCTTCAATGGTGTGTGATATGAAGTATATAACCATAGCTCAGGATGGAACGCTTCCCAGAATGCAACGAAGTACCCGGTGACGGACCGTTTGCAGTCTAGGAACTGTATCAGCACGAACAGTGAGTATTGAGTAGCTAGCCCTTTCACGATTATTATTCTCTTTATGCTTATGAGTCATTCAAGCAGCACCGCTTCGAATCCAGCTCAAAGCCAGACACAGCACTGTCAAAAAAGCGGAACTGATGGCCGCTCAAGACCTCCATGCGGAAGCCATTACTTGGCTTACGGATTTCCATAAACATATGGATTCCCTCAATGCTGAAGTCGCCGTTCCCAAATTCTTCGCAGAGGACTGCGTCCTGTCCTTCGCCGAAAACCCGCCCATCACTGGTGTCGCTAACATCAAGGACTTTCTCAGCGCCCAATACCAGTATCTGGAGAGCATGCACCACACAATCAAGCGTGTAGACGTCGTGTCGGACCGAATATACCAGGAAGCCGATATCCGTTATGTGGTCAAGGGTGATCCGGAACGGAAGGAGATTTTGATCAAGGGCATTGCACTGGTTGGGAAAAGGCCCAAGCAGGAGAAAATGAACACCTTCACCGTCTATTTGGACCCAACGGCATTGAAAGAGAGAATCGCGGCAGTTGTTGGCGGGGAGATTTAGGGTGTTTGCTTTCTTCTTTGGTAGTGTACGAGCATTTGCTTGCAAACATGTTGTCTTTCACCTTAAGCGGTTGAAGGGGAAAATCTGTGTCGTGTCTCCAACCGCATATATCAGGGACTATGATAGCATGAAGACAAATAATTAACTATACGTCCGACGTGCTTACATTGCCTTGTAAGACACGTGCAGACTAATTTCAGAGCGTACGGCGAGACCAGAAGGGCAGCATAAGATATTTCTCCGTACAACTAATTGTACAGCTACCTACCCCTGCATAAAGCGGTGGGCCTGACAAGGGCTGCAAATTGGATCACGTGTCACTGCTGTGGCTGGGCGAATCAGCGGCGTTGGCGGTGCAACAGGGGAGTGGCGGCTATTGGCCAATAGACAGCAGCAGATCGCTTGAAACTTTGGGCCGCGGCAGCCTTGCTGGTTTGTTTGTTCCTCTATTGGCAGGCTTGCTTGCTGCGACCTTGCCAGATCTGGCATAGTGTATCACCTCAGTCCCCGTTTCCTGTTCCCTGCCACCAGTGGCAGTGACGCACCGCCCACCCACAGCATTCCCAGCCTCCCCGCCCTTCCAATCCCGATTAGGCCTGAACAAAACAAGCCCCCCCACCATAGTAGAAAGCTGCGCCTGCCAGGTTTCTCTCCTTCTTGCATTCCTGAATCTCTTGTTTTCGTCAATCGTCCAATCTTTGCTAGACTGTGCCTGCTCAATTGACATTGATAGCTTGTGTTTCAGTGCGGATTCGCAAAATGCTCGATATCGAACTCATCGAAAACAGATAGGCAGCGAAATTAGTATCACCAGCAAAGACAAGCACAACAACACCGAGTCAAGCTTCTTTTTCGTTGAAAGCACCACACAATCGCCAAAATGCCATCCCACGGCCACACGGCAGGGATTTTCGCAGACATGTCTGTTGACGGTCCTCAAATCGGTACTCTAGTGGTCATCTTTGACAGAGCCAAAAACCTGCCCAATCGAAAAACAATGGGCAAACAAAATCCTTATGTTGCTGCCCGCTTAGGAAAGGAGGCAAAGAAGACTGACACGGACATGAGAGGCGGCCAAACTCCCAAATGGTAAGCAGTTCTTACGTTCACACAAGCATGATGTCGGATGGACAGTCAGCTAACCCTTCACCAGGGACCAGGAAATCAGATACACCGTACACGAATCACCAGACTACCTTCAGCTGAAAGTATCTGTATTCAATGATGACAAGAAGACGGACTTGATCGGAGAAACATGGGTCGATCTCAGAGGTGTCATCATCCATGGCGGAGGCCAGAGCGATTCCTGGCATGAACTGAAATTCAGAAATAAGTATGCAGGTGATATACGCTTGGAGATAACATACTACGACTCACGTCCAGAAGATGAAGCCGTCATTGAACGGAGGACTGTGGTCACAGAGAAAACCCAGACGAAGCATACCAATAATTCGACGTCTAATGGATCTTCGTCACTCTCAGGGCCTCGACAACCACGTCCAATCAAGCGCCGACCTCTGCCAAATAATCCCACTGGAGCTACCCCATCCCCAAGTGTACCTGTGGCTCCTGCCCAAGACTATTCGGCCCCAATCCCGGCTCCGGCTCCGGCTCCAGCCCCAGCCCCAGCACTTCCGCCGCCAACAAGCAATCCTATTCGGCCAGGCCCCGAACATTCCCCTGTTCCTGCACCCTCTCATCGGCAGACTGATGCTCGGCCATCATCAAGGCATAAAGAGATACAGTTACCCCGAAACCCCCCGAACAATCAGTATGAGTATGATGCACCTGGAGGTGATAATATGGAACCTCATGACCTCCATGATCAGCGTGTGGAGCATTACAGTACTCAACCTCGGCCTCAACATACAGAGCATCATGATACTGTTCATAGAGAATCTCACAGAGAATCTCACCGACAGGCACACCATCCTGTTTCAGAAGGCTATGCGGGAACCTATGACCCGAATAACTATCAGGGAAGAGGCTCTTACGAAGCTGTTGGCCACTATCAAGCTCAGCAGCATCCTACTCATAATTCTCTTGACAACAGCCGGTATAGCGCCGAGCCAACTCCCTACTTACCGGATAGGCAGGCTTCTCAGATGCCACCTCAGGAGTATGCAATAAGTTCTTTGCCCAACGAAGAAGACGATCACCATCGATATAGTATGATGCCCGCTCACCATGACCCACGCAGGCGGAGTCCTTTACGCCAGCTCACTGCTCCCGAAGATGATCGACATACGTACGCTGCTATGCAGCCAACCGTTGAAGATGAGAACGATGAGGGGTTACCTCCGCCGCCACCAGTTCATAGAACGTCTGTCAGCACCGCCATGTCGCATCCCGCAGCAGGAGCGGCTTCATACAAACCCTATTCTCCACAGGATTATACACGCTTGCAAACCGATTATCGTGATATGCATAGGCCTGCAGTCGTGTCTCCTGGAACTGTAGCACCGGCAGACCAAGATTTAGCCATTTCGATGCCAAAGCCATCTCAAGGCCATTCAAGGTCTCTCATTACAGAACCGTCAAACTCGCCAGTAGTCCCGCCTAGTCTCGCTGCTGGCTACAATGCGGCGAGTGAGCCGGTTGATAATGGACCATCAGCTCCGCTAGAGCGCCATTACACCCGTGTACCAGCTAGTCTGCCTATGCCAGCTGCTTCAGACTATATGCAAAACGTTCCGCCACCTCAGGTGTCTGCCATTCAACCGTTGAGGACTTCACCAGCACCAATTATGGATGGCCATATGCAATCACGATCTAGGTCAATCAGTCCTAACCCGCGCCCATTATCGTACAGGAAGTCCGTCAGCCCTCGTCCCCCGTCCAGAGACGAGCGTGAGGCACCAAGCGTACCATTTTCTCCCGACTCGTTCGATGCCTTCAACCCAAGACGGTCTCATTCTGCCACGCGGGAGAGCGGATCCCGCTACGCGACGCCCGAGCGGGAACTCCAACCTAACCAGCCGCCTAAAGCAGATGTAGAAGATAGTCCGATTATTGGAGATGACGGGCGGGTCATCGATCCTTCTGATCATTTACCTTCAGAGACTTGGGCACCCGAGCCGGAGAAGAAGAGCAAAAAGCCAGATGTTGTCATTCGATTCAAACACAATCCACAGAGCGCCTCGTTCAGTGCCCGGCCATCACCCAGAGAACAGCCGCAGCAGCACCGGTCGGTTCCTACAACACCAGACTCTGTCGTTCGTGCAAGCTTCAGACCGCGAAGCGCCTACGTGGCACAGCCAGCAAGATTATCATATGAACGCCGTCAGAGTCCTGGCACGATGGTGACAACTTACACTCCTCCTCGACCAGGCAGCTCAGCTCGGGACCAGGATCCATATTCACAACCGTATCATCCAAACATACCAACAACATATAATACTCCCCCACGGCGCCGATCAATATCTCCAAACCCACACGCGCAGTCATCGCCGATCTACTCTTATGAAAGTAGTGGGCCTCCTCTTCCAGCCAAGGTACCGATTGCGGCGCCAGTCTCAAACGGGTACATGGGTGCTGGGATGGAAGCGCTCAGCCAGGAGATACAGTCAATAGACATTGGCCCGACAGGATATGACGCAAGTCGCGGAGTTCGGAGATATGCACCCCGCGTGCCGGTAAGCGGTGGCGGCGGCTATCGATAGGATTGAATTTACGCGGTGACACCTATAAAGAACGATTTGCCCGATCGAGTACCGACAGGTAAGTAGTATTATTGCCTAGGCTGTCACCGCAATTTCGGTGTTACCAGGTTGGACTGGCGTAAAGAATGTTTGTTTATGTATGCATTTCTGTTTTGGTTTGCTTGGCCTGTATCTATAGTCAAAAGACTCATTGATGAATATGACTTAATACCCGTGTTATGTTCTAAGCACGCTTCATTCATAAAAATGCCGATGATAATGGCAACAATAAAGAAGTTCTCTGTATATTCTCATAATCGCTCCACAGGATCCACAGACAGATGCATGCAATACAATTAAGCTGCATAAATGTGGGCCAGCTGCAGCCCTATCGCTAGTGCATGCACGCACTAGTAACGTTACATGCCTGACAGCTGGTCTGTGCACCTGCTTTGCCCTAACACCGCCTCTCTCAATCCTTATGCAGACATTAACTGGCTATGAGCTGTCAGTCAATAAGCAATCAAACAATGAAATAGCATTTCTTCATTTCCACCTTTGTCTTGAAATTGTCATTGTTGTCTGTTACATGGTTATTTAATCATGTCAGCCAGGTGCTGGTACCTGGTGCCTCAGAATCATACTATATTTCCTAGAGATTATTTGTCATGGATACATTGTGGAATAAATCATGTGCTCTGTAACTAGTAATTACAGCTATTTCCTTTCTCTGTGCTCATATTAGGCTACTACTGTCGACATATCGAGATCTGCTTCTAGCCTTGTGTTTGTCTCTGAATGCCATTCATCTGTATGAAAGAGAGGTCTTTTCGCCACTTCTTGTTGCCTACCTCTTATTTTATGCTTTCCATTGCCCTTGTCATGCCTGATACATGGGGTAGTTGCCTAACGCGGACGAACTCCAAGACTTCGATGGGAGATTGGAGATGATCCAGTGTCCGGCAATATCTAGGATCAAGCGAGATAGCTCGTGGACTTTCTTTATTATCTTTACTTTTGAGCCGAGTTATTGATTTAGAATACTGACTGGTATCGTAGAATACTAAATAAAAAGGAAAACGAATCTCTCGATGTGAGCATATCCTGCGGGGTTGGCCCGCTAATGTTTTGACATCGATATTTGATATCTATTTGATGACGCAAGAAGGATTTCTGCTATCAAGTGGACATTTTTTCTTGATGATATTTGGAATTTTGTATCTGGAACCTCGTGCTCCTTTTATCTGATGTGGTAGATGTTTTATTCATTTGATTTGAAGATAAGACTTGATGCACACAATGAGGAGAGGAATAGACAGACAGAAAGATAGACTTCAGGTTATCAACAAGGTGAAACATCTAGAATATCACAGGCGCAATAGGCAGCAGCATATAGCTCTGAAATAATAGCAAGTTAACCAGTAAATAGCGCTCAGAGGAAATCTTCGATAAGTAATGTGCCCGGCATCCAAATGCATAACCGATATGCCAGCTTTGCACAGTGCCTCGCGGAGGATTCCCTCCAATAGTCTGTCCATGTTCTGTTTGCACTCAATAATGCTGCCAACAAGAAATATCTTTAATAGGAAATATTAGGGACTTTCCCGTGCCTTCTTTGGTCTTCAACAATGTTTGTTATTGTTTATGAGCGGTAGTAGTCAATCTCCACCCTGCCATCCCAACCAAATTCGTGGATTATGACGGACATCTGTAGTTAGTTATTGGATTTTACCGCCATCCTGGATTGCCCAGTTAAGTTAGTTGGCTCTCTGGTATGAGGTAGGAGGGGGTGTTATTCCTCTTTCAGCGAGTCTTCTCCTTTTGCTCGTTCTCTCCATCCTTCGCTTCTACTTCCCTCTTGTGCTAGGCTTTGACTTTGCTGGTTATCGTTGAAAAACATCAGAGTACATGCCTGGTTATCACACCACATGAAAGCATTTCACGAAGGATATCATCTTCTGACTGCTATGTGTGCATACTCATCCTGAGCTTCATCGTCACGACTGCTACCAACGCGAGATCCTTTGATCTGCACACCCTTTTTCATTCCTCTTTATCCTTCATCTGAGGCATATTCGCCGTCCTTTCCCCTCCCTTTTGAGGACCTGTTCCAATTAGGAACCGCCCGCCCTGAGTCAGCTAGGACTATTTCAGGGAGAACCTAAAAAGGAGTCATATTTCTCGCTTCTTCGCTGCTCTTTTCTCACCATGGACCTCGAGCGATCCATCTTGAATAAAACCAACTCTACATTCAAACATACCCTCGCTTCTGACAATTATACTCATCCCTCTACTACATCTTCTGTCGACGACGCTATCTTGTCTCATTTTCGCGTTGACACTTCTCCGATGCAGTCGCTTCCGGAGGCCACGAAGTCGCATATTGAGGTTGATAGACATGGCGTGAGTTCTTCGAATTATCAGCCTCGGGATGACGAGTATCATCACAATGATAAACTTATGGCTATGGCTGAAGTGGTTTCTGATGCTTGTTACTCTCAACAAGCCACCTATTATCCTGCCGCTGCTGTCACTCACCATCATAACCACCAACAGCATCAGAATCATACTTCTGGAATCACATCTCGCTCCTACCATTATCATCTTCCCACCCCGGCTACGTCGGCTGAGGATTACAATTCTCCGGATATCATTCCGTCTGCACCAGATGTACCGATTCCGGCTGCAACTCCGGCCGAGGTTCCAGTTGAAGAGGTGTATGATGAAGATATGACAGAGATTGAGCCCGAGCAGGAAAAACACGAGGATGGTAACAACAACAACAGTGATAGGGCACTCATACTCGCGGGCAATCGAGTTGCCGCCAATAGACAGCACCCGGAGGACAATGGCCGGTTTGTCCCCGTATGCCAATACGAAAACCCATGCAGGGAGAACCTCGTTTTCTCCAACGCCTTTTGCCGGAAGACAGTCTCGCATATCTTTGGTCGTAACAAGACTTGCACGCAGCTGATTCCAGACGAGCTCTGGATCTGGTATTGCCGGAAACACTACCAGCGCTGCCGCTACAGGGTTGTGAACTGGGCACTGCAGCAGGTCGTCATTGTGCGCGAGACGCTGGACAATTTCGAGAAATGGGGGAAGATTCAATGCTTCAGCATAACTCTACGCAAGCGTGAACAGGACCGCAATCGCACGAACCCTAGCCGCAGCAATACAGCCAATGTGCCGGCCTCTCGACGCCGGACCACCGGTCGAATCACGGCCAGCAGGGCTCAGACAATCTTGCACAAAGCACGTACCACTACTGCCGCTGCTACTGGTCGAAGTGCTTCTTCGCAGGAACCAGAAATCACTTCTACCGGCCGCCGTAAGAGCTTCCCCGTCAACGTCGCGTCTCCCGTGCCTGAATTCCTGTATGCGTATCTGGGCGAGGATAAATCGTTTGATGATATTCGACACATCATCGACGAGATTGGAGAATATATCCGGTTTGAGCACGAGTTCAACAAAAAGGAAGTTTCATTCCCGGATATTGAGATCCTGCCTGTTTTCACCTTGGAATTCTTGCATTCCAAGGGTAGGACCACGGATCAGTTGTCGGACAACAACCATTCTCGACGCCGGCGTGCTCGCGATGTGCGCTTGGGCCGTATCCATCACTCGGCTTCGGCTTCTATTTCTGCGTCGAGGCTCATCCGCAACACTCATCACCATAATGATATACGTGAAGTTCAATATCGACCGTCTTCTATTCTTCCTCCGCTCCACCCTCTTCCACTCCCTCTTCCTCGTGCAAATCTGCACTCGCATCATGCTGCCCTATCTGCTAATCCTCACTCACAGTCGAACCATGATGCTCAAACTCATGGCCATGCCCATTTGCCCCCGTTGGCCCCTCCTCCCCCTGTCCACATGCACATGCCATTTGGTGAATTCTAGTTAAATGTGGATCAAAGCTCTCAGATCCGGTTTCCTGTTTTTGTTGACTTCAAATCCTTCATTTCGGTTTCATATCTCTCTGTCAGGCATTTCTTGAACACTCAAAATCATAAAACAAACAAACAAAAAAAAAAGATACCCTAGTGCCATTTATCGATTTCTTCACTCTTTTTCCTTTTCTTTTCGCACGTTTAATGTTTACTGTCTTCTTGTCCTGTCCTGTCTTTTGTCTCCTTTCTCTGTCCCCAGTCTATATCTGCTTCTGTATTAGTACCCTCTTTTTTCTTCTCTTTCATTCCCTCGGGTTGTACGAATACATGCTATTATCGGGGCGTTGGCTTGTCTGGGTTATTCTCCTATGCTTCTTCTTATTAGCCCTATTGCGTACTTTTGTTTCTGCAAATTCTGTTCTTCCTTCGGTTGATAAAGATTATGGTCTGGTCTGGTCTGGTCTGTTCTTGTGACTAGGCTTAACTTTGTGAGATTGTCAATATGAGATTGTCTTTTCTTTCGTACCGGATTAAGGGTAGATTTTCGTCTGGCGTAGGTACCTACCTGCATAGTCTAATGTATGATCAATTCGAAATGACAGAAGACAACCATTGATATATGTATTAGATAATTATATACTTGAAGGGGATGAAGCATAGAAAATAGAACTCCGTACAAGACCCGAAAGAAATGCAGCAAAAGTCAAGTGTCGTAAATACATCCTATATCTGCAACTAATCGCTGAACACTGTGAATCAGAATAAACATTAGTAGTATGGCGTGTAGCGTACGGCGTATTGCATTGAACAATCTTAGATAATCCGTCCAGTCTTAAATATTTAGTGCACCTCCTCGGCATCATGCGCAAAATTCGGGATGAGTTCGTAGCCACCTTCAGGAGGCAGCGTGCGCGCCGCCACAATGACTGAAACTGCACAGAAAAGAGAGATGCACCAGCTCGCCGTGCAGAAAGCGAATGACTTGTCGAGCTCCCAGCCGACGAAGAACCGCTCGTCGTTGTCGAAGAGGTAGGCCTAACATTCCGAGTGTCAATGCACTGCCCCACGAATGGCAGGGGAGGAGGAGAACATACAACAAGAGCCATACTAGCGACCTGCACAGCGACAGACATGATAATAATAGTGCTCAAGACCTGCCAGCCCGTTTCGCGTATTTTCTTGCCGCCAGACAGAATAATGACATATGCAACGATGGCCAGCGACATCAGCACAACGGCAAAGGTCATGAAGAAGCCGACGCTGCGCCACATGGAGCAGAAGTACCGGTCTTCGCCATGGCAGTCTTCGGGCTGTGGGAAGGGTTCGCATATGTCTGTTAATGACGAGCACCGGCGATGCAGGCCGTACGAGTAATGGAGCGGGGGCTAGACACGGACTTAACAACGCTTTTTTGGACATAAGGCAGTTGAATAGGACAATTGGATACCTTTTCGCTATGATAACTGACCCAGCTCGGCAAGACAATCGACGAAATGGTGAATGCATACGCTGGTAGAACTGTCAACAACCAACAACAGGCTAAAATGACGTAGGCACCCGCATAACAGAGCAACGACACGGCAAAGAAGAACACCCACCGAGGAAAAAGAAGAGCAAAGTCAGACCGTAGACAATCGTCTTGGTGAGGATGCCCGTATAGTTGCGACCGGTCTGGTGGATCGCATTCTTGGGCAGAAGAGGATCCCACTCCTGCGCTGCCATGATGTGTTACTATTGACTACCTAATGAATGTATTGGAGTATGTATCGCCACCACGGGCCGACCGAGTACGAAGACAAGACGAGACTCGAGGGGTATGCGGTTGTGCGCAATGAGGCGACTCGAGCTTTGACGTCGTTGTATGGATGCGAATATGAGGGGAAATGCAGGATCGAGCGCGAGGTTGCAAGAGAGTGAGTTGAAGCTGGGAAAGCAGGCAGTCAAAGCCAAGTTAACCGCTTAGTAAGGGGGCCTAAAGCCGGAAGCAGCTGATATTCATTCTCTGTGGCTTCTCAGAGACATATACATTCTCACTTGACTGCCTATCAGGTCGCACAATAACCATCTAGTGCATGCCACGGAATTGCCCTACACAGCAATCGATAGCCACAGAAATCAAGAACCCTGGAGCAGGTCAGCGCATGACTTGCCTGAGGCCATTCCCTTGACCGTGCGTGCAGGCTTAGTTGCATAGTTAGTGCTGTTTAGTTTTTCTTTTCTTTTCTTTTCTTTTTTTTCCTCTTTTATAAATTTCAGAAAATAGATTGTCTTATTACTATAAACTACTTTGTACGTTTCTTCGTCATCAATCATGCATGCATGTGAATGTTCTCCTCCACGGATCACCAGCGGTATTCTTGATCAACAGAGCCCGAAAGGAGGAGTCCAGCATTCGAAAGCAACTCACGTAAACACTCGCAGCGACTACTCTACAAACCATTCACCCCTTCGCCCATCACCCCGCACCCCGTATAACATGCAGATTGAAATCATAAAACGTATTGCGTTGTAAAAAGCATCCCACCCAATGAAACCCAGCATACCAGCTGGTATGACAAGTCTTTTGGTACCAGATGGACTTTTTTGTACGGGAAGAAAAAAAAAAAAAAAAAAAAAAAAGAAATAAAGAATGAACAGATATGAGGAGAGGAGAGGAAATCGCAATCCGGTATGGTCAACACCGGATTACTGCTTTCCATTGCTCTGAATCATAGCCCGAAAATCATCGTTCGTCTTCCGTGGCTTTTCTTCGGCCGTCTTCTCACTAGAAGCTTCTATGCGATCTGCCGCTGCGCTTCCACCACGTTTGAATCCCAGTCCACCACGGCGTCCGCCGCTTCGCGCTCCTGGTTGTGTTGGACGCTTGATGGGGCCCCCCACCTGAGGCATCAAAGTACCAGACGAAAGTTTTGGTACAACCGGAGCTCTATTGCCTCTCAACACGTCATTTGCAGTGCCTACTCGAATTGGGCGTCCAGGAACCACCTCGCATCCGTCCAACTCCAATGAAGCCTTGCCCGCGCCCTTGACATCTGCAAACTCCACAATCGCTCCCTCCCGATCAGGCCGTAGTACAATCTTAACAAGCGATCCAAAAGGCTCAGCAAGTGCTCGGATACGACTATCGTTGACTGTGTCGGGAATATTCATTAGGCCCAATGTTCGAGTGGCACGGTCATTATCGGCGTTGTGGGCTTCCGGCTCTGCTGACTCTGATCTACTTTTCTGGGAAATAACGGTAGCCGCTCGTTTGACGGGCATTGGCGTAGAGACTTTCACTTGTAGTGGTCGCCCCCGGAATTCCTGTTTGTGCATAGCAAGAGCGGCAGTTGCTTCCTCCTAAATCCGCAGTTAGCCCAATGCTCTGAGAGGGAAAGCTACACGTAGAAAAAAGAATTGTACGAACCTTGGTAGAAAAGATGATGAAACCAAATCCACGGTGTTCGCCGTTCACCTTACGAGGAATTCGCACCGTTTCAATGGCTCCATACTTAGCAAAAAGATCCTTGAGATCGCTTTCACTAGCTTCGAAGTGGACATTTGAAACGTGGATCTCTCGCCCTTCATACATTGGCCCATGTCGGTCTTGTTTCTGAGAAGGATCGGAGATTTTGACTTGCAAGTTAAGGCCATCACCGACAAAAGTGCTATTCAATTTGGTCGCAGCAATAGCTTGATCCGCAGTCTCAAACTGAACGTAGCAGAATCGGCGATGCGTGTTGTACTTCAGCGATGGAAAACGGACCTCAACTATCTTACCAAACTAGAAAAGGAAAAAAAAAAGTCAGTATATCTTTCATCATTCTAGGCATACTCTTACTAACCTCGCTGAAAAGATTTTTGATATAAGCTTCATCAGCAGTCGGTGGAAAGTTGGTCACATAGACTGTCGAGCCAGTGCCCATTTCCACGTCCACAGTTTGGCCGTCGATGCGTTTTTGATCTCGAGTAAGAGCCGCCGCTGCGTCTTCTTTACTATCAAACTCGACAACGGCAGTAGCAAAATCATGATCTGAAGGTAAAAATTTGATTTCATTGATCGGTCCACACTGCGAGTAAATCGTCAGTACATACATGTTATTTGGGGGAAAGGGGAAAAAAAAAAAAAAGAGAGCTTACCTCGCGGAAGAATTGTCGGATCTGAGACTGGCTAACGTTCACCGGCAGGTGTTTGACTACCACTGTAGAATGCTCACGGTCTCTCTTTAACTCTGCTGGCTCCTCATAACTTGTCTGTATCGTTTCCGGACGGGCCTTTTTGGTAGGTACGTCATTGGCCTGGGCAAAATCCTCGTCACGCTTCCGCTTTGAAGCGGCTGCTGCTGCTGCAGCATTGCTCTCAGCCTCATACTGTCGTTTTGCCGCCGCCGCCGCGGCTGTTTCTGTAGCAACAGCGGCTGCTTGTTCAGCGGCGACACGTTCAAGAACCTCTTTTTGTCGTCTCCGTGCCACGTCTTTCATGGCCTTTTGTGTCTCAACAATAGCTTCTTGAAGCTCCTCTGCATCTTCGTAATCCTCGCAATGCGCAATGTACTTGGTTATGATCCTCTCCGGCCAGTCTAGATCCGGTCGTCTAATGGCTTGTTTCAACACCGCTGTCGCATAGCTAGGCACAGGAGTCCTTCTAGCGGCTTCCGGCGTCACGGCAGTTTCCACAAATGTTCGCCAGCACATGATTTCCCAGTTGTAGTAGTCTAGCCAGAACTCGTAGCTGTTTCCACGAGTAGGAATGAGGCCTTTATAGTATTCACGTGCGCTATCCCAGCTTCCACTTTCACTCAGATACCGTGTGTAAATTCTCTCCAGACGGAAGTAGGGGTCCCCCTGATAGGATTTGCCGTACTTGTTTTCTCCAAGCTCTTGAACTCGCTCGATTGCGGAACGAATGCCAACTTCGGCGACGTCAAGATCTTCGTCAATGGCATCTGGGTAGAATGCGCGTCGACGCAGGTAGCTGCACCACATTGTATGGACTTTGATAACCTCTTCGAGACCGCCGGCATCCAGAAGACCTGTGCTTGTGGCCCTGTGCTTGAGCTCTACAATTTGGTCAAATGATAGACCTTCGCGTTCCGCCACAAGTAGGCATTGCGACCACAGTGAACCTGACCATGGACAATGCCTTGTCGCACGTTCGACCGTTGGGAGAACAAGTGACATCTCATTGCGAGGAACGGCCACTGGGGGTTGAATCAAAAACATGACGCAGTCCTCCCACATAGCCACATCAGTAGGGAATCGTAGCAGAGCACGTTGGTATAGAGCATTGATCAAGTGGTGACTGTACATACGGTCTTGTAAAAGCTCCCACTCAATATACTCGGAATACACAGCCCACTCCAGATTGCGGTCCTTGGACTCCAATGCCCGCTGCACTTTACCTTCAAAGTCTTGTCGGCAAGCGTATTTGGCTTTCGCATCAGATGCTCTTGCAACGGTGTTGGCCATAATTTCCTCATAGTTATCGGTGAAGTAGTTGCCGACAAATCCAGAAAATAGCTGAAAGGTCTCGTCCCACGCCGCGTGTGGAGTCTGCAGTCGGGATTCAAACATCGCTCGCACTTGGGCTACTTTATCCGTAGAACGGGCATCTTTGATGCAAAGTTCGAGAAACTTTGTCCATATGAGATGGCTATCATGAATGCGCCATCTGGTGGCCTCGGCTGCTCGCTGCCATATATCAAGCACTAACTGCCAGCTGAAAACTTCTCGTCCGACTAGGCGATCTTCTTCACTCCATTGTGCTTGATCTCCTGCCTGGCCAGTCGCAGAATTATAAAGATAAAGCATCCACTCTCCGAACATCGTCCAGAGCTTCGTGCTGCCATACTCCTCGTCAACAGCTCGCCGACAAAGCTCCATGACAGCAATCCTCTCATCAACCGATTGTGCGACCATGGTCTCATCCTGAATCCAGTCCACCCAGAGATCCTCACCCATCGCAAAAAGCTTATCCATGTCCTCTCGAGCGCTGCGTAGGTCTTTGAGCAGGTCGTACGTCCTAGGGTCGCCGTGAGCGTCCGGATCATGGGGTGGATAGACATGGTTTACGAATCCGGTATGCAGGAGCTGAATAAACTGAACGTGCGACTCGTATGAATGGGGGTTTGCCTGGATATGAGCGGACAACTGATTTGCCTGTTGCTGAGCGTCCGGGTGTAAGGATGACTGAGAAAAGTTGCGTTTCACCAGCTCCCGCGGCTCTGGAGCTCGCGGTGCATTTTGCACCAACTTAACTGGCTTTGGCGTTGGATAAATAGGCGAAATGGACATGTTCGAATAGACGGCCTGGTTACTTTTTTGGTTGTGAGAGGCAGTGCCCTGGGCCTGGCCTTGACCTTGGAGGGCGGCGACCTCTGCTAGAGCCGTCATCGACGAAGGGTTCTGATGCGATGATTGCACGTCATTCGTTGGGGCATTTCCCTTTCCTACTGCAGCGCCCTGATTGTTGGAGCTCCCAGGTTGGTTTGCACGCTCGGGTAAGCGAGATTTCAAAGCTTGGCGCGCGACCGGTGATGGTCCAGAGCTGTACTTTGTTCCGGCCGCACGGCTTCGTCGCGGTTTGTGAGGCGAAGTACTTGACGCCTGTCCAGAGCTTGACGATGAGCCGGCTTTGGGAGTGCCACGAGCTGGAGTGGACTGGCGCGATTGAGCCGCCGACTCTTGCGGAGAGAGTAGTGAATTGATATCCATTCTGGGAGATGTTCAACGATACAACGCCCTGTGAAGAAAAGCTGTAGCTGCACTCCGAGAACTTGTAAATCCGACGTCCGACCCACGTAGGCGACAGGTCGGAACTGCGAATGGGCGCAAGGAGCTATATCAAACGGTCGCACACAAGCAGGTTTGTCAGCGGATCCATCCCTTTGTAACCTCCCAATAACAAGACTGTTTGATTTGAGCGGCGACCGCTGCAGAGCTCCGAGGCGGTCGTGAAGCGTTTTCGGTCTCGAACCCGCGGAGCAGTGGTAACGACCAAACAATCGGCGACGCAGTCGTAAGGGAGAAAGAAGTATCGTTATCGCAGAGCTTCGCGTACGAAGAACCGATAATTAGTGTGACCCAAGCTGTGCAGAGGCTGAAAACAACGAGCGGCGCTGGGTGTTGCAACAGGAAGGCACGCAGCAAGCAGTTCGGCAAACAAGGCAGGCAGCGGGTGTGGCTCTGGATCTGTGCTTCTTGCAGGGAGCGGCAAGTAGAGCCGTGGCTTGGTCTGGGCGCGGTCGTGGCGCCACACACGTTGTGACGGTGAGAGACACGTCGAGAGCTAGCCACTGACACTGACACACACACAGAGAGAGAGAGAGAGGGAGGGAGGGAGGGAGGGAAAGGGAGAGGGAGATGGAGAGAAACAGAAAGAAAAAGAGAAAGAGAACGGAGAGACGACGAAGAAAAAAAGGCTTCTGGATTGCCCTTTTCAGCCTGCGACTTCAGGCTAACAACACCTGCCAAGCTAGTGCGATGGACCTTCTATTAAAATTGGAGCACGATGATGATTACGGTGCTAGACAAATTTGATTGATTTTATTTATTTACCAGTCTTCAACCTGTATACTCTCTGCATCCGAATCTCATGGTCAAATCGCGCATTAATTTTTCGAGACTCCCATCTAATTTATTATTCCATCATAGCTGGAACAGCTCTTTCAGCTGCTTCATGGTGTCATCGGGGTCTGTGACGGAGTGGCCAACCGTCCGCTCGTCACTATAGATTTCATAGTCATTCCCGCCGGGGAAGCATTTGTCGCCAAAGAAGTGAATATCCTTGTATTCGACTCCGGTGATCTCTTTCTCTGCCTCGACGTGGCGCAGGCAGTAAGTTTTGTCCCATCCAGTGGGGAAGACGTCGAAGGAGATCTGTCCGCCAATCGAGTAGCTAGTGCAGAACAAAGTCAGTATATGCTTATTTTTCGCGGAGGCATAGATAACTTACGTGAGGCCGTAGTCGGGGAATTCTTTCTGGAGTGTCTCTACGAGAGCCTTTCTGATGTTGTGGATCTTGTCGTATCTAAACCCAGTGAGCCAGAGCCATTTAAAAGGCGGGGGAAAAGGTGCACCCATACTCTTCAAATTCATTCCTTTCATCTGCTGTCGCATTCCTTCCAATGGGACTGATATTAATCATCCCAGTGCGAAACTCAATAAAGGTTCCCCTCTTCTTAGGCAGCCTAATCTCCGACAGATACCTCAACACGAAATTGACTATATTCTGATATTTATCCTCTCCGAGCCATTGTATGAAGCTAGTGCTTGCGAGGGGTGCGCCCAGTCGAAATGCATTGAGACCGTTTTCCGCGAAACAGAAGTCGAACAGAGAGGTAACGGAGACCGTTGCAGAGCCGAGCTGCTCTTGCTGCTTGGAGAAATCGGAGCCACCGACCTAGAAATTGTCCCACCGGTTAGTTCTAGTCTGATAGTGAGATTAAATGACAAACAAGGAAGAAGGGGGGAGGGGGGGATACTTACGTATCCAATTGCGCATTTATGGCGAAGTCGCGAAAGTAACTCTAGCATTTCCGGCGAAGCGCTCTGTTCAATATCCCGAATCAATTAACGCATTTTTCTTCCTGGAGCCAAGGATCTTTAGATAAATGTTCTTCAAACTAGTACTCACCCCGCGAGCTGGTGACAATGTTTTGTCGACATCGAAAAGGCAGATGGTCCCCTTCAGAGGGCGGTTTTCGAGGGAGGGGTAAACGCTGGCGGCGGCGGCCATTTTGTCTGCAGGCTTGCAATAAAAAGCGGAATCAGTCGAGATTTGACTTCTTTCGATTCGGAAGAACGGAGAGACAATCAAAAGTAGATTGAATTGAAGATTCTGTACAGCACAAGTTGGAAGGCAGGTGCCGTGTTGTTGTTAGAGGGGATATAGCTCCATGTGGTCTTTTCAACCCGCCGACGGCGGTGAGGGTCTCTGTTTATCGATAACCTAAACAGCCCACCGCAGCTTGCGCATCACATTACAAGTTAATTGAAGGAAGGAGGGGGGGAGATGGTACTATAAATCAAAGATTAGGGAATAACTACAGTGGGAAATGGCTATTTAGCAATAAAGAAAAGATGCCAGAATCCCGATTCGCCATTCAACAACACAAATGATGATCTTGAACGAGGGCGAACGCCAAAGGAAGATAGGCATAAACCGTAAATTAATTATACATTAACGTCCCAGAGTCGTCTGGAACACTTTGGCTGCAAGTTCACTGAGCAATCGAGTCCGGTCTGATTGTGGTAGCTCGAGGAAGACATCATAAACACTCTTCCCTTTGGCGTCTCGCACAGCACCTAACCTATTCCCAGCCACTGCGCCAGCTAAGGCACCAGGCACATTGGCGACAATAAATCCCAACGCGCCGCCACTAATTGCACCAACAATCGACCAAAACGACTTCGTAGGTACAGACCGCCTTTGGCCGTTTTCGTCGGTTTCGTCAGTAGCAAGCCCTTCTTCGCGGAGCATCTCTTCAAAGACGGAGCCAAACTGATTGGAGTCACGACCCTGTCGTTCCGGTTCCGAACCGCCAAAGTCAAAGGAAGACCATGGGAATCCGCCGGCGCCCCCGCGGGGGATGTCTTCATCGGCAGTGTCGCTTTTGTCGCCGAAATAGTCCCGCCGAGCTGCATCGTAGTCACGTCGTCGATCTCGATCAGAAAGTGTGTAATAGGCATCATTCACTCTCTGAAATTCTCGCGTGCGGGAGTCTCTATCAGGCGAATCGACAGGAACCCGATCAGGGTGTGTACGCAGAGAGGCCCTTGCGAATGAAGAGATTTAGGGATAATTGCTTTCTGCCAGGCTGCTTCTGTATCGTACCTTTTGTATGCATCCCGTATTTGCTGCTGGGTCGCAGTGGGGGGAACCCCCAGAATTTTGTCTAATTCATATGATATGAGTCTAGAGAGTCCGTCTCAGTTTCGAGAATCTGATAACATACAATAATCCGGTTGACCTTGCACAGACTTGTTAGCAGAGAGACGCACAGCCACAGTCGAGGAGCATAGGAAGACAGTAGTACATACTTGACATATGAACTGATTTCGCACTTGTAATCTTGTGGTTAAAGAATAAAAATTGTTGTCTTTGAATGCTAAAGGAGAAGACAAGATGATTTTGTTTCTAGAAATGACGTCGCTGCCTATCACATGCTGGCTGCGCCACGCATTCAGCCACAAAACGCGCCCAGTCACGTGATTAATATACTGTCCCTCCCCCTGGCAAGCTAGGCCGGGGCCAGCCAATGAGCGCTGGCCAATGTCTGAGCGTCCCAGCCACCCTTGTTACAGATTCACAGCTGTGTCTTACGTGCATATTCTTCGCCAGCTGGCCCCGATTAGTGAGCTTCTCGACAACAACTAATGCTTGAGAGAGGGGGCTCTTGCATTGCCCACTCAATCACAGCTACGGAGTAACAGGCCTCCAATCGCACGTTCACCCCGCGTGGCAGATCAGATTCATCCACTGCTTACTCAGTACGAAGTTGCTTGTCCCTGAGTGTGTACTCTTTTTTGCACAGAAACGGCCTGCCTATCTGCACAGGTAGCAGATCAACGAGTCTATCGCAATCTCGATTATAGGCAGAACATCAATCTGATTCTCGAAAAAAGAAACCCTAAAAGCGCTAACTACCTCACCTCGCAGCCATGGGTTGGTTTGATGGCAGCTCCTCTGTCTCCAGAGAGGGCTGGGTTCGCAAACGGTCACCACAGCGGTCATCGTCAATCTACTCGTCACGCCACTCCAGACATTCGGCGCCGTCGATCTTCAATTTTGGTGGTGGAAGCAGCAGGAACAAATCCACTAGTTCCTTCTTCTCAGCAGCATCATCTTCCTCGCGACGAGGAGTCCGTCCACGCTCTGGCTTTATCGAGCGACTGATTCGCCGTGTCCGGCGCTTATTGAGGGACATATATAACTATGCTCGTCGTCATCCCATCAGGGTGTTCCTCTTTGTCATCGTGCCCCTTATTGCGGGAGGCGTTTTGCAACGGCTGTTAGCCATGGTTGGCCTGCGATTGCCGGCCAGTCTCATGGGGAGTCGGTCCGAATTTGAGCAGATAAGTCGCGGAATCGGTGGAATTGGTAGCGGCGGCGGCAGCGGGATTCAAGAGAGCATGAATGGATTGATGACCATTGCAAAGATGTTTCTGTAACTGCACATTGCCTTGCACTTCTCGTCTCGTCTGTAATGATGAAAAATGGATGGACGGCCAGGTGGTCATTGGGTTCCGTTAAACTGTATGATTTTACGATGCGATTTCACAAAAAATGATGATTCTTTATGCGTTGGTAGTTTGCTGTTCTTTCTTGATCCCTTCTCTGCCAGATACGCTGTAAAGAAACATGTTTCAACATGTTGGTATCCATAGTATTTATACCTTACATATTTTAGTGCCTACACGTTCCCACTAGTTTAGGCGGAAAATGGACACATCACCTCAATGTTCTCTAGCTACATGCGAGTGGAGTCAGGACTGCATTCCGCCGTACCATGAGCTGCAACAATCGACTAGTAATGCGAAGTATGCATGAAGCGCGTTTATGGTGCTACAATGATTCCAGATTTGGGAATTCCTTACAGTATATCAAAGAACCAAAACGATGATTACCAAGTCTGCCTAGATCTTACCTGTTGAGATTGAATAATTTTCAACTCCACATTGCATCTTTTAGATAGTGATTCGACTTTTTCTTTACATTGTTGGCGTCAATTGTCATAAAGTGGTAGTGTGGCGGCCTCTTGTGAAGCCTACCTAGGTATTACTTAGCAGACCATCGGACGTGCATACTCAGCTTACAGGATAATATACGCGAGTACTTAGGTAGCCTTTGAATATGATAATCCGTTGGAAATCCAAGAATCAATGAAGCATATTTACAATATGAAATCGTTGTCACCTCCCGTAAACGCGACTCGAGAAAACCCAAGCTGGCCCCAGTGAGTGTTATCCTTACACTAGCCCAGGTTATTATTATATAGCTATTCTCAAGAAATAAGCCGCACCAAGCCCGGCTTCAAAAGAGGTGAACAAAAGAAAAATGGTTGGCTTTCCCCCCTCTATTCATCCATCCATCTATCCCTCTTTCATAGGATCATCATCGCGCACATATGTCTGTCAGCTCCCGCCGGCAAGTCATCTTGCCGGGGCAAGAGCAAGTAATTGGAAGAACAAAAACGAAAAAGTAATATAGTGCAGGAAAATATTGTTCAGATCTTTGCTGGATGGATAGTAATTTCCTTCGGTGGCTGGAAAAGAACTTAACAGCTTATCTAGAATTATGGCCAGTTTATATACCTAAAACGACACAACTGACCTGTGGAGTTTTTTGATAGGTAAACATACTTATTACTTAGTAGTGAAGCTTCAAATCTACGAATTTGAGATTCACCGCTTGCCTCGTAGATTGACAGGCATCCTCTCGCCTTTATCTTTCTATATACATATGTATGTATACTCCTTTCAGAAGAAAGTCGCTCGCCCGCTGAGGGGGATCTGCAGGTCTTATCTCTTATCTTGCAATTAAGCATGCCTCCAGCCCTGGCGCCTTTCCCGAATAGGCAAGGCCTGTGGAACTCCCCTTCTTAAGCGCTGCAACCTCAGGCTCGTTGTCCTTGCTTAATTCCATCTTTCTCCACGACGCACCTTCTCAATGAAGTTTGGTGACATCCGCTTCGTCTACGAGTACTACGACTCTTTCTACCTAGTCGCAGCTTTGATTCCTGTGTGGGCCGGCTGCAGACTGGTCCGGTGGTATCAAAGTGCGCGTCAACCGCCCACTGTCTTGCGCGATGAGACTATAAACCCCGGCATTCTGTCCTCTAAGGAATGTCATCCGGAGCAAGAAGCTTTTCTGGGTCGCAGCTCACACTGCCAGAGAGTTCGTACTCATAGAACCGATATCATGAGGATCCTGAGCAGCCTCTGCTTGGGCCTTTGCGGCCTATACTCCTGCGTAGCTGCTTTTAGCGATGACTACACGCATCACCTACGCCGCCAATTCACTGCGGGCAATTCAAGTGGGGTCCTGGTCGATTTCGAGGTGTATAAACCTGTCGAATTTGATCCTGCGAGTCAAGCATGTAATGAAGTCATACTGTTGATGGAACATGAATTTGCCTATAGCTACGGAGAGCCATTTGTTGGTAAAGCCCCCTTGCCATGGTTGATCAAGCCACGTCTTCTAGTCTTACGCAGATGTACTCATAGGAAATTATACGCCTCCTGATTGCGACTTTGACACCGTGAGAATCAACTTCACCGTCACATCACGAGGGCGACAATATGATCGGCTGGCATTGATGTATCTGAACAGCACAGAGGTTTTCAGGACTTCCACTGCCGAACCGACCACAGACGGAATTGTCTGGACTTATATCAAGGAGATGTCACAATATCGATCCTTGTGGAAAAGTCCTCAGAAGATAATCTTTGACCTGGGAAACTTGATTGACAGTACATATACTGGCACATTTAACACCGCGCTCACGGCTTCCTTTACTAAAGAGAACAGCGGACGAGTAGCGGATGTGATTTATCCCATCTCCGCACTCCAGGGTGCAGAGAATGCCGCAAGCGCTTTTACCGTGCCCTCTGACAATGCTACTGTTGATTTGATCTTTCCAAGCAACGCCCAGCGAGCAGTGGTCTCTATTTCAGCATGTGGTCAATCCGATGAAGAGTTTTGGTGGTCGGCTGTCCTCAATCAGGATACAAATGATTTCGACTCAACCATCGGCGAACTCTACGGCTACTCTCCCTTCCGTGAAGTCCAACTTTTCATTGACGGGATGCTTGCTGGAGTTGTGTGGCCATTTCCGGTCATCTTTACTGGTGGTGTAGCACCAGGTTTGTGGCGACCTATTGTTGGTATTGACGCCTTTGACCTGCGTGAGCCAGAAATTGATATCTCGCCCTTCATTCCTCTCTTGCTCGATGGAAAAGCGCACTCCTTTGAAATCAAGGTTGCCGGACTTGATACTCCTTCGAACGGTACCGCTACTCTGGTCGAGACAGTCAACTCATATTGGGTTGTCACGGGGAAAGTATTCATATATCTCAACGAGAGCGGGAAGAGCAATATAACGTCAATTGGTACGGCTCCGACTATTAGCGCCCCAGATCCCCAATTTAGCTTCACGCGGAGCCTTGTCACAAATAGTAGTGGTGTGAATGAAACTCTTTCATATTCCGTTCAGGCACATCGCACATTGAAAATCACATCGGGGCAATCGTCATGGACCCAAGATCTGTCATATTCCAACGATGGATATTTGAATCAAGATGGCCTTAGCCAATGGAATCTTCAGAATACTACAGGAACGTCGAGTACCGCCGGGATCGGACTCGATGGAACCTGGGAAGAGTATCAAACAAGTTTTAGCTATCCAATTGAGGCCAACACGACATACGGCATTGGATCAGACTATCTCACCATCGACGCTATCGTGGATCGTGGGCTGTCAATTTCATCAACTGGCGGCCTTGGTATCTCCACTTACACGCTTACTTCTGGTGCCGTCGATTTGCAGACCCGCCAATGGGGAACTGCTACTTATCTCGGGATTACAGGTGGATCTTCGTACTCGTCCGGGGATACTTCTGACGAGTTCGCAGAAATTTCCGACGGGACCAGTTACAGCACATATGTGCACGCAATCAATGGCACTGTCGTAACACCCGGCAATGACTCGCATTCCCTGTCGTCGGCGGCGCAGCAGGGTTTGTTGTCGGCTGGAGGACGAGCTTCTGTCAGGAGCATTATAGGACGGGGACCAGATTAGACAAGAAACCACCGGTAGTAGAATAAGAGTTTAGAAATGCACTGCATACAATCTGTATACCACATTAAATAGTAAATGTAGATTGACTCTACCTCGGTATCATTAATTCGTAGGACTATCCGATAAGATTAGCTTATCGCAGACCCATATACGTAAGTCCACCCAATCACCTCTTTTTTATTTCCTTGGTGGAGACTAGCGCTGGTAATTAAGTCACGTGCAGATCCTATCATTTGTCATCCATAGATATGGAATCTGGCTGACACTTGCTTCTCTCCTTTTCTTTATTTGCCTCTCTTCATCCGATTTTTCCTGTTCGATAGCTGTCGAAGCTGACGGGTGCGCGGGGAATATGCAATGGTTGTTATCACGCTCAACCAAAATATCACTGGTACGAAGATAATTCTCACCTTAATATATCAAGATAAAGTTAGTTAACTAACGACGTGTCTCCAGACTCACTTGCGCAGTCGATACATACGTTGATACAATCGCAAAGTGAGATTAACGACGAACGACCGAGAAAGCGTCGTAAAGTTGAACAGGATGTATTTAAAAGTCCTATTCGAGTAGAAACTGGTGATGGCGATTTTGTCGTTCTTTGCCGGGTTACTATCAATCTAGTGAGTTGTCCCGAAATCTGCGCAAGTGCGCGCAACCACCTTGCCCGGCGATTAATCTTTCCCCCTTCTTTCTTCCTCTTTATTTAGATTTATCCTGGAGAAAATCTTCCAGATTCACCAGAAACGGGTTGTGAACTGCCCGTTTTGTTAAAGTATCGACACCAGAAGCAGAATTCACTGTCTTCCGATAATGGACAACCAAGTCGTGAGCCAACATGTGATAAAGCCGGGGATGAGCACTGGCTGGAATTACGGACGATAAATCGAAAGCAGTCTTTGTCCTTCCCACTATTAGGCGCAGCTGATGTCGAAGAAATCGTTTCTCATCTGTCACTTGCGACTTGCGCCACTCCTTTGGACACGACTACCGGGGATTTGCCGTATTTCGCTTACCGAGCTCGGCTCGTCTCGTATGGGGACTCTCAATCATTTCGCTTGGTTGCTGATGTACAATGGAAAAATTCATTGGTCATTCCATCTAATTTCAAAGGAAAACCCGAAGCTGGGCTCGCTTTTGCCAGATACACACCTGCGGCAGAAGGGTTTCACCACAATATTACGAATGGGTCGAATAATGGGCGGCTAGCACAGTCACATTGGACCCCTCGAGACTTCTATGATAATGTTCATGTTCCACTCGTCACACCTGAGGCGTCTGCTAAGATAGACTGTCCTTTGACTAAATGCACGCTATATCCATTCCAGACCCGAGCATTGCGATGGCTGCTAGAGAAGGAAGGCGTGGAAGTTGATTCTGAAGGAGACGTGGTTTCGCGAAGAATCGAGAATAAGTTTCTTCCCGAGTCTTTCAAGGAGTTTATTGATGTAGAAGGCCGTCGTTGTTTTGCCAGCCAACTCTACAAGGTTGCGACAACAGATCTATCTCAGTGGTCTGACTCGATCAGAAGTCTTCGGGGCGGTATTCTTGCTGAAGAAATGGGCCTTGGGAAAACAGTTGAGATGATTTCTCTCATTTGTCTGCATCAATGTGTGATGTCCATTGACGAGAATATCGATGAAAACCATGGTCTGACCAAATCGCGCGCGACTTTGATAATTACTCCACCTGCAATCCTCGAGCAATGGAGACAAGAGTTGCAAAAACATGCTCCTGCACTTTCAATATTCGATTACACAGGTCTCGAGAGTTATTCGAAAATGTCCCAAGAAGATATTTTGCGCACGCTTTCGGAAACAGACGTGGTGCTCACAACGTACAATGTTCTTTCAAGAGAAGTTTATCGTGCAGTTGACCCACCGAGGCGGAATATGCGACATGCAAAAAGATTTATAACTCCCAAATCTCCACTTGTGCGAATATCCTGGTGGCGTGTTTGCCTCGACGAGGCTCAGATGATTGAAAACGGCGTCAGTAATGCGGCTCAGGTTGCTCGTCTCGTTCCTCGGATAAATGCATGGGCTGTGACAGGAACTCCCATACGCAAAGACATGAAAGATCTTTTTGGCCTCCTCCAATTTCTGAAATACGAGCCATTTTGCAATTCGGTGGAACTTTGGACTAGGCTTTTCAGGGACTTCTATCCAGCATTTAAATCCACTATTAATAGGCTAGCGCTTCGTCATAGCAAGGACTTCATTAGAAAGGACCTTAATCTTCCCCTTCAGAAGCGAGTTGTGATCACAACCCCTTTCACGGCGGTGGAAGAGCAGAACTATAGCCAGTTATTTGAACAAATGTGTGATGAGTGTGGCGTCGATTACACTGGCAATCCTCTTACGGCGGATTGGGATCCCGAATCCAGATCGTCCATAGACAAGATGCGACACTGGCTCACCAGGCTTCGCCAGAGTTGTCTACATCCTGAAGTTGCACCCTGGAACCGTAAAGCTCTAGGTATTCGAGGCGGGCCATTACGCTCTGTGGATGAGGTACTTGCGGTTATGATAGACCAGAATGAAAACTTGACTCGTGCTGAAGAACGTCTGCTACTTCTTTCTCGAGCCCGGCGCGGACAATTACTCGAAAATGCTCTCCATCGGCATGAAGCTTTAGAACTATGGCAAAAATGCCTAGAGCGAGCAACCGAGATGGTGAAAGATTGTCGAGAGGAATTGCGAGCTGAGCAGACCACTACTGGTCCTAATGTCGCAAATTCTGAGATTTCAGACTCTGATAGCGAAAAAGACGAAACGGACGAGTCAGGCAAAAACGGCCGTGTTGGAACAATTAGGCTGCGCCTCCGAGCGGCACTGGAAGTACAACACATTTGCAAATTCTTCACTGCCAATGCGTATTACCAGATAAAAACCGACCCAAAACTGACGGCTCCGGATTCTGAAGAGTTTAAGGCCCTGGGGAAATCCGAAGAAGCTGCTTATGATGAAGCGAAATTGATGAGAAAGGAGATGTTGAAAGATGTCACCCGCAAGGCTAGAAAATATATCAAGACAATAAACGAAAAGGCCCAAACGAAGTCGTTCGTTAGGATTCCTATGATGAATGCAAAACTACCAACACTAGGAATTGAAGCGCGTCGGCTATTCGAAAGACTTGAAGACTTTTGCGATGCGTTGAATCAGCATCGTGACAAATACATTGCCTTGCGGGATGACATGGTCAAGCTACTTCGAAAGTCATTGGTTGATGAAGAGGAAAACGGCGAACTTGAAGGAAACGAGTATGAGACGTCGACCAAACATCAAGACGAAATGTATGTCTATATGGAGGGTCTCCGCGTGATGTTCGCCGATCGCCATGACGCTCTTACTGGACAAAAAAATTCCTTGATCGACCATGAAGCCAAAGTAGGGGTAGCTGAGGCGGAGAAAGGGAATGGTCCATCGCCAGAATTATACCTTGCTATGATGAAGGCTCGTGACGAAGTCAAGCCAAAATTGGAACTGGGGTCCCTTCGAGGAATCGCCAGTGATATGCGCAGTCTTGTCACATCTCTGGAATGGCAAGCCAACGAAGGTAGCTCACGGGCTCGAGCTGAGCTTGTGATTGCCAATGAGGCTCTTGCACGCGTGGGCAAAATCTCAAGCGAACAAGGGAAAGCCATTAGAGACCTAGAGAGAGAAGTTGAATTATTCCGTGACACGATGAATCAGAGACTGGAATATTATCGACAACTGCAACAAATTTCAGATACAGTTGCGCCATACGACGAGGCAAGTGTGGGCAAGCCGTTGAATCAGGAAGTGTATCAGTCAAAATTGGAAGCCGAAAAGAAGATAGAGGACAAGCTGTCTGCATTACAGTCTAAGGGTAAATATTTGCTTCATTTACGGGATGAATCAGGGCCAGATGAAAGTACGCGAATCTGCGTAATCTGTCAATCCCCCTTTGAAAACGGTGAGTTATATAGGTTGCCAGTATCTATTGAATCTCTGATAGTTTCCAAGCTAATATTTTTGTGATTTTCCTTAGGTGTTCTGACTATTTGTGGCCATAAATACTGCAAAAGCTGTTTGCGTGCGTGGTGGTCCCAGCATCGAACTTGTCCAATGTGCAAGAGAAAACTCAAGTCAGGGGATTTTCATCAAATTACCTACAAACCACAGGAGTTGATTGTACGAGAGGAGAGAACGCCCACAAAGTTAGAGTATGGCCGGCCATCGCAGAATGGTATATATTCAGATATAAGCAGTGGTGTCCTACAGGAGATCAAGAATATTGATCTTTCTGTCTCTTTTGGCACCAAAGTGGACACACTATCCCGCCACCTGTTATGGTTACGCGACAATGACCCCGGGGCCAAGTCAATTGTTTTTTCTCAGTATAGCGGTTTCCTAAATGTACTAAGTACTGCTTTCTCTCGGTGTGGTATTGGCTATAGCAGTGTGGAATCGAAAAATGGCATTCAGCGATTCAAAGAGGATCCTGCGGTATGTTTAACCCCAGACCAACATGAAATGCAAAATGTTTATTTTAATGATCATCTCCTTTCTTTCAGGTTGAATGCTTCCTTTTACATGCCCGAGCACATTCCTCGGGGCTCAACCTTGTCAATGCATCTCATGTCTTTCTTTGCGAGCCGCTTATCAACACCGCAATTGAGTTACAAGCCATCGCTCGAGTCCATCGTATCGGCCAGCACCGTCCAACAACAGTATGGATGTACCTTGTATCCGACACAGTAGAGGAGTCAATCTATCAAATCTCAGTCTCGCGACGACTGAGTCACGTCGTCCAGAAGGAGAAAGAGAAGAAAGAGGAAGAAAGACACTCGCCATTCCAAAATGGGAAGATCGCGGGAGAAGAGAATCTCCATGAGACAGCGATCGAGTCAGCAAACTCCCTGGAAATCCAGCAAGCTAATCTGGGGAAATTGTTGGCTACAGGCTCTGCGGGAGGAGGTGAGTTGGTTGGCAAAGACGATCTTTGGCAATGCCTGTTTGGAAACGGCCAAAAGAGGACCTCGCCTGAACAAAATCCCGGTGCTCTGCGGGAGGTCGACCGTTTCTTGAGAGGCGAGGCAGCTGAAAAGAGAAAGCAAGATGCTATAGATTTGTGAGATACAATAGTACAGTGTTGAGTGGTTCCGGGTGGTGAGTGGTGGAGCACTGTAAGTCGGATACGTAGTCGATTATGCCTCTTCGGGAACGCTTCTATGCATGTACAAAATGGCTGTCGGTGGCTGTTTCTGCGGCAAGGTCCGCATCGAATACAATGGCGAGCCTCTGACGGTGGTTAGTACATCCCAATATGTAGTTATCCCTGTCAAGCCATTCTAATCCTATCGATGGTCCACCAGGGACTATGTCACTGTCTCGACTGTCGCAAACTCACCGGCTCGGCCTATTCCTACAGCCTGGTCGTTAAAACCGCTGAACTGAAGACATCCGGAAGCCCAAAAGCAGTGGCCAAAACATCCGATAGTGGGAATCACATTAATAATTTTTTCTGTCCAGAGTGTGGTCTGTATTTCTAACGGTCTGGTGGAGGACACCGGCTGACAGAGTGGCAGGCACGCCGCTTTTTGGATGGAAGACGAAGCCGAACGGAGATCCTGAGGAGATAGGAATCGTCCGGGCAGGAATCTTCGATGACATGGACATTTTAGATAAGTGGAAGCCCGAGGGGGAGCTATTTACCATCAGACGATTGAAATGGACAAGTCCCATCGAGGGGGCTGCTCAACACGAGGGCATGTTGTCACTTTAAGATGGAGTAAGACTAGAGGATACGTATGCCAGAGCTGAGTATGAATATATTACAATAAAGTTCGATAGGGAAAAAAGAAAGCAATCCTGGGCACTCCTGATGCCTTGATGCCTCGCTGATAATGATCTGGTAAGATCCTTCCTATACGCCTGCCCGGCTATAACGAACGGACGGCCACCCTATATTAGAATTGATCTTGCGTTAATTTATTAGATATAAGGGTGATGGGCATTCGACTTTTCAAAACTCAAATGGTTTAGTTAGTTGATATCTTGGAGTGCTCTTCGTCTCCAGATCAAACTCACTTCTAGGTAGATATATTGACTGGTGTTCGCTATAGCCAGTGTATATAAACTCGCGCGCTCATCGCGTCCTAGTCTATAACAGATCTAAGAAAAAAAGCAATAAAAAAATACACTGAAAAGTACCACAAGTATTTTATAATGCTATTCATGATCCCTTAATCCCAATGCAAATTCGACACCACATCGAGGGCTGTCACGTGAGCTTCCATGTCCTTCTGTGGCTTGCCGTAAGCAGTGCCCGCTGCTTGATGGAACAAACATACCACGGTCCACCTCTTGTTTCGCCTCAACGATAGTTAATTATCATTTCAACAACTCTTCATATAACCCATGAGTCACTCAATATCTCTCTGCTACTCATAAGATGGCCTCAGCTGCACTGGCCGAGAGCTCGGAGGCTCGCGAGCTGAGCTTAGTATCCAAAGTGGAGCTCCGCATTGCCCTGGCCGATTCAGACGAGAAGCTCCAAAAGCTCTTGCAGACGTATTTGGCTCCGTTGCTGCTGAAGCTGACATCTGAGAGCCTGGCTGTGCGCAATAAAGTTATTGCAGTCTGTCAGCACATCAACACAAGAATCAAGCCACAGTCCATCCAGCTTCCCGTGACCGCGCTCTTGAAGCAATTCAAAGAGCAGAGCTCGCAGTTGATCAGACATTTTGATTTGATCTATATCCAACAAGGCATCGATCGCCTCGATGCGTCCGCTCGAGTAGAGCTACTGCCTGCCGCTCTGCAGGGCATTTCTCAGCTTGAGACTGCATCCGCTCAAACAGCGAGCGTCTTCAATCTATTCTTGAGATTGCTCCCGCTGCTACGACTTCCGCCGAAGGATAGCCCCGAGGATCATAATCTAAGAGACAAGCTGTCTCTGTCTCAGGCAGATACGCAATGGTTATCACTGTGGTTTAGCAAGCTGCTTCTGCTCTCCCAGGCGGCAAAAAATGCCACTACTTGTCCAGGACTGTCTCCATCGGAGTATACATTTCTGAACAGGTCGGCTTCTTTCGAGGAGACATGGAATCCTGCTTTACAGGGTGGGCTAAACTTAACCGAAACAAAGTCCTTTGTTGCCAAGTTTCTCGCGAGCGGTGCTTTCGAAAATCCATATCGATTCTTACCGGCGGTGATTCTGTCTGCCGACTCGAACTCCCGTCTAGCAGACATTGGCGACGATATTCTGAAACGGTTCAATCCAGACCTTGAAAGTGCCGAAACTGTGGAGCCGCTATATAAGCTTTACTTTGGAACTACTGGCAATGATGCAGCACTTCCAGCACGCATTCCGCTGCAGGTGAAAATTCTAAGCTTTCTTAGTAAATCTGTGAAGGCTACCGCGTATACAGATAGAATCATCAAGTTGCTTGACGAAGGACTGTTTTCAGATATTGCCAAATCCGTGCAGGGACTTCAAGCCTCAAAACTTAGGTCTCAGATCTTTATGTTCATTACCTGGGTTGTCCGTATGGGTGCTCCTACTGATCTGAAGATTATTGCACCGGAGGCTGTGGTGGGACTCCGCCAATTTGTTGAGTCACAGGGATGGCCAGACCCAGGCGCCAGCGGTCAAAAGCTATCCCAGACAGATGTTGGTTTGCGAGGCTTAGCTTACGAAAGTATCGGCATATTGTCACCAAAGATTGCTCTGGGTGATAGCGTAGATTACATCGATATGGATCTCCTAAGATGGCTCTTTACTTCCCTCGCCTCCGACGCCTCAGCCTCGGAAATCTATGTCAGTATTGAAGAAGCCCTCGGTAGCATTTTGAATTCTTGCACTGGAAATCTTCCCGAAGACGTACGGTCAGAACTTGGTAGCTTCCTCGAGCTCCAAATGAAAAGCCAACCTGGGACAGACTCTTCCTTGAACGGTTACCCTGTTGTTCGCAGTACTCACTATACCACCGTGAGATATGCTAATCGATGTATGCCTTATTGGGATCTCACAGCTCGATGGATTGATCTTCTTGCTATCGCAAGCACATCTCATTCCACAAGAGAGGTCATTGAAGAAGGAAGGAAAGGGCTCCATCCATACTGGTATCGATTACTCAACCCTGTTAGAGGTATATCATCTTCTACAGACTCCGAGTATCAACCACAATACCAATTCCCTAGCTTCGAACAAGCAGCAGTTCTTCTTGGAAAACTAACAGACCTGGAGATCTCTCAGCCTAATTTACGTGGAGTCATTGCCCCAGCCGTTCGGTTTTCCAAGAATCTGCTTGTCTGGGAAGCATTGTCAGAGGCGCAAATACCCGTTGGCATCGACCAGGAATGGGAGTACCGACTTGAGACACTGCTTCAATCAAATACACAAGCAAGGGATGTTGTCAGAGAACTCATCTCCCAGCAGCCTGACTCCGTGATGACGACTTGGTTGGAAAGGACTCTAGACGGAGTTGCTTTACCAAATGCATCTCAGAGCATCGATTGTAGCAAAGATTTTGTGGATATCAGCTCCTTGACTTCAAACAAGGTCCTTACAGCAGTTACTCCTCGATCGAAATCATTGCTGGAACAGATATTCTCGACCAACAATCACATTCTTCAACGAACTGCTGCTAGAATTCTTGGCGTTCTTGCTTCGCATGCGGCCGTGGGAGAAAGTGATTGTCAACGAATATTTGCAGAGCTGCTTGATATAAGCAATGCGTGGAAGGATGCTGTTGGTCAAGCAGCAAACAAAGTACGCGGGGCTGTTCTCGCCGCAGCCTATTTCGCTAGTCGACTATCATATCGCAGAAGGTTACTTGTTCTTCCCGAGGAACAAATCGAACAATATATTACGCTCATTTTCGAAATACTGGTTCACTCACGGGACTCACAAATGTTAGATGCCGTGCAAGTGACCATTGGCCAATTAGCACTTGCCAATGTTCTCAGCTTGGAAAGACTATCGAAGGGTGGAGACTGGGAAGCAATTAAAGCTAAACTAGAAGAACATGCCAAGAAGGAGCAGGAAAATGCCATCCACGCATTGGGTCAGTTGTCGTTGGCAATACTACGTCGAACTGGAGAAGACCAATCTGAATTCGATGATGTTATGGCTTCGTTGCACGGGCTGCATGAGATTCGCAAACCCGAAGTCCAATTTCCCGTAGGGGAGTCAATGTGTACTGCTGCCGCAGGCTGGGACTCGAAATCACTCATTGGAGAATTCGATGTAGACGAAATCTTATTAAAGACAAATGTTCCTGAGAGAATCCTCGCAGATTTAGCTGATAAGTTAATTACTGACTGCAAGGCACCGAAGCCTTCTCTGCGAAAAGCTTCGGCGATATGGTTACTCTGCCTTGTCAAAGACTGTGGACAGCTTGCACCACTTCAGCAACGGCTCCGTCAATTCCAGGCCGCATTCGCCAGTCTCTTGGCAGATCGAGACGAAGTTGTCCAAGAGACAGGCTCTAGAGGTCTGAGTTTAGTGTATGAGATGGGAGATCAGGACTTACGGGATGACCTCGTCCGCGATCTGGTCGGCTCGTTCACAGGCAATGAAGCCAAACTAGGCGGGAAAGTGACCGGAGATACTGAACTTTTTGAGCCCGGTGCCCTTCCAACCGGTGAAGGGAAATCAGTCACGACTTACAAGGATATAATGAATCTTGCATCTGAAGTTGGCGACCCAAGTCTCGTGTACCGCTTCATGTCCCTTGCATCTAACAACGCAATCTGGTCAAGCCGAGCTGCATTCGGCAGATTTGGCCTCAGCACGGTCTTGTCAGACTCCAGCGTGAGTGGATATCTTGCTCGAAATCCAAAGATATATCCTAAATTGTATCGGTATCGCTTCGATCCGAATCCAAACGTGCAACGATCTATGAACGACATCTGGCAAGCTCTTGTCAAAGATCCTACAACTCTGCTAGACACCCATTTCGATGCAATCATGGACGACCTGTTGTCCAGTATTATTGCAGGAAGGGAGTGGCGAGTTCGCCAGGCCAGCTGTGCCGCCATCGCAGATCTCTTGCAGGGGCGCTCTGTGGAGAAATACGATAGATATCTGAATGAAATTCTCAGCAAAGCATTCAAGGTCATGGACGATATCAAGGAATCCGTCCGCACAGCGGCCTTGCGGCTCTGTCAAGTTATCACAAATATCTTAATCCGCACGCTCGAAACTGGAGATACAGATTCAAAGCGAGCCAAGACTATGCTTGGCCATATCATTCCTTTCCTACTAGGTCAAGACGGCATGGAATCCAGTGCCCAAGAGGTGCAAGGCTATGCAATTACGACGCTAGTACAAATTATCAAGAAAAGTCCAAGTGCTCTTTTACGGCCATTTATGGCCCAAATCCTAGACAAGTTCTTGTCATCTTTGAGTTCTCTAGAACCTCAGGCTGTGAACTATGTCCATCTGAATGCGGACAAATACGGGCTCACAGGGCAGGAGATTGACAAAATGCGACTTTCCAGTATCCGCATGTCCCCGATGATGGAAAGTATTGAGCGACATCTTCTAGACGGCCTCGATGAGAGCGCTATGAGAGAAGTTGCTTTCAGGTTAGAGGGGACCTTAAGAACTGCTGTTGGCCTTCCGTCAAAAGTTGGATGTAGCAGAGTTCTGGCTCTCCTGAGCACCAAGAATCTTCTGTTCCGTCCTTATGCCGATAGATTCATCCAGCTATTGACCAAGCACGTTCTCGACCGTAACGAGACAGTCAGCGTTTCGTACAGTGCCTCTATCGGGTATCTAATTCGACTAGCGAGCGACGAACGTGTGCTAGACACCATCGCGTTTGCCAAATCACTGTATTTTAATTCCGAAGATACCTCTCACCGAATAGTAGCAGGGGAGATTTTGCACTCTATGTCGAAGCTCTCGAGCGACAAGTTCTCGAATGTTGCTACAGCGGCATTACCTTTTGTGTTTGTTGCCAAACAAGATACAGATGAGCATACCCGCGACATATTCGAAAAAACCTGGCAAGACAATGTCGGCGGCCCGCGCGCTGCCGCGCTGTATTTGACAGAAATCACAGCGATTATATCCGAGCGGCTAGATTCATCCAACTGGGCAATCAAACACAGTGCCTGCCTTGCGACAGCTGATGCCGTCACCAGCCTTGGAAAATCTCTAGACGGACCAACAGCAGAACTTATCTGGCCCATCTTAGAAAAAGCACTCAGTGGGAAGACGTGGGATGGCAAGGAGAAGGTGCTGAAAGCGTTCATCAAATTCACCGAAAACGCAAGCGCGGCCTCGCAATCCAGGGGAGACGTCAGCCACCAAATGAAAGTAAGAGCCACTCTACAGCCCAATTCGATAGTTCATGAATAACCCTTGCGGAGCGCCCGATTGCTAACCGTATCTGTCGGTACTACGTATTTAGTCGATCATCCTCAGAGAAGCCAAGCGAAATAACGTGGCGTATCGGCCACACGCCCTGAATGCCTTGGCTGACTTCGCAGAGATCCGACCCGATTTAGACTTCCTTACGGACGCCATAAGCATTGTGGGACCAATCGTTGAAGATTTAATTGACGGTGACAATGACAAGATGGAAATAGACTCAAACCATGCCCCTAAAGCCCTGTGAGTCAAATGGCGTGGTCCCTGACACGTATTCCCTGTTCCCACTTTCTGTGATAAGGCTGACTTTGTCCATTTCAGGGAGAATGAAACGTTGGCAGCGTGTACCGGATGCCTCCTCCGGTCTATCAACCCCACAATTAAAATACCAGGGTCAGGTGAGTTTGATAGCGAGCCCTTGTTACGTAGCTAGGGGAAAATTTTTTTTTCCTTATTCATGGCGATTCATTGACGCGTGTTCACAGATCAGCTAAAGTCGGTCATCACGAATGTTGAAAAATGCCTACAAGGAAATGAACGGCAAGTATTAGACAATCTCTACAGCGGATTACATGGTGCCTTCAGCAAGATAGGAAGCCAACTTTCCAAAAAGGAGGAGCAGACGCCCGACCGCAGCAGCGCTTTAGAGCAGGCATTACAATTGATAGCCAACGGGCTATTGTTTCGTGACTTCAACCCTTCAATCGAAAGCTTACGAATGAAGCGTGCTCGCGCTGCGGAGATTTTCATCAAGACAGTCTACCAGGCGCAGGCGGTGGGCGTGGGTGCAGGTGTGGGTGTCCTTAGTGACAGCCAACGAGAGCATATTGAACTGTGGCTAGGGCAGGAGCGAGCTGAACCGATTAGGCACATTTTTAAATCTGCCCTACGAAATTTATGAGCAGTACTCGGTACTGTACTGTATTACTGTATTACGACGGGGGGAGGGGACTCTGATTAAGGGGACAAATCTAAGAACTTTTTCACCACGTGGAAGATCGACGACGGTAAGGCAGACGGGCCTTTTGCTATCATGGACTCAAAATTACACCCAGTGTACATACGCTTGCTGTACGGTATATTAAGCTACTAAGAAGAGCGACATGAAGCGGATAGGGGCCATTAATTTGTCCATTTTCAATACACCGGGAGATGAGATGTGATGGGCATGATCTTGATCAACCAGTCAACTCATGGCATTGGCTGACAGATACCTAATACATAGCGATAAAATTATTAGCCAGGAGTGCTTCATCCCCCTCGTCTCTTGCAGTGGGTATCATCATCGTTCGTGGTTATTGTCATATATTTCTTAGATTCGGGTGGATATCTGGAAAGTTCAGAGAAATAGATAGTTCTTTTTCTGGCTATAGATTTTTCGAGGCGGAACCCTGAGCTAAAGCGCGTACAAGCAAGCCACTGTCAACTAGTTAACCATTATCTTGGTAACTTCATATTAATAGTTTACCAGATGTAGAAATTCATCCTGCGAAATCTAGTACATAGTACGCCGTTCGCAAGACGGGTTGGGTAGTTAGTTCAGTTTGGCAAGTTAAAGTTTTAAAGTTACCATTGATTTTTCTTTTTTTGTCTTAGCTACTTCGTATAGAGAGTTTAAAATATCAATTCCCGGGACTTGATTTGTCCTTTGCTTTTTGAATGCTCCAATCTAGCCTTATGACTTTGCGTTGGTTGGGGAAACTGACAGATACCTTTTTTCTTGGTGGGGGGGTTTTTTGGATGGATTAGTCGTCGACGTTGAACGGTTGAACTATGCACTGCGGCCCGCCGGATGATCTAGTCCTAGAGAGGGAATGATAAGCGGGATGCTAGACTCGATTGCTAAACTTAAGACTGTAAGATAAGCTAGTAATTCGGCTAGTGATTGATACCTATATACGTATTAATTTGTATTCATACGGACGATTCGCCAAGATGGTCCCGGCCCAATTAAATTACTAGTATGCTTCTGTTTATTTCTTTATACGTATTTAATTTGTAGAGTAGTCTGACACGCATTGCAGTGTTATAACAAGAACGGTCTTTGTCAGGAACACGTACAATATAGACTTTACTATATCATAGTTATATACTATCGAACAGTCCACATATGCTGTACATGAGTAACAGGATCAGCCAGCCATGGTCACATAACTTACCTGATGTACGCATCAGACTCATAAAATATTATCATATCAACAGCTTCAGCTATACTTATAACAGCGTACCCAGTGAGTCAGCTTCGACGGAGGCGGCGAATGCCTTCCGGCATTTGTTCGGTGAATGATCGATGCATCCATATATATACACAAATATATACCACCATTCTGGTACCTACTTAAGTTTATATGAGAAGAAAAAAAAGGAAAAAAATTCGGACCTACTTGTGCATCGCCGGCATATCAATCCGGCCATGCGATCGTGCAAGGATCAAGTGGAATCCACTAACTCCAACCGGTTAGCCGTCAGTTTGTTGTCAACCACATGGTTTTTGGACGGACGCTCGGACACAGTCTCCACACAGCTACGTAGAGTATAGCCCTAACCTAACCAGGACTTTCCTACAGACAGACAGACCAGTTTGGCAATGATTTTTCCCATTTCTAGCAGGTTGGCGTTCATTGCCAAGACATTATTACTCACTTGTAGTTTAGACTGGAAACCCCGCCATCGCAGACCGGATAATCTATCCGCAACTTAAGGCCAAAGAGGTGCTTATTCCTGAGACCAGTCACTATTGAAGAAGCTAAGAAAAATGTATGAATCGTTTGTCACGCTTAAATAGGTTATTCTGAATAATATGTAGCTGTTTTCTGTCATATTGAACCTGGTACTCCATTTTAATATGGATTATCTATCACCGCGACAATCCCGATTCCTCCCCGACGGCGAACCCCGAATCAGCATGATTCATGATTTCAAGAACCGCGTCAACCTTAGTAGAAAGAGAGGAGGGAAAACCGACGCTCGCATCCAGAAGCACGTGCAACATGAGTGAGAAACGTGATACCACCATTATGCCGTTAAGGCAGTATTTACTATCTAATGTATTCAAGGTCATCTGCATCTTCTAAGCCACCGTACAAATGACGGGTACAGATCTGATCTTCGAGAGTTGAGTTCGTTTAGTTTGCAAACGCTTTGACACGCATTGACCACATACTGGCATGCATGTGCTGAACCATTGTGCTGGGCTCAAGGCGAACAGAGGCTGGTTGGTTTATTTGGCGGCCTTGTTTCTCATTCCCCCTTCCTTCCCACCGATTCACTTGATAGAGATCAAGACCTCACAGGCTCTACACCGCACTTATCATGATGGTGGCATTGTAAACGTAGTTTGAAAACGCAGGATAAACAAAGTTCCGGGCAAAAAGCAAAAACAACAACTGAATATAAAATACACTAGTGAAAGCCACATGGACCACTGAGAACACTCCTTTGCTCTCAAGCGGCTTGGCACCAGTCTTGGCAATATACTTGGCCTCCGGGAAGGCCGAAACAGTGGGCCACCCCGATCTGGTTAGATTGGACTACGAGGTCTAGGCTCTAGCCCCCGTTTATTCGCTTGTAGCCGACTTTTTTCCGGCGAGCACAGGCTTGCATTTGCACCTGCACAACTGCGCAGCTTGGTTGGGAAGAATGAAGGGGCGAAATACGAAAACCTGAAACAGACCAGAAAAGAGACGAATAGGTCAAGAGTAAATACGATCTTTGAATACGAAGACCGAGTCCCGAAGATCGCACCGATGAGTGACCACCGGGCACCGGCAAAATGGCGAGATTGACTACTCTATTGCGATATATCCGTACAATCTTAATCTTATCAGTGTCAGGCTGAGGCTCAGATCTTAGTTACATTAGTATGATTATCCATTTTGTAAATTAATAGATCCATACGTAGCTCCGTATTAAACAAAATCAAGCATTCTATCAATTCCTTTTTATTGATACCACCCAATTGTTGCTGCTAGGTTTTTTCATCGAAGAAACGGGCATTGGCAGGTAGAACCTAACAGACGAAGAACAAAAATGCGGTTCTTTGTTTGCCACAATACCATGATTAATCACTGCAATGCAATAGTTATGCAGTACAAACATTTCGTAAAGGCTAGGCCGTAATAATGGGAGCTAGCCCGGTTGTAAGAAACAAGACTATCAGATTTTGACCTAGTGCTAAGCAGTCCGTTGACGCTTAAGCACGCATGCTGATGATGAAGGCAACGACTGGAATTCGTGGAATGTGACTCATCTGGGATTAGTTGGTCTCAGTGTCCAAGGCTTCTTCGTATCCTCCATGAGTTCGTACATGAAAGAGATAAGCGAGAGGGGGCGGGGGGCGATACAGAGCCAAGCAATGATTGAATAAGAGGGAAATATATGCATGTATATATTTTTCCCTTCGTTTTATCATGTCATGCATCATGCACGAGCAAGATTTTGAAGGATGGTGTGATGGGAATCAATAAGAGCAGATGCAAGGCGGAGTAATGTTGTCCATGCCAGGTACGGAGTAGAAACTTCCGCGGTCTGATGGCTGGCTGGAGGGAACTCGCTTAGCTTGAAATTGAAAGATGTATCCCAGATCGGGCGAGCCACTAAGCCTGTAAGGTAAGGTGGAACCATGGGTTCCAACTCCAGCGCTGCTTGTTCAGGCATAGCGCCGGCTGTAACCTATCTTGTTTTCTGGCTAGCCGCTCTGATTCGCTACCTTAAAGGAATTAGGCACAGCGCTAATCTGTTTTCGAAAGATCCAAAATGCCCTAAGCCACGTCAGGGACAAATCCCGTTCGGTAGACTCCGTCGTAACGGTACGTACCGTTACCCGTACGTATATGTATGTATCATGCTAGCCGCATCTGCCTGAGACAGGCTCTTCCCCAGACGCAAAGCCTTTGTCTCTTCGTCTTAGCTGTATCATTCGAACCTCTGTCACCTTTTTCTTTTTCCCCCTCCACCGCTATGCTTTGCAGACATGGTCAGAGAATGACACCGTCACCGCCACCGCGTGGTTGTGGGCCACCAGAGAATGTCGGTCCATGTCACAATTACGATCTAGGATGATAGCTAGTTGATACCTGAAATAAAAAGAATTTGTCACCTCCTAATTTAGCTCCCTTAAATATCCTACTATATAACTGATCCCATGAATATTCCTCCTCGTACAGAAAAGGAGTTCTCTTCTTCCATTGTAGCCCTGTTTGCGCTGGACATGGATTAGCTGCAAACCTCTTCGGCATTCCCCGTGCTCACATACATGGGGCTGATCTGCTTGGGCAGGGCTGGTCTAGACTGCTCCTTTCAATTCCATCAACAACAACAAGCTCCCAATTGACTTTGACTCTTTCCGAATCCACACCTATCTATCATAGCCACACATATATATCTAGCTAGATATATATACTCACAGGTGTTCCCACATCACGCAACCACTCTACCACCACCAGGCCCCAAATCCTCGTTTGCCACCTCCACAACTAATTCTCTCAACTCTTCTGGCTCGCCATGATTCTCATGTCTGCTACGTGAATATACACTCGCATGTTCCTCTCGATTGCGAACTACTGCCTACCCTGGGACATCAAGCCTGTCTAGATAGTCATCCCTAAGAACCTTAGAAGCTTTCCCAGCAACATTGGAACTGAGCACCTACTTGACTGCGACCTACATCTTATCATGATACTCACCGACACACTTACACCAAGGGCAATTATGTTAGCTGATGAGAACTCACTACGACTACCGATGATCGCCCCAAAAGATGAGGCCTGCGGCCCTTCAACCCCGCCGGGCTCGACCGCTCCCAGCGCCACAAAGCTCAGTATTCCGCCTCGGATACGCCTCCCCTCTCGATCACGGACGGGATGCTGGTTAGTTGACTTTCCCCTCTTCCATGATCTTTGACTGGTAGCTAAAACTTTACTCTAGGACATGCCGCGTAAGTTTTCTTCTGTTGCCGTTGACTCTAGCACACTTCTTGTATATGCTGACGATCTACGGTTGTCCTGATCATAGAGCCGCAAAGGTGAGACTTTCACATGAACTTTTCTACCATCTTCTTGAACATTAACACTTGACCGGGTTTAGTGAAATGTGATGAGAGCCGTCCTAATTGCGGTCAATGTGCCCGTTTAGGGCATCGCTGCGATTATAGCCCTCGCTTGACCTTCCGCGACGATACTTCTCGCGTAGTGGATCGTATGTCTGAAGTGTCAGTAACTGGGAACGCAGTATGGGACTGTAAGTTTTTTGATCTTTTGGTCGAGAGAAAACACCTCCGTTACAATTATGCATACTGACGGGAAATTGAATAGCTAAAGCACGCATTCACTCACCACCCGCCACCCCTAGAATATATGACTCTCTGCCTCCTTTCTTCATGTTAACATCAGATGATGAGCGTGAGAAGAAAGCTGAGAGCAGTTATCCGGGCACTTATCATGTCATAGTAAATCCCGAGAGCTTTTCAAACCTCCCCGAATACTCTGACGAGACATCGTCCGTTGATCTTAGCATTGGGCGCCTGAAGATCCGTCGGAGCTCAGGTACCAGCTCGACGCCTAGCCAAAAAGACGAGCTACGCAGCATTCCTGAAACAAATGATCCTAATACCGTCATCCTGGATTGCTTTGAAGAAAGCAACCACCGCTCTCCTCTATCTCATGGCACGAGGGCAAGGTTATCTCCAGCCTCTGATATCACTTCTGCATCTACGCTTGCTTCTCCAACGTTTCCTCCTGAGACCCACAGTGCGCTGGCACTAAATATAACATCTACGAATAGTAGCCAAGAAGAGCTATTGCTTATTCACTTCCGCGACGTAGTCTGGAAGCAACTCCTTCAAGGTCAATCTAGTCATTATCTTTTCTCTCCTATTTCAAGTCCTGTGACGCCAGGCGTGGAAATCTTTGAATATCTCGCGTCCACATTTCAACCTGTTAGTGGTCTACACCCTTCTGGAATTAAAAATATACTGACCATGATCTCAAAGTTATATCATGCCATGATGGCTGTGTCAGCGCTCAGTCTCGCCCGTCAGCATCGCAGCAAAAGCATTGATGCCCTGCAACACTACCACCAAGCATTTCCGTCCCTTCAGATAGCTCTTCACGATACGAACGACCTCTGCTCCGATGGCTTGTTTCTAACGCACTTCCTTCTTCTTATCTACGAGGTATGGCAACAATTTAACCGTCTTTGAGCCCCCTAGAACCTCAAAACTGATGTATTCATATTTCAGGTCGCCGCTGCTGAAGAGGGTGGTTCTAATTTGTGGTCCCATCACATGTCACATTTGCTCCAAATATCCCTGATGAGGGTGTCCACTTTTGGGAGTGAACGTTATCCCTATATCGTCTGGCTCGTTTGTAATATCGATCTCCATGCTCTTCTCAGTGGCGCTGGCACTGGCGACTTTCTAAAGGCAATGCTCGAGAACGATATGCTCCCTGGGAGCGAAAGTCAATTACATCCTGTGGCCCCAAGTGGACACAGCATCATATATCCAGAGGAACACAACACGTTACCCTCTGTTCTCCAGATCAACCATGAGACGTTCATCTTTGCGACGAGGCTAGCTTTTCTTGCCGCCGATATTCGGCAGAAAGGTGTTTATTATGATGCTTCACCAACTTCACTGAACTCGGTTGACGCACAAGCACGCCTTTACGAGATCAGAAACAGTTTTCACCATTTGTGGGATTGTCCACATGCTCGTTACCTTTGTGAGAATATGGATGTCTTACCACAGCGATCCCGTGAGATGCTACAAAATGTACGTGTTCAAAAATGTATGATCATACGAGGCGTTGTGACTGACTTTCTGCACAGGCAGTGACACTTTATCATGCTTGCATGATCTTTTCTTACACTAACTTATGGCATGGCCAGCGGTTGGGGTCAGACAGTGCTTCCGACGAGATAATTTCCCACCATACTACCAGGATCTTTCAGGTAGCAGAGGCTATCGTAAACTCCAGCCAGTTTGACTTTCGTTTTATTGTGTTTCCACTTTTCATTGCTGGTGTCTCAACTTCATCAGCAGAACAAAAGATGATGGCAATGGATCTAGTGTCTAGTTTGGAGAAGCAGGGTATCGGTCGTAATGCCACAACTACTCGGCATTTGCTTCAGATGGTGTATCAATCACAAACAGAGCAGCTCATGACCATTGGCCACACTGCCAATGTCGAATGGGCGGACGTTATGGTTCGACAGGGGATGCAGGTTGTCAATTTTGGGCTGTGAAATAATGCACGCATACATACATACACTAATAACTTGATACGGTGTTTTGGGGCTGGGATATGATTTTGGACTTGGCATATATGTAATTATATCATGATATTCACGTTAGCATGCGACACGAGGCTTGGGCATTTCGTTCTTGTGTCCTTCTTTCTCAACTTCATTTGCATATATTAATACGCCTTTCAATCAAAGCGATATAACCGACTTTCAAAGCACACACAATGCTACAATAACACCCTTCAAAGAACTTCTAGGAACTTGCACTAGTCCGGTATAGTAGTTGAAGTGGTAAACATTGAAAAAAAATTCCCAGAAAAATTCCCAGAAAATCAGAGTTTCCACCTCGTAATTGCGGTTCAACGCCTGCGAATGGAGCAGTGAAGACGACAGTATGTACGATGAAGACGTCTATTAATAGATACTTTGGTAGCGGGTCTCGGCCCGGTGCGGCAAAGCGGGGCCCCACCCTAGCATCATTCGATTGGAGGAGCAATGTGATTATAGTGCATACACACATACACTTATATTGTATCTATATCCTTTGAAGACCGGAATCGCTCTTTCAAACTCGCATGCTCAAATAAGGTGCCAATGTCTAGAATCTGTAATGACTAATTAATCGACAATTTCCCAGTCTTTCTGCTGAATGGATACTCGTGATAATAAAGGAGTACTGATCGATGCCTGCCAACCTTGGGAATTAGCCACCGGGAATTTTGTGATCCCTTCAACATCAGCCAATCACAGTACGAAAAAAGGATCTCCTGCTTCCCCACCTGCAGCCAAGCAAGCTATAGTCCGGCCAATTAGCGCAAAGAATCGCGTTCCCTCGCTGGCGCCTGACTTAACCAGCTAGTACTTGCGATTTGGCAGTAGTCGGCTGCTCAAACTGTGTTCATTTCGTTTCTTTTTCCTTCTTGACCTCATCCTCGAATCCTTGATTTCTTGCGATCAATATCCAGAAACCATCTACGAGTGCAAATCATCGGTTTGGGACGCTTATTTGTAGATCGGTTGAACTCACTACGTTGTATAGTACGGGGTGGATCCTGCCCGCCCCCTCCTCACTAAGCAGGTACGTTTTGGGTGCACTTTCTCGCTTCAGTTGAAATGGAACCTCATCTGCAGAGACACTGTGTGGTTTTAGGATATTTCACACATGCCTGCATGCTTGTCGTTGTAGCCAAACTAAAAAAAAAAAAAACGCGGCATAGACTTTCACGGCATTACTGCAACTTCTATTACTTCCCCTCATCGCTCGCTATCTTCGTGCGCCATGAGTCCTACAAATAATTATGGCAGGCCGGGCGAGGAAATGTTCCTGAACAATCCTCCGGCCAGTCGTCGAGATGGCGATGAATCCCCAATCGTGGAGCCTCTCAGAATATACAAGCCCCCGTCGACATCAACGCCTACCCCGCCGTCAGCTACTGCTACTGCTCTCCCTTACCCCGATGACCGCCCACGACCACCAAAATCCCAATCGCCATCCAGTCAAACACCCTACCCCGAACCAAATAGTCGCATTACAAGTCCAGCGCAAAGCACATCGTCCGCAGACTACCCCGCTGCTCTGCGGCCTCGTGAAGGACGAGAACCAAAGCCCTCTCTCGCCGAGAGACGCGGCAATGCGCCTCCGAAGCCTCTACCGGAGTCTCCAGGACCAGATACTCCAGATAAAGACGAACTTTTCCAAAAGTTCCCTCCCCCGGGACAACCTCGTCCTGTGGCAAGTGAAGCCAACAGCAACAATGCACAATCTAATCAACCCTTTTTCCCACCCCCAACCGCCGCCTCCGCAGCCCAAGCTCGCTTGAAAGCATCTAACCCGGCTTCCATTAATCGGATTAGCTCTACTGCATCCAACTCGACAACGCGCGCACAGAGAGGATCACCACCGCCTCCGGAAACTCCAATCGTGGGCCCCGGTCAACGGCCAGGAGCTGACATCGAGGCCCGCTTTGCAGCTGCAGGAATTGCAGGTACATCTACTCTAGCTGGCTTGCAGGCTCGAAATGCGGCTGCCCAGCAGCGAGCGAATCAGTACGCTGGTCAAGCTGAAGTACAACGACCCTGGACTCCCACCGAACAACCCGGTAGCCAACCACATGGGCCTCCCACCGTCTACCAGGGTTCCAGCGAAATTGGTGCCCAGCAGTATATTTCGCCTGCATCTACTCCAGCTGTACCTCAACAAACTCCTCTGCCCAACAGTGTCGAGAGGCAGGCGATCCCTCCCAATGCTTTGGAGCAAGATCTCCAGCGGATGAATCTTAGTTCTTCTCCGCCGCCGGCATATTCAACTGTCCCTGGAGCAAACTCTTCTCAATCGTACCCCAATGAAAAGGGGCGACCGGCAGCTGCTTCTCCTCCCTCCCAAGGATATCCAGCCTCATCCGCTGCACCATCCGTTGCTGGCTCAGCGGCGGGAGCCGTGACTGGAATTGCTCCAATCAATTCACCAGCACCTTCAGTACAGAGCCATCCGGCATTCGCTAACGATCCGAGACAACAACCACAACAACACATACCACAAACACAAACACCTGTTCAACAACAGCAACAGCAAATCTTGTCGCCCCAACAAGGCTATCCGGCCGGAGTAATAACTGAGCAAAGTGCCCAGTCTGTTACTTCTCCAGCTACGTCACAATTCCCCCCGGCTTCCCCTCCACCTTTGCCAGAGGGCTGGATTGCTCACTTGGACCCAAACTCCGGGCAGTATTACTACATTCACCTCCCTACACAGTCTACGCAATGGGAATTTCCAAAGGGGCCAACGCCTCTCAACTTAAATGAGACGCCCCTATCGCCTGTTAACAGTGTTTACAGTGCCCATCCGCTTACATCTCCGGCATATTCTACTTTCGGGGGCAAACCACTCGCATCCCCAGGGGTCCCCATGACCCCTATGTATGAGGGTAGTGTCATGGGTCTTAGTAGTGTTGGAACTGCCATTACTGGACCTCCCCCTACTAGTGGTGTCGAGCTGTACAAAGTTGCGCCTACGAATGGAGTCTACTTTGGACCGTATTTGCGGTACTGTAATATGGATCTAGAAAGGGGGATCTGGTTAGGGTCTATCTTGCTTGTCACCGACGCTCCACAGCCTCCAACAATCCATATTCATCAGAGCATTGATTTGTCACCCAATCCCAGACAACTAAAGGCGGTCAATATATCTCAACACCAGCGCTGGGTGTTTTACAAGTATGATATTGATTTGCAGATGGAAGAATCTGGCCCTGCAAAGTGGACGTATGCCATCACCTCTCATCTGGGCTGTACGCGCTACGAGTTTCTTGTCGCTGGACGATACGAAACGAACTGGAGGTTTATTGCCACCTCTGGCAATGACTTTTCTTTGAATGTCAATGCTAATGAACGGGCTCGCCTGGGTGGTGTCGGCTTTATGTGGAAAGATATCATGCAGAAATATGCCGAAGTTGGCGGGTTTCATTGCCAACTCGGCCTTGGTGGTCAAATATCTGCAGATCGTATTTGGAAAGAGATTCCTCTTCTCAGGCAGTGGCTGGCGATACATGGCAAAGAACAACGGAAGAATACGCCCTGGACTACTGCACATGAGGAAGAAGTCTCGCATGCGTATTTCCATTACTATACAAGTCATTTTGATCAGCCTTATCTACGAGAGGCTTTTGCGCAAATACCGCATATTCTCCAGTTAGACGACCAGGATATGTAAGTCGACTTGTTCTCTCCTTTCCTCTTTGCTTTGCTGACTTGGTATATCTTGGAAGCTTTGACGGGTTCGGATCTTATCCACCACATATGCAATTCTCAAACGTGTTTAAGAACATCGGCCGTATCGGTATTGAGATGTATCTGCTATTCCAACATCACACAACCATAGAGCTCCTTCGCAATATGAATTCAGATCATGATCTGTTCACGATAACTGGAACGGGCTGGCATTTCGTGAAATATTTGGGACCAGCAGTTGCTGTCGTCGGCCCTGACTGTCGGTCAGAGCGGAATCCCCATCAAGTTATGGCAGGCCCGACATACCAAGGCTTGTTCCCCAAAGTCGTCTTGTTACCTCCAAGCGTACAACATTGTATCTGGTTGCTTGCAGTTCCCCTGATATACCCACGTCTTGAATCAACCGAACAGATAGCGAACGCCGTGGCTACTGGTAAGAAAGCCGTTACCGGTGCATATAACCTCTTGGGCAAGGTGACCAGTTCGGTAGCGGGCGTTGTGGGAGCCAAAGATGCGGTGGGCTCTGGATTTGATGCAGTCAAACGAGCAGTCGGCAAGAATGGATTGATGGGCAGTGTGCTCAACCCATTCGGCGAGATTGACATTGTCGACGAGTTCCGAGACCAATGGACGCATGACTCCAAGGATCTTGAGCGCACATATCTGATTCGCACGCTGCAGGGTATCGCGAAACAAAAGTCCATTCGCATCACCTTTTTGTCTGGAGCAGTCAATCTCTGTGGAGCAGGTCTAGTACATGACCCGAGTCATCCATCGGACCACAAGACCATGTATCAACTCATCGCATCGCCCGTGGTCAACACCCCGCCATCATCATATATCCTGAAACTACTTCATAGCAATAAACCGTTATATATCCCTGCCAATGGGCAGCGTTCCACCCCATCACAACCAACTGATACCAAGGAGGATATGCTTGAGCTTTTCCAAACTGATGTCACAGGCACGCCCCGGGAACACCGTCGCCTGATGGGACGGCGTAACTACGTCGCCATTGTCGCCTATGACCCGGAAGTTGTTGCAGGAGCATTCGGTCAAATCGATATACAACGTGGTGGTGGAAAACTCAGTCTTGCTGCCGATTTTATGGTTCAAGGTGAAGGTGCTTTTGGAAGTGTAGTCAAGTATGGGCCTGTGATTATTCCGAGCTTGGCTTATGGTCAATAGTTTTCTCCTTTTTTTTTTTTACCTAAATATTAGCTTCGAGCCTTTTCTACTTTCCTGTCTATCCTTTCTTGCATAATATTTGTTACCGTCTGACCGTTTTTGCGTGTATTTCTCTTTTGTCAAGTCTAGATGCTGGTGTTTTCAAGCCCTTGTCGATGCCCCGTCGTGACGTGTCGACCATTGGTGACTCGGCTTAGATGCAATACCTCCAGCTTTCTTTTTGCCCCCTGTCAAAGCTTTGCTGATACATGAATATATTTTGTTTTGGTAAATAACATTAGTTCAATAATCGAGTATTCGAACATGCTTTACGATACCTAGGCAATATAAACGGCTAGTTACTTCGATTCATCTACATACCATACGCTTGTTCAATCTGCACTTAATTCATTCTCAATCAATGGTTTAGCTGTGATAGCTTACATTTGCCCCTACCATCTCCACCAACCTGGATCCCCTCCCGGAACGCAAAGACCGATCCGCCAGAAATAGTCTCTATGAGCAAGGAATAGTTCCCAAATACGATACCTAGCTGGTAGAAAGGACCATTGTGCTTTCAACTCCTCCATTTCAAGCTCCTCAAGCTGCAACTGCTGCTGCGGAATCGAAGCAAGAGAAGAGATCATCTTGGCTTTTTCGTTACCATCGCCCTCAGCCCCGGCGATACAATGGCTGTCGGCACTGCCAGTGCAAAGTTCGAGATCAGCAATTGAAGGGGGTAGATCAAGCTTGGAAATATATATTTCACCCGCATGCGGTGCATATCCCCATTCCGCCAGAGGTAAAAGTGGAACAGGATCATTAACATGCGTCACGCGTCGATACCGCATCAACATACCACCACCATCATTACCATCAGTTTGGGGCCCCTCTAGTGGAGAAGAGAGACTGAATATCGCATCGATAAACTCGGCCATTTTGTCATTCCCTATTTTCGGTTCTCCGAATGTCGTAACTAGCGGATCAAATCCTCGAGCATACATCTCCAGGCCCGCCAGAGCTGCTACCGCACCGCCGAGAGAGTGTCCAATGAGAGTCACTTCATAGTCTGGGTATTGCTCCCGAGCTTGAGTAACTGCAGAAAGCACCGTGTCCCGGGAATTTTTCCACGACGTCCAAAATCCAGCATGGACTGCACAGTTGTGGCACTTTCTCGCTTCTAAGATGCCTTCAAAGGCATTATCATCATCGCCGTCCGCGGGGTATGGCACGTAGGTCTGCGGAACGGCTGATAGATCGACGATGGTGTTCGTTAACGAGTGGGTTCCACGAAAGGCAAGGATGATTCGTTTCGCGAAAGGCGGGTGCGATAGAGCGATATAACCACACGAGTCGGATAGCAATGGCCCTGTGTTCCAGGTCTAGAAAGCGAACAAAAAATAAGCAATCAGCTTGAAGGTCTCTGAGGTTTGAGCATATTGCTCACCGTAATCAATTCAAACCCGTTAAACTCCTCGCAATGACTCAGACATCCGAACGGGCTATAAATCCCAGTAGTACCAACACAATAAGCGATATCCGCTAGTCGTGCTGATTCCTCGAGCTCGGCAAACAAGGTCGCAGATACCGACCTATTCGTTGTGTATCGCTGCTGTGACAAAGTATCGTTGAGGATCACGTCGGCCTTGATCGATGGGGTAGTTGCAAATGAAAGTATTGCGAGACATCGCAGCAGACTGAGTAGTGAATACTTGATGCTCTCCATAGTCTTCGATATGAATGCATCTCTAGGTAACGTGTAGAGCTGCGTATAGAGGGCGCAAGATGAGAGAGGGGTTAGTCTCACATATCGCTACCAAATTAGAGTGGAAGGACTAGAGTTCTCTCTCCTTTGAAGGTCTGTGTGGCTCATCTGCAGAAGAGAGGCGAGATGTGAGGTTTGTCACAAGACATGCCCCAGTCTGGGGTAGTTGGTTGCTGTATTTGTACTAGCGGGCTGTTACGTGGACTAGTCACTAACCCCGATTGATCTACAGTCACGTGAACTTGTAGCATAGGCCTATGATTTCGTGGCTATATATTTCTTACTGTACTGTACCGTTCCTATTGAACGTTTTCAAGTGTAAATTAGAAAGGATAGTGTGTCTAAATGGTCCACACGACAACTCTACCGTCCACACCACTCGCTGCAGAGACGTCAGCCTATGCAACATTAGGGAACACCCAATAGAAAACTTACTAGTAAACTTCTTTACGACACCACCGTGTTCTTCATAGACACGAAGGGTGTTGATGGCGTTCTGGTGGACTGTGTCAAGTTGGGTGTTGCTTCGAGTCTGGCCATGAAGATCCATTTGACGGAACATATTCAAGGCAGACTCCTCCCGGACGCCCCCAGATGGGCTACGCTTGCTTTCCAAAGATCCGACTAATTGCCAGCCATTCTCATCACCGCGAAGTCGATATACTTCACAGTCCTACAGGGAATTTGATATTAGCTGGATATTCGCGAGCCGCAGGAAATCAAAGGTCTACTCACATGACCTGCAGCGATGATTTGATCTTCACCACTCCAGATAAGGCTGGTAAATGGTAGTAGGCGAGTACTAATATTTAGCATTGCCCTTGGCGGCTGGTCAGGAGCACTAGGGTATACGACAGTTACGCTGCTGTCGTGGGACGCAAATGCCAAAGCATTTCCGCTCGGTGAAAAAGCAATACCATGCACCCAACCAGCAGAGTCGTTCAAGAACTCGCCACAGACGGTATTGAACGGGAGACGTTCACCCCAAGCCGAGGGCTCTGGCCTCTCATCAACGCCCTTGATGTAACTCGACAGTACTCTTGCGTGAGAATCAGAAGATCCAGCGGCCAAAAGGACCGAGTTTGGGTGCCATGCGAGGGTGGTAATAGTACTGCGGATTGGCTTCTTGAGGTGCTTTGAGATCCACCAGTCGTTCTCTTCTTCGAAGTAGCACACGGCAATCACTCGGGCTCCGGAACCGACAGCGAATTTTTGCTCGGAAGGGGACCATCGTACAAATGTGGCAGCACGGTTGATTCGGAGAAGCACGAGCGTAGGCTTCCAACCACTGGCTGTACGCTCCCAGACATAGGCATTGCGGTCTAAATAGATAGCATGTGTTCGTTAGTTTCGGAGCGGCGGCAAGCTGGTTTCGTTGTCGATGTTTACCTTGAGAACAAGTAACGATGCGACCACTGTTTGGGGCTATATCGACACCGGTAACAGTTTTCTCGTGGCCTCTCAATTCATCTTTCAGAGCAAACTTGTTGCCTGACAACTGATAGAGCTCCACATTGCTCTCTCGAGCAACAGCCAGAGTACCCTTGTCTTGAGAGAAGGAATGGTCTGCAATGGGGGAATGGAAAAGATGGTGGACCTCAGGAGAAGCCATTTCGATCTTGAGGAGTTGACACGACAGGAGTGACTCTCTACTGCCGGGATGTTGATTGTTTCGTCTGGAATACTTGATGAGGGGCGCTCTTGGTTGACTTGGAAGGACACTGATGACGAGGGTGCTCCGCCTGGACCACCATCCGATCGCACGTGATCTTCTTGCCTAAGCTACCACCCTGGAGAGATAAACATAATAGAAAAATTCAATTTCTAGCTTACTTTTGCTTATATATCGAGTGAATTTATGATCACATATCTCCGAACCAAAGGCATTGGCGTTCAGCGTTCAACGTTAAGTAAGTCACGTGATTTACTGGAGCTTGAACGCGCTAATTTCAATTTCTTGCGGGAACGTCTCGTAACTAACTCATTTCTCCAGCATAGATTTTGATCGATTATTCTCTCTCCTCGGAATTCAACCAGACCACACAATTGTCCATCATGGCTACCAAAGTGACAGCTACTCGAAATGGCCAGACAAGCACTAAAAACATTGGTGCGCCCAACCAGACGTAAGTATGTCTGTTCTCGTTCATGACGGTGGAACCTAATCCGCTATTACAGGTTGTACATAAAAAATCTACCGGACAAGATTCAAAAACCAGACATCAGGATGGCGCTATACACCCTCTTTGCAACATATGGTCCTATTCTGGACGTTGTGGTCATGAAAACGGTCAAGATGCGAGGACAGGCACACATAGTCTTTCGGGACATCCAAGCTAGTACTCAAGCTCTGCGTGCTCTTCAGGGATTTGATTTCTTCGGGAAAGAGTTGGTAAGGCGTCCCCGCCCTCATTAAGTGAAAATACGGTTACTGATATAACCTGTCTTAGGTAATTGCATATGCCAAAGGGAGCTCCGATGTCATTGCGAAGCTTCGCGGCACCTACATGGCAACAAGCGCCGCAGCAAATGCACCCGCAGGATTGTCAACCGACTTACAAAAATCTATTTTTGGCGCTCCACCCTCTACAACGGTCGGTATTAAGCGTCCTCGCGAGGAAGAGAGCGACGAGGGCGAGGCACCTATGGATGAGGATGAGAGTGATGTCTCAATGGAAGCATCATCGGATGAAGACTAAGGAGATCATGTTCAACGAAATGGCAACAGGATCTAGTTCTTTCCTTCGCAACAAAAACAAGGCGCGACTAAAATCAGGTCGCTTCAAACGGTGATCCCATGAACAGCCGGCTAGGAAGGTTTAGATTGATACAGCTACCAATCAGGCCGAGCCATATGAGAAGATAGTTTTCCGGCTCGATATTTTCATCGTCAACGATGGCTTTCATGGCCGTGGCGGTGTTACAGGGGTGAACAAAGTAAGCTGGTATGCCAGACTGGGGATGGTACTGTTCTTGATGAGTTCAAAATCGTTCACAGAGACAACTTCGCGACAGGGCGTCATGACGTACTCCAAAACTAATGCCGCCCACGACTCCGCTACTTCTCAATGACCGCTGGTGTTGGTGGGGGACAAGGTGGTTGTATATGTCATCTAATGCTGCAGGGCCTACCTGAGGGGCCCCTTTTAGCTGAAAATACATGACAGGCACGCGATATGATGTCGAGAATGTAATATCATAATCAACGCCTGGTCTTTGTTCATTGGTACCATATCGAACAAGGGTTTCCTAGCACGTAGGCTTCAAATTAGAACTAGTAGTAGCTACAGTGAGATTCGTCACAAGTCTTACATAATCGTCATCTTCGATCAAATCTTCTTGTGACTGCTCATGGCTCTCTGTGACTTCTCGAGTCTCTGTAGAAGAGTCTCGAGCCGAATTTGTATGTTTTGATATTCTCAAGACCGGGGCATCGGGCTGTGAAAAGATGTCTCCCATTAGTTCGAGTCTGTGCATCTTTGCCACGACAACTGCCGTGCCAGCTGTGCCTAGAGTGGAGCAATTGTGCGTGTCCTAAGGGGAAAGCATGGCACTATTCTCATGCCCTCTCACACCGACCTCAGATGCCATATACCCGACTCCCAACCAGCCGAGGCTGCGGGCGCCCCCAGCTGCATCAACTCGTCGCAAAAATGCTCGACAGGCACGGTCAAAGCCATCCGCCGTCATGAACGGGAACGTCGACATGCCGCCACTTGCCATGCAGGTCGCTTCAAGTTATGATACTGGCATTGATTCGTTCTTGTCGTCAGACCATGATTTGGATCAGGACTGAAACTCTTTGAAGAGAAGGGTCCTGGGAGAATGTGTAGAATCTTTGGTGCTTCAGACATGAAGTCACCACAGAGGAAGGAGCCGCCTTGGCGGGCAGGCAGGAAGGCAGGCACTGACCGGGTGGGGCCTTCCTTCAATGAGATACATCCATTCCACCAGTTCTCGTCGTGCGTTTGTATTATTTATTTACCTGCGTTCATAAGCAACACTCGATGTTTTCGTTTGGACAGACCTCGATCAGGCAGGTGCCTTGAACAAACAATGGCTTTTACCAGGAGATATTCGCCTTCCACGTTCCCGATGAGAAGCGGGTAATGTAAAGAGTGAACGAGCCGACCGCTTGCGGACGAGGGCTATCAGATTCGCAATTCTACACCGACCGCGAGAGTGTCTGCAGCTCGTTGCGCCTCACGCTGCTAATATGCATCCAGAATACTGCATGCACATTTTACGCTCACCCTACCTCGTGATGCATGTGAGAAAGTCTATGTGCCAGTCTAGCCTCAGTCGCTTGCATGTCCTCACTAGGGCAGTTGAAGCATGACATAAATAGTCTGGCTTTCAAAGCAGCTCTACATCAGCGGCGGACATTAGGGCCAGCGCCAGGAACAGTGTGCCTCTCTGAGTGGATGGTGTGGCATTGTCGGTCCCCGCAAAACCACAGGCAAGTTCGGAATAGGCGCTCCTTATCCGGTGTTGATAAGTCGTATCTGCCAATTGACCCACGGCCATGCTCCGTTTTCGAATCCAGCCTTGTTTTGGCAACAATCCCAAGCGCGCGGAGACAGCCACAGCAACCCCGTTCTGATATCCTGTTTTATTGCACGATGCAATGCTGGGGCTGGCGCAGTCGCAGTTTGCGGCATTGGATTGGCCAGATTAGGCAATTAATTGACTATCAGCGGCCGGGTGTAGTAATTACGGCACCAGGTACCATTACGCATTCGTCCTTGTTTTCATGCACCACGATCGTCGTCCAATCTTCAATCAATATCAACACGGGCTTGAGCCCATAAGAATTTGTGCCGCCAGATTGTCATACTACCTGAATTCATACTGTCCTATACTTAGGCCTCCCGTATCTTCGTTTCGAAGCAGCGACATTTAGTCCTCGGGATTGTAGAATCCTATCGGGCCATTAAATTGTTCACTGCCTACATTGATAAATTCGTGCCCTCGGAAACAAACGCTCCCTGGACCTTGTGAGACCGACCCTTTGACAGGCCGAAAGAAACAAAGCCCGCGATCTCTCTTATCTTGGTTTTTGAGGGCCTTGCTGGATTCCCTCGTTCTTTGGGACATGTGACATTCGAGCAAAGTCATTGCATGAAGACCCTGGGACAAAAGACGTTATTAAGGTGAAGCGCTTGTCAACAGAAAAATTTCTAAAACTCTGTTTTCTAACTGCGCTTAAGGAGCAGAGATACTATTATTATCTTCTCCCCATGGGTCACGCATTATCAAAGGAAGTGCGGCATGAACCTCAAAATCCGAGGCGATTGTCTAAGCCACAAATTTCACAGCCAAAGGTCGGAAAGGCCACTAAAACAGCTAACTGCGACCCAAGTCCTCTGCTCGATGAGTCAATGTTCTGGAAGAGCCCATGGACTGGCGACCTCCTGCCCAAGGTCACTCCAGACTCGACAGACCGTAACAGAGTGCGGTCTTTCCCATCATTGTCTGAACCACCACTGTTGACCCAGGGAAGCAAACGGTGGTCAAGTCTCGATGACTTTGTTCTGATGAAGAATGACGGCTCGTTGTCACGGTCAAGCTCCTATATCTCCAGGCGGCTTTCAAGACGCTCATCGCATACTCGGAGGTCGGAGCAACCCGGAAAACTAACTCTTCGAGATACTCGTAGGGAGCCAGTTATTCACTTTGGACCATCGGACATTGGCAATCATGACCAGCGTTCATCCATCGAAAATTTAACAGCAGAAGACCGGTCGCCGGTCGAAGATTCATGTGTTCCACTGGGTCGTCGCCAATCATTCCGCAGACCGGGTATTGCAACGCGAACTCCCTCCTGGGGCTTGTATCGGACCCAACTTCCATCAATCCAGCAGGAAGACGAGAAGGAGCATCATGATGTAACCTCTGCTTCACAGCTCTCACCATGTGAAACCGAAGAACAAGGGGAATATATGCCTGTCTATTCTTCTAATAGACGAGCCACTTCTCCTGTCGCACTAGACTACTCTCATCTCAGTGGCTTCAAAAAAGGCACCTTGAGAATCGTCAATGGCTCGGTATCTCCAGCATGCAGTGATCGTGTTCGCCTTCTCACAACATCTACTCTGGCTCAAGAGCCCGTCAAACCCGTCTATGACAAGGAAACCCCTACCGTGTTCACGTCGAGTATGGACTATGACGATGAAGCCATCGATGTCTTCGATAATAATTTATATAACGAGAATCACAACTCCTCAAGAAACAGGCAGCCCTTGGAGGCATGTGAGGGCATTGCCTCAGAAGTCATTGACTTTACAAGGATAGAAAAGACGCAATCTATCACAAATGTTGATAGTGGGTACAGTTCACTCAGCTCACTTCGTTCTGACGATTCATCTAGACAGTCAAGCTCTCCGCCTATGGGTTCCCCAATGGATGGCAGTCCTGCACAATCTGGAGGGGGAAGTCCCATGGATAAAGAGGGTTTTTACAACCAAAATAACCCTGAAGATGAATCATATTTCACAATCAACAAGTCTTCAATAGATCGAGAGAACTGCAATCTTGGATATCCCGAAGCACACAGGGCTGGAGATCCTAATGCTGAGCGGTCGCGTTATTACGCCCACCTTGGGCACTTGAGTGTCCCATCAGTGCCCGGGGTTGTCGGCATTGAGGACAGGGAGAGCGATTTAGAGGACTCTTACATCGGGACAGATGATAGCGAGTCAGTGTATAACGACCAATCAGATCGTTTCCCAGTGCCGCGTTCCAAGCCTGATTATGTAGACCAGGCTGTGACGTCTGAAACAGGCAGTGGACCTTTGGCATACGGAGAAGATTGTGATGCACCTCGAGGACGGACTCGATCACGAAGTATCAGCCATTCTCCCTCAAAATTGGCCAAGACAACAGCGTCTCATTACCGATCCTAACGCCGTGTGTTTCTTGTTTGGAAAATATCTCTCATTTATATACATTGCTGGAGTCAAATATACCATTCCTTACTTGCGCCTTTTTTTTTGGGTTGTTTTCGGCGCAAGAATCTGGCGGTCTTTCATCTGGTTGGGGATCTAGGAAAATTGGAGTTCTTGGGCAGGTGGATTTTGTGTCGAGAGTCCTTTTCTTTTCACTTATCTACGAAGTCAATTCAAATGCAATTATTTGGCCTTGCTTTTTGTTTTAAGAATTCAATATCCATTATGACTTTCTCGTTACATGATGAAAAGGGGCAAACAAATATGATACACAAAATGCAAAATGCTGATTCGAATGATACAATCAAGAGACATGACATTAATGACATTAATCGACGGCGCCCAGGAAATGATCGAAATGAACGTGAACCGATGAAACTCCTTCCAACAATGCACTCATTAAAAGAAATGTTGAGTCGGGGAAGAATATTCGCGTTTACTCAACGCGTATCCTCTTGGCCAGCTTGATCGTTTCCTTTGGCACCGTAATTGACAAGATACCATCTCTCAATGTCGCCTTGACACCGTCCTGGTTGATGCGATTTGGGAAGGTGAAAGTCCTCTGGAAATTGCCGATCTGACGCTCCGAGGCCCAATATTTAAACGTTGCTGCCGCTGGCTGAGGTTTCATGGCAGGCTTGGGGACTACATTGTTTGTGGAACGGGTTGTAGTATTGTCGCCAGTCTCATTTTCATCTTCAACAGTGGGCGAGTGGTAGTTCGACTTGGTGCTTGAAGCATCATCGACATCGTCATCGAGACTCCGTACAGACATGGAGTCGTCGTTGGTGGTGGTGGTGGACTCTGGGGAAGTGGCAACATCGTAATTGCGGGACACTTGCCCCTTTACGACCATGGTTTCGGGGTCGGTGAATTCAATTTCAATGCTCTCCTGCTGAGCACCAGGAAGCTCTCCGTTCAAGATGTAGCTGTCATTTGCCTCTCGCACGTCAAACTTAGGCGTGAAGGAGATTTGAGGGGGAGTTGGGGCAGATTTGGCTCGACTGGATCCGTTGGATTTTGTGGGCTGGCGACTGTCGCAGTAGTCATCCATCAGCTGGAAGAGTGGCAGGAAATCGCCAGGAGACAGAGTTGTAGTGTAGAAAGGCATGTTGTTTGGTGTTGTGGTAGAAGTGATAGTACTCTTCACAAGTTATGGTGTCTTGTTTCAAGGTGAGATGACAAGTAATGTGTATCGCTAATAGTGATGTGTTGATAAGTGTGATGATGAATGAAAACTGGAAGCATGATGGAGAATGCAAAAGACGAGTTTTTATAGCATTCAATGCATCGTCCATACATCCATCCGGATGCTTCCAGCATGTGGTGGAACAAACAGGCTAAACGCGGGAGAGACCCACACTAGCTTAGCTCATCCCATCGCCTCAGGTCGCCACACGTGACTTCTTAGTAATGCACTCGAAGCCCCAAGAAGATTCGAGTGTTCACCAGTTGATGTCCCTGATACCAGGCGACGAATACATCTCGAGTTGGCGGTGTCCTTTGCGCAGCAGGTGTTCGATGGTGGCAAAGTCCTTCTTGTTCACCTCAAGCTGCTTACGGAATTCGGCGCTACTCCATGTCAGCCGGAATGCGATCGAACAGTGCGAAAAGAGAGAACATACTGTGCATAAGCTCTAAACTTGTGTCTTGAGTTCTGTCGAATAAGTAGTCATCAATAAAGAGAAAATTCCAATTGCCAAAAGAATATCCAAGATGTAGCCATACCTCCGGCTTTTTTCGAACCTCTCTCAGGCACTGCCGGTAGAGAGAGAGGACTTCGCGCTGTAGACCTGACAACCGTCGCATCCTGGGCTGGGTAATTCCGGGGTAATCTATGCCTGAAGCCTTTCTTCCAATGAGCTTTTCTGTATTCAACGCTTAGTCGTCAGTCAACCTTTGCCTGACAGTTAGCGGGCTCGTTGGGTGAACTTTTGACTGGAGATGCGGAGTTGAGCAGCGGAAGGCGCGTTGGAGCTGGCCAGTCAGCCGGAGAAGCGCTTTTCGGCCGAGTTGCCGTGACTTAAGCGTGCGCAACGCCATTCACGGATTCCACCATTGCAATACATCCGTATATAGCGAGACTCTTGGACGTTCACCTCACTTCATTGAGTGGTACACTAAACTTCTGGTTTGAAAATGTCTACATTCTCGGTAGGTGGTCACCCTCTTCTCCGGGATGATGTTGCACAACATTCAAATGGCGTATACTGACTGACTTGAAAATATACACGGTAGCGTCTGGTCCGATTCCTCGCCAAGGATGGCCTTGTATACTATGGCGACGCCATTCTGCCAGCTGGGCAGAGTGATCTCACTCAAGTCACAAAAGCCAAGGTCATAAAGGGAGACATATTCGGACAACATCGAGTCACCGATCAAGTTGCTGAGATCAAAACTCTCTTAGCGCCATTGGCTCGCCACGACATCAAGACCGTGCGATGCCTGGGTTTGAATTACGAGCAACATGCGATAGAGTCCGATCTCCCCATTCCTCGTTATCCAGTGCTCTTCTACAAGCCTGTCACTTCAATTACCGGTCCCTTTGACGATATTCCAGTGCCGGCTATTGCCCAGGAAGGCGAAGGCTTGGATTACGAATGTGAGCTTGTTGTGGTCATTGGAAAAGAGGCTCGAGATGTCCCGGAGTCGCAAGCCTTGGACTACGTCTTGGGTTATGCTGTTGGTAACGATGTGTCTCATCGCGATTGGCAGCTAAAGAGAGGCGGCGGTCAATGGGGATTAGGAAAAGGATTTGATGGATGGGCGCCCTTCGGACCTGGTATTGTGTCCTCGAAACTAATCCGTGACCCGAATACTCTCAACATAACCACCAAGCTCAACGGGAAGACCGTCCAGTCATCAAACACCAAAGACATGATCTTTGGTGTCGCTCAAACCATTGCATTCCTCTCTCAAGGAACAACCCTTCTACCAGGTGATATACTCTTGACTGGCACGTAAGTTATCTGTTCAAGAACCAGGGCTGGCTACGAAGATGAGACTGATGATTGTCTACAGACCTCAGGGTGTAGGCATGGGGAGAAAACCTCAGCTCTGGTTGAAAGATGGCGATCACGTAGAGGTGTCTCTTGAGAATGTTGGGACATGCTCTAATCGTGTAGTCTTCAACAAGCCAACTGCGAAACTCTGATTTTGTGTAGATGTAAAGCCGGCATTTCAGATGAAATATTTCTCGTTGAGAATTTTCAGGGTAGAACCGAATGGGCTTCTATATAAGGTTGAGCACCATGAGGGCGTATTTCTCGGATTCTCCTCTTCCTGAAGTCTTCAGATAGTCATTGTGTTCAGCATTTTTGCCTCATCATTTTCTTACCCTCAAGATCATCTTAGCTTCACGCCAAGTTAAAGTAGGCGACGCATGGCTACGTGAAAACGATAGTAAACATCATAATGTTATTCTATTGAAAGATAGATCCTGGCCACAATTGTCCCATATACATTCTTGATCTTAGTTCACTTGTGTGCCATATCCACGGATAGTTTCGGCGAAAGCCCAGCTTTGAGACTCCAGCTTCTCTTTATCCTTGATCTCTACCCCATCGTGTGTGATGACTGCAAGCGTGTATTGATCCATGCTCCGTGCATCTCTGTAAAACAACACCTTCATGCAATCCTTCAGAGCCGAGATGGCCTGCTCCTTTGAGATATTCTCGATCGGCGTTTCTTCCGGAAATAGACGACGAAGAATCGGGATGGCTAAATGAGCACCGAATCCGGTCGCAAGGTGAGGCGCGGAGAAGGTAGTTCCCAGCAGGTCGGCAGAACTAAGGAACGGGTTGCCATCGCCATCGAAGCCTGCGACTAGCACGTGATTCCACAATGGGTTCATCTCGGACCGGCGTTTGTAGAAAACTTTAGATAGGTAGGTGTGTAGGTTCTTAGCATTAAGTGTGCTACCAGTGGCCGAGTAGTTCTCTCGTATCTGGATAGCGCCCAGTAAACGGTCGATGTGCTGCATGTCTGACACATCACCGCCAAAGCCAACAAGAGCCGACTGGTCGAAAACGCGGATACGGTTGACATCAGTAAATCGAGCGAGGGATCCATAAGACGCTGATGAAGACGCCGTTAGTTCATCTGAATTACCATTGTTTCTGGAAAGTGTGTACCTAGATTGTCTGTGGCCATCGCAACACCTCCATTAAACTTCAGGGCAATGACTGATGTTCCCGTCACTGCTGGGGACTGTGTATGGTTTTTAGGTCCGGTCGACTGCAAGTACGAGTGGTCATAAGATCCGTAGATGTCGTCTCTGGGCTGTTGCAGCGTTAGCATAACGGGGATCTCTCCACACGCGAGAAAGAGAAGCGTTGCAACTCACACGACCCCAGGTTCCGGGGAAATGATCCATCTCTGAAGGGGTAGAGTATGTAAGCTGAATTCTGGTGATAAAAAGGCGGCGATTAATCAACGCTGTCGTGGAGGATTGCTGGGATGGTCTTGACGGGGAGCTTCCAGAGAGCTCACTGTCTAGGCAGGAAGCTGACGGAGGCAGTGGGTCCAGCCAATCGATGTCTGCAAAGCCACAGTTGAACTTGTGGCTGGTGCCGCCTCTACAATCTGCCTATATCAGTATACGAATATATTTTGGGATAAATGCTAGACTATTATTACTAGTATTATTTATGAAATCATGTTTAGAGCTTATCAAATATTTGAGCTTCATTGAGTAGCATTACATTTACGTAATCCTGCAAATCGCCCATAGAGAGGACAAGATCATATTCCAGCATTTGTTCACTCAGTTTATGTGCAAATCAGCGTAACCCTAGTCGTGACGACCGGAAGAAGGAACGAATTCAACTGCCGGCCTATTCTTGTTGGACTGCTTTGCTTCCTCGATCTTGGCACGTATAGATTGCTGCGTTCTGTAGAGCTCCTCTTTATATGCCCATGCGGGTAAAGCAGTATGATCCCATATATCATGTGGAAGAGTTGTGGAATATTGACTCTCGTTGCCAATGCCCGTGTGCTCCCGAAGTTTGACGAAGAGACTCGGGTTTCTGAGCGAAGAGGACGACGATAATTTTTCATTAAAATGCACTCCTTGTTTCTTCAGCGAGAGGAATTGTGTTGTTTTGCCGCTCGCAACAGGGTTTGGAGACCCAGGTGGCGATGGAGGTATTTCAAGGTTAGGAACAGGAGGCAGTGTCCAATCTTGAATCAGAGCTCGAGACGCAGAGTATGGAGAAGATTGGCCTGGTTCTAGTTGAGCTGTGGAAGGTGTTGCTATCTCTGCGGGCTGTGAGGGCCCTAGAATTGGTCCATTAATGGGGCCAGGTTCTATCTTTGATTCATCTTTCAGCTTCGCGGTGGCTTCCTCTGGATGTATCATCAGTCTAGTCTAGGGTTCCAATGACGGATGTCTGTACATACTCTCTAAGATGCCATTGTCCTTAGCTATTGTGCTTTTATTTTGAGATAACTTCTTCCGTGCAGTTAGTAAAAAACCTATAACCAAGGGAGCTTGTTCATGCACACCCACCTTGGAGGAAGTTCTCACTTTAGGATCCTCGGCCTCATCCTCACTGCTACTGCCATAGCCTCCAAGTCCTAGCATTGCGTCTTTCCAAGCTGGCGTCGGAATGCTTGGTTATATAAAGTTTGGCACTGCAAGCGTGGGACAGCACAATGAATACCAAGATATGTGTGTAGATCCAGGATTTCTCAATGCCTGATAACTGACCCTAGGGCTTGAGGCACAGCAGGAATAGTAATTCCAAGCAATAGGTCGTGCAGCGGATAACTTATCACCTGTTTGCGATCTAACACGTTAAGTGATCTGCAGGGACTATGGCGTCAGAAATTTTGAAACGACGGATGTTTGAGAGGAATTCAAAAATCACAATGAATATGTGCTAAGTATCAAGAGCTGATGTTTCCTGCTGTCTGGAGGTCTTGAAACTTCGGATTCCTGGCTCTGCGGTTTGATTGGCTGAACAGCTCCTGCATCCTTACATAATCCTTCACAGGCAGCGACAGCTCCGCGTCACAGCAAACCCCGGAGCTTGCCTGCCAGCACCTTTACAAACTCATCTCCATCATACAGAAGCCTTTTTCAAACGTCCCGCTTATCAAACCTTTGATTTCTGAGTGGTTGCGGCTGAATAGGAATCTTTACTTCTTATTTTTCTTGCAATGGCATCTCTTCTACCTCATTTCACTGCACCGGTCGAAGCTGGACACGAGTTCAGAGAACATAGATTCAATCCGTTCGTTCCCATGCTGTTTGGCTATTCGTGACATCTCTGACTGGCTTTTTTTGCTTTATATAGATACACCGATAATGGCGGTTCGACCCTAGGCATCGCTGGATCTGACTTCGCTATTTTGGCCGGCGATACACGTTCCACCTCTGGATACAACATCAATACCAGATACTCCCCCAAGGTTTTCAAAATAGGAGGCGACGATGAAACTGGAGAAGGTGCTCATATTGTTCTATCAGTGGTTGGATTTGCTGCGGACGGGCGGGCGCTGAAGGAACGGCTCGACAGCATCGTCAAGGTGTACCGATACCAACACGGCAAACAGATTTCCGTCAAGGCATGTGCACAGCGCCTGTCAACCATTCTATACTCGAAACGATTCTTCCCATACTATGCTCATGCAATTCTGGCTGGCTTGGATGAGGATGGCCGCGGAGCTCTATACAGCTACGATCCAGTGGGTTCTTATGAGAGGGAACAGTGTCGGGCTGCAGGAGCTGCATCCAGCCTCATCATGCCGTTCCTCGACAACCAAGTCAACTTCAAGAATCAATATATTCCTGGAAGTGGAGAGGGCCATGCTTTGGAGAAACGTGCTCCCGCGCCATTGCCCCGAGACACCGTGGAACAACTTGTGCGGGATGCATTTACCAGCGCAGTAGAGAGACACATTGAAGTTGGTGATGGCTTACAGATGATGATTGTTACCAAAGATGGGATTGAAGAGATCTACACACCATTGAAGAAAGATTAAGGTTGGAGGGCTGATTGATGTCTCTAATTTAGTGCATGCTGTACTTAACAACAATTTTAAATCATAGCCTTATAGACCGGTTATGGAATTCTCGTGGTAATCATGAACTCATCCCAATATACACAAGTGATATTTATTGTAACCCCAAACGCCAGAACCGTACGCCAGATGAATGTCGACCATGAGAGTAAAATTTCTAAAACCTCTCCTTCATTCGAGATGCAATCGTACGCAAATTTCCATACACCTTGCCCTATTCCAGCATTTAGCACAAATGCAAAGCTCCAGGGAAGCAATATAAGAAAGAAAGAAATAAGGCACTTACCGGAGGGCTACCAAGAATCAAACTAACTATTGCTTCTTGAGCCATCTTTGCGTTTTTGAAAGTACCCAGAATGTGGACTTTCTGCCCAGCCAATACTACTCGAGTTCTTGTAGCATTTTCAATAGCAAATTTTGTTTTTCCGTTATGACCGGCTGTCGAAAAAAGGTTAGCTGTATATCCCAATTTCGAGCATCATCGTATGTATACAGTACCTATTCGACCAATTGCCCGGCTCAAATGATCACCGGTTAAACTCTTCACGTCTTTGATTTCAAAGGAGTTAATATATAAGTCATCTAAACGAAGCAGAGCGATGGCGTCGTCCACATCAAAGGCCAATGCAAAGGCTTTAACGAAGTCCGCTCCTCTTTGAAGCGCTGAGGGGTCAGTGGTTAGCCTAAAAAAGATAAAAATGTCAGCAATAAGTTATTTCGTGTGTGAGCGGGAGATAATACCTGCTGTTCCTTAGTTCGACCGCGCGATTTTTGATATTCATCCGTACTTGGAGCTTCAAGTGTTCAACAAGTGGAGGGTATATTTTCGGCCAATGTGCCTTCAAAGGCGTCATCCGATGAGGAGGTATAGGCACTTTCCTCTCTTCAACACGGTAGGCAGCAGGCGCATCCTTCGCAGGTGTAAATACGGGGCGACCTTCTTCATCGATATGCATGGCGTCTTCGGTGTTATCTTCTTGGACGGAGTCTACCGTATGATCCGGGACATTCTGAGCTGGGTCAATCAGGATTTCGTCGTCATCTGCATGAATTAAACCATCAGTAAATATACATCAGACAGTTGACTCAAACAAGCACCCACTTTGCTTCTCGATCAGATTATTGGGAATAGACAGGTCCTCCCAATTGCTCTTGTTCACAAGCGCCGTTGGTGCGGGCATGGTGGGCGCACTTTTCGGAAAATATTCGCTAGTTTTTAATAGATTCCGTGCTCTCTAGATTAGGCAGCGAAATCAGTGACAGCAATTTGCACGTCTTCTATGCAAAAGAGCTTTCTTGACACGAGATTTCGTTGTCACCAAACTGTGTGGGGTGGGAAAAAAAAGTTGGGTGCAAACACGGCAAACACGCAGCCACTCATAGCTTAGCGCCGAAGATGATTTCATTGCTAGCTTGTTCCGACTCGCAAGAGGCGTTTTTTCCTTCGCCTTGAGCATTCTAATAGATCGTGCCTCCCGTATTCTCTTCCTTGTTGCTCTGATGTCTCCCTCAAGACGAGCTGTGTTCAGAATGTAACGGGGACAATGTCTCACAAAATTGGACAGAAGCTGAATGTCTTCAGACAATCGGCAGGTCCGCTTCTTTTTCACGATATTCGACCAAGCGCCAATATAGGCCTTGCAATCCGGTTCAGACGAGTGTTCATACCGCAAATCCCGTTTCAATCGGAAAACTTTCACAGCTCTCAATTCGGACATCAATCGAAGGTCAACAAGAAGGTTGCTTCCGGTAGTTTGCTACTGCTAGGGCTATCTTCAAATTCCGCAGTCGAGAACGGAGCAACTCGCGCAGTTTCCAGCGGCGGCAAGAAGACGACATGTACACGAGAAATACATCATCATTGCAGGCAAGGGGTACTAACCAGTGCTTCGCGACATCTTTGGAAACGTGCATTGCATACAAAACAAGATGCATTGGCTGAAAAGTCTAGCAACGACTTAAGCAACGAAAAAGACCCCAAGCAACAACAATTCAAAGTGGATAACGAGGAGCATCCATTGCTCAGCCGACAGATTCGTGAACGCTTGCCTAATTTCCATCAGTTCCACCATCAATTTCATCGACCAACAAAGGAAGAATTATTAGCTGCGGCAACCGGTTTCTGGTCGAGATTACGGATTAGGTTCAAGTGGTTTTCTATAAGAAGCGTTCGCCCGTTCAATTTTGACGAGATAAGTGCACTTTTCTCGTGGGTTCTTTTGGGTCATCTCCTCTGGGTCATCCTGGGGACAACAACTTTTTTTTCTCTTCTTATTCTTGCAATAAATACTGTTTTTGCCCAAGGTAGGATACCTGATCGATCGTTGTTTCATTGAAGTCATTAACCATATATAGAAACCCTGGCTCGTTGGGTTGGAAATTACCTTACATCATCCTCTGGGGTGCAGGTTGTTTTCGAGTCTGCTATTGTACCGAAATGGCGAGACGGCGTCATTACTTTCAAGAATGTTTTTGTTTCTCGCAGGCCAGGCCATGGTGATGGACATGTGAGCAAGGGCTCCTCAAAAACTGCCGCTGCAGCGGCTGCTGCTGCCGCAGCTTTGCACGGCACGAAACAATCCGATTTGAACGACACGAGCTACGAAGAAGACACGAATTATACACAGTTTGACGTTTCCATTGACACGATCAATGTGACACTATCTTTCACCAAATGGTTCAACGGCAAGGGCCTCCTCCGGGATGTGGAAGTGAAAGGAGTTAGGGGTGTTATTGATCGTACCCATGTCGAGTGGACGGGCGACTATTCCGATCCGAAATCATACCGCCACGAACACAGTCCGGGAGATTTCGAGATCGACTCATTCAAAATGGAGGACCTTCTTGTCACAGTCTACCAACCGAATAATTTTAGACCTTTTGCCGTCAGCATTTTTTCGTGCGATCTCCCTCAACTTAGAAAACAATGGCTTTTCTATGACTTTCTATCCGCAAATATGATGTCAGGCTCCTTCGACAACTCGCTATTCACAATTCATCCTCGCCAGACCCATAATTTCACTGGGGCCCAGTTGACCGATAGAGGAGAAGATGCCAAGGAAAGCCTTTGGAAAAAGCAGAGCAGAATTCGAATAGATGGTCTTAGCATTGATCACTTGAACCGTGGGGTTGAGGGCCCGTTTTCCTGGATACATGAAGGCGACGTTGATATCGTCGCCGATATAATGTTGCCCGCAGATGACACGGAAAGCCTGGCAAAATTTGTCTCTGACTTTTATGACCGATTTGAAGCCACTGTGACTTCGCACAAACATTCTCTTCAAGAAGATGATTATTTACAAGAGACTACCACGCCGGATGTCCCCTCTGTCGCAGATGAAAACGATACCCGATTTTTCATTACTGATTTGCGTATCCATCTGACAAATGTGCGAGCAGTCGTTCCGTTGTTCACCAAAGATCTCTCGTACATCAACAATGCTCTTATCCGACCGATAGTAGCATATATTAACTCCCGACACACATTTATTCCTATACATTGTCGACTTGTAAAGAGACTCAGCGATTTTGACGGAAGCTGGACTGTCTTTGACAGTGGCTTGATGGACGATCTTTCTGCTGCGGTATGTACTTGATCTTTCACAAAATCCGTTTCAAAGCTGACCATATACAAAGACATATGATGCGTTCGCCACGGATGTGATGGACGAACAGGCACGCATGCGACGTTTCAAGAAAGTCGGCTTATGGTCGTTGCAACTGGCAGCGCAGGCCATCTTCCTGGGAATGGCTGGGAATATTGTTTGAATTCCCTTCTGTATTATAAAATATGTTTTTTAAAATCATTGCAGGCGTTCTGATATGGAATTTCTTACCGGGCGTTCTACAATTGGGTGCGAATGCATTTATCGGCACAATATTCGGCAAAGTGATATATCTCTTCAGACAAGAGGGAACTTATGGAGAACTGCCCTGGTATATCCGACATTTTAATATGGGCTCTTTGCAGGAGCAAGGGGTTTTCTCTCGTGACTTGTGCAGAGGAGACATATTTCATGTAAATATAGCTCGTCACGACACTTGAGCAACTCTGGTTAGTTGTGTATGAGATCTACGACATCTCTTCTTTCATACCACAACTACTATTAATGCAGCAAGTCTTCTCATAGATATAATGTCTCTTTCCATGTTCATGTTTCTTTCCTCATTTGCGAAGGTTATTCACATCCGGAAGCGCTGTGCCTTTCTCAACCGACCTCCAAACTTATAAAATATGGCAGGCAACGGAATCATCACAACGCAAATAAACCCCAACAGGGAGTTTCCCCAACCCAATCCCAGAGCCGCATACATGGGTGGCCCTGCCAGAGGTAGCAAAGCTCCCACAAGACTTCGCAGAATGACATTGGCAGCAAGCGCCAAGGCCGCATAGATGGGGTGACTGTCGACAAGGTATGTGGTAATAGGCAGAAAGAGCCCCATGATTTCAAATCCATAGGGGATGAGAGATATAATGGTAGATGCTAAATTGACACGGTAGAACGAGCTCCAGCCATACCAAAATAAAGTCACAGGAAGGAATATGCCGAAGTAGATACTTATTGTGAGACGCATCTCCGGTTCAAAGATGCCGTGGTTGGTCTGTGCAAGTCTGATAACCATCTTGTCTGAGAAGAAGGTCACCACGAGCCAGCCTAAGACATTGCCCAAGCCAAGCGCAATATATACCAGTCCTGTCTCACTAGTGCTCAGACCATACGATTTCTCAAAGACGTTAGGAATGGTCGTGTAAAGCAAGTAAACGACACCGAACATAAAGGCAATGTAGAGGGAAAGGAAGAAGACAACCGGGGAAAAGACCAGCATTTTGACAGGCCGAATCAAGCCAGCGATGATAGCCTGGGTTGTGCTCTGATTGAGCGAGCCGTTGCCGTCATAGCAGCTCTTTAGCCTCCTATTCTGGCCAAGCTCTTTCTGAAGGCGAGACGTCTTCCGATGGATCAGGACTTTATGGCTTGTCTCCCAGGTGGATATCGCAATAAGCACTGTCACCGCAGAGGACGCTGCCAGCACTATCCAAAAATCATAACGCCAACCTATAGACTCGGCCAAGAACCCGCCAAGGAGAGGGCCGATGGTAGGGCCTTGTTAGTTTGGTGTGAGCAACGTATATATATCTCGAATGGACATGAAGACTTACCAACCAATGGCCCGATATTCCACATTCCTATGGCAAAACCACGTTGATCTGGACGGAAGAGATCACCGATGATACTGCCTCCAAGAGTCTTGGGTAGAGTTAGATGGTATATTATATAGGGCCTAGATGACTCAGGCTCAAGTGAATAAAGGAGCTAGACCTACTAAGCAGGCAACACCGCCGACACCGCCGAAAAACCGACAGACGATAAGAGTCTGAATATTAGGAGCCAATGCACATCCTATCTGCCACAGGCAGAAAAATGCATTGGCGACAGTCAAGACCGGCTTGCGTCCGTATATCTCGGAGAACGGGGCTATGAAAACGGGGCCGACGACATATCCAAGTAAATATATGCTCACAGTGAAGGATCCGACCATGGCACTGTCGTTTCCAAACTCTTTGTCCAAGCTGTCAATTGCAGGGGAAAGGATCGAGGATGCGAAGGGAGTCAGCAGCGTGATGGCAGACAGAAGTCCAACCCACATCCACTTAGACCATGGCGAGAAATTCCAGGGCATTTCGGGGTTCACTTTGACTCTCCCAGCCAACAACGTCCTCGTCAAGGTTGGTGATTGGAAGTAGTTCTGGACGTAGTGTTTCCCTGTTTATATCTGGCTCCATATTTCGTTCCTTTATTTTTGCTTCATATTAGCCGCGAAAGAGTATTTGAACAGCAGACTAGCATACGGCATTGACCTCAAGATCTGTAGAAAGCATGGCACTATTTTTACCCTCTCCCACGTTTGAGACAACGTGAACATCATGGTTTTCTTGGGATTGGCGACCTGTCTCACTGACTATCTCGCTTTCTAAGGAGGCCATGATTGCTGCTGGTTTGGAATGTCCAGATATATCTTTCTGTGGTCGTAGTGACGTTGCCTTGTGTTACCTAGGCATCTACATGCATATCGGAGCATTTATTGTATCTCGATGCATATTAGGCACCACCACTAATCCCTCGTCTTTGTTCCAGGGCTAATGGCAGGGTTAGGGTTGTGTTGATCAGGCGATGCCAGCGGGACAACTCTCGACACACTCCTTTGTATATAGAGAGAGCACTGTACAGAGTGCCATATGTACGCTGTATATGCCATCTGATTAGGCTCCAGACTCAAATCTAAAATGTTGACTGTCTCGCCAATAATTGACTACTCTGCAACAAGCCAATCTCCGTGCTAATATAAAAACCCGCGCAGGCAATTTGCCTAATTCAGACTATGCCGGTTCAGGGCTGGCGGCCGCGCCTGTCGTCCCATGCTTGCTCGTCTGAAGGACCACCGCCAGCTTTCTTGGAACAACACTCCCCCGACTAACTAACTAACTACCAATCTCCCCTGCAAGCCTCCTTTCTGCATGGCCCAGCCAGCGTCGAGAGAGCCTGAGCTTGCCCGTCCTTTGTCGCACTGTGTCTTTCACGCTGGTTATGGATTGATTCCATCCTTCAGCCGCCCATACAACGAACGATAGACGCCCCTCCCCTGAATTTGGCAGTTCTCCTGTCGCTTGCCTCAAGAAGAGAAGCTGTTCCCGAGTTCCTAACAATCAGCTGGTTCAGGAAGAAACAGTCTGAAGCACGAGCTTTTACACCTTGCGCTCGGATGCGCGCGAAATCCCTCTTTTCTTCGAGACTCTACTGCGAGCCCCCCTCCTCTCTGATACACCTACATAGCAGTTCCTCGAGCGACCGATTTGTCACCTCCTTCGTCTAAACGCTCGCTTTTGATCAATCCAAGGCGGCTTAATTCAACACAACATATTTGTCCTAGTACCTAGAATCGAGCCCGCCCCTCTTCTCCTTGGGATACTTGCTTATCGCCAGTCCCAAGCAAGCTTTTCAAAGCGAATAGATCGAGCATGGTCCCAGAATGACTGAAGACGGTACCCACGGCGAGCGCCGTATAGTGGCCGACGCCATCAAATCCTCCCCGTCTAATAATTCTTCATTCAGTTCTCCGGCACGGACACCTCCGAATGCCCTTCATAAGAGTGGGCCGAGGACAATGCCTCGGACCTCTTCCATCGATTCCGCCATCTCCTCCATATCGTCCGCCTCTCATTCCCAAAACCCCTCGTTCGACTTGAATGCCCTGACATCGGCGGATATCAATAATATTATCTCAGCAGCTGGCTCTGCAGAGGCAGTGATCGTGCATCTTCTCAAAGACAGGCAGCATGCCATAGCACGGAACGATCAACTATGGCGGCTGCTTGAGAAACAGCGCGCGCTCGTCTTGGGATTGAACAAGGATCTTGAACGTGCTATGAAGGATAAAGATCGATATAAGAAAAAACTGAAGGAATTGCAAGAGCAAGTCCCGCCCTTGCCGAGCAATCACAAACAGAGTTCTGCCCATTCTGTGTCCGTGAGAGAGGCACCCCACGGTGGTCAGAAAGCTGTTTCAACCTCATCCGTTGACCCTACCTCCGAAAAGCATTTGGACAGTTCATCTCAGGGCGACTCTCGAGATGCTCAACATCCAAAGAACGGTTTGGCACCTTCACCACTTGCTGTTCGGCACTTAGATGAAGATGTGGAGATCGGAATCAACGGACATGCCACTGGCTTCCAGGCCGAAATGCGTGACGATCAAGCAGGGAGTTCTGGTCAGTTCCAATCGAGGGTGCAGCCTGTCCTGGATCTTCCAGAGCTACCGCCGCCGAATCGCAAACCTCCACCTGCTCCCTTAAACCTCAACCAAAATCAACGCCGCAGCTCGCCCTTGGATCCACATGCATTTCAAGACTCCGATTCTGAATACGAAGATATTGACCGAGGTCGGCGAAGAACCAGGGAAGATGATGACAAGGAGCGCGAAGCTGCTGTGATTCGCGAACAAGAAGCCCGTAGCAGATCCAAAAAGATGAAGACTCCCGAAGGGTCTTTGACTGGGACTCCTCCTTCATCATTCCCCGCAGCACCGACCGGTGTGTCCTCTAGTCCTAGGCAATTTGTTTCCCAGTCTCCTTCCCAAATGGCTGGTGGACAATTTGCTGCAACGGAATCTTTGGCTGCCATTGTCCACTCCAAAAACCCGGAGCTTCTACAATTGGCCGATCGAAAGGCCATGGCGCCTCTAACTCCTGGCCTACCCATGAGCCCTCGGCCTGGGGACCGTCCCTTGGGATCTCCACTCCCAAGACAGCCGAGGGAGGGAACGGGCATGTATATTTCACCCCCCACATCACCGAGAGGCACTGTGATGGGTCTGCCTCAATCTCCTCGGGCGACAAAGCAGCCATGCCCGCCACAAACACAGAATGAAAACCCTGGATCTCAACTGCCATCCATTGATGCGTCGATGAAAATTGATAGCCCACATTCGCCTCACGGTCTTACCAAAACTATATACCAAGGCCTCATCTCGGAGAATTACCCTGGGCTTCTTCTGCCGCCAAATGCATTACCATCCATTGAAGTCAAGGTAGCATCCTCTCGGCTTCGACCGTCTAGAAATAGCTATATGGGTGGCAGGCCTACTGAGGAAGACCCTGTTTTTATCCTAAGCATCTTCTCGCGCTTCGATGGAGCAGAATTATGGCGTGTGGAAAAAGCTATTTTAGCGCTTCCCCAACTTGACCAGCAAGTTCGTCAGTTGACTGACTTTGCTGGTAAACTTCCAGATCGAGCAATGTTTAGTGGTCACTCTCCTGTCAAGATTGATGCAAGAAGGGATGCCCTGAATCTGTATTTTGAAACTCTTCTCGATACTCCCATGACGGAACCTGCCGCTTTAGTCATCTGTCGCTTCATAAGCTCTGATGCAATTGAGCCCCGTGATGACGAGACTAATTTGATGAAACCCAATGGCAAGTCAACGCCAGAACTCGTCCGCGGCCCAGATGGCAAGCCGAGAAAAGAGGGCTATCTTACGAAAAGGGGCAAAAATTTCGGCGGTTGGAAGTCGAGATTTTTTGTACTGCACGGTCCTGAATTGAAATATTTTGAATCCCCTGGAGGAGCGCACCTGGGCACAATCAAAATACCACATGCGCAAATAGGCAAACAATCACAAAGCGGTCATAATCAATCTCCGTCTCGAGCCGAGGACGACTCGGAAAACCAATATCGCCACGCTTTTCTCATCTTGGAGCCGAAGAAAAAGGACTCCTCGGCTCTCGTGCGACATGTTTTATGTGCTGAAAGCGATGGAGAAAGAGACGCTTGGGTTGATGCGTTACTGCATTACGTGGAAATTCCATCGTCTGACGATGAGAAAGTCGTCTCTAAGTCGCACAACAACGCGAAACAACCGGTTGCGCCAAACCCGAAGTCTCGTCTCTTTGCTAATAACAATAGAAAAGGGAGCAAGGGGACTGATAGCCCTGATGCTGATGTACAACATGAATCAGTGCAAAGCTTCAGTTACGATGATGCTGTCCCTGCTGCTCCTCCTGTTTTTGGGTCCACAGTGGACAAGGAAGCAAGCAGAGCATCTCCGACAACAAGCGAAAATGCTAATGCAGATGCTGTTTTCCCCGGGGTCAACAACTCCAAAGTAATTTCGGGTCCAACGAATGGCGCCGTAATTCAAGATGTCGGTGCATGGGGTAACAAAGTTCCCACTTCGTCCAAGGAAAAGAAACGCAGCATCTGGGGTTTCCGTGCACGTTCATCGTCAGACCTGGCGGCCGGGGATTCTGACCCCCATGCCCACAATTCATCAACCGAGAGAAGAGTGTCCATTCGACCTGTATTTGGAATGCCTCTGGTGGAAGCAGTGCAGTTCTGTGGCCCTAGGAACATCGACGCTGACCTCCCCGCTGTCGTATACCGCTGCATCGAGTACTTGGAAGCTAAGGGGGCAGCCTCGGAGGAAGGTATCTTCCGGCTGAGTGGCTCCAATGTTGTTGTCAGAGCTCTAAAAGAGAGATTCAATACTGAAGGGGACGTGGACTTTTTGGCAGGCGACCATTACTACGACGTCCATGCAGTGGCATCTCTTTTCAAACAATACTTGCGAGAGCTACCTACTACTGTCTTGACTCTTGAACTTGTGTCTGAATTCCGACGGGTTCCTGGTAAGTAATTTTCTTCAGCATTACCAAGATCCATCCATACTAATGCAGTACAGAATTGGATGACAAGAATCGAAAGATTGCTGCTTTGAACACATTGGTGCATATACTTCCCAGGGCGAACCTGTCACTTCTGAGCGCCCTGTCCCAGTTCCTTATTACAATCATCAATAACTCTGATGTGAACAAGATGACAGTGCGCAATGTTGGCATTGTCTTTGCGCCAACGTTAAACATTCCGGCTCCGGTACTCTCTCTATTTCTCACGGAGTATGATAGCATCTTCAAGGAAGCACCGCATCACATGAATTCTGCAGAAGTTCCAGTAGCACCTTCGCTTACGCCCGAGGACGTTCGTTCTCCACGTCGTCAAATGTTCTCGGAGCTTCCTACGCCATCTTATGGCCAGACATCCTTCTATGTGTCAGACGACGTGGACATTCAATCCCAGGATGCTATGAAGTCAAATTATGATACTGGATTTATTCCCATTATTCCAACGTACGACGGAGTGCAACGAGGCCTGGACCCCCGTACTCGTCAAGTTACCAATCCCCAGCGCACGCCTCGCATGCTGGACCCTAATGACAGTATGAGGTCCACCAAAGCAAAACGAAGGGAGAGCTCTATGCTTTTCATGGAGATGGGCAATCGCATGGAAATAAACGATCGCAAGCATTCCCTTCCGCAGTTGCGAGACGACCAATGTGAGTACAAAGTTCCGTTCTTGAAGAATAAACACAGTGTAACTAATTTTCACATTCACAGCGCTTGTTGGTCATGAACCTGGCTTTGAATGATGGCTTCCCTCTTCTTTCCTTTTGAATACCTTCATTTATCTATTATCTTTTCGCCATTTAGGTGATGGATATCACGAAAATACACGGCTTGCTCATTTCTTCTTTCCCCCCCTTCCATAATTTTTTTGTCTTCTTATTGGCTTGATTCCAACGAGCAGAGCAGTAAATATGATCAACACCCTGACCAATTTTGTTGCAAAGTGAGAGAGTGAAGGAACGGGTGTACGGTGTTATGGACAGATAAACATTTCGCCCTTCTACCTCCTTACTTAGTCGGCGTTGAAACTTTTGAGCGTTTTATTGAGGAATTCCTCGGGATTTACCGAAGCTATTTGGATTCGGGCTATGAAGTTCTTATATTATATATTTATACCCATTTTTCTATTAATGATATATCTCATCGAGTCTTTCTGTCTTGGCAATTATTCAATCATCATTATCATCATCATTTGGTATTGTGCAAATATAAAAATACATTTTTCTTTTCCTCTTAAAACCTCCTCGTTCGCTCCCCTTGATAGAACCCCATCAGTTCGCCTGTCTCCGACGCCCAATCTCGAACATTGTCCACCAGAGCTTTAGCCAAGCCAACATTTTTACTCTTAGTACGTCCTTCAGGAATAGTAGATGACGAGGCAGGGTATTCCGAACCGATGCTCGGAAGCACATTGTCACCAGCACTAAGACTAACAAACAGAGCGAACGGCACCAGCCAAACACACAACCCAAAATATGAAGCTACCTCGGTAAAAGTCGGCATATTCGCGTAGTCTGGTTGATACGGTCGACGCCATGCGGTGGCATCCTGCGAAGAGGAAGAGGGGGCAGGGGGACTAGAGAAATGGCGGAACCAGAGCCAGTGGTTAAGGCAGACGAGAAGGCACGAGACAATGAATAGAGGGTCAGACAGCTTCACCACGGGGAATTTTCGAAGGTTGCTGGCATATATGAGGTGCGATACCACGCTCAAGAGCGATAGGGAGAATGGGAAGTTGTCGAATAGCCACAGTAGGATCTGGGCTATTATGACGCCGTATATGAGTCTCGTTAATACTCGGCGGGCAATAACTGTATGTTCTTCGACTAGTTCTGAGAGATAGTATAAACCTGAAGCTATCAAGACAGTTAGCCTGCGCTATTGGGGGGGGGGGGGGGAAGAACTTGAAGGGTCGGATTGCCAGCGTACCAATAGCTAATGTCAAGAAAGCAAACCCCACGGCAACACCGGTGTAGCCAATAAGTGGAAGAATCCACATCTTGATAATTGTCAAGAGTCGATATTGAAACAGCGTAAAGCGCAACGATGGCAAAGTGGCTTTCAACTGATATGGAATGCGCGCTGTAACCAGTTTAAACGATGACGCGGTTTCAAATTGTCGGGGGGAAGATATAGGATACGGAGTGCCTGTGGAAAGTCGGTCAATGCGTAGTCAACTATGCCACGATGCAGCTGGGGCTGTTAGACGAGTATACATGAAGCATCTGGCTTAATAGTCTGCAAGTGATAGGTCAGCGATCGTTTTAGTTGAAGGCCGTCGACTAACCCACTTGGGGTGTGGGTCCGCGGATAAGCATCGTTGAAAGTTTGCCTGAGGCACCGCAGATTTTATTGCAACCACAAACTTACCTTCTTCGCTGCTCATTCGCACTTCTTCCTATCGCAGAGACCGGCCTTGCGCTTTCATTTGGAGAACTGTAATATCTGCGCAGTCAAATTCGCTCCATCATGTCTCGTCCTGAAGATATCCTGTGCGTGCTCCCCTCACCATCTTCGCTTCGATCATGAGAACTAACACAAAATACGAAATGCCTACAGCCCCCCTGACCTCTTTTATAATGACTCCGAATCTCGAAAATACACCACATCTTCTCGAATCCGAAATATCCAGGCTGACATGACCCAGCGAGCATTGGAGCTGCTAGATCTACAAGGCCCTTCACTTATCCTTGATCTCGGCTGTGGATCCGGACTGTCAGGCGAAATACTTTCCAGCGTCTCTCCCGAAGACGGAGGCCCGCATATGTGGGTTGGCATGGACATATCTCCCAGCATGCTCGACGTTGCATTGCAACGAGAAGTCGAGGGAGATTTGTTCCTGGCTGATATCGGCCAAGGCGTGCCTTTTCGGCCTGGATCTTTCGACGCAGCTATCAGTATCAGTGCCATCCAGTGGCTTTGCAACGCAGAGACGAGCGATGTGAGCCCCGAAGGAAGGTTAAAGCGGTTTTTCGAAGGGCTATATTCCAGTTTGCGCCGAGGCGGGCGCGCTGTTTGCCAGTTTTACCCGAAAAACGACGCCCAGCGCGGTATGATTAGTTCGGCTGCAGTGAAAGCCGGCTTCGGTGCTGGTATCCTGGAAGACGATCCCGGAACGAAGAATAGCAAAACCTATTTAGTGCTTACCGTTGGTGGTGGAGGCTTGAATGGCGACATTACCGGTGTCGTTGGTGGCATGGATGACGTTGACATTGTTGATTCGCGAAAAAAAGAGAATGCCGCGAAGATAGCGAGATCTCTACAGGAAAAGAAAGGGAGCAAGGCATGGATTTTGAGAAAGAAAGATCAGATGGCACGCAAGGGAAAGGTTGTCAAAGCGACTTCGAAGTACACCGGAAGGAAGAGACGAGTGGCCTTTTGAAGAGCGCGCAGAGATCGTTGCATTCGTTTTTTACCACATACTTCCCTATGCGGCTCCAGTATCTACATCCATACTTGCCATGTCCTGATTCGAAATGCGGGCTGCTCCATGCATTTCAGTCCCTATAGCAGGAATTCTTTACAGTCACGGTCGATCTCGTGATGACCAAGATAGAGAGGCCCAGGCAAGGGGAGCTTGCTTGCAGGCCTTTGGTTATCCTGTGCGAGATCAACTGCCTTGCTTCACCATTATCATATCGTTCTGAGACGAGCATGTCCAAAATTATACGGACATATTTGACTCAGGTAGAGATCATTTATTGCCATACTACAATCATCAGACGCGTCTCTTCAGTGTAAGCGTGAATTTTTACATTGCGGGCGACCATTAGTCTAGATAGAGAGAGAGAAAAAAAAATATCTAAGAGTGCAGAGCTCTACGAATATAAGTATACATGTGTCTCTGGATAATAAGTTCACTATACCATCCCTGAATCGCAATCAATGTCACAAGTAACCGCTAGATTTAAAAAGTTTCCATCTTGTCCAAAACAGCCCGGGTAAATTCGTGAGTGGTAGCCTCGCCACCCATGTCGCGAGTCCTTGTTTTACTGTGACGAGTTTAGTCTTTTTCTGTATGCATTTCCGGGGGGGTTACTTCAGCACACTTACCCTTCGCTGATCACATCATAAACGGACTTGGAGATTCTGTTGGCATGCTCGTCCAGACCAAGGTGACGAAGAAGCATAGAACCAGAAAGAATCAAAGCAGTGGGGTTGGCTTGGTCCTTTCCTTTGATGTCGAGACCAACGTGACGGCAGCCAGGCTCGAAGACGGCGACGTCACGGCCCATGTTGCAGCCAGGGACGATACCAGGGCCGCCGACGAGGGCAGCGCCAATGTTGGACAAGATACCACCGTACAAGTTGGGCATAACCATAACATCGAACTGTTGAGGACGAGACACAGCTTGCATGGAAGCGTTGTCAACAATCATGTCGTTGGTCTCCAATGTAGGGTAGCTCTCGGCGACCTTCTTGAAAGTGTTGCGGAAAAGACCATCGGCTAATTTCATGATGTTGGCCTTGTGGATGCAAGTAATCTTCTTGCGGTTGTTGGCCAAAGCAAAGCCAAAGGCGAATTTGGCAATGCGCTCCGACTTGGCGCGGGTAATGATCTTAAGAGACTCGACGACGCCTTGGACAGACTGGTGTTCAAGACCGGAATATTCACCCTCGGTGTTCTCACGAATGATGCAAAGATCGACATTCTCGTGTCGTGTCTTGTAACCAGGGATGTTCTTAATAAGGACGACAGAAGCATAAATATCGAGCTCCTGGCGGAGGGCAACGTTGAAGGATTGGTGTCCGGAACGCTCAACAGGAGTGTGGAGGATACCCTTGAGACCCAATTTGTTGCGCCGCAGCGATTCGATTGACTCTCTGAAAAGCTCCTCGGAGTGTTTGTTGCCAGCGTCCACTCCACTCACGTCAACCTGTTCCCATTCAATGGGAACGTTGTCCGCCTTGAAGATAGTCTTGACTGATTCAGCGACCTCGGCACCAATTCCGTCACCTAGAGGCAGGCGGCGATTAGTCGCAACCACTCGCCATTTCATTCTCTGGAAATTTCTTTTCAAGCTTCAGGGCATACCGGGAATCAAAGTCACTGTGTATTTGCCGCCGTACTTGGTGGGCTTGAAGATATCGGACTGGACGGTGGCCATAGCTGCAACAACATTAGACACGCATCACTCAATTGGGAATACACCAGGACCTCAACTTACACCTCGTCGCGACATAAGACGGGCGGCTGGCGGCGCGCAGGATGGCCTACACAAGCAGTGGGTTAGTTTTTCCTGATTGCGGTGTATGAGGGGGCGAGGGACGTGCCTGCGTAGGCTGCGAGGATCTGAGAGAGAACATCTTGACAGTCAAAAAATCCTTCTGTCTGAGGAGAGAGCAGATTCAGTCAATTGCAGGAGAAGCAAGAAAGACAGCAAGAAAAGCTGGCAGCAAAAGTTGAGGGAGAGCGGGATCCGCAGGAAACGCCCGCCTTCGCTCGGAAAATGCCACCTCGGCCCAATCGCCTGCTCTCCGCATCTCGGAACTTGCGCCGTTTATCGACGACCATCGGAGATTTCTCTCTACGCGCAACTCTGCTACGGCATATAACCTATCGACACGAGAACAAATGCTTCTTTTCATTTTCTAGCATGACTGACTACATAGCTCGCTCCCGCAGACAGTCCCATCGATAGTCATGTCTTCCTCCGCCATATTCCCACCAGCTCCGTGCATTATAGATGGGATCTTTGCACGGCGTGTAAGGCGTCCCAGTGGAAGGCTCTTCTGGCAGCTGTGCACCGCGAGCCAGATTTTGGTCGTGGGAATGGCTGATGTTGCCCCCGTTTCCGTGGCCTTGCTCGTATCCAAGTGACATGTACGGTTCCGCGTCTGCATCGTGCGCCTCAACAGGTCTCACGCTCTCGATAGTACTCACTTGAACGTTGATCCCGGAATCAAAGCTACAACGTTTGCTGTCTGCAGCAGCATCAGAAGTTTCTAGCTCACAATCCATGTGCATGTCAAATGAATCGACCGAAGCTGGTAGGAATACTGATGGTGAACTATGGGCTTTGGGATCGGTTTCCGCTGCCCTGATTTATTAGCAGACTTAGTGATATTCCGGCCTCTGGCAATCGCGTCTCATCGCCGGCTTGCTGTGCATTGAATGAGCTATGACATACCAGGCAGCCTTATGGCCTGTGTTGATGTTTTGGTTGCCATCGACGCTGAAGGGCGATACGGGGAAACTGTGGGCTGCGGCAGAGGCATAATGTATACGCTTGGTCATGGGCTTGCTATCATTCGTAGGGCCTTGCTGCTCGACTCGATGCGTTATGCTGTAGGCGGAAAAACGAGCCACGAGCTCATCCTCTTGGCTCCGGAGCCAGGCATCTGACTCTGATAGACCGCACTGGATTGTGGACTGGTCAGCAGTGCATTGATCAACAGCTAGTCAGCTAGCTATTACGCTGGCCACTTGGTATTGAGTCCATCGAGACAGATCAACTTATGATACTATACTTTGAAGAGCCCAACCGATACTGAATGAACTCCGGCATTCAGGTGTTTCTCTACGACAGTAGCAATGATAGGACAGACGCTAACCTGATTACACAGTAAACTCTCCTCGCATGTCATATACATAGGGGTAGAATGCGCGTTGTGGCCACAGTAGGGACAGTTGAATGCCATGTTGGTGCCGGCAGGAATCCACGAGAAACGAATGCGTGTATGTTCGAAGTATGCTAAGTCAAGAGTATCTAGTCATAAAAACAAGAACAGAAAATGAGGGAATGCGTATATATATTATATATATATATATATTCTCCTTGATGCTTTGTTCGAGCAGGAAAAAGCCATCCCATAGAAATAGCTGCCTGATTGGGCACCCAAGCAAAAGGCATCAACTCGCATGTGTACAGCAACACCAAGAAAGTTTAAGGTTGTCCGCAATGGCATTTCCGGCATTTTGACGAATATCTCGACGTCTTCCATTGCGTGGAGAGCATATTGAAAAGCTTGATTAATCGTAGTTGAATAGTTACTGTGATAGTCAATGCGTGGCATAGAGTCAAGACTAGCAAAGCAGCTGCATATGTATACACAACAGACTGGAAAGTCCATTCAAAGTAAGATACAATTGATCTGCACTCCGATTACAGATTTCAAACTCCCACAGTTGAAGTTATTATTATTCACGGCGCTAAGTTGGTCAAGGGGACAGGGTTGTTCACGTGACCTCCCAGTGGGTTGGCGCCTCAGGCCGCAGCTAGGCAGATACGGGAGCTGGAGCAAGAGCTTCGGAGCTGCACAACTGAACCCCTACGCCTCCAAAAGCGGATTTCATTTCATTCATTGCTGGACTAGGCCTAATACATCCCACAGACAGGAGGAACAGTTCTAGTTTACAGATAAAACAACTTCAATACCAACCATCCAAAGCTCGGCCCCAGCTCGTCTTGCACCTTTGAATCTGGCACTATGGTGGGTTGAATCAACCAACACACGCCCAACTCACATCATCATCGTCATCCGCTCTGAAGATCAAGCTAACCTGGATATCTCTACAGACTTCTATCGGTACGGGTTATGATCTGTCAAACTCTGTCTTCTCTCCCGATGGCAGAAACTTCCAAGTAAGAAAGAACACGTCTAAGCTCTCTCTTCGGCGACACCGAATTATCTTGCTGACCATTCGAAACGATAGGTCGAATATGCCGTCAAAGCTGTGGAGAATGGAGGAACCTCGATTGGTATAAGATGCAAAGATGGCGTTGTCCTTGCTGTGGAGAAATTGATTACGAGCAAGCTCCTGAAGCCTGGCGCAAACAAGAGAATAGCAACCGTTGACCGGAACATTGGCATCGTAAGAGACATCCAGCTGCTTTCCATTCTGGCGGTCAACATGCTAACAAAACTTCTCTTTTTTTTTTTCTGTTTGGTACTAATAGGTTTCGTCCGGCCTGGTTCCCGATGGACGACATTTTGTCTCAAGAGCTAGAGATGAAGCAGCCTCTTGGAGAAAGACCTACAAAGGTCCCATCCCAACATCTGCTCTTGCCAATAGATTAGGTAGCTACGTCCAGGCCTACACTCTATACTCCAGCGTGCGTCCGTTCGGTGTTACTTCGATAGTTGGAGGTTGGGACTCCGAGGCAGAGCTGTCGGTAGACGGCCAAGTTGGAACAGGACCAAGTGTTGGCGCTGGTGGAAAGGCCCAAGGCGTCAAGGCCGGTGGTCCGGGACTCTATATGATTGAGCCGAGCGGTCTTTACTGGGTAGGTGATTTCGATGGGTTTCAAATCATTTCAATGACTAACAAATTCTTCTACTTCGTGCAGGGCTATTACGGCGCAGCGACGGGCAAAGGCCGACAGGCCGCTAAAGCAGAACTAGAGAAATTGGATCTTCCCTCAGGGAACCTTAGCCTCCTCGATGGCGTCAAGGAAGCGGCTCGAATCATCTACGTTGCGCATGAAGAAGATAAAGATTTTGAACTCGAGATGACATGGATCAGTTCAGTTGACGGGCCAACCAAGGGAAGGCATGAAGAAGTCCCCCGCGAGTTGCTCGAGGAGGCCGAGCGAGCAGCCAAAGCGGCGCTAGAAGGGGAAGATGAAGACGAAGAGGAGGGTCCGAAGGAGGGCGAGCAAATGGAAGAATAAATCAAGAACACAGATTTCTTAACATTCTTTTCTTTCTATGATGTTTCTGACTTTTCTTTTTTTCCTTTTTTCTTTTTTTTTTTTTCAGCGGCTTGTAATCCTAGAGTCCATATTCTTCAAATAAACTAGGTCCAAGAGGAAAAAATTGCGAGTGAATCCGAACCAAATCTCTCATATCAAAAGATCCAATGTGCGCCACCCCAATTCTTCTTCGAAGAGACAAACAGAGATTTTTATTTAAGAAACGATCCTACCTTCAGCCCACCCCTTCCGCTTCAGAGCCAATTCCACAGCGGCATGACCCCAGTCCTCGCCATGGTTATGCTTCTTACCACTTCCCAACCCAGCGCGCTCCAGACCTTGCTCTTCAGTCAACAGCGTCAAAAGCCCAAAGACAACGGGGACACCGGCGTCCAGCTGCACCTTCATCAACCCGTGCGACACAGCATCGGCAATGTACTCAAAGTGCATTGTTTCGCCCTTGATGAGCACGCCAATGGCGATGACGGCATCGAATGGTGCCGTCGAAGCTGCGGTTGTTCTGGTGGTGGCTTGTTGTGTCAGGTCGCTCGTCGATGAGGACAGGAGGTCGGTTGCGGCGATGTCGCCTGTAGTAGAACTTGCGGCGGCTTGGACGTGGGATGCTCGGTATATACTGTGGATTTGTTAGTCTGAGAAGACTACTAGATGAAGTCTACAGAGGGTATGTGACTAACTTTTGAACTGCAATTGGCAATTCATAGCTACCGGGCACGCTCTGGATGACAATATTGTCCTTTGAGACCCCGGATGAAATGAGACTGTTGTACGCTCCGGATACGAGGGCATCGATGATGGTGGTATTCCAGCGAGCATGGACAATGGCAATGCGAAGTCCGGTGCCTGTTTTGCAAGTATCATTAGCACTATCCAGTTCAGTGGGCTGGGATCTGGCGGGGTGGCTGGCTCAACACCGACTGACCATCGTATGCTTCTCGTTCTCCGGGCCCTTTGAGAGATGCCATATTGTTCGTCTTCAGCTAGGAATTGTCTTCTCTTCTTCCTGTGTCTTTGTATGCGGCAAGAGCACAGCCAGCGCTGAGGTCTTTTATTTATCGTGGTGGGGGGCCGCTCTGCTCTCTACTCCACATGCCATGATGTAACGAAAGCGGCCGCTACGACGGATTCAGTGCTTCTTCAGTACTTCTCGGGCAAGAATACTTGCGCCATATGCAAACTAGAGAACTACAAATACACGTAAATATACAATATACTACTTGTGAAGAAAGTAATTTGAAACTCGTTGTATGCCATTAATGTCCTCAGAGACTCCTCCAGCACTCTTACTGCTAAAAGAGCAACGGAAACAAATAGAAATTAAAAAGAATCGACTGCCTGTCGTATCTCCCCAGACTCCTGCGCGAACCGGATATTTAAAAAAAAACAAACAACATTTTATTCCACGGTCACCGACTTGGCCAAGTTACGAGGGAAGTCGACGTTCAGTCCCTCGCCAACAGCAAGCCAGTAGGCAATCAACTGCAATGGGATCACGTTCAAGAGACCCTGTAGGCAGTCAACGGTCTTGGGGAGCTCGATCTTTTCGGTCAGCGAAGCAGGGAATTCTTCGTCGTTCTCGTTGCAGATGACGATTGGACGACCACCACGAGCAATAACTGTTGACGAAAATGTTAGCGGCAATATCAACAATAGCATGGCATAACCACGTATGGAACTTACCTTGTTGGTATGCATTCAGTGATTTCGCAAAGATCTCATCGCGGGTGAGAATCATGATAATTGGAAGGTCTTCATCAACCAGGGCCAGAACACCATGCTTCAATTCACCGGACATGACAGCCTCGCAGTGGAGATATGAGATTTCCTTGATCTTGAGAGCACCTTCCAATGCCGTAGAGTATTGGCTACCACGACCGAGGAGCAAAAGACTCTTTTGGTTCTTGAAGAACTTGGCACACATGTCCTTGATGGGGTCATTGAGTTTGAGAATTTCGCGGAATTGATTGGAGATCTTCGAGAGGCCATCCATGATTTCCTCGCGTCTCTTTTGCTTCGAGGCACGGTCCTCGCTGAGTGACAGTGCAAACATGACCATGGCAACGAATTGCGAAGTGTAGGCTTTGGTCGAGGCAACACCAATCTCAGGACCGGCGTTGATGTGCACACCACAATGGGTGAGGAGAGAGATAGAAGAACCAACAACGTTGACTATTCCAACAGTCAAGGCACCCCGCTCAAGGCAGTATCGGAGGGCCAGGAGTGAATCTGCGGTCTCACCGGACTGAGAAACGAAGACACAGGTGTCATCACGGAAGACTGGGGCTTGTCGATCCAAGAAATCGGAGGCAAGTTCAACAGCAATAGGAATCTCAGTGAGCTCCTCAAAGATACCACGTACCGCCATGCAAGAGTGGTAACTGGTTCCACAAGCGATGAAAATAATACGGCGGCAACGACGGATTGTGGAGATGTACTGGCGGAGACCACCTAGGGTCACCTTCTTGTTCTCGACATCCAAACGACCACGCATGGTGTTGACAACAGACTCGGGCTGTTCAAAAATTTCCTTTTGCATGAAGTGGTCGAATTTGCCCTTCATGATTTCCTGCAATTCCAATTCGATGGTCTGGATGGCTCGAACGTTGGATGTGCCGTCGTCCTTGGTCAGACGGTGAATGTTGAGCTGACCTTCATGGATATGAGCGATGTCATCGTCCTCCAGGTACAGAACCTTCTTGGTATGTTCAACGATAGCGGAGGGGTCAGAGGACAGGTAGAACTCTGCAGGCTGGGGGATTCCGTCGTCCGAAAGGAAAGCACGAGATTGCGAGCGGTGAAGAAGAGACTTGTCTGGAGGTGCCAGAAGACTAGCGGCTGTCTTCTTGATGGCCACGTTCTGAGAAGCCTGTTCAGCAGGAAGAGCACCTTCTTCAGAGTACTCGACATCGACAAAGTCGACCTTCATCTTCTTGGAAGTGCGAACACCGATGACCAAAGGAGAACCCTTGCGAGCGGCAATGACTTCATGTGGATAATGCACGGACTTCATGAGAAGACCAAAGGCTCCCTGAAGCTCCTTGATGACGGCTTTGGCCAAGACGGTGAAATCAATATCTGGGTGCTGGTCGTAGAGGTACTTTGCCAGCTTGGCGATACATTCGGTGTCGGTTTCGGTTTCAAAACGGAAGCCTTTACTCTCCAAAAGAGCCTTCAGTTCTTTATAGTTGGTGATGATACCATTGTGAACGACGGAGAATTCCCACTTGGGGTCAGACCTGGGCTCCGTCAGGGTTTCGATTCTGGGAGACAAACAATCAACCAGAGACTGCAACTCACCTATGGGGGTGGCAGTTCAAGCGGGAGGGAGAACCGTGGGTAGCCCATCGAGTATGAGCAATGCCCGCGTGGGAATCGAAGCTCTTGTCCATATCGATGTTGGACTCGGCAATTAATTCTTTCAATTTGGCAACCTTTCCAACTTCCTTGAAGGCGAAGACCTCGTTCTTCTTATCACCGTCCACGGCAAGGCCGGCAGAGTCATATCCACGGTACTCTAGTCTCGCAAGACCTGTCAAACGAAAACAGACACGTTAGTTTATAAGCTCGAGACGCGGTGCTAATAGGGTAGGTTGTGCAGGTATTAAAACTTACCATTTGTAAGAGTCTCTAGAATCTGCCTGCGGTCCTTGTCGACCAGGTAGTTGATGTAACCAAAGATACCACTGTGCGAGGAAAACGACGTCAGTAACTCTCTCTCTCTCTCTCTCTCTCTCTCTTTTCCCGCTCTTTTTAACTTTTGCTCCATGCAAAGGCCTGCGGGGGGATTTGGGTGATTGATAGGCAAGCTTACCACATGGTTGCTGTTTTCAAAGAAGAGCTAAAAAAAGATAAAATGGGTTAAATGTGGGAGAGCAGAGGAGCAATTGTGAGGCACACAAGATGGGCGAAGGGATGGGGAGGCTTTTGTTGGTGCGAGAGAAGGTGGGGGGGAAAGGTCAGAGCGAGCGGTGGAGGAGGAAGGAGCTGGAGATTGGCCGGCTGGTTGAGTGACTTGGCGAAGGGGGGGATATGCGACGAGAGACTGATGGCAATGGCAAGAGGAGCGGGTTCGTGAGAGCGAGAGTGGACGAGGAGGAGTCAAGGAGGCGAGGCGAGAGTGAGAAGTGAGAAGCGAGGAGTGAGGACGATGGAAGGCGGGCGGCGAGGAAAGAGCAGCGATTCTTTATTTATAAACTTATCCAGACAGCAAGAGCACATCTCCAAGTAAACCAGGAAGGAGCTGACCCAGCCCGGTTAGGCTGTAAGGCCATTACGGCGTACCGCGGTCTCAGCCGTGCGCCGCGCCGCCTGAGGAGGTAATTGTACGGTATCGTATTTTCGAGATGAGAAGAGAGCTCCAATTAAGGTCCCCTTTGAGCATGTGATTGGCCGGGCAGACGAGCTTCCGGCACGGCGATTGGCCAGACCCAAAAGGCGGTCGCGGGTACGGACGACCCCCACAATGTGGGCTATGCGTGGCTTCTACACAATCGGATTGGGCGTGGCTGGGCCCCCTGGCTGTACCGGCCTCCACCGTGCTGAAACCATGTCTCATACATACCATCTGACGAGCGAGAGAGGCAAGATATGAGCACTAGGGATGTGCTGCGAGTGGCATGGCCCAAAATAAACAAAAAGAGCAAGCAAGCGCATTGCCCCTATGTCTGCATCCGCGGTATCCCACGCGATCCATCCCGGCAATTCAATAGTCGTCGTCCTGAACCAGCCACTAGCCGATGAATTTAATGTTCCGGATCCCTGGGACTTTTTAGCTCACATTTGCTTCTATTTCTGTATTTTTCTCACGGAGGCATGCGCGTTTCTGCCAGGCCTCCCCACCCTGAGATAACGCTACCGAGAAAATAAAAAAAAAAGTCAGAATGTGCATTTCATCATTTTCGAGATATGCCTGCTTGCTCGACTCAGGGGTCTCAGAAGGGATATGTGTGGCAGTGCACCTTTTCTATTTTTACACAAATGCCACATATCCAGTTTAGTTGACTAGTTGACTAGTGTTTTCCAGGGACTACTAGTCAGGTCCAAGCTTCACCCTGGTGCCGAGCCTCCTGTCAAGTGGCCAAGCCAAGCCAGGCCAGGCATGGATTGATGTCAGCTTGCATTTTGGCTTGCAATGGAAGCGATTATCACCAAAGACACCTGCTTGGATGTCGTAATTGGTGGCTGACGCCGAAAATACGGAATGCCTGCTGCTCACGTGACTGTTGAAAAAAAAATTTTGACCGGATTCTTGCAGTGTGCCAATTGGCCGGACGTGCCGTGCCCACTTTTGCAGTCGACTCATTTCCCATTTCCCATTCTACTTCATACGTCTCTAGCGACGCATCGTCATTCTATCGCAGCAATTGTAATCCAGATTAGCCCTTACGGCGTCAAGAAGCTCCCAATCGGCGATCAACGTGTCAGAAGCTGAAATTCTCAGAGGCTACATGTAGCTAAACCTGGGACATGCTCGCTTTCCCCTCGTTTACTAGCATAAAGGGAACTGACATAAAAGTCTGTTTTGCACAAAAGACAAGGACTATTCGAATGGAAATATGGATTTAGATTACTAGGCAATCAATAGCTTCAGAAGTCTGTTGTATGTTGATGATACCTGCTTGCTGTTTTGAGCTTCCGGGAATAGTGGGTCCGGGGTACTATCAGTACTGGGCATTTGCGGCAGCCTAAAGTAAGCGGTGGAAGCAACAACAGCTTGCGACTCTTCAAGGTCGCTCTCAACATCAAGATCTTCTTTCTGTCGCTTTCATGGATTGCACTTGAGTTACAAACAGGCCGAGGCACGGAGTGCCATTGTCGCTATCCGGATATTTTGCCGCCATTTCCAAGGTCAGCCCTACAGCTGAAAACAGCGTCGAGATCTCTTCTATCCACGGCTGTAATCGAGTGAACAATTGTGTATCATTCTACCGACCCTTCTCTCCCAGCTTCCGGAAAACTCGATTCCTTCCAATACAAATAAGATGGATACAAGGAGTACTCTGTTCAGTAAAGGAGGTCGAATGGGGACCCCCGGCCGTCAGATTCAAGGAGGCGGAGAAGGAAGAGGAGCCCCGGCGGGCGCTGGCTCCGGTCAGGGATACAATCACCACGTTCCACTCCGGCTGTCCAAGATCGAAGACAAGACTTTGCAGACTCAGTACATCTTCAGCAATCTATGCGCCGTGTCCCGTAATGACTTCCCACCAAACCATGATGGCCAGGATATATACATTAAGCTGACAGGACGGATGATTCAGGGAGAGTATGTGGTAACCGCCCGCCCGCTGCCAGGCTTTCCCAATGGATGCATCAGTCTCTCAGATCCGCAGCGGACATGGATTCAAGTCGGCATGACGGATGAGCTCGTGGGAGAGCTCTACAACCCGTTCAGCCAGGGAGGCAACGCCTACCTCAGCAGGATGGATGTTGAGGTCGGCTTTGCTTCGGCTAAGAAGTTCAACGACCAGACGTATGACCAGGATGCTTTGGCCGAGTCGATGATCAAGCTGTTCCAAAACCAGATTTTCTCCCCGGGCCAGCGGTTTTTGATGGATGTCCGGAACATTCCCCTAGCTCTTATTGTCAAGACAACTCAACTCGCCGACTTGAGCATGGAAAAGCAGTCCGACGGGCAAATGCGGACAGATGCTAATGCACGAGGCATCTTCGTGCCCCAGACCGCCATCAACTTTTACAAGAGCGCAAGCTCGCCAATCAAGCTCTCAGGATCTACTAGTAGAGGCCCTGCCAATGCTATAATTTCCCCAGACTTTAAGTTTGAAAATATGGGCATCGGGGGTCTAGATACGGAGTTTTCGACCATTTTCCGAAGAGCCTTTGCCTCTAGGATCTTCCCTCCTGGCCTGATCGATAAGCTTGGCATCATGCACGTCAAAGGCATTCTGCTGTACGGCCCTCCAGGAACCGGTAAAACACTGATTGCCAGACAAATCGGCAAGATGTTGAACGCCAGAGAACCCAAAGTCATAAATGGTCCCGAGGTTCTAAACAAATATGTCGGACAGTCGGAGGAGAATATCAGAAAGCTTTTTGCTGATGCAGAGAAAGAGTATAAAGAAAAGGGCGAAGAGTCCGGACTCCATATTATCATCTTCGATGAGTTGGATGCCGTGTGTAAACAAAGAGGATCAGGGGCCGGAGGGGGCACTGGTGTGGGAGATAGTGTTGTCAATCAACTTCTATCCAAACTCGATGGTGTGGACCAACTGAATAACATTCTACTCATTGGAATGACAAACCGTAAGGACATGATCGACGATGCGCTCTTGCGTCCCGGGCGTCTAGAGGTGCAGATTGAGATCAGTTTACCAGACGAGCGTGGACGTCTCCAGATTTTGCAGATTCATACGTCCAAGATGACCAAAAACGGGGTTATAGATCAAGACGTCGACTTGAACACGTTAGCAGGCTTGACCAAGAACTTTTCCGGTGCTGAAATCAACGGCCTTGTCAAAGCAGCCACGTCCTTCGCGTTTAATCGTCACATCCGCGTGGATGCCATGGCCCAGATCAGCGACGATGCTGCTCAAATGAAGATTAAGAACGAAGACTTTATGAATGCCCTGAATGAGGTTAGACCTGCGTTTGGTGCGGATGATGAAGAGCTCGGGGAGGCCATTGCGTATGGCATTCTCCATTTCAGTCCGACTATAAAGAATATCCTTGACAATGGTCACGTTTTCGTTGAGAATGTTCGCAAGCTAGATCGCTTGAGGCGGATGTGTGTCCTTTTGTACGGACCCAATGCGTCTGGAAAGACAGCTATTGCAAATAAGATTGCGTTGGATTCTGGATACCCTTTTATTAAGTCTGTAAGTTCGATTAATTTATCTTTTGGGTCGGAAAGGGGGCTTTGCTGTCCTCATTCGAATATCTATGCTAATAGCGGAGTTCACAGATCACACCAGAAAAAGTCCTTGGCTTTGCCTCGGAGGCTGCCAGGAAAGACTATGTCTTTAAGATCTTCACGGATGCTTATAAGAGTCCCCTAAGCTTGCTCATAATAGGTGAGGTCGAATTGGCACTGACTCCCTATTCAAACAGTATCACTGACTTGACTTGTGTTTCCTAGATAACATCGAGCGTTTGATCGAGTGGAATCCCGTCGGTCTACGTCTGTCCAACACCATGGTCCAAGCCCTCCTCACCCTCTTCAAAGCACCCCCTCCGAAGGTAGGTTCACGGCTCCATCCCTGCACCACTCCTCGGCCCGTGTCCACCTTACTAACGCCTCTTCCCAGGGCCACCGCCTCCTCATCCTAGCAACCACTTCCCGTCGTACTGTGCTCGACCAGCTCGACATGCTCGAGGCCTTCGACCAACAGATCGCCGTCCCAGCTGTCGCCGACATGCGCGAGCTGGGGGCCGCCCTCAGCGAATTCCAGGCCTTTGACCCAGCCGGTGTAAACCAGAGCATCAATATGCTGCGCCAGTATAGCGACAGCGACCACGTGGGTGTGGGCATCAAGACGGTGCTGACGATGGCCGAGTCGGCGCAGATGGTGCCTGAGCCGGCGGGCTGGTTTGCTGAGCAGTTAGGGGTAGCGATTACAGCGAGGAGTGTGGGGAGGTCAATAGAGTAGTTAACTAAGTTAGCGGGGCACGGCTTAGTCATGATCCCCCTCATTCCTCCAGCCTTGCGACACCTCAGCATATCCTTGTTAATTCCTCTATTTAAGTATTTGCTGAGTCTATATACTCCATGCAATCTTAAGAAAAAAGAAGTCCTCACAACGTTCGCCAGCATTGTTCTCGAGCAAAACAAGCAAACAACCCTTCCCTTATTCATCAATATTAGGCGGAACGAAAATGACAGGTGCGGGAAACGCGGAGGACAACTTGGACCTAGCAAAGGTACGGCCACCCCCTTTTCTTAAAGCAACTCCATGGGATGCATTATTAACTTAATATGAACAGGCTTTCAAGGAGCTAGCTCAGTGCGTTGATCCTGGAGATTCCTCCGCGGTATAGGCTAATCTGACTCTATGATAGGGGTGAAAGCAGAGCTCGTGCTCTAGAAAATCACTTGAGCAGGCTGGAACAGAAGATAGATGAGCTCCTGGCAGCGGTAGACGCTAAACCTCACGGCGATACCCAGGGGTCCCAATCCAGCGCAAAGGGAGATCCCGGCACGTCACAAAAATCGACCGATCAGGAGAGATCCGACTCATCGAAAAGCTTGTCGAAATGAAACGAGCCATCCGGGCCCTTCTCGACGACCCCTTTCTCAGTGATAATGGCATCGATGAGGGCCGCCGGCGTGACGTCAAATGCCGGATTCCATACATCTATACCGGTGGCGGCCAACTGGATGGTCTCCATCTGCAATGTGTCTCCCACGCGTCCCTGCAAGGGACCCTTGATACTCGTCACTTCCGATGAGGCGCGTTCTTCAATTATAATCCCACTTCCTGATTTTGTTCCTCGATCAATCGTTGTGCGTGGTGCGGCTACAAGAAATTTGACGCCGTGATGTTTTGCAAGCACAGCTAGAGCATATGTTCCAATTTTGTTTGCGGTATCTCCATTGGCTGCCACTCGATCTGCTCCGACAACTATAGCGGAAACTTTGGATTCGGGCTTTGCGAGGAGGGCGGCCGCCATAGAATCAGTTATCAGAGTTGCAGGCATTTTGTCGTGCACTAGTTCGAATGCCGTCAGTCGAGCACCTTGGTTGTACGGTCTAGTTTCTGTGCAATAAACACGGTTCAAGGCATTTCCTGAGTGGAGGGACCGGATGACACCTAAAGCTGTGCCATAGCCTGCAGTCGCCAGTGACCTATTACCTCAATTAGTATAACCAGATATCTTATGATGCAACTAAAACAAAGCAAGGGAGAAAAATAAATTGTAGGCCAACCGAACCCTGTGTTGCAATGAGTCAGTACATTGACCTTGGTCTGTCCCTGCGATGTTGCTCGCTCAAGAATCCACTTTGCTCCCCACGCTCCGATGTTCTGGTTGTCGCTGAGGTCATTGACTAGCATCAATTCTGCCTCCTGCAAGTAAGCTGTAACGAGAGACTGGCCCGTAGAACCCGGAGTCTTAACGTGCTCAGTCACCTTATGTTCAAACTTTTGCGCAGCGTCGGCCAGATTCACTGCCGTCGGCCTACTCGTGACAAGGTAGTGTAGCTTCTCGATGATAAACAGACCGACTTCCTCCGACGAAGGCGACAACTTCCCACCGGCTAGCAGTTCGTTCAATTCAACTGCAAGCGACAGTATTGCGACGATGGCAATGGCTGGTGCGCCACGAACGCGCATCTCCTTGATTGCGTGCCAGCCATCTTGCGCGGATCGAATAGGGATATACTTCTCAACGAAGGGGAGTTGCAGTTGGTCGAGAATATGCAACTGATTATCGGTGTATTTTATCGCCTGGAGAGACATATTGATGCGTTTCGCGGTATTCAAATGAGAAGAATGGGAAAGTGTTGGTATGACGTTTTTTTTTTTCCCTTGCACCGCAACTACGATGACCCCGCACTGTGAAAGAGGAGGGGAGCAACGTATAAACTGCTGAAGTCTGCTATATCCTGGGGAGTATTGGAGTGTTCACTATCCAGAAAAGATGAAAGACGAAAAGACTTAGCCACATGCTATAGGCCAAAATTCTTACTGGCCTGTTGGTGAGGCAAACCTCCGGCTATAAACCGCAGTGGGGTTCTTTCTACCATAACTCCTTACGAGCACAGAAACACGACCTACGTGCATAATGCTGGCAATACTTGGGCATAAATCGTATTACTCCATGATTATTTAGAAACATTTCTCAACAGAGAGAAGGAATAGAGGGAGCAACCGAAGTAATCCAGGACTTGGGTGAGCAGCATCACGCCATCGGCAGACTCCCTGGTGTATGTTTTTAAACATCGCTGGTTCGTAATTATCGCTCAATCCACCACTGAAAAGACCATTTCATTTATATATCAGAGAACTGAGGCCCGAGGTCGAGCGGCAATTGCAGAGGGCGATATCAAGGATTCTTTCTCGTCGCGACTCGATCGGAAAAAAAAAGAAAGTCTAGTTTCATAGCATAGACCTCTTTAGACCTATGACGCCAAAGATTTATCGGGCGGATATGTATAGCACTATAATGACGATCTCAGTCACTGTACAATCCAACGATTTTTCTTCAAGGATTGTCGTCCATACCATTGTTTCCACGCACGAAGGCGTCGCCGTAGGATCGCCTTAATTGTCCATTAACGTACTCCTCTGTTTTCTCCAATGCGATGTTCATGTAACCGTCGACAGATTGAAGTTCACCTGTTTTCCAAAGCTAGTTGGTAAGAGTAGTCTGACCTTAGAGTTATGCTGTGAATGATTCGATCATACCTTGGTAAACGACGCCCGAGTTGAGCTTCACAGTCACTGGAGCTCCAGTGATCTCACCAAGGAAGGTGGAAGGATCCTTGCCTTCTGATGCGGCTCCGTTCTCCATGGTGTTTTGATTGTTGGAGTGAGTGAGATTCCAATCGTCGTTCGATTGTAAGATTCGCAGCGAAGAAACACGGCGATGCTAGTCACATGAATACTGTTTTGGATGGTATTACGCTATTCCATATTAGTAACCGCTGGTAATCTATCACTACCATTTCGGCGCCCATCCCGCCTAGAACCTTGTAATAATACGTAACCTTTACCCAAGTAAAAATAAAGATCTTCCAACGCAACGAATCCGAAGCTCCAGATCTGCTCAAACTTCTCTACATCTATCACGAATCAACTGTTTGCGCGCGCCATCCGGTATTTCTATAATCTGACTTCTGAGGACCGCTCGTTGAAAATTTATTAACAAGGTTTCAATGCGGTCGTTCTTCAAAAAGCCGGCCTGGGCCACTACTGATAACGAGCCTTCTGCACCTGAGTTCTACCGTCGCTCTGAACAGACATACAATGATATTTTGAAAGCGCATAGACAGCAGCGTCATGAACAAGCCGCAAAGTCTGCTCTGAAAGTCTCGGCCGAGCCCAGAATTCCCACCGATGCTCCTTCGAAGCGCCGCCGCCTATCAGAACCAGACGACGATGAGTCGAGAGAAGAAGCGTCGAAAACGAACAACGAGCCAGAGTCTCCCTCTTCGCCGACCGGAAGGCTACAAGAGACGAGTAGAGTTGACGTAGCTGAGGTACATACTGGTGTCAACTCACCAGAGGAAGGATTCCCTGCTATTGACGGACAAGAAAGGAAGAACTTACCTGAAATCAAAGCAGTGGACGCTGTACGGTTACACAGGGAAAGCTTTTCGTCTCCCATCTTACCCACAAATTCTAGCAACAGACATGTCATCAACAACAAAAAAGAGTCACTATCAGCGAAGGAAAATGCACACCGACCACCAAATCTTACCGTGGCCAGAGATGGGGATACGCGTGGTGATTACAGTGTAGAAAAGAATGCAGTTAAGCAGGAGGAAGACCCTGCTATTGAAATACTCGTAACATCTGCAATCGAGAACACAAGGCCGCTGGTTGTTTATCGACGAATGTCGCAGCGATTTCGAGATGTCCGACTAGCTTGGTGTGAGCGACAAGGGTTTGATAACAGGATGACATCGTCTGTGTATCTGACCTGGAATAAAAGGAGACTCTTTGATGTAACGACATGTAGAAGCCTTGATTACAGTGCTTTAGCATCTCTCTCCAATAGTCTAGACCCGGAAGATGATGGCCCGTTGCGCGTTCATGTGGAAGCTGTGACGGACGAACTATTGAGGTCTCAGGCAGAGCAGTTGACTCGAAACCGTGCACCGGATGAGGATGAATATGATGAACCTGAAGAAGAAAAACAACACCCGTTCCATATCATTCTGAAAAGCCAAGACCGTGGCGATATGCGAGTAAAGGTTCTGCCGCAAACGAGTGTCTCACAAGTTATCACCAACTACAAGAACAAAAGAAAGATACCACCGGACAGCACAGTTTCTCTGTCTTTTGACGGCGACCTTCTCGACCCGGCGTCTCAGCTGAAGGATCATGATATGGCAGATCTTGATCTTGTGGATGTTTTCGTGCGGTGATACGAGTCTCCGTTTGCCGACTTGGGGTATATAATTAGTATTAATTGATCACCGTCCTGCAATGAATAATTTCCACCTAGACAAGGTATTATTATCGTAGCATAACCAAGAGAAGTGTTTGACGAGCGATTGTCTGTATTGCGTATAGATCAACCAATAACAGAAGGCGGAAGCGGAAGTGCGGCCGCAGTCTTGGGAAAATTTCTTGCCCCTCCAACTCTTCTCCCATCATAAAAGATCTGGTCTATTCTCGCTCTTAATTGCACCACAAGAGCAGCCCTCAACAATGAAAATCATCACCGTTAATTTCCTCACATGCGCTGTGAAAAGCTGCAGAGGCTCACCATCGGCCTCCCCGCTACACTTCAGAGACGCAGAGCTTGAACAAGAGGAGTTGGATTTCAATCCCAGCTTGATACGGAACATTCTCCCACGAATTGACTGGGATTCTCTAAAAGTTACAGCCCAGGAGGTAAGCATTTTCAGTATTTTATGCCGCCCTCGCAACTTTTTAAAGCGACAGCTCTTCTTGTCGTTTGGGAAAGGCATCAAACCGCTAAGATTCCGAATCTTGACTACTAGCTCGGATTCCCCGATATATCAGACACGAAGCCAAATGACGACGCAATTGACGAAGCACTCTTAAAAGATTTGCACAAATTGCTACTAGAAACGCATGTGACTGAAGGGAAGCTATGCTGTGCCAATTGTGGTCATGAATATCACATCAAAGAAGGGATTGCCAATTTCCTGCTGCCGAGTCATCTGGGTGAGTTTGTGTGGTCTACGGTCATACGATTCCATATTGCCTCTAGATTACTGACTTTTCATTGTTGTTATGTCCGCAGTATAAGCAAAAAATTATTTCTAAATCATCTATCAGACGGGGGTTTCTTTTCCTTCCAATTTGGCCATGCAATTCCCACGAAATAGGATCTGGGCCATGCGGCTGGTCCTCCACAATCGGTGACGGTTGCTAATTAGAGAGGCATTGGGATCAGGGTTTTGCACATCAACCTTCGTTCTCGACGTTGTTCGAGTATCGATTGCCGCATGATTTCTCATTCATTCGAATAATCCCACCACTACTGTGGGATCATTGTACGACCGGTGGTGCACTTGCACTCCAGAACTTTCCTCAGAAAAAAATATCGAGAAGTGTCTCGGATCAGCAGCCACTAAATAGATAACTAAGTTTGGTCGGTGCACGCCAAAAAAAAAAAGCGTGATATATCAAGCTCGGCCTTTGGAATGGACTCAATTACTGAGGCATTTCTAGATTTTAGGTTGCGGGACACCGCCAAAGCTTTGAAGTCACGCTAAGTAGGTAGACTTGTATAAGCTAAGTCACTACGAAAACGAGCCCTGCACATACATTATTATCATTATTATAACTTAAGAAATGAATCCTGAGATGACTCCCTAATTCAAACGAGATCTTGATGATCTCCACCGCTTCTTGCATCCTATAAATCAAAGTTAATATAGAAGAGTCTTTCGTTGGTTAACAAAAGATATTGTATTATACATAAAACAACCACCACCCCATGTATCAACGTCGTGGACTCCAAAACCTCCCCCGTCAGTAGCAGAAGAGTCAGTAGCATATTCACCGATGTTTAAAAAGAAGAATTGAGTAAAAGAAAAAGGCTGCAAAACCATGCCCTTCCCGAAGAACGCCTATCCAATGCATTGTACAAAGAACGCTCGTTGATTGTCCGCCGAGTATAGATAGTACTCCGAAATGTGTAATTGCCATGCGCATCAATTAAGAAACCCTTTACAGCCTGCTGACCCACATAGACAAGGAATTCGGTCTTCACTGTCCCATTCTCGCTCGAACTTATAGTCGTAGGTGAGTTCCTCATCTATAGTCATCCATTTAGTATCTTTTGCAAGACAGCAAACATACACACACGCACAAAAAGGGAGAGAACAAACCTTTACTGATGTCTCGCAACGCATAGATCACGATTCTTTTACTACCGTCCACCCGAATGATTTTTGCCGTACAATTAGGAGTACAGCTATGGTTGATGAACCTTGCGATACCTCCACGTTTTGTAGCATCAATTACAGCATTTTCGTCGATTCGGAAAAGGTAGCTGCTTCCGATCCCGCTCTTCAAATATCTCCGTTCCCTCATATCAGCCACTTGTTGTCGAACTTTCTCACCGACGTATTCGATGATCATATCATTGGCTGCAATATTTTCCTCTGCATAGAGTCCCCAATTATGAATAGCTGAGCGGGCAAATCTGACGGGCTTTTTACGCTTCTTGAGTTGGTTGAAGCGTAACGCATCGCCATCACCGCCTTGAGGGGGCAGAACCTGTTTCTGTGCATTGATGTCAGCAGCAAGTCGGCGGTTTTGCACTCTCGTAGATCTTGACGTGGAGTTGGACACCGGCTTAGTTGGGCCAGCCTTTGCGGGATCGACAGGCACCGCTTGAGGATCGCTTTGCGCGAGTGCTTCTCTTTCTTCTCGCGCCTTTTGTACTTTGATACGGTGAGGCAGATACTTCGATTTTTCCGACTCGAATATCCTTTTTCTACCTTCCGTTCGAGCCGATCCCGTCATATTCGGCACAAAGTATCCAGGAACGCAAATGCCCGTGTACACGGGTCCACTTTCTCCGTATCGATTTAAAAGCTTGACTTCCCGCTGTCTCCAGGCCCATATTGCTATATTACCAACTTCTGACGGTAATATGTCGTAAAGAGTGTCTTTAAGAAAAGCTAGATCCTCGTCATCTTTGACTAGAGACTGCCAGCCGTCAAGATCAAGAACCATTGCGTCATCATCAGCGACGCTGGGCCGCGGTTGATCATATGAGACTTCCAGGTTAACTTCGGGCTTCGTGTAGGCAAAATCGGAGTCTTTTATATAATGTTAGCAATTACCATCCATTCTGATAAATAAGGAATAGTATACAAACCAAGGCTGAATTCTGTTGACCGCAGCATTAAATTCTCATCTTCAAAGCTGTCGCTACCGAAGAAACGAGGAGAATGAACATGACCTTTAACATCAAGAACGACTGTCTCAACGTCAAGGATCTCTTGGTCATCCTTGTGTCGCTTTCGTGAATCAAGTCCATCATCCATAACCCTCTTTCTCTTTTTGGGTGAAACGGACAAGTTGAGATCAATTTGCTGGAGCATCAAATCGTCCTCTTCCTTCGTATCCACACCTGTAGCGATGACATAATCAGCAGCTTCGTTTTCTACAGACGGACTTTGAGATGCGTAAATGTCATAATCGTCTTCTGTGTCTGAAGCCGAAGAATCAAAGCTCAATCGGCTTGGCGATCTACTTCCGATTTCGTCGGTATCTCTTGACATAGGTGTTCGCGCATCATCATCCGAATCTCCTGCTTCATGAAGATGACGAAGGCGATGATGGAGCGGCCGTACATCGCTTCGACGCAGTAGGTGGCCACGCCTTTCTTCCACATAAGTTGTACGGCCTAGTTGGCCACGATGAGATTTACGAATGCGAGGAAGGGCAAGTAGATCAAGCGGACGGGTATGCAAGGAGTCGTTAGATACACCAAGCTGAAATGGGTTTGGTCTATTCGCCTCGGGATCCTGAATGCCTAAAGCTTTCCTTGTCGATGAATGCCTATCTGGGTCAAGATATTCATATAAAAAAGGAGCAGCGATTCGAAATTTGATATCCTCCAGCAGTTTAGTCTTCAATTCACGAATGACAACACTCAGCACTTCTTTAGACGGGTCCAAATTGCGAGCACGTTGTTGTTTTTCTTCATCAGCCTCCAGTTGCTGCTCCTTCAAAATTCTCTCCTTTTCTGCCTTGACTTTCTGTTCTGCTTGTAAGCGCTCGGGGCTGGGGCTGCGCTCATAATTAGGATTTCCATAAGGTTGGCTTTCCATATTCATAATGTAGGTGAACAGGGGGGTCATGTGGCACATTTTGTAGCACCTCATCGTCTCTTCTTCACCTCGTCGAGAATTTTCAAAAATGATATAGTATCCGGTTCTGTCACATCTTACGGCTTTCCAGTCAAACGTTCTGAGCCGCTTTTGGAGGTGAGATATCGTGGACCCTAAGACAGGGACATAGCAATGGGCTATGAAAATATAGGGGTCGCGCTTTATTTGTTGCAAAATCGGCGTTTCTTCAACGAGAGAAGGAGTTGCGGGTTTCATAATAGCTGCCTTAGGACCTTCTGGGGGATTGAAAGATGGGCGACCTGACAAGCGCCCTGACGGTCCCTTCGGAGCAGTCGGCGGAGGCTCGTTGTTGTTCGGGGGAGTATCATGACGACTCCCTTCTAGAGATGGTTGGTTATTTTTCCGCCAGGATTCTATAGCTTTTTCAACCAAACGCTGTGACAGGAGTCCATCGCGGTCAAGTTCAACCCGAATGCGTCGCGTGCCAATACGCTGCTCTTTTTTGCATTCATAATACGCACGCCTCGCAGCAGCAGACGCTGACAATGGCCCAGTGTTCTGAAAAGAAGATGTATCTTTAAACTTAACAAGGCAAATGCCGAGGGGCCTACCCGTGACTGGATCGGTGCGATTATCAATATGAGAAACTTCTCCAAAGCTGGAGAACAACGCGTTTATCGGAGCAATCGGTGTTAGGGCATCAAATCCGGTAACGACGATCTGGGAAGGAGCTGCTCGGCCAATGGAAGTTGCGGCGTCGAACTGCCAATGCCGTATAGAATAGGGCGTTAATCTCAGTTTCACTTTTAGCTTATTAGCAGAGCCTCGAGCGTAATTTTCCACAGAGAGCCGTGGATCGGCGTTTCTTGAGTATGCATCTGTCTGAACAAACTCCATATATTGAAGCTTCCTCTTCTTGTCCTTGGTGGCAGACTTTTTGTCCAACTCCGGGTCATGAATTACTCTGCAACCTTTGAGCTCGAATGGCAGGACAGGTCGTGTGTCGTCGGAGAGTGTTTCGACGACACCTCTGGAGCGACAACCTATATTATCTTTCCAAGCCTCATCAACCCCAGTCTCATAATCAGAATTATGTACCGGCTTTGTCTGGTAAGGGCTGCTGGGGTTGGGCGACGCGGATTGCGTAACGAGCGTATGCTGTGATGACCCCGTTCCATTCATTGCATGTGAGTTATCAGCAATAATTTGAGTAGATAAGTCGACGGTGTATCGTGAATTCGTGGCCCCATTGCCGTGGTTAACCGACGGAACGTCTCGTACAATTAGCGCACATGTACCATTTTCACCTTCCTCGCCAGGCAAATTATCATGGTTTTCTTTTTTAACGATAGGCGACGTAGTTACTGACTGAATGATTCCGTTGCTAGTCTCGGGCATCGATCTGGTTCGTCCACTATCATCTGATATTCTAGTTCGTCGCGACTGGAGGACCGACGGCGCGGTTGGGAAGAAATCGGCAAACCCTGCAGACAACCGCGACATGGTGTGAAAGGCTACTCGCCAAGAGCTCTCTGAATCGAAGGAATCACCATCATTGTCGTGAAAATGCCTCGATGGCTCGTTTGATGTGATTCCAGAGAGCTTTGGCGAGGTCGATCCCAATCAAGGGCGTGTAACTACACCGTTGCCGAGAACGGCTTGAGGTAGGTAAATAGAGATAGTAAGGAATCCTTCAGGAGATCGGCGCATGCAAAAAATCCACGGTGCGAGGTAACTCGAAATGCTTGTAGTCCGTGGGAAGGGTTAAAGGCGGATGGAGGTTGTCAACACGCATCGCAGACAAAAAAAAAAGGATAAGGCCGCAAATCATCAATGATTGCAGCAAGAGTTCCAGTGACTGCCGAACTAGTCCTAAGGAAGAAGGTGGGCCACAATGCCCGCCCGCGTAACCAATAATACTGCAAGTATAGCTATACCAGCCCAAAAAGGAAATTGTTCTTAACGTCCTTGACATAGGGAGGGCTTGAGACCTTGGAGACAACAGTGAGCGAGTGAGAGCTTACATTTGAACTGCTGGATTCTAGGCTCAGTTATACAAGATGTCTCTGTCTTGCTCGGTAGTTGCGCCAATGATGAGAATCTTGAGAGCAGCCATTGCAGGAAAATTGTATGTTTAAGAGAGAAAAGTAAAATAATACCTCACTGATATATTAGAAAAGACGATTGCATAAACCTGTCACTTCAGTGGAAGCCTAAAGATCTTTTATTATACAATATTGTGCTTAAAATAGAAATAGTTTAGGTGTATAACGTGGGACCTACATGCACTACATAATTCTAGCTATGTACATGCAAAGAGTCTGATATGGTATAGAGTAGTCTAGACTCGTGTTCCAGTAGCCAATTGATCCCCTTAGGTAGTATTCACTGCCACAGGATGTCAACTTACATAACTAAGTGGACGATGAGTGAATGTATAAAGCACATAACCTAAATGTGAAATAATGTGTCCATGAAAATGTGCTGGAGTTTGTACGCTAGTAGTATACCATTAGCTACTACTTTTTATAGCCATACCTTGGTCGTTACATAGGACTGAATATGCTTGACATTGCCTCTCCATAGTACTCTTCTTCTCCAAGCTATCACGACCATTCTGACAGAGTGAACTTGCCAAATGCAACACAGCAGTCCCAAATAGGCTCACCCTGTGGAAGATGGAGTATTACGACATTATGTTTTGGGCCTTTCTAAGGTGCACCAGTTGAACTTCGAGCAGCAGACAATTATCTGGGCTTTGGCATACAGAATACAGGGTCTCCTTGCTCATTTGAGTTGTTAATACTAGCTAAATTTTCTCCTAATGGTGTCATTTCATCTCTTACAGCATTCTTCACTTCTTTACACTTGCTTTCTGATAGTGTCTCCTCTATACCTACTCCAAGGGACCGCGTGGAACCAAGTTCCCTTACAGTCTGCATTACCTTGATGCATTCTTATCAAAAGGCTAACACCTGCAGGCTTATAAGCAGTCAACTAACTCCATTTGTGCGGATGTAGTTTTTTTAAAACAACTTAGAGAACTGAAAGATCTTTGAAACTAATCAGTTAAGAATATACTGGCAATCTCTGAAAGCCGACTACGTCGGTTTGGAAGAGGGTAAGGTATGGTTGATTCCAATATAAGGGTCTACCTATCCTATTCTCACTCTCGCATACGTGTCAGAGAATCAGAGCATCACAGCCAATCGGGGTTAAAAAACCTCGCGCACCTATGAAAACGCACCCCCCAGGTAAAAAGTACTGCGGGAAAGAATCCAAGTTATAAAAGACTCTATCAAGTGTCTATGTCGGAAACTTCGGTCTAATTATTATTAAGTATAGTTAGAATAGCTATTAATAAATAAAGTTAATAAATTTCTAATATATAAAAGTTATAAAAATAAAGGAAATCTTAAATAAAGATAGAATATCTTAATTAATAGAAGATTATATACTTAAGTTATCTTAATTAATTTAAGATAATAGAAGAAAATTAAATATAGGATAAATAAGCATCTTTATATAACTTTTCTTTATTATAGATATTATAAAGAATTCTATAATTTCTATATAATAATTATTATAGCTATTATAACCTCTACTTTAATTTCTATAATACTTAAATTCTATTAGTTCTAGATAATTCTTTATTTTATTATATATTAGTTTCTTTTATCTATTAGTTATGATATTCTAATTCTTTAATAATCCTCTTCTTTGAAGGTTAGTATCTTAATAATTTAATAAATAGCTTATATCTTTAGATATATAAGTAATTAATTTTAATTCTTAATTTTCTATAATATATAATCTTATAATTTTATACTAATTATATCTTTAAAGAAATCTATTTTAAAAAATTCTCTTCTTTTATATATTAAGTAATTTAGGATTATTTATTACTTTTTATATAATTAATATAGTAATTTAGAAAAAACTTATATTAAAATAAAATTTTTAAAATATTATAGTAAGTATATTTAAGTAAATAATTATTATTATTTTAAAATATTTATTTTTAATTTAGCCTAAAAACAACTTATTAAAATTTAAAATAAAATTAAAACTAATAAAGAAAAGGCTTATAAAGAAATTATGATCTTTATAATTAAACTTAACTATTTATAAAAATAAAAGAAATTATTATAAAAATATATTAATTAATTTATTTAAATAGATATTAAGGATATTAAAGAGTTAGAAAGATTAGAAAAAGTAGAAGAAAAAATAAAAATAAAATAAGTAAGAGAATAATAAAAGATTAAAAAGCTTTTTATTATTATATTTATTTTATAAAATAATAATCTTATTTTTAATATTAATTTTAATCTTTTTATTTTTTTTAATTATATTTCTATCTTTATTTTTAAATTTTTTTAGAATAATTTAAATATTTAATAGATTTCTATATATCTTTTTTAGATCTATATTTTTTCTATTTTATAAGATAATAGATATATTCTTTTTTTAATTTATATTATAATATTTTTTTAACTTTATATTCTTTATTATTTATTATTTTATCTTTATTAAGTTAATAGTTAGTTCTAATAATAAAATATAAAATATTAAATATATTTATATTCTTACTGGTAGTTAAAATTTATAATTATTATTTATAAGTTTTTCTTTAATAGTAAATAGTTTAGATTTAATTATATTAAATTTAGTATTTAATCTTATACTTTTAATTTTAAAATTTTTTAATCTTAATATTTATTATAAAAGATAAACTTTTTTTTAAGTGCTAATGTATTCTCACACTTCTTATTATAATATTTTTTTATTTTTATTTCTGCCTATTTAATATCTTTTAATAAATTATTATATATTAATTATATATATGATTTAAATATTTGCTTTATTTAATACTTTTTTTTATTTAATATTTTCTTAATTTATTCTTAGAATTTTTTCTAGATTAATAAAATATAATATTTATCTTATTAATATATTTATTATATTATTTATTATAAATTAAGTAAATAATAATAACTTTATTTAATTATCTTAATTTTAATTTAAATAATATCTTAGATATTATTTAATTACTTAAATTATTTTTTTAGTTTAACTATTAGTTTATTAATAATATACTATTAATAGATTATATTTTATATTATAATTTTTTATAATTATTTGCTAAAATTTAAATATAAATAGTTTATTTTAGATATGATTTTACTTAGTAATTTAAATATTATAAATACTTATAATATTAGTATTGTGTATTATTATATTATTAAACTCTTTAATATTAGTTTTAAGATAATATATTTTATAAGTTTATCTATAATAATAATAATTTTAATATATATAATTTTTAAAATAAAATCTTTTAACTCTAATAAGTTTTATATAAAATTTATTATAATCTTTTATTATGCTTTTATTAATATCTCTAGAATTTATATTCTTCTATAATTAATAATTAATTAATTTATAATTATAATTATTATATTTTTTAATATAATCTTTATTTAGTTTTCTTATTTTTAGAAAGTAATATATTTATTATATCTTTTTTATTATTTAATTAATTTTATAATATTTTTTAATTAATAAATTATAGTTTATTTAAATAATTTTTATAATTATTAAAAATAGTATTAATATTAATTTTTTTTAAATAACTAATTTATTCTTAATTACTATTTTATTATTATATAATATTATTTATAGTATTTTATTGTTTTTAATAGCTTTTATTATCTTTTTATAAAAAACTTTGCTTTTTATTATAATTATTATTGTTAATATTACTTTATTATTATATTAAATTCTATCTTTATTTTCTACTAATATGTTTATTTATAGCTATTATATTTTAATTATATAATCTACTTTTTTATTTAATATAATTAATAATAATGTTTTCTTTTTCTTTGATATATTTAATTTAAAATTTAAATTTTAATAGATATTCTAATTATCTAACTTATTAATAAGTTTTTTAATTATTATAAAGTATTTTAGATTATAATAATTATTTTTTATAATTATTTTTTCTTTTACTTCTTATAAGTAGTATTTTTATTATTTAAATACTTTAATTATTATAAGTAATTCTTTATTATAAATATTATAATTTTTTTTATAGTAATAAATTATCTAAAAATAGATAATAAATCTTAATTTTTTATTATCTTTTAATTATTTTAAAATAATTTCTAATATATATCCTAATATATTTAGTTAAATTATATTTAGTTTTTCTAGATTATAAAATATAAGAATTAGTATTTTTTTAATTAATTCTTTGACTTTTTTAAATGTTTATTATTATTATTTTATCTAATTAAATTCTTAATTTTTTTATAGTAGTTTTATAATTAATTATATTATTTTTATATCATTCTTTAAGTATTTTCTAATATATCTTATTATATCTAAGAATTATTATATTTTATTAATATTTATTAGAATAAGCTAATTAAGTATTATATTTTTTTTTTAGATTAGTTTTTCAACTCTTTTAGTATATAAACTATTTTTAAATA